ACCGGTACGAATACCCACTTGAAAATTAAACCATCCACATTAGCAGTTCGGTCATTTTGTCGATAGTGTTGATCACCTTTCCCTTGATAGCTTCCGCAGAAAGAATGCAGGTTGGGCGTTTCAATGGAAGTAGTTTTCTTTTGGCATATTCTGGTACCAAGTTCAACAGAGACCGGCTATTCTTTATTTTTGTCTCGGCTAAGTTGATGGTACGGTCGTCTAGGATCATAGCTCCCACATTTTGGGGATTTGGCATGTAAAAGATGTCGTCTAGCTCCTTTAGTAGCTCGTCAAACTCTCCTCGCACTCCATAGTAGAAGTCTTGGATATACCTCCTATTAAATAGCTTCCCCGATACAATCACTCCATCTGGGTCGCAAAGCTTTATATCATAGTTGGAGTATATCTTCTCCTCTGCTCTCACGTCGTTGTACACGCTCTTTATCCAGCTCCACATTGGCGCACAATTGTCCTCGTCAAAGGGCTCATTGCCATCTGCAGTACAAAACACGGCATATACAATAAAGAACTTGATTGCATCCAAAACTCTCCGAACTTTCCCGGCAACTTGCAACACAGGGTAAGAGTCGGTACTATCACGACTCTCCACGGCATGGTCCTCTTCCGATAGCTCGTCTTCTTCATTGTCATCCGCATCTTCACTTGTACCGCGCTCCGCTCGAAGGTCAAAAGCAGTCAGCCGAACCATGATTTCCAAAATAGTTCCCAGTTCATCCTCATCCTGTAGCATCCTGATGAATATACGAGAGATTCCGTCTACTGTATTTCATCAGAAAGGTCATCTTGCAATTCAACCTCATCATAAACATCGTCTTCTTCACCAAAACATTCCATCAACAGGGGAAACTCCCGAATGTTCAGAAGCATGTAGAGAAAAGGTGAAAAATTCAGAGCATACTCGTTGATGCTTCTTTCGTGTAAGGTCTTGAGGAGGGACTCGCCTACTTGGGGTCTTCTGAATGTTCGTGTTGCTCTGTAACGAAGCATATTTCTCTCCCTTGACCTCTTGTATATAGCTTGGCACACACGCTTGGATTTGGCGTTGTACTCTCCACGAAATGCATGAAATTCGTCTTGACGACTGTATCCAAAGACACGAGAGATCTGCACGGGGTACTTAACTTTTTCGTTCTTCGCCCAGTTGACGACCAACTTCAGCTTTGTCATACTCCAAGTTTCCTCCTGTTTCCATGAAAACTATCGGTAAAACACTCTTGGTTCTCGTGGCGAACACTGTTTTCACTGAGTAGCAGAGTCCATTTAAAAGTACTAGACCTGATTATCCACTAAATCGAACAAAACTCCTGAGTTGCAAGTACAGATCGGTTTCGTGGTCCTTATACTTAACGTTCTGAAACCTACTTTGCTGTTTCTTGCTCACTCACGTTTTACTGTTTGCCATGACGTGATTTGATCTACACTATGCATGTACCTTAGAAGTAACTCATCCGTCAGCGGTGTTTGGAAGGTTTAAAATTTTGGGATTTAAACAATACCGCATTTGTTTCTATTACCAGTTTCGGAACATATCGTATTACTTAATATGGCATTGTTTTGTTTTATTTTGGGTATGCAAACTAAAACAAATCAATTTTGCAAGGTCTCCGAATTTTCTAAGCACTCCAACTCGGGTTTGAATACGCCGAGAAATTTCCTAGTCTATTTTCTGATTAGGTTATATCGCACGCTTACTCGACAACATTTAAGCTTTGGGCAGGACGACATATATGTTGCCCGGCATCTTCTTTTTCGTAGGTTTGGGGAAAAAACAGCAGAAAGCGCGAGACACTTACCGAAAAAATTCGGAGGATTGACGGCTCACGGGATTCGTACGGAGATTTCTAGGGAGAAAACAGAGGCGCCGCGCTCTGCGGAGCGCGGCCCCTCTTAGCTCACCCATAAATTGAGCGGCCTGATTGCCTAAACAGAATTTGTACCGAGATTATCTGCGCTAAGAAAAATCCACCTCTTAGCGCTAACATATAAGAATAGCTATAAGCATACGTGAGGACTCCGCTAAAGCGGTGTCCTCATACTGAAAGTTATGTATGGTATGAATCGGTCATGATTTTGGTAGCGCTTAGCAAGTGTTTCAAGTGAAAACAGTGATCAACTTATCGACCACTAATCATCCAAAGACATTTTGACGAATAAAGCTGTCATCGGAGGAACTTCTTTAGTAATAGATGGATCCTGTCCAAAAACGTTCGAGGGAAATCCAATGTCGAAAGGAGAAGCACTCTCAAGATACTTTATTTGCTCTGGAGTTAGCTTAATCTTCAACGCTTCAATATTCTGTTTGAGATGCTCAACTTTACGTCCACCAACAAGTGGAAACACGCGTTTGGCCTTAGAACGCACGTACGCAATAGCAATAGCCGTGATACTTTCAATTCCATGCTCTTTGGCAACTTTCAAAAGCGCTTCGCTGACTTTGACCTCAGCCTCACTTTGTTCCGGACCACCCGCGAAACCACCGAAAGTACGCAATCCCTCTCCATTTTTCTTGCGCTCTTCAATTGCGTTCTTAGTTTGGAATCTTCCACCTCCCATCACATCCCAGGGATTCAAAGCCATGCCGAAGTGATTTGCCATTGGAATGATATCACGCTCGAAGTCTCTGTTCAGCAAGTTCCACTTGCCCTGGTAAATACTAAAGGGTGTCTTCCCGTGAGCTGTTGCATAATCGTTAGCGGCAGTAACTACCCAGGCTGGTGTATCTGAGACACCAAGATACAAAACTTTGCCTTGCTGCACTAGAATGTGTAAGCTATCCATAACCTCTTCGATAGAGGAAAAATAATCCCACCAGTGTACATAAAAAATATCAATCCAATCAGTTCTCAACTTCTTCAGGGAGTCTCGTACACTCATGTACATACTGCGCTTGTGATTGCCGCAGAAGTTAGCACTCTTTGTCTTTCCAAGCTCATGCGCCTTATAGCCGTTGGTGTACTTTGTGGCAATAACCATTTGGTCACGTATCTTGCGAGATTCCATCCATTCTCCAATCCATTCCTCTGATTGCTCATTTTGGTAAATATTTGCGGTGTCAATAAAATTGCCGCCAGCCTCATAGTAGGCATCAAGTAACTCGAATGCGCGAGGTTTATCCATTGAGCCCATGACATCTGACCATTCGTCACCAATTGACATTCCACCTAAAGTCAGTGGAGAGACTCTAATACCTGCAGTCTTCGAGAGAACTCTAAGACGGCCTAGTTCAGTTGCAGGCTCTGGGGCAGGTGCGAAAAGTTCAGACATTATTTGAAAGTTTTGTATTGACAGATGAAGAAGCAGCGAATTTACTACTGTATCTGATTTTATGAGCAGCAATGACTTTAATTAAAGTTTCAAATGTATCCCTTTTTATACCTCAGGATGCTACTGGTTAATAAACACCACCGGTGTCAGCACTCATAGAAGTTGTTCCCCTACTTACTTGAATCATGTCGGCCGATCGGCCGATCGGCCGATCATCTATCGGCCGCAATAGGCCGATTATTCACTAAACCGCAAATCCGACCCGCATATAGCCGACCCGCAGCTCGACTTGCATTTCCGACTGCTTATTAAACATGAAAGCTACTTCAGTTGAAAGATGGAATAGTAGATATGTATATATGTATATAAGAGCACCGATTAGCAGCATATCTCATTTGAAATGTGTACGACCGGTATATTCATCACTCACTATGTATACCAAGACATTTAAGAATACGTTACTTGTAGATGTTCTTGAATACTTTGGGCTGACTACGGCGAATGAACAGTTTGAGGAGCAAAGCCCTCAAAATTCAATGAACGCTACCCGTAATGAAGCTTTTGACATTGAGTCAAAGGCTGGTGACATTCCAGAAGGTAATTCGGAGGAATCTGATGCCGAAAAGGATCCTTTTTTGATAGACTGGGTCGATCCTGATGATCCTGACAACCCTATGAACTGGAGTAAGGGAAAAAAAGCTTTCGTTGTTATTCAGATAATGATTTTAACTTGTGTTACATATATGGGAGCATCAATATACACACCTGGGCAAGATGCTATCCAAGAAGAATTTGGTGTAGGGCACGTCGTCGGCACTCTCAATTTGTCGATGTATGTGTTGGGGTATGGCTTGGGCCCAATGATTTTTTCTCCTCTTTCAGAAGTTGCATCAATTGGCCGGCAGCATATTTATATCGTGACTCTATTGTTGTTCACTGTGTTCCAAGTGGGATGTGCGACCGTGCATAATATCGGTGGGCTAGTAGTTCTACGTTTTATTAGCGGAGTTTTGTGCTCACCATCTTTGGCTACCGGAGCTGGCAGCATCGGTGATATCATTAATCCCGAAATTGTTCCTGTTTTCATTGGGCTATGGGCAATTGGAGCTGTTGCCGCACCTGTTCTTGCTCCCCTTCTTGGGGCTGCAATGGTAGTGGCCAAAGGATGGAGATTTATCTTTTGGCTACTAATGTGGCTCAGTGCGGCGACTTTAATTCTCTTAGCTGCCTTCTTCCCAGAAACACAACATGCGAATATCCTGCATCGTCGTGCCAATAGAATTCGCAAAGAAACTGGAGATGACCGTTTTTATACAAAACAGGAAAAAGTCGAAGCCGAAATCCATATAAAAGACTCCATCTTGGACACCCTATACAGACCATTTGCAATCATGATTATGGAACCTGCAGTTCTCGCGTTCAATATTTACATCGCTCTTTGTTATGGTGCCTTTTATTTGTTTTTTGAGGCCTTCCCCATTGTTTTCATTGGAATTTACAACTTCACTCTCGTTGAAATGGGGTTGGCATACATGGGATTTTGTGTCGGATGTGTTATTGCGTACATGGTTCAGCTAATATTCCTTGCAAAAGTCATCGGTCCAAAATTCATGAATAACACATTTAAACCAGAAGATTTCTTACTTCTTGCTATGGGAGTTTGTTGGGCACTGCCGCTTTCTTTGTTTCTCTTTGGATGGACAGCCGGGGTACACTGGATTCTACCAATTATCGCACAGATATTCTTTGTCTTAAATGTCTTCAATCTTTTCCAATCTTCCTTTGCCTATTTAGCAATATGTTATCCACGCTACTTGGCATCTGTTTTTGCTTCCAATGCATTTTGCCGGTCAGTCTTTGCTTGTGCGTTTCCATTATTTGGACAAGCAATGTATAATAATCTCGGAAGTGAAGCATATCCTGTCGGTTGGGGTTCTTCGTTGGTGGGTTTTTTTTGCATTGCTCTTGCAAGCATACCATTCATTTTCTATAGAGTTGGGCCATATCTAAGAGGAAAGTCGGAGTACGCTAATTAGCCGGAATGGCTCTCATAATTAATTTTCATATTATATCTACACTTTGAGCTGTTGAACAGGATAACATATATTATTTTTTTTGAGAACGTTTCGTTCAATGCCATTATTGCGAATAGTATCAATAGGTTAGAAAGAGTGTGGTCCAGAATCATTCTAGTAAAAATGGCCGCAAGAAACTGGTTATAGCAAGGATCTTACACCCATTGCGCTTTCTTTTACGATATATGCATGGTAAAAATGCTTTGCGCACTGTTTGAAGTTCGTACAATTTACTCTTTAGTAGACTGGATGCCATTAGGCGCGGTTCGGTTCTATCGCAGGCAAAATGAAGGTACCATCCCCCATTTGATCGCAACAATGCTTATTCGAGAACAATTGCTGAAGTTTTACACATTTCACGATCGCCTCTTTATCGCCACACACCATGCTCTTTATTTTGAACCAGCAGCGACTTGAATGTGAACGCTATTAGCAAGCATGGAATAAGAATATTTCTGTAGCGCCATTTGGATGGAAGATAGTCTCTTTTTTCTTGATACAAGATCAAAGACAATCGGAAAATCAGACTCACCTGAACACATCAAAGTGCTATTTTTCAAATGCCGCAGAATCAGCAGAACTTAAACTTCATGTTCTACGTAATGCTCAAGTTTTTCACTATATTACACTGCGGAGAAATTATAGATGATCGTCGTTTTTCTTCCTTCTTTGGTTGCTCGCCGCTTGCCTTCTTCTCCTTTACGCTGTATCACAGCCTGATTACACGTTTCTTTAACCGCTTCCTTTATTCAAAATCCTCACATCTTCCCTCTTGCCTGTTCAAATAATACGGCCGACTAAATCTCCGCCCCGCTCCTCCGACCCGTATCTCCGATCCGCATTTTCTCCCCTCAAAAATTTAATAAGTAGCCTGCGGTCGGCCGAACGTTTTGCCATTCCTGAAACTAAAGCGGCACTTCCAAAATGGAAGTATTCTCAAGCAAAAGACCAAGACCAACGCTAGTCTGTGTACCATGTCGTTTAGGAAAAAGAAAATGTGATAAGCTGCGACCCTCCTGCACAAGGTGCACTAAAAGCTCATTGAAATGCTCTTATGAAGGTGAGAATGGGTTACCTGCGAGTATCGAAGTGGTTACTGATACTGTGGTACAGTCACGCCCATCTCCTCGCGGTTCTGGCAAAGATGACTCTAGTACTATCAGCACTACTACGACAGTTACACCTGCTTCATTGCTACTCGATCATGTTCTCCTTACCCCATTGTCTTTATGGAATCCTGACGAAATGTTGCTGGTAGCAGGCCCCATGATCATTTTGACTCAGCCTTTCGGTGCATTTAGTCTTGCACAGCGTGATATTTTCATGCAGACTCTCTGCAGCTCACTGTTTGGCATGACTCTTCTTGATCTTGGCCATCACCTTAATGCTTCCAACTTCAGTAGCCCTTCTCAGCAAATACTGACTCCATTTCCATTCCTGGAGAAAGTGATCATGAGATTAGTTGAATTGGGTAACCCAAATCGAATAGAAGTTCCGTTAACCGGCCTATTATATAATCCATGCTCATCCGAAGACGAGAGACTGGCTAGCCATTTTCAAAATATCATTCCAGAAATCGAAAATTTACTGGGGCTGAAGAAAGACTGCGACCTGCTTTTGAGAAATTTCTACCAAACTATATTTCCTCTTTATCCTTTTATGGATGTATGTATTTTCGAAGATGAACTCGAAACATTATTAATTGAAGATGAAACGAATATGTACAAGCTCAATGTCAGTGGAAGAGACGTACGAAAAAAGATAGAAACCGTTTCCTTACTATTGATTATATTGGCAATGTCTTTGAGGCAATCCATTCTCGATTCAAATCTGTTGACTGCCATTAGAAGGACCGCATCCAAAAGAGCCCAGCAAATATCTTTAACGTCCCACAGGCTATTGTGTCTCTTGGATGTCTTCCGATCTCCCAATGAAACTACATTCACATGCCTTTTGTATTTCACTTTTTCCGAATATTTGAATCAAGATGACACAGATACCGTGCTGACACCTACAAGGCTATTGGCTATCAAGCAGATTACTGATTTGGCTATCACTTTAGGGCTTCATCACGATCCTTCAAAGTTTAATCGTCTAAAAAATCCTCAAATAATAAGGCGCAGGCGTATGCTTTGGCTGGGGGTTCAGTCCTTGAGATATCAACTTTCAATCCCAGAAGGTGAGTGGGATTACACTAACAACTGGAATATGAAAAATTTCTCGGCAGCTATGGATGCCAGTAACGGTTGGAATGATACTTCTACAGACTATATGGGCAATTTTCGCAATGGCATTCAAGGAATCTTTCAAGACAAAGTCGAATTCCATATGCTACTCGCCAAAATGGTTTCGAACTGCATTCCCTTAGAAGAGCATGCGTGTCTTTCGAGAATATTGGACAGCATTGGGAGGGTAGAAGAATTTATGTCGCAGGTGTTCCCTGTAGACGCACTCAGACTACCGCAAAAGCATCATACTTTGAATTTCATACGCAATTCGCTACTTGATATAGATGCGATAAAAAACACTGAAATATTTCTGGCAAATATTATTGGAGGGACATGTGTTCTCAATGTGTGGGATACGCTGTCAGTATGCTTCGAGAAAAAATGTAAAATGAATTGGGAGGAGAATGAAGCTGCGTATCATTACTTTACTTTGAAGGCTTTTGAGGAATACTTGAAGTTGGCAGGTATTATCTGTGATTACCTTGATGATAGAATTGGGGGGAAAATCCTCAAAGAATATAGCTATGCTATAGATAAACAAGTTTGTTTCGCCCTTGTGAGAGTTTGTTTATTTCATATTAGGATTCTTTTGAGACTATGTTTCAAAGCTGACTCAAGAAAGACCTCCACAACACCTGGGCAACAGGAAGACGCTCTCGTGCAAATGCTAACAAGCTATATGCGAAATCAGTTGGTTCACATCACGAATTTGGCCTGCAAAAGACTTGAGGAATGCTACCTTTGCACTTTCCAAGCTGTTCCAATACTCAGATATATTGTGCATGCCATTGACTCTGGAAGCTTAGTATCTGTAACGAAAATTTTTTGGGAAAAGACTACAATCGACGGGGAAATTCCTAAACATGTTGAACAAAAGGTAAGTCTTAAATGGGGGTTAAACCGAGGCAATTGGGTTTCAATTGAACGACAGCTAACAAGCGCGCGTACCTTACAGAGTTTCAATGAGGTCTTGTTGAAGCGATTAGAAAACGCAATATACTCGAATTCTTTTGGAAAGAGTTCTATTACTGTCGTAACTCAAGATATGTCATCTGAGTATATCAATTCCACTGGAAATGACGCTCTAAATCAATTTATGCAAAATAATGCCGATATTCTTTGGGATATCTTATTTGACAACGACGTAGGCGAAGACCGTCCATCTCAAAGTTTTGGGCAAGGTCCTTGATTGGACTGCTGGCAGTCTTTAAGATTACCTATTTTTGCCGGGTGGGTTAACGACAACGATTCGAACGGGCAAAGTTCGTTCTCCACTTGATTTCAGTAGTTTTCTGTAATATATAATTTCTATTCGTTTAGAATTTCTATTCGTTTCCCCCGCGTGTCCGTGACATGTTTGTTGATTACTTCATTGTATAACCATTCCACTTAATGACAATATGCCTCCTGTTCTTTTGGCGGCACAATGTTTTGGAGAACTTAGTATGCTATATGCTATCTAAATGGATAATACGCACGTTGGTAGTGTTATGTGCATAATCAGCGCCTTCTTTTTGGACTCTAATGCTCGAGGTAATTTATGCGCTGGACGATATCCTCAGGCATGCAATATAGGACGTAAAGTCTTTTAGAGTACGTATTTAATCAAAGAAATATAGGTCTATCAAATGTAGTTGGCGCGCATATCTTCCAAGAGACCCATCTCCCTCGGATACCAACGTAACTCAGTGCGAGTTTTTTCACTTGAGACTTGAACATCTCTCGATAGAAACATTGTCATGAAACTGAACTGTTTTGAAGCTTCCTCAGGAGGCACAGAAATGAGAGGTAAAGTTAAACCTGTGCCAATAGCCTGAGCTATGCTTTTGGTTGAGACACTTTCGGCAACAGCGTGATACACCCCGCCAGCACTTCCATGTTCCAAGGCTATACTGAACAAACGTGCTGCATCGAGACGATGAACTGCTGGCCAGGAATTATGTCCATCTCCGATATACGCCGAATTTCCCGAAGATCTCGCAATTTCAATAAGAGAAGGAATAAATGCATGATCTCCTTTCCCATGAACAGATGCTCCTAATCTTATGATCATTGTTTTGACGCCTTTGTCTTGGTACCCCAGGATTAATTCCTCTGTGATAGCGCGGGTAACTTGAACTTCTGGATCCCTCCTAATGTCTTCATCGCAAAGTCGACCTTCTGGTAGCCATAATAGCCCATTCGCGTAAACAAAAGGTTTATTGGTGCCGCGCATCGATTCTAACATGCAAAGAACGGCCGTCTGATCAATTTTGCAGCATTCCTCAAACCTACTAAAATCATGTATGAACCCAAGATGAATAACGCCATCGGACTGCGTTACACCCTTTTTTAGGGACTCGTGGTCGTTCAGATCGCCGTAAAGCACATCAACTCCAGAGCCAAATGTTCTCAATTTATTAGCAGACTCTTCCGACCTTGCCAGCGCTATGACTCTATGACCAGACTCGAGAAGCTCAGAAACCACAGCAGAGCCAATGAAACCCGTTCCGCCAGTAATAAACACTTTCATGCTTGTTTGAAGCTGGTCATTAAAGGGAAGGAGAACAGAAACCGAGTAACTGTGACAGCCCTTAAGTAGAAAACTTCATTCAGATTCAACCTATGCATTACAAATGGCACAGAGCTGCCACGACCGCAAGACGGAGATCACAAACAAGCTTCCGGCATCCGTAGTAGATTTTTTTCGTCACTTAATTCAGATGACTTAGGTGGAAAGGAGCAATTTTTGGCATAACGTTCCGCGGAACATGCTCCGCGTCTGCTTACTAAATGCTATTTGTAATCGTAAGTGGGAATAAAATTAACATAGCTATAACGCGGTCATCAGATGCGTTTCCTTAGAAGGCACAGAAGAAAATTAACACCAGAATATAGCGGTATCATTTTTTAGCTTGATCGACGTGAGTTCATTGGGCTAGCTTCGTCGTACCTTGCAGTAAGAATGATGAAAAAATTTATAATCATTGGCTGAAAACGATCGAAATTTGGGGGATGACGTTTAAATTCGTTGATAGTTATTATTCTTAACGATAGAGGAGCTGATCCAGAAATACGGAAACTTCAACAGCGTAACCGTAAATATGCGATTGAAACGAACGTAAGTACTGGCACAATCTAGCTTTTAGTATACTAGCTTCTAGTAAAATTCTTGAATCTATCTACACGCAAACGACTTGATCGTTTTCTAGAAATTAATAGCATAGATATAAGACAAGAATTATTTTCTCGAAGACATATTTCCAAATTACTGACACTTACAAGTAAGGCTTACAAACAATTTGGAGAATGATTTTTTTCATCTTCGGCTGGAAACTATAATAGTAAGCATATGCAGTACTCAATAACTTGTGTACTCTTTTGAAACTTTACTCTCAGACTTATTGGAGATTATCCTACATTGGGGATAAAATCACGTGAAAGACCTCGTTGAAAATTCACAATATTGCTCTAGCTTCAACTTCTCTGTTGCACTCAATAATATTTCTGAAGGATATGGTATGGTATTGATCTTGCCAAATGATTGAAATTCAGCGGGGATCACAAAATATCCATTTTGATAACATCAGAAAAGTGCTTCTGCAGTGTCTGTGATCGAGAACGTAACTATTGAAGAAAATGGATCACACTTTTTGTCCTTTTTGACATTATAGCTGTTTCCTGCATCAACTTGATAGACGACTCTTTGTTTTTTAAGTTTGATAACTGTTTAAACATGTGCAGCTTTTCAGTAGTTGCATGCTATCTTTATCATATACGTTGGTGATATAATGACTCCCTACAAACAATCTTGCTGCAGAAAAAGCTGACGGCTCAGAATATGCAGGTTAACGAAGCACGCTGCTAACGTCGAGTACTAATAAGCTCTCTGTGTTGTCCATGTAAATTACTAGAACACAGGGTACACCCCATCATAAAAGCCGGATGGGGCGAACGGAATGTGGTACCTTCGCCTTGTAAAAAATATTGCATATCTGCATCGAATTGATGTACTCGTTTATGGTGATACTTTGAGTATTTTGTGTGCTTTGTAAGGCACATCGAATTAGTAATAGGACAACAAACCTGAATTTGTTATCAGTAAAGGCGATAAAAATACCAGCAAAGCACTATATTAATATATCATCGATAAATGGAACAGAGTTAACAATTATAAATATGTGCATATTAGCAATGATAGTGGTCAAGAGAATACTTTAGGTGGTAGATCTACACGGTCAGCAAAAAGAAACAAAGAGCAAGAAAGATAATTTAGACATGGAAAGTCGATCAAAAAATGTGGTAATTCTTGGAGCAGGTGTATTTGGTGTGTCAGCTGCAAATCATTTACACAGGGAACTAGATTCTAACACTTTTAATGTAAAGCTCGTGGCTGTATCCGATTATGTGTATTTTTTGCCCTCTGCAATACGTTTGACGGTTTCGAAGGACTATACGAAATCCATCATGCCCTTGAAAAGTGTTCTTGACGATGGAGTCGAGGTTATCAAGGATAAGGTAATCAGCTTTGATGCGAAAAGCGTGGAATTGGAATCAGCAGATACTATCGAGTTCGATATCTTGATCATTGCGACAGGTTCACAATGGCCTGATCCAATTAGTTCATTGTACACATTCGGGAACGATTACGAAGCGTACTTCGAGAAAATGGCTTCTCAGATTTCAGATGCCAGCCACATAGTTTTCATAGGGGGGGGGGTTTGTTAACTGTGAGCTAGTTGGTGAACTATTGTTCCAGTACTCAGATGAGATCAATTCTGGCAAAAAACGCATTTCGATCATTCACAACTCTGATAAGCTGTTGCCGGATTCGGGTTTATACAGTGATACTCTGAGGAGAAAGGTGACAGACTACATAACTGAAAGTGGTGTTAAGCTGTACTTGAATACAGTAGGCACTTCTTCTGAAACCTTACCTAACCGCATTTTCCTTAACAAGGACTCTTCGAACTATGTTGATGCCGATTTGATTTACAGAGGTGAAGGAATGTCGCCTAGTGTACCTTTGAGTGATTTTTCGGACCTTTGTGATAAGAAAGGATTCATTAGGGTCGAAAAGAACTTCCAGGTTAAAGCTGTTACAGCTGGAAACGTTTTTGCTATTGGAGACGTCACAAATTTCAGGTATCATGGATTGATCAAAAGAAATAACTGGGTTGATGTTTTGACACACAATGTTGTGAGTCTCCTGCGAGAAGGAAAAAAGGCTGTTTTCGTTGACGCAGATAGCTTTGAGTCAGGACATCCTCCAACAGGCGTATCGCTCGGCCCAAATGCAGGGTTTGCTCAAATGCCTTTACCGTTGCTTGGTACCATCTTTGTCCCATCTTTTATAGTTTCTAAAGTGAAGTCAAAGGAACTTCTTTCCAACAAAATGGAATCTATATACAAAAAATAAAATAAAACACCACAGTAATTTTGCAAAATAAAAAGTGCCACTTGCTGAAAAAGAATAGATCTCCTGAACTCAAGGTCAGTGTACTTAGAAATTCTTCTCGATATCTTCATAAAGAATCCCTTTTACCAAACCCTTGGTTACAGAAAACTTTTTTCATCCGTCGCCATTCAAGTTTGCAGGGCATCTTAACTCATACAAAGTCACATGCTATTATATACATTCACATAGCAGCATTTGTTTGAAGAATAAAACTTATCTGTCGCATGATGTTGTCTCCATCTGATCAGCTTAGGTGTATGAGGAAATAAGATAATAGATATGCACACGAATTCAGAGTCTCAAATTAGTTGCAGTTTGGTGTGGTTTTTGGATTTATTATATATGTAGCAAACCCGATAAAATACTACCCTAAATTCGTAAAGCAAATGTATTCATATAGTTCGGTATTTTTATTTGCAAATATATCATTTATCTTCGGGCTGAGTTGAGTATAAGGTATGATTTTTAACAGAATGTAGACTCAACCTCCTCTGATTTATGCTAATGTTGAATACCACTTATATGCTATGTCAATTCTGTTCAAAATGATCCACAAGAAGAATAGTAAATACTAAATTGTATTATTGAGGAGAATTTCGATGGGATACGGTAAGAACTACTAGCTCTATAAGAAAGAACCAGAAAGCGAGCTTCGAGAGAATGTGCCCAGAACACAAGCATGCAGATTTTTACAACCAACTGATTTCAGTTATCAACTGGTGGCTGATATTAACCGAATTTTGACGTTAATCCGCAAGCAATACGAAAAATAACAAATTCTTTCCAAATCCAGAGCTGTTTTCTATCCGACGGGAATCAAACCATCGTTGAAAAAATGAGGCCGAATAAACCCTCGAAAACAATGCTCGAACCCCTATGATGTTAGTTTATCTTCAAGAATCTGGATATTTTTCTATCAGTTACTTCTTCCTCATCTTAGGTGGCAATTATTGGTTTTTCATACGTCAGACCAATAGATTTTCTTCTGTCTGAACTATCTCCTAGACACCATTGAAATTTTGGTGTTGGCACTCATGTTAAACACAGCTAATTGATTTTTGTATATATTGTATTGATGATAAACTTATCGAGTTCTCCATTTTACACAATCTACATATATTTTAGGCATATGCTCTTTTTGAAGAACCCTTTCGGTTAGGAAGTAATGCAATATTTCCATTTTGTGGAAGTAGATAGATGCCTAAACCTCCAAAACCGAACGTCAGCCATTCAGATTATTGGGCTTCTAAGCACAAGTGTGGCGTGAATCCTGAAATCTCGCTCAAAAGATACACTTAATCTTTCGCATATTTCTAGTTTCATGTTGAACCAGAAAATTTTCTAGTAAGTTAATTTTAAATTAAGCATATGTTGTATATCATACTCAAGAAATTAACTACCATCAGATATTCTAGATGTATAGAAATAAATGGAACTCATTATAGGATTTAATTATGTATAGAAATAGATGGAACTCATTAAAGGATTCAATTTATTGTAACGGCACCTTTGTTAAACGCAGTGGCGTAAATTATTTCTATATCAAGTCAGTATGACTTCGGCTTCATCATTCAGTCTCTACTTATACGTTGCTCTCGAGATTTTTCTCAACTTATGGGTTGAATGAATTACACTTTACTTGCATGAAATGTCTTCGGATTTTAATTCTATTATGTTCACCGGTGACTTACTCGATCGTGATTAGAAAAGGTACAAAAGCACTAATTTTAAAGCTTAGTCCAAAGGCCTAGTAGAATTGACATTAATTGACATCAGTTCCGGGGAAAGTTTGACCAAAGTTTATTATTGTTGGAGCGTATTGTTTTAACAAACCTGCTTAAGGGACGAGCCACGATAAATTGAATTAGACGAGGTGTGGTATATCTATGACCGTGTGAAAGCTAGTGTACATGGTTCGTTTTTAAGGAAATGGGCTTGATAAATAGACGAAAGGCGATTTTATCAAATTTCAAACGTCGAAATAGATCTTTATATGATATAATAATTGTTCTCAAAAATTATACGTGCTTCAATAAGAAACATATTAGCAAGAATTTTTAACAATTCCATATCAGGGATGAGGATCAGCACCTGCATCATTTTAGAAAAGATTCCAAAATATATCAGCTTTTATCTTTTGAGCACTGATTTAAAATTCATCTTCAGCAAAACCTGGATATTCCGATAGAATTTCTTGATATGAAGACGTTCTGCAAGCATTTCCGGACTTGTATGATTCACATTTTTTATTTTCGTCAATAACACCTTATTAAAGCATTTGCAGAGCATACGGGCATGTTAACTGTCTCTGTATAATGCTCCAATTGCTTGAAGCTACTCCCAATTAATGCTAGTTTTCTTTTTAATATGCTTGAGAACTTTCCAAGTAGCTGAAGTCTTTTCTCAAGAACTCCTCGTGAGCGAAACTATACTCTTAGTCTCAGTTACATAAACTCGACGTTTAAGCACTTACGCGACTTGAAAGGTGCATAAATTGCATTCCTCAAATATTCTGCTGGAGAAATCAATCATTCAACTTAGGTTGTTTTCCATATATCTTGTTACCTTTTCTAGAATAGTGGTTTCATCCTCTCTGCAAGCTTCGGACTTTTTGACTGTCTCTCTTTTAAAAGAGAGTCTCAAAAGGACTCTTGCTTGGAAGAATTAAAAACTTAAAATGGCAAATCAAATATCTTTTCTAATAGCATATCCGTAATCATCCTCAATCTTCATATCAGGTTCATTAGTAAAGTTTTTCAGCGATGGGAGTTGCCAGTTCCAAGTATTCATCAAGTGCCCTCAGAGTAAAACAGTGGTAGGCAAGTTCACTTTCTTCCTAATCACATTCACAGTATTTTTCGAAGCTAATCGTAAGTGTAACCGAAAAATTAAGCATTGGAGGACAGCCTATAATGTTAGCCAATGATATTTCCAAACTTTTGATTTTTTAGATGTCAAGTATCGGCTCCTAGCAAAAGTCGGTGATCCGGGCTTTGGCAAATTAGTGATATTGTGACAATAATTCTTCGACCCTACCAAGACCCTTTAAATTACTTGAAAGTTTTGGACGGCCATGAGGAGGAGCATATTCAGATAAAAAATAAGAACACTATATGATCGCTTTCACGGAAAGTAGAACGATCTATTAAAAATCATACTCAGGCATGTATACTGTCATACTTATATCTTTATGTATGTTCCATTGTATCAATGTTCATATATTCTCATTTGATGAACACTTTGTCTAAAACAGATTTAATCTTCTCAGCAGACTTTCTCGCCAGCTCCATTTCTCGCTCATTAATGGTTAAAGCACCGGCCGGATACGCGCCGCCTCTGTTGAGCTTAGTAGGTACACTCAAAGCCACATGGTCAATCCCAAAATGAGCTCCCACTGTCGAAACGGGTAGAACATGATCTTCATTGGCTAAAATTGCCCTCACAATGCGGAGCAGTCCAGCCGCGATTCCGTAAGAAGTACAACCCTTGCGCTTGATGATATCATAAGCAGCATCGCGCGTCTGTTCGAAAACTTTTTGAAAAGCCTCCTCATCAAACTTCTGATTTGACTTCTCGCAATATTCGCGAAGCTTCATTCCTTTGATGTTTGTTAAAGACCAAGCAGCCACACTCGAATCACCATGCTCTCCGATTACACAGGCTTCGACTGTATTAGAAGGTACCTTGAAGTGATTGCCAAGGATGTGTTTAAAACGAGCTGTGTCAAGTACCGTACCGGATCCTATCACTCGGTGAAGAGGAAACCCTGATGCCTCGTAGCTAACGTATGTAAGGACATCGACAGGGTTTGTGGCAATTAATAAGATGGTATCTGGAGCATTTTGGGCGACATTAGAAACCACGTCCCGCATGATGTCAGTGTTCTTCGCTGCCAGATCCATCCTTGTCTGACCATTTGTTTGGCTTACCCCACAGGTTATTATAACAATATCTGCATCTTTACAGTCTGAATAGTTTCCTGCCCGTGCGCTTGCCCAAGAGGGTGCTGCATGGTTTAAGTCCATGCTCTCCCCCTCAGCTTTCTCCCTATTTACGTCAATTAATACCAAATCATTCACAATACCACTTAAAATCAAAGTATAGGCGGTAGCAGAACCCACGCTACCAACACCCACTATCACAATCTTGATTAGTTTTGCATGTTCCACTGTTGCTCTCATAGACTTATCTTGATACATTTCGTTTTATATGGTTGATGAATCAAAGGTAGCTTTCAAAATTAAGTTGGAATAGTGGTGTCTTTTATATGTTTTCTCTGATCTAGAATTCTCAGTATTTCTGTAATGTGCCGTTTAAATGCAAGTTACTGTAAGTGTAAGTGCATAATTAGGGAGTAAAGTCAGCATGTGCATTATGATCTGATATTGATGGAAACCGAATCATAACATGAGAAAAAGCACATTCAGCCAAAAGCAAAGAAAAGCAATCGTATCTTCATGTTGTTTGGTAAAGATTTGTGTAGTCACTATAGTCATCAATTCTTCACTCGTCAAATAACACCATTGCCGCTACCGAGTTGGCTATCAATTCGGGCTTCTGATGCTTCATGCTCGAGAGTTCGATAATACCCTTAATTTAATTACTTTTTTGGTACGGCATACCTGCAGATAGTTTATGTAAGCCCCCTTGGTCGTATACGATATGGATAAGTGTTTCATGGCTGTGCATACATGCAATGTAATAGCTAATAATGAAGTGCATATTATCTTGCGCCCATAGGGCTAAGCAAGAAAAACTTGTTCTGGGTGATATGGCAAGAGCGATTGGAGCAAATAAGAGCAGTTTCCTCGTTCCTGATTTTCAAATCCTGTTCGAATGACTAGAGGAAATTTGACTCAGAAAACAAGTAGTTCAAAAGTAAAGCCGCATGTGACATTTCTTTTCTCATCTATGTCACTTAACCAAATCAAAAGCCGGCGTGTTGCCACCACGAGATCGAAAAATCTAGATGGTCCATTTCCAACACGCTTAGAAGAAGCAGAGAAAAAGCATATTTCAGGTTTGACATCTCGGTGTTTGATTAATTTACGAATAAATTAAACACAGGGTGATTCTAAATTACGAATGAAAGTGAAATGAGAACAGGTGATACGAGAACCGTGATTCAGCAGGTTTTGAAAAGGGTTATCGCGCTGGTTACTAATATCTACGCCATAGTATACGAATTTGTGCACAAATGGGTGGCGTACTATTTGGACAGTACATCGGGGCCTAACTAAAGGTTTTGTTTCCTAGATGCATATGTTTTAGCTCAATTTGCACGTGAGATGTGAAAGCAAATGCCGAGCAAATGCCGAGTAGATGCCAAAAAAAACTGTTGAACTCTGATTACGCAAGGCTAAAAACTAGGTCTGAATCCGGCTATGGCGCCTCATCTAGAAAAAAAAAAATGCTGAGTCAAAAATTGGCATGCCATGCCCACCAAAATCGAAAGTTCTTCAAATACTTGGTTCTTTTATTGCAATCACGTACTGTACGTTTCTAAAAGTGTTTTAGTCTTAAAAGTTACTCTTAAGAGTTACTCTAAGACGAATAGGAAAGACACTACACCATGAAACTGATAAGTAGAATATACTGGTCTGTTTCAACATGCATCTAATTGTTGAATAGGTGAGGTAACCATAATACTTTATGAAATCCAATGTACTCTAATTGGTATCATACTTCATTTATGGTCAAATGAATATTTTAAAAATACCTGGTCATCAATTGAGTACGTTTTAGCAAAGACCTTCTGATGAAGAATAAAAGTTGGTAAGCTATATAAAAATATCTTACACTCATATGCTTATGGCCGCCCGTGTGTTAGTGAGCCAATCAAGAGATATATATGCTGTCTGCAATTTATTTCTTGGGCACGAACGCAGCTTGGCATTTTCTTGGAAATACTACATGAAAATCAGATGCACCGTCTGTCCCTTTCACGAATCTTACTTCTTTCCAACAAAAAGAATGATGTTCATGCCAGGCATGAAATCTGAGCGTACGCTTTCAAGGCACGGATCAAAAGAGTTGGCAATCTCTGGTGCTAGGTAATGAAAACACATAGAAGGCTCGATGCAGTTGTGACTGAAAACGCTAACCTTAAAGCTGCCCTTTTATTCACTATAATGGTCAAAAAAAGCCACTATCATGGAATACCTTGAGATATTGGCTATAGGTTCATTCTAATATATGATGCATGTGTATATCTATGGTCTTAGATAATAACGTACATATTGCAAAGCAACGGCCCGATGGTGCTTACGCTGGATCGTTGCAAATGTCGAGCACGTACGAGATTGATCGCCTTGAGTATAGAAGAACAATACATCTTGCAACCTATGATGTTGAATTCACATGCGCTCTTTCATACCTTGGTCTTCCAATACCACCCGTTACTTTCATTAGTGTTAAATTTCCTTCCTTTCTTTTTCATAACAAATCCATGAGCTAATTTGAACCAAGGTAGATAATTGAATATAATTATAGCACTGGAACTACTTCCTCTTTGAAAATTGCCGCAAAATCTAATGGTAACAGCATCTGTTGAAATCTGTTGTTCTTTTTTTAGTGAATACAGTAACTTGACGGCAAGTCCGCTTCGGAGAGCCAAAGTGAGTGGCATTTACGCTCCCTTCCTAATTCCTAGTACCAAGAATTTGAATGACTTCCAGCCATCTTGAAGCTACTTACAGCCCATTTCCGTGGTCTGGCGGTACAGATTTAGCCTTGGTAGTTTTCGTACCTGAGTTTTGTAGTTCTTTTAAGGCGAACTATGGTCAGGGGGTTGTTACAGAGTTTGCACAATGACGGAAATTATTCAGTAGAATTAACATTTCCTTGATCCAACAACCTATTGGAGAGTTTCCTCTTGTATGCGACCACGCGGAGGCTCTAATTATATTGAAAGGTATTCAATCATTCTACAATGGAAAGAAACATCGTTGAATGGTGATTGAGTTCATCATACTTCTAACAACAATGATATCCATAGTGGGTAGACTGAACTCCATCCTCAAATTGTCTTTTAAAGACCTTTAAACTTTTCATGAACAGTTTTAATATTTTTTTTTTTGATTTAAATATTCGTTGTTGCTTAAATATAGTCTTTGGGGCTAAAGTAATTTTAATTTTAAAGCAATATAATCATAGCTAAATCGGAGATGCATAGGAAATTATTGGGCGTTCTCTATGCGACTTAACGGGAAATCTAACTATGAATTCAAATCCAGCTTGAATGTCATCAGTGTCGCAAAAAGGTCTTGACATGAGTTTTCTCCGACAATACTGTTGGTATATTGAAGATTGATATTCCAAATATTCTATCTGTTAGTCTTTGATACATTTCAAGTAGTTTCTAGATCAAATACTGGATCAACTCATCTGAATTTAGATAATAATGAAGTAAAGCCTATTCAACTCTGATAAGGAGCTGGTGTGATATTCTTATTCAGTAGAAAATAGAAGAACATTGGTAATATCAACATATAATTATTTTGTAAAATCATCGTGACCATATTAATTTACGTATTTGGATCCGATTAGCAATTTGATATCTGATATACTCTTTAGAAAGAGCAAAAATCAAATAAGTTGTCAAGAATCTAGAGAAAGGCTATCACAGGAGAAAAAACTTCGCTAGTGAAACTCACATAAGAAGATTAATTGTAGAATAAACGACAAGGTGAATCCTAACATTTAAAAGCTTTGCCCACTGGTTTTTCTAAAGAGTCATTGCTAGGCACTTTTAATATCCACTAGAGTAGATGTATGGTTTTTTCTTCTTTTTTTGTCTCTGTTTATAGCTATTAAAGAACGTTCAAACTATACTGCTAACGAAGCCGTTTGCCACCACCCGGTCGATTAGTCATGTCTAATACATAAGCCTTTATGAAGTCTTTGAATACACGACCTGATTTGGTGCTCAGTTTTTCGAGCGATTTTCGGGCGATGAAAACTTTTTATAAACATTCAAAGAGATGATATTTATTTTTCGAGTTTCTTAGCTTTATTTTTCGAGTTTCATAACTTTATTTCATGAAGTATTTTATGAGGGTCTCTCCCTGTTGGTCCGAAGTAAAAATTCTACACATAGATCAAGAATCTCATATGATGAGAATACCCCTGACATCCTGACCTTCTGTACACAGTTAGCTCTAGCTGCCTGGTATGCACTGCCTAAAAAAAAGGCTGCATTCTATTTAGATTCAAAACAACAAAATTTAGCTCTTGTTGAAGCGTCCACATGAGTCGCATACTACTTTGAGCATAATTCAGAACTTAGCATTAGTCTTCGAGGACACAGTATATCTAAATTAAGTACTTCACACATTCAAATATACGGTGTTATATCATTTCGATAGTCCTATGTACGCTCTGCTTTCTTTTATTGATATTCAGAAAAAGTTTTCGGTTATTTGAGCTTCTTTAATTATCTATTCTAAGGAGACCTTTGAAGTTATGCTTCCTATTGACAATAAATCACTGGATTCTAATTAGCCAGATAAAGTATACATTAAGCTCAATAAGGAAATCGACCCATGAAACTTGCGTGTATCTTGTTGCACCACCTTGAATACCTTATCAGCTATTGTTTAAAACAAATAAGTCGCCTATGCAAAATAATAGCAATTGTTGCATGAAATATATCTTAAAGGGACCATCTCAAATACGACATGTTATGCCTTCGACTTCTATTATAGTATTTTATAATGGGACAGTTTAACTTTACTATTGCCTTGAACAAATTCTAGCTCCATAACCGCCTCCTCCGGGCGTGTTTATTTGCACTCGGTCTCCGGCTAGTATGTTGAAAATCTCTTTGTTACCGATTTTGGTGACTGAGTATGTACCATCTTCAAGTCTTCTCAACCAGTAATTTTTGCCTCTTGTTCCACCTTCTCCTCCATGTAAGCCATAAGGAGCAAAAACCCTTCTCTCAGATAGGATGGAAACTCTGAGTGGTATTCTCGCCTCAATCTCTCTCACGCAGCCGTCACCTCCGCAGTACTTTCCACTTCCTCCAGTTCCTCTTCTAATTTTCCATTCAGTAACCACAACGGGGGTTCGAGACTCTATGACCTCTATGTCGGTAGTCCGTGTATTTGTGCAGTGCACATTGCACGCATCCGCCGCTTTTCCCCCCCATGGACCCGCACCTACACCTCCGCCTATGGCTTCGGCATAAGTAAATCCCTTTTGTACCTCTCCCGTTATAGGATCTTTACCTCCAGTACCGAAACCAAAGCTATTGGCGCAACCTTGAGAAGCAGCACATGATCCAAAAGCTTTTAAGAGAACGTCTGTGATTCTCTGCCCTGCTATTGTCGAGCCACAAATGGCAACAAATTCGGTTGGATTCAAGATACTTCCTTTAGGGATATTAAACTTGCAAGGTGCTAGGCATCCTTGATTGAGAGGAATTCTCTGATTAATGAGGCATCTTAACACGTATATTACACAAGAATACGTGATAGACGGTGGTGAATTCATGCATCCATATACTTCTTCTTCCGTTCCGTCAAAGTCAAAGAGAGCCTCCCCCTCTTCAGGGTCAATTGTTATTTTCACCTGCACTTTCGTACCGTCATCGAAATAGTCAGTTGCACACAATGCCTTGTTCTTGTGAATGAACGCTTGATCACGAAAGAAGTTCCGAACGGCAGTTTCAGCATTCAATCGTATAGCCTTCATATTATACTCAACAACGTGAAATCCATGTTCTTTGAATAGATCTTGTACTAGGTTAATTCCTCGCTGATTAGCACTAACTTGAGCTTTAAGATCGCTAATATTATGCTCTATGTTTCTAGTCGCGCTAGATCCTGGATAATTTGCAGCCTCGTCAAATAAAGCTCTCACGCCATCTTCATCAAATTTGCCAGCTTCAACGAGTTTAAAGCTTTTAATGGAAACACCCTCCTGCCATAATTCCTTGGAGTTTGGCATCATGGCAGTAATTCCAATACCACCAATGTCTTGATGATGTCCCCTACTTGCGACATAAAACACAACTTCCCCGTCATTGAAAACTGGAGTGATGACGGTGAGGTCGGGAAGATGAGTACCACCAGCCTCAGGATGATTACTCAAAAGTACATCACCAGGAGCTAGCCGACCTTTCCACAACTTGTGCTGGTATTCAATTGCATATTGCATAGATCCCAAGTGGACAGGAATATGAGGTGCATTCGCGACCAAACCGCCATCAGAACTAAAAATTGCACACGAGAAATCTAGTCTTTCTTTAATGCTTGTACTAATACTCGTCCTCTGCAACGTCCTGCCCATTTGCTCAGCTATCCCCATGAATCTATTGCCAAAAACACTGAGCAAAGCTGGATTTGATTTTCCAACTTCAACATCACTCTCTTGTTTGACGTTTTGACTAGCTGTGTTTCCAATTTCTATGACTACAAAGTTGGATGTAATAATTGCTTCACAATCGTCTTCAACTAACAAGGTCTGTGTTTCTGCAGTTATAAGGGCAGGTCCTGTGATAACACTTCCACCTTTGAGATCCTTGAGACGATACACATTTGTTAAAGTAGGTTTTTTCCCAAAATATATTTCCTGCTGACCAGTAGGGACAACTCCTTTCAGTCCCCTTTCTCTAAAAAACGCTAGCTCCTCTTTGAAACTTTTGTTCACCCTTTGAGTTTTATTTTCATAGATACCCTGCACACGGACATAGTTGATCAGTATTTTGGTATTCGCAGGGGGGAGGAACCCAAACTCTCGCTTGTGCAGTTCGAAAAATACCTGTGCGAGGCACTCGTGGTTTGAATCTTCTTGAAATGGAACCTGCAATATAGTGTTGGAGCCCTTAAATTTTAATCCTAAAGTTTTCTCAAGCACTAACCTTTCATCAGAAACACATGAGTTTTCACGACAAAATAGTTCCTTAACATTGTGAGCCATCGCATCCAACTTTATTTTGCAATCAGAGAGAGAAAGGTCTCCAAGAACCCCGCTAAATGGTTCTTTTGTTTCATGTGTACATTTTGCGAGTGCCATTCCGTAAGCCGAGAGAACAGAAGAATAATTATGTATCACCACTCTGCTTATTCCTAAAATTTTGGCCACAGAGCAACAATGCTGACCACCAGCACCTCCAAAGGCCGTCAAGACGTGATCTTTTGTTGAGTATCCTCTTGCCTCTGAGATTTCACGGATACTCCTTGCCATTGTTTCATTTGCTACATCCAAGAAACCCAAAGCTACCTCTTGTGCAGTTAAGTTCGTGTTCATTTTCTTATTGACCTGATCAGTTAACTGCTGAAATTTCTTGACCGTAGCATCCTCGTCTAAGGGCTCATTTGCGTTCATTCCAAAGATCTCTGGAAATTGGCTTGGATCCAATCTTTTTAAAATCAAGTTGGCATCCGTAATAGTCAAAGGACCTCCTTTCCTATAACAAGCAGGGCCTGGATTCGCACTAGACGATTCGGGGCCGACGTGAAACAAATCGTTTTCGAACTTTAAAATACTCCCGCCACCTGCAGCTACCGTATGAATTTGTAGTTGCGGAGCATGGATATCAATGCCAGAAATAGTATTCTCGTACACTATTTCGTGATTTCGGTGAAATCTATACACATCGGTTGATGTGCCACCCATATCAAAACCAAGAACAGGCGTCTTACCATCATCAGCTGTTTGAGCAGATCCGACCGCCCCTCCTGCAGGTCCTGATAGAATTGAATTAAGCCCATTAAAGTCTTTAGCCTTGACCAAACCACCATCTGATTTCATGAACTCTATGATGGGAGGGTTTTCAAAAGAGCTGAAAAACCGCTTGACGTAATTTTGAATCTTTGGAGTCAAGTAAGCATCTATACAAACAGAATTTCCTCTGTTTAGCAGTCCTATTGATGGGGCTAACTGTGACGAAAGGGAAATGAATTCATAACCGATTTCTTCAGCGATTTCTTTAACCTCTAGCTCGTGGATGTTGTATGTAAAGGAATGGGCTAAGCACACAGCAATATTTCGGTATCCCCTCTCATACAGGTTTTTCAAATCTTCATGAGTTTTTGATCGGTTGAGCGGCTTCAGAACCCGGATGTAGTGCCCCGAATGCGTTAGAAAAACCCCATTTTTTTCATCTGGACTTACGGCACTTTGATTTGGATCGTCGCTGGCTGTTTCAATCGTCACTCGTTCTTCAACTTCAAGAACCGCGGAATATAGTGGCTTTAGTTTCCTCACATTTAAATCAAAGAGATCAGGACGGGCCTGGGTACCAATTTCAAGAACATCGCCCAACGATTCAGAGGTAACATACAAAAACCGGTCACCTTTCTTTTCTAGCAAAGCATTAGTCCCCACAGTCGTACCCATCCTAATCCATTCGATAAGATCACCATTTAATTTGGCACCTTTTGAAATTTTGCTATCAGTGAAAATCTCCAGAACACGTCTAACGCCCTCCGCAGGTGCATCATTGTAGCTGTCCGGATCTTCTGAAAGAATTTTGAAAATCACTTCCCCCGTCCCCGGTATGTTTGCCCAAATATCTGTAAAAGTTCCACCTCTATCAACTGCTATTTGAACTTTGCTATTCATTGTTCTAGCGATCTTGTTTCCGCTTTGTTCAACGTGTTGTCAAGTTCCAACATCAACGAAAATTAAGCATCTAACTTCGTATGTCCCCTCCATTTAAAAGTTTTGCAGATCTATGAAAAGCTCAGTTTCCATTCAACTGGGCGGCCTTTCGAGAAGAGTTATTCTATGTAGTGGTAGTTCGAGCGGTGTCTTCTTACCGTGACTTAAATGGCTGCATTTCTACTCTTTTTGTTCCCCACTTTTCGACTGTCGGTGTTAAAATACCAAGAAAAAAAGGATCTTCCCCTCGAAGCTTATAATCATGATATTAGATTCTCATTGTTTGAAGTCACAGCGAAGTCTAAAGGAACGTTACAGCTACCTGTGGCATTTGATTATAGAGGACTTTGTGCCAAAACGGATTACATCGGCATCATGCAGCTAAGAACAAAACACCGTCACCAACTATTTAAATACCGTCGTAGTTGAATATTCACGTCTTGTCATGAAGGAGGTCATTTAAAGGAGAGGGGATCTATCAAGAATAAGTGTCGGGAAACTCCAAATGTCTGGTAGTGGAATTATTGCTCAAGCGCCAGTTTTGGCAAAAGAACCGATTGATATTGAAGTTACATCTAGTATCTCCCAAGAGCACAGAGAGCATGAACAAAGTTCAAAGAAACTCGGTATCTTTCAACCTTGGTACGAACCCGGCACAAGCTCAAGAGAAAAGTGGCTTATCTTCAAGTTGGATGTGTTTATACTAAGCTATTCTTGTCTGGCATGGTTTTTAAAATACCTCGATCAGCAGAATGTTACAAATGCCTATGCAAATGGCATGATGGAAGATATGAAGATGAACAGCAATCAACTTTCGTGGCTGAATACTTACTTTGCAATTGGATCTATTGTAGGAAGTGTCCCGGCAAGTATTTTAATAACCCATGTTCGGCCGAATATTTATCTTCCGGTCGTGGACTTTCTTTGGTCTCTGTTTGTTCTACTTTTGTACAAATGTACAAAAATAGAGCAAATGTATGCACTTAGATTTTTGTGCGGTTTTGCAGAATCCAGTGCAAACCCTTGTATTCATTTCCTACTTGGAAGCTTCTATAAAAGCTCAGAACTTGGTAGAAGATCTGCATTTTTCATTATCTCTGGGGTAATATCACAAGCTATTTCGTCGTTCATAATGAATGGTCTGGACCACAGTTTGGATGGAAAGCAAGGTCTTCCTGCCTGGAAGTGGCTTTTTATAATTGACTTTGTTATCGGGATGCCTATAGTTGTTTGGGGCTACTTCGCCATTCCCCAGTTGCCTGCTCGAGGAGCAAAGGCATTTTACTTGAACGAATGGGAACGTCAGCGAATCAGCGAGAGAATTGAAGAGGACGGTAGGACCCAAATTGACAAAAAATGGAATAAAAAAACTATTTGCGATGTGCTTGGCGCTTGGCAACCATGGGCTTTCACTTTGGCCTACTCTTTTTGGCAACTTACTGCTGCATCATACTCTATGCAGTTCTTTACTTTGTACTTGAAAGCAAAGAAAATTTACACTCAGACACAGATAAATTACATACCCGACGCGATAAGCTGTGTAAATCTGGTAACGATGATATCGAGTGGTATTGTTGTTGACTTGATAAGAAGAAGGTGGCCGGTTTGTCTTTTCGTCGGTCTGTTGCTGACGGTGGCATTTGCCATCCTGAGGTCTCCTAACGAAAGTGTTAAACTGAGATTCTTTGGTTACATCTTGACCGGAGTGTATGGTTGTTACACACCTATTCTTTCGGGTTGGGCTAACATAGCCTGTGGGAACGATCCAAAACTCAGGGCATTTTCTTTATCGATAATGATTGCAATTGGGACAGCCGTTGGCACCCCTTTTCAACAATATGTCTTCCCTAGTAGTGAGGCACCTTTTTATAATTCGACAAATGGTTTTTCTTATGCATTAGGATTTACGGTTCTTCTGACTATTTGGACTGGTGTGGGGCTTCCACTCATTGAGGCGCGATTTACAAAAAAGCTGACTGAATCAACTTCCTCAGAAATTGATAGCGAAGCGAAGGGTGATCAAATTTCCATGTGATCATTATCACCCGAAAATGATATGCGGAGTTTCATTCTATGATATTTAAGAGAAAAAACTGAGAGAAAGCTTTTAGAGCTCTTATTGTTTCTATCCTCACTCATCAGTTTAGAACAGCCATTTGAGCCTTTCTCTTGTCATTCTCGACCACTTTCACAGTTAAAGAAATCTTTTTTAAGTTAAAAGCTGGATCTATTACATAATTAATGAGCAAAATTTGCTAGTCATTCGAAATATGCGCCACTTCAAGCTTCAAGACCACATGGTATTATTTGCTAATCTTAAAATAAGCCAAACTAACAGAAATTAATTAGAAATCATCAGGTCAATGGCAGTGGCAACCTTGAAGAGTATTGCTGTAAATTAAGGATTTCCTGTGTTCTTTTGGAAAGCTAATTTGGATATATGCATTGAATTCATTTTTGGTAAAAAGACTTGATCCAGTACATGATTCCATCGATCGTAACTTCGGCCCTAAAAAGAACTTCTTTTCTATCTGAAAAATAAAGGCTATTTTCTTGTATATAATCCATGTTTAAAAGGTTGAACATCATTTTGTTCTAGTAGTTGCTAGTTGTTTAGATAGCCACTATGTGGCTAGTTGAGCACGTGAATATAAAATTGGTGTTTGCGTGTGTTGTACAGGTACGGGTGTTATGACGAGATACTTTTTACTGTGGTCATCGGTGCTACTAGAGACAACTTTGAAAACTGCAAAAGTCACCATGAGACACGGGCCAGAGGTGCAGTAAAAATTTTCCAGTTAAATGAATCATGTCAAAACACTAAAAAGCCACGCTTTTACAATACAATTAGGAGAATCAGCCACACCCTTTCGAGTGTAAATCACCGAGCGTATATCTGAAAGTGCAAGAATGTCAACTCGATAGGCTCTCTTTCATCTATTTTAATTTATGCAAGACCCAAAGATAACAACAATTTCAATATGTATTTCCAATATTATTCATCAAATTTGTTATGTAAGTAGCAATTCAAAACTCTGTTAGCAGAGAATCTAATTTGTTGAATTTATAGTTTCGGTACAGTTTACAGAAACAATGCAATAAATAAAACGATACGAGATCACCTTTGCGGGAATTTCCACTACATCTTGTGCTCGCTTCTGCTTTTGTAAACTTGATTTTAACGCTTTTTCGAACTCTCAAATGTATCACCAATAATTGTTAGCCTTAGCTGCAGTTTTTTGTACACATTTGAAGGTTTAACGCCACGAGCCTTCCTCGGTTTGAATAACACTTCATTAAATGTTTAATTCTCTGATGTTTTAAAAAAATGTGGTATATGTGGGTCACTCATACAGATAACATCTTTAGTCTCTGTTTACTTAATAACGTTCCTGGTGTTTCTTTGATCGACTGAAGCATTTGAAACACAATGAAAGTAAAATTCTGCGTCAGAAAATGTGATCATTCAAAGCTTAAAGTTATTTGACATACTTCCTGACGTTTCTACCTGCTTATAGTTATGGTTCACTTATTTCAAAGCGGATACACAAATTTCTCATTTTCAAGATCAGTCAGATCCAAAAGAGCGATGTTACCCTTGATTAGTGATGAAGACTCTATGCTCATACCTCCTATCACACCAACTATGACCTCTTCATTTGGGGAAATTGCTCTTCTCATGTTTCTTCTGGCCAAGATAAAGCGAATGGTAAGCGCAGATAATGGTGCCAAAAAAAAAGCAAAAATAATCTGGATTATCCATGCAGGATAGTATCGGGGTCCATCTTTTGCTCTCCAAATTTGTGGTGCAATTATATTGGACACTCCATATGAAAGCATTATCAGCGCATTTCTAGTCATTTTTTTTGTATAGCCTGAAGTTGATGTAGAAGTCCAGCTAAACATCAATATCCATGCAATACCCTTGGGCGCGCAAAGACAGATCATGGCTAGCAGTGCATAAGTTCTGTCCCAGTTAAGACTAACCATTGAAATACTGCCAACTAGTGGGAATAGAGACCAAAAAACTACCGAATATGCTGTTACATTATTTTTCTTTCCCATAATAATAGACGCAAGGATGGCACAAGTAACAGAGAAGCCACCATATGCTACTGAAACCAAAGTGGAACCTAATGTTGAAACCCCAAGCTGTTTGAACAATATCTTCTCTTGATATACAAGATTGTTTGATAGTTGATTACAGAAAAAGAAGGCGCAAAACAGCCAAGAAATAGGATCTTTTAACGCCTCAACAATTTGATATCTTTTGATGACCTTTTGTTCAATTGACGATCCTGTGGTTTTTTGAACCCTCCTAATTACCCAGACCTTTTCTTTCAAACTTAGAAACTTAGCATTAGTGGGGTTGTCTGGAAATAAAAGACACACCAAACCCGTAACGACAAGACTTATGGATGCAATTACAATCATAAATAGCTTCCAAATAGCAATTTTTGGCTTTATATGCAGTATCCCAAAGGCAATAAAACCAATCACTATTTCGTTTCCTAAGCAGGTAGTGTAAAATAAAGGAGCTGTCCAGCTTTTTTCATCTGCAGTCAAAAATTGGCTCATTGTGACGTTGAGAGCAGGTACAGCGATCGCTTCAACAAAACCAAGAAAAAATCTGAGGGTGTACACGCCTTGATAACTGCTGGCCACAGTATGAAGAAATATAATAAGGGACCATAAAAAGCTTAAGACTGCTACCACACGTCCCACGGGAAATTTTTGAAGCAAAATCAAATTGACTTGGCCCAAAATGTATCCCACATAAAATAATGTTGTCGAGTTATTATACCTATTTTGGTCCAAATTTGTATCATCCCACATACCAAAAATAGAGGTATACGATGCAGTGGCCTTATCAGCATAAAGTACAAAATCAACCAATGCGCATAATGGTACGATTATCCAAACTACTTTTCTCGACAAATGTTTCTCTTCCTCATCACTAATGTCAGGTACGTCGGCATCGTTTTCGATTAGAAAGCTCAGGGTGGCATCCACGTCACGTGATTTGATGACTCTCCCTCTGATGGGCTCGGTACTCCGATCCTCTATTCCATTTTCCACAATGTTAACGTGCAGTTTATCACTATTTACAAAAGAGGAGCCATCGGAGCTACCGGAGTCCCCAGACACTTGCAGTTTCATTTTCTTTATGGTTAGGAAACTCTAAATTAAAGCGGGTTATCGACAGATACTCGTAAGGGTATTTCTAAATAAAGTTAGCAGTATTTGTATTAGTTTCAACACTCTACGGACAAGCGTTTGAAATTGTAGAAAGTAGTTCATTGGGGATTTATTTTGTCTCTCATAACCACAGTGTCCCGGGTATACACATAATGTCAATTTTGTGCGCAAATGAAGACACTGAAATAGAAAATAAATTGCTTTCTGACATTTTATTAACTCCGATAATAAATCCACAACTTGAAAAATAATCCCGACCTGGAGTGGCAATGAGTTTCGGATTTTTACATGGATCTGAGATTTGCTTGAGGTTTTGAACAATAGAAACTTTACTCTCAGAGGTGTTTTATATTAACGTCCACAGATCAAACTCGAAGGTCTTAGGGCTTATCATAAAAGTGCCTGAAATGGTAATGTCACTTTATTTGAATGATCCACACCCGCGAGATAATTAGATCTTTATCTTAGTTACATGATCGAGAATGAAAAATTCTATAAGAGAAGACAATAAGTACGGAGCAATGAGACCATATTCTTTTCATGGTAATGTTAAATACCTTTTCATTGTCAACGAAAAACGTTAGAGTACCGTAGCTCAAGCAGTTACAGAAACCTTTCCTGGTTCTCTAGAGATCACATGGATTTAAACGAAGTAGTGAGTCGATAGTTCTATTGCGTCAATCAAGTGCATTATGGTTTAATTTCACATGAGATTCTTTTGGAGATTTTTAAAGCTATTGAGGAAGCTCTACAGGATATGCAAAGGTATTCAATATGCGGAAAGCAGTGATCCATAAGGTTGCTTTAGTACAACTCATAAAGTAAATGTATCTGGCTCCTCAACATTAAAACTGGAGGTCGAAACACAATGATTTCCGTTTAAATACAAGAGGATAGCTCTCGATTGATCTATTTACTCCAGAAGGGTCGTGACAATTTGAGATCTCCTGCCAATATGCACAATATCTTTCGATCCCCCACAAATCTCGCAAGATAATCTCACCCGCAAAAATCTTGCGGTTTATCCATATAGCTTCTGCCATTGTCCCTTTTTTCGAACGTATTCCCTTGGCTTTTGGTTTAATTATAGAACCCGTTTTAGATTTGGTCACAATTTTTGTTGCTCTTGGACTTCCAAAAAATGTTGCCTAATAGACATCACAAAAATTACTGGACTATTGTAGTAGTAATTGATAGGTGTCTAAGACGACCCGAGGGCAATACGAACTCACGTATTTTGGAGGCATGAACATTGCTGCCAAAGTTCTAAACATTATCTAGCTTGAATACAGTGTTTGAACCTGCCAGTTATTAATTTAAGTCAGAGTTCTTGGAATCACATGGAATTTATGAGATAAATCCTAAAGCATATACTCACTATTTTTTGAAATGTTTTCTTTCTCTTGGGTAATGGCAAAATGATTGCGCTCAGAAATTAACAAGCACTTTTCGCATATGAGCTTACCTTAGCTTTTACAAAAAGTGCCATAGCGACTCTCCGGTTGCATCGTAGCTCTAATATCCATTCGCTCATACATTTTTTTCAGTGACATAGTTCAGAAAATCTACACCATGTTCATGAGAACAACATTTATCTCAGTATCTTTTGAAAGTGACCTTATTTCGAAATCATAATTTTGCTGAGAAAGAGATCATATTGAATTTAGACGAAATCATAATTCAGAACCCTTTGCTTTCTCCCTCCTATCTCGTTAACGCATCACAGAAGAAAAACACTGCTAAGATGAGGAAAAAACCAAATTTTTTACGAGTCAAGTTTTACGAGTCGGTTTTTCCGAGGTTCTTGTATTCACGGTATCAATTAAAATACGAAGGAATTATATCGGGTGGCAGATGACATCGCTCGATTGTCAACGTCTGCCAAAAGTCACACCATTTTTTCTGCGACACGAAAATTAAAAAAAAAAAAAAAAAAAAAAAAAAGAACAGAAAAAACGGACATCTACGTCGCGCTGAATCTAAAAAGACCTAGAAACATGATTTTTCGTTTAGCATTAATTAAATAATATTAGCTCTTTAAATATGTGTTCATTAAGCTTTACATTAAAATGCAGTCCTTGTCATTTGCTTCGCCCCTGGATATTGACACTCTTTTCGTGAGCCCGTTGAACGACGACTTGGGCTCTTTTTTAGGGGGTTTGCTTGGCGCTCCCCTCCTCACGCTAAACATGTACGGTTCACGCGAATGACTGGCCGGCAACTCTCCTGGAAGTTGCTGCGAGGGTGTTTCTACTTTCGGAGCAGAATTTGAAGCAATGGAAGAGGCTATCGAAGAATTCTTGTGGTAATTAGTACCGATCATTTGAGTGCTATTGACGTTCTTATGAGTACTATTTGAATTGAATGGTGAAATTAATGGTGTCGTGGTTGTCGGAGTTTTCTTTACCAAGTCTGGTACAGGAAACACAAGCACGTTCTGATTGTAGTCAATTTTTAGTATAGGATCAATTCCAAATTGCAATATGCTATTTGCGAGGTAGGAATATAGTCTCGACCATGTCTCCTCCAATTCTATTGAAGAATGTATTCCAAATCTATCTTGTATTGTCTTCAAAAATGCCATCCCCATGAGCTCGAAATGCATTGTGTGAATTCCCAAAATTCTTGAATGCCGCTTACCCAGATCGGATAGATAGCTTTCCAAAGCTGATAAGTTTTCGAGGTTATTGATTGCCATTGTCAGCACGCCAGCAAAGGCAATAGCTTGGTGCTTGATAGATGGAAACATCCGCTCTAGGTCGGAGTCCATCGCTAATAGATTTGCATAAAACTGTGCACAGAATAAGGAACTTGCAATTGTGCTGGTGTTAATGGGTGCAGGAGCAGGGGAGGAACCTCCTGAACGCATTTTGATTCCCAAGTTGGAAACAACACCTCGCACGCTTCCTGTTGAGGTTTTACGGTTCTTATTTGTAGTTGGGATCAATCCGAGATCATTGATTAACTTTCGAAATGAGCTCGAGATCTTATTCCCAGATATGTCATCGTTCAGCATCATGGACCAGGACCCTCTTATGAGCTTAATCTCGCGTGAGCTTAACTTTAAAACAATCTTGTAACGCACGCCATGGCTCATATTTGTACCACATGTCGATCCGCTTGAAATACTCGAGAGCTTTTCCATCTCATCTTCGCGGCTACTCAAACTATTTGGGTAAGCATCGTGCAAAAGAGAGTTCGATGATTCCATCATTCCGTGGCTAATGTCGGACATTGCTATGGATGCTCGATTCGAATAATGGCCGAAAACGGCCTTCTCCACACTATCCTCACTACCATTCAGGGAATCGTTTTCATTAATAGATTCCAGATCAGTGGGTATGAACGCTATTTGCGACTGATCGAGAGGGTTATAAAAGCCGTTATTGCCGGTCATTGGCAAAAGCTTTACAAATACAATGTAAAAGATGATCGGTCACCTTTTAACTAGATCTGAGATTCAAATATTTCAACCCACATTCTCTTTGGCCGTTTGACTCGTTATGTAACTGTAAACGAGGTAAATCTTAAATATAACGGTTTTTTGACGCCGCGCCCCTTGTGCAAACGAAGAAATACCATTCGGTGTTAGAAGCCAGAAAAAATTTGTGATTGCGTACAACTTCCAGCGAGTAGGAACCCGCGTTTCTGAAACTGTAAACACTCGCATCCTAAAACTCAGATATCGGTATGTCTTTGGTTGTCTTTAGAGAGTAGTGAGAGAGCTATCTGATTGAGAGACTTAAGTTCATCGGAGGCCGAAGATGTTGATGATAGTTTTTGGGATTTCCACCCATTGATAGAAGATTTAAGAGTACTGGCCAGTGACAGTAAGCTCTCATCCCAATTGCACTCGTTTTAAACATTATGAACGCGCGAAATGGCAACATCATATTACGGTTTAGTTCGTTGGAGGGGCTGAATATTATGGCCCGTAAATGCACCTTTGAATTATGATTCTACTCAAAAGCCCTTGTCTCAAGGTTCGCTAAATGTATTATGTATTTACATTCTATACTGGAAGCACCATGTCATGTATCGACTATTTGCGAGAATAGGGATTTTTTATATCACCGAGTCTTGACTCCATCTAGCCAGAACTGGTGATAAAACGCCATGAGTACTTCTATATAACTAGAAACAAGCGCATGATTATCATAGATTGCGCATACGGAAGGCTCTTGTTATTTAAACGTGATGTGACTTCGGACAAGATAGCTTGTTGTCAAGCTTTGTAAAGTATTCAAACAAAGTTATTCAACAATATGCACTAAACAACTTCTCGCCAGAAAACAGAAATGAAGAAGATTTCCTTTTGTTCAGGAATGTAAATCATTTTCACTCGATTTTAGAGAACATTGGACATGACTAAGGCAACAATTTTTGCAGTGTTCATTATATCTCACAAAGCGCTAAGTATATAATCATCAAGTGAACTACCTAGCGTCTTGGTTTTTTTCCTCGCATGAAAGTGCTTTAGGTGAAGGTTATTACAGCTTTTCTGCTCATTTTAAGTACAAATCCAAAATTCTTAGACGAGTATTTTTCGTTGCTTGTTTTACGGAAGATGAAGCAGTATGTCAAAAAAAGGCATAAAAGTGGACATAGTTTGGTAAGAGGAACGTTCTAACCTCATATACTCGCTGAATTTTACGAAACAAATACGCACTGCTGGAAGTTTTTCACGCTGCTCACCTAAGGATGTGTCTCTGCAGGCTGTTAATGTTTTTACAACTTCTAGATTATAGCTAGCGGAAGCTACCCGCTATTTCCAACTTTCTCAAACAATGCTTTCGAAATGGTTTTCCAAAAAGCATCATTAATTATGATGTACACAGCGAATACTTTGAAATAGGTTCATTTATGATCGACACTAACACTAATCATCTCTGATAAGCAATATAATTCAAGCGATCATGTTTGGTCAAACTAGAAAGTCATGTAAATAAAGAATTCTCCTCAATATTTCAAGGAATGCTACCGGAAGTATGCTAGAATGTAGTGGTCAACGGTTAAATAACCAAGGAAATGGGTTCTCTAAGAATCATTCTTTGGTTTTTCAACTTTTAATGGCTGCGAATTGTTACATTTAATCTGGAAAGATTAAGTTTGAAATTGATTAAATGAAGCGCACTTTTAAAATAAAGTTAAAATTATGAGAGGCATGCATAAAAAAAATTGGCAGATCTCCTTTGAGCTTAACAAGTAAACGATCGACAAAACTATTCTTCTAATTTGACCAATCTTCTTTTCCGAGCGATCTTGTAGATATTGTAAGAAGTATGCATCATAAGAAATGACAAACTAATTTCAACCCTCCAAGCTTTTATTATCATTCACGTGATCTATAACCGTCTAGCTTTAATCATAATGATTAATCGTAATCTTTAAAGTAATTGTAGAGGAAGTTCAAAACTCAGCTCTGCTTATTGTTGTTAAATTTTATTCGACAAAAAGCTGAAGAGTCTCATTTAATCAGTATGTGTAGTAGCTCAAACTTTTCAATTAACAAAGGAAGAAAAAACTAAGTAAGCAACAACGAGAAATGATATATAGTGAATGCTGCGATTTCTTTCTAGAAATTTTTGTCTAAAGTTTCGAAATGTTTATCAAATATCGATTTTGGGTGTTCTTTTTTATTTTTTAGTTAAAAATGCTTTGATGCCTTACCTCCAAAAGTGTAACTTTCCGTGGATATCATTAAAGTTTTCTACACCCAATTAACTTTATAAAAATCTCAATCCAGTAAATGCATTTTTTTGTAGAGCTAATTACAAATAGCACAACTCTGCGCATATCATATTCTATTAGATCATTTCGAAGATGGACAATCATAAACTTATACACACTATTTCAAAATCACACTCAAATTTACACTATAATAAGAACACAGTAAGATGAAGACTCCAACTATCGCTTTGCAGTCAAAAAAATACGTGGTGTCAAAGAATAAATTTTTGTTTTCAAGCAGTATTTAACATTACTTACTTTTGGAGAGGGTTAACATAATTCGAATACCCTGTCCCTAGAGGCTTTCTTGCATGTGCGCACTCTTAAGCACATCATTTAATTTTGGGTTAAGTCAACCAGAATCCTAGTTTCGTTTCATGTCTGGCTTCTTTTGTACACAGCTTAAATTACTCTCCCGTCCTTCATAACAATTACGAGGTTAGTCTCTGGTTCGTCTAAAACTGTTATGTTCTCCAATGGGTTTGATCTCATCAACAGTAAGTCCGCAATAAAACCTGGTTTAATTTGACCAAGTTTGTCATCTAAACCATTCATTTCTGCAGGTGTGACAGTTGCAGACAGTAAGATTTCCTGAGATGTTTGAACCTTACTTCTGATGAAAAACTCTTGGGTTTGATACCCACCTAGAGATCCGAGAAGGTCCGAACCGTAGCAAATTTTGACTTTGTGGCTTTTGGCTATTTTCAATGCTTCCATACCTTTGTATAGTACTTCAGTGTTTTTCTTCCTATTTTCTCCAGACAAGAAGGATGAAAATTGATCTGATGCCATAACCTTGTAGGCAACTAGTGTTGGTGTCAAATAGCATCCTAGTTTCGCCATCAACTTTGCAGTATCTTCATCCAAAAGATTTCCATGCTCTATACCTTTGACACCTAGTGTAATACAGTTTTTTATTGCTTCAGAGCTATAGGCATGTGCCGTAACATAAGTGTGATATGTTTTTGCGACCTTTACAAGCGCAGTTATTTCATCATCGCAGAATTGCAAGTTCGAGATTTTGTCTGTTGGTGAAGCTACACCTCCACTACCCATAATCTTGATAAAATCAGCGCCACGACGAAACTCCTCTCTAGCAGTTCTATAGCACTCACTGACACCGTCGGCAATAACGCCAAGATCATTCATATGGCATGAACAGCTATCAAAAGCACTTCCAGGTAATTCTCCAGATCTCATATCACCATGCCCCCCCGTTTGTGAAATAGCGTGGCCACAAGTAATAAGACGAGGCCCTGCTATCGAACCTTCATTAACGGCAGCCTTTATATATCCTTCGGCACCGCCACAATCTCTCATTGTTGTGAAGCCTCTTTTGAGGGCACTTTCAAGGGTATATCTAACCCTCATCAACGCTTTCGTTTTAGGCATTGTTACCGTTTTCGTCAGATCAGTTTCGCCAGGCACAGATGTTACATGCACATGATTGTCGAAAAGACCAGGAGTAACATACTTACCAGTACCGTCAATTATGGTATAAACACTGCTGTCCACGTTAAGGAGCTTTCCGTTTCCATATTTTATCTCTGAAATCATTCCATGTTCGGTGAAAATATATGCCCCAGAACGAACGCAACCCTCAACCACATCTACGAGATTGGTGTTCTGAATGCAGTACTTTGGAGGAGTAATTAATCTCCATGGAGCTACCAGATCTTCAAGTATTTTGTTGTTACGTTCATTAACATCGATAAAGGTAGTTTGCGTCTGCATGTCGTTAACTGGAGAGCCTCTTTCTTGCTTCTTGACATACATATGAAAAGATTATCCTGAATTGCATTCGAATATATACACTTAGTTGATAGTCGTCTTACCGCCTCTATATTGGCTGTAAATATGCGACTTGATCTAATGATGAGCTAGATATATCATTGATAACGAATTATTGTTGATATTTATCTGACTTATCACAAGCGGTACCAGACTCCCGATAAAAAGTGTTTTAATTTCGGAATAATACGACTGGATAAGACAGCAACTCCGTTTAAAGAGAAATTCGCAACACTACAATTGTAATGAACAAGTGCGATCAGGACTATAATGGTGAAACGATAGGCTGCGCTTGATGAAGACTTATCAAAAATTTAGTAGCAAGAGCCGAGTCTTTGAATTATCGCCAATCAGTTAAAGTGAACTTTTTTAGCATTTCTGACCACACTCCTCAGTTTTTTTTCACCTTCCTGATTCGGGTGATATAATTTCATGATAGTTCAAAAAAGTATAGAAGAGAGTAAGTGAAACTTTAACGGATTTGATTATCACTACGGAACAACTTTGGTTGTAAGATAACAATTAAGAAAGGCACCAAGGATAATGAAACATTCAAACATGCATCTTATCGCTCTCTAGGATCAGTCAAAGAAGAAAACTGCTTAGACACAGTTTGGGATGGTGACAATGCAAAGATTAGAGCAGATTATGATAAACATGGTTTCTGAGACGAAGCAAATCACTCTGCGATTGAGATAAGTAAAAATTTTTATCAGCTTAATTTCAGAAGATTTAGTATAAGTAAAGAGAATCCGCAGAAGTTTGCACACCTCAAAATGTTTTGAATAGCATCAAACTGGTGCAAAGAACACTACGGAATTCCTAAAAGAATGGAAAATAGTGAAAAAATTGATGTCAAGTCGTCACCAATCGTTGAATGTAACGATGTGGGCGCAGAGTCGATGGACGATAAACAAAAAGGTCACATTGAAGATATTCTATATTTGGAAACTATTACTTTCACAGAGGCAGAAGAGCGTGAGGTTGTTAAAAAAATAGATCGATTCCTATTACCATTTATGTGTGCCATCTTTTTTTCTCAGTATTTGGACAAGCAGTCTCTTACTTATGCTTCGGTATTTGATCTAAAAACAGACTTGAAAATGGCAGGTCATGATTATTCTTGGTGTACAACCATGTTTTACTTAGGTCAGTTAGGTGCAAACTTTGTTTTCATGTATCTTATGACTAAAATTCCCAGAGCTCCCATGACAGGTGCATGTGTCGTTATTTGGTCTGTCTGCTGCATGTGCTTGGCGGCGCCAAACACTAAGCAGGGGTTTTGGGTAGGAAGACTATTTCTGGGATTGTTTGAAGCAGTCGTTTCACCTGCATGCGTGCTTATTACCTCCAATTGGTACCGAAAGAGAGAGCAACCATTGAGAACTGCATGTTGGATTTCGATGAATGCCTTAGCTCAAATTGTGGGAAGTTTCTTGATGTATGGTATTGGAAAAACAAATAAGAGCAGTCTCGCCGATTGGCGACTAATGTTTTTGATATGTGGTATAATTTCTTTGGTCGCTGGAGTGGCTTTCTATGCGTGTGTACCTTTATCAGCGAAAACCGCGTGGTTTTTGAACAAAAGGGAGAAAGAAATCGCTATTAAGAGATTATTTGACGATAGTGACAGAGTAGAAGGTACCACTTTTAACAGAGAGCAATTAAAGGAATGTCTCAATTTTGATTGGCTATTTCTGACTTCTTTCGCATTTGGATTTTTAATTTGTGTTCCAAGTGGTACTCTTGTCTTTCAATCCTTAATCCTGGCTGGATTCGGATATGATAAATTTCAAAATATGGAGTATGGCTCCCCCTCGGGAGCCGTTCAACTGATGTTCGTATGGATTGGAGTTTTGCTTGTAAAGATATTCCCCAAAGAAAGAGCTCTCATTTCAATTCTCTTGGTATGTGTGCCCTTGGTTGGAAATATCATGCTTCTATGTTTGAGTAGCTCTTCTGGCTGGTGGGTCATTGTTGCATCATGGTTAGGCTCGGTGGCAACATGTACGATGACTATTTTATTGAGTTTAATTTCCAGTAATGTTAGAGGAGACACTAAGAAATCTCTTTGTTCCAATGCCTTTTTCGTGGGTTATTGTGTAGCAATCATTATCTATCCTCAATGGTGGACTGGTACCTATCGTGGGGGACTGATTGTCAATGTTATTATGTGGATCTTATTGGATATTCTTCTAATATTCTACAGATTCAAAGTTGTTTTCGAAAATAAGAAGAGAAGAGAACTAATAGAGAAAAATGGAGCAGAGGAAACACATGTTAACCAAGACGTGACGGATAAACAAGATATCTTCCATAAATATGTTCACTGAACCATTTTTACAAATTTTTATTAATTTCAGGATTTTTTTCCCTGATAAATAATTAACTTTATTTTAGATGAGCTTTAATACAACAAGTCGTAAATTTTCATAGACCATCTTTCTTGATTTATAAGAAAAGCTTCTCTAAAGCAAAAAAGCGGGTGAACCAAAATTATTAAAAGAGCAGTTACAGAAACATATTGTATTACCTTATTCAGGCTCTGGCTCATTGCACTATGCCTTGAGTAGTAATGAGTAATTTATGAGAGATGGGTGAATATTGAGATAATTGTTGGGATTCCATTTTTTATTAAGGCTGTAATTATTGGTATATGGTTATACTAGAAGTTCTCCTCATCTTTCTAAGAATCCAGAAAGAAGAGTCAATAATTCTACTTACAACTATTCTTACTCTTTCTGTTCCTTTTATACATTTTCATTCATTATCCTATTACATTATCAATCCTTGCGCTTCAGCTTCCACTAATTTCGATGACTGTTTCTCATTCTTTATGTCATCTTAAAACACCGTGTATGATAATATACTAGTAGCACGAATACTAGTCGATGGTCGATAGTTGTATTTCGTTCCAACAATTTACGTGTTGAACTAATTCCAGATTATAAACCATGAAGTAATAGAGGAACAGCCAATAAGGATCTTAAACTATTTGTCGAATAATTTCCCAATCCGACTCTTTCTTCGAGATGTTCGCAGCATGCGTTAATTAAGTGAGTGATAATATTAGCTTCCTGATACTTATCACCCTTCAGAAGACGTATTGCTGAACTTACCATAAACATAAATTTTATTCACATGCTATTTCTTTAATTTTTTGCGTATCTATTTCCAGTTTGTTGTTTCATGGTTTCAGATATACAATTGCTTATCGGAGCAGCGCCTATCTAATCTATGCAAGTTTTAAAAAATGCAATCATCATTTCCGATAAAAATTACCCGGCCAATCTGATAAGAGCACTATAACACGAAAGACGATCTCACCTTCCCTTTTGGCGTACAGTTTTCACCAGCTGCGAAACAACTGCTATAAATTATGTCTGAGGTAAATTATTATGCCCGCTGCCAAAATGTAGCTGAAATTATTGACCAAAAGTATAATTAAAGGGCTTCTTGCATAACTTTGCCATTGCAGCAGGTTCACGTTTCACGTTTCATAATACAGAAATCACAACGACGACTTAGAATGGACTTGTACGAAACATTTTCCTCATTGAAAAGCTTTGAAGCAATTAAAAGCATTGACATGCACACAGCAGGTGAAGCTACGCGTATAGTTTACGATGGATTTCCAGATTTGAGAGGATCCCTTTTGGATCAGCGAGAAGAAGCAGAGAAAAAGTACGATGACCTACGGAAGCGTATAATTCTCGAACCTCGGGGCCATTTCGATATGTACGGTGCAATTCTCCGCCCTCAGACCGAGCTAGTTGAGTCAGGAGAGGCGGATATTGGTGCTCTTTTCATACATAACGGAGGGTTTTCTACCATGTGTGGGCATGCTACTATTGCTTTAGGACGATTTTTGGTAGATACTTCCGATGAAAATGCCTTTCCGAACCGCTCAAACCTTAGATTGGATACTATAAACTCAACTGCAGAGGTAAGAATTCACGTTCCATGCGGTCTTGTGGTGGTTACTGTTCCTACTAACAGTGACGGGACCAAGTCCGATCCTAGCAGACCTGTTTCCTTTCTGTCAACGCCTGCGTTCACTGCAGCCAGAGACATGGAAGTCGAAATTCCTACGAATGTACGGTGGAAAGAACTAGGCAGTAGAAGTTCCATCAACTTTGACCTCGCTTATGGAGGAGCTTATTATGCTTTAATTTCTGCGAAAGAACTGGGGTTTACAAATGGCCTAAAAGAAATTGATCTTTTGTCCGTTACCTCTTGTATTAGAAAATTAAAGCCTTTTTTGGCCTCACATCCTGCAGTAATAGATGCTATTAGACATCCAGATGACTCTCGACTATCTTATCTTTACTCTATAATGATTGTTGACTCAAATTCTGGTTATCATCCAGAAGCAGCAGTGAGTGTGGAATCAGGACTTTGCTATTTTGCTGATAATGAAATTGATCGATCTCCTACAGGTTCTTGTGTCTCAGCTCGCGTTGCTTTAGCATATGACAAGAGACAAATCGAATTGGGTGAGAAGCGTGCTTACAATTCCCTGATCACTAACCATTTTGAAGAGGGCGCCTTCATTGGAAGCGTTGCAGAAGTGTTAAATGAATCCACAATAATCGCACAGGTTGAAGGTTATGCTTTTTACATTGGCTCTTCTCTTTTCATCTGGGAAAAAGGCGATCGTACATCTCGAGAGGGTTTCATTTTCGATCAATGTGTGTAAGATTTCAATAGGTGCACTGGTATGGTGAACGAAGACATCAACTTCAAATAATCGATATCAGTTGCTGATCCTTGAGATGAACGTTATCCTTATAGTTGAAGGATAGTTTGAAGCAAACGGTCTCGAAAAATCGATCTTCTTTCTAAATTATGCGTTCAGAGAACATTGGAGAATAAAAGATATGAGGGAAAATGACTAAGAAATGACATTTATATCGTTTGGAGTACAGTATCGCATTTGCTTTGAAGTTTCAAACACAAATTCCAGGTCATTTTCCTTAGACTCAAGTAATACCAGTGTTAGCAAGTCCAAGAAATCTTGAACCGGTTAACGTGAGTCAATTTAATCTACGCCTCATAAACTAGCAAACAGGACTGGAGTAATCTCAATATATAAATGGATTTTTTCCCCCGATCAGCAGCTCTGAATGTGTACATTGACATTCAAAATTGTGGACGTACTGCTATCCAAATCTAAACGATTTTGCGTTTTACATCTTACCGAACTAAATAAATGTTCACGAATATCAATACCCTTTCATAAAACTGCGTGGATTTTTGTTTTCTGTTTATGTAGTTTTGCATTAACTTATCCAGAAAGCATATCCAACATCGAAACGCAATTGAGCTTCAATATTCGCTATAATCTGCGGCTTAGCTTTTGATTATATGTGTAAACCCATTACGGCTAATTCGAGCCGATCACAAATTTCAGGGAAGATTTTGAATCGCATGATAATTTTTCAGCTCACAAACTCTTGTTATGTAAGATAGGATTGATTTATTTCTTGCGATTGATAGCACATATGGACGTCATCATTCCTAGTTGCACATTATACATGGTTATGGGTAATATTATCTTTAGACAAACGATTGTTTTACTTCCCATAACACTTTCAATTATTAGTTGCTGAACCTCTAAACATTCAATTCAGTGTTCGACTGCCAACTTAACAATCGTTTTAAATTTGTATAAACAAAAAGCATTTGGAAGATCTTTTGATCATGACATGGTATTTTTCTTTTATAAATATCAAATGTGTGACCTCGCTCTCCTCAAACTTTCAAGGATAAATTGCATGCGATGAAATTAGTCTTTTTGATAGATATTTATGAGACCGCAGCTGCTTCATAGACCCCGGGCAAAATTGTCCAGCAATTGCCCAACAGTCAAATTCGTCTTAATAGAACCGTAATTTTGCCCTGCAAGCACGAATTGCAACTCTTTCGGATACTTTTCTTTCATTGACTTGAAGGCACCATACATGTACGAGTAATCCGGGAGTGCTTCATCGTGATAAACATCGGTCAATCTTCGTAAAAATGGCGAAGAGATTGCTCTAGCGTGCTTCCCTGAGACCAGGTTGGTCATAATAGTCGGTTCTGGAATGTCTACACTACTCAAAATCCGATTAAACTTGGACGCAACTTTACACTCCGCAGTGGTAAGGAAGGCAGTTCCAACTTGAACTGCCGAAACTCCTAGATTTAACATATACTTGACGTCCTCGGGGGAATTCAAACCACCTGCTGGAATTACAAATGTACAGTTTTTCTCGTCCATATTTACGAGCGGAATTGTGCGCTTGATCAAGCAAGCTGTTGATAGTTTCTCATCGAATAATTCTGGTTGTAAAAAATTCCCCCTGTGACCACCGGCTTCGTAGCCCTGGCAAATAATTCCATCGACCCCTAGTTCATTTAAAAGCCGAAATTCCTCCGCAGACGTGGCAGTCACAAAAACCTTTATGCCTAAGTCTTGGAAAGCCTTTATTGAAGTACTTTGCGGGTACCCAAAATGGAAGCTTAGTACTTTGGGAGTGAACTCGTGTTTGAAAAATGATAACAAGTCATCAAAGGGTTTTCCATTCTCAAAATCTTTGAAAGATACACCTCGCTTGTTAAACAAAGAATCGCCTCGGGGAATCTTTACCGAGGAGACACGCTCATATAGATTGTACCAATTCTCTTTTTCTTCAGCAGGGACGTCGATTACAACGTCGTGGCAAAAGAAGTTTAAGTTGATATTGCGTTCATATGCCTTGTTATCGATTAAACCGTTCACTTCACTGATAAGGCTTCTAAGCTCGCCAATTCCATTTGATGATGTGAAGTCTATATGAGATATGGGCAATGAAGCAAGAGCACCATTATTGCATACGGCTGCCACCAATTTTGCGTCGCAAATCCCTGCCATAGGAGCCTGAATGATCGGAATTTGAAGCCCCAGTGACTTCAGAAAGTGTCGGTACGACATACTATTCCTTGTTTGTGATATTGCTTCGACTTTTCTGACCCCAGTTTTGTAAATCTTTGGATCGTGGAGAAACCCTTCAAATACAAGTTTTTCTTGCATGCCGGCTCGGACAGCTGAGTAACGGGAAGATGAGCCACATCGTGATTGATGATTAATAACGGTATTGAAAGTACTACATTACATGATCATCGTGTACGTCATCACCATGTCTGCTTTGAGCCACCAACGATGATGTTTGTTTCTTGCAGAAAATCACCCCGTACCTTCTCAGGTTAATGTCGATCACGAGGCGCAAGCATGCAGCTATAGAGCAGTTTGCGCGCTTCTTGTATCTTTATCATCTTGTACTGCTGAACTAATTCATTGGATATTCTCCATGTGGGACTGGGAAAAATGGAACTGAGAAAAACGAACTAAAATGGGTGCGATATAATTTCTTGCAGGACTATCTGTGAGTGCCTTATGTACGTTGGATTTCCAGGTACAGCAGTCTCGTGCATGTGAAAACGGTTCCAGAGATGGCGAATAAAACCTCTCTGCACAGTGTGCGTTAGACAAACATTTCACAGTGTGGGCCATAGGTGATTGGGCAGAGTTAGGATTATAGGATGCATGTATAATTTGCATTTTGGTGGAATTCATTTTCAATCTTTCAGGCTCATTTTATTTGGTCTTGATCTTTTGCAGATCTAATATCTAGCTCAAATTAGGGGATACGTGAGCGAATCTTGGCGTAACTTTTTTTGCAACATAGGCCGCTTCTACACCCGATTTTGACCTAGATTTGGCACTTGCCGGGATAGAGTATTGGTTCGCTTCACCTCTGTATTAACGACTCCTCTGGTTGTGCCACCTCCTTGGCATGCATAGTTTTGATTCAAGTCACATCCTTTCGTCGAAGGTACGCGTTTTTCTTGGTCTTTTTTTTTTACCCTAATTGCGTAGATACGAGCAGGGTATCTCATTGTCTCTAAAGTGAGTGCACCCTGTTCCGGGCAGTATAAAAATAAAAATACAAGAGCTCAAATGGCAGCTTCGTAGAGTCTACATCTTGAGAAATTTTTGATCATCTCTGTAAACTGCAGCATAATCATGGCTGACCATCAAGAGGAGAGCTCTTCTCCCAAGTTGGAGTATTCGTCTCCAGATTTTAATGGGAAGAACACTGTAGTGGAAAAACAGTTCACCAAAGTATATGAAAATGAGCACGAAACACCCGACAAACTTAAGACCACCAAGTCAATTGTCATCCGTAAAGCAGAACTTATGGGAAAACAATACGACACATGGTATTTGAAAGCTTTGTTTTTGTTCACGGCCTTCATTTGCTCTTTCGCGTATGGTCTTGACAGTATCATCAGAGATATTTACATGACTTACGCGATGAACGCGTATAGTACTCATTCTTTGTTATCGACTGTGGATGTGATTAGTATGCTGATTTCCGCTGTCGGTCAGTTATTCTTCGCGGGTTTGTCTGATGTTTTTGGAAGATTGTCACTATTCATCGTTTCTATTGTATTTTACGTTGTGGGTACGATTATACAATCCCAAGCTTACGATGTGCAGAGGTATGCTGCGGGATCTATCTTCTATAATATTGGGCTAGTAGGCGCGATGTTTCAGGTTACTATCATTCTTTCCGATTTCTCATCATTGAAATGGAGACTATTCTATAATTTTGTTCCAGCATGGCCTGCACTCATTACTGTGTGGGTTTCAGGTAATGTGATTCATGTCGCAAATCCTCAGGAAAACTGGTCATGGGGTATTGCCATGTGGGCTTTCATCTTCCCAGCTAGTTGTATCCCCATGATTGTCTGTATGCTTCACATGAGGTGGAAAGTTAAGGATACGGTCGAATGGAAAGAACTACAGGAAGAGAAATCTTTCTATCAAAGCCATGGTCTAGTGCAAACTTTGGTGCAATTGTTCTGGAAGTTGGATATTGTAGGAGTCCTATTATTCTGCGTATCCATGGGATGTATACTTGTTCCATTAACGATTGCTGGTGGTTATTCAAGCCAGTGGAGGAGCGCTAAGGTAATTGCTCCACTTGTCCTTGGATTTGTACTATTTCCAATATTCCTTCACTGGGAAAACAAGATTGCCAAACTGCCTTTTGCTCCATTTAAGATGTTGAGAGACCGTGGTATTTGGGCACCTTTATGGATTATGTTTTTGATTTGTTTCGTTTATGCGATGGCTGCTGACTATTTATACACAATTTTACTAGTGGCTGCCAACGAAACAGATCAGTCTGCGACAGTAATTACAAGTCTGTACAGTTTCGTTGCTGCTATTGTGTCTCCTTTTGCTGGTATTTTCGTGGCAAGGTCATCACGTATGAAGCCATGGACTTTCCTTGGTTGTGCACTATATTTTGTTACAATGGGACTCTTTTACAAATTCAGAGGTGGCGAAGATACTGGGAAGGGTGTTATTGGGGCCATGGTAATCTGGGGTATTGCCAGCTGCTTCTATGACTACCCGATGAGTATTTCAATGCAAACAGTCACTTCTCATGAACACATGGCAGTTGTTACTGCGTTGAACTTGACTATATTCAGAGTAGGTGGTGCTGTGGGTGCAGCTGTGTCAGGTGCTATTTGGACTCAACTTCTATATCCGAAGTTGGTCACTGTATTAGGTGATACTTCGTTAGCGGAAATTGCTTATGATTCGCCATTTGATTTCATCGACTCTTATGAATGGGGAACTCCTTTGAGAGAAGCTACGGTTGAAGCTTATAGATACGTGCAAAAATACGAAGCGTTAATAGCTCTCATATTCGTCGCTCCAATGTTCTTGTTGACATTCTTTTTGAGAGATCCTGAGTTGACTGAAAAGTTCGGGCAAGACTTAGATGACGATGAATATGTTGCAGAAGACGATGACCCAATTACAGATTGGATTGTCAAGCGCTTTTCAAGATCAAAAAAGGAAGATTAAGTAAAATTTACTAGGTTTGTAAGAAGAAATATGATTTAATAAAGTGGCAAGTTTGGTTAAAAAGAATACTATGATATTCAAAAATATCATCTAAAAAGCGTAATCGTCTTGATGAAAATTTCCTCACCCATTTTTGATTATCTGACGAATGCATCTTTCAGAATTTAGCTGTCTGTCATTCTTAAAATATTGAAGATACTACTTGGGTTTTTTACCTGTATCATATGCACGAAAGAGAATGTGAAAGCTTGATAAGTGCACATTTTTACCCCATTTTTAATTGTCATACTAATGATCGTATAATGTGATTTATTTTGACAGATATCAATGTCTCTCGATGAAGTCTTGTTGTCTCGCATACATAAATGGGACACCAAATTATAATATACTATATAAAATACATAAAGCCTTCTATGATATCACGATCTGATGAAGAATTTGAGTGACTGATAATTCTTATGCCAAGCTCGAATAAGAAACCAAATTTCCTCATAATTGTGGCCGATGACTTAGGCTTCACTGACCTAGGGTGTTTTGGCGGGGAAATATCTACACCTAATTTAGATAAACTTGCAAGTTCGGGCATTAGATTCACTGGCTTTCATACTGCTTCCGCGTGCTCTCCCACAAGGTCAATGCTGTTCAGTGGTACTGACAATCACCTTGCTGGGCTAGGACAAATGGCCGAGTTCATTAAATTTGAGAGGTTAGGTGATGAATTTGAGGGTAAACCAGGATATGAAGGTTATTTGAATTATAAGGTTGCTGCCCTTCCAGAAATAACTTCTCCTGAATATTACAATGTAATTTCAGGCAAATGGCACCTGGGATTGGATGAGCCATACTGGCCAGACAAGCGGGGCTTTGAAAAGTCGTTCACGTTATTACCGGGCGCAGGAAATCACTATAAGTATAAATTCGATGAGAAAACCTTTATGCCTTCTATTTTCCAAGAAAACGGAAGGCGAATTGATGCAGAGAGTGAGCTACCTGACGATTTTTATAGTACCGAGTATTATACGACGAAGTTCCTTGAGTATTTGAAAGACGAGGATAGAAACGGAAGACCATTTCTCGGAGCGTTAACTTACACTGCGCCACATTGGCCATTGCAGGCTCCGTTAACTACGGCTCTCAAGTACAAAGGAGTATATGATAAGGGTCCTATCGAGTTAAGAAATCGAAGACTAGCCCGCGCTGCTGAACTGGGCATCATTGATAAAGACGTTGTACCTCACCTTGTAGAGACAAAAAGTATACCATGGGACGAGCTCAGTGCTGAAGAAAAGAAATACAGTAGCCGTGTCATGGAATTTTACGCTGCAATGGTCGATGAATTGGACAAGAATATTGGCCGAGTCCTAAAACATCTCGAAGATACAGGGGAGCTTGAAAATACCATGATATTTTTTATGTCAGACAATGGCGCCGAAGGTAGCATGTTAGAGGCGTTACCAAGTAAAACAGTCTCATTTGCAGATAACGTTCAGCGACTTTATGATAATAGTTATGATAATATTGGAAAGAAAGACAGCTTTGTAATGTATGGGGATCTTTGGGCCCAAGCAGCAACTGCTCCCAGATACATGTATAAGGCTTGGTCAACGGAAGGTGGCATAAACTGCCCATTGATTTTGAGTTATCCAAAGATCTCTCCGAAATGGTCGCCAGGATCAATTACCCATGAATTTTGTACAGTGATGGATATTCTTCCCACTGTTCTGGAGTTTTCAAAGATTTCTCACCCGGGCGCCAGCTTCAAAGGTCGTACTGTTCATAAACCGAAAGGTATTTCTTGGGCTCCTTATCTGGATGATAAGGTCCCTGAAATATATGATGAAAAGAGAGTCACTGGATGGGAATTGTTTGGTCAGCGTGCAATTAGACAAGGTAGATATAAAGCTCTTTGGATTCCAAAACCAATTGGCAGCGGGGAATGGGAGCTTTATGATATTCTGAAGGATCCTGGTGAGATCAATGATTTGAAATATGAACAACCGCAGGTATTGGAAGGTCTAATCGAGCATTGGACATTATATGTTGCAGAAGCTGGTGTAATCGAGTTGGAGCAATATCCGGAAGGTACTCGGTGGAATGTAAAAGTTATAAAAGACTCTTGAAGCCAAATTTACTATACACAACGTATGTAATAGTATATCAAATATAGTAAAAATGCCTATAGCTCATATAACAGTTTGCTTTTATATGTTGTCTATATTGTATGATTAGTTTCTTCTCAGTTTGGTATTGGAACTCTCAGCTGATATTTTCATTGTATATATTTACGGAATTGCTTCCATAATCTGAAATAAATGCATAATAGTAATAGTTTCACATTTTTTTATTCGATACATATATGTTCTCTGATTCTGTACTTCGTTACGGAAAGTATTTAATGAGCAAATCTAAAATCTAATCTCTTATTCCCCTGATCTTTTGTATTAATCACATAATCTGCTCTCTCTTCTTCTGTCATCGCGTTCCACGCAGCTTCCTTTGACTTATTTCTGCGCACGTAATAGATTTTCACCAGAAGTAGTAAGGGAATCAAAGCGAAAGAAATCCAAAATAGGTTTTGATTTCCTCTGTGATATAAAGGAGCATCATTCGATCGATAAATTTGGTTTGAAGCGATACTTCCGAGTTGCACAAACATATTGTAAAGGGCAGAACAAACGGCACGATTTTTAATGGAATTTGAATTACGTGATACCCAAGAAACACAGATGGCATGGATATAAGGTGTACCCAAAACTAGGGTAGTAATCGCAAAAGTTGGCCAAGCTTGAACCATGGATCCGGGCCACCATCTGATAAACCCCAGAAGAATTGTCGAATAAATTGGAGCGGCCAAGGATATTAATGATCTCTCATTGAACTTCTCGGTCATCCAAGTTATAATCAAGAGAAAAAATATATGTATCACATTGTAAGGAATGGTAAGGAGCTGGACGTTAAATGTTGAAAATCCCAAACTCTTAAGAGTCAACGTTAAGTAGGGAGTAATTGTTGCTGCAGGAATATAAGCTAATAGCCCAATAGCATAAATGGGCCACAGATCATAATCTGCCAAAGCTTGAAAGATTTTTTTCGCCGTAAGAGGCTGTCTATTGTTCATGTCACCTTTTGATGGGTCGTCCCTAAGGACGCGATTCACAACAATTTTCTCTTCGCGCTCAGTAAACCAACCCTTTGGATGTAGCCAATTTTTTGTCTGAACTGCAGAAGGAACCATCAAGTAGAATGCACCTATACCAATCAGCAGTGTGAATATTCCTTCCAAGAGAAAAAGCCATCTCCATCCTGCTAATCCAGCAAGTCCCCTCATTCTCAAAATAGCAAAAGCGAGCAACGCAGTAACAATTTGAACTAGTGAAAGAGTTGTCCAAAACCAAGATAAGCGTATTGGAAGCTCTTTTGACTTGTAAAAATAACTCAACCACAATACAAGGTCGGCAATAAATCCCCCTTCTAGTAGACCAATTAGACAACGAGTGATATAAAATCCGACCTTACCCTTCATGGCAGATTGGCACATCGAAACGATGCTCCATGCTACCATTTGAAGGGGAACAAACCTGTCAGGTCCTAGCTTCTTTGAAATAAGTTGGGAAGGCACCTCGGCAACCAGAAAGCTTGCGAAAAATATTTGATTACCGATGTTGTAGTCATTCGTAGTCATTCCCATATCAACAAGAAAATCATCAGCCACTGCTTGTGCGAGGTTTCCCCTGTCAACCTGAAGAGCAACGAACATGATACAAGCAGGGATAGCAACTCTCCAATCAAGTTTTCTCAGTAGTTTCTTTTCTTCCTGTAAGGACCATGTAAATTCGGGATCAAATGCTTCACGGCATTCATAACTACATTCTTCGTATAATTTCCGGTAGTATTCAGCGTTGTATGGGTCGAGGAAGGGATTTTCATCTGATTTTTCGCTATCAGTAGATGAAATAACTTCGACCGAACTTATCACCTCCTTTTCGTCAATTTTATTTGACATTTGGCTTTTACCCTATGAATAATTATAATTCTTCGAAAGTAGATTTCTTAGATTTCTTCGAGTAGTGGTTCGTTATATAAACCTACATCAATAGCTCTCTAATGAGTTCTTTGAATCTTCTGAACGACATTTTGTCTCAAACAGGCAAGCCTGACATCTCTAATATCCTTTTGAACGGTTTTGTGTATCGTAGGTGACTTTTTTCGGAGACAAGAGACTTCGTCCACGATAGAAAAAGCTACAGCAAAAGGTTGCTGTTCTTACAAGCATGCTGCAGTATACCAAGGCGGAGTCAACGTGTCTTTGGTTGTAGGTGTATGAGCCTTATATGAAGAAATGACGGAACTTGGAAAGGTATAAATAATGCGTCTGTTTGGAAACCACAGAGAGCATATCGTTGTTTGGCTTTGTGCAGTATTCCAATATGCCTGTAAGTGTAAATCCAGACCAAGTGGACTACGGAAACTTTGATACACATTTTTTCAGTGGTCAAGACGAAGTTAGCAGTGATGGAGTCTTGCGAATTAGTCCTAAGTACAGATTGAAGTCGAACTATGCCGCGTTCCTTCCAGCTTGGGATCCTAAACAGAAGTTTGACCCGCTAACCTTCCACGAGTACCATGATCCAGCTTTAAGAGCTGATCCACGGTTTACAAATCTCCTCGGCAAGAGTAAGAACGAAGTAGTCAGGAAAATCACCCCCAAATTTGGTACTGAGATTGATGGTATCCAACTAACAAGCTTGGATAATGCTGGAAAAGATGAACTTGCTCTATTGGTAGCCCAGAGGGGTGTCGTGATTTTCAGAAATCAGGATTTCGCCAAAAAAGGACCTCAATATGCTGTGGAATATGGTAAGCATTTTGGCCAACTACATGTACACCAAACCTCTGGTGCTCCAGAGGGTTATCCAGAGTTGCACATTACATTTCGCAGACCTGATCATACTGAATTTGAAAGAGTTTTTCAAGATAGCCTCACATCCTTACGCTTTCATACCGATGTTTCCTACGAACTGCAGCCTCCATCATACACGTTTTTTAGCGTGTTAGAGGGTCCTGATGGAGGCGGGGATACTTTATTCAGTGATTCGGTAACTGCTTATGAAAGGCTTTCGCCTGTATTTCAAGAGTTTCTTGGAAAACTGCATGTGATTCATAGCTCTAAAGAACAGGCTGATAACTCAAAACTTCATGGTGGAATTCAGAGAAGGAAGCCGGTTACCCATATACATCCGTTGATAAGGGTTCATCCGGTGCTAAAGAAAAAAAGCATATTCGTGAATAGCACATTCTCTAGAAGAATAGTGGAGTTGAAAAAGGCTGAGTCTGACTTGTTGTTAAACTTTCTTTATGAGTTGGTTAATACGTCGCTAGACTTGCAACTTCGGGCAAAGTGGGAGCCAGGCACCGTAACAATTTGGGATAATCGCAGAACTCATCATTCGGCAACGATCGATTGGGAAGAGCCAATTTCTCGGCATGCTTTTAGAATAACACCACAAGGTGAAAGACCGATTGAAGATTTAAAATACCTTAACGATAGAAGGTATTTTCCCTCTGAGGCGACAAAGAATATTTGATGACACTCAAGAAGAGCACTCTGTTGAGAACGATGCTTACCGTCAATGCCGTGCGGTCAATTCTTGTTATATTTGATATGGGGTCCCTCTAGAGCTTGAAACACCTCGTTATTTACTTGTTTTATGGTGACATGTTAGAAAATACAAAAATACATACGGAAAAAAACGTTATTGATATCTTTTAAGAAGTGTCTGCATTCTGATCTTTTCATGTGGAACCTTGCTTTGTATGACGGCCGTAAATCATTCAATCTGCAGCGCTTATATTTCTTCGCATAGCTTTAAGAGCTTAAAGTGAGGTAAGAATTGCGTTTTATGTATCTGATTATCTAATATTTCTGTATAATCGCAAAATGGTCGTAAAAGGACAAGTTCTAACCGTGGTTTTTTGTGAATAACAAGTTTTGAATGATTTAATTCACATAACCAAAATAAATGGTAGATAATCATGGATCTCTTTTTGGTTGTTTGGTGCTGCGCACAGAAATCGTTTTTTTTTTTGAGTCGAAGATATTTCACACTTTCTTGAGTATTACTGCCATACGACGCGCAAATATCCTAAATCAGGAAGTTGTGGGTTCAAAATAGTTACAAAAGGGTATCTGCTTGATTGATTATTAAATTTAGAAAGAGTACGAACTAAAATGCGTTATTATTCTTTGTAAGAAGTATGAAACCTCCCTGAGCGACAAAATATTAGATAAACAACAATGTCACTTTTAAATATTCCTCATACCATTAATAAAGGTAAAATCATGAAAAGTCCTCCAGTCATTTTGTTAGCGGCACCAGAGTATATAGAGATTGATGTTAAAGTAGTGGTGGTACCACTAGAGATGAGTGTTGTTCCTGAGTATTGAGATAATACTGGCGTAGCGACCTTTGAAGTACTGAGTGACTGGAATTCATTACTTTGAGTCATATGCGAATAAACTTTGCTTTCGGATTTTATAGTGTTTGCTGCTGTAAGCTCTGTGGAAGGGCTATCAGCCTCTTCACCAGTAGTTAGTGTTCCGCGATCCACGACCTGCGATTGAGATACCACAGAAATAGAATTGCTCGGAATCGTCGCCTTATTTGATCCTGACGTTGTGTATGGGATATGCTCTTGACTTTCGGGTGTAGTAATTGAGTCAGGATGCCCCGATTTTGCAGTTTCGACAATAGTCCATGAATTAATAGCATCTGAAAAGATCGAAATACTTTCGAGTGTTTTGGATGCCTCGGAGGAAACTGATATCCTTGTTACTACCGGGGTGACTATCTGAGAAGAAGGGGTTTGTGGCAAAGTATGAGAGGTAGTTGCAACACTGCTTCTATCTTCGGTCATTGAGTTCGAGAAACTGCTTTGTTTTACACCTTCTTTTCCTGTTGATGAATACTCCTTCGAGGTCATATAGTCGTTTGAAGTTGAGATGATGTATCCTGTGGTTGAAGCAGTGATTGAAGCAGATGCACTGTCATAGGTTGATGATTCAAGACTAACTTTAGATGATGATCGTTTAAGCTCTCCTGTTGAGCCAACAAATGATGAGGTACTTTTTTCAAGGTAGCTGGTAGTGTAGCTCGTTATAGCATTGGTGTGAGTGGTTGTAACAGTTGAATCCATAGGCGTAAATGTTGTGCTACTCCCCATAATGTCGGATTTGCCCTGGCTAGAAGACTCAAAATTTGGTATCGCTGTACTATCGTGTGAAGAAGTCGTGCTCGAGCCTGAGTTAGATGTAGAGTTGCTATAGTAACCAAACGTTGGTGTTTCAACAAAAACAAGAGTAGTTGGAGTTGCAACCCCATCACTTCCAGTGATATACATCTGACCAGTCGAGGTTGAAGTCATTATACCAGACCAAGGAATCGTTGAAGTAGACAAAGGTATCTCGACGTACACAATACTGGTCGAAAGCAAAATTCCATCAGATCCAGTGCTTTCTAGCAATCCTGTACTGGTTGAAGTAAATGAACCGGTCCAAGGAATAGTTTTAGTGTGAAGGTTTATTCCAGTAGAGGATTCACCAGTCAAGGGTGTCTCGACAATCACCAGTGTGGTTGGAGTGGTTTTGCCATCAGTGCCGGTGATATCGACTAATCCAGTAGTGGTTGATGTGATAGTACCAGTCCATGGCACAGTAGTAGTAGATAGTGGTGTCTCAACAATTACCAATGTCGTTGGCGTAACACTACTATCGGTGCCAGTGATATCGACTAATCCAGTAGTAGTGGATGTGATAGTGCCAGTCCATGGCACCGTGGTAGTAGATAGTGGTGTCTCAACAATTACCAATCTCGTTGGCGTAACACTACCATCGGTGCCAGTGATATCGACTAGTCCAGTAGTAGTGGATGTGATAGTGCCAGTCCATGGAACCGTGGTGGCCGATAGTGGTGTCTCAACAATTACCAATGTCGTTGGCGTAACACTACCATCGGTGCCAGTGAAATCGACCAATCCAGTAGTAGTGGATGTGATAGTGCCAGTCCATGGAACCGTGGTGGTAGATAGTGGCGTCTCAACAATCACCAGAGTAGTTGGGGTGGTGCTACCATCTGTACCGGTGATATCTACCAATCCAGTAGTAGTTGATGTGATAGTACCAGTCCATGGCACAGTAGTAGTAGATAGTGGTGTCTCGACAATCACGAGAGTAGTTGGGGTGGTGTTGCCATCTGTACCGGTGATATCGACCAAACCAGTTGTGGTGGACGTTCCATTCCCAGTCCATGGTACAGTAGTAGTAGATAGTGGTGTCTCGACAATCACAAGAGTAGTTGGGGTGGTGTTGCCGTCAGTGCCGGTAATATAGACCAATCCAGTAGTAGTGGATGTGATAGTGCCAGTCCATGGAACCGTGGTGGTAGATAGTGGCGTCTCAACAATCACAAGAGTAGTTGGGGTGATGTTGCCGTCAGTGCCGGTGATATCTACCAATCCAGTAGTAGTTGATGTGATAGTACCAGTCCATGGCACAGTAGTAGTAGATAGTGGTGTCTCAACAATTACCAATGTCGTTGGCGTAACACTACCATCGGTGCCAGTGATATCGACCAATCCAGTAGTAGTGGATGTGATAGTGCCAGTCCATGGAACCGTGGTGGTAGATAGTGGCGTCTCAACAATCACCAGAGTAGTTGGGGTGGTGCTACCATCGGTGCCAGTGATATCTACCAATCCAGTAGTAGTTGATGTGATAGTACCAGTCCATGGAACCGTGGTTGTGGATAGTGGTGTCTCGACAATCACAAGAGTAGTTGGGGTGGTGTTGCCGTCAGTGCCGGTAATATCGACTAATCCAGTAGTGGTTGATGTGATAGTACCAGTCCATGGTACAGTAGTAGTAGATAGTGGTGTCTCGACAATTACCAATGTCGTTGGCGTAACACTACCATCGGTGCCGGTGATATCGACTAATCCAGTAGTAGTGGATGTGATAGTGCCAGTCCATGGAACCGTGGTGGCCGATAGTGGTGTCTCAACAATTACCAATGTCGTTGGCGTAACACTACCATCGGTGCCAGTGAAATCGACCAATCCAGTAGTAGTGGATGTGATAGTGCCAGTCCATGGAACCGTGGTGGTAGATAGTGGCGTCTCAACAATCACAAGAGTAGTTGGGGTGGTGTTGCCGTCAGTGCCGGTAATATCGACCAATCCAGTAGTGGTTGATGTGATAGTGCCAGTCCATGGAACCGTAGTGGTCGATAGTGGTGTCTCGACAATTACCAATGTCGTTGGCGTAACACTACCATCTGTACCGGTGATATCGACCAAACCAGTTGTGGTGGACGTTCCATTCCCAGTCCATGGTACAGTAGTAGTAGAAAGCGGCGTCTCAACAATCACGAGAGTAGTTGGCGTCGTGTTGCCGTCAGTGCCGGTAATATCGACCACTCCAGTAGTAGTGGATGTGATAGTGCCAGTCCATGGAACCGTGGTGGTCGATAGTGGTGTCTCAACAATCACCAGAGTAGTTGGGGTGGTGCTACCATCTGTACCGGAAATATCGACCAATCCAGTAGTGGTTGATGTGATAGTGCCAGTCCATGGAACCGTAGTGGTTGATAGTGGTGTCTCGACAATTACCAATGTCGTTGGCGTAACACTACCATCGGTGCCAGTGATATCGACTAATCCAGTAGTAGTGGATGTGATAGTGCCAGTCCATGGAACCGTGGTGGTAGATAGTGGTGTCTCAACAATCACCAGAGTAGTTGGGGTGGTGCTACCATCTGTACCGGTGATATCTACCAATCCAGTAGTGGTTGATGTGATAGTACCAGTCCATGGCACAGTAGTAGTAGATAGTGGTGTCTCAACAATTACCAATGTCGTTGGCGTAACACTACCATCGGTGCCAGTGATATCGACCACTCCAGTAGTAGTGGATGTGATAGTGCCAGTCCATGGAACCGTGGTGGTAGATAGTGGCGTCTCAACAATCACAAGAGTAGTTGGGGTGGTGTTGCCGTCAGTGCCGGTAATATCGACCAATCCAGTAGTGGTTGATGTGATAGTGCCAGTCCATGGAACTGTGGTTGTGGATAGTGGTGTCTCGACAATCACAAGAGTAGTTGGCGTGGTGCTACCATCGGTGCCGGTGACAACCACTGATCCAATGGTAGTCGATGTGACGGTTCCTGTCCATGGAATTGTAGTAGTAGATAGCGGCGTCTCAACAATCACTAGGGTAGTTGGTGTAGTGTTACCATCTGTGCCGGTAATATCGATTAATCCAGTTGTGGTTGATATGACAGTACCCGTCCACGGAACCGTGGTTGTAGATAATGGTGTCTCAACAATCACAAGGGTAGTTGGTGTGGTGTTGCCATCGGTGCCAGTGATACCGACTAATCCGGTAGTAGTGGACGTGACGGTTCCTGTCCATGGAACTGTTGTAGTAGACAGTGGTGTTTCGACAATAACCACTGTTGTTGTGACTACCTTGCCATCGCTATCGGTAACATCAATTACACCAGTTGTAGTCGATGTCTTTGTTCCAGTCCAAGGTTCAGTGGTGGTTGATAAAGGTGTTCCCACATAATAAATAGTCTCAGTTGTTTGAAGACCATCGCTTCCTGTGAACGTAAAAATTGAAGTTGAAAATGTGCTAGTGGCCGTGCCTGTCCATGGCTTGGTGGTAGTAGACTGAGTGTTATGAATCACAGACGCTGCTCCACCAGCCGAACCCGTTGTTATTATCCATAGCCCTGTGGTACTGAAAGCTTTTGTACTTGCTGCGCAAGTTCTGGTCGCCAAAACTTTTTCTGTGATCCCGAGACTAACATAAGAAGTTGAGGGCAATGCTTGATAGGCAGTCATGAAAATATGGTAATTAGCAGGTATACTACTAGCTGAAACTGAAACAGTATTTCCAGAACACGACATTGAGTAGTATTGTGAAGGTAATATTTGGGGATCTTTTGGAAATCCCCAGTCATTGAACGATGAAGCCATAAAAAGAGCAACATCACTGCATGATGTTAAAGTTCCGACACCACTATTCGAACCACTAAAAATTACTCTAAAGTTCTCTGAAAACGAACTCGCACATGAGGGACCCAATAAATAATAAAGGTAACTTGTATCGCTACCTGGAGCTGGCTCTCCGTATACACCAAAGTTAGTTGCAGTGGCTTTTGTGCTGTATATAGTATCAGAAGTCAGCGATATTGTTGCTGTCATTGAATTCCACGTCAATGTATTTACACCCACGCTAAGAGCATTTGCTGCGGCTTTTTCACCAATTGACATTCCTGGAGCTAGTCTTATGCTAATACTCATTAGACCAGTTACATCCACGCTGGAATCTTCATTGATTGTACAGCTTAGGGTAGTTGGCTCCCCTGTACTAAATCCGTTAGAAATTAAACATGTGGCATAGTTGGTATTTCCGTCAGAAATATATACCCAATTTCCTTGGGCATTGGTTATGTTTGAATAAATTTTCCTGACAAATGGCATGCTCAATTCAAAAGTGTCACCAATTTGCGGACTTGCGGCTAATGGAACAGTGAATGAAAGCTGAGCCTGAAAAACATCTCTATTTGCATTCCCACTGTTCAGTATTCTGAATCCTGTGAAAACATCAGGTATGAGCTTAGCACTGGTTATTCTCAAAACAAAAATCCATAAACTCAAAAGTTGCCATAGGTGGGCCATTTTTGGTTTCATGATTTTCTATTTTCTTCGAATCAAATGTTCGTGGATGTGCAAATATAGATTATCTTTAATATATCAAAGGGCAAAGGGCAAAGTATCGCTTCAAAGGTTTTCACTTCAACAATAAAAGCGGTTCCAGACGGCTCGGTGCCTTTTACTACATACGAGAACTATCAGGCACAACACATTCATTGTAATCCATTGAGTAGGCACAAGAATGATTAAGATGCGTATTCCCTAAAATGTATTCTTGCAGAAATTGCAAATATGTTTTCTCCGCTGCTAAAAAGAATTTGCATCGATCGGGAATCTTCTTCATCTATAAGAAACTCTGTGATCAAAGTCGATACACCACCAAATTACATCTATACAGAGCTTATATAGAACCCAAGAAAATGAAGTAGGCAGTGAGATTCCTGTCTGCTAGCAGCCTAGTCTTAACCTGAGGACTAACTTGATATAGAACCGCGTTTTCATATTTTTAGCCTACTTTTCTTTTCTTATTCACTTTAACCCGATTGAAGGTGATTCCAGCTTCGACGGCTTTCCTCTGCACATGTTTGTAAGCTTATGTTACTGTAATGGTTCGCCTTACCGTTCTCTTTTGTTACCTTCGTTCCTGTCACCTGTTGGTTCTGGAAGTATTCGTGCATATACAGTGCCTGCAATTTCTGGGAAATACTTTTTTACGATTATTCATAACTGCTTTAATTCAATCAGGGATGCTACTGGTTACCGAAATGCATATGCGCAATTAAGCTTACAAAAACTTGAACAATTGATTTCCAGTATCAGTTCTTTTATTAGCTTTTAATGATGATAAAGTACCTTTCGTACACTGTTCTTGGCACTCCACGATTGAAAGATTCAATTATGTCTATCATGCTTCTAATGGAATGACTCGAGGGCCTCCATCTACATGAGAACGTCGTTATCCGTTTTTAATGATAGGCTCTCTCCAGTACAATTCGGTGCATTAATTAATCCTTAAGTAGACACATTCTAAAGGAACATATCTCTGCAAGGAACACCTCAAAAAAATGCAAGATATACATCACTAAGAAGTCGGTTTACGGTAATTTTTTAAACTCTTTCGGTCAGTTATGGTACAGAGATCTTATTCGCATTTTTCGGGGTGATTGGGAAGGCAACTCTCCTTCAAAGCACAACCGTCCTAGCGTATACTCTTGAGCTTTTCAATTCTATGCATTGTAGTCGTTATGAAAAACTCATTTCATGGCCGAAAAACTAATAAGATCACAGTAGCTGTTAATAAGTTGGCAGCAGCCCTTACATCTTTCAACAAATATGTATGGCCATGTTGTAAGGACTTTTCGAAAAGGCGTTCTGGTCTCGCCTTGGATCTATATTCCTTCAAAACTGCAATAAATCGCATTTGCGCTGTACATGCAAAATGTATTATAGCGGGAAATGATGCACTTCTTCGAAGCCTCTTGTTGTTGCTAAACATGATACTTTCCTTCGTTCCTACTCGTACATGATACTTGCCTATTGAACCGTTTTGCGTCTCGAAAAAAAATGATTCCACGGAAGAGGCGAAGGAACTGTTTTTCGACATGCGGCCACGTTGGTAGACAACCACTGATATTTCTATGGCAATGAAGTTCACTCTTTCTTAAGATTGACGTAACCGCACATATTTGGTGAAAGACAGTATGTCCTTCGAGACTTCTATTTTGGACAAGCTTCTTATCTAAAGTTGAATTTTTATGGTGTGAAGATGATACCGTCATTCATATATCGTAGCTTAATCAGTGGTTTGATGTTTCGAAAGTTTTGAAAAAGTAGACAAGCTATGTGGCAAGGGTATTTTATGATATACATCTAACAACTCTGACATTTTCAGATTCTCGTACTCCCAAAAATCGACCAAAGTTCCTTAGATACGAGTAGAGCATATCTGATCAGTGATTGTAATCTGAGTTCACGGACCAGCATGCTTGTTCAAACGTAAAGCTGGTTCAAAGCATAAGTTAAATCAAGACTACATGCATTAATTCCTTGGAAGGCGTTTCTTGATTGTCCGAAGGATTCCTTTGAAGAAGATTCCGATGCAATGTAAGCTCTTACAAGATGATTGAGCATACTAATTGTCTTAACCACCCCAGTATCAATCTTCGAACGAGCTCATGGATAGATTACAAAGGAGTGGATTGAATGTAATTGGCCGCGTCTGTGACCCCAATGAAGTTACCCAGTATAAAACTATCGGAGCAGGAGGATGCAGGCATCATCAAAATATGCCTAGTTTTGTGCTTATGAAGAAGATCGCAAGACCTGAGCAGATAAAATCAGCTCAATGCAATTTAGTTTCTCTTGTAGTTTTTTTTAAGCTTCACCCTGAAACTAAAGTATAATAACTCAAAAGATTAGGATGCTTTCAATTAGCGCGTCAGTTTCTGTAACTCAATAGCATATAATGGTTGATATTATAAAGCGGTTATTATGTCATCCTTATTTCACGAACAGCTTGGGTTCTAAAAGCAACAGAGGAAACCAAGCTGAACATAAATCTGCATCGTGAAATTAACACTCGACGAAGCGTGATTAGTAGCTATTTTTGAAAACTTCGTTTTTTCAATTAAAGAAAGAAAGGCCTTTTATTCACTTGCTAGAGCTTGGGTAGCCACATAACTTGTAATTAAGTTTAAACTTCATAAAATCAAAAGAAAAACGTATTTTAGTAACGATGAAGACGGTCTGGGATTAAGAAAGTACCGCTCTAGAGAATATTACAAAGGGGTAAGCGACTGCTAACACAATCACCTTCGCAAACTATCACTCAAATGCGTGACTGGCGTACTCACATTTTAATCAAGACCCCAGAAACAGAAGAACAGCTGCAACTTCGCGATTCAGTACTATCTCAGGAATCTCTTTATGCCATAAGAATGCTGCGAAGGCGAAAAAATCATTATGGTGACCTCCAAATGTGCATTTTGCGATTGGACTTTTAACTGATTCAGGTAATGGAGTTTAGCAACGCTATGAAGCAATATCAGTCAATTTGGATAGTAATTACTTTCCTTTCTTTATCCGCCATCACAATGAATAGGGAACACCCAAAGGCGCATGTTATCCGTAAATTCAATATAACAACTCCGTTTTCCTGTAATTAGACCGTTCGATAGTATTTTCAGTGACGCTTGATTTATCTGCAGCAGCATTTTCACAATAGTAAGATCAGGAAGACATACTAAAAGGCTAATATCGAGCTTTCTCTTGAGGATTTTTCTAATCCCAGCAGAAGTAAAAGGAATCATTGTTTGAACTAAAGCCAAAGTCTTCATCCATAAGTCTACATTCGCTCTCTTTTTTGTAGTTATTGGCAAAAAGTGAGTTAAAGTTCACACTCAATAGCTTGGCTGCTTTATAACTGAGCTGCTCCACTTTTTGAGCTGAAAATGATGGATAATGGTACTTGATGGTACGAAATTCCCTCGAGCAACGAATTAGTCTAATTTCATGATTTCGTAAAAGGAAAGTCAAGGATAATATTTGACCTTCTAGACTTGGACTTTGATATCGCGCTTATTTCAAAGATGAAAAATTACACTATTTTTTAAGAGTTGAGAAGTAAGCTGTCGTTATCTATTACTTGGGTGGAAAATTTCTGCTAATAATGAATGCAGCACCATATATAAACGAACTGGAAAATATTAATGTCTCTGAATGGCTGCAAGAATCAATTGCACAAAAGAAATAAATGGCTAAACAAGTTCAATGGAGTGAAGTTGGCCCTGGTAAAGGCTATGCTATTTTGTCACCTGCCTATGTTGCCTCTAAGTCCAACGATTTAGTTTTCACTTCAGGTTGTGTGGGGACAGACCCTGTAACAGGAGACCTACCTGAAGATTTGGAAAAGCAAATCACGAATGCGCTTGAAAATCTTAAGAATGTTTTAAGAGCCAGTAACTCTTCAATGGATAAGGTTTTGAAGATCTTACTCTTCGTTGCTGATCCGTCGTATGCTAATACTGTTAATGAAGTTTACGCCAGATACTTCCCCAATGCACCCGCTAGAAGTTGTATTGTTGTTGCATTTCCATCTCCAGCCCTTAAGGTTGAGTTGGAATGTATTGCAGAAGCAAACTCTTGATCATTGTATCCGGAGATTTGCACAACCCTTACGATATTTTCCATATAGAATACAAGGATGATTTCCACGCAGACTTTTTTATAGAATTTAATGTAGCCAGGACTCAATCATAATCGAGCGTATAGTTCTCAATAACTCTGATGTGCATGATAACGCCGAGCAAAGTTCTTAGACCCCGAATTCTTGACCTCAACATGTTTAAATCACCTGTTCTTTTTGAGTTTACCTCCGAAACATAAATAAATATTTTAAAAAATAGCTACCTAAATGATCCTTTAAATAAGCAAGATGGTTCTCACTACTATATCGGGCTCTTTGGAACCGAAAATGAATCATTCTGGTTCTTCATACTCCCCGCCCATACAGTAGCCACTCAACCAGTTGAATTCTAACAACCCCAGGGTTTATAGTGAGCTTTCAATTTTTAGCATATCCTAATTTGTTATCCAAGTATGGAAATGGTGAAGTACTCCTTAAAATTATGAAATGTGAACTTATCTGAATTCTGGAAATGTTAATGGCTGATACGCCTCGTCGTAAAGAGAATCTGCGATTCTAGGATTGCGAAGCTTTAGATTTCTGGCGTCCACAAAGCTTTCATTTAAGTCCTCGATCTTATCAACGCCCAAAAGTCTCATGTTATTTTTGATTTCGGTTTCTAGGATATCTATAAGTTTAGCAACGCCATCCTCTCCGTATCCCGCCATTGCATAAAGGAAAGGTCTTCCCAGCCCAACACCAGTAGCCCCTAAACACAATGCTTTGACTACATCAGACCCGCGACGGATACCCCCATCCACATAAATTTCGATTTTATCTTCAAGGTTTTTCTCCCTCAACATTTGCTTCGCCTCAACAAGCACTTCAAGAGGGGGGCGAGAGAAATCCAATTGTCTTCCGCCATGATTGGACAAGACAACCGCTTTAATCCCTTTTTCAGCAGCCAATACGACATCTTCTCCTCTCTGAACACCCTTTAAAGCAACAGGGAGACTTGTGGAACTAATAATCTTCTCTATATCTTTCCAAGCAAGTCTAGGATGTTGGCCAAATTGGTTTGGTGTCATTTCGTCTAAACCGTGATAACCGTCAGTCGAAGCTCTTTGCCTAGAATCTTTCTCGCGATTACCAATGTCCGGTAGGTCAACGTTAAAAAAGACCCCTTTAACGCTTGGAAGTGATTCGGCTGTTCTTAAAAACTGGTCAACGTTTCGTTTTTCTTCCTCAGTGTCGAAATGGAATTGCATCCAATGATTTTGATCTTCAGGTACAACATCAAAGAAATCGTCAACGCTGTAGGAATTTTGCTTCGGCACCATATGCATTACATTAGCATCATATGAAGCGGCTTGAAGGTGCATTTCGCCAATAGGATCAGCCAGCTTCGATCCAGCAAAGGCAGTGATATAGATTGGGATATTGACTTTCGCGCCCAAAAAGTTAGTTGACGTGTCAACGTCTGTATTGGTATCTTGTAAAATTTTAGGTCTAAAAAAAACCCTACTGTAGGCATAATGGTTTTCTCTCAAAGTAAACTCGTCCGAAGCGCCTGTAGCGAAGTACATGAATGATGATTTAGGTAATACTTGCTTTGCAATGGCTTCAAAATCGGATATACTAAACACAGATGATAAGGGTGGCAGCTTACTTTTCATGTCCATAATTCTCATTTCTTCTGCAGTGAGCTCCTTGTAAAATTGACCTTTCATCTTCCCAATATAAATTAGCTTACCCTTTACTTTATCAAGTATGGCATCAGAGTGCATTTCATGGAATTTATCTGTCGCATCCTGGCCAGCAACCTCCAAAATTCTTGCAGCTCCACCAGGGTGTTGCTTCAAAAAAGCAGTTACATCGTATACCTCACCATTCAAAACAATCCAGCAATCATCAACTTTATTGTGCAACTTTATTTCACTTACGGGAATACCGTCCTCGAATGCTTCTCCAAACAAATAAGTCAGTATTCCTACAGTTGCGACCGAAGCAGTGATTGCAGAAGCTTTCCGTACATTCAGTAACTTGGGGTTTGAATAGCTTGAATGATGAACTGCTCGGAAACTAGTAAGATTAACACATCGCACTAGACATTTGCATTGTGAATACACATTTTTTTTTAGCAATCCAAATCTCACTTGTTTAGAAATAGCTCTAAAAAGCATCACGTAATTTAGCAGTTATTTTACCGTTGGCTTCGTCTTGACCATATATTAAGGAATGGTAACGCATCGCTCAATCAATCACTTGTTCTTATACTTTTCTAAACTCCTTCATTCTTACTACCATAATCTGCACATTAATGACCGATGATCCCTTTATGCATACCTCTCTTCTAACTGATAGTCCAAGAGGAAAGCCTTTACTCCTTTTTGATTGATCTCCGTGATAGGAAGATAAAGAAATCTACGCTGCTTCTTGGGTTATCATGCCCATCACCCCGATATTTACCGTGTATTGCGATATGATGGAATTTGAATCTAACGGAATATTCCGGACCGGTACCCGATCTAGGAAACTCAGACCAAGGTCCTGCTAAGCATGCAGATAAGAAATCTGACACATGTGATGAAATGTCCATGGGTACTGACATTTACCCGAATAAGAAGGAGAGACGTTTATCAATACGATTAAGAATTGCTGCAATTTTGAATCGGTATGCTCTCTGTGGATGTCCTTGGAAGGCTACTGTTTCCCATGGATGATTGATAGACAGTTTTGGACCACGATGAACTTAGGAAGGGTCGGGAGGCACTTAGATTTTTACAGCATTAATTGTTAGCATAATGCGCTCTCTTGAGTTATTTTGCTTCGATAAACGTGTTCCCAAAAACGGGCCGATAGAAAAGCGATTATCTAGCACAAGGTGCAATTCACTACAAACTTGGGTAATGTTGGCGTAAGCAATGAAATGGTTGAAGTCGACTTTCAAGTTTCGCGAAGGTTTTGTGAACGTATTTGCCTGGTACGTACTTTACAGCCACTGCGAAATTTATCGACGCAAGCACTCTGCCCGTTATCTTTCGTATCTCCTAAACCGCCTTAGCGATAAAAGCACCCACACGTCCTTATGATCTCTTTTGATGAGCTTACATTATAAAGAAATGCATTTATTTCAGCTCTTGGCGGAACCTTGGGAAACATTCCTTAATGGTTGAGAAGTCTGATTCGTATTGTAAAGCATGCGTCACTAAGAGAATCAAGTGTGATAAAGGTAAGCCACAATGTAAAAACTGCCAAAACAGAAATATTTCTTGTAGGTATCGTCTAACATTGAAATGGGGAGGAAGGCCATATAAAAATAAGAATAAGATGATTAATATACCGCATAATACGACTATGATCAACGGAGTATTGGTTGCAAAGAGTGGATTTGTCTCAACCAAGGCGAAAGTGAGGGTTAGGGAATTTGTGATTGCAGAGCATTCCTCTAACTTCAAAAAGTCTTCAACGAGAAGCAGTAACCTTGCGATGCGGAAAAAAACAGACGTCCATGTTTCCGAGGAAACATCGGATCCTGCTGCGTTAAGTCAAGTTACTTTACTTGTCCACAAGTCGCAAGAAGAAGGATTTGAATTATGTCATTCTTTTATACCTCGTTCAAGAAAACTCCTTTGTGAATCATGGCAGTATGCAGAATCATTTTGCTATTTTGTAAAGGAGACCTCTAGGTTTTTTGTGGTTTCTGCAGATGGTCGGTTCTCAAATCCATTCGAAATCATCCTCCCGCAAATGGCCATGCGTTGTCCTGTTCTACTCAAGCTTTTGGCTGCATTTGGGAGCAGGCATAGGATTTCCTGTTTGCCTTATGACGAGGAGAGTGAGTATGTTCCCCTGGACGAGTTGTTCCCCATAGACGTAAAGGATAGAGTGCTTGATAGAGAACTTTTGCGCGAAGGGATGCGGGAATTGATGAAAAGGCTTATTCATCCACTAATGAGATTTGACGACCTGACCCTTGCGAGTGTTCTTATACTCGCAAGCTCTTGCATTTTCTTTGGAGACGATCAAATTCGTTGGAGAGCCCACGTCAATGGTGCAGAACTTATCATACACCGCAAATCGCTTTCAGACTCCAATCATGCCTTAAAAGAACTAAGCTATCAAGTTGGAAGAGAGCCCCATTTCTTTTTAAGGAGATGGTTTACATATATTCAAGTGATGGGTGTTCTAACATCAGCTAATTCCTCACCACCCACAAAGGACGTATACAATCTCAACTTTTCCTTCACTCTTCCGAATTCAGAAGAAAAAAAAAGAGCGATGATGCAATTAGAGGACATTGAATACACTAGCGGCATGGATTTGGTTGTCCTTTCCTTGTTAGCAAGAGTGGCGTATCTCTTGTCTGAAAAAGTGAATCTCCAGGACAATAACTCTTTGGGACCAATACTGATACGAGGTATGGAATTGGATTACGAAATAATGAATCATCTCGAAGTTACGGAAAGAGAAAGGGATGATATGTTAAAAACCATTCTTGAAGTTACGTCTTCAAAGTGCTCAACTCGTCGTATGGCAACATACGCCCTTTTAAGGTCAACAAACATGATATTTGGTCTAACTGGAGTTGTTCTCTTGAGGCGGAGAGTATTGGGCGTTTCTCCGACTAGTGAAATGGTGATAGATTTGCTTTCAAAAGTAACAAACCTAATAAGTCAAAGAATGCCACAACCTTCCTGTCTTTTATCTTCTATCTTTTGCTGTGGATGTGAGTTAATCGATCCCTCACTTGTACCATTTCGTGACGTTTATATGAATCACTTAGAAAATTTTTCTAGGAGAGGGATGTCCAGTGCCCTCAAAGCGAAGTCAGTTATGGAGAGGTGTTGGAGATCAAAGAAGCCTTGGTGGGAAATATTAGAAGAGATGAATATGGATATTTGCTTCGCAATATAGGTTTTTACCAGTAACTTTCAGAAAACTGTGTTCATGTGTGGAAGGGGGACATTTCTAATGTCGCTCACGATTTCTCCAGGTGTACGTTATTTCAAGTCGCCAATAAGCCTCCTCCTTCGCTAAAAAAACATCTTGGCAGATAAAAGTCTGTCTTCTCCATTAAATTATAGTACGCTGGTGGATTTTACCTTGTATACTCTATTATAGGCAATAATATCCATTGCCAAATTTTAATCGAGCCACTTGTGTGATGGTTTGCAACATATTGGTGAGCCCGAGGCAATTATGAGTAGAAACCCTTTTAATTTAATCGATAAGTAAGAATCGGCAACAGAGTCTTACATTTACCTAGATAAACGATGATAAGTAAATGCAATTGCAGGATTAGAAGATACTTTAAATGGCAGAGGACTGGTATTTGCACAAGAAAACGCGTTTCGCTAATGGCTGATCTACCCAAAGATTCTTCGACGTCAAAATATACCTGCCCTTTGGGGTATTTTGGGAAAGTCAAATCCTGTGACTGCGGTAGGTTGCTCAATTAGTCACAATTGGACGTAAAATGTTGTTACAGGCGTTACGATGTTACTACTTTCACTTTCCCGCCGTAATCGTGTATGCGAGACCTGATAAGAGGGTTGCATAGCATTGATTACGACATAATTCCAGCTTGTAGATTGAAATCGGTCCTCTTTCAACGTATCCCTGATAGGAAAGTCAACGACGGAGTTCTAGAAAAGGTCGCAGGACACGTCAAATCCCGGATCACTTATTACTAGCAGCACCGTAAACTGACCGCCGAGAAGATGCTGTAATCACTTAAGGGATAAGACGAAAGTAAGGTATATAAACTCGCTGAATTCTGATGCATTGTGAATTATCAATTATGTATATCAAAAGTACAAAGTAACTTTAATAAGAGATATGACCGCCGCAGCAGCAAGTGACAGCAAGTCCTACATTTTCCAAGGAATCATTGATAAGCCCGGAGCACAAGTCGTCGGGGGTAAAGGTGTCTTGATCGATATAGAAAGAGATGGGAAGGTTTACCCTAACATGATTGACGCTATTGGTGGGGCAGCGGTTGCTTCGCTTGGTTGGGACGACGAAGAAGTTCAAGATATCATAGCAAAAGCTGCAACTGAGACAACGTATTCTTATCCTACACTAATTGCCAACAAGGAAGCTGAGAGATTGGCTCAATTTTATATTGAAAATTCTCCTAAAGGAGCTTTTTCTGCCGCTTTGTGGTGTACTTCTGGTTCTGAAAGTAATGAAAATGCTTTGCGGATAGTCAGACAATATTATTTGGAGCGTGGACTTCCAAACAAGGTTAAAATAATTAGCAGAGAGAGCTCTTATCATGGATTCACCCTTGGTGCTCAAGCTATTTCCTGGAACCCAAGAATTGATAAATTTGAACCTTATCTGTTTGGCAGAAACACCATCTGCTTGAAGATGCCTTGTGCTTACACTTACCGTTTCAAAAATAAGTCTGAAACTGAAGAACAATACTCGCAGCGCCTTGTGGACCAAGTTGAGAAAATGGTTCTTGACAATGACCCTGATACTGTAGCTGCTATTATCGTGGAGACTTTGCCAGGTTCATCTCTAGGTACTACACCTCCTCCTAAGGGTTACTTAAAGATGTTGAGAGCCCTGTGCAACAAATACGATATAATTTTCTACCTTGATGAGGTTATGTGCGGTACTGGTAGATGTGGTGGAGATGGAAAACTTAACTGTTGGGAAAACTTTTTAGACCCAGATGAAGCGCCAGACATTCAAACAGTTGGAAAAACACTTGGTTCCGGATATGTCACGATTGCTGGTGTTCTAGTGGGCCCAAAAATTAAGGATGCTTTTATGAACGGATCCAAGGCGATTTTTGGTGGGCACACCTATTCTTGCCATGCATTCAATTGCGCTGTTGCTCTGGGCATTCAAGAAAAAATTAAAAGAGAGAACTACACTGGTAACGTTTTTGAAAAGGGAACTTTGATTAACAAGCTACTCACAGATAAACTTCTTTCTGAGGATAACATTGCAGGTGATGTTAGAGGTGTTGGTGGATTTCAATCTGTTGAGTTTGTGAAGGATAGAGTCACGAAAGAGGCATTTGACACTTCGTTAAACGTTGGAGCCCGCTTCAAAGAGAAGTGCTTCTTAAACGGTTTGGTAGTCATGGGTATGCCATCAAATCCAGATGGTAGCTGCGGTGATCGTGCACTCCTTGCTCCTTCATTTGTTTTGACCGAAGACGATGCTGAAGCGATTGTTGAGAAATTCGTCAAATCAGTAAATGAGTTAACGGATGAGTTGAGAGCTGAAGGCGCGTGGAACTGAAAATTGATTTGCCCATTTTCATTATTTTTTTGTAATGTATATATGTGTTGCTATTTTGAATCTAGAAAGCAAAGAATATCGGATATTCATCTGGGACATGACACGGTTTTCTGATAGTTTTAGATCGCGATTTCATAGATCTGTGAAAAGCAGTTGCATCTATTTCCAATCAACATCAGCGTAACCACATGTAACAGATTGACTTGAAGATAGGTCTCTCAGCTCTACAGCTTGACTGCTATTCAAGTCTTATATGTATTTGGATAACGGTTGGACCCATGACCAGCATTTAGCTTTACACAGATATTAGATTTATAGCAGTTATAACTAATGCTTTTTGTAAATCTCTCGTGATGCAGTGTTCCTTTTCATTCTTGAATACAAAGAATAAGGCTTGCGGAAAATTCCGCTGAAATAAAGAATTTTAGATAATACTTACCGATATCAAGTTGTCGCTATCAGACTGTCAACGTTCCCTTAAAAAAAGGGAACTTCCTTATAGGGAAATTCGAATATACAAGCTTTTTTTAAGTTTTTTCTCGTGGCAAATGGATAATATGATCTCCTCTTCCTCTTCATTTAGTTCTCAAATCAACTTTCGGCTGATGAGTGTTTGGTAATTTGATGTCTATTCTGATAAGGGTTAATGGTGCTTACTTGGAACATAATTATTCAACAAATTCTTCTTTTTCCGTATCTTTGAATACTCAAATATCACAATAAACATTCTGGAGATGTGGGGATTCTTATCTTGTCATAGAGCTTTGATGTGTCTCTTTCTCAAGCACCATATTTGACGTAATCCATGGTCGAGATATTTCAAATGTACTCGAAGTACGTCTTATCGCATATCGCACGTCAAGATAAAAAAAAAAAGTGGAGGCACGCACCAGAAAAGGCAACTCGATATGTAGTTTGAATCTTCTAAATCAATACAGTCTAGCTCTGATTGTATGAGTATTCTCCTTAGATGGTTTCCACAAAAAAGAGTACCATAGATATTGAAGATAATAGTTTTATCAACACTGATCGGTAATTTCTTCTTTTAAGGCCGTTACCATTTCTTATTTAAATGAGCTGACATTTTATGAATTTATTCTCCTTGCGAACAGTTCTTACCTAAAGTTATAAAGGGAATAAAAAATTGTTGATCAAATCAACCTCTGATCTGATAAAGACGTGTAAGGATTCCAGTACGCGCATCTTGAGACGAGGAAATCAAAAGTTCGAAATGACTGATGTCTTAAAAATAACCAGTAATGTCTCACTATCTCCATATCTGTCGTACAGAAAAGAAGAAGAAGTTAAGGGTCAGATTATCAATATCATTGAAGAACAAGATGTTGGTTCTATCTCAGACTTTGAAACGCCAGGGAAGATAATAAGAGGTTTAAAATCGAGACACATTCAGTTAATTGCCCTCGGGAGTGCAATAGGTACTGGTTTATTTATTGGTTCTGGGGGCGCTTTAAGTGTGTGTGGGCCCGCGCCTTTATTAATATCTTACATTATCATGTCCTTTTTTGTCTGGACAATTATGAATCAACTGACAGAGATGGTTGTACTCATTCCACTTCCTGGAGAAGCATCCTTGTATTCACTAACTAGAACTTATGTGAATCGACCCCTTTCTTTTATGTCAGGATGGAATCTGTTTTATGCATTAGCGATGATTCCTCCCAGCGAAATAACAGCATGTGCGCTTTTGATTCAATATTGGACTGATGCAAACTCTGCTATCTTCATTTCCATTTTCATTGCTTGCTCCGTTATGTTAACTATGTTACCAGTGAAATTCTTTGGTGAGAGTGAGTTTTGGGTTTGTATGATCAAAATCTTGACGATTACAGGCCTTATTATAGTTGGGATAGTCATTTTCTTTGGAGGGGGGCCATCTCAACATCATGTTTTAGGTTTTCACTATTGGAAGACGCCTGGCGCTTTCAATCATCATCTAACGGGAGGGAACACTGGTAAATTTCTTGCAGTGTGGACGGCAATTATTAAAAGTGGTTTTTCTTTCGTTTTGGTTCCTGAAACTGTCACCTCCTGCTCTGCAGAATCAGTCAACCCGAGAAGAAATATGCCACGAGCATGTCAGAGGTTTGTTTACCGTTTGGCTTTGTTTTATGTCGTAGGTGTTTTGGTAGTCGGTGTTGTTGTAGGATATGATGATTCTGACCTAATGAACGCTGTTAACGCTGGTAAATCAAATGCGGCAGCTTCACCTTTTGTAATTGGGATCAAAGAAGCCGGAATCAAAGTTTTGCCTCATATAATCAATGCGTGCATACTTACAAGTGCATATTCCTGTGGTACTGGCGAACTCTATGGTTGTTCAAGAACCCTTTACTCCATGGCAATGAGCGGAGATGCTCCAAAAATCTTTGCAAAGGTGAATAGATATGGGGTGCCATATTATAGCACTGCAGTTGCCAGTCTTTTTACACTCCTCGCTTACTTGAATTGTTCCAAGTCTTCTTCTGTTGTTTTCAACTGGTTGTCGAACATCGCAACGATTTCGGGATTCGTTAGCTGGGTTTTTGTGTCTTTAACATATCTTAGATTTAGAAATGTTATTGACATTCTTGATCTCAATGATCGTGTTCCTTTTAGGCGCCCATTTCAACGTTTTTTTGCCTACCTATCAGCAGGTTTTTTCTCTATTTTGGGTCTGACCAACGGATATGCAGTTTTCATTGAAGGCAACTGGAACGTAAGTGATTTCTTTGCTTCTTATGTAACAATTGGTTTTGTTTTGGTCCTTTTTATTGGAAGCACTGCATATTACAGAGAATTCAGGTTTAGAAATCCAAAGGATATTGAAAGAGAGATTCTTCCCAAAATTGATATTGCGGATGAGGAGGAGAGAAATGAAATTGTTCCAGTTCCAAAGAATTGGATTGAAAAGATTTGGTACTTTATCATATGAGTGCAGTAATCATTTCTGCCAAATTTATTTGGGCCGAATCGTGAATTTTGAATGAGACAATACTATACATGAACATGCTAGGTTTTTCAATTATTCTTCTTTGCTATCGATAGTAGATTTTGTTTATTTAAAGTTGAATAGGCGTTTTGTGCATAACACTTAGTAAGTATTCAATATCTCGAACAAGTAAATTTCATATTTGTCCAAAATTCAATAACATTAAAAAAACCCCCGTGGCGAACCCAAAAAATTGCCACGACGAAGGCAAGATCAAAACACAATGGACCAATGTATTAATTAAATATAAAGGACTCATTAAACGAAATGAATACCTTAGGAAATCAACTTCTATTTACAGAACATCTCCTTTTTGTAACTATTAATCAAAAATAGTGTACCCTACTACTTGTAAATGAATTTACAGGGTAAGCTAATTCTTCAACCCGCTACTCTGCATATAAGCAGTAAACCTTATGGCTGTTAATGGCTGTTTATATTTAAAAAGCTTACCATGCAATTTGAAATTTTGCTCAATTCTCTATTTCCTAAACGTTTTGTACAAACAGCATTTACATTTGTCATAAAATTATAAAATCAAGCATAGCTTGAAGGCACTATCAAATCTATTTTCGCTTCCATAAAAAAAATTCTTTCAAACAGTTACTTAACCTATCAACAATACAATCCACTTTCTGTTCGTTTGAATTTTACAGAATTATTACATGTTCTCGGGATCATACTCATAGGAATCTGACATCACGTTAAATGAGAAAAACATAGGACGAAGTCATGTGAATGGCACGTGAAATGCATGTGATAGACATTATCATACAATAACTATAAACGAATAGTCACCGCCCCCTTCAATCACACAATGTGATCTGGGTATATATCATCAGCTGTACAAGATACTTACCCGTCATCTTAGTTAAGAGCAGGTCTCTCCGTTTAAGTACATTAAGAAGGGATCCCCCGATATTTTGCATCCACTCTTCCTTTTGTTAGACGCTCGAAAAGTCGGTCAAAATGGCTTCGTGGCTTGCACAGAGCATCCAAAGACGGCTCTTACTATACTTCCTTCAGAAGATATCACTCTTTTCTCAGGTGAACACATCGACCCTTGATGTTTCTCTAGGATCGAAATCTGATTTTACGTTTCATGATCTGAATTTGGATGTCGAAGGCATCAGTATCCCCGACGCAGCAATCAGAAGCGGAACAATTGAAAACCTGCACCTCAGACTGACTGTCAGTGGTGGTGTAGATGTAGAGGGTAATGGTATAACGTTTGTGATAAAACCAAATGCATCTTTGACTGCACAAACCGATTCTCCTACCTTTTCACTGACTAAAACTGTATTCGATTTAACGAACTCGGTGATGCAGATGACAAATGAGGACACAAGCTGCGACACTGAGAATGATGAAAGCAGTAGTACAGATGACCTCCAAGGGGAGCGAGTGACGAGCTCTGCTCCTTCGATGCTAGAAGCAATGAGAAATAAAGCCCTGGATATTGCCTTATCCAAATTATCCATCAAATTACGGAATATCACTTTCAGGTTTTTGTTTGCCAATAACCATGCTATAGAATTTAGAGTTGAAGAGGCCCACTTTGTAACTGCTAATGACAGCAGAGAAGTGAAATTGCGCGGTATTCACTTAACACATATTTGGACGACCTCTGATGTTAAGGACGAGGCTTCACTTTCTGTAAGTGACAGTCTTTCAGATAGTCTTGTTTATTCTAAAGCAGAAGCTACCTCGATTTATATGAGTGCCATTCAAAGTATAGAGGACATCAATCCACAAGACCCTTTCAGAGCAGAAGCGGAAAAGGTCACCGAAATTCTCAATATTGATGATGCTTCTGTTTCTTTCAAGGGCCTTAAATCTATAGAAGACCTCGGATTGAGAGATATGGTTTTTGAAATAGGGCATATTAATGTTGATTTCTCCCAGCTACTCAACTTAGACGACCAGATCTTAAGAACAATTTCCGTGATAGCACTGCAGAAGTCAAACAAAGACAAATATCAAAAGCAGGTCAATACGGCTCAAAAATTACAAAACTACAAACGCTTCCAACAAGAGCAGGATATACATGAAGAGTTAACTTTATCAAAGATTAGAATCGATTCTTTGACCTTACGACTCTCCTCAGTGATGAAATTGACGCTTTCAAAAATTGGACTAACTTTGCATGATAATGGAACAACTAATGTGATTATCAATGATTTAAAGCTGTTTGAAGGACTTTGCTCAAAAATCAAGGAGGACAAGGTCACAGATTTGCCTTTCTTATTCTTGCTCATTGACTCAAACAAAAAAGCAGCATCCGTTTCTATACAGAAATTCTTTCATGTCGACATCACCGAAACTATGCTCAAAGACCTAGTAACTTTTGCGTGCTCATTCAACAAGTGCATGAAGGTATGGCGCGAGTCCTCAGACGGTATGAACACTAGTTCTTCTGAACTTTCGGACTCTCTCACGTTAAAAATAGATTGCGAACCACTGATCGTCGCATATACATTTTCAAAATACGCTTTGCAGATCAGAGTCGATCGCTTTGTTAGCTCCCTCTCATCCGTACTGTTCAGCACCTCTAGCATTGTAGTAACTCAAATCGAGAAAACATCTACTCACCATGAGTTATTCCGTGTTAACGACATTAAAATTACTACTCATACCAACTCTGTGCAAATCGACACATTTGATGAGAAAATGAATGATGTGATTTTCAGTACCAAAGTTATTGGAGAAATAGGACAGATTACTTTCAAAATAAATGAAAAGCAAGTATCTGCGCTATCATTGGATTTCATCACGCTAGTAAACAAGTTTTTACCTCTATTTGACGACAATGGAGGGTCCAAGTGCTCTCCAGCGAAAACAAAACAGCATAGGCTGTTGAAGAAAAGTGTCAGAATAATGAGCTCATCTAGCATCATCTACAAGCAAGCGAGTGCGGCTAACTTCATATTGAGGATAGGGAAGATCCGGTTCAAAATATTTGGTCTTCTTTGCGATCATTTTGGTTCTTTAGATGGCTCACTAAACCATTCTATTTTTCAGATGAATGCCGACAATTCATTTACTTTTCATTGCACCGCGGTAGGAGTAGAACGCTTATCTTCATCTGGAATTGAATCCCTCGTGACCCTGATTAATGAAAAGGATACAAAAAAACCTTGTGTGGTGCTGCACCGGAGGTCATCCAAAAGAGTTGTTTTGACGCTCAGGAATTTAGAAGGTTATTATTACGCCCGATGGCTGGATTTACTTGATATGGTCAAGAAGGGCAATAGCCGAAGTACGAAAGCGACGTCGAAAACCGAAAGTTCGAATTTAGTGGAGATAAAGCTTTTTGATTGCGCCTTATTGTTACACCCTTATAGACTGAATTCCCAGCTGGCAGTAATATTGGGTCGTTCTGTGCTTGAAATTGACACATCTAATTTCAAGATGAAAGGATCCTTTCGTTCATGCTCCTTAATGCTAATAGATGATGTTGGAAACAGTAAAGTTGCGCAATGCGAGGGAAAAGTTTCTCTTCCCCTTCTCTACAGAAAATTAGGATTTGCAGATATCGGAAAAGTGGAGACATTTTCGATCACTATTGAAAAGATCAAGAAGACGTTAAACATCGACCTTTATATCAGCCATGTGTCGCTCTCACTATGTGCTGATTCGACTCATACATTACTTCAAACCTGCATTGATTTGAAAATACCAGTTTCATTTCCCGACGACAAAAAATATAGAACGAAGATTCGTCCCATCAATCTTTTTGAGGATGTTGACATGGATTTCTTTACATCAAATAAGCTCCAGGTCGAACAAGTTACCGCTGAGGAACCGGCGTTTACAATTATTGATGATTTTCTCGATCATGATGCAGACCTTCTTACAGAATATGAAAACTCGGGTACTAGCTGTGGCAGTAATTCCAACCTCGAAGGAAGCGAAAATTTCAAGCCTAGAGAGAATCATTTAGACTCTCTGAAAATGAAATACTGCCCCTCAGGTCCTTTGGGTGAAGAAGAGGAAACCGACATTGTATTCTCGTTGAATATTTCTAAAATTGCACTTAAGTTGTATGACGGTTTCGACTGGAGTTTCACCAGGAGGTCAATATCAGAAATCATTGCAAGAATGGAAACAGAGCTCAGAGCTAAGGATATCCACGATACAGAACAAGTTAAAGCCACTGCTTTTGATTCAATATATTTCGTGGCGCCAAACGGTGATTCCGATGGGGGGGGACTCAAACGCATGATAAATGAAGAAATACAAAGCGCACCAGGTATATCACTACAGAATACTGTCAAAAAATTAAAGCTGCGGCCATCTAAGAACTACAAAGTGTTAGTTGATGTTACCGACTTGAAAATGATATTTACCGGATACGGTGTTGACGAGCCCACTGAGCCAGAATCCGATCTTTCTGCTGATATTTTGAATAAAATATCGATATCAATTGAGAATATCGATGTTATTGACAACGTCCCAACCTCCACGTGGAACAAGTTTTTGACTCAGTTGAAAGAAGAACCCCGGGCAGATGCCGCTCCAATGCTTAATATGAAGCTAAAAACAGTGAGACCAATAGACTTTCTCGCTGCCACAGAACTAATTTTGAATGTCAAGCTTCTTCCTTTACGATTACACGTCGATCAAGATACGCTGGACTTTTTAACAAGGTTTGGAGAGTTTAAAGATGAAAGATTTGAACTGATAGATCAATACCCCGACTTAATCTACCTACAGAAGATCGACATCAATGGTGTGAAAATAAAGCTTGACTATAAACCGAAGAAGGTTGATTACGTCGGTCTCAAATCCGGCCATACAAGTGAATTCATGAATTTTTTTATTCTTGACGGATCAAAAATGAAATTGAAGCATGTGGTGCTATATGGAGTCAATGGTTTTCCAGAGCTTAGCAAATCGTTAAACAGCATCTGGATGCCTGACATCACAGGAACACAACTAGCTAGCGTATTAAGTGGAGTAGCACCAATGAAGTCCATCGTAACACTGGGCTCCGGCGTAAAGGCCCTAGTTACTTATCCAATAAAAGAATATAAGAAAGATCAAACCATTACTCGAGGCGTTCAAAAGGGAACCCAAGTTTTCATGAAAATTACCACTGGCGAATTTGTCCGCTTGGGTGTAAAGTTAGCTTCGGGAACACAAGCTGTCCTAGAGAATACAGAGGAGCTGTTCGGAGGAAAAGGCTCTCAAGCAAGGAATTTTAAAATTACCGATCTTGAGGTTGATTTAGTGCCAGAAGCAATGTTTCGCAAATATGAAAAGCTTGTTGGAGGGACTAATCCTCTGAAGAATAAAGAAGAGCCCGATGCGATGATTGTTGAGCTATCAGAGGAGGATAGTGGAAACCCCAAAATCATAAGCCTTTACGCTGACCAACCTGCAACGGTTCATAATGGCCTGAAGCAAGCTCGCTCATCATTGGAAAAGAACGTATACATTGCTTATGACGCGCTGAAAAAGGCGCAAAATGAAATCAGAGAAAGCGAGAGTGCCCATGATACTGCAATATCTTTAGCGCGTGCGGTGCCTGTTGCAATTTTACGACCGCTAATCGGGGCTTCTGAGGCCCTTTCAAAAGCATTACAGGGTATTTCGAACGAAATCGATGAAGAACAAGCAGTATACTTGCAGGACAAGTACAAGTCAACGAGTTCTTCAAAATAAGTGCATCATCAATTTCGCTTCTATCATTTAAATAGATTTACCAAATTCTCATATAAGTCATTAGAAACGAATAATCAAGAAAAACAGGTCAACAAGAGATACTAGCGGGCATTCTTTTGAATTCAAGACGACGTCCGCCATAAAGCAGCGAAAAGCCAGGAAGAGGTGTTGAATAGCACTGACTTTAAGAAGTGAACTAGAATTAAGAATTGATATAACCAGTGATCGCGGCTTTCTCTAACTGTTTAAAAAAACCTGAAACACAATTTGCGGTTGGAGAACACTTTTATTATGAATGTGGTTACAGAACCGCATAACTCCGAGCTGCCAACCACTTTTGATGATTACATTAACCGAAAGAAAAACCGTGCAGCTTCTACAAGGGAAGATTTAGTGGCGAGTCCCAATGAGGAATTGAAGAGCGTACGTCCTGTGCCTAGGTCTCAACATAGCTCGAGGTTCACCAAAATTTGCGCTCGATGCTCGCTCCCGATAAATCAAGGGTCACTTAAGGCTTTGGGAAAATACTACCATGAAGAATGCTTCGTTTGTTTTGATTGTGGCAAAGTTTGCAAACCTAAGTACTTTCCGTTCGAGGACTCCTCAACTAAGCAGCTGATTCCTCTTTGTCAACAGGACTACTTTAAAAGAAATCATCTTCTTTGTTATGTGTGTGACAAACCATTAAGAGGTGTATACTATAATGCGTTTGGGAAGCTTTACGATGAGGAACATTTCTGTTGCAAAATATGTCAAGAAAAATGCGGTGTCAATACATGTTTCAATTACGAAGACGATCTGTATTGCAAATATCATTTTCTCAAGTATTTTTCAAATCGCTGTAAGGGATGCCAGTATCCCATCTCAGATCAGTACATCGAATTTCCAAGAGGCGATGAAATTCATCGCTGGCATCCCGAATGCTACGGAATACATAAGTATTGGCATGTGGGTATGCCACCAGAATCTGTTGGTCTTCCGCCTATTGAGAAGGTGCGTTTGAATGAGAGAGACAGTCCAATTCAAGAGGAGAGTCACCCGAATCGTGCCGAGCTGGAAAGGTATGTCCAATCGTTCAGCAACCTCGTTTCTAAAACTTGGTCAGTACTTTACAGATTTGAAGAAGAAACTGCAGTTTGCATTTCTGATATGTTTCAGTACTTGACAAGTCTCGATCAATTGAAAGGCTTAAATTCAACGGCTCTCTTTGTTTTGAAGATCGAATGCCTATTCAAAGCTCTTGATTCTCTCGAATCACTCAGTTTTTACAATAATCCACACACAAAATCGAGTAGTAACGAAGCGCTTGAACAAAGTGCAACTGAGAGCTCAGAAATCAATACAACATCAAATAACAAAGGGGAGAATACAAACTTAAAGTACACCAAATTTCCTCGAAATTTATCAACGAAGGTGATGATATACCTACAGCTTCTCAGGAAACTGAGTATGGCCACAAAAGACAAGGATGTGAATATTTCGTCACTGATGTCTGTCATTACAGGACTGGCTCATTTTCTCAAACTTCTTGTACGATATGGACTTAATAATGCTCTGGAGTACAACAAGTCTACGCATGCAGCGAATGCGCTCATAAAGTTTCTTCGAGAAATTGAGAAAAATGAAGCAATTGAGGAAAATCCGTTCACGCGAATTGACGTATCCATCAATGCAACCGATTGCTGCGCTGGGTGTGGTAAGTATGTTCAGGAGGAATGCATTCAATTCAAAGAGTCTAGATGGCACAGAGCGTGTTTTCATTGTTCAAACTGCGAAAAGCATATTAACTTATACGACGTCGCAGATGCGGCATATAACACTAAATCAAAGCAGGTACTATGCGCACATTGCGCTCTCGATGATCCTGATTCATCATCCGGCTTCAAGTCTGTCACGAAACTTGCCCAATTAATTTTCCTTCTGAAGATAGCACTGGTGAGGTCCAAAGCCGTAATGGAAATTCAACTAAAAAACAGAGAGGTCATTAGAAGATCTAATAGCGTTAAAGAATCAATTTCCATGCAACAAACTTACATTCGAACACTGAATGACATAAAACGCCTAAAATCGAGACGACAAAGTGTACCGCTCACTAGTAACAAACAAGAAGCGCGAAAATCACGTATTCTCGAGACGGCAGAAATGGATATTAGTAAGGAAACACAACCAACAGAGAAATGTCTTGTAATTGAAACCGACAAAAGTTCGCAACCTACACAAGAAAATCAAAACATGTTCAATAGCACGAAGACTTTAACTTTAGACGATATATCACGTATCGTCGCAGCTGAACAAGCACGTGAATTGAGGCCTAATGCATTTGCATATTTCAAAAAGCTTAAAGAGAACGATGAAGAAGTAGTAAACATCAGCGGCAAGAAGAGTGGAATTTATTTTTCAGAACTAAAAATCGATGATCACAGACTGATTAAACTGATTTCCTTAGCATTACTTTGTTGTGGCAAATCTCCTGTCCTAAGAGAAGACGACGCCATTACGAAACTTATCCCACCTTTGCCTAAAGAAGAAAAACAATCAAATGGTAGTTTTTGGCTCAAAATGAAAATAATGATGACAAAAGACTCCAAAAAGAACTCATATTCTAAAGTATTTGGCACACCTTTGGACATATTAACAACTCAGTGGGGTGTTGACTCGGATCTGGGAATTGGACCGACAAAAATCAAAATTCCAATTCTAGTGGACGAGCTAGTCTCGTCACTACGACAAAGAGACATGTCTGTGGAAGGCGTATTCAGGAAAAATGGTAATATCCGCAAACTTCGTGAGCTAGCTGCTGCAATTGATAATAACCCCTCTGAGGTCCCCGATCTCTCCGATGAGAATGCCGTACAACTTTCTGCGCTATTAAAGAAGTTCCTGAGAGAGTTACCGGATCCTCTACTTACATTTCCATTGTATCAACTTTGGATAAAGGTAGCGAAAATTGAATCTGATTTTGAAAGAAGAAAACTGTTCAGTCTCCTGTATGCAATGTTGCCTCGTGCAAACCGAAATGTCGCTGAAGTACTTTTCTCGTTTCTCCACTGGACCTCGTCTTTTTCCCACATCGATAGTCAAATGGGATCAAAAATGGATATTCATAATCTCTCAACAGTAATTACACCCAACATTCTTTACCAGGAGGGAAACTCAACACCAGCTGCAGCTGTCAACTCTGGTGTCATACACGACACATACAATGATGCTTTTGCACAAAATGAGGGTGAGAATTATTTCTTGGCAATTGAGGTTGTAGACTATTTGGTGAACCATAATGAGGATCTCTCAATAGTACCGAAGTTTATGATAAATTTGTTACAAGAGGTTAAACTAAAATCACTTTCAGATTTTGATCTTATTCGAAAGTTTGTGAAGACACAAATCGATGAAGGAAAGGTTAATTATTCTGAGTATGAAACCATCGAATCTGTACAGATGAAGAAGTCAGCCTCGGTTGCTAAGGTTGAAATCAAGAGGGAAAATTTGCCTTGATCTAGGCTTTTCGCTTCATTGAAATCGGATGTCATAAAAGTCCGCTTTGTATCTATATAATCGAATTTTACGTCATGAATTTAACTATCCTCGGGAATAATCACCGATTATAAAGATAACCGAGTGTAGGTTGAATCAGGTAATACGTACGGCCCTTTCACATCTTAGGGGATGATGTTTTGGAGTCATCCGGGCAAGCAATCGGCCATTGATAAAGCCCTTCCTTTTCAAATACATATTTGTGATCTTCCAGGTATTTGATCAAGTTCTTAGGACCTCTAGAACCGTAAGGGTAAAGCTCTGGTTGTGGAGCATCTGGTCCCTCCAGATAGTTAAGTAGTGGGGTAAATAGCTTCCAACTAACGTCCAACTCGTCATCTCTTACAAAGTTTGAATGGTCGCCGATTAGAACATCTCTAATTAGAGCCTCATACGCTTCTGGAATCCAATAATCTTTGTAACGGCTGGAGTAGGTCAAGTCTAGCTCTGTAACTTGAGTTGTTGTGGCTAAACCTGGAGTTTTGGAGTTACATTTCAGGTAGATTGCTTCATTCGGTTGTACTCGAATTACCAACTCGTTATTAGGAATATCGTTGAAAATACCTGAAGGAACAGCCTTGAATTGAATTCTAATTTCAACTTTACCCTCGTTTAAAGCTTTTCCGGCACGCATAACGATCGGAACGCCGTCCCAGCGTTCATTGTGAATCTTAAAACCCAGAGCAGCAAAAGTGACACACTTGGATTCGGGGCTGACAGTCTCGTCATCCAAGTATCCGGGCTTCGAGCCATCTTCAGACTTGGCGTATTGACCAATCAAAATATCCTTGGTGTCAATTGGAGCAAATGCTTTTAAAACCTTGACTTTTTCATCACGAATGGATTCTGGGTCAAAGGAAACTGGACGCTCCATGGTCAAAAGCGTCAAAATTTGCAGCAGATGGTTTTGCATCACATCTCTGATTATACCAATTTGGTCAAAGTAACCGCCGCGGCCCTCTGTTCCAAATGGCTCCTTGAATGATATTTGTACCATTTGAATATTTTCTCTATTCCAGGCGGCATTGAGGAAAGTATTACCGAATCTGTATAGCACCAAATTCTTGACCATTTCCTTACCTAGATAGTGGTCAATTCTGAAAAGTTCTTCTTCCGTGAATAGTGGTGAGAGTTTCTCTTGCAATTCCCTCGAAGATTGAAGATCATGACCGAATGGCTTTTCTACCACCACTCTCGTAATACCGTTCTTGGCATAAACCAGCTTTTTTATCTGTGTGGCCACAGTGACAAAAACACTGGGTGGTAAAGCAAAGTAAAAGAGTCTGTGAGGTTGCTTGACGCCTTTTTCCTTTTCGAACTTTTCAATTTCCGTTTTAAGAGTTTCATAACCTTGGTTCTCGTCGTATGGCCCTGAAATATATGACACCATTTTCAGAAAACGCTCGATCTTGCCCTCATCTTCCTTACCATTACGTGTCTTGAGGTGAGGCTTAATTTTCTCCCTCAAGTCATCATCACTGAGGTTCGATCTGGCATACCCAATGATCTTTGTAGTATCGTGTAGGTAGCCTTCCCTGAATAGCCCAAACAACGCTGGAAAAGTCTTCTTCTTAGACAAATCGCCTGATGCACCGAAAACTGTCACAACAGTGTTATCTTCAAAAGCTACGTGCTTACTCATACTCAATTCCTGTTTTAACTTCAACTTAGAGCAAAAAATCCGTAGCTGTGCCGATCGACCCTTTTTATATGGAATTATTTAAATATGACAAATACAGGGGAAAAAAACTGTTTAAACCGGTGGACGGAATAGCAGTAAAAAGTCACGTGCTGTGGCGGTCGCCGTCGAATCAAAAGAAGCGAAAGGAGGTCGCTTACGTAATGCTTGTACGAAACTCAAATAATAATAATGGGGTGTGATTTTCTCGGCGATGCAGGCGAGCCACCGCTACCAGGTATTACCAACGGTGACAACGTCAGATGCACTTGCGATCGCAGTGAACTGATACTTGTAGGACTTGTATGTATCTGATACATTCTCTTGACACCCAACTTGGCGCAATTGATCGTGGTACTGGCGATCAAGGTCTCGCGCAAGTGCACGACGTCTAGTGCTATTTTGCTCACCATTTAAAAGGCCACCACCATTAATACAACCCCCAGGGCAAGCCATTACTTCAACAAATTCAGTTTTGCTTGCATCCACAATCCCAGTTTGCTGGGAGGCTGATTTTTGGGCCGCCGCAGGCGTCCGCTTGCGCAGCACTTTGACGTTCCTGTTGCTGGAGCCAGGGCTGATCAACTTGCGCACAAGATTTTGAATGTTTCGGAAGCCATAAACTTCGCTTGCCGATGCAAGCGTGGCGCCTGTTTTCGAATCGACAAGTCGATACTCTCTGGTATCGCTATTCTTGCCTGTGATGGTAATAATGTCAGAGTTTGCATGTAAGGATTGCTGGTGAAGTACATACTGGTATGCATAACCGCCAGAGCTACTCCCTGCGTTTGATGCCCAGTGTACGAGTGGATCCCAGCCAGGAGGGGAACAGGCACGCTGAAGCGATTCGACTTGAGCTTGCACTCTATACGACGAAATGTCAATTCCGACTTCCTGCATCATTGTCACAAACTCACGAGGGGTGATGACACAGTCAACTTCCCCTTCACCATCTTTTCTACTTGCTTCAAGTTTTTTGTCAAAGCATGGCATGATGGTCAAGTGGTATACCTTTCCACATGTTTCTTTCAAAAGCGAGCCTGTAATTTGCTGTGGCGATTTCACATCTAACAGATACGGCACAAGCTGTGGCTTGGTCTTCTCCGAGTAAAGCACAAATCCAGGGCATACTGCACCTAGCAGGGGCTTGACTTGGTCACCATCTTTTTTCTTCTCTGCTAGCGCTTTGATCGTTTCACATACTGCTATATTCCTGCCCAACTGTGTTCCTACCACATACTTGGCATGGAAACGCTTTGTCATTATCCCAATAAAACACCCATCAAACTCTTCTAGGGTCATCTCGTAGAACCTGGCAAGAGATAGACGACACTGAGGCGGTATGCTCACAACTAGTGGCACACCGGCCGGTAGTTCTTCCCATGCCTTCAGAAACACCGTATGACTTTGCCTGCTCAAAAGAATTTCCTCGCTCGATGTTATACACCCTGCGCAGGCTAGGCAGTCTTGTAGCGAAATGGAGACTTTTTCTAACTCAGTAGGTTCTTTGCCAACCTCTATTTCTCCGTTATCCGGTTTTTTCTCTCGTAATGTCTGCGTAGGTTTTACGCACGCAAGTCCAGGACTTATGAAGTCATTTAAATCAGCATCAGACAACAAAGCACTCATGTTCTTCCGCGCAGAAGGTTATTAGTAAAGATCATCTCGGTCTTCTATGACGTTGAAAAAACGATCACACGCGTACAAAGAGATATGAGTCCGTCCCTAAACTGGAGGAGATGCGTTACATCCGTAACTCAATATGGTGAATATGGATTTTTAGCGCTTTGAACTCAAATGCGATCGCCAAGACAAGGGGATTCCAAATCGTTACCAATACATACACTGCATGGCAATTTCGGATTTTTTTTACGCCCGCATTTCAAGTTGAAAGTCGGCCAGTACGTTAGGTCAAATCTAACGCACATCGACCATGATAATCTACACGTATGACAAAGAACTGAAGGACACCGTATTTGACACAGGTTAAAATCTTGTTCAAACAAGACAATATGCGGCCTCTCGCGCATCTTGCGGAGTTAATAACATAGGGGGAAAGATTGCGGCGTTTAATGGAGATACGTGGTTGGCAGTTTCCGTTCTTGGTTCTGAGATCCATACTGATCCACTAATCAGCAGAGTAGCCAATAATTCTCAAAGGCCGTATTGAACACGTTTTTGGTGACTCCCACAGCGAAAGTTAATTTGTGACTCAATGCTTCGGTTCCCCCCCGCCCTGATCATTTCTGTACTTGGGACCAGTCATCGCAGCAATTCTCAACCAGCTTCTGATAAGTCTGCCATAAAGTCCGAAAGAAATCAACTGAAACTAGATCTATTTCTCCTCTTTATATACTTTAAATGCTCAAAAGCGGGGTAACAAATTAGCCGCCAGTAGATATTTTGAATTTCGAAACGAGGGGTGTGTCACAAAAGTTTAAACGCTGAAATCTAAGCGCTAGCCCAAGTTGGAGGTATAATGCTATCTTGATCACACATGGCCATGGAGAGAATAAAGAATGAAGAGAAACAAGACCCTATGAAATTTCAGCCCTCACTCGAAACAAAAGTTGCAATTTTAGAATGAACAGACCTGCTTAATTTTACGATAATACTTTGATATTGATAAGTATAAATGGAAGATAAATCTACTCTGTTTATTCTTGTGTTGGGGATAAAATCGAGCATTCTCCACAGACTCTTGAGACAATCTTCAAGCGTCAAATTCTAATTTAAAAACACCTAACTTCCGACACAAAAATTAAATTTATGCCAACTGGCCACCCGACCGGAGGACCATTAATTCTAATTGCAAGGGCCATTATAAGCTCAAAACACTATATGTGAAGAAAAATGGGCACAAACGGGAAGATTATAATTCACGTGATCAAACTCGAGCGCCCTTTTATGGTGCGGCAACTGCCTACCCCTAAGGTGGTTGCATCATAGGGAATATGTATAAAACGTTCGCGAAAGGACAATTCAGGTCAATAGTCAGTATAATTGGCAAAACTCAGGCCAAAAACATCAACTTGCATCTCAGAAACATGTCTATCGATATCAGCAAGATTGGCGCTTGGAACAAAGAACTCGAGACTGACTTGAAACATCAACTTGCAGCCACGGTTCTAAAGAACTATAACGCGGACGATGCGCTTTTGGACAAGTCTCGCTTAATAAAACAATATCCACGTGTCTTCAACGTCACTGTTGATCTGGATGGTACTCCTGTGACCAATCAGCGGTCCTCAGGCAGATGCTGGCTTTTTGCAGCTACCAACGAACTTAGATTGAACGTGGCTCGCAAGCTGGACTTGAAGGAATTTGAGCTCTCCCAAGCGTATTTATTCTTCTACGACAAGCTGGAGAAGGCAAACTATTTTCTTGACCAAGTGATTGACACCTACAAGGAAGATGTCGACTCGCGTTTGGTACAGTATTTGCTTAGTGCGCCAACTCAAGATGGGGGCCAGTATAGTATGTTCATGAACTTGGTGGAAAAATATGGTCTTTTGCCCAAGGACTTGTACGGTGACTTGCCATACTCCACAACAGCCTCTGCCAAGCTCAATCAGCTTTTGACCACCAAATTAAGAGGATTCGCTGAAATTTTAAGAGAGGAGCTACAAAAGGGTAATGACATTTCTTCGTTGAGACTCGATATGCAGAAATCGATCTTCCAACTTATGACAATGTTTTTGGACTTGCCTCCAGTCAAACCGGATGAAGAATTTGTGTGGGAATACGTCGACAAAGAAAAGAAAGTCCAGACCATAACCACCACTCCGCTCAAATTCGCAAAGGAGTATGCAACTTTTGATGTGTCGAAGCCAGTCTCTTTGATTAACGATCCCAGACATCCTTACGGAGAGCTAATCAAGATTGATCGGTTGGGAAATGTTCTGGGTGGTAAAGAGGTTGTATACTTGAATGTCGACAACGACACACTGACATCTTTAGTGTTAAATCGTCTCAAGAATAACAAACCTGTCTTCTTCGGGTCCCACACTCCAAAATTTATGAACAAAAAATATGGTGTTATGGATGTTGACTTATGGAATTACAAAGCAATTGGCTACGATATCAATATGTCGAAAGAAGCACGCATTAAATACAACGATAGCTTAATGACTCACGCTATGTTAATTACAGGCTGTCATGTTGAGAAAAATGGCGATAAGGTTTTACGCTACCGTGTAGAGAATTCTTGGGGAAAAGATTCTGGTAAGGATGGTTTATATGTCATGACCCAGAAGTACTTCGAAGAATATTCTTTTCAAATTGTTGTTGACATTGATGAGCTCCCCAAGGAATTGGCCGAAAAATTGCAGTCAAGTGATAAGATTCCAATAGTGCTCCCAATATGGGATCCCATGGGTGCTCTAGCAGATTGAGTAGCTAGGTTGTGCATACGCATATACAGTAATCTTTAAATTTATGCTTTTATCATTCTTTCTGCATAGCAGTGCTACACGCACGTGACCACTTAGGGCCCCAAAGTCATCATTGGTTTCGAAAATTCCATTCGCGCTCTTAATAACAATACATATAGTTCAAAGCGTCGCAGAATACTCCTTGCATGGTGAAGGATAAAGGCAGTCTGAATTTGATTTTCATTTTTGTATTATAGTTGAATATGAGAATGAATTGCATCAAAAATGGACCGCTATGGTGCCTGCTCATGATTCTAACAAAAGTATCCGAGTCAAAGCGAGTTCCTGCAAAAGATCACTCAGAAAGACTGTATTTCGCGATCGAGACGGATTTAAACATGACAAGTGTCATAGGAATGCATCCAGACTGGAATTACGAACATGAGGTCCGTGGCCTAGACAATCATTACGTGTTTTCTAAGTCTTTAACAGATGTTCAAAAGAGAGAGTTCGATGACAATGTTTTGTTGGATGGTATTACTGCATTCCACAATTTACCACCTAAAAGACTGCATAAAAGGCTTCCAGTTCCCGATCTACCGGCAGAAATGCCTAGCGATTCCAGCCTCATTCCTATGAGCTTAGCAAAAGAAAAGCTCGAAATCAGCGATCCTGCTTTTGACCAACAATGGCACTTAATTAACACCAACTTTCCAGGTAATGACGTTAATGTCTCGAATCTTTGGTTTCAAAATATTACCGGCTTCAATGTTGTGGCAGCTATTGTGGACGATGGGCTAGACTACGAAAGTGAGGATCTGAGGGACAACTTCAGTCCTGAAGGATCATGGGATTTCAACAACAACGAACCCTTACCGAAACCTCGGCTAAATGACGACTACCATGGAACTAGGTGTGCTGGGGAAATTGCGGCGGTGAAGAACGATGTCTGCGGGATTGGCGTGGCGTATAATGCCAAAGTCTCGGGTATTAGAATATTATCGGGAGAGATCACATCTGAGGATGAAGCGGCATCGCTTATTTATGGCTTGGATGTGAATGACATCTACTCATGCTCTTGGGGACCCTCAGATGATGGGAGGACATTGCAAGGGCCTGATGAGCTGGTCAAAAAAGCATTAGTGAAAGGCGTTTTAGATGGAAGAAACAAGAAAGGAGCTGTTTATGTTTTTGCAAGTGGGAATGGTGGAATGTTCGATGATAACTGTAATTATGATGGCTACACTAACTCAATATATTCTATCACAGTGGGGGCCATCGACCATAAGGGCCTTCACCCGCCGTATTCTGAGGCCTGCTCTGCAGTAATGGTAGTGACGTATTCTTCTGGCTCGGGAGAATATATTCATTCCACAGATATCAAAGGTAAGTGTAGTAATACGCATGGCGGAACGTCTGCAGCTGCACCTCTAGCAGCTGGCGTTTTTGCCCTTGTTTTAGAGGCAAACCCGGATTTGACCTGGAGAGACATGCAGTATCTTGTGATTCTTTCTTCTGTTGAAATTAATGAAGGCGATGGGAACTGGCAACATGGTGCTCTAGGTAAAAGATACTCACACCGCTATGGTTACGGAAAGTTAGATGCCTACAGAATCGTAGACATGGCTCGTTCATGGACGAATGTTAATCCACAGTCATGGTACTATTCAAATGAAGAGGTGACTGACCAGTTCACAAACTCAACTGATACAACTTTGGAATCGACAATTGAAATCACTGATATGGATCTCAGTGATGCCAATTTAAAAAGAGTTGAGCACATTACTGTAACCGTTGATATCGAAACTGATTTTAGAGGTCACACTCTAATCGATCTAATTTCTCCAGAAGGAATAACTTCAAATTTAGGAGTTCTGAGGAGAATGGATAAATCCAAAGAAGGATTTCGCGACTGGACGTTCATGTCTGTAGCACATTGGGGCGAAAAAGGGGCTGGAGAATGGAAACTTCAAGTGAGAACCACGAATGAGGGTGATGGAGTTAAACTAAACAGGTGGAACCTAAAGATTTTCGGTGAATCCTTGGAAGCTTCCCGTGCCCAAACTTTCAGCTATGGTGATGATAAAGACGAAACTAGCATAGCTACGGTGAGTACTCAAGCTTCGGAAACTGAAAGTCTCACACAAATTATGACAAGTTCTGCAACGGATTCCGAAAGCTCTATCCGTACTTCGAGTCTATTGACTGCGGAGCCTACTGTGTCAACTTCAGCGGCCTCATCATACTTACAAACTTCAAGTCCTTCACCAATTCCTACTCATGACGGGGACGACTACGATACTAATCAAGCGAATCGGTTGTCTCGTCCAGCTGACGCTATGCATTATTTTGTGGCACTCTTTATTCTGGGTTCAGCATTCTTCCTTTTGTACTTCGTTTTTTTTGTGAGATCCAGAAGGCGGATTAGAAGAAGCAGAGCAGAAGCTTATGAATTTGATATCATCGATTCAGACTCAGAATATGATTCGTCCATGGACAATGCGACCAATGCGAGCGCCAACATGCTTGGTGATTCCATACCTGAAGATTTCGACTTTGACTTGTCAGATGAAGAACTGCTGGCAGCATCTGCAGCGACATCATCTACTCCCGACAATAAGAAAGCATCTAACACGCTAGACGAAATAATCGAAGATGCTTACGATGACAGAGCACCCCTAAATGCATCTTCAGAACAAACACAATCATTAGAGAAAACATCAGGAGATATCAAACCAAAATGACTATAGGTATATGAAGTCGAGAATTTATGTAGCATAGATCTTTATTACTAAGTGAATAAGTATCCGGAACTTTATTTCAAGTCTTCGTACTGCATATGTGTAGAATGCTTTTTTTCGGAGAAAATATCCCAAGCCGAAGTTTTCCCTCAACTTTCACCCAAAAACTTAAGCTAGTGGATGAAGTCGATTCTGACATCAACAAAATGACAGCAAGATATCATGGTCCTCTACAATTCAAAATTACCTTAATAGGTATAGTCTATCTGAGTTGCTCGTTAGCTGCGGCAGAAATGGAAATGGATGATACAGAAGAATTTACGCGCCCTAATATTGTTGCGGCGGGTTCCAAGACATTTCACTGGCTATGCACCTTATTATTATTACTTATTCTCCCCTCAATTTCAACATGTTTAACTTTTGCGGGAAAGTTGTACTCGTCTGTATTTTTACAGATTATCTCTACGGGCTATGCTGTTGTTGAAGCCCTGGTTTTGAGATTCCCTGATGGTGATGGGCACGAAAACAGAACATCAAGAGGTACTGCATGGTTTTTAGCGGGATTATTGGTGGCAACTGTTTTTTTTGGAAGTTTGGCAAGTGGAACAGGTGCTTTGGTTCAAAATAAGAAACTTCAATCCTTTATTTCTCACACTGGTGAGAAAACGTTAAATATAATTCACCGAACACTATCATTTGCGGTTATACTTACTGGGTGGGTAAAAGTCTGCCTAGCTCCTGTCGCATTATTCGGTTTCTGCAGAGGCAAACATACGGGCCAATGTATCGCTCATGGTGTCATGGGTTCGTCCTTTGTGTTGTATGGATTTGTTTACGCTCTTGTGCTGGTAATACCTTGGATTCGGAATTCTCAGAGTAGTTTCACTCAAGACCATATCGATAGTTGGGTTATTTGTATATGGGGGATAGTGAACACATTCACTGAACACAGGTGGGGAAGAGAAGGCTGGGGTCATGGCGATTACCAGCACACCGCAATGGGCATTATATGGTGGGCAGGTGGTCTTTTAGGAATATTTCTCTCGAGAGGGGGCAGGAGAACATTTGTGCCAAGCTTGCTCATAATATTCACCGGTTGGGCAATGTCTGAGCACACTCAACACTTACTGATAAGTACAAAGGTCCATGCATTATTTGGACTTGTACTAATGAGTGGAGGAGCTTTGAGAATCGTGGAGATTTCATTTCTCTTGCGAGACCAAAGAACTGATACTGTCATTCATTCTTTCCAGTATTTGGCCCCCTTTTGTCTGGTATGCTCGGGTATACTTTTCATGGGTGCGAATGAAGAACAACTAGAGCTAGTTTTGCGCTTAGGGGCAGACCATAGTGCATATATACTGGTGGTGATATCGGGTGCATTCCTAGTGTATTTGTGGATGCTACTGTGTCTTGAATTTTATTTGAAACTTGTGAACACACAAGAGCGACTATCGATAGGGGACTACTCTCTTGTAAATAGAAACAGAGCGGTGTCAGAATTTGAGCTCGATAACGTTGATGAACTTGATGAAAACGAGGAAATTGAGGTGTAATGTTCAGCTTTAAGAATTTGTACTGTAGCTTAAAAATATATAACTGCACTTTTTAAGACTTCCCATTTCCAATTGAAAATTCTCTAAATGATAGCTTCGCAATGTGCGTAAGAAAGCTAGACATTTTGATCCATTTCGAAGATGTATTCCAGGCAATGAAACTTGAGGGGCTCTTCCGAAGAGTTTGAAGATTTCTAATAGTACGTATTTGCTTGCAAAACCCTTTCAGTGCTTATTTAACACCAGAAATAAGTCCGTGGAATATTATTTGTTTGACATGCAGAGACTACGAATAACCATCCCCATCATTTTTCATCCTTAGAAAGTTTAACGAAGAGAGAAAATGTGCCTATGTCACATTCTTCAGAATCCAAGCAGTTAGACTATGTGGCTGATGTACTCCGAGAATAAAGTGTTAATTTTTATTGTCATGTTCAAATCTGTTGACGGACGGTTTCAGTTTTCTATCACTTGTTTTTTTGAACAAGCATTTTTTGCCTCCACATTTAAAACAATACTAGTCATCCAAAGAACACTATCCGTCCATGTCCGTTCTTGGCCTCAAATCTGACGGACCTGTTTCGTGGTCCAAGACGGGGCTCATCGCTTATGGAGAGACGGACAGCTCTGACATAAATTTATGTGTTACATTTCTGGAAACAATCAACGGAACTAACTGGCGATTCCATCCACCAAAGAAATATATCATACACCCACATATGTACGATAAGAAACCTCTCTCTAACGGGAATGCAATTAATGGGAACGGAAGTGTAGCAAAACCACAAAAAGCCTTCTACAACATAAGGTCTGTCCACTGGAATAACTCCATCAGTCTTTCCGGTGAGCTTTTAGCTGTCTGCGATGAGGTTGGAAATCTAACCATATTAATGGCAGGTCAAAGCATTCAAGGTCCAAGCACGTTGGATAATATGATAGTATTATTTCAAGACAATATTTACAAAATTCACAATCAGATCATACCACTTGATGAAGCCGTAATTGGATCTAAAGGGGTTAGAAAAGGGAACAAGAGAGAATGCCACACATCAATTATAAACTTCCAGTGGTTAAGCAGTCAAAAACCTGTAATTGTGATGCTAGGTGCAAGGAAGGACCCTTCAACAGACACTTTCAAAAGCCAGGTTCAACAGAGTCCACCTTATGGCATATTCCATCCCACATCCATAAAATCTGCGTGTATTGCCATAAGAAGAAATGGGCAACTCGATTTTTGGTACCAACTGTCTAATTCAAAGGACCACAAAAAAATCTCCTTGCAATTAAGCAGCAGCCAGGATCCCTGGAACAAAGAGCAGGATTGGCTTGAGTTTGGCCAATGTGCTCATATGAATGAGGAGCAAACAATGCTGATTGGGGTATATTCTAGATTGAATCGAAAATTCGCGTTTTACAAGCTCTCAGTTAACTGGAATGTCAACACCGCCAATGCTATTAACGATCCTTCATTGAAGCTACAACATCTCAATGACTTAATTCCGGATTCTTTAGGGCCAAATGGTGAGATTCTCCAATTGAATAACTTTCATATTACTTCAAGAACTCATGAGAAGTCGTCTAAACCTGAAATCCTCATCTGCTATAAAGTTGTAGGTTCATCAAGATCAATTGTAAAGCGGCTGGAAATATCTACAAGTGTCCCTTCGTCAGAATTAACTTTGGTGTTCGGAACTTTGACATCAAACTCATCAACATCCACGCCTTCAAAGTATACCGTGAAGGAGGTTGGTGGTCTACAATTCGACTCACCTGTGAGTGCAGTAACGTCACGCATATTAGATTCCATCATAATATTCCGATTGGATAATGGTGAAACGAAGGTTTTCAATAGACAAAATTGGACCACAGAGGCTGATGCGAAAAATGTTTCCTCAAGAGGCCAACCCAATACAAATATTACCTCACTTTTTTGTACTGGCTTGCAATTTCCTTTATTGCCACCCTTTGATGCTATTGAATGGATCAAGATATCACCAGCTCTGGGGGGTGTAATAGCGAAACTTAAATTCAAGAAGAATCCTTGCTTTTATTCGCTATTTTCCGATGCTTCCAAAGATGAGAAACATGATTCATCAATCGCAGCTGCATTTGCCTATGGTTTTGTGGTCAGTAATCATCGGCAAATGTCTGGAGAAGATTTATCTATTGCGATGAAAACGCATGCATTGAAACTAGGCCAGTTTAATAAAAAAAGAGCGGAAAGATTCATCACAAGCGCAATTTCTTCTGTCTATCACTTGTTTGGACTCTCGCCTGATTCTCCTCGAGAATTAAAGGACAAACTTATAATGAGCAGACCAATTCAAAGGGCAATGTTGTTACAGCTTGAGCTCGGAAGCTCATTTATCAATAGTAACATTTACAATATTTCCCGAGTAGTCATGTCCCTCAGAAACATTCTCTTCGCTTTTAATGGAGTGTCGAGAAATGTTCAGGTGTTGATACATCATACTGCGACTATGAACGTCCACCAGTCAAATGGCAAGCTGTTTCAATTCGCATTCTCAAAGCAAGATCTGATTTATTCACTTATCCCCTGTGCTAAATGGTTTGTGAAATTCATCACATTTCTCACTCAGCAGATGATAGTGCTTGTTAACAATCCCAACGACACGGAGAATACTTTAGTTTTGGGAATTCTGAGCTCAAAAATGACAAGAACGCTAATACTATCAGTCCTTAACGAGATGAAAAAAATTATTCAACTAGTGACGAAATTCCCAGAAACAATATATCCCGTTTTGAATGAATCATCTGTTTACTTAAGGAAAGTATTGGGTGATTCACCCGTGAATTTTGAAAAATTCGAAACCTTTTTGGTTGATGTGAATAACAAGTTCATCGCTTTGAGCGAACAGCAACCGCAGTTAAGCAGCCAGAAGGAACCGTACTTGGTTGTGCAAGGTGAAATTCCAGAGGATATTATTCAAATCAAGGATTTCTTGTTGTCATATTCCAACACGGCAGTCCTGTCTCACACCAAACCTGCGGATGTCTATTTTACAGATACAAGCGGATTACGGATCTTTGCTTCGGAATACTTTTCCAAACCTATATTTAAACTACTTCAGCCGATTGAAGAAGGCTTGGTTGTGGATAACGAAACTCTTCCGCCGAACTTCAAGACAGCGAGATCTTTCTCAGTCATCGAATTTGATGACATTTCAAATGATAAATTGACATCTGGTAAAGATGCGAAAATCAAAAGATGTTGTAGATGTGGATCCGTAACTTGTGCCGGCTACACCGTTTCCAAGGAAAGTACGATTGTCCCAACAAGCATATCAACAAAAAGATGGACAAATCTGTACTCTAAAATCTGCGTCTGTTCAGGTTTTCTTTACGAGCTACATTAATAACCAAAATGAGTGAAAATTCAGCATTCAGTTTCGAATTGTAATCAATTTTGAAAAAGAGATTAATTACTGACGCAAGTTTACGATTTGCGATATTAAACGGTCGCATGACCCGACGATAACCAACATTCTCAATGCATCCTTTGAAATCACGCAAATACTGTTTGATAGGAAAAATCATAGTGCAAGCAGAACACAATAATGAGACTTTTCAACTTATCCAGGGGAAGCACTTGTTGGTCATACACCGTGGATTTCATCGTGCACTATACTCATCAAGAGGATAACTGGAAATATAAAAATCCACTTATACTTAGCTCCGCTTAGTTTCATTTTTGTACAACAGAATATGCAACGGACTGATAAAAAATAATCATAGCAGTATTAATGATATGTATCGGCCATAACGTCGTTTCATCCTTTAGTAATCTTACGAGGGCTATTACGCTTCTATAAGTGCCTTCAAGTGAAAACCCAAATACATCACGTTACACGTATGATGAAGGTTAAGGGTATTCGGTGGCAAAACAACGTTAACAATATGCTCAACACGTATAGAATAACGCAAGATCAAGTGAAGTGGTTAATATGTTTTTAACAAGAAGTGAATACGATCGTGGTGTGAGCACTTTTTCTCCAGAGGGCAGACTATTTCAAGTTGAGTACTCTTTGGAGGCCATTAAACTCGGCTCCACAGCGATTGGCATTGCCACCAGTGAGGGTGTTGTTCTCGGTGTAGAGAAAAGAGTAACATCTCCACTATTAGAAAGTGATTCCATTGAGAAAATTGTGGAGATTGATCGTCACATTGGGTGTGCCATGAGTGGGTTGACTGCTGATGCACGTTCTATGATTGAGCATGCTCGTGTCGCTTCTGTGACACACAACCTTTACTATGATGAGGACATAGGGGTAGAATCTCTTGCACAATCAGTATGTGATCTAGCATTGAGATTCGGTGAAGGTGCTTCTGGTGAGGAAAGATTAATGTCAAGGCCATTCGGTGTCGCATTGCTGATCGCAGGCTATGACAAAGAAGAAGGATACCAATTGTACCACGCAGAACCGTCAGGAACTTTCTATAGATACGATGCAAAAGCAATTGGTTCAGGCTCTGAGGGTGCTCAAGCTGAACTTCAAAATGAATGGCACTCTTCATTGACTCTCAAGGAAGCTGAAAAGCTCGTATTAAAGATCTTGAAGCAGGTGATGGAGGAAAAACTAGATGAAGATAACGCTCAGTTGAGCAGCATTACCAAGGAGGATGGCTTCCAGATATATAGCGATGAGAAAACAGCTGCCATAATTAAAGAATTAAAAGAGAGCGAGGCACATGAAGAACCTGAAGGCCAAGATGTCGAAATGACAACATAAAATAGTTGTTTAAGCATGCAAAATAGTTTTGTACATTTAGTAACTGGATAATCACTATAAATCACTACACAGTAGGACGGTATTTGTATCTGCGTTTAAGTCCCCACTAGTCGACTAAATGTGTATACTCTGGGATTTCCTTTATTTTGGTGTTGAAGAACTTCTCCAGCCTATTAGCATATTTGTAGTAAGAAGTGTTTTCACCGTTATAGGCACGACAATTATTGAATACAAGCCTCGCATCGTAAACAAAATCCTCCATTTTTTGATACCGGTTATTTTCTAGTTTCATCTCCATGGTACTGAGATCCATTGGCTCTTTTATAAACTCGTAATAATCTGGAACTTCTTCTTTATTCACCGGCTGTAGAAAAGGCCACGCAGCTGCATGATTTTGAAGTTCAGTCAAGACGTTCTGCATAGTGGCATAATGTTGACCTCGTTTTGGTCGTTGCGCAAGCTCATCCATTTCTGGAGTCCAACCTGCTTCTTTCAGACCGGGTATGTTCATGGGATCAATTGGTTTGATGTCATCCAAATCTTTGAAGTGCTGGAGCCCTGGTCTTACAACGTAGCTTTTTGACATGACCCGTACTTTTCTCTTAATGGCCGCTTCTTGCAGTAGCAGAATTTTTGCGGCATCCAAGTATCTGATTTTCGGAAGCATCGAGCATTGCATTAATGTGCCTCCTTCATAATCTTTGATATACCCCATCCAGATACTCTTATCAAGTGATATCTCTTTAGTGAAACCCTGCTTCTTGAAATAGCCAATTGCATAGTTATCTGCATAGGTCAGAAAGTATTTGACATTTGAAGTCGATCTTACGTAATCTTTCAAGTGATTCATCAAATGTGCACCATATCCTCGAACTTGCTCGGTGGAACTTATTGCACAAAAAACAATCTCTGCAAATTCCCGTTTGTCAAAAGGCCGGTAGGTTATGCCACCAACTACGGTTAAAGGCTTTCTGACAACTGCCATTGATAAATGACTTCGGTCATAAACAAGCCTAGCGATGTACTCTTTTGGCATTTTAGGAAGCTGCTTCTGAAAAATATTTTTGAGACCAGTCAGGACCATCATATTCTCCTTCGTATTATCATTGTTCACAACTCTAAATTCTATTTTTCCTTCTTTTTCTTCAATTACACTAGCACGTTCCTTGAACTTATACTCCACACCATCAAATGTAAATTTCGTTATACCACTACCATCTTCCTGTATTTCTTCCTTTTCCCCGACCAATTGTGGTTCTTCTGAGGCTCCATGGGACGCTTTAGCTAGATCACCGGATCCATCTCTTGTTTTGGGGCTTGTGCTACCTTCAAAAGACTCATCTTCAGTTTTTTGCCTTTTGGACTGCGGCTCACCTGTTGATGTTCCTTTCCTCTTTGAAGCCATATGGTCCTCAAATTGTTAATCAGTGCCCTAAACCATCCTTAGCTAACAAAGGCTTTTTTTGAATTATATCAAATTAAAACATTATACCCGTGCTTAGTGATAATACGAATATGATCGCTCAAATCAATTCACCGTCCTCATCGTCTTTCCAATCAACTAGAACATTTTCTGCCATCTTCTCGGCTTCTAATTGAACGTTTGTCAAACCACACACTTCTTCCACATATTTGTAGTTATTCAAAGCTTGCTTAACGAATTCCCATCCGCGACTTTTAAATTCCTCGATGACGAGGCAGCTGCACGCAGAACAAAACTCGTAAGCAGGCGTTTCCAGTTGCAACGTTTTAAATTCACTCAAAAACCCGCGAATTTGGTGTGGGATATCTCCGAGAATACCATCAGATGCTTGTGTAGAGTGTTTTTGTGGATGTTGCAATATCGACACCAGTAATTCTACAGCCTGGGCAGCCGCCATCAAAGCCACTCCTGGTCTTGTCACTGTACACATCTGATCTAGTGTCCTATCCGTTAGACTGTCTGAAGGAGCTACAATATCTTGGCAGAAATAACAGCCTAAGCGCTGTTTCTTATCATCTCCCGTGTAGTGTCCATGCCTCATGACCAAATAGCTGTCAAATCCCAAAGCGGCGTTTATAACTATTTTATTGGCAGCATATGCCAACACGGTTGGAAGCCATCTAGTTTCTCTAGAGTCCATCAAAAGGAAGATGACATCGTGATTATCTATCAGCTCTTTAAGTTGTTCATAGTCTGACCTCTGCTTCTCTTCTTGGGATACCGGATGCCCTATCATCGGCACTTCTAAACAATATCCACTTGCATCAACCAATGGAAATATCTTCTTGAGCGCTAAAGCTGCCGTATGTGCTTTTGGTTGACCACAATCGTCAAAGTTAAATAATGGCTGACGAACAGGGTTTGAAAATGACACGGTGCTGTTATCTACAAAGGTAAGCTTCCTGACTCCCCATGCGAGAAGAGACCTAGCGACGTAGCATCCAAGAGTTCCCGCTCCCAGAAGTAAAATCTTCGATTCCTTCACGACATCTAAGTTAAGTTCTGGCGCTATTCGCCATTTCATTAGTTTAAGATTCAGGTCGATAGATTGGTCTGCAACTTTCATTGGATCAATTAAAGAGCTCAAATCAATTGCTCTTGGAGTCAGCTTATTTTGGGTGTTGCGCTCCCAACCCGATGCCTTGATCCTGACATCTGTAGAACTTAATTCACCTGGGAGGTTAATATCCATCCAAAAACAACATTCCACATCTGGTCTTATACAGTAGATTTTCAATGATGACAGAGATCGCCTGAAATACTTCATCAGCGATATAAAGTTCTTGGTTAAGGCAGAAGGAATCATATCAAGGTTACTCGTATCCCTTATTCCAAGGACAGCGCAATCGATCGCGGTTTTTTCGTTGAATTCAAGGACATTTCGATGTGAATCAATTATGAATGACCAGGCGTCCTTCCTATCTCTAAACCAGTCGATATACTCTTGACAGTTATGCAGGTGACCCTTTTGCACTAATACAATTTTCCAGGATGGATCTTGAATTTGAAAACATGGAATGCAAACCCAATAAAAAAACTTAAACTTCTTTAAATCAGCAAAGCTAATTATAGAGAATCCAACAACTTCATTAGGATTTTGAATACCACTGATCCACAACTCTTGTGCTCTTTCCTGGATGAACTGTGTTTTGTCTAAACTTTTGAATTGCTCAATGGTATTGAAATTATAGATAGATCCTGGGAAAATACTCCCCGAAGTCTGGGAAGAGCTTTCATCAAAAGATTGTGAGTTTAGGAAGAGATGAGCACAGGATGCTCCTTTTGGTGTATTCTCCAAGTTCAGAGTGCAATACAACCCTTTTCTTTCAGAGTCTAACTTCAGCACATCTAACTTCAGCCGACTTAACTCCTGGAAGAATGAAGTGTCAACAAAAGACTGGCATGGAGATGCGAATTTCAGAGTATTATCAGACATGCCTTTTAGGTGATCTTAAATACTAGGAATATAAATAAGGGTGGTTAATATGCTTAAGGGTAGTATACGCAATATCGATGTCACGTAATATCGCTCACAACGAAAATTCAGGACGTGAAAGAAAGATCGAAAAAATGTCTTATATTCTACAGAAGATCTTTATTGAAGTTCTAGTTATTGCATATCGTGAGAAGTTGGGTCGTCATCTAATGTCATTTCGTCCAGCTCATCAAGCAATTCATCAATATCAATTTGGGGAGCGTCCTCATCTTCATCTTCATCCATTTCACCATCTGCGGTAACTTGATGCGTTCTATTCTTGTACATGTTGATTGTCTGTCTCATCTCCGCATCTTCTTCTAGCTCTTGCAAGAACAACTCATAATCTTTTTCAGCTCTCTCCATTTCCTGCTTCTGCTGTCTAGAACTGTAGTCTTGAGATGCATCAATCTCCTTATGCTCTTTAGCCATTCTCTTCAGCTTCCAGTTTCTGTTTTTACGAGTCTTCCTAATGTACAGTTTCTTGACTAGGACCACATCTGGAACATAGTCAATATTTAGCCCATCAAACAGTTCTGAATTGTAATTGGAGTTTGCGATAAAATAACCCATCACACTGTCACCAGGGTGACAAATGGCACCTAAATGAGATCTGACATAATAAACTTGGTCATTAACACCCAAGTCAGAGGACCTTGCTACTGTAATGTCAGCTAATACCCATTTACCCCTGCTTTCACCAGTCGGATCAACATCCAGGACAATAAACTCGACGAGCTGCGACACGTCAGCGAGTGAGCTGAATGGAGTCCTCCAATACACAGGAGCACTCAAGTCCGCAATCTGCAGGTTAGTAGGATCCAGAAACTGGATTGTATTTGAGATCTTAGAACACAAAACAAACTGTGCTATATTTCCCATCGCTCTTGCAAGTTTCTTAGGGAGTACGACCAGGTCATCCCTACATATTGGGACAATCTCTACCGAATACGTAAACTTGTACGTTGAAGCACCGGTATGAGTATCCTGAGAGATCAGCTCCTCTGACTTTTTTGATTTGATAGGTACTACAGCATTCAAAAAATCAATCATTTTCACCGCATGGTTCTTTTGAGCGTAGTAAAAGTCAAGACCATCCTTGGCCTCAGAAATATTGATCGTATCAACATGTGCATTATGCTTTAAAATTAGTTGTTCCAAGTAGAGAAATGTCCTCTTGTGAGGAACCTTTTGTCTTATTTGAACGGCAGCCCTCCAAGTGTTGGTTGTATAAGATCTAGCACAGTCAGCACATTGCATAGCCACAACAATATACTCAACTTCAAAAGTTTGTTGAATGATGGTGTTGGCCATAGCTTCACCCTGAACCGTTAACTTTACTCTAATACGTCTGGAGTGCGGCTCTGTCCAGATAAATGATGCATCCACTAATCTGACCTTAGTCAAACCCTTCAGCCGGCGCAGACACAAAGCTAGAAGTTCACGAGATTCTAGCTCTGCTCTAATCCATTGGCCAGGTGGTTGAAGAAATCTCTCACAATTTCTACAAAATGAAATATTGGCTTCCCTTGGTATGCCTTCCGTGATATCCACAGTCATCTTGATACAGTCGTAGCACATAACTAAACCACTTGATCCGTCCATAGGCACACCACAGTTGCAACATAGCACTGTTGCAGCTTGCGGATTTTGCAGAGCATTCTGATCCAGAGGTGTATAATTCATGTCCCCTAGAGTTGCTGTCAGGAAGCAATGAGATGGGAGATGAGATGAGATGAGCTTCAAAAAATTTTCTTTGATGGCAAATTACACATCAAGCTGAAGAAAAAAAGAAAAAAGGAATACGATCACGTGATAGTGGACCATTTTAATCTCAATAGATGAATATACTTATCGATTGGCTTTCCTCTTCTTCTTTCCATCAAATAGGAGCCCGAAGGACTTTTTAGCTACTTTCTCTACCTTAGGGTCTTCATCACTGTCTTCTTCAGAGTCATTTGGAAACTCATTTTTACCCTTCGATGTACTGCTTGCAGGCACTGACTCTTTCACTTCACTTCTTAAGGTTTTCTCCCTGTAATCTTTTCGTATCTTGCGTTTTAATGCTGTCATAGCTTTAGTGTCATTAGCGCTAGATGTGTATAGGCCGTTGTTTTTAGCTTCTTGGTTGACGTTCCTCTTTTTCTTCTTGGCCAACGATGCAACCTTCTTCTTGCTATCTATAAACTCTCCAATGGTTGAAATATCTTCCTTATCATCGCTTTTATCATCAAAAACCAATCCTGATCCTATTCCGATAACCGGAAGCTGATAAAATGAGGCCTTTGACTGTGCCACATCGTTCTTATCGCCCGTAGAATCAACTCCGTCAAGCCACTTACTGACCTGCAAATTGGTATCATTGAATGAAGATTGCAGTTGAGCCTGTAATGCCAATTTTTCCTTAATCTCTTTAGCTCTGGACATGTCTGATCCTTGAATGCAGTTTTGACGTTGATGTATTTTATTAGAGATGAGGTCGGTTTTTTCCTTTACCGCTCGGAAAAAAAATTCGCCAATAGTCAATATTACGAGATGCCTATATGTATGTACAATCTATTTTTCTCTGTAACTCTTGGTTTCCAGCTTTCTTTTATTGATCTTTCTACGCTCACCAAAGTTTTCCTTTTCCATAGCCATTAAGCTTTCTCTTTTAGCTGTTGTAACTTTGTTGAGGGCCTTTCTGATGACAGCTGTGTCGTGCACATCGGTGAATTCGGTCATCTTCTTATTGATTCGTTCTTCGATCGCCTGGATTCGTGAGATGTCTCTCTGAGTGACAAAACAAATGGACTCACCTAGACGCCCAGCACGTGCAGTACGACCAGCCCTGTGAATGAAAGTGTCTGGATTAGCAGAGATATCATAATTAATTACTAACTCGACAGTTGGAATGTCTAAACCTCTGGAAGCAACATCAGTCGCAATCAAAACACGAGCTGCATTTGCGCGAAATCGATGAAGAGAGTTTGTTCTTTCTTGTTGAGGCATTTGAGAGTGCAACGATGCGATCCTAACTTCTAGCTGCTTTAGAGTTCTTCTCAAAATTTCAGCTGTTACAGTCCTATTAACGAATATGATAGCTGTAGAGTTTTCGTACTTTTCACTTGTCAATATTTGATACAGATAAGCCTCCTTGACGTGTTCGGGCACAAGGAGATATTCAATCTTCAATGTACTTGGAATTGCAACGTCATCAACAGTTTCAACTTGGTATGAAAAGAGAGGGGGCTTACCATCAACTTGTGGTGCTTCCTGAAGCATCTTGACTTGGTCTGTAACCGTTGCTGTAAAAAGTAAATTTTGTCTCTGGGCTTTAGGTGGAAGAATGCTTACACATGTGGCTAAATCTTTTGTGAATGTATTGGTAAGTAAAATATCGGCTTCGTCTAACACTAAAAACCGTACTCTTTTCAACCCACCTACAGTATCCATCCCACTGCTCGTAATGTGATGCGCCAATCTACCAGGGGTAGCTATTATAAAATGTGGTTTTTTTTGCAGCTGGATAGCTTGCTCCACTATACTTTCTCCGCCAACGACAACGGCAACCCGTATATTCATACTGCTTCCCAACGCCGTGAACTGCTCTGCTATCTGCATGGCTAGTTCTCTTGTTGGTGTTAGAACGACTCCAAACATGCCACTCGGATCCTCTGACCACTTTGTCAACATAGGTGCAGCAAATGCGATGGTTTTACCCGAACCGGTCTTGGCTCCGCCTATACAATCTCTTCCTTTTAAAATTTGAGGTATACAAGCGCTCTGAATAGCCGTAGGTTGATTGATTTTCATTGCGCTTAAGGCTTCCACTAACCATTTAGATACTCCTATTTCCTTGAAACTCTTGGAGCTTTCCATTATATCTATTAATTCACAATAAGTTGTTGCGAAAGTTTTCAGAAAGATAGACAATCCGCGATGCGATGAGTTTATGCAAATGCTTAGAATTGAAAATGGTAAAAATTTGAAGATTTCAAGAAAAAGAAACATTCGTCCAAAATCACAAGTTAAACCGGACAAGCAAAACAGAATAATTACATAATCATATTAATGGCTTATTGGATATTTCATAAACATGGCGTACTTACGAAATGTTGCCTCGAGCCATACTTACACAGAAACAGACGCGTAAGGTTTATTATAAAATTTTCTGAAATGATTGTTCTATAATTTGAAATCCGATCAAAAAGAGAATTAAGCCTTTTTTGAATCCATGGCACACTTTGCCATCTTCTCTAAAAGGAGGTCAATGTTTTCGCCTTTCAGGGCACTAATCGGTACAACGTCCCAGCCCTGCGTATCGCAGAAACTTTTGATAGTATCATATTTTCGCTTAGAATTTGGATTTTCCACGTCAATGTCAGCCTTATTGCATACCACCAGAATCTTCTTAGTCTGCAACCTTTTTATCCCTCCCAGCTCCTCGATCAATATTTGAAGATCCGCTTCTGGATGCATGTTTTCTAAACTTAGAACTAGAACCCAACCGTTAGAGCGCTCTATGTGTCTCAGAAATTCAATGCCCATCCCTTTGTCTAATGAAGCACCTCTGATAAGTCCTGGAATATCAGCTACCGTGAAGCTCGGTTTGTTAATTCCCAAGCTTATTGTTCCAATACTGGGATGCGTTGTAGTGAATTGCCAGTGACCAATTCGTGGTCGGGCATTCGATATTTGATTTAATATAGTAGATTTTCCAGCATTCGGCAGTCCGACAAGACCTAAATCTGCTAGGCTTTTGAGTTCAAACATGAAGTATTGCTCTAGACCACGTCGCCCACATTTTGCAAACCTTGGATTCCTGATTAGATTAGTCAGGAAATGCATATTACCTAGACCACCTTTTCCACCTTTCAATATGCAAATTGGTTTTTGTGTTGAAGTATTAAGATCTATTCCAAAGATAGGGAACCTATCAGCCTGTAATTCAGTCTCAGTCAAATCATAATCATAGGATTTTACCTTTTCACGAAGCTCTTGAAACCATTCTTTCTGCATATGATACTCACGATCTTTTCCTTTGAATAACCAGCCCTCTCCATCTTCATATGAATCACGGAATAGTTGAATATGCGATGGCTTCTGATCCATCGCGAACCTGCCTGTGCACTGTAAGCTAACCATTATTTCATTTAATAGCTGCCTCAGAGAAGCACTGTTTTCTTGCTGCATTTTATCAACATATTGGCGAACGACCTTTGGCTCTAAGCACCATTTTACGATAGTTCCAACGGGAACGGAGATGAGGACATCTTTTCCACGCGCCCCATCAAGCTGATCAGAAGCGCCATTTTCACCGTCACTTGCAATATAAGTCGTTCTTAATTTTGCCAAGCTGTTCATCCCTTCAACCGCTTGCACATAAACGCTTCCTCCATCGCCACCATCACCACCATCTGGAGGCCCAATCGCTCTACCTGCATCTCTAAAAAAAGACACGACACCATTCCCCCCGCTACCACTTCTGCATTTGATCATGCGGATATCTACAAAACCATTTAGTTGTGTCTGACGATGCTTTTTGGATTGGAGATAACTCATCGAAGTAAAGTTGGAGAGTGGAGATTTTACATGAATATATGAAGTATCAGGCGGTGTTGAAATAATCTTGATTTCATGATTTAAGCGCGCAGGGCTATTTGAGAGGCTAGATGAATTTGATTCCTTCAGGTCAATTCCGTGTTTAAGCTTGTTCGAGTTTGTTCTGTCACCAATGTGCTCACTGCCGCTCAATCGGCTAAGCCACTCTTCATTATCAGAAGCTCTTGGTGCATTATCAGGCGTAGTAGATTTGAGCCTACAGAACCTTTGCGCAGTTACTCTTGGACAATATCTGATCATTATCCCATATAGGTCCGAAATGCTTGCTGATGGGTTATTTTACCAACGAAATTGACAAATTTTTGTTACATCGTACGAATGACAACTAACGTCTTAGGTTTTAACTTTTACATGCCTTTCTTGCAAGAGCTTAAAGCGTATACTAAGCTACGAATTCATATTTAAGTCACCTTCTGAGTCCAGGGAAGGTTCATGTAATTTTTCTTTCAAAGACTCGATCTTGTAAACCATGCTTCGGATAGAATTAGGATTATCACCAAACATTATTCCCTCTAGTGACTCGTATTGATGTTTCCATTGTGTTACCTCTTTTGTTAGCTGCTTATATGAATCACTGAGCATATACTGATTAACCAAGCTATATCTAGCTTTTTCCATTTTCATGGAATCAATGTAGTCCAGCAGTTCTTGCCGAAGAATTTCTGGTTGATCATCATTGCCGTCAATTGAGTCGTATTTCGCCATGATTTCTCTTAATGTATCCCGCTTACTTACTTCCACTGATATGCTAGTATCTATGTCTTGTTTCATTTGGTTACCCAAGTTGGAAGAAAGTCTACCTAGGAGATTTCCATGCTCTAAACAGGCATTGTCCAGCATTTTAAGCTCATTCACATATAACCGTAGAAGGTCAGCGGACCCATCAGCACCACTTACAGATAAACCACTCTTGGCGACACTGGCGAGTGGGCTTAATTTCATCTTAGTGTTGTAAGACTCAATAATGGACGTCTGGTTGTCCCTCAAACTGGCCAGTGATTTCACGAAAGATGGATATTCATCATTTAAAGACATTAATGCCTTGATTCTCTCACTGTCGGCATTCTCTTCGCTCACGACAGCTTGTAAAGCATCAAGCAGCGCCTCAAGATGATAGAAGTTGCCTTCTAAACCTGAATTGAGTTCTTCAAGAACATCAAGTACTGTGGAAGAACTCATCGTTTTCCAACTGCTGCTTAGCGTTTCTTCAAATTTGCTTAAAATAAATTCATAATATCATCGTCAACTTTTTTTTTGTGCAAGCTCTCCATTATGCAGTAAAGCAGAAAAGATCAGACATGGATGCAACCGCAACTATTGACTTCTTAAATGATGTGAAGTCTAAATTAAGGAGATCAGCATCAGACCTATCAAAATGGAAACTTTATAATTCCGCGAGGTGGTCTTCTGAGGCTATTTTGGGGATGTGCGACATCACTGACTTATCAACCGTCAATCCTTACATGGAGGACGACGAATCTCCTTTGAAGGGAAGGAAAGGTATACCGGATCCAGAAAATAATCGAAGAAACTCAGATGACTTAGACAATATGACAGGTAAAGAATACGACCTCTATCTATTAGCAAGCACTCTTTTTGATTGTAAGGAATTCGATAGATGCGCATATTACCTTACAGATGCCGATCATCCATGCTTGAAATTCCTTCAACTGTATAGCAAGTATCTCTCTTGGGATAAGAAGACTCAAGAAAATCTCGAAAGCACCTTGGCGCTGGGAAAGTCTCGTGGCGGAGAAGATGACGGTAACGATATCGATGGGAAAATTGCCAACAACGCAGGACTTAAGCGATGTGATATTGACAGCGATACGAATAATAAATCCCAAAAAATTATTGATATTGGTAATGGTGACACAACAAGCATATCGATACTAATAAAAGATTTGAACAAATTTCTAGAATTACATGATAGTGATACAAGTCTGGGAACTGCACTATTATATTACTTGCGGGGCATCCTTTATAAAAGCCAAGACATTAATTCTACTGCTATGACATCCTTTCTCAAGTCAGTGACACTGTATCCTCATAATTGGGCATGTTGGTGGGAGCTTTTAAATTGCTTGGCAAGACCAGATGAATCTTTGCTGCTGCTTAAATTGCTGAATGAAAAGTTTGGGATGGACCAGCACAATTCAGGCTCTACTAGTGGCCAAATAATGTTGAGGTTTTTCAAGCTTTCCTTATTTCAAGAGTTTAGTGGCAACATTGACGATTTCATTGAGGAACTGGATTATCTACTTAACATATTTCCAAATTTTGCATTCCTAAAAACACAGCACGCTCTCATCAACTATCATTACATGGATTATGTGAATTCCGAATTGATATTTGATCAAATAATAAAACTCGACCCCTATCGCCTGGATGACCTCGATGTTTATTCCAATATCTTATACGTGATGCAAAAATCATCGAAACTTGCGTATTTGGCACAATTTGCATCTGGAGTGGATAGATATCGACCAGAAAGCTGTTGCATTGTTGCCAACTATTATAGTGCGAAGCAAGAACATGAGAAATCAATTATGTATTTTCGAAGAGCTCTTACTCTGAACAAAAGCTGCACTAGTGCATGGACTTTAATGGGCCATGAATTTGTCGAGTTGAAAAACTCTCATGCCGCTATAGAATGCTATCGCCGGGCAGTAGATATCAATTCTCGAGATTTTAAGGCTTGGTATGGATTAGGGCAAGCTTATGAAGTATTGGACATGCATCTTTATTCGCTCTATTACTTTCAGAAAGCATGCTCCCTCAAGCCACTTGACAAGCGTATGTGGCAAGCCCTGGCTAGCTGTTATGAGAAAATTGGAAACTCGGAAGAATCCATCAAGTGTTACGTCCGAGCGTTACAGCTTTCAATCAATAGTGACCAGGATACTTCTATTTTGTATCGCCTAGCATTACTTTACGAAAAATTGAAGGACTCCGAAAACTGTGAAAACTATATGGTAAAGTGTGTTGAGGCAGAACAGAGCTCAGATGGGCTTGTAACAGACGAAACTACAAAAGCTCGCCTTTGGCTCGCTAGATACCAAGCTAAACATAAAAAGTTTGCTGAGGCGTACAATTATGCATTAGGAGTCACGCATGGTACCTCTCAGGAAATTGAAGAAGCAAGATCCATAGCGAGAGAGTGCCGAAGGAGGATGGAGTAGATAGTATTATCCGGGAAACCACTCAATATGAATTTAAGAACAAAAATTTTGTATTTCAGATGCAAACAACCTTTTATTTGCTGATCACATATAATGATATCTGCACTGACTATTCGATCTATAGCTTTTTAATTTAGCACGTTTCGGGACGCTGCATAATAATAATAAGCGAAATACCAGGACCTAGGATAAGATTTTTTCTAAAGAAGTTCAGTTAAAAATGAAGGTAAAGCTTGTGAGCTGGTTTCAGAGACAATTTTAAGGGGTTTATCCTTTGATTCAAGCTGTTATTTATGACATCTGAGAGAAATGCGACAAGAGTTGAAGTTCTGAAATCTGATGACATCACGTGATAATATCGTTACATTAAAATTTTTGGCTACTAGTTCGAATTTATTCAAATAGTGTGTTTAGACAAGAAAAGGTAAATTCATATCTCCAGGGCAAAATATTGCATTGAAAGATCTTGTTCGGGATTGAAATTAGTGCCATAATTTCATTTTGGGCGTGTTCTCATCAAAACTGGCTTACAATATATAACCCAAGTTCTTAAGTATATTTCGATGAGCTCACTACCACCACCACCTCCTCCACCGGGCTTTAATGGTAATATTCCACCTCCACCGCCACCATCAGGATTCAATAATAAAAAAAAACTTCAAAAACATGAGAGATCAATACCCCCCCCTCCCCCACCAGGTTTTAATGGGGGGTTACATGTGCCACCTCCTCCACCCCCGCCCGGCATAGTTGGCAACCCTCTGCCACCTCCCCCGCCACCTCCTCACGCTTTTATTGATGAAAATGTAAGAGAGAATGAAACAGCAGTATCTGAACACACTCCCCGCTCTACGCATGCAACAGTTCTAGGCGGAAATCAGAACGACCAATCGGAGCCATATCTTCCTGGTAAGAAGCGGAAGAGAGGTATGGAATCTTCCAGCTCAAAGTTCACTCAGGAAAATCTACTGGATAAGAAGCGCCAATGGTATGCCATACAGAAAAAGCGATTCAAAATGTTGAGCTCAAAGTCGAAAGGTCACAAGACAAAACAAAATGGTTTGGTACACTCTCATAAAGTTGAAATGCCTCCAGAACACTTACGCAAAATATTAAATGATCATGTTGACATGTCTTCAAAGCGGTTTATCTCCGATAAACGTGCTTTTCTAGGCGCATTGAAATATATGCCACATGCAGTACTGAAGCTCATTGAAAACATGCCTCAGCCATGGGAGCAAGTTAAGGAAGTGAAAGTATTATATCATAGTACAGGAGCTATTACTTTCGTGAATGAAACTCCAAGAGTGATTGAACCAGTTTACACCGCGCAATGGTCTGCCATGTGGATAGCGATGCGAAGAGAAAAAAGAGATCGTAAACACTTCAAGAGAATGCGGTTTCCTCCCTTCGATGATGAAGAACCCCCTTTATCGTATTCGGAATATATCCAGGATATCGAACCGCTGGATGCGGTTACTCTGCAACTAAGTGAAACAGAAGATAGCTCTGTCAGAGAATGGCTGTTTGATCTGAAGCCCTTACAGGAAGATTCAAACAAGGTGAATGGTTCATCTTATAAACGTTGGAATCTTGATAATCACACAATGGCTAACCTATATCGTTTATCATTACCACTAGTGAATTCTCCAGATGATCGGAATTCGTATTACTTATTTGATAAAAAATCTTTTTTCACAGCTAAGGCATTAAATAATGCAATCCCTGGAGGACCCAAATTTGAACCGTTATATCCAAATGAGGATGACGAGGATTACAATGAATTCAATTCAATAGATCGAATCATCTTTCGTGTAACCATTAGGACAGAGTATAAGATTGCTTTTCCTCATTTATACAATTCCAGACCAAGGTCAGTGCATATTCCATGGTACCATACACCAATTTTATGTCTCATACGAAATGAACGAGAACTGGATGACCCGTGTTTCCATTTCAATGAATCATTAAATCCGATTACTTGGAAAGATATTATGCATAATAAAACACGCTACGAATCCGAAGCTAAGAAGGACGATTTTGTATTGCCGTCCACACTTAGACCATTGATGGAAGCTGAAAAATTAGAATCGGAAGATACAAAGGAGACTCTATCGCTGTATTTCGCACCCTATCCGTTCAACAGAAGATCAGGAAGAACAGTAAGAGCTCAAGATGTAGCCCTCATCAAGAAATGGTATTTGCAACACCCCGATGAAGAGTATCCTATCAAAGTTAGGGTATCTCATCAGAAGCTGCTCAAGAATTATGTCCTTAATGAGTTAAAGAGGAATCCTCCGAACAGTAACAGGAAAATTAAGCTTCTGAAAAGCTTGAAAAATACGAAATACTTTCAACAGACTTCAATAGACTGGGTAGAGGCAGGTTTACAGCTGTGTAGACAGGGGTTTAACATGTTGAATCTACTAATTCATCGTAAGGGCCTGACCTATCTTCATTTGGATTATAATTTCAATCTTAAGCCGACTAAAACTTTAACCACAAAAGAGCGGAAAAAATCGAGATTTGGAAATGCCTTTCATTTAATGCGAGAGATTTTGAAGGTTGTCAAACTATTAGTGGATGCACATGTTCAGTATCGGTTAGGTAATGTCGACTCATTTCAATTGGCTGATGGGATATATTACATTCTTAATCATCTTGGGCAGCTAACAGGCATTTATCGATACAAGTACAAGGTAATGCATCAAATCCGTGCTTGTAAAGATTTGAAACATGTTGTTTATTATAGGTTCAATAAGGTAATAGGACGAGGTCCAGGATGTGGATTTTGGCAACCTGCTTGGAGAGTTTGGATATTTTTTATGAGAGGTGTTATTCCTCTCTTGGAACGTTGGTTAGGAAATTTACTTGCACGCCAATTCGAAGGTCGTTCGAACGAGGTAGTCAAAACCGCGACAAAGCAAAGATTGGATGCTTATTATGATTTGGAGTTGAGAGCTTCTGTCATGAATGATATACTAGACATGATGCCTGATGGAATTAAACAAAATAAAGCTAAGACAATTCTCCAACATCTCAGCGAAGCTTGGAGATGCTGGAAGGCAAATATTCCCTGGAATGTTCCTGGTATGCCTGAACCCGTTAAAAACATTATTGAGAGATATGTCAGAGCGAAAGCAGATGGTTGGGTTTCAGCTGCACACTATAACCGTGAAAGAATTAAACGAGGAGTCCATGTGGAAAAAACTGTTGTTCGTAAGAACCTGGGACGGCTAACTAGACTTTGGATCAAGAATGAGCAGGAAAGACAACAAAACATTGAAAAGAACGGTCCAGATATCACTCCTGATGATGCCACGACGATTTTTTCAACTATGGTGGATTGGCTGGAGAAGAACAACTTTTCTTCAATCCCTTTCCCACCATTGACTTATAAAAACGATACTAAGATTTTGGTTTTAGCGCTAGAAAATTTAAAGGATGCCTACACTTCTAAGGTGCGTCTGAACGCCGCTGAAAGGGAAGAACTAGCTTTAATCGAAGAGGCTTATGATAATCCACATGACACCTTGAATCGAGTAAAAAGATATTTACTGACTCAACGGGTGTTTAAACCCATTGAGTTTTCAATGAAGGACTCTTATCAATATATCTCGCCCGTTTATACCGTCGATCCTCTGGAAAAGATAACCGATGCATATTTGGACCAATACTTATGGTATGAAGCTGACAAAAGACTATTATTCCCCAACTGGATAAAACCTAGTGACACTGAAATACCGCCTTTATTGGTTTACAAATGGTGTCAGGGAATCAACAATTTGGATAAGATTTGGAAAGTGTCGGGAAATCAATCTACAGTTCTTTTGCAAACAAAACTAACTGATCTGGCGGAAAAAATTGATTTCACTTTATTAAATCGCCTACTCAGACTGATTATGGATCCAAACATTGCTGACTATATAACGGCAAAGAATAACGTGGTACTGAATTTTAAGGACATGAGCCACGTCAATAAGTATGGACTGATCAAAGGCTTGCAGTTTTCTTCCTTCATCTTTCAGTTCTATGGTCTTGTCATAGATTTATTGATTTTGGGCCCAGATAGAGCTATGGAAATTGCTGGCCCTCAAAGTTCACCCAATGAATTTTTACAATTTAAAAATGTTCAAGCCGAAAAAGCCAATCCTATCAGACTTTATTGCCGATACTTTGATACTGTCCACATCCTTTTCCACTTCGAGGAATATGAAGCAGAAGAGTTAATCCAGGATTATTTGTCTGAGAATCCTGATCCAAACTTCGAAAATGCAGTTGGATATAATAACAAAAAATGTTGGCCACGCGATGCACGAATGAGGCTAATGCGAGATGATGTAAATTTGGGAAGGGCCGTCTTTTGGGAAATTGAAGGCCGAGTTCCGGAGTCTCTGACTACCATAAATTGGGAGAATACACTTTCATCAGTGTACAGTAAGAACAATCCAAATCTTCTATTCACTATGTGCGGTTTTGAGGTTCGTATTTTACCCAAGTCGAGAATGGAAGACGTTTTATCAGCAGACGAAGGCGTATGGGATTTGATAAATGATTCCACGAAGCAAAGAACAGCACGAGCATATCTGAAAGTTTCCGATAATGAGATCGAAAAATTCAGTAATACTATAAGGGGAATTCTCATGGCTTCAGGATCAACAACATTCAGTAAGATCACAGCTAGATGGAATACCGCCCTAATTTCGTTGTTTGCATATTTCAGAGAGGCAGTGGTTTCAACAGAGCCTCTGTTGGATGTACTAGTCAAGTGTGAAACACGGATTCAAAATAGGGTAAAGTTAGGCCTGAATTCGAAAATGCCAACTCGATTTCCGCCTGCTGTATTTTACACTCCAAAAGAGCTTGGTGGTTTGGGCATGCTAAGCGCGTCCCATATCTTGATACCAGCATCTGACTTAAGCTTTTCAAAACAAACAGATACTGGTGTTACTCATTTTCGCGCCGGTATGACTCATGAGGATGACAAACAAATACCAACTATCTTCCGCTATATCACCACATGGGAGAATGAATTCTTAGACTCTCAGAGGGTTTGGTCCGATTATGTAGCCAAAAAACAGGAGGCATTACAACAAAATCGTCGTTTGGCTTTCGAAGAGCTTGAAGGTTCCTGGGACCGCGGGATTCCTCGGATCAGTACTCTCTTTCAGAAAGACCGGCACATTTTGGCGTATGACAAAGGTCATCGTGCTCGCCGAGAGTTTAAGCAATATTCCCTCGAGAGAAGTAATCCCTTTTGGTGGACAAATGCCCATCACGATGGGAAATTATGGAATTTGAATGCCTACAGAACAGATGTGATTCAGGCACTAGGAGGTATAGAAACAATCTTGGAGCACACACTATTCAAAGGTACTGGCTTCAGCTCTTGGGAAGGGCTGTTTTGGGAAAAGGCTTCTGGCTTTGAAGATTCTATGCAATTTAAGAAGTTAACTCACGCTCAAAGAACTGGTTTGAGCCAGATTCCAAATCGTAGATTTACTCTTTGGTGGTCACCTACTATCAATAGAGCAAATGTTTATGTCGGTTTTCTGGTTCAATTGGATTTGACTGGGATTTTCCTGCACGGTAAAATTCCAACGTTAAAGATATCACTCATTCAAATATTCAGAGCTCACTTGTGGCAGAAAATCCATGAAAGTATTGTTTTTGATATTTGTCAAATACTTGATGGCGAAATGGATATGTTGCAAATAGCAGCAGTCAATAAAGAAGCCATCCATCCAAGAAAATCCTATAAAATGAATTCTTCAGCGGCTGATATCACCATTACAAGCACTTTCAGATGGAACACATCAAGACCGACCCTGTTACACCAGCCAGATAGATCACTTGATGAGATTACAACAGAAAAAATGTGGATAGATGTTCAGTTGCGTTACGGAGACTATGATTCTCACGACATTTCCCGGTACGTTAGAGCAAAGTTCCTTGACTATACTACTGACAATGTCAGCATGTATCCATCACCAACAGGTATCATGGTAGGAATTGATCTAGCCTACAATATGTATGATGCATATGGCAATTGGTTTGATGGGTTGAAAATTTTAATGCAAAACGGTATGAAAACAATAATGAAAGCTAATCCATCTCTTTACGTTTTGCGGGAGCGGATTCGGAAAGGATTACAAATATATCAGTCACAGACACAAGAACCATTTTTAAATTCCTCAAACTACGCAGAATTGTTCAGTGAGGATATCAAACTATTCATCGATGATACAAATGTTTATCGTGTTGCAGTTCATAAAACATATGAAGGAAATATAGCAACAAAGCCTATCAATGGCTGTATTTTTACTCTCAATCCCAAAACAGGCCAATTATTCCTAAAGATCATACATACTTCAGTGTGGGCGGGCCAAAAGCGTCTGAGTCAATTAGCTAAGTGGAAGACAGCAGAAGAAGTGAGTGCCTTGGTAAGGTCACTTCCGAAAGAAGAACAACCAAAACAGATTATTGTAACAAGAAAAGCAATGTTAGATCCTTTGGAGGTCCATATGCTAGATTTTCCAAACATTTCTATAAGGCCCACTGAGTTGAAGCTGCCATTTTCTGCTTCCTTGGCAATTGAAAAACTATCTGATGTGGTTTTGAGAGCAACAGAACCACAAATGGTACTTTTCAATATATACGATGATTGGCTAGACAGAGTTTCTTCTTACACTGCATTTTCAAGATTAATACTACTTTTAAGGGCTCTCAAAACAAACGAAGAGAAAGCTAAAATAATCTTGAAAGCTGATCCAACTATTCCTATCCTAAAACATCACCTATGGCCTTCGTTTAATGATGAACAGTGGATCGAAATTGAATCGAAGATGCGTGATTTAATCCTATCGGAATATGGGAAGAAGTACAACGTCAACATCGCGTCTTTGACACAAAGCGAGATCAAGGATTTGATTCTTGGTCAAAATATAAAAGCGCCATCGGTGAAGCGGCAGCAAATGGCAGAAATTGAGACTACGAAGGCAAATAACAATGATAATGCAGATGAATTAAACTCTACAACTGCAATGAAAATCAAAAGCACGAATGCACATGGCGAGGAAATTATGGTTGTTGCTTCTACAAACTATGAAACTCAGACTTTCTCTTCAAAAAACGAATGGCGCCAACGAGCTATTGCCAATTCATTGTTGTACCTACGCCTGAAGAATGTCTTCATAGATTCGGAAGAGTTTGTAGAGGAGAAGGATGTTTTCATTTTCCCAAAAAACCTATTGAAGAAATTTGTTGAAATTGCTGATAGCAAGGCCCAAATTGCCGCTTATGTTTATGGTAAATCTGCAGGTGAAAATCAAAGAATCAAGGAAGTAAGGGCTTTAGCAGTTGTTCCTCAGCTGGGAAATAATCACAATGTTCAACTAAGTACGATCCCAGAAGAGAACCTATATCTTCACGATCTAGAACTCTTAGGGTGGGTTCATACGCAAACGGAGGAAATGAAATTTATGTCACCAGCAGAAGTCACGACTCATTCAAAACTTTTCAATGATACTAGTAATGATTTCATTGATATTTCTGTTTGCCTGAACCCCGGATCAGTTTCATTAGCTGCTTATACGTTGTCCGCCGAGGGCTACGAATGGGGTTTGAATAATAAAGATTTGTTTGCTCCGTCCCCTTCCGGCTTTGAACCCGATTTCAGTGAGCATGCGCAGTTGATGTTATCGGACAGAATTATGGGGTTCTTCTTGGTTCCATCTTTTGACATTTGGAACTATGCTTTTATGGGGGCAAGTTTCAACCCTAGTATTGAGTGTGATCTTAAGTTGGACGTTCCGTTGGAATTCTACAATGAGTTGCATCGCTCAACCCACTTCATGCAATTCAGTGATATTGTCGGCAATGATGATTTAGAAGCAGAGCAACAAGATCCTTTTATCTGATCTTTCACAACATTAGAGCCGATAAGCAATTTTGAAGGTGAAATATCTTGGTTGGTTCGACTATAGCTGAATACAAAATATTTACTTATCATTGGATTTCAAGGTAAATTCAGAGATCTATACGTATTCATTTTATGTAACAATTTTTCAATGAAAGTGCAATTAGCAACTGTCACCATCACTCAATTAAATTTCAAATTGGCTTCCGACGACAGATTTTAATTGATATTCTTCTTGGGTTTGATTCTATCTTCGTATTACATGATTAATTTCAATTCTCTTGCAGCGATGAGGATCGATTGCAATGACATCTGTGTATATCTTAGGAAATTCTTCATGTGCCGAGATAGTGCTGAAAGGAAAACTTCACCGCCTGAATTATTCCAACAATTAGCATTGAAAAGACAAGCTTTGCTTGAATCTATTGCTGAGAAAAAAGAACAAGAGAAAGCCCTTCGTGAAATTGAAAAGAAAAGGAATGAAGTACAGTTAGCTCTTTGCGAATTAGCGAGACTAGGCTATGGTTTTGAAAAGATACTCGTCGAAAGCAACATAGACCAAGAATTTCTCTCAAATGTTTTCAAACAAGCTGGCCTTCCAACTGTATTGACAAAATCGAATGTGTCTTTGAGCACCTCACCGATTATAGAAAATCAAGGCACAAGTAATGCAGTGGACTTTGCCAATGAAAACCGAAAAGCTGTCAAATTACCATCGGATGTCTTTCAATCTCTTCGCGAATCCGAAACCCCTTCAAATTTGCGAGAATCACCGGCGTGTTCTTCTAACAATGGACGGCCTTTTTCTACATGTGAAACGAGGCCAGATTGGTTAAAGGACTTGGTTTTAGACTTAGTATCTAGTGAAGAAGAAAGCGATCAGTTTGAGGTATTGGCTGATGATACACAGGAAGAACTTAAGTCCACAATACACAGTAACAGTGCGGTTGACGAAAAGATCGCATCGACGCAGCCTACTCTCAATGTCAATGCGGAAATAGGAAAAATAATGATGAGACTGAAAGTCGAAATATCACGACTTAAGTTTCAAATTGAAGCTTCTCAGCAGTTAGAAATATCGAGCTCGATGAAGAAGATCCTACTGGTAAAAAAAAAGCTATCACCACCGACATTGAAACTTTATTCGGTCTGATTGACAAAGTTGGGAACACAGATTCTGCAAATAAATCTGAAGAAAAGCAGAACGATAAAGTGTTGTCTGAAAGCGGATATGTGGAAATGACTAAGAATGATCAATCTTTTCCGGAACAACAATTGGGGGAAAATGTGGGCGATACTCTAATTGGGAATACGACCCGTCATCTGTCCGATGAAACAGAAGACATTTGTAGTGGTACAGATTATACGAACGAAAGCACATCTGGGGATACATATTCTCAAAATAAACGAAGACGTTCAATTCCTTTATCAACGACTGTACCGAAAAAAAAACTCAGGCCTGAGGAGTCTTTGTAGCCTTTACACAAAATGCGTCTTCACCGCTTAGAAGTTTGAAAAGATTGGATTTACAACTTTGAACGTGAGTCTAATCTCACAGAATATGATGCATTACTTGCTGTTAGACCTCGAAGAGTCTTAATCAACTCAATTTCAATCTACAAAAGAAATCAGAATGTAGTGACAATCTTATCCACTTTTTGCATCAAAAATTCGTGTCTTAGTATCCTCTCGCTCTCAATAGGGGTTGGAAGACATACCTTGGATATGTTGCGTTCCTCTCCTCTTTCTACTACTAAAGTTGATCTTTGAACTTTTTTATCTGCATTATATTTGTTGAGTTCTGCCAGATAGCACAATTAGCATTCTCTAACGAATTAACATCAGACAAGCATATAATATATAAATTTAATACTGCACATTTGATCTTGAGAAGGTTTGAGCGATGTTTAATTTCTGTCTTCATAATTCATTGGCAGTATTTTTCATACACAAGATCGAAGAAGATCATTTTAGGAGGCTCTCCGCATCGTGTCATACGTGTAATCAGCAAAACATAAAAGGAGATCTAATTGAAAGTCATCTACGTCAAAGTTCGACGCGAATGGTGGTTTCAAAGATCCAGAGCTATTTGACACAACATTCCAATTGAGAATGGGAGATAATATGGCTAAGAAAAGGACTGCAAGTACGTTTGGATCCCCTGTTAAGGCACAGGAAAGCGACGTGAAGTCATCGAAGAAGACACTTTCGGCGGCAAGCAATCCTAATAACAGTAAATTATCAGAAGTAAAGAAGAAATACAAATTTGCGCCGATCAATAATCTTAGTGATCAACAAGGTGCTCAGAAAAGTGTTCTCCGATCCATTTCACTGTCTCAAATTCGAAATACTAAGGCGCGCGACGATAGTCTAAAGGAATCATCGGATCAAATCAAATGTGCAAAAAGTCACCCAAAAAAAGAAGTAGCTCCGCATTCAAAGCCTCAATCAAAGAATCAATCTGAGGCTTTCTCTGAGGGACCCTCGGAAGAAGTCATATGGCAGTACTCGCCAGCTAAAGTGGCACGAGATTTCTCCGAACGTGACACAGCCTATCGCTCGTCTTCTGAGGAGAGCTTACAGCAGGTTTTCAAAGAGTCATCCACTCCTATAGTTCACAATAAGTTCAAAAGCATACTTAGCTTTTCCCATATTAAGGCCAGTGATGAGGCAGAGGATCATCAAGACAAAGACTCCAAAAGAGCCTCAAGGCGCCAAAACTCAACGGCGAGAAATACTTGTACAAACATTGGCTTTCGGACCTCTACTAGAGACATCGAAGACATCATCAATGACCTCGAAGGTGGTTTTGACGTCAGGCCGACGCCCAAGCCGGTAGATATACCTTCATCACCCATCAAGATGATCTCCCAACCCAATGAAAATGACACCGTGCACGATACAAATGATAATTATCATAGATGGCACGCATCCTCTGATTCATTGGATGCTGATGACTCTCTGATTGAAATATTAACTCAAAAGTTTTCAGAGCGAAAACCCAATGCGCCTACATTGCATCGTGAGGGTAAAACAAACAGCTCGCTGACTGGGAAGGCTGCACTGCATGACATTTCTTCTGAAAATACTTCAGATGATATGATGGACAACTCCTTGATTGAATATCTCGAGGAACACAACTTTACTCAAACAAAAACCAACGCCAAAACTAAAACTAATACTGCATCAATTGAGAAGGAAATCGTAGACGTCGAAGAGAGATTCTCTCAAAATTTCAAAGTTTGTGAGAATACAAGTCGTAATGAGGAAAAAATGCAAGACTTTATGGAGCGCACAAAACTTGCAGTTAGAAGAAAAGGAATGGAACGTCTTGTGATTATTGATATCCAAGTGAGCAACGCTAATACTAAAGAGAAAACTTTGATGTGTAAAAATGACAGAGATGATTACGTTCCAATAATTGTTCGTGCTCCTTGGGTTTATCTTGATTACAAAGAGGGGGACGTAGTTCACGTCATTGAAGGTGATAACACAGACGACAAAAGACTATTTTCAGACGAGCGCGATGCCAAAACAGGAAAGATTAATGATAACCTGTTAATTTTGAACCCTGATATTTTGATATCAGCGACATCCGTGGGGGGTTCGGTGGAGTGTCTAAGACGAGCAATTTTGAACACTAAACTCGCCTGTCCCACAGAGGCTAGTATTGTCATTTTAATCGGAAATATAGTTCACGAACTGCTCCAGAACTGTTTGCAATATAAAGTTGATCATTCTGAAGTTACTGATCAATACATTCGCGAAAATTTAGAAAGCATTGTTGACGCATACTCCATAGATATCATAATGTGCAATAGCTCAAAGGAGTTGGTAGTTGACCGTGTGTTAACTGATCATGCGTCAAATATTAAAGTATTTGTTGAAAAAAATGTGAAAAACGACACCGACAATGCGTCCGTTACAGTGTCTGGCACTAGAACCAGGCAGGTTGTCTCTTTTTCAAATATCATTGATATCGAAGAAAATATATGGTCTCCTATGTACGGGGTAAAAGGGTTCATTGATGTCACAGTAGAGGCTAAGCTAAATCAGAATCAAAAGTACTTGGCTCCTTTAGAACTCAAAACGGGGAAGACTAAATCGATATCCCATGAAGCGCAAGGAAGTATTTATGCACTTCTACTAAAAGATAGATATGAAATACCGGTGGATATGTTTTTCCTGTTTTATACTAAGCTAAATGATTTTGTGAAGCACAACATACTTCTCACGTCACTTAAGCATCTGATAATGTTAAGAAATCGTATGACAACATATTTGAGAAATCATCTTCGTGAAATCAGAGAGCTTTCTCCTTGTGAAACCATGTTGCCTCCAATTTTAGCCAGCTCTTCTTGTGATAATTGCTACTCTCTTAACGAATGCATGACGTTAAACAAGCTTTGCGATGATGGGACATCAGAAAAGAGTGGCCTGCCGAAAGGTACATACGACAAAATTACTGGTCATCTAACATCCAATGCAAAACGATACAAAGAATTCTATTCAAAATACGATGATCTCATTTCCAAAGAAGAGTCGAGCCTTAACGGAATGAATAAGGAAATATTTTTAATTGATAGTAAGACAAGAGAATCATTAAGTGGTAAATGTTTAAGTGGATTAATGATAGCAGAGTTGAAGGAAGATATCTCCAATAAAACCTTTGCATTCACCTTTACCAGGTCAAGTGAAAGCCCTGCCACACCCTTAATGACCAACTCACAATTATCCAAAAATGATATGATAATTGTGAGCGACGAAGTTGGTCATTATGCTCTTTGCACTGGCCGTGTTTTGGATATTTCTAGTTCATCAGTCACCATTTCAACGAAACGAAGGCTAGATGCTCACAATTTAAAGGTCAAGGGCTTCGATAGGAACGAAAGGCAAGTATTGAGAAGTCTTTTAACATCAGATAAGTCTACACTACCGGGAACATCCAATGAAAAAACATATCGAATTGATCGTAATGAGGTTCAGCAAGGACTTGCATTGGCGCGTTATAATGTCTTGAACCTTTTTTTACCTCCTATTGATGAAGACGTTCTCAAAGCTAGCAACGCAGAAAACCCCATTAAGCGCTCCCTTGGTGGTGATCTAAAAACAAGAGAACTTGTGGTAGACGATAAGTGTCCCAAATTTGTGCCTTTGAATGAGAAGCCGTTAATCCCCTACGACACCAATTTGGCAAGCGAGTTCAATGAAGATCAAATAAGAGCCATTGACAAGGTTTTCAGAGCAGAAAACTACGCTCTTATTCTGGGAATGCCAGGGACGGGCAAAACTACTGTTATTGCAAAAATTATTAAAGAAATAGTTTCCCACAACAAAACAGTTCTTTTGGCTTCTTACACACACTCCGCTGTCGATAATATATTAATAAAGCTGAAGGGGTCAGGCATTGATATTATCAGACTTGGAAGTCATCACAAGGTTCACCCAGAGGTTAAGGAGTTTTTAGTAAACTTTGATGGAGTTGAACGATACGAAAATTTAAAGGATCTCGTTCAAAAGCCGTCAGTGATGGCTACTACATGTCTTGGTGTGCATGACATTTTACTAACCTTTCGCAAAAGAGACTTTGATTACGTGATTTTAGATGAGGCCAGTCAAGTTTCTTTACCAATCGCGTTAGGTCCCTTGAGATTTGGCGCAAAGTTTATCTTGGTCGGCGATCATTACCAGCTGCCGCCCTTGGTAAAGAACGACGCCGCCAAGGCCACGGGTTTGGAAGTGTCGCTGTTCAAGATGCTGTGCGACAAGCACCCTGAAACCGTTGTGGAACTCACCTACCAATACCGGATGTGCGGCGACATTATGAAGCTGTCCAACTATCTCATTTACAATGACAAATTAAAGTGTGGTACCGAAGAAGTCCGAAATCAAAAACTCGAGGTGCCCCACATTGCCGAGTTAAGCAAGTACAAAAGCGCTAGCTGCTCCCAGGAATGGCTAAAGGATGTCATGCAAAGTGAAAAAAGAGTCATATTCTTAGACCACGACGGATGCGACGGCATTCGAGAAATCTCAGACAAAGATAACATACGGAATCCAGGCGAGGCCGAGCTGGTTCGTCAGTGCGTCGCCGCGATGACAGAATGCGGCATTCCGCGCGAGGCGATCGGCGTCATGACAATGTACCGCGCGCAACTTCGCCTGGTCAAGAAAATGTTCGACACCGACGAGCACAAGGATCTCGAAGTCCTGACCGCAGACCAGTTTCAAGGCCGTGACAAACAATGCGTCATCATATCCATGGTCCGCAGCAACAAGGAATTAAACGGCGGATCGTTGCTGCGTGAGTTGCGCCGTGTCAACGTCGCCATGACAAGAGCCAAATCGAAACTGATCATCATTGGCTCAAAAACCACCATCGCCTCAGTAGACGAGTTGCGTGATTTCATGGCCATGATGGACCGCCAGAACTGGATCTATACGCTTACACAAGACTGTCTACATTGCTACGACATTCCGAGCTTCCCGAACTCCCAACGGCGCCAGCGGGCGGCCACTAACGAGCCCGTATTCAACAAAAATATAACCGTGACATCCAAATTCGTACGCGACAAGCCGGTTATTCGCGACACTCTTAACTCCATGTGAGTTTCACCCCGGCCACATGCAGAACACCTGGAGCTCCGCCCGGAATGCCTGTTACTTCGAAGGAAGTTGTCAGTCACGTGAGCGCTATTTTTAAGCTTACTCCGCGGAGGTTTCCTCCGGCTCGGCCTAATAGCAAAATAAGGGAAAAGGTTGTGAAGCGACACCACAGTTTTATCTGAGGAATTCTCAAATGGGGCGTATCAAATCCGTACTGGGCCGTCATAGAAATTAATTTATCGCGGTCATCTGGATGAATTGGCAATTGCAAGTGAATGGTACGAGGCCAACTGAGTAATTTTAATTGTACTTACCATTGTGGTTAGAGAAACCCGGAAGTGGTAGCCTTAGTAAGTTCCAAACGTAGAAACCGGGTTGGCGTATATAAGGAGACTCGTTGGCACTAGGAAAATAACAACCGAAGGTGTATTCGAACCGGATTAGTGAAAGAGAGTGCCTGGTGACGGTTGTGTGCAATACCACGCGCATTTTTTTTTCCCTTTATTAGTTTATTGGTCGATCTTTGCACGGCTTTTAGAAAGTGGTCGGAGCCGGATATTACTTTCTAGACCCCCGGATTGAGGAAGAGTGATTTTTAGGCCGTACCCGTTTTATACACTCCTGACAATTATCAAAAGATTTATTTCAGATAGCTAAGCCAGTCTAGCGCTCCTTATAAGCGGAACAGAGAAAGAGAAGGTGCCGTCTTTGGATAAAGAATATAGAGATTGTGTTTATGAGCATGACAGTCCCAGAAAGCAGCGAGGTTCAGGACCTAGCGAACCGGCTCACAGACGTCGTAATCACAAACAATGAGGCGGGCACCACGACACCCACTCAGGAGGTCGCCAACGCTGAGGAGGATGAACTGTCGAAAAGCAGTACGCCAACCTCGAATTTGTCCCAGCTAGAGCAATTGGCAAATACCAACGTACTGACTCTGCGAGTGAAGTGGAGCGACAATTTGGTGATGGACTACAAGAAGACTGAGCTTCTGAACAAACTCCACGAGCTTATTCATTCGAGGCGAGGATTTGCCGTTAACCCATCTGTGATCGAAAATTACGAACATCTTTCAGACAAAGGCAGGCTTGCCGTCATGGAGGAAAATCAGGGTGTCTACATTTATGAGTCGGGCACAGAAGAGTTTGCCAAGTCTTACGAAGACGATGAAGACGCGAACTGGTTTTACGACTTTGTCATTCAATCTCAATTCAAGTCTTGGCAGGATTTGGAGGTTGTCCGTGACAACGCCATCGAGTTACTGGAAGAGAGTGGATCGGTTATGAAGTGGTCCGTTAGTGTTAACCCACACGCATTGACCCACCCAGGAAACTTGTACATAAGAGGGATACCAAAGGACCTGACTGTTGACGATTTGGTCCCTGTATTTGCGAAATTTGGGCCCGTAATCTCCATGAAGCTAATTTGTGACTCCAACACTGGGGAGTCACTTGGTTATGGTTTCCTTTCTTACCCTCTGGGCTCCCAAGCTTCTCTTTGCATTAAAGAGTTAAATGGCAACATGATGAATGGGTCTCCTCTGTTTATCAACTACCATGTAGAGAGGAAAGAGAGAGAGCGAATCCACTGGGACCATATAAAAGAAGATAATGATGATGAAAGATTTAGAGGAGTGTTCATTGGTAACTTGCCTACAAATGATTCTGACGGTAAGCTAATTACACCCGAAGATGTCATTTCTAAATTCAAGGGCATATTGAATGCGGATAAGGATGATTTGGATATAATTTCTTATTATTTTCCGAAACGTAATAGCAAGAGTGACATTGAATATAAGGATGAAGATGATGAAAGAGATAACATCGAGACTTGTGAATCTCAGCACGAAGAATCGCCTTTGAAAGGCTATGGGTTTATCAAGTTCGCTTCTCATGATCAAGCACTCAAGGCTATCGACAAGTTTAATGATATGGAATGGCTGGAAAATAAACTGGTAGTTAACAAGGCTGTACAGACAAAGCCGCATCATCACCATCACTATCATGGTCACAATCGTCGCCAGAGTGACCGCTCTCTGTCCTCTAGGCAATCTAGTCTCACTAATATTCCCTTCTATACCCCCTACGGTGCACCACAGGGCGGATTTGGATATTTCCCAGCACCTAGCAATGGCGGCTATGGGATGACTATTCCAGCGAGTGGGGAAGCTGTACCAAGTGAGTTGGGAAATGATCACTCTCCGGTATCATCACCTTCGCCTCGCCACTCCTATTTGCCAACACCTCAATTGCCTGTTTATGGGGGTCCTCCATCGCTGAGTCACACTCCGGAAAGCACTTCAGCACCATCTTCTCGAAACGGTTCAATATTTAATGTGCAACAACAAGGGGGAATGGTCACACCAACTCCTTTTTTGCTTCCGATACCAACAAAAGATCAGCAAGAATCTAATTTGTACGTGAAGCACTTACCCCTATCATGGCGAGATGACGACCTTTATCATTTCTACGAGAAGTTTGGCGAAATTATAAGTGCCAAAATCATCACAGTAGGTGGAAGTAAAAATGAGGAAGCTTCCTCCCAAAAATCTAAAAAGCAAGATGAATTGCCCATGGGCACTTCTAAGGGTTACGGTTTTGTTTGTTTTAAAAACCCACTTGATGCATCGCGCGCAATGATGATTACAGATAGGTATCAGGTCGATGAAAATCACACGTTGTACGTGTCATTTGCCCAAAAGAGAGCCAAATCCATCAGCAATGGTGATTCCATGTCACCCATGGTCAATTCTAGACCAACGTCGAGAAAAAACTCTTACCACGGCTACAATGGCGGTCAAGATATGCTTGGAAATTATAATCCAAAATTTTTGAATGCTATGTTTCAGCAACAAGGTGGTAGGAAATCATTTTCAAGACCCCGTGGAAGCTGGCCTCTAACTATGGGCGTTCCGATAGCACCACCGCACGCAGTTCAGTTTGTGCCACCGTTTGTTGCTCCTGCTCAATTCCAGGCGATGCAAGACTCTCCGATTGATGAAGGAGATCATTCAGGTGGGCCTTTGGATGCTTCAGTCGGTAAAGAAAAACAATTTACGAATTAATTGAAGATGTTTATTTCTAACGCATAGAAAGTTTTGTACTTTTTTTACGTTCTCTTTTGTAGGAGGTTACTTTTCTTGATATCAGTTTAAATTCAAAATTGCTCACAAGTTTAAATCCTATTGTATAGGTCGTGATGTATAAAAATCGAGAAATACGAGAATCTGATTGTATTTAGAGTAAACTTCAAATTCACCATGTAAATTACCTAAGAACAAAAAGGGATAATCCAAATTACACATAAAGTTAAATTACATCAAACGGAAAAGTGCCTGTGTTAATTCATAAATTGCAAGGCCTTTTCAACTAATATTACATCCAGGGAGTTCATTAGTACCCTGTTCACTGCCTGTTAAAGACAAAACAAACCGAAATCTCAAAATCTTAATTGGAACCATTTAAAAAAAAAAACGATTCGTGTCTACCTGTGCCCTTCTACCAAAACTCTCTTCATGAGCCGCTGTCATCAAATTATGCAAGAGAATGGTAGATTTCATTTTTTCCTGTTGGGATCCATAGTGTTCCAAGCGCCGCTAAACTGCGTTGTCGTTCCACTGACACTGCTCGAAGAACCGCGTACATTACTGACGTTGCTAAAGCGCGGATTACTAAAAATCGAATTTTTCTGAGAAGAGAGGCTTGGAAATCTACTATCATTACCACTAGGATGATGCGAAACCGAAGAATTTATGCTGCTGAAACTCGAATGTGTGGATAGAATCGGGTATCTTAAGTGAGTCCATCTAGTATCGACATTAATGATCTCATTTTTGAGAGATTGTAGTGTGGAGACCATCCCATTCGCATCAGTCGCTGAGGCATTCGGAATTTGTTGTAAGAGATCAAGCATCCCTACCATGCATCTTTGGAGGATGCTCAGATTAGCATTAAAATGGTGTAATTCCAGGTTCGAAAAACTCTGAGGAGTCAAAGCGGGATGTGGAGCGCCCGTAACCGGAGTAGGGAGCAAGGGAACAGTAGCAGGATTGGAGCATCCAGGCTCCACTGATAGCTGCTGCGGTAAAGCATCCGGTGAAGATGACGGAAACCCCTTCTCTGGAACCACAGGTGTTGCAAGAGTAGTTCGCAGACTGGGTAACGGTGATATAGTCTTTGGGAGAGGTTGAAGGCTATCACGATTAGAATCGCCACCGGGCAGATCCACGCTCGTCTGTGACGAAGTTTGTGCGTTTATCACTTGCTGCTGGTGCGGCACCGGCCCAGTTCCCGTAGCGACCAATCGAGGCCCTGTCTCGACATAGTTCACACACACGGGCGAGAGCACGTTCTTGCGTTTGCCATCTTTACCCACACCGCTGCTTTTGCGTTGTATCCCACTTAGCTCCGACATGGAACTATCGCTACGGAAGCGTCCGGACGGATGTGAAAACTCCCACACCACCGCATCTTTGCTAGGTCGCACCTGCGATTGTGCGTTGAGCTTGTGAAAGCCATACATATGAAGTTGCCGAACAAAACTGCTCACATTTCCGTGTTTGAAAAACCGTTTCAATACTTTGGAAGAAAACTCGCCATCGTACGGCCTTAGTACGAAAACCCCATCTTCTTCCTCTGACCACCAAATCCACCGGCACAACTCCGTCTGCTGCAGTATACCATGGAGTTGGTGTATAAAAGTTTTGGTCTGCATAGCTCGATCTGATAAACCCTAGGAGTTCCGGTCTAAGGTTCTTGTGTTATTCTCCCTTTCTTGTATTAGAGTGGCTGCCTATCAATGGAATCATTCCTCGCGCAAAAACCGTTGTACACCGTTGAAAAAATTTTTTCCACGCCGGACGGAAAAGAAATGTCCTCAGTTATGCGATTCTCGCAGCCTGACGGGCTTAGAAAATGCCCTGAGGCAGCTGCTGCGTATGTAGATATCAGTAGATCACAGGTATGTAAAGACAATTGCGCAAAGCGTCGATTGCAGGAAGGCTGCGTCCGAGGTGTCGCACACATGTAAGTCAAAATTTGCTAGTGGACACATCTATGCCTTGCACGGCACTGGAGTCAACGAACCAGGCAACTTTGGTGCTGCAAAGATGGTTGACGAGGGCGCAGGGAAGCGTGAGGTCTTGATTTTCAAAGATACGCTTTAGGATAGGCTGCTTCGAGGCACCTTCTGCGACAAAACCCAGATTACGTGCAGCCTGCAAAACAGGCAATGTGAATGTTATGCGGTCGGAGGGAGGTTTAGGAGAATCATGGCACCACGCAACTCGCTTGTCTTTCTCGTCGAGCAGATAGCGATGCGCATCCCCCGGGAAAAGCGAGCAGGTGTGGCCGTCAGGCCCGCAGCCGAGTAAGATGAGGTCGAATTGTGGGGGTAGCAACGTCTCGTACTCGTTCGCAATGCGGTCATTTTCGCCAAGCCCCACGAGCGACTCGTTGATGGTGTACATGGTGGGGCCCAATGCGCCCTGGTGCTCCAGTAGCGGGTCGAGCACGTGCTTCTTGAACGCGCCGTAGTTGCTGTCCTCGTCTTCCAGCGCCACAATCCGCTCGTCGCAGAAATAAACATGCCAATGTGCCCATTTGACATCCGCGGCAATCTCAGGTGTCGCCACTAAGCTTTTGTACAGTACTTTGACGAGAGAACCCCCACTAATAGCCACGTTGAACCGCTCGCCCCTCGCCAATGCCTCGTTCTGTTTCTCCAAAATGTACTTTCCCACGCTGTGGGCCACTTCCTCCGACTTTTCATAGGCGTGTACGCTGACCATTGTGTGTATATATGCAAGTTTTGAGGTGTTTGTGATAAATAGAGAGTAATTGAGAGAGAGGGAAGGAGAGAGTTAAAACCGCTACCTTGTTATTTGCTATCGGAAATTAAGACGACGGTGATTTAATTAGCCACCCCGTGATTATCACGTGACGGAGTGCTATCATATGCTACGACTATCACGTGCTTGTCTTCTTTTTTTCTCCTATTTCCGTGGTTAATTCCGGACCTTCACTGCTTTATAAAAAGAATCTACACTACTAATTGGTCTTGAGACTTCACCGTTGGCGGAATATCCAATGTTAAACGGGTGTGTCGGTGACCACACTCTAAACATCGCTCTTGACCACTGTCTACTAGTGTCTACTTTATATACGGAATATAGTTGTCTGCTACACCTCGACGCTTCCCAGCACTTCCCATTCGTCGACCGGTCCTTCGCATCGCACGACCTTGAAAGTGCCCGGCAGCCCCCACCCGGTCAATGGGCGGTCAAATAGCCACGCAGACTGGTCCTGGTCGTCCATGGCCGCGTTAGAATGCATCTGCAGGTCAAGTGCATCCTCAATGCGCTGTACCACCACCCGCTCTAACGCCTGATTCACGTAGTACATATCCGAGTACACAAGCGACACGTGAGGTCGAAACGTCTCCTGCAGCCACTGGGACGCTTGCTCAGGTCCATCTGCGACGTAGAGCTCGCGCATGATCTGCGCAATGCCCATCAGATACTTGTTGTGTTCACATACCAATCTGACCTTGGTGAAGTACGGCTTTCCAACGCTGACGCCACGGAACGTCACTAGTGGCTCTTTGCTAGACCGCACCGCTGACCGCACTGCCTGTACGGCCGCGACACATGATGTGAGCACCTGGTTTACCTGGTCTTGTGTTTCGCACTTGAGTTGTGCTGTAATCGTCAAATGCGGCTCAAAATACGCTGCATCGGGGAACAGCGTTTGCAACGACAAAATCAGCGAGTGGATCGTTTCGTATACCGGTGTGTTTGTTTGTGGCATAAACCACAATGCTACCGTCATGGCCAGTGCTTTTTGTTTGCGTTCTTTGTTTTACAATCTTACTAAGGCTTAAAACGGATTCTTTATCGCTTCGCGCCTCATGCCGTACAGAAGCGCATCACACTACAAGTACAGTTGAAGGTCTGGGAACCTCACTTCCTGCCAATTGAGCTTTAGTGGGCTTAAGTTACCACATGAGCCCGTCAAATGTCGCTTCAACTGTGTAAGATCCCTGGGACGATGCTCAACCCTGTATAAACCGTGATCATATCACACGATATCTATTTAAGGAGTTACTTGTCCTTCATATAATAGTTCGAATTACTGAAGAGCAGTGGATAACATCCTCTTGTGGGCTAGTATGTCGAACTACGTAGATATGGCGTTTTTTATCGTTTTTTTTACCTGATGCTTTCTGGCGATAAATTACAATGTCCTGTCCAAAAACGAAATTCGATGTCATCAATTTTTCTTTCTGCAAACATCAAAACAAGTTCCAGAGATGCCAAAGTGTAGAAGTTGTGGGAGCACAGAGTTTGAGCGAGACCTCTCCAATGCCAATAATGATCTCGTGTGTAAACACTGTGGTGTGGTGTCTGAAGATAACCCTATCGTGTCTGAAGTCACGTTTGGCGAGTCGAGTTCTGGTGCGGCCGTGGTTCAAGGTTCGTTCATTGGAGCTGGTCAATCACACGCGCCGTTTCTATCTAGAGGCGGCTCTTCAGCACTTGAATCCCGCGAAGCTACCCTGAATAACGCTAAGAGAAAGTTACGCGCTGTGTCGCATGCCTTAAACATCCCTGACTACGTAACGGATGCTGCTGGTCAATGGTACAAGCTAGCGCTGGCCTTCAACTTTGTTCAAGGCCGTCGCTCACAAAATGTCATTGCAGCCTGCCTGTATGTTGCATGCCGTAAGGAAAAGACCCACCATATGCTCATCGATTTTTCGTCACGTTTGCAAGTTTCAGTCTATTCTATTGGTGCAACTTTCTTGAAAATGGTGAAGGCACTACACATCACAGATCTGCCTCTTGCAGACCCATCCCTGTTTATTCAGCATTTTGCCGAAAAACTTGATCTTGGCGACAAGAAGATCAAAGTGGTAAAGGATGCTGTCAGATTGGCCCAGCGCATGTCTCGTGACTGGATGTACGAAGGTCGTCGTCCTGCCGGTATAGCAGGTGCGTGTCTTCTCCTCGCATGCAGAATGAACAACTTAAGAAGGACACACTCGGAAATTGTTGCTGTGTCCCATGTTGCAGAAGAAACGTTGCAACAACGGTTGAACGAGTTTAAAAACACGAAGTCGGGCAAACTATCCATCAAAGAATTCCGTGAAAACGAAACTAGCGAGGCAGGCGCACAACCACCCTCATTTCAAAGAAATCGAATTAAGGAGAAAAAACTCCGCGAGCGTCTTAACCATGATGAGCTGGAAACGAGTGACGAGGCCCTGAGCAAAAATCCAATTTTGTCACAGGTACTCGGCGCCCAAGAGCTGTCGTCACGAGAGGTTCTGTATTATTTGAAGCGATTTTCAAAACGCAGAGAAGATACAGCCCACAGAACAAAAGCCACCAACGGGGTTGACGATTCCGATATGCAAGACACCTCACGGGAAGAGACTGCTTTACCTACCAATACGAGCGACGAATTATTAGAAGAAACCCCAGGTGAAGAAGATGGAAGACACTTTCAAGATGCTATTGACGGTTACTCGTTGGAGAAGGATCCTGACAGACCACGCAATTTGCACCTCCTTCCTACGACCGCTTCATTACTAGCAAAAGTAGCAGACGATCCTGAAAATTTAGAAGATGTAGATGATGAAGAGATGGAGGCACAGTTACTAGATGAAGAAGCATCCAAATTGAAGGAGCGGATCTGGATTGGTATAAACGGCGATTTTCTGCTGGAACAGGAGAGTAAAAGACTTAAACAGGAGGCAGACGTTGCATCTGGGAACGCGTCTGTCAAAAAGAAGCGTGGGGGCGCGGGCCGCAAACGCATCAAGCAACAGAGTGATGTCGAGGGCCTGCTTGCAGATATAAAAGACGACTCCGGACTTCAGGCTGCATTAAAATTAGCTGAAGATACTGGTGATTTCACAACTGCCGATAGTGTCAAAAACATGCTGCAGAAATCGAGCTTTTCAAAGAAAATTAATTACGAAGCTATAGATGGGCTGTTTAGAGCAGCCTGACCGAAGGCAGTTTGCGTATATAGTTTTTTAGGAGGTAAAGGATAAAAAGAAGTAATTCGAGTACAGATATTGAACTGCGAAACGGTTACATTGTTGAGTACTAAGCAAGTATTTTTCAAAGTCCCTCAGTCGGCAGTGATCTTCATTAGTGCGCTTTTCTACGTGAATCTCCATAAACATAATAGAAACACAGATAGGGAGACAGATGATTCTATGTTATCTTTAAGCGATTCAACAAGAATTTTAGAACAGAATGGCCTATAAATGACAAGCTGTCCGATAATTCATGCGGTAAAGAGCGCGAGAATAAAGAAGGCATCTATAATGTATATATGTACATCATTAATGACGAAATCGTTCAGAGGAAAAGAAATGTAACCTTTACTAGAAAATTTTCAAGCTCATCTCATCGCATCCCATTCTAACTCATAGTACCGAACAAGCAGTAATGGCGAGGAAATCTAGGGCTAGTTTATTGCCTACAAATGTTATTTTGCTGCAAAACTTGGTAAAGCGTGATCCTGAGTCATACCGAGAGGAGTTCCTCCAACAGTACTCTCACTACCAGTCTCTTAGGGATATTTTCATGCTTAACTCGATTGATAGTGAGTCTAATGATGCGACTAGTACAGCACAGTTTACAGAACTTATTGGATTCGTGAGTCAAGTCTGCTCGTGTTTTCCTGAAGAAACTGCCAACTTTCCCAACGAATTGAAGCAGCTCATCTTGGATCATCACAGGACGCTTCCGTTCGAAGTTCGTGAGAAAATTGTTGCTAGTTTGACGATGCTTAGAAATAAGGGTGTTATTGGAGCCGAGACACTGATCCAAACTATGTTTCCTCTTCTGATTGCGTACTCCACACAGACCAACGCGATGGGCGCCAATTCTCATGCAAAAGAGCTAAGGAAGGTCATCTACAACACTGTTGTTGCGCTGCTGAAAAGCTGCAACACTGGCTCAAAGAATCAAAAGTTGAATAAATCTACGCAGGCTATCTGCTTCAACCTGTTAGAACAACCTGACTCGCAAGGTGTATGGGCCACGAGACTAACAAGAGAGCTGTGGAGAAGAGGTATCTGGGATGACTCGAGAGCAGTGGAAATCATGACACAAGCGTCGCTACACGACGACGTGAAGATTGCATACTCTGGTGTGCTTTTTTTCTTGGGTGCTGATCGTGAACGTGAAGAAAACTTCGAAGACGATTCAGACGATGAGGATGGATTCGACATGAGTGCATTGAGAAGAAAGATGCAAGTCAACAAAAAGACTGGTAAGCGTGGTAAGAAGCTAGAAAACGCTGTAAAGGTGATGAAGAAGAAGAACGCAAATGCTAAGAACCCTCAAGGATACTTAAACTTTAGTGCCATTCATCTGCTGCGAGACCCTCAAGGGTTCGCCGAAAAGCTATTTAACAAGCACCTTTCCGGCAAGAGCAGCAACAAATTTAACCTTGAGCAAAAGATTGCTTTTATGCAACTATTATCGAGGCTTATTGGTACGCACAAACTTATGGTTTTGGGCATTTACAGTTATTTCTTGAAATATCTGACCCCCAAGCAACATGACGTTACGCGTATAATGGCTGCTGCTGCACAAGCGTCTCATGATTTGGTCCCTCCCGAGACCGTTCTTATTATGGTTCGCAAGATCGCAGACGAGTTTGTTTCGGACGGTGTGTCATCGGAAGTTGCATCTGCTGGTTTAAACACCATCCGTGAAATCTGCTCGCGTCAACCGCTAGCAATGGACGAAGCATTGTTGCAAGATTTGACTGAGTACAAGGGCTCAAAGGCCAAAGCAGTCAGTATGGCCGCCAAGTCTTTGGTGACTTTGTACCGTGAGGTGGACCCAGAGATGTTGAAACGCAAGGACCGGGGTAAGGTGGCATCCATGGAATTGCAAGAAGCACGTCGTGACGGTAAAGATATCAAGAAACGTCAATTCGGTGTTGAGCAAACAGTAGAAGGTATTCAAGGTATCGAGCTTCTTGCACAATGGAAGAAGTCGAACGAAGCAGAGGGTGCAGAAAATGACGAAGAAAACGACGACAACTGGGTTGTCGCCGAGAACAGTGAAGATGAGGATTCTGACGACGGCGAATGGGTTACAATGCAAAGCGACCAGGAGTACGACGTGGACATGGGCGACAGTGACGACAGCGACAACAGCGACAACAGCGACGATGAAAAGGAAGACAGCAAGAAAGATGGAGTCGCGGAAAGCGCAGAAGGCGCAGCCGAGGACGCGGTCAAGACTGAGAAGATTGATGCCGAGACTGCGTTCCGTGAGCTGGCTGCTACGCGTGTGCTCACACCTGCCGATTTCGCCAAGTTGCAAGAGCTGCGCAATGAGCAAGGTGTTGCACGCCTCATGGGTGCAAGGAACGAAGAAACAGTCGATTCCGACGCACTTGTGGGTCCAGTAAAGCGCAAGAACACAAAGGAGGAAAGATTACAGAGTGTGCTTGAGGGCCGTGAGGGCCGTGAAAAGCATGGTAGTCGTAGAGGCAAGCGGGAAAACGCACATTCCACCACTAACCGCGAAAAGCAGCGTAAAAAGAACTTTGTCATGATGGTCCACAAGAGGTCCGTGCAGGGCAAACAAAAGATGTCGCTACGCGACCGCCAAAAGCTGCTGCGGGCTCACATCACCAAACAGAAAAAGAGAGGTTTTTAATCTGCATCCCGTTTCTGCAATGTACATTAGTCGATATATCAGTATATATTTACAGCCTTACCACGGCAATGCAACGAGCACACAAAGCACAACGTCTTGTGAAGCCCAAGAACGCAACACGCGCAACACAACACGCGGGACGGAAACAAACAAGCGTTTGGTATCCTGGCCGCCGGGATATCATAGTAGCGAGGTTAGTAACCGGACAATGGGCTGCCTTCTTGATTGGGTGCGATACTACGTGATGTGAGATATGTGCCGTGCCCACGTGACTCGGAAACGCGGCTGAAACTTCGGCGCCGATGTGGGGAACCCGAAGGTGAGGCTGGCCCTCGACACAAATATATGAGAACAAGGCCACAGGAGAAATCAAGTGAATAAACTAACACCCAGGTAATCAGCTTGATCAATGTTGCACAGAGCAGTTGGATTGAGATATCAAAATGCTGGCAAGATTGCCAGGAAACTAGGGCAAGTCAGAAACTTGTCAATTCACGAGTATCGTTCTGCCGAATTACTGCGTAAATACGGGGTGGGCACGCCAGCTGGAGAAGCAGCGGTGACACCAGAAGAAGCGTATGCCGCAGCGAAAAAGGTGGGCCACAATGCATTGGTGGTCAAGGCGCAAGCGTTGACAGGTGGGCGTGGTAAGGGTCACTTTGACACAGGGCTCAAGAGTGGTGTTCATATGATTGAAACGCCTGAACAAGCGCGCGATCTGGCAAGCCAGATGCTTAACCACAACTTGATAACGAAGCAATCCGGTGCCAAGGGTAAGTTGGTGAGCGCGGTATACGTGGTGGAGCGTGTGAACGCCAAACATGAGGCGTACCTGTCAATTTTGATGGACAGAAAGTCGCAGAAGCCCCTAATTATTTGCTCGAGTGAAGGTGGTATGAACATTGAAGACGTGGCCAAGAAGAACCCTAACGCGATCAAGAAGTTTTATGTGACGGAGTCTGAGGGTCTCACGCCAGGTATGGCTGCGGAAATTGCCAAGAACCTGGGGTTCTCACAAGAAGCCGAAGCAGATGCAGCAGACGCCGTTACCAAGCTGTATAAGATCTTCAAGGAAAAGGACGCCACGCAGATCGAGATCAACCCGCTCAGTGAGGTTTCAGGCCAGAACACGAAAGTAATGTGCATGGACGCCAAGTTCGGCTTCGATGACAATGCGTCCTTCAGACAAGAGGAGGTCTATTCCTGGAGAGACTTGTCACAAGAGGATCCAGATGAAGTGGTGGCCAAGAAATCGGATCTGAACTTTGTGAAGCTTAAGGGTAACATTGGGTGTCTGGTGAACGGTGCCGGGTTGGCAATGGCTACCATGGATGTGATCAAGCTATACGGTGGGGATCCAGCCAATTTCTTGGACTGTGGTGGAGGAGCCACGCCGGAGACCATTGAGACCGCCTTCAAGCTGATTTTGTCCAACAAAAACGTGGACGGAATTTTTGTCAACATCTTTGGTGGTATCGTGAGATGCGACTACGTTGCTGAAGGTTTGGTCGCTGCTACCAAGAACCTGTCAGTGACGGTTCCTATTGTGGCGCGTTTACAAGGTACCAAGTTGGAAGAAGGCCAAAAGATCATTAAGGAATCCGGGCTCAAGATATACTCATTTGACGAATTGGATCCTGCGGCACAAAAGATTGTCGAGCTGGCCAACGCGTGATCGGCGACGTGGTTAGCGGCGTGACCCAGTGTGCCCAGAGAGCTAAATAGTTTTTTAAACGACGAAATCGCAAGGCAAGTAGCAACTGTGTATACAAACTGTCTCGAGACGGCAACAATGCGGCTGATTAACTTTGCCAAAGCTGTGGAATGAGATTTATCAGCGTGCAGTGGGTGTTATGTTGATCTACCTGTGAAAAGATGTGCGTTTGCACATGTCTTGGTATATGCGAGATTATACCTTATACATACGTTCTACATGACGAACGGTTTTCCATGCATGTATGATTCACAAGCGTGTAGGCGAGTGAATCAAGCCAAAGCGTTGCGACGTTCAAGCATAGTCCAGGCTCAAATTGTAGATTAATTGAAAGGGTGCTTCGAGTGTGAATTGGCCACTTCTTTGTTCCTAACTTGCTGCCAACGATATACAAAATTATGTAAGTGAATACCGTTGCCCAGCAAACAAAGACATGTTTAAATTTAGAAACTTTACTAATTTGCCTGCAATCAGTTGTAAACTGCAAAATAGATAAAAGGCCATAAAATCGAGGATCGCATCCTTATCATTGCTAGTCAAAACAACTTTTGAACGTAGTTTAACCGGTGTATTCGATTACACAAATAGGAACAAGGAAGACCAGTCATCAGTAGAAGTTCTCAAATCTTGTATTTGCAATTTCTTTGCTTAGGAATAATGAGCAAATCATCGTGTCAGCAAGAGGATTCAATTCATCAAGATGAATCTTTGTGCAGGCCAATATCTCCCGTCCCACTGTCGGAGCCGCCTTACAGCATCTTCGATGCTAGACAACGGGCGCTGATAGTGGCAATCGTGTCTATTGCAGCGACATTCTCCGGGTTCGCTTCTAATATCTACTTTCCTGCTCTGCCCATGATCGCTAAGGATTTGGGTGTATCAGTTGAGCTCACTAATCTTACTGTAACTTCGTATCTAATCTTTCAAGGCATTGCGCCCAGTCTGTGGGGTCCAGTATCGGACGTTCAAGGGAGACGAGTGGCATATTTTTTTACATTCATCGTTTTCTTGGCAGCATGCGTGGGTCTGGCATTGGCAAGATCATATGCTGCTTTGCTGGTTCTACGATGCTTACAAAGTGCAGGTAGTGCGAGCACCATCGCAATTGGATCAGGTGTTATTGGGGACATTACGACGCGATCCAATCGAGGAGGAATCATGGGAATTTTCCAAGCGGGTCTCCTGGCGCCCGTCGCAGTGGGTCCTGTAATTGGCGGCGTCTTAGCAGGGTCGCTGGGTTGGCATTCTATTTTCTGGTTTTTGACAATATACGGTGGTTGTTATCTGATATGCCTATTGCTTCTGCTGCCTGAAACACTGCGGTCAGTTGTTGGTAATGGCAGTATTAAATCCAGTAACTTTTTTCAAAAGTTTCCGCTCTCGGTTTATCAAAGAACGACCCGAACGGAGTTTCAGACGATCCATTGTGCCATCGCAACGAAAAATAAGATAGATGTCTTTGGGCCATTCTATATTTTGGCTAGTAAGCAGGCCATCTCGATTATTCTTTTCTTGGCCATTTATTACACGGTCTGGCAAATGAGCATCACTGCGATGTCGACTCTATTCCAAAATTATTATGGTCTTGGCGAAATTCAAATTGGCCTGACATTTATCGCGAACGGTGTTGGGTCTATCGTTGGTACGCTGGTAACCGGCAAGATATTAAATATCGAGTATAGCCGGGTCAATGCGGCGCACAAGAGACGAGTGGCGGAGCTTCCGGCTGTTGCTGACGGGGAATATAGAAACGAGACATCGATGGACAAGGAAATGGATTTTCCTATTGAAAAGGCACGTTTACGCTTGATACCTGTGTTTTCAGTCTTGCAATGCCTATCGATTTTACTATTTGGTTGGACAGTCCACTTCCCACGCCGAGTGCACATAGCGGTGCCCATTGTTTCGACGTTTTTCACTGGATGGACCGCAGTTTCTGCGCAGTCCATAGTCATGACATATCTCGTCGACGTATTTCACGACCGGAGTGCAGCCGCAGGCGCAAGTCTTAATTTGGCGCGATGCCTGCTTGCTGCGGGTGGAACCAGCCTCATAATGCCAATGATCAACTCTATCGGAGTGGGTCCCGCCTTTAGTGTGTGCGCTGCAGTACAGGCAACAGCAACCGTATTGATTGGAATTCAATGGAAATACGGTGGCCGCTGGAGAATAGAAGCACATAAAAACATGGAGTGAAAGAAGAGAAGTGCACGATTGAGAGCGAATGAAATTAAGATAACTGAATGTGGATCGGAACAAAAGAAAGGCCAATAAGCTGCCAAGATACCGGCTGGTAGAGTCCAGAAGAATCGCCCAGACGAACACTCGAACACTCAAGACCACCCTTCACGCCAATTGTCTCACGACCCGCATTTTTCGGAACTGTAAACGCATCGAGCGTATAATCGTCGATTACATAATCAAGGTATCCATCACGACTTTTCGAAGTGCTCGTAATGAGAAAAACACTCTTCGTGTGACATGCCCTATGCATTCCCTATCTAATATACACATATAGACTTTGATGTCAATGCAAAAATAGTGTGTGGCCGGTGCGCGCTCGAGCTCGCTCGAGCTCGCGCACGCGCCGCTCACGCGGTAGAACTCTGGCCCAGGGACCCGTGGGCAACCTGGGTGGCCTGCACCTTGTGAATTTTCTCCTCTTCGGTGAGCTTCTTGGGACCGTTGATCAGGTAGTCAAACACCTGGGAGTAGGTGTCGCCCTGCGCGAGACGGTAGCGGCTGACACGCGCGAGTTGGTAACCAGCGGTGCAGCCTAGGAAGAAGTTCACCGACGCTAGCAACATGTTCTTGGGCTTGATGACGAACGACCACCGCGTCCAAATCACACCTGTCGCAAGAAGCGACAGGTTCTGTGCGCCTGAGATGTTCTCGACGGGCCGCCTCAGATCGCTGAGGCCTGCAAATACCAATCCCCATTTCAAAGTGGGAGCCTGCGTGAAGGAAAGTTAGTAAGAAGAACCAATGAAAAGAGAGACGCGCCGTGTTACGTGACCTGAGCTGTCTCCCGGTCACGTGCCCGGCGCACATACAAGTGCGACGCGCGCGCTCTCCAATCCGCGACCGGCGCAGCGCGCAACACCATTCAAAGCTCACATACCCAGAAATGTACGGTCTTTGGACCCGTTTCGCTGTTTAAAAACCTCCTAAATGCTCCTGCTGCTGACATGATCTTTCAACTGTGTATGGAATAATGTCGACTTTGTGTGTAGTTGAACGCGACTCACGCTAGAAACCCACTCTAGTTTTCGTCCCGTCCCTTATATACGACCTGCATTGGTCATACACACCATGACTAAGAGAGGGGAGCCCATGCGTTTTTTGAGCCTTATCCCGTCATCGAAAAAAAAAAAATAGAGAAAAATTTGCGTTGGGCACCGGCGTTCTGCCGGACGCGCGCGGACGAGAGCGCAATAGGTGCGTCGGAAACACGACAGAGCCAACCAGAGGCATTCCCCAACGAGAGAAGAACGAAGTCGCGGGCCACGGCCGGCAGCGCCGTGCGGGGCGGCTGCTACGGGCCGGTCTTCGGAGCACCGGGCGGTACACGTGGCAGCAGCGGAGACGTAGCCGCGGAGGGACGGGCCCGCTAGAGTTAGCCGCAGCGCACGGACGGGCGGCTCGGAGTCGAAGGCACGTGGCGCGCGGACTGCGCGCGGCGGCGACGGAAAACGACGGTGCACACGTGACGCGATGTACGTCTTTTGGTTCACGTGATTGTGTTTCCCTCGTGTGTGGTGACTTTGGTTTCCTTCGCTTCTCCTGCAGATCCCGTGTAGCGCGATGTTTATAGTTGACCACGTGACTGTGGTTTTTCTTTCGTGTATAGTGCTTTAGTCTTTTTTTTTTTCCTCCATCTCCTCCTTCATTTACCCGCCCTTGACTCTGCTTCGTTTTTGTGTCGCGAGCCTGACGCGTCCCCCACGGAACCCACCCAATTCTTGTTCGCTGTCCAAAGACACCCCCCATTGCCATCGACTTTTGTTCCATGAAGAGACCCGCGGCCGAGTTCGAGTGTCTGGCCCAGTATGCACCCTCACACGACTTAAGCAGCTCAGTTGGCCGGTTTCCACTCCATTCCAAGAAGCAGCAGCGGTTCCAGGCCGCCAGCGGTGCGGACGCGCTCCAGAGACTGATGGGCGCGGCGCGGCCGGTCCAGAGCACACACGCGTCGGGAGCACGGCAGATCGACACAGAGACCCGCTGCTACTACTGCGATGCGCGTCCGCGGGCGACCACCTGTTGTGGGTGCGATTCGGCGGTGTGCGACGTGTGCAGCCTCGGCGGTAGCGCGCTGTGCTTGAATTGCCAAACGTCCACGTGATATCCACGTGTTCTGTTCACGTGCTTTTCACGTGACTGAGGTTTCCTCGACTTTTTTTTGTTTCTTTTTGAGGCTCGTCGTTCCCGTTTCTTTTTGGTGGTCGCCTCTCTCGCTCCTACCGTCTTTCTGCCTCCTGCCCCTATCTTCCCCGTCCCGCCGTGCCGCGGCATCTCTTGGTTTGGCATTCATAAAGAATAGGGGCTGCCCGATGCTATTCAGCTATGCGCGCTACTGCAACGCTCATTGACATGACAACATATGTAAAACTGGTCAAGGGCGCCACAAAGATCAAGATGGCGCCCCCCAAGCCCAAGTATGTGGACCCCATCCTGCTGGGCACTGGCGACCCAGAGGAATTCCACGAGATTATACGGGCGCTCGACGCGCGTGTGCAGGACACAGCGTGGACAGTGGTGTACAAATCGTTCATCGTGGTCCACCTCATGATCCGCGAGGGCGAGCCTGATGTAACGATCGCGTATCTGTCCAAACACCTCGAGTTTTTCCGTCTCAAGGACATATTCAACTCCAAGCTCTCGTCTGGCGATCTGCAAGCCCTGAAGCGGTACCGAGAATATTTGCAATGTCGGTGTGAACAATACGCTCGCACGCACAAGGATTACGTGCGCGATGGGAATGCCAATCTCAAGGGCAACGTCAAGGACGCCAAACTCGCTCTCGATCACGTCGAGTCGCTCGAGGCCCAGATTACCGCGCTTATCAAGAACCGTTACTCCCAGTACGACCTTGGCAACGATTTGCTCATGTGCGCCTTCCGTCTACTAGTGCAAGACCTGCTAGTGCTTTACAATTCCTTGAACGAGGGCATCATCACTTTACTGGAAAGCTTCTTCGAGCTCACCCATGCAAATGCAGAGCGCACTTTGGAATTGTACAAACGGTTTGTGGAACTCACGGAAAACGTTGTCAAGTATTTAAAGACTGGCAAAGCTGTCGGTCTCAAGATTCCTGTTATCAAGCACATCACTACAAAGCTGATCCGTTCCTTAGAAGAGCACTTACGCGAGGACTCCAAGAAAGGTCAAACCTTCTCCTCAGAGGATAAGACTCCTGCACAGAAACAACTCGAGCAAGTGCGTGAACAAAAACGCCAACTAGAGGAGCAATTGAAATCGCAACAACAAGTTACATTCTCGCCCACTATTCCTCAGCAACAAACGGGCTACAACCCCTTTTCTGAAGGTTTCACATTCGAGCAACCTCTAGTGGCCCAGCAGACAAGTAACCCATTTGCGCAGCAACAGCAACAGGTTGCCACCGGTCAAGTGCAACAAGTGCCAACCCAGAATGTAATGCCGATCCAACCTCAATTGACGCAGCTGCAACCTCAAGTGACGCAACCGATCCAACCCCAGGTGACACAGCAGTTTCAGCAACAACAACCTCAGCAATTACAACCTCAACAAACTCAGCAGTTACAACCTCAACAAACGCAGTTTGTGCCCGTTCAACACACCGCCCAGCAGCCTTTCGACACGCAGCAACTTCAACAACAACCCACCCAGCAGATCGCTCCACCTCAACCTTATCAAGCGCAACCACAAGTTACCCCTGCTGCACCAGAAAATTCATCCCAATTGCAAACGCAACAAACTGGGTTTTTCAGTTCAAACACGCAGCTTACTCCATCCTTCACGGGAGCTGGATTCGGCGGCTACTCAGCTCCACCTTCACAGCTGCCCACTGCTGCTGTAACCGGCGCACAGAGTGGATACCAAGCTATACCGCAACCCCAGATGCAAGCACAAGTCCAACCCCAGGCTCAACCTCAGGTCCCTGCGCCCACCGGTTCGAACAACCCATTTTCGCTCGACAATATATCTCGCGAAAATGAGGCTAGAGCCCAAGTCAATCCCTTCTCACAAATCAATTACACTGGCGCTGCTCCTGCAAACCCTTTCTCACAACAGCAGCCTACACAATCTACTGCAATGCAACAACCTCACACGTTTGGAGGTTACGAAAATATTCCCACTGTTCCCGTCTTCCCACAAGCACACGCACACGCACAGCAGCAGGGTCAGCAACAATACCAAATGCAACCCTCTCAGCAACAAATCAACCCATTTTCACAACCTCAACAGCAGCAATTCCAGCAAGCTCAACCTCGATATGGCGAAGGCCCTAATCTCATCGACATTTAATGTAGTATATACGCTGGAACACAACTCATCATAAAAGTTAGTTTACTGTCATGTGATTCAAAGTTCAATTTTGAAACGCGATTTTTAAAGCTTCGGCATCCACGTGATCGCAATGTCACCACCCATACATCTCGGAAAGTCCACTTAATCTGCCGTGGGCTTCCTCACGCCACATGCAGCTTCCCTTTCGGCAGCTTCCTAACTGCAGTGGAAGCCGACCACGAGATGCTAACTGACCTGGTGATGGACTTAGGGATTAATAGGAGATATATAAGAGCAGAAGGGACTGATGACTGAATCGTGCATTCGGATCCTAGGAAGAGTTATACTTGAGAGATCAGATATGACACAAGAGACAGTGTATGGGGTTGCATTCAGATCTGTCGCCACGGCAGACGAATCAGCCTACAAGGACATGATACACTTTTACCATAAACTCGGGTTTTCGAGCGTGAAAACTTACGACAAGTTCAGAAGTAACAACAAAGATTTCCATACTTCTGGAACTGCACAGGATTCTATTAAAGAGACATGGCTAGAAAGTTTTAAATTGAGTGAAGTGGATGCTGATGGATTCCGTATTCCTCAACAACAAGCTACTAACCACGAACAAAGTGAGGGTGCCTTGTTGAAGATCAGATTGGTCGCTAAGCAGCCAGCTAAAGCCGAAGGCACTCAAATTACTTACTTCTCTACCGAGGTCGATGAAGTTTTGAAGGAGTTTCCTAATGCTAAGACGGTAAATGATGGCTTGGTATCTTTGGAAGACCCATTAGGTAACGTAATTCTTTTCTCCAAATTCGCTCATGGTGGTGAGAAAGAGACTGTCTCCAAGGACTTTTTCTTGGATCACGTAGATGTCACTGCCACTGCCGATTCGACTCCCTCTTCAGCAGGTTCTGTTCCTACCGGTGGTGCCATTAAGAAGAAGATCGCTGTTATGACTTCCGGTGGTGACTCTCCAGGTATGAACTCTGCTGTACGTGCTGTAGTGCGTGCGGGTATTTATTACGGTTGTGATGTTTACGCTGTCTACGAAGGTTACGAAGGTTTGTTGAAGGGTGGTGATCTACTTAAGAAGATGGAATGGCAAGATGTTAGAGGTTGGTTAAGTGAAGGTGGTACTTTGATCGGTACTGCTCGTTGTATGGAATTCAGAGAACGTTGGGGCCGTAAGCAAGCTGCCGGTAACTTGATCAGAGAAGGTATCGATGCTTTGGTTGTCTGTGGTGGTGACGGTTCTTTGACAGGTGCCGATCTTTTCAGATCTGAATGGCCTTCTTTGGTGAAGGAATTGGTCGAGGATGGAACTTTCACTGAAGAACAAGTTGAGCCATACAAGAACTTGACGATCGTTGGTCTTGTGGGTTCGATTGATAACGATATGTCTGGTACTGACTCTACAATTGGTGCTTATTCTGCCCTAGAGAGAATCTGTGAAATGGTCGACTACATTGATGCTACCGCCAAATCCCATTCCAGAGCTTTCGTTGTCGAGGTTATGGGTAGACATTGTGGTTGGTTGGCTTTGATGGCTGGTATCGCCACAGCTGCTGATTACATTTTCATTCCAGAGAGAGCCGCTCCATCTGGTGAATGGCAAAAAGAACTACAAAGGGTTTGTCAGGCTCATAGAGAGAAGGGACGTAGAAACAATACCGTTATTGTTGCTGAAGGTGCCTTAGACGATAAGCTAAATCCAATCACTTCTGAACAAGTTAAAGATGCTTTGATTGAGCTAGGTTTGGACACTAAGATTACAACTTTGGGTCACGTTCAAAGAGGTGGTACTGCCGTTGCTCACGATAGATGGTTGGCCACTTTGCAAGGTGTTGATGCTGTGAAGGCCGTTTTGGAAATGACTCCTGACACCCCATCTCCATTGATTGGTATTCTAGAGAACAAAATCATCAGAATGCCTCTAATGGAATCCGTTAAGCTAACCAAGTCGGTTGCTGATGCGATTGAACACAAAGATTTTGATAAAGCTATTTCTTTACGTGACAGTGAATTCATTGAGCTATACGAAAACTTCATTTCTACTACTGTCAAGGACGACGGTTCTGAAAGATTGCCTGAGGACGAAAGATTAAACGTGGCCATTGTTCACGTTGGTGCCCCATCTGCTGCCTTGAACGCTGCCACTCGTGCTGCCACTCTGTACTGTTTGTCTCGTGGGCACAAGCCATACGCCATCTTGAATGGTTTCAGCGGGTTGATCCAAACTGGTGAAGTTAAGGAATTGTCTTGGATCGATGTTGAAAACTGGCACAACCTAGGTGGTTCTGAAATCGGTACTAATAGATCGGTTGCTAGTGAAGATATGGGTACAATTGCATACCATTTCCAAAAGAACAAATTCGATGGTGTCATCATCTTGGGTGGGTTCGAAGGTTTCAAGTCTCTTAAGGAGTTGCGTGATGCTCGTGCTCAATATCCTATCTTCAACATTCCAATGGTTTTGATCCCCTCAACCGTTTCCAACAACGTTCCAGGTACAGAATACTCTTTGGGTGTTGATACTTGTTTGAACGCTTTGGTCAACTACACAGACGCAATTAAGCAATCTGCTTCAGCTTCGAGAAGAAGAGTGTTCGTCGTTGAAGTCCAAGGTGGCCACTCCGGTTACATTGCATCTTTCACTGGTCTAGTTACTGGTGCTGTTTCTGTCTACACTCCTGAAGATCAAATAGACTTGAAGAGTATCAGAGAGGATTTGGCTTTGTTGAAGGAGAATTTCCGTCATGACAAGGGTGAAAACCGTAACGGTAAGATTGTCATCAGAAATGAGCAAGCTTCTTCCATCTACACCACTGAATTGATCGCTGATATCATCGCTGAAAACTCTAAAAACAAGTTTGGCGTAAGGACTGCAATTCCAGGTCACGTTCAACAAGGTGGTGTTCCTTCTTCTAAGGATCGTGTTACTGCATCCAGATACGCTGTGAAGTGTGTTAAGTTCTTAGAGGCCTGGAACAAGAAGAATGTTGATGAGACTAACGAAGACTTCAAGATCTTGAGATTCAAGTACGTCAACGGATCCAAGGTTTACACTGTCCATGATGAGGATTCTTCTGCTGCAGTCATTGCAGTTAATGGTTCTCACATCTCATTCAAGCCTATCGCACGTTTGTGGAAGGACGAAACCAATGTGGAATTGAGAAAGGGTAATGAGATCCACTGGCAAGAGTTTAACAAGATCGGTGATATTCTTTCCGGCAGATGCAACCTAAGAAAGGAGGTTGAAGCATCCTCTAAGAGCGCTTAATATCGCTGATTACATATGTTATATTAGCATCCGGTGTACGATATAGAGTATATGAAAGTGTATGAATTTTGAATGAAGAGAAAAGCAAGGCCTAGGTACGTAGCTTTGGGGCGGTTGGTATAGAAAGACATTCCGCAAGCTAGCCATTCGTAGAGCAATGAATTGAAGTGAAATGTAGAACTTCACTAATTGGGTAGAAATGGTGTATTTTGCAATTGGTCAGTTGTAGAATTGGTGTGATTTGATGGGAAAGCCTCCTCGACGCCGTTTGTAGTATGCATCATAATTAGGCGCGGAAATTCATAACTCAAGAAAAATCCAATTCCAGACCCTAATAAGGCGGTACTCACAATTAATAGAACTTTGAATATCTGAAAAAAAGCCTCCCCTTTATTCTTTTCTGGTCCTGCGAAAATGCAGAGTCTCCTGCAAATGAGATATGAAGATATCGCGCTGCAAACTTTTTGGCTGTGTTTAAGCGTCAGAAATATGAAGCCATGTAGATAACCAATTGACGTCTTTATGGTTTCCACCAAGCTGAAAAATTGGTGAAAACCATTTTTGAAGTTTCGAAGGTCCGTATCTATTTCCTCAACGGTTGAAGCTGTATTTTTCAATTTTGAGTCTATCTCTAGGAAGACTGCATCCAGATTTTCATTCCAGGTATCAATCTTCTCATTAGTTATGTCATCCATAATTTGTAAGTTTTTGAAAACGAGCTGGGAAGCCTCTTGTACATGTGGGAGTAGCTCGTCTTTCAGAGATGGGATGATTGACACATGTACTAATTTATTGAAATCTTGAAGAATATTCACACTATCTATGTGAGCTTCCTGCATTTTATATTCTAGGTTTTCAACGTTATTCATAGTGTCCGAATAGAAATTTTCTAGTGAGTGATCGATTTTCTGAATGTAGGCTTGATGAATCTTTAAAGCATTTTCAGTACCGCTGGAAATATCTTGAAGATTATCCAGACTAACCTTCTTCAATTTTTGTATTTCTTCTGCGATTTGTAGTCCCGCCAGCTGCTCATTGATGTCTTCGATTGTCTCTCTCAAAAATAAAAGTTGATCACCGAGCTCAGAATCCATTGCCAGAATGTGAGCTTCAAAAATGTCAGAATTTGAGGATAAATCTTTGAATGTAGTGACTTGGGTTTGATTGAAGGATTTTAAAGTTTCTTCATAAGTTTTCGTCATTTCGTAAAAATCTTGAAGATAAGTTTCAACATTCCGTTTTAGCTTATTCATTTTAATTTCAAAGTACTGATCAAACATTTGGGATGTTTCTTGTAATTTTGCCTCAATTTCGATTCTAAACTTACCGTATATCTCTGTAATCTTGAGAAAGAGTTCCAAGATTTGATTTTTCTCGTAGGGAAGTGAGTTTTCAAAGCATAGCGTTGGAAGATGTTGAAAATTGCCACTATATGTTGTCCACCATTGTGGAGAAACTTCCAAATCTCTTATGCAATCAATAATGCGGCTTTCATGGAGATCGATGCAGCTTTTTGGTATCTCTTTTAAGCCGGATGCCTCAAATTCACAAATTGATAGCTTTACTGCAGTAGCTACACGCAGGGAAGGATCGATTGTCTCAATACCATGCTTCAGGCACGTTGGCAGAAAGGGCTGCAAGGCATCTGCCACACAAGCATTTTTAAAATATGGAAAGCTTGATTCTATGATTTTTTCTAGTTGTGCGTCGGCCGGTGTCAGATGTGACAGATCAAGAATACTGGCGATCTTATTTACAACGCTCGCGTCATTATCATCGCATCTTGTTGCAACAAACAAAAGAGCTCCAGATATTAGTTTAAATAAACTCATCCAATCAGTGTGAGGGCTAAAATATTTGATTATAATCGCTTGAATTTCGAGGTAATATTCTTGTTTCAAGATAACATTTCACACACCGAGCGGTGTTGAGGTATCATGTCATCATTTCTTTTTTTCTCTCTTTCAAAGTATTTACAGGGCATTATGAATGATGCTACACATGCTATGAAGATTTCGCTTTATCAACTGCAGCTTGCAAAAGATTGGAAATGGGTGTATGCATTTCAGAGGCTTGTTCAAGTATACTCAGGCCGCTGCTACTCAAAGATAAGGTCTTGATGATCGAAGAAGTTAAAGGCTCGAACCCATTGATATAGGCTCTCACTAGGATCTGCGGGAGTACTGAACCTTTTCCATTTTTCAAAACGTCCATCTCGACTTTAACTGCGGGAAGCATCAACTCAATGGATTCCAGATGGCTGAGTACTGTTAACTTCCCGGCATCAGACATTCTTGAGAACGACGGTAAGACGAATTCTTCCATGAAAGCTTTCTTGAAAGTTTTGCTAAAACCAGGCGATGAGGAAGAAAATTCTCCATAAGGCCATTGCTCCACCATAGCCATTATCCTAGCAAAGTAATTTGGAGAAGGAGTTTCCTTCAGAGACGTAAGCAATTTCGCGACCATCGAAAAGTTGTGATTTACAGCAAACTGCAGGATAAAAACACTTTTCACCTTATCCGACAAATTTTGACCATAGTAGTTTTCTGCACGATCGTAGAGAGAGCACAGATTTGCTGAATTTTTCAAAGAATTTCTTGTTAAAAGCGAAACTTTACGGATGAGCTGTGGTAAATTTGTATCATAGATCTGCTTCATCATAACTGATTGTTCCGCCAAAAGTAACAAACTGAGCACTTCGTTAAAGTGCCGGCAATAGGAGATTAGATATTCCATAATTTGCGGAGAAAATACTGTATGAAAGACGGGTGAGAAATCTGAAATGTATGCAAACTTTCTTAACAGTTCCTCATTATTAACTCCTGAGCCAATCTTTTCCTCTATGAGATTCAGATATCCTGTTACTAATTCAGCATTTGGGCAAAAGCCCTTGTTGATCAAATCTGCGAATAGAATCTTGCATCCAGCCAGTTTGCCACATTTAATGTAATGTTCCAAAAATACATGAATAACACAAGGTTCAAACTGAAGAATGCAGTTAGTGGAATGGAATCTCTGATTGATAGCCTCCGTTAGCCTGTCAATTGTGGATACTAAAGCAGGAGTGAGCTTAATATCCTTTTTTTGAATGGAAACAAGACATTGAAGAACCAGAAGCTCTGCAACCTTGAACTCGTCTATATCCCTGTGCAAGAAAAAAATGATAGACTCTATAATACCAATTAGTCCTTCCGGTGAAGTTGTGTGATGCTGTAGCATGTAGAGAAATATTTCTTCGCTGAATATTTTGTTGTTCTCCGAACTATCAGTCACCAATGACTCCACAATTGTATTGATGAGATCTGGATTGACACTTTCAGAAGTACCAGCAAAGAGGGATGTTAATCTCTTGATGCGAGGCAACTGGTTCCTGTCCAGTTTACTAGTTCGAAGTAGTCGGTTGATGTTATGCTCATTAATAATTTCCAGCTTTTTCCCATGTTCACTCTTATTTCTCTGCTCTTGGACCCAGCGATTGATATCCTGTACAGTGTGGAATTGGCATCTGGCATTGACCAAGGTAGCCTCCGAAGTGACCGGATCGGTTGAAATTGCTGGAATAAAGGGTTGACCATTCAACAGTTCTGGATTTCTTTCAGTTAAGCATAGTAATGCCCTCTCATTAATATTGGGGGTGTAAAATGGATGTATGCTTTGAGTCGCTGCTGGGCGAAATTTTGAAGTCGATGAGGAGGTTGAATTTTTATAGTTGTTTTTGGGTATTACCGTCTTTCTAGACACCTTATTGACGGTTGCATAGAACCTGGAGCATTTTCGCCATTGTGACATAGCTCTGGCAGTTGGTGCGACACTTTGAACTGAATAGAGTTTAGAACAAGAATATCAAAAAATTTGACGGGTGCGCTCTCGCGTACATTATGATATCAATACATGTTAAGATCTGGAGTCTATTTCAAATCTGTAGCTAAGCTCTGGTTCCTCGAGATGACTAGACGAAATGACTGTTGATTCCTTTGGATTGGATCTTTGGTCTGCGCTGGCTCCACCAGGGAGTTTCGAGTCTTTATTAAGATGAATAGGGTACATTTCAATGTTCTCATTGTTTCGCAGTCTTTCATACTTTCTAAGCGAGACAGTTCTGCGCATTACACATATGATCGAAGATGCCACTGCAATCAAGATGGTACTGACCAGCAATAACCAACCTGGCCACGCAAGCTGCGGTACAAACAATAAAATATCGACAAGGAAGCTTAATAAAGAAAGTAATACGGCAGGGAGTGACCATAAGACCATACCTATTAGCATTTTGCGTGAATTCCCAAGGCGATGAAAGCTTATGATGAGTGTGAGAATCCATAGGATAAAAGTGAAAACCAGAGATATCGGATGAACTATCAAAAGTTTGGATACGGACATTTTGGCGTTAGACGGTAGGAAATCATTAAGGATCATATAGTCATAGGAGTCCAGCTCGTAGCCGACTCTTATTGGAGTGCATTGTTGTGCTTGAATATTACACCAGCCAAACACCCCAAACCTGTTTCCGTTATAGGTGCAGAGAGCTATAGTGGATACGACGGGGGCAGATATGACGGAGAATATCTGAAAAACAACAGCAATACCAACCAACACACAGGCTAGCAAGCTTGTAAAGGTTGCCATAGACGCCTGATGAGGTAGTTTTCAAAATTACTGCTGCATATCATCTTTGAATCGGTAAAAGAAAGGATGCACCTCTTACATGTACATCGCGAGAGTCATTTATCACGGAACCTGAAAATTTTATAAACGTGATGCGATGAGCTCAGAACCAGTATTGAAGGCTCGAAGTAGATACAAAAGTACTCCTCTTAAGCAGAGATAGACAGGATGCTTGCGAATAAGTCGTTTAGGAAAAATAAGAATCGCAAGTCTGTCGGGCCCAAAAATGTCAATTTCCAAGAAGGGAGTGGTAATGAAAGTCCTGATCTCTTGGACGGGCCCAGTCAAGTGCAACAGGTATCAGGCAAGCAGTTAAAGCAAACTGCAAGGGAGTTGCTGAAAGTGAGAAAGACTTTACCAGTTTATCGCCATAAGGAAGCAATCCTTGGATATTTGAAAGAGAATTCGGTGACAATTTTGATCGGTGAAACGGGTTCTGGTAAATCTACACAGATTCCTCAATTCATTCTTGAAGGTCTCGAGAAAAACGACAAGGGCCGCATCGCAGTCACGCAGCCGCGGAGAGTGGCGGCAATCAACCTGGCTACACGTGTGTCACAGGAAAGTGGGTGTCGCGTGGGTGACAGAGTAGGTTACTCTGTGAGATTTGATAATACGACCAATTCGAGAACAAGACTCAAGTATTTGACAGATGGTATGTTGTTAAGAGAACTGATGTTGGACAAGAAATTGCGAGAGTACACGCATGTGATTATTGATGAGGCACATGAACGGACCATATTGACGGATCTCATTCTGGGGTTCTTGAAAGAACTTATAAACGGGGAACGGCCAGACCTAAAGATTATAGTGATGTCTGCGACGCTTCAGGCGGAGAAATTCAGCGAATTTTTCGCAGGAGCACCCATTCTTTTCGTGGAAGGTCGTAAGTTTGCAGTGGATCGGCTGTACCTCACAGAACCATGCGAAGACGTTGTGGACGGTATCATCAGGAGTTGTGTACAGATCAACCAAGGCGAGCAGATGGGCGACATTCTGTGTTTTTTGCCCGGCCAAGAAGAGATTGACAAAGCGGTGACGATTTTAAACAATGTTAGCGAGCATTTGGACCCCAAGGTGCCAAGACTGGTATCACTGCCGTTGTACGCAGCGTTACCGCCCGCAGAGCAGGCCAAAGTTTTCGCACCACTGAAGGGCTTCCGGCGCAAAGTGGTGTTGTCGACGAACTTGGCGGAGACGTCGGTGACAATCCCCGGGGTGAAATACGTGGTGGACTCTGGACTTCGCAAAGTGAAGGTTTGGCGGCACCAGTTGGGGCTTGCAACATTGTTGACCGTGCCAATTTCCAAAGCGAGTGCCGCGCAGCGGACCGGTCGTGCCGGTAGAGAAAGCGAGGGGAAATGCTACAGACTGTACCGGGAGCAAGACTACCAGAAACTACCCACGCAGACGGAGCCCGAAATCGCACGGAGCGAGGTGACGTCGCCAGTGTTGATGTTGAAAAAAATCGGCGTGCAGGACATTATCAATTGGTCGTGGCTGGAAAACCCGGGCAAACAGGCGATCATGCTGGCGTTGCAGGAGCTGTACCAATTGGGCGCGCTGAACGACCGCGGGAAGATCACACACAAGGGTGAGCAGATGGCACTGCTGCCGATCGCTCCGCATCTGAGCTGCGTGCTGCTGCGGGCGCACGAGACCGGGTGTCTGCTGCCGGTGATCGACATCGTGTCGTGCCTGAGCGTGGAGAACCTGCTGATGAACCCGGCGCCCGAGCAACGCGACGAGGTCAACGAGCGCCGGCTGGCGGTCGCGACGCGTGGGTCGCGACACGGGGACCTGATCATGATGAAAGAGTTTTACGACTTGTACGTATCGCTGGGGTCGAACGCGGAGAGACTACAATGGTGCAAAGAGCTGTGCGTGTCGCAGCGCGGGTTCCGCAACGTGGTGAAGGTGCGCGCGCAGCTGATACACTACATGGAACGGTTGTTCCACGAGCGCATAGCGGGAGGGACGGCGCCCGCGACGGCGCCCGCGACGGGCGCCCAGTCACGTGACCCCGCCTCCTCTTCCGGTTTGCTGGACGTGGCCGCGGTGCTCAAGTGTTTTCTGGCCGGGTTCGTGAAGAACACGGCGCTCGGGATGCCGGACCGGTCGTTCCGGACCACGACGACGGGCGAGCCGATCTCCGTGCACCCGTCGTCGCTGCTGTTCATGGACCGGAGTTGTCCCGCGATCCTGTACACGGAGTACGTTTTCACGACGAAGGGCTACGCGCGGAACGTCAGCCGCGTGGAGCTGGCGTGGCTGCAGGAGGTGGCGACGGGGAAGCTGACGGCGAGGCGGGGGCGGGCGTGAGAAAACGCGAAGTAGGGGTAGGAGTAGGAGTAGGATACGAGTAGAATAGGAGTAGAATAGATAGACAGACAAACGACAGAGGACACGTGACAGCCGCACCGAACCCGTACGCGCCACGTGACGCACGGCACGCACCCACGCACCACCGCCCAGACACCCCTGCCCCGCCAGGGCCCGGCGCCCCCGGCCCCGCCGCGACGCACTGTCGCGGAGCATTCGCGGCAAACGGACGTCGGGAGCGGCCGACCCACGCCCGCCGCCAAGCCCAGCGCCGTCACCCTCCCGCCGCCCTCCACTTACCCTCCCGTCCCCCCACTTACCCTCCCGCTGCCCTCCATTCGTCCTCCACCGCCCTCCACGGCCCTCCGCTCGTCCGCCTCTCGCTCCCCAGACGCCCGCCAGCCGCACGCCAGCCGCGTCGCCACCGTGCAGCCCGCTGCAACTTGCCATCCCGGCGGGCGAGATTTTGCCATGGCCAAAATGACATCAAAGCGCGCGAGCCCAGAACCCCCCGCAGCGCGCTTAAGCCCGAGCACCGCAAATGACGTATGCGCTGCTTCTCGACGCGCTGGCTTCAAAACGGCGAGCCGCCTTGGAACCGCCGGAGCTTTTCTGCAGCGATGCGCGGGCGATTCTCGGCGGTACGGTAGGCTCGAAGTAGGGCAGGGGCGGTAGGGCACCACAGCAAATCGCCAAGTAGCGCCAGTAGCGCAAGCAGCGGGTCATAAAGTTGTGCGGCGTGCGGCGTGGTGTGGGCGGCGGGCGGACGTAGATGGGCGGGAAGTGCTGGGGGCCGCAGGAAGGACGTTCGGAGTACGTAATGGGTGGGTCAAGGTAGTGCAGAGTGGGTAGTACGTAGTGGTGGTACGTAGGGCGAGGAGAGTACGTAGGGCGAGGAGAAGTGCGGCGCCAATAACGTAATGGGTTTTCGCGGCCAGGAATGATATTTATAAGCTGAGGTTTGAGCAGGTTGGCGGGGTGTTTTGAACCCCATCCAGTGCCTGACGCAGCTAGCAGATAGTACAGTCAAGTTTGCGAAGTTCGAGGTTTGCGAAGTTTCGAAGTTTACACAGTCTACAGCTTTCCAAGTCTACAGCTTTCCAAGTCTACAACGTTTGCAAGTCTACAACGTTGCCAAGTCTCAAAGTTCATTCAACTCGCCGTTCCCAAGCTACTCAACCCACCAAGTCTGCGCACCCAGCACCCCGACCAGCATGCTCGAAAAACTCAAGCTAGGAAAGCTCAGTCTCATCAACAGAACAAACACCGCCGGGCTTAGCGGGCGCCACTTGCGTCTCGCCATCACCATCACCGCCGTCACCGGTTTCTCGCTCTTCGGCTACGACCAAGGGCTCATGTCCGGGCTCATCACCGGTGACCAGTTCAACGACGAGTTCCCGGCCACCAAGGAGCTCAGCGACAACGACAGACACGCCACCGTCGTCCAGGGCGCTGTCACCTCCTGCTACGAAATCGGGTGTTTTTTCGGCTCTCTGTTCGTCATGTTCAGAGGTGAACACATCGGCAGAAAGCCACTTGTCATCCTGGGCTCCATCGCCACCATCGTCGGTACCGTCATCTCCACCTCGGCCTTCGGCCCCCACTGGGGTCTCGGCCAGTTCGTCGTCGGCAGAGTCATCACCGGCATTGGTACCGGTCTCAACACCTCCACCATCCCCGTGTGGCAGTCTGAAATGTCCAAGCCCGAAAACAGAGGGCTCTTGGTCAACCTGGAAGGTTCCGTCATCGCTCTCGGTACTATGATCGCCTACTGGATCGATTTCGGCCTCTCCTACGTCAACACCTCTGTCCAATGGCGTTTCCCCGTGGCCATGCAAATTGTGTTTGCGCTCCTGCTGCTCGCCGGTATCCTGCAACTGCCCGATTCCCCACGTTGGTTGATGTCCCAGGGTAGACGTAACGAGGCCCTCTACGTGCTCGCCAAACTCGACGACCTAGAAGTCACGGACGACGCCATCGTCGCTGAGGCAACCATGATCCAAGACGCCGTCAACCGCTTCAGACACGAGAAAAGATCCATCAAGGACTTGTTCACCGGGGGCAAATCCCAGAATTTGCAAAGAGCTCTCGTTGCCTCTTCCACCCAGTTCTTCCAACAATTCACCGGTTGTAACGCTGCCATTTACTACTCCACCGTCCTGTTCAAAAAAACCATTGGTTTGGAACCAAGACTGGCCTTGATCCTGGGCGGTGTCTTTGCAACCATCTACGCCTTGTTTACCATCCCATCTTTCTTCCTGATCGAGCGTATGGGTAGACGTAACCTGTTCCTCATCGGTGCATCCGGCCAAGCCATCTCGTTCACCATCACTTTTGCGTGTTTGATCAAGGATACCACCCAAAACGCTAAAGGTGCTGCTGTCGGTTTGTTTTTGTTCATCTGCTTCTTCGGTATGTCCATCCTATCGTTGCCTTGGATTTACCCTCCAGAGATTGCCTCCATGAGAGTCCGTTCCGCCACCAACGCCTTGGCCACCTGTACCAACTGGTTGTGTAACTTCGCGGTTGTCATGTTCACTCCAATTTTCATCAACCAAACTGGTTACGGTTGCTACCTCTTCTTCGCGGTCATCAACTACCTCTACATCCCAGTTATTTTCTTCTTTTACCCAGAAACCGCTGGAAGATCTTTGGAAGAAATCGATATCATCTACGCCAAGTCCTATGCCGATGGTACACAAGCCTGGAGAGTTGCCGCCAACTTGCCAAAGCTTTCTTACTCCGAAGTTGAAGACCAAGGTAACGCCCTGGGTCTATTTGATGACGATCTGGAAAAGGAAGAAATTGAAATGGACGAAGATGCTGACCGGGAAAACGACACTGGCGCCAATAATTACACCTTGTTCCAAAAGAAGAACGAACAAGACAACAACCAACTCTCAGGTGACGGTTCTTCCTCTTCTCAGAAGACCGAAAACTGAGCACCGCATCAAATACTGGTTCATGTGTAGATTATCAACCACCTAATATCTGTATTGTTAAATCCAGTTTATAGTCACTAATAATAAGTTATCTCATATGTTATTCATTTATGGCTGGGCGAATGATCTTCGTTTGTATTCTTATCACTCGCAGTGTGCATGTAATCGCATCGGAATTTTCCATACGCAACCTGTCGTCGTGAGTCACTATCAAATTTATCTTCGATAGGTATACAACAACTTCGAAATCTGAACCAATCTTACAATTGCCCATATTTCTCCATCTTATGAAGATTTCAAGCTCTTTGTTACAGCGTGCGGCTGCAACCGTTGATAAATATGCCCTCTACGTACCAAAAAGTGGCGTTTTCCCAAAGGGATTCAAGGTCGCTTCAACGGCAACTGGGGTAAAGAAAAATGGCAACCTGGATCTGGGTATAATTCTAAACACTAACAAATCAAGACCTTCTTCCGCAGCAGCAGTATTCACCACAAATAAGTTCAAAGCTGCCCCTGTGGTGTTGTCCAAGTCCGTTTTAGACAAAACTGATGGTGAAGGTGTAGATGCAATCATTGTCAATTCTGGTTGTGCCAACTCAGTGACAGGCGAAGTGGGGCTAAAAGATGCTCAAACAATAGTTGGAGAAGTCAACGATTTCCTGGGCAAGGGTGATGCCACTTTGACCATGTCGACCGGTGTAATTGGTCAAAGACTGCAAATGGATAAAATCTCCAAAGGTATCAAACAAATGTTCCAAAAAGACTCATTTGGAAGTGACTTCGACTCTTGGTTGGGCCTAGCTAAATCCATCAATACAACAGATACATTCCCCAAGTTAGTCACTTCCAAGTTCTCGCTCCCAAATGGTACCGAGTATACCTTGACGGGTATTGCAAAGGGAGCAGGTATGATATGTCCAAATATGGCTACTTTATTGGGCTTCATCGTCACAGATTTACCAATCAAGAGTACTGCTTTACAGTCTATGCTCCGTTCCTCTGTGGATCGCTCCTTCAACTGCATTTCTGTTGATGGTGATATGAGTACTAATGATACTATCTGCATGATTGCCAACGGAGCAGTAAATACCAGTGTTATCGACGAATCATCTCCAGAATATGCTCAGGTAAAATCTCAAGTCACTGAATTTGCCCAACAACTTGCACAATTGGTCGTAAGGGATGGTGAAGGCGCTACCAAGTTTGTTACAGTGAATGTCAAGAATGCTTTGAATTTCAAAGACGCCAAGGTTATCGCCGAAGCTATTTCTAACTCGATGTTAGTCAAGACTGCTCTTTACGGGCAAGACGCCAACTGGGGTAGAATTTTGTGTGCCATTGGTTATGCAAAACTTGGAGACTTAGCATCTTTGGACCCAACAAAGATTAACGTAAGCTTTGTAGCTACCGACGATTCGGAGCCACGCGAATTGAAATTAATCGTCAATGGAACTCCTCAGCTAGATGTTGATGAAGCAAGAGCCTCTGAGATTTTGAGTTTGCCTGATTTGGAAGTTCTAGTGAACCTTGGAACAGGTAAAGAAGAATGCCAATTTTGGACTTGTGACCTGAGCCATGAGTACGTCACTATCAATGGTGATTACAGGTCTTAGGAAGCCATGAGTTCACGTGAACTATTAGTTTAAATTGCCTCTATTTTTTATACACGTAATATTTAGAAGTTAATTGTCACCAGTTGGGATTTGTACATTATCACTCAAATATTTGGACAGCTTTTCAGGGTCTAGGACTGCAGTCTTGAAATACTGCCGTTTGGGTAGAAACTTCAAAAGCTCAATGACATTTTCAGGTACAAAACTTTGGGACTTTTGTCTTTTAGTTCTTGTATTTTCATTCTCCAAAGAAAATTCCATTGCTCTCTTCAATTTCCCGTTGGAGTTGGAAGATTCAAAGAACATGTAATCATCGTTATTGGATAGATACGTCAACTCTAGTGATTTGATTAAATTTTTGCCTTGTATTTGATATCTGTCCGTAAACACTTCAATTTTCTCAAGATCGGGGAATTTTGCAAAAAGTCTTTTTTCAATGGAGTAAGCGCTGCTCAAATTTCCAAATTTCGATTCATAGTTAATAACCTTTTTATAAATGAGTTTTAATTGTTCCAAATCACTAACTTTTTCCAATGAAGTTTCGAATAGTGATTTAATGAGAGCATCTTGGTTAATCAAGATGAGGAAGTCCAGGTATTTGTTGACATAATCGCCATTATCAGAGAAAAATTTCATTCCAAGCTCAAGAACTTTGCATGCAGTTTTATGATCGCTGCTATTATGGAATTCCAAGTGAGCATTTTCGACATATATCTCGTGAGTAAGCATTTTCTTCAGCTTTCGGCACTTCCCAAATACTTTACGGGCCGCTGAAAGCCCTGCCAGTCTTTTCATCGCGTTCATATATATACAGTAGACAAATGTTATGTTTTGTCTGTGTTTGTCGACATCAGGCGAGCCTTCATCTAACAAGATATGATATTCCAGCACCAAGTAGTCGATACAGTTTTCAAAACATTGTTGCATGTGGTCCACATCGCTTTGTAGCTCGTAATGCTCTGCGAGCTTAAAAGTTAAAGTTAAAGAGCCTGGGTTAGCTTTTAGCCCATTTATCAGTATATCGCGGGCTTTATCTTGATCTGAACAGTACATGGAATAGTCGTACCATATTTCAGGAGCAAACATTAAGTATTGGATTGCTTGCTTGTGAATATATTCAAGCCTTTGAGCATGTGCATCTTCGGGAAGGTCTAGCTTGTTTTCCATCTCCCACTTAATCCATTTCAGCCATATCTGTAATTGTCCCACATCATAATCTTCCGGTTGGGGGATAGTCTGTCTTGAACATTGCGAGAGCCTCGATGGTAAAGCTCTCCTAATGCCCGTGGTAACATTCGACCAGTCCTGATACAACGATCTCGCCTTCATGTAATTCGCAGAAAGCTCACCTATGAACTTCCTAGCGGTGAGTGAATTGACCTCTTGCTCCCACTGGGTGTACTTATTCCAGCATTTTTCAAGGCCATCGAACGGTATGCACAGCATACGCTTGTATAATGTTCTCGTCAAATCTATGCGTTGCTGTTCTTCCCATTTGCTCACCGGTTTCCAGTGCTCCAAAAAGGAAAGGTATTCATTCCAGAAATGAGATGAACGGGGCTCCCAAGTGGCACACTTTGACGCTACAACGTCAAAGGCCTTTAAAACCACTCCTCGAGCTTCTTCTCCTCCTGTAATTAAATTGTTCTTTCTACGGACATAGTCCAGATACATAAACCATAGACTCAGATCATTATTCTCTAAAGACCCAGAAAGACACCGCGTTAGCAATGCCTCAGCGTGAGTGAACTCATCTCTTTCCAAGTCATAGTTCACTTCCACCGTCCAAAGTGGTGAAAACAAGGGAAACCGCTCATGCAGCTCATCATACACTTTCCTTGCATCTTCTTGCTTATCTTCGGATGTGAAATAGTTCACCAATTCCAAGTACGTACAGATATCTGTTGGCTTTTCCTCTATTATGTCTCTGAGTTTGCCTTCGACATCACCGTCGCCTCTCTCGACGCGCATAGTCGGGCGTACAAATGCGCCAGACCCATTCTTGGCCAGTTCTGGAGTAACAGACATTGGTAAATGTTTATGTACACTCTCACTCACTGTCATCTAAAGGGCACCTAACGAGCTCGCTGTAAATTTTCCATCCTTTCGCCACCATTTTCCATCAAAATAACTTTTTACGTAACGTCTAAAAATGGAGCTTCGCTTCATCATTATAACAGGAAACGTCAATTAAAGTCTGTGCTCATGACACCGACTGTTCATTTATGGGGGCTTGATGAGAAGCCGAGTGTTGTCTCTCCTGAAAGTGTTGCTATATACTGGCTTTTGAACAGTAAATTGTGCGGGAAAGAAGCATGTGTAGTATTTTCAAACAATACAGATCTTTCTCCAAATCAAGAGTTACCTGTTCTAATTGAAGGAAATCAAACGATACATGGCTTTGCAAACATTGCAGAATACCTTTTTCCCCAGGAATCTGCTCTCGAAATGGCTCTTTTACAATTCGCACAAACAAAAATCAACACGTTGACACAGTATCAATTGTATCTAAATAAGAACAATTACGACCGATTCACGAGAAAAGTGTTTTCATATTTATTACATTGGCCAATGTGGTACAACACACCGATTAAATACAGGGCACTCGCTAGAAAGCGCTGCGAAACATTGGGATACCTAAGTCATGAGGATGATGAAGAAGAACATTCTGTGGAATACGATGACTTGGTTCAGTCAAAAGCTATTAAAGTTACACAAAATTCAAAAGTGGAGAATAAAGAGCTTCTCAAATCTACTCGTTACAACATGCAATTTTTGAATAGACTCGGGGAACAATTAAAATGGTGGTTAGAAGCAAGAAAGAAAGTACCAAAGGATAAAATTCCGGCAGATTATCTATTATGGGCTAACTTGTTCGTTCAGCAGGAATTGCCCGATGGTAGAGTAGTGAGAGAATTTTTGGAGCAAAATCTTGGTTCTGATGCGTACCGCAACATCCAGGAACACCTACACGAATGCACACAATTAGAATCTGTAGTGGCCATAAGGCAGCCGACGTTCACAGAAAGCGGAAATATTGTAACTTCTGTTTATCGACAGGCAATCAGATATGTTTAATTCTGCTTGGGCTTGTGTAGTCCCTTGTATACGAAATAATACACCACAGTTCCATCATCATTTGTAATACCCAGCGTAAGTCTCTTACATTTTATCTTATCAAAAATACTTTGTAAGACCTCTAAAGTCAGCAATCCTGGGCGGTATTGCGAGAGCTCCACAGGAATGACCCATTCTTTGCAAAGGAGCTCATCGTCGTTACTTAATTTATTTGGTGGGAGACCTGAAAAGACGTAAAGTTGATCCGCAACCAACTCGTGTTGGTCAACATCCGTCCACAGTTGCTGATGAACGAGATTATTTCTCACCAAAGATATTATCTCGCTGTTATTCATCCTTCCATCGTTGTTTATGGCATCGCGGAAGCGTGAAATTTTTTAGATCAATTGCAGTTTTCTTTCAACAAAAAACAACTCAAGAAAACAACTGCATTCCAACATGAAAGGTGCGAGCTTCATTGCTTACCTATTATGTATTTTGCTGGGCTCTGCACAGGCATATGTGCCAGTGAAGAAGCCTAAGCATACTACGACCACTACAGAGGTTCCTAAGCCTTGGTTACGTACCATTTCTTCCACTATTAAGGAAATCGTCACGCCGACTGTGATTGCAGGCGTGACCTTTTCAGCTAAACCGCTTGAGACTCCTGATCCTCTTCAACCTTGGATCTCTTTGAAAAAGGATGGTACTCCTCAGACAATCAAGCCTGAAATAAAAAAAGGCCGCACAGTGAAAGCTTCCCCAGATTACAGCACTTATTTTAAGACTGCGTATACTACAACATATAGTTATGAGGATCTCCAAGCACACAACATGGATGCGGATGAGCATTTGGAAGAAGAGGTTTTTGTTGATGAAGACAGCACATACATCTCTCTAAACCCAGTTATTCGTTGTACCCCAGACACTTACTTCAAAAAGGGCATTGCAAGAGACATCTCAAGTGAGCCTTTTTGTACGCCTAGAGAAAATAGTGTTTTGAAAGTTGATCATACATATTTCGTCACTTGGTACACCAGATTCTTCCGTGATGAAGTCACTGAAGAAACAATTGATCAAGTCCGTTTACACTTATTCGCAGTGAAAGAGAAAGCACATGACAAAGGGTTCAAGAGAAATTTGAATGCCGCCTTTTTTTCCTCTGAATGGTTGAAAAATGTGGATGGTCTTTACCCATTAGAGGTATCTGAAGATTGGCTAGATGGTAAATATGAACGGAAGGCCCTTCTCGCCATCCAGCCAAGAAGTATTCCTGATGATGAGTTTAATCCTCTTGAATATGGACTTCTTGTCGAAGTGTCTCTTGGCTCCAGAGTTTTCAAGAATACAAAGGAACAACTTGCTCTGCAAGATGAGGGTATCACCGATGAGTCTTGGTACTACGTCGCTATGACGATGCCTACTATTGTTTTGTTTGCTTGCGTGGCAATGTATTTTTTCTTGTACTTGAGTAAGGACACAAGGGACGTTTCGGATGTCAAGCGATATGCATTAGGCCAAAAACGCCGCGTTCTTGGCAAACTGAAAGACATGAAAAAGTTCAAAGGGATGAAAAATCATGCTTACAACGAATTGCCCACTTATCGTAAGAACAGTAAACAGAGTTGATTTGGTAGACGATTGTTTTAAAATCTTAAATATGGCTCTATATAGTTTTCACTAATCATCGGCCACACTATATCCACTCTTGCTTAGCAGCCACTTCACAAATTTTTTCCAGAGTGACAACCCGTGGATCTGGTTTCAAGGTTTCATCATGAGATGTGTCTTTCGCATCATCGTCATCTCCGACTTCCTCAATATAATAAAAAAAGGGCTCTAACACCAGCATGATCTTCCAAAAGTTTCTATCCCCACAGTTCAGGAATAAAGCATCAATTAAGCATGGCAAATATTCAACTTCAATGTATTCTTCTGCGCTGCAAACAAACTCATCTAATTCAAAATCTTGCTCATCTGCAGAGAGCGTAGAATACATTTCGGAGAGAAGGGTTAACTCTTTGCTAATTGTTTTCGGAATATCCTGTCGTGCTTGCCACAGTAATCTGTGGGCAGTTTGTAATTTTCCTGTTTCGGTAGTGGAGGAGATTTCATCATCAGAAGATGCTGGAGGCTCTTCATCTGGGGTCAAAAATCCATTCCTCTCGCTTTTCTCCATTAGTTCATTGTATTCATTGTACAAAGATATGATTTTCATCATTGGCTTATAGAGTTGTTGGCACACTTTCATCTCGCTGCGAGGGATAATTACTTTTTCCAAATAATGATTTATTAAACCTTCCATAAAGTTCGCCCAGATGGAACTGAATACATAGTTCTCGTCGTGCTCTGTCTCATCATAGTTTTCGTTAATATTTTGCCTCATGATTTGCTCGGTCAATGTGCAGAAGAGTTTTGTAGCTTTCTGCGGCTTCTTTTCTCTAAGTTTCGGCTTGGGCGTTTCTTTTGGCTCACCCTCCTTATCTAGCCAGTAATCAGGGCCACCTCTCTGTGATAATGTCACCAATAGTAAGAAAAGTTTGACTTTGTTCCAGGGCTTCATTGCGTCGATGCGTTCATCGCTGATCCTGCTTACACCACGATTGATTTTCCTGTGGATGCACTTGATAAATCTCAAGATGTTTGCAGCTTTTCGCTCCCCATATTTCTCTGTGAGGTAAGACATAGATATGACCCTTTCGTAATTGCTTTCTTCCAAGTTCATGTGCTTTGTAAAGCTAAAACGATATCTCACTTGTTTCGATGATTTCTTCGTTTGTCTCGTAACTTGCCCACAGCTGTTACAGCAGCACTCCTTGTCATCCAACTCGTTTGTCTGCATGCTAAAAGTAATGCGAAGGTTAGAAGCGTAATGGTTCCTTAGCTTGTGTATCTATGATATAGATGCTTTCTTTTTCGTTTCGCTGATGAACTTTTAAAAGCCATGAGACGAACTACTCATCAGAAGTTTGGAAATTTTTCAAGCCGCGCGTCCCGCAGCGGTCAAGGTAAAAGGAGGGTGGAACATGTCTAATATAGCCCTATGAATGCATGCAGCCAAGGATAGGGGTTGATTTTGATTGTGCTGTTCATTTACAATTAAATGTACATTTTCAACTGTTTTACTATACATCTAGACCACTGAAAACGTCAGATAAGATGTTCCGTTTTTAACAGTATTGGCTTCAGACCTTAATCTGCCGCTAAAATCTACCTACTATATATTACAATGGCACTCGCATTTCTTAAGTCCTTCAGAGATTATGTCGGACATTTTCGCTCAGGGGCTTGGGAAAGATTTGGCCTAATGATTCAGCCCGTCGTAATAGGACAATTAAACCGATATGTTCAAATTATTAAAATGAGGGATATTAGTATCTACAAGGCATATACGTAGCTACGTCAATTGACGTGCACACCCAAGCACAGCTCAATTAAAGAATTGTAGATTAATCAGAAGAGACCTTTTCAGCTGCAGAGGAGTTGGCACCTTCATCAGTACCGTCATCAGCAGCCAACACTTTATCAACGTCCAGGTGAAGCTCTTCTATCACCTTTTCTTCGACATGTTCCATGTCCATCAAACCATATAAGGCAATGCTAATAAGACCTAGAACACCAGCAAGACATGAGAATACCATTGCGATAATACCCTTCTTGGTGAAGCCAGTAGGAATGGTCTTTAGTTGAATATTTTCACCAGTCAAGTCAAGGTAGTCAGTGGCGTTGGCAGCAGCGTTACCTTCGTATGGAACACCAACGTTCTTACAAACGCTTTTGTGGTTTTCTGTGATTTGTTGACTTGCGGTGCTTTGGATAGAAGCAGGATCTTCAATCAATATTAGAGCCAAACCTTGGATCAAATGCCACTCGATGTGACAGTGGAACATCCAAACACCTGGATTGTCGGCCTTGAAACGAATAACAAAGTTAGATTGAGGTCTGACATACAACGTATCTCTCATCATTGGATATTCTGGGAATGCGGTATGGTTATCAGCGTTGAAAGCATGAGTTGTGTCATCATACTCAACATCCCTGACCAACACTTGGAAAATGTGACCGTGCAAATGGAAAGGATGGGTACCACTATCCAAGTTGTTCAAGACAATTTCCACGACTTCATCTTTCTCCAAGACGAAGGCGTTGATGTTGGAACCATAAACGGTTGCGTCTGTTGCGTTTTTGCCTGCACTCAGGGCGGTGAGCAAGGTTGGGACCTTTGGAGTAGTGTAGGTGATGTTGTTGAAAAATGCGTAGTTAACACCATTAATCAAATTGTCCATTGCAACGTCAACAGTGATGGTGTAGTCAGGTTCGTCAAACAACTCTGTCTTATTGTAAGGAACCAAATAGAAATCATCCAAAAAGTCAAGCTCATCGACGTAATTTTCAGAAGGCAATGAAGTGGTGGAATTGTAAACCATGTAAGAAGTGGCGTTTAGCTGCAAATCGCTTGGGACAACATCAAGCATTGTGTCGTCGAATTTTTGCATGATTGCATAATTACGAGAAGTGTCGTTTTTGGTGTGAATGAGCACGGAGTATCTTTGGGCCACAGTGATGTACAGCATGTCGGTGGTGTTTTGCTCGGTGTAAACACCGTCTACTTCGACAACTGTGAGGTCGTGGTCCTCGATCCAGAAGTACTGGGAAACGAAACCACCTGTGTTAATGATACGCAGCAAGTATGTGGTGTCTGGTTCGACGTTCCATGTTAGGTTCATCGTGTTGTTGATGATTAGATTTTGAGGGATGGGCTCAGCACCGGTAGGATTGTACAGGTTCATGAAACTGTTGATGAGGACATCGGTGGTGTCGTGGTACCATTCACTGAGCTGAACAACGACCTCTTCGTCGTAGTCGTATGGAACCGCGCCCTCCTCTTCGATGATCAAAGTACCCCTCATACCATCCTGGTACTGTCCAGACACGTGCGAGTGGTACCAGTAGGACCCAACGTTGTCAGGAACGGTGAAGTTGTAGATAAAGGTGTCGTTGGGGGCAATTGGACACTGAGAGACCAATGGTGGCCCATCCATCTGGCTGGTTCCGTTCTGGAACAACCCGTGGAAATGCAGCGACGTGTTTGCGTTGGTAAACCCATTGTTCAAGTACACGACAATGCGGTCACCACGGTTGACCTTAATGTCCGGCCATGGAAACTCTCCGTTACACGTAATTACCTCACGGTCCTTGACACCGTCAACATTGTACATGCCCCAGCCCGTCGTCCAGTTGAATGTGTGCGTCGTGGTTGCGAGCGCCACACGTAGCGTCGCCATCAGGCCCAAAAGCAAGACAGCGTACATGTTGATTTAAAGTTGGTTTGTAAGCGTTGTAGTCAAGGTCTTGGCAAAACTGCTCAAAACGTCTCTACTTAATATCCCCTACTCTCATCTTAATTAGTTTTATAAGGCACTCCTACTCTAATTTTTCGTCACCTTCAAAGCTATGAACCAGGGTGGAAATTTAGGTGAATCTTTTATAACTGGGTGCGAAACTGGTAACCTACGCAACTTAAGACAGCCGCGTGAATCGGAATAGGGCTGGCCCTGGTGCTGCGGTTCTGTCTTGCATTTGCTCAGTTCAATCTCGATTTACAGCATACTTGGGGCTCATTTGCGGGCTGCTCTCCATTGACCACTGTACGGCTGCCCGATGGAAAGCGTCGCGGAGATCGGCTTCCAGTCAAGAGAAAACTTGATGGGTGCTGCTTCCTGCGCTTGCTTCTGTGGAAGGAGGGTAAAGCTGCGGGCCTGCGACGTGCAGATTCTGCAAGAAAATACAGCTTTCTAATAAATTTATAGGTGCAATACTGGCAAGCGGGCATGGCTGCGAAAAGACTGAGCATCAGCGACGGGTTATTTCTCGTGTGTGGGTTTCCTCTCTGCAGCCCCTACTGAGTGAGCTCTATCGCGGAATGCCATAAATCCTGTGGTTTGTGGGTTATGGAGCTCAGTGCCCGGTGAATTACGCTCTGACACCTGCTAATTTCAGGCACTCGTAAGGTTTTTTAGCGGAGGTAGCGTTGAACGAGAGCTTCCTGTACAAAGGAAAGAGCGTCGGCACCGAGATAACAGACAGCTGGCAAACGAGCAAACGCGCGATGCAGCTGTCGCAACGCCGGGTTGATCGGGTTTACTACGTGAAGAAATTATGGTGGGAAGCCGAGCAAATGCACGTGGCGAATAATGGAATAATGACGTGGGTGGTTCCGCACGTGATTGTGTGGCTGTGCGGCAGTGTGGTACGACGCTAGGTGCCGTCGCACGGCGCTACACCATCCTCGAGATTTCGTTTTTGTGTCAGCGAGTGAATTAATTGGATTTGAACCCCGCTTACTTTGCTGCTGGAGCGTGTGGGCGTTGGTTTTTGTGGCAGAGCTTTTCAAGGGGCGTTCACATGCGTTGCAGAGATGTATAAAAGGGCGCGGTCGTGGCGCCTTCCGGACTGTTTTTCTTGTTGTGCGCGCTCCTCAGCCGCCGAGCACAAGAGCACTCGCCGAAATTCGTTTCTCTCTCCGCACCTTAGCTACGAAAGCAGTCACGTCTTTTAGCGTGTTGTTCTCTTGTGTCCTGCATCCTGTAGGTAGGCCGCCCGCCGGTGTTCGGTGATTCTCAGAATTTCCTTTTTTTATATTTTTTTCCCTTCTGTATCAACGAGCGCGCGTGTTTGTTTATACTCTCCACCCACCTTCGTCTCCAGCGCATGTCGTCGATCGAGAAATTCCTGGCGCAACAGCCGCTCATCGTCCACTCAGCGCTCGCGCAGCTGCGATACCTCGTGCTGAGCGAGGGGATTCCGGCCTCCTCGGACAAAACCGTCGGCCGGCTGCGTTGCAACGTCTGGTCCGTGCTTGCAAGATGCTCCATGGACAGCGCGACTTCGGACTACGTCCTCCTGGTACGGCGCGGGCCGCCACCCTCTCCGGTTTACTCCAAGATCAAGAACGACACTTTCCGAACCCTCAACACAGATGCGCGTTTCGTGGCCCGCGTGTCGGAGGACGCGATCACCAGGTGTCTGTGTGCGTTCTCATGGGCCGTCTTAGACGCTGGCGACCAGGACTCCAATTTGAGCACTTATGTGCAAGGTATGAACGTGCTTGTCGCTCCCCTGCTATATACGTGCCCCTCAGAGCCAATGGCATTTCGGCTTTTCCGAACGCTTTGCCAAGGCCACATCCCCACGTATTTAGACTCTAGTTTGACCGGGGTGCATAACGGAGCAAAGCTTTTGGACATCTGCGTCAAGATTGTGGACCCAAAGCTTAGTAATTTCCTCGCTGACAACTTGCTTACAGCAGAAATTTATGGCATTCCGTCCATCTTAACTTTGTCCAGTTGCACAAGGCCTCTGGATCAGGTTTGCAAATTGTGGGACTTTATGTTTGCGTATGGATTTCACATGAACATCTTGTTCATAGTGGCACAATTGGTTATCATAAGGGTGCAAATCATGAACAGCCGTTCCCCCATGAATCTACTACGCCAATTCCCCGAGTTTGACGCCGAAGAAGTAATACGTCTCGGCGTCGGTTTCGTCGCCAAGATTCCTTCCAAATTTTACGATCTACTCGTCAGGCACTTGGTAGATCCTGACCTGGTGATAGAATGAGATTACGAAATATATGTACATAGTTTTGAAGTTTTCCAGCTTACAATACGCCCATGTTGTAGTCTCTCTCGCTGAAATACGTGCAAAGAACGGTTCTGCCATTGAACTTCGAACCGGGTAGTTGTTGCATGGCCTTCTTAGCAGAATCCAACTCTTTGAACTTGATATAAATTTTACCCACATTTTCTCCAATCGTTTCGAAACTGACTCTGTAATCAGCACGAGGTACCGGAATCTTGACACTTTCGACTTCGCCCAAGGCATGAATTCGAGACGAGTTCTCCATTGAATCTCTTATTTCAGATACAAACTCCTCGTTTTTGAGGTCGAGTGGATCAACACAGTTCAGAAGTAATATGACCTTGGATGCTTCGTGATCCGGTCTGGTGACGAGACGTGGAAGATTCTGAAATGTGATCTCTTCAAAATCCTGATTGAGTTTTGATTCGTTGGGTTTGATTATCTTCAATTCTTGAACAGACTCAGTGGGTCCCTGGGGCTCGAATAATATGGTACCAGTAGATTCCTTTTCGGATCCTATCGTTATAAGTCTCATCCATTTGTATGCAACCTGGTGATCCTGCAAGATATTCTTAGCTGTAGTTTCATTTTCAGCGCCAGTGTCTAATATTGCAACAACATCAGTACCACATATCGGGTCGTCGACTTTTTTCTTCCCGACAAATTCTCCTGGTCGCTGCCATATAAACTTCCGCTGCATTTTGTTTTCAATGAATTTTTGACAACTGAGAACGATGGTAGCCATTTCTTCACTCGAAAGCTCTAGCATAAGCCTGTTGCTTTGAAGCCACAAGTGAGAAATTAACTCTTGTGAGGCATCTATTTCCTTGACAAACTCTGTCAACTGTAGCACGACCTTCTCATCTGAATTGAATTCTTGGTCAACACTGGTGATCACCAGTCGACGGTTTGATCTAGTCAGAGCCATATTCGTTTGCGTTGGATCTTCAAATAATATTCTAGTTCTTCTGGTCAAGACTCCGCTGGAAACTATGCCTTCCAATTTCGTTTCATCTAAGTCCTGAGGTTGTCCTGGTAATGGAAATAGACCAGATAACTTGGCTCTCTCTGCGGGAACCTTTTCAAAACCACTTGGTGGCTTATCCCATCTTGTTGGTCTCATACGGACTCTTTGATCAATTGATACAACCGTTTCCCAGTCTACCTCATCTCGCCGTCTTCTTGGAGGTAGACTCTTCTTTTCATAGTAACGATTTTGCTGAATTCTCTGTCTGCCTCCGCTTTGATACCTTGATTCTCCATAGTTCCTAGAGTTCCCGCCGTATCTAGAGCGGTTTTCGTCCCCACGTCTTCTTTCGACAGATTGAGAACCTCTCGTATCTCTTCGCTGGGCGGGTTTGCTGCTATTGCTCATCGATGGTTTTGAGGGTTGAAATCGAGCTGTGTTTTGTCCGTTATTTTCGCCATTATTGCTACCCATAGAAGCAATAATCTTAGACCTTAAATCCTCTAAGGAGTCCCCCATCGCTATGTGAGTAAGGCATGGTTAATGGGATATATATTTTTTGTAATGAAAAATTTCAAGAGTTTCGAAAACGAACACCGTGGAACATTAACGTCAATGAGGATCTTAGGACGTATAGGATGTTTGGTGGGACTGATAGCCCTCTGTTCCTGTGCATTACTTGGTGTTGATTATGGCCATCAGTTTAGTAAGGCTATGGTCGTCTCCCCTCAGGCTCCATTGGAATTAGTGCTTACACCTGAATCTAAACGGAAAGATGTTTCAGGGTTAGCAATCAAAATTTGGAATGATGATATTGAAAGGGTTTATGGATCGAGTGTGGACTCCGTACAGGTTAAGTCCCCCCAAAACGCATTTTTGCATATGAAGCCACTTCTTGGTAAATCTCTAGATGAGGACCTAAACGCGTACCATAAGCAGCATCCAGGAGTTGTGATTGAAAGCACCAATCGTGGAACTTTGTCGTTTCACACCATCAATTACGACTATTCGGTGGAAGAGTTGGTTGCCATGAATTTAGAGCAAGCCATTGAAAGGGCCGAAGGTCTATTAAGGGATAACGGTGGTTATGATACTGTTGATTCTTTGGCAATTACAGCACCTGAATATTTCACTCAAGAACAAAGACAGGCTCTTGTTGATGCATCTGAACTGCCCAGCGGCGTTAAGTCTACTTTGGTAAACGATGGTTTAACTGTTGCAATCAACTTTGCGTTAAACCACAGAGAGTTCCCGATTGGTGAACCTCAGTATTATGTCGTCTACGATATGGGCAGTGGTTCCACCAGAGCATCATTAATTTCAATTTATCAGCCTATAAATGCAACAGAACCTTTAGAGATTGAGTTTTGTGGTTATGGCTATGATAAGTCCTTGGGTGGCTCTCAGCTCACTTTGTCGGTGGCGAATTTACTCCAGAATAAGTTTTTGGAACAACACCCCAGCATAAGGACTGAAAAATTCGAGTCAAGTGCAAAATCATTGGTGAAACTCATCCATGCAGCTGAGAAGGCCAAGTTGATTTTAAGCGCAAACACTGAGGCTTCAATTAATATCGAATCTCTTTATGATGATTTGGACTTTAAGGCAGTCATTACAAGGCAGGAATTTGAGGAGTACAATCAAGATATTGCTGATACTGTCATTCTTCCTATCATTGATTCCTTAAAAAATCAATTTGGCAAGAGGATGATTAACCTTGAGGATATTTCTTCGATCATATTGACAGGCGGATCTACAAGAGTTCCTTTTGTTCAAAGGCAGCTGAATACTTTTGTCAACGAAGACAAAATTGCAAGAAGCGTTAACGCAGATGAATCGTCCGTTAACGGTGTCACGGTCAGAGGGGTTCAGATTTTCAAGTCTTTTAAAGTTAAGCCATTAAACGTTATTGATCGTTCGATTTTCGATTATTATATCAAAGTAAATGAAACAGATACTCCAATCTCTGTTTTTGAAAAGGGTAGCGAATATCCAAGTGCTTCTTCCTTCGTTTTGCCATTATCCAACATATCTGCAGACTTTTCAATCGACTTGTATGAAAACGGCAGGTTGTTCAAGACTATTAATGTGTCAACTGAAACAATCAAAAGCAAATATACTAGTGACAAATGTCCTTATGGTATAGCTTATAACGCTACATTCAGTTTGTCGCAAAATAGAATATTCAGTCTTGACAGCGTTGATGCTGTTTGCTTACAACACTCTGAAGACTCAATTGGACTACTTGAGAAACTTTTTGGGGGAGGGAAAAAAGTGGCAGATGAACAAGCGGGTGAAACGGCGGAAACCGGTAATGAGAAGGCGTCGAACGCACCAAAAGACTCTCTAGCACGCCCAAAGAAATTATCGTTAAACACCAAGTACGTCCACGTCAAACCCATGAGTGTTAAAGACAAAATACAAGCGCAACAGCACATGAATAGTTTGAAAAGCAAGGATCTTCAGCGGTTGAAGCTGCAGGAAGAAAGAAATAATCTCGAGACAGCTCTGTATAAGGCAAGAGACTTCCTAGACGAGGTAGAAGTTGCAACAAAAGGACCTAAATCAGATGTCCACAAATTGAATGGTTTGGTATCTGAGTACTTGGAGTGGCTGGACTACGAGTCAGATGATGCATCTATCAAAGATTTGCGTGATAAAATCACCGAAATATCGCAACTTGAGGAGAAAATTTCACTCTATATTCTATCCTACAGCGAACCACTTGACGAAACACAATTTTTGGCAATATACAAGAATGGTACATCGCTTTTGGAGCAGATAGAGGATCACCGTCGTTCTGAAAATTTGACATTAGAGTCATTGGAGGAAGATTTTTCTGCAGTAGATCTCGACGTAAAAAAAGAATACTACAAAATCAAAGCTCCAAGACACTTACCTAAAACTGCATCAAAATTAGCTGGCTATTTGAATTCAATGAACAAAACTTTGGATGATATCAGCGACTTGCTGGAATCAAAGAAACTGGGAGATGAAACCCGGGAGGATCTCTTCGAACTGAAATTGCGTTTCGACTCCATCTATGGCGAATTGAAGCAATCGTTAAACGTTTTGAACGCCACTACAACCTATCGTTTGAATGAACTATCTTCCTTATACAGTAGAAGGTTAAGAGTTTTGAAAAGGAAAGAAGAGAGAAAAAAGGCACAAGAGTCGATGACCTCAGCTCCTTCGAACTCGACCTCTACAGAAAGCGTAAGATCTTCTAAAACAAGCTTGGAGTCATCCTCAAGTGACATTGTTCACGATGAGCTGTGAACTAGCAATTTGCATTATTTTTCGAATAATCTTTGATTTTTCTTGAGTAGTGGCTTTTAGAAGAGCCAATACATAGATGTTAATAAAAAAGAGTACATTTTTACATGAGATGTAACAGAGTTTTTCATGCTGCATGAATTTCTGGTTGCAAAGTCTGACAACCTCCATTCAATTAGTTATTTGTTGAAATGAAAAGGGTTCATAAGGGTACCCTTCGCCTTCAAAGAATTTTGACATTGCTTCCACCCAATGTAACCTTAACGAATGCAACATCGCAGAAGTTCCCTCCATCATAACCAAAATGCAGACTGTAAGCACAAACCACATACCAAACAAAATAACAACTTTTGCAACAGACAGAGGAGACCCTGAATTCTCCGAAGAAAAAGCATTAGCAATTGTCATCGTCCATAAAACACTCGAAAGTTGGGCATGTGCCAATGAAAGAGCCCACAACCTCAAATATGAAGCAGTATGAGAAATACAATTTAAGCAAAATTCTATGGTATGGATCACTTGATGGATCATGACATCTCCAAAATTGAACTCTTTTTTAGGACCATCATCAAAATCTGTTACAACAATGTCATCACCAGCATTCTCTTGAGACTCAATAATGCTTTCTGAAACATTTTGATCATGAATATTTTGATAACCTTGAGAAATTGCATTTCTATTCTGCGCTCTTAGTTTCAATGGTTTATACAATAGTAGCCAAGGAACGCATATTAAGGCAGCCAACAGAAGAACAACTTGTAAGAAGGCCTGACCTGGATAAAGATGATCGTCAATGGTACCTGGAGATAAAAACATGTTGATAAGCATATTTAGCAAACCAGGGGCCGGTTTGTTGTCTTTGATCCAATCTTTTGACCATTTGAAGACGATAGCCCAGGACAAATACCCAAAAATTGATTGCATGAAGACAAAGCCAGGAATGAAATTACCAATTATGTCGACCCTCGAATTGAAGTACCTGTAGTTGACCAAAGAGAACATGAGAGAATAAGTCATATGGATGAATCCCATTAAGATAGAAAGCTTCATTTTATATGAGTTTGTGAAAATCAGGTTGTTCTCGGTTCCGTGCCAGGCATGATCAATGCCAAATGGATAAACCCCAACGCTAGTTGCTACTATAGACTCACCCTCCTTGAAATCCGATGGCCAACGCCATCCTGATTTGAAAAAAGTCATGGATAATGAGAATATATCATTGTAAAGAAGACCAGTGTAGATAGAAAAGAACCCCATCAAAAGCAATACGTATCTTCCGGAAAAGGCCATTTCGAAAATTTCTCCCCTATCGCCTTGAGAAAACTTCCGTTCATTCAAAACAAGATACAGAGCGATCAAAAATAATATCAGACCGTGGCCTGTATCACCAAACATAATTGCAAACATAAAAGGAAATGTAACAATGGTAGCTAGACCTGGATTTACCTCTTTGTAAGTCGCAATACCGTAGGCATCCACAATTGATTGAAAAGCTCCAGTAAATTTGTTCGTTCTATGATACGTAGGTGGAATTTTATTTGTCTTTATGACACTCATTACTGCACTGTTTTCGGAACCGATACTCTCGCTGTAGTCCTTCAAAGCGTTGGAAACCATTAGAACTTCAGAAGAAGGAATCCAACCTTCTGCAACTAGCCCCTGAGACTCTTGTTTAAAGAGATTTAAAGTTGCATAAATATATTTCTCCCTTCTTACCATGGCAGTCCACATAGGTAGCTGATCAGAAACAATCAGCAGCTCTGTGTGTAATGTTTGCTCTGTAGTCTGGCAAATCTGCTGCAAGTCAGAAATTTGATCATTCAGGCGTTGAATGTTCGAGTCTACCCCAGATAGAGAGAATATTGTTCCATTTAAAGATTCAACAACCCGTTTTACCTTATTCATTAAGACATCACCGTGAGTGAAAACAATGAAGCAATCCTTTTCAACCAATTGTTCGCCTTCTAGGAGTGGTTGCTCAATCGGTATGTGGTGGAAAAACAGGTTACCACGTAAAATTCTCCACAAGATCTTGTTTAGTGTTTCAATTTTCATTCTGTTAATGGAGCCAGTGACCATGGTCCGGTGACGAAAGCCTTCTTCCAGCTCAGGGGACACGTTTGTTGCACCATCCAACAAACTGTCAGTATTATCATCATCAAATGAGAATGTATCACTCAAAGTTTCGCTGACATCATCCTCTGTAAGTCTAAAATCATCCACTGCAAACTCTTCATCTTGCTGCCGGGAGCGAGGTATTCTTCCACTAAGACCGGGATTGACCTCGAGGTATCTTCCACATTCAAAAACAGTGCTCCTATGCTCAATTAAGGTATTCAATCTTTTTTTCAAATTTCCGAGAGATTCATCCAACTGTCGAACTCTGCCCTCAAACTGTGTTATTTCTTCGGATAAGTTACTAATTGAGTCCATGGAGTGCGTTTGTAGACTGGATATTAACTGTGTCAAATTTGGGTGTTGAGTTGCGTTGTCATCATCCTCGTGCAACATGTATTTCCAAGTTGCTTCCGCATGCCTATCAGCCACGCTGTTCATGTATTCTATTAATCTTTCTATCTCATCGAATTTTCTGATTTGGCTAATGTAACCTCTTTGAAAGTTGCTCAAATCTGTATTCAGATCTCGAAACATAACGTTTCCTAAATTTCCAAGGATACAAACCACTTCCCTTGACAGTTCGAGCGGAATGTACAGCTGTACATATGTCATATCAGCAGCTCCTGTTCACAATATATTGATGTTAGTAGAGCTCTATATTGAAGTAAACAGAGAAACTTAGTAGCATACGGAAAATTGCTTCCTCCCCATTCATTTTCGCTGGTTTGATTTGGTCCTGGTGAATGATACAACTCTTCCAAGTCCCCTATATATTATGGAGAACACCCATTTTGTTATGGTGGTGTCGTGGAACGTGATGTTCAATTGTGACCTTGTAATTGCCGGCATTGATACCTCCTCGTTCATTTGGAGAGACTGACACCAGTAATAAGGTCCTGCCATGCATGAAGAAATTCACTTAGCACCTCAAACTCCCAAGCGATCTAGTGGGAAACATTCTCCTATGCCTTCAGTGCACCTGTCCACTCCCAAGGAGATAAACTGTCCATTAGGCGGATTCATTTTCCCGGACTTCAGGGCGCTTTATTCTTTGGGACTCCAGGATTCTACGCATTTATATTATTCAGAGTTGACATTGTTTGGTTTCGAGGTGTATATAGTAGAACAATGGGCGTTGGAACGCAAGTACTCGACATTAATCACATCATTCACTGGTAATCCGCAGGACATTGTACATGCAGTAAAAGTGGCTTTACCAGAATCCCCGTCTCTCTGGCCTACCCAGTTCAAGAGCTATTATGATGAGCTTCTAACTTATGCAACTCCAAAACTGACTGAAGATGGCACTCTTTTCATAACAAATTCTTCTCAAATACCGTCGACGTTAAACTTGCTTCATCTAGAATGTGGGGATCTGCGGAAAATTTGGGATGATTTTAAGGTAAATGTCGATTTAAAAAGACTGCAGTGTGGTGGGCGATCTGCGCTTTTGCTTTGCAAACCCTCGAACGCATCCTGCGAAAAGTTTGCTCAATTATACAAAATTACGGCCCCCTCGAAAGGCTCGCAGGATTTAGATACGAAATCTTTAACTGTTGCAGTTGTTGAGCTTATAACCATCATTCAAATTAGCCTGACTTATTTCAATTTACTTGATCCACGCTACAAAGACGGTATTTTATGTGTGTTTACTGAAAGGGCCATCCAAGATTGGTGGACGGTTTACGGCACTTATTATCTTGGAGTTGAAAGACCTAAGCATGAAGGTCCCTTGGGTCCAACTACTGTTGCAGGGTTAATTAGCCTGGTACTTACTTGTTTCTTTAAGCTTATGGTCGAAGATTGCGTGTCGTCCAAAGAACCTTTTGATGAGGAATGTTTTCAGGGTGGAATATACAATTTTCAGAGAAAGTACAATCTGAGTAAAGGTAATTCGACTTTTTGCAATTCATATTTTGACCCTACTACGTTAGCGAAGCTTTTCGAGGTCACCGCAAAAGTAACTAACACTGATATTTTTAAAATCAAGAAAGTTGTGAAATCCACGGTACAAGATATTACGGGAAAGGGATATCCCATGCAAATGACAAGTGGCATTCTTACCACAGATCTCGACTATCTTGCTAAAAATGTACACGGTGGGATCCTTTCGTGTTTGTGGAGGGGGAAGGGAAGCAAAAAGTACTCACAGAGAAGAAGATGGGAGCAGGACTTCTGTCGAGGTAAATATCATCACGGTGATCCAACAGATGAAATATTGAAATCTAACGTCATGGAAAAAAGGGAAACAGAGTGGTTTGAAGTAGATTCCAAACCGATAGTTGGCGGTTACGAGCACAGGCGATTTGGGTTTGGTTCGGAAGTCACAGACAGCTCTTCGTCAACCAGGAGTCAATTAGAGCGCAATGAGTTACAACGAAAAGAACGTGAGGAGAAAACCACGAATGATAGGGTTTTCCGGTCCGAAATGAACAGACGGCCATCAGTGCCATACCTCCCAGACGAGGTAGGTATGATGCAAATAAACTATGAAAATCTTCCTTACAAAAAATTGGAGACTGATCTAAAACGTCGTTACAGCCTCTCGGTGATTCAAGACTCGGTCGAGCGTTGGAGTCTACCTTTTGAGCCGTCTTTGGTTAAAATTGCGAGAAATCTCCTTAAAATGGAAAAGGAATTCAATTGGAAAGAAGATATGTGTTATGAAGAACACAATGACGACTATATTACATTTCAACTCCCGATAGATAGGCTAAAACAAAACTATGAAAACTTGCGCACCAAATTAGTGATGATCGAGACAGATCGTGATGTTCTAGATAATAAGCACTCTGTACTGCTCAACGATATATCAGAGCTGGACTCTTTGGCTTCGAAGTTCAAATATGATATTAGGATTCTGGACACTCGGATGCGGGATGTTGAAGAAAGAGTAACCCAGTTCGGTTCAAAATTAAAGAGCGTTACTAGAGCAATCGAACACCAACAGTCTTGTAATTTGATGAAGTCGCAATTATTTACCAACTCCTCGGAGTTGGACAAATACGCTAAGGAAATTTTGAGAGGTGGTCAAAGCAAGTACCATGGAATATTAATGAATCTTTGGAATCATCACGTATCTTATGCAATCCGCGAGGATATAAGTAAATTTTGGCTGTGCATTTGCGAAAAGCTTTTCCCTGATGCAAATTTGAAAAACGAGTATGGTTGATACTGCGAGAGTTCAGGGCAGGGCAGTCTGAAAGCGGAGGGAAAGTTGTATAAGCTGAATATCTCATTTTAGTTTAATGTCATATTTATTCTCCACGGATGTAAGTTTTTGTCGCAGTTCTTGTCCGTATTTTGATTCAGGGATCTTCGACCACTCTATTTCGCTACAAATATATTGCAGTTCTTTGATCAACAGCTCTATCTTTTGAAATGAGGTCTCACGATTACGAGATAAGTCTTTGATACTTGCCTCCAAGTTTGCCACTCTTTTACCAAAAATAGACTCGATAAACTGTCTCTCATTTCTTGATCGATGTGCTTTCTGCTCTACAACGAATTTCTTAATAGATGCAAGTAGATCATCGATCTGATCTATCATGCCCCATATCCGTCTGTTCATACATTCCTGGTGCTCTATTTGATACAATAGAGAAAGATTCTCGTCAACCAGTTTTTCCTCTTCACTTTTCTCATTTAGTTTCTCATATTTCTCCCTCACCTCTGAAGAGGGCTCTCTGGAGAGGTCTTCATAAGAAACTTGAGTTAATTTCGCCAGGCGTTTCAATAACTGCTCAATATGATCGGTCTCTTGTCTTGTCGACCTACACTCGGTACTCAGAAGTTTGGTCAGGTGAAGGATGTACTCGAAGCTATCTGCAGAATTCTCCATAACGTCTACAACGTCGATTGTATTATTATAAACACCTTTCCAGCTGTGAAACAAAAATAACCTTTAAAAATATGGTGGCCTGTCCATGCTGTGTATATACCACTGAGAAAGACGTCTTATCATAAGATGAAGCGGTGGCTCAATGGTAGAGCTTTCGACTCCAGTTAGATCCTGGAATTCCAAGGAAATTGCAATCGAAGGGTTGCAGGTTCAATTCCTGTCCGTTTCATTTTTTTTATTTTTTATATTTGTGACTAAACAAGCATTAATATCATGGATGGAATTCTAGTGGCAAGTATAAGATACCATGAACTAAAAAGAAGCTTGTCCGTCTATTTAGCTCTCCTAGCAAAGAACTTGATCATTTAGTTATTGATGTCATGTTTGACGGGTGTGGCGTTTGGTATAACGGTTGTGGGGAGAACAACTCTTTGTCTTTCTACCGATCTTAAAACTATAAACTAAAAAATGGGGGAAGACGGTAAACACCATGCAGACTTTACAAATTTCAGTGGCGTTAGCAGAAGAGAATCTTTAGAGCAATTGTTAACTTCTTACGAAGCTTTAGCGGATGGTCAAAACAATTGGGTTTGCAACCTCGCCAATGCTTCTTCACTACTGTGGCACGCCTACAAGTCTTTGCCACTAGACATCAACTGGGCTGGATTCTACGTTCGAGACAAAAAGGACAAAGAACAGCTCATTCTTGGACCATTTCAGGGTAAAGTTGCTTGCCAGACTATCAAGAATGGTAAAGGTGTATGTGGTATGGCTGCTTCTACTGGAACCTCACAAGTTGTCCCAGACGTGAACAAGTTTCCTGGTCACATTGCTTGCGATGGAGAAACGAAAAGCGAAATTGTGGTTCCACTTGTAGATGGGAACGGCAACTGCCTTGGGGTTATAGACATCGACTGTCTGGAGTATGAGGGATTTACCAATCTTGACAGGGAATATCTGGAGCGGTTGGCAGCATTGATTATCCGTACATGCGACTTTGAATAATTACGTAGAAGCATTTAAATGCAGATATATTCATTTCGATTGCTTCTCATCACCAAAGTGATTCTTGATCACCAAAAGCTAGACTAAAAATAATAAAAATTGATTTCGCCCAGGATCGAACTGGGGACGTTCTGCGTGTTAAGCAGATGCCATAACCGACTAGACCACGAAACCACTTATTTGAAAAGCTGAGCAAAAGCTATGGTACACATGCAATATATGGATCACATGGCTCTTTCAAAAAGAAATGTTTACAAGAAAATTTTCTCGTTATTGAGATGAGATGAGCTACCGAATTTATCTGTTTGCACACAGTAATCGACTTGTCAGAATCGGAAGCTATGGCTAAAGGCACTGATAGAAAGGATGCGCCTAGCAAAGATCGTTTGGGTAAGAAGAGATCAGTGAATAAGCGAAATGCAGAGGAAGTATCTGATGTTGAAGACGACGAATTAATGGTTGATGGATTAATCGACGATGAGGCAGATGATTCCGATGAGGAGGATGATGAGGAATACGACGACGAAAATGATGGCGAGGAGTTTGAATCTGCGGAAGAAGACATCGATGAAGAGAAAGGTGCTGAAGATGACGACTCTGACGCAGAATTCAACAAAATCTTAGCTGAGGAGGGTTCCGACGCAGAATACAGTTCCTTAGAGTCTTCTGATGACAATGACACTTCTTCCATGGCAGACAAACTGTCCAATATGAGACTGAAGACAATTGCTGACCCAGAAGACGTTGTTCACACCAAATTTTCAGATGGTAGACCTAGAATTATTAAGCCGGAAATTAACCCGGTGTATGACAGTGACGATAGTGATGCTGAAACTAAAAACACTATCGGAAATATTCCTCTTTCTGCTTATGATGAAATGCCTCATATAGGTTATGATATCAACGGTAAGAGAATCATGAGACCTGCTAGGGGATCGGCTCTTGATCAGCTTTTGGAATCTATCGATCTACCTGAGGGTTGGACTGGTTTACTAGACAAAAACACCGGTTCAAGTTTGAATTTGAGCCAAGAGGAATTGGAGTTGATATCTAAAATCCAAAAGAACGAACGTACTGAAGACTCTGTAGACCCTTATGAGCCATTGATTGACTGGTTCACTAGAGATCCCGAAGTAATGCCTGTCACAGCTACACCGGAACCTAAAAGGAGATTTGTGCCATCGAAAAATGAAGCTAAAAGAGTTATGAAGATAGTAAGAGCAATCAGAGAAGGTCGCATTATTCCTCCTAAGAAACTGAAAGAACTTAAAGAACAAGAAGAGAAATATAACTACGATTTGTGGGGTGATTCAACCGAATCAAATGATCACATAATGCATCTTAGAGCACCAAAACTACCACCACCAACTAATGATGAAAGTTACAATCCTCCCGAGGAATATTTGTTAACTGAAGAGGAGAAGGCTGAATGGGAAAATATGGATCCTGCAGACCGTGAAAGAGGCTTTGTCCCACAAAAATACGGTTCCTTGAGAAAGGTTCCGGGTTATGGTGAATCAGTTCGAGAGCGCTTTGAAAGATCTCTAGATCTGTATCTCGCACCAAGGGCCAGAAAGAACAAATTGAACATTGACCCAGAGTCTTTGATACCAGAACTTCCTTCACCAAAGGATTTGAGACCATTTCCTATTCGTTGTTCCACTATTTATCATGGTCATCAGGGTAAGATCAGAACCCTATCTATTGACCCTAGTGGGTTGTGGTTGGCTACAGGATCTGATGATGGTACGGTGAGAGTTTGGGAAATTTTAACTGGAAGAGAGGTCTACAAAGTTCAACTCGTGGACCCAAGCAACAAAGATGATTTCGTCAATGTTGTCGAGTGGCATCCAGATGCCGACCTGGGTATTTTGTCGGTAGGTGTCGGAGAGGATATTTTCCTAATTGTTCCACCCATCTTTGGATTTGAAATCGAAAACAATGGTAGAACTAAAATCGAAAATGGTTTTGGTTTTGATACTTTTGGCAATGTTAAGAAATCTGATCTTAATGTTAATAGTGATGACGAGGATAACCACGATGAACAAACCGCGGTCAAGAGTCAAGTTGCTCAATGGAATAAGCCGACTGAAAGGCAAGCTGAGAAAGATATTGCGGTGGTTATCACTTGCCGTTATACTGTTAAAAAGCTTTCATGGCATAGAAAAGGTGACTACTTCGTCACTGTTCAACCCAAATCAGGTCATAGCTCTGTGTTGATTCACCAACTGTCCAAGCATTTGTCCCAATCTCCCTTCAAAAAATCCAAGGGTATTGTTATGGACGCGAAGTTTCACCCATTCAAGCCACAGCTATTTGTATGCTCACAAAGATATATTAGGATTTATGACCTATCACAACAGACTCTAGTAAAGAAACTACAGCCAGGGGCCCGCTGGTTATCAACGATTGATATACATCCTAGAGGTGACAATTTACTTGCATCATCTTTCGATAAGAGAGTATTGTGGCATGATTTAGACCTCGCTAGCACTCCTTATAAGACTTTAAGATATCATGAAAAGGCGGTAAGAAAAGTTAGCTTCCATAAAGGTTTACCTCTTTTCTGCTCCGCTGCTGATGACGGCACAGTTCATATATTCCACGCTACTGTCTATGATGACATGATGAAGAACCCACTTTTGGTACCACTCAAAAAGCTAACAGGTCATAAAATCATAAATAGCTTGGGTGTTTTAGATGCCATCTGGCATCCAAGAGAAGCATGGCTGTTCACAGCAGGCGCTGACAACACAGCTCGCTTATGGACTAGCTGAAATATATAGATCTGAAAAATTTGTATACTGAAGTAATCTTGTGAGTTTAACAATTTAAGAACGTCATTAAAATCATGTTTTATAGTGCACGGTTACAGAAAGGATCAGCAGCTTTGTTTATTTTCTTAAAGTTTAGTGAGGATATTTTTACATTTAACTTTGTTTCATAATTATTTTAAACCAAAGCTTTATGATCATGAAATATGAGGAAAACTGATGGTTTTTCGGCCAGAAAAGACTGGAATTAGAATAGACAAGCTACGACATTTATTATAACTGAAGTCCAAAAGAGAATCCATTGCACGGATTTGAGATTAAATTGTTGATTTTTCAAAAATATTTACTTTCTGAGAGAAGCGGGGTCAATTTCTTGTATTTATTATCAACCAATTATCACCACTGCGAGCTGGTATCGGCTGGTGTTGTTTCATATAATTTTTCTTATTAGCCAACAAAGATCCTGTAACATTTCACTAATTTCATTTATCAACTCGATCTCGATTTTTATCGCTATCGTGATAGCTGATTTGGGTTCCAAGAGGGCTGCAGGAATTGAAGGATCTTGCCACTATCTGCAGACCGGAAAACACGAAAGGATTAGAATTGAGAGGAGACATATGGCTGCTGTACCTCAAGCCCCAGGAGTGCCGGGACAGAATGGTCAGCAAAGAACGCTGGCTTCATACCTAAGATACGTGCTGGTTGCAATTGCACTTTTCAATGTCATCAAGAAAACTTTTGATTCTCCAAAGACTGTCAATCCATTAAGACCAGTCGAAGGCGACCTGGATACGAGATCACTAAGCTTTTCTCAAAGGCTCTCTCGTCATATTTTAAATGGAGCTCTTGAAAAGAAGGGCATGAAGGCAGAAGACTTAAAGAAAAGTAAACAAAGAGTAGCTTATGAGCAAGGCCTTAATTTGCATCCAATTGAAGGAGATATATTTGTTTTTCATCAACCACCGGTTCTGGAAATGGCAAACATAACTTCAACTGTGTACATCAATGGAACAATTCCAGAGGAAGTGGAAGAAGAAGTCCCTACAAGAGAATTCCTCGTTTATGGCAACTCCCAGTTACCACCCCAGCTATTTTCACCAGCTTTGGGTCCGGAGGATGATTTACAATTCGAATTTTTCATAAACACGAATAAAACTTTTGAGCGTGAAGACTACCATTCCCAAGGGAATTGGAAATTGCGAGGAGGGATTAATAACATATATGCTAATACTATCCCATGGGGGTCGCTAGAATATAGTTATATCTTGCCAGAAGATTACAACAGCGAGCCAATCTATTTGCACCTTTATCTTTCCAAAGATAGGTGTTACAGCACTGATGACAATAGCAATGACGTGTGCGATTTCCATGGCAAAAGAACAATCGAATTAACATATATGTCCTCAAAGACTAGGGAAAATGACATGCAAGAGTCAATGAATAGTAATAATGCGATTGAAAAGGACAATCTGTCGAATGAGGACGGTAAATCGCTTTATTACTACCCTCGTATCGAAATCTTGATTGGAAAGCCAATTGGGATCCTGACTGAAGCGAACGTTCCTAGCTATCTCAAGGGTTTGATGGCATTTGATGAAAGTGGCAGACGCGACAATACTACTGGGATGGCACAAGCCTATTTCCCTCCTGTTTTGCACAACAACTTAATGCGGAAAAGTGAAGATGTGATTGAGCTCAATTCCAGCATAAGCATCTTGCCAGTTTATTTGACAGTCAAAGTTCCGAAACCATGGAAATTCTATTCGATAGCTTACGTACAGAATTCCTTGATGGGTGCATCCGAAGTTTTTGATGCATATACTCCTCAGTTCCTGAAAAAGCAGTTTGGGTTCATTTAGTTTTGTTTAAAGTACTGTTTAAGATGCGATTCAACATTAAGTATGGGGAGTTCATGTCTGCGAGTGTAGCCGCGACGTATTTTTTCTGATCATTGGATGATTTTTCGCTACGAAGTGAATTGGGAAGTGTATTGCTATTGAGGCTTGCGTGCAATGAGGTTAATGATAATAATTTTAGCGCAAGTATACACTGCGCTTCTTTGATATTTTAATATCTATGTATTGATTTCCGTATATGCAAGTCTGTGGTGGGAAAGCGCAGATCAAAGATCGGGCACTGAAAGGTGCAGGATTCGCTAGATAGACCAGCTTGAAGGAAAACATTGTTGGCCATTAGCGCTTATTTGAGAAAACAGTAACGGCGCTCTAAGCACCATATCTGCAACGATACCCTTTAAGCGGAGCAAATCAGTGGCTCATTGGAATCGTGGTGTAAAAATATTGAACGTTTGCGAGAAATTATAGTCCCATCTCACGCATGAGTGCCAGCTCATCCTCATCTTCGGCACCGTCGTCTGCTAAGACGGTCTGGGTGGGTTCTGTAGCATGAGCCGCCACACTACCTGCACGTGACGACAAATGGCGACCATCATGCGAGGGTTGCATGTCCAAAAGACCTTCGGCTTCCCGTAGAAGCTCAAGCTCTTCATCGGCATCAGGCGCCGTGCGGGAGCCCGGTAAAGTGTAAAGGTCTTCATCGCTACTGTCTTCGTTTGCGTCGTCGTTTGCCACAAACAGCGATGGTGCATTTGGTGTGGCATCACGGGCTGGTTCTGGAGTCGCGCCGGCAGCTGGGGTTGGATTGGTTGGGTCGTTAAAGTCAGCCGCGTCTTCTTCGCCCGCGGTGAACAAACCCAGCTCTTCACGGACCAGCTGGATCCGATACGCTCGCAGATCCTTGTCGGTCTTGGCTAGGGTGTTACACATCGCGACAAAGTCGCCAAATTTGGCCTTGGGAAAGAGGTCGTGTGCCCAGAGCTGGTAGAACTGCATGACGTTGCAGAGGTTGTCGTAGGGGCTTTTGCGCTTGGAGATGCGGATGTGCTTGCGAGCATTTCGCGCTACGTACGGCAGACCCTTGGGAGAGCAGAGTTTTTCGCCTGTGAGCTTCACCTGGGGCCGTCTTGTCTTGGTGACGATGGAGGTGGGGTCCTGGAGATCCGCGCCATCTGCGGACGTGTTGATGACGGTGGGGTCCAAAGACAACGAAACATCGGGGGTATCGTACTCTGGGCCACCGTCAAAGTCGGATTCAGCGGGAAAGGAGTCCATTTGTGTGCGCAATGGGCCTGAACTTGAACGTGGACGATTTCGCGACACGCGAGATGAGCAGCCGTTTTTCTTGAAGTTGACGCGACTCTACAGATGGAAAGAAGAAAGAACAACTAAACAAAACACGTGACGTTCTCCACATCTGACGTATAGAGTGATATAAGCAAACCCACACACCGGAGATTTTGTGGCAGCTGGACCGGTCACGTGGGAGCGGACTTTTCCCATCCACATCGTTTCTTTTTCTCGCCCCGAAAAGAAACGCCGCCCTGTCGCCGTCGCGCCGCCAACGCCCCGCGCCACAGTCCGACCGGTGTCTTTGAGAGCGATACAGGCGGGTGATGTCACGTGCAGGTCCGGGAGTCCCAAACTGTGGCAGAGCATCGACACGGCTCAAGCCCGCACCACCTTGATGTTTATCACATATAAGCTGATGGGCTCCAGGGGCATCATCAAAAGGCATCGTATCCACCAAAGCTCTCACACAGCGAGCACAGACGGTAATCGCACCACCAGTTACTGAGGTATCACTATTAAACGCTGGTTTCTAGGAAAGCACGTTTTAAGATTTCAAACACAACCTCAACTTCTTCCACTCACCGAACACGAGTTTTGGTATTTTAGCTAAACCCTGAATCACACATCGCTACATCGAATAACACACCATGTCTTCTGCCAGAGAATGCAGCTACGTGCAAGAACGACACATGTTCTTTCCGTCTGCGACGACCGACGGACGTGTCGTTACGACGGAAACATTTTGCAATTCGTGTCAGAACGACGAAGAAGAAGATCTAGTGGTCGACCTGAGCTCCGGCAGTCTACAAGCTACCAGCATGCGCAGCTGGCTGCTGATGAGTGAGGTAGTTGACAAGCTACAGAAGCTGTAGCACTAGGGTCAAGGTTATAAGGTAAAAACGAGCCGTAGGCTGCGCGTCGGCAGGAACCGCACGCCGGGAGGGCCCGTGAGGAATATATATATATACACCAATGTAGCACATAGATAATGGCATAATAGGAGTAGTATTAGAGAGTTTTTGCCGGCCAAGAGTGGCCTTGACGGCCGCTCTTGCTGTTAGTGTGATCAACCAAGAACAGGTCATCACGTTGAACGGGAGATCACTCTCCCAAGGAGGCGAAAATTTTTTAGCACTATAGGGCATCAACACGCAGCCTGAATCGCTGTTCAAATCACGTCCCAGGACAACATCACACGAACACAAGGACTGCTTGGCACGATTACTTGCAATTGAACTGGCGCACGATGTTCGGTACTAATAGAACCACGTTTGGCAACACGAACGCCACGCCGTTCGGCGGCACGGGCGGCACGGGCGCTGCCAACTCCCCCTTCGGCAACACCAACAACAACACCACTGGATTCGGCGCCAATACCGCCAATAACGCTGCTTCAGGGTTTGGTGGATTCGGTGCGACTAACAACAGTGCCACTACCGGCACTGGTCTTTTCGGTATGTCTAACAATAACAACAACAATAGTCCATTCGGTCAGGCGACATCAGCGTCCACCAACCCAGCTCCTCTCTTCGGGTCTTCACAAGCCTCAGCAGCGGCAGGCCCTGGTTCTGGAACTGCTATCAAGCCCTTCACCACTTACACCGAAAAGGATGCCACTACGGGCATGAACAACATTTTCGAGAGCATTTCGTGCATGCCCGAATACAAGAACTTTTCGTTTGAGGAATTGAGATTCCAGGATTACCAGGCCAACAGGCGCTTTCCCTCCGCAAATATGACAGCTTCTGCTGGTGTTTCCTCACCCTTTGGTACTCAGGCGAGCTCGCCCTTTGGACAAAACAACACTACTAACAGTTTCGGTATGGCAGGTAACAATCAACAACCCAACGCAGGTGGTGGCCTGTTTGGCCAAGCCAACACAACCACATCTCCATTCGGACAGAACAACAACAACACCGCATTTGGTGCCAATAACGCTGCCAACTCTCCATTCGGCATGAACAAGCCCGCGTCATCAGGAGGCATTTTCGGGCAAAACTCCAACACGGGTGGTGGTCTCTTTGGCCAGAACAACACTCAGGCATCAGGCGGTCTCTTTGGCCAGTCTAACACATCTAATAACGCATTTGGTGCGAACTCCGGATCCACCGCATTTGGCCAATCAGGTGGGCTTTTTGGCCAAAATAATAACGCTGCTACAGGTGGTGGGTTGTTCGGCCAGAATAACAACCAACAATCTGGCGGGCTATTTGGCCAAACCAATACCACGAACACAACAAACACCACTGGCGGAGGTTTATTCGGTCAATCCAATGCCACAAACTCTTCATTCGGCCAAAACAACCAACAAAGTGGTGGCCTGTTCGGAAGCAAGCCCGCAACTGGCGGGCTGTTTGGACAAAGTAGTACCACTAATGGTGGTATGTTTGGTCAAAATAATGCTAATGCTAATACATCTTCACCTTTCGGCCAGAATACTTCACAACAGACTGGAGGTGGCTTGTTCGGTCAGAATGCCAACACCGGCTCAACTGGGTTATTTGGTCAAAACCAACAACAATCTGGAGGTGGACTTTTCGGCCAGAATGCTAATGCAAACACTGGTACTGGGGCTGGTTTGTTTGGACAAACCAATAACACTACTGGAGGTTTATTTGGTCAAAACAATGCAAACAACTCACCATTTGGTCAACAACAACAACAACAACAACCCCAGCAACAGGGTGGCGGTCTATTTGGTAACAAGCCTACAACTTCTGGAGGCTTGTTCGGCCAAAACAACACTGCCTCTACCGGATTTGGTCAAAACACCTCCACTACAGGTGGCGGATTGTTTGGCCAAAACAACAATCAACAATCTGGCGGAGGCCTCTTTGGTCAAAGCAATAACACTAATAACGCTACAGGTGGAGGTATGTTTGGTCAAACTTCGCAACAACCTCAACAAAGTGGTGGCTTGTTTGGTCAAAATAGCAGTCAACCTCAAGCATCTGGTGGATTATTTGGACAAAGTAACAATCAACAAACTAGCGGAGGGCTATTTGGGCAGAGTGGCAATCAGCAAACTGGTGGACTATTTGGCGCAAAGCCCGCCAATGACGCTGGAACTGGAGGTTTATTTGGTCAAAACAATAATAATCAGCAACAGTCAAGTGGCCTATTCTCTCAGAACAACAATACCAATACTGCATCTTCTACAGGCGGTTTATTTGGCAATAAACCAGCTGGTTCAACTGGCGCTACAGGCGGATTATTTGGACAAAATAATGCCAGCAATCAAGGAGCTACTGGTGGTGGTTTGTTTGGTCAAAATAATAATACTAATGCAGGACCTACTACCGGAGGTCTCTTTGGTGCAAAACCAGCTGGTGCCACTAGTGGAGGGGGGCTATTTGGAAAGCCGGCCGCAACTACGGGCACTTCGGGTGGTCTTTTCGGTGCCAAACCAGTGGGAACTGCTGGCACCTCTGCCTCGGGTGGGCTCTTTGGAGCTAAGCCAGCTGGCACGACAGGTGGCGGATTATTCGGTAACAATAATACGCTGAACACAGGTGTGGCTGGTGCAGGAGCCAGCACTGGTGGTCTCTTTGGTGGGCAACAAAATCAACAAAATGGTGCCATCCAAGGAATTCAAGCCAATAATCAACAGACCAATGCTAATCCATACGGTACGAATGAGTTATTCTCGCGAGTTATAGTTCCCAACTCCATTACACAACCTAACAAGCCTAGTGCTACAAAAGTCAACGCTGACTTAAAGAAAAAAGCGAGCTTATCGGGTGCTTACAGACTTGCTCCCAAGCCACTTTTCAATCCTAGAAGCCAATCAGTCAGTCCAGTCACAAGATCCGGAAGCATCGTCGTGACTAAGCCCAACTCGAGGGTTTCATCGGCATCATCATCACCTGATTCTATTGGTAAGGAGATAGTCCCCGTCAATACTGGTACTTCATCAATTTTTACCAATGAGAGTGACGAGATCATTTTATCATCCAATGAACTTCTATTCAATCCAGACAAGAAATCTTTTAAAAACTTGATCATTAACAGAAAGAAGATGGAAGATGCCGAGGAATCTCCAGATCCAAGTCACGTTAGAAGAATCACATTTAGTGCTGAACCCGTGGACAAAGAAGATGACTCCAACGCTACCGATGACAGAAGAGGTCCTAAAATTTCACGCCAGGATGCATCTTTCCTTGACAATGTTCAAGATACCCCACTTAACAAAGAACCAAAAGCAAGCGGTTTGTTTAACAAGGATTTGGCTTCGACGCCATTATCTAAGCCCAAAGAAAGTCCTGTTAAAGCCTCTTTTGATGCCAAGTCTACAACAGGAGTGACGAGAATCCCACCAGGAATTATTGGGGATGATATTTCCTTCATGAAGGATGGCTACTACATTTCTCCATCCTTAGAAACGCTGTCATCAATGACTTTACTACAATTGCGCAAAGTCAGCGGTCTGACAATCGGACACAGAGACTATGGTAAGATAGACTTTTTGGAGCCAGTGGATCTGTCCAACGTTTCATTGCCATCTCTTTGTGGTCGTGTAGTAGTTTTTGAGCCAAAGACATGTGCAATTTACCCAAGCTCATCTGTCAAGCCAAAGAAGGGCGAAGGTCTGAATGTTCGTGCAAGAATAAGTACGTACGGTTGTTACCCAGTTGATAAATCCACTCGCAAGCCAATCAAGGATCCGAACCACCCTATTATCAAAAGGCATATTGAAAGACTCAAACACATTCCAGGTACGAAGTTTGATAGCTACGACCCCCAAACTGGTACCTGGGCGTTTACAGTTGATCATCCTGTATAGAAGCTAGCATACGTATCTCTGCATTTAGTTTAGAAAATCAGCTCTCAAACGGGTTTTGTTTTTTATGAAGTGCGTTGTCAATTATGAATAACGGGTTATGTAACACGGTGAAAGGCATTTGTCTTTATGCTTGCTTGTTATAAAATACAATTTATTCTAGTTTCTTCTACAAGAAACGCAAAATGCAGTCCAAATACAAATAGCTTACAACTGAGTGCATATCTATGCCTTTTTGCCATTTGTCAGTTCCTCTTTTCCGTTTGCGGCCGACTCCGGTTCAGAAGTTGGAATTGTCGACCAGGATATATCATCCGGGAAAAACTCTCCTCTATAAACGTTCGAGAACCAATCCTGAAACCTCACCCACAGTCCCAATGATTCTAACTCAGCATATTTCAAGTTGAAAAAGACTCGCAGATTCAGAAGCAATTCATGATCTCCTAAAAAAACTGTGACCATTTCGTCTTGCGAGCCCTTCAGGCTCAGACATTGCTCTAGCTCATCGATAAGTACGTGGTAGTCATCGACGTTTTGCTCTTTTTGAGGGGTCACAGTCATGCTGACGAGAAGTTTATTAACAAAAATGAGTTTTTCTTCCAAATCTGCTTTCAGCTCATTATGTATCTCCAAGTTTTTCTTTTGCGATAGTTTGGAAACCAAGGTATTTCCAGATGTTAAGCTTGGCTCTTGGGGGCCCAGCCCAACTATCAGCCAGTCTTCGTCATCTTCGAATTTGTATTTATCAACTTGCGGTTTTTTCTTCTTTTGGCGAGACTTGCTCTTGGGCGGCTCCGGAAGTTCTAACGCCTCTTCTGCTTCTTCGTCTTCATCTTTTGCCTTTCTATCGCCAGAACGAGTACTTCTACGCGGCGTGGTACGTGTGGTGGATCTCTTGGCGGCGGCCCTTCTGGGGCGTTTGGGTGGTGACGATGCGCGGCGCCGTGATGCGCGCTTTCTCGGACGCTCATCAAAATCCGAGTCGCTAGTGAAACTGGTGTCGTTTTCATCGATGTCATCTTCGTCGACGTCGCCGCTGTCTTCAATTTCATCCACGGGCGCGTCTGGAGCGTCTGGACCTTCATCTTCGACGTATTCCTCTTCGTCAGGTTTGCCGTTAGTGCCGTATTCTACGAACTCCCAAATATCAATGCCCTCAGGGCCACGACGGGCCATCTCGTACGCGGGCACGAGTCGACGGTTTTTCTTTTTGGAGCTGTTGAGCCATTCATCACATTGCGCAGGACTCAAGAGTTTGAAGTCCGAGGGTTTGAGCCAGATGTAGGAATCGTCGCAGAAAAACTTGACACAGTATGATGGCTGTACAGAATTGTACTTGCGGAATCGCAGCAGGTCACTGTATACAATGTAATTGGAATCTTCATCGTCATCGTCCTCGTCCTCGTCCTGTTCTGGGCGGGGTCGCGTGGTCCGGCCCTTCAAGACATTGGCTGGCACGATCTCTTCAGGGATGATCATGGCCGGCCATGCAGGAAACCCTTTGACTTTGGCCAGCACGATATCGGTGGGTTGGAACACATGGCTAGACATCCAGTAATTGAGCCGCTGTGTGGAAATAGCACGTTTGTGAGAGATGAACGCGTATCCTAGAAGCACGAAAAACGCTGGCCGTATTATGCGCGAACGATGGAAGAGAAAAAGACGAGAAGAACAAATCGCGAGAAATCCACGAACACGTGACCAACTCAAGAGTTCCTTCCGCTTTGTGCTTTACTTGGATCGATACCTAAAATTAAACCAAAGAATTTTACAGTCCTATATAGCGTTTAAACGATGTTTTTGGATGCTGGGGTGCGCACGTGTGGTACGCGCGGCACGCACGGCTGGTGGGTAGGCGGGGTTCAATATTGGCCCTGCTGCGAATTGACACCGTTGAAATACTGGTGATACACGGCAGCCTGCTCCGCGTTCAGATACGCAGCTGGGTTGCCATAGGCCTGCTGACCGGGCTGTGTGGGCTGCTGAACGGGTTGTGGATGCACAGTGTGGTCGACAGGCTGGCCAGCGGAGCCGACAGGGACCATGTGTGGGGCGGGAGCGTTGGCCATGCTGGGCTGGGCTGCATTTGTGCTGGGGACGCCAGTTGCGGCTGCGGACGCAGCAGAAACGTCAACTTTGGCCTCTTCGTCGTCTTCTTGATCGTCGTCGTCTTGGTCGTCTTCCTCATCGTCCTCCGGAGCGTTCAGACACGCCTGGATCAGGTTCTTACCTTCTGGCTGCGTGACAATTGGCTGGAACTTGGGGGTGGTGAACGTGTAGACAAGTCCGGTCTCGGACACCACCAGTAACAGTACCTGTGTACCGGTGAGTACTGACAACTCGTACGCCTTTTTCATAATCCCATGCTTTCGCTTGGAGAAAGTGATATGCCGTCTGGTCTTGTCCTGGATAAACTTGATTTCAATCTTTCTTCTTTCTTTCTGCGGCTGAGGAGCGCTGGCACTCGTATCTTTGTCTTCTCCTGGAGTGTCTGACATAGTTGTGGAAACCTCGATGAGCTTACAGTGGAGGGCTGACTCTTCTCTGTGGGAGTTTAGAGGGGGGTGGAGTCTTATCCCTTATAAGTTAAAGTCCTCTCAACTGGGTAACAAATTTTTTCAATTGCCAAAAAGAGGAGAGCTCAGGGTTACCCGGAGACGACAAATGCAGAAATAACGGTCGCGTGACATGCACGTGACACCATATCCGGGTAACAACACTAACGAGCCGGGTAACACCAAAGCCGGGTAACCACAGCACCATCCCGCGGCCAATCGCGCGTCGCGCGTTTGGCGTCGCTGCTCGAACTCGACGCGACACCGCAGCCGACGCGCCGGACGCCCGTCGCCGCACCCGGCGCCCGCTCCAGCCTCGCGTTGCCCCACACTCGTGGCCCGTTCGCTCAAAATTTTCTCCTCTGACGTCTCTACTTCTTCATTCCCACACTCCTCCATCCATCTATCATGTCTTCTTCCGAAAGAACGTTCATTGCCATCAAGCCCGACGGTGTCCAGCGTGGTCTGGTCTCCCAGATCCTTTCCCGTTTCGAAAATCGCGGTTACAAGTTGGTCGCAATCAAGCTCGTCAACCCAACCGAGTCGCTTCTGACGCAACACTACGCAGAACACGTCGGAAAGCCCTTTTTCCCCAAGGTTCTATCTCACATGATGTCTGGTCCAATCCTGGCCACAGTGTGGGAGGGAAAAGACGTGGTCAAACAGGGGCGCGCCATGTTGGGAGCGACAAATCCGCTAAACTCCGCTCCGGGCACGGTTCGTGGCGACTTCGGAATCGATACGGGACGTAACGTCGCACACGGATCAGACTCGGTGGAGTCTGCAGAGCGCGAGATTGCGCTGTGGTTCAAGCCGGACGAGGTGGTCAGCTGGACTAGTGCCCAAGCCACCTGGGTGTACGAATAGACGACGAGATTCGAGTACCTAAACGCTATATACGAGTACATACTGTTTCTAATTGGGGCCAGTGCGCCGTTTCAGACATAGGCGATGGCGGCTACGGCGCCGTACTACGCGACATTGGTATGAATATCTGGCGGTCCCGCTGGTGTGGTTCGGATTAGACGACAGGGGGCAGAACGGCGGGGGGGATTGCGGGCGGCGGCGGCGCGAACGCGACGCAAAGCGACGCAGCGCAAACTGGTAAGCGCCACCGCACGAGTTACGGCCGGTTCCCCAACGCGGGTCACGCCCGTCATGCGCGTCGCACGACGTGCGTCGCAGGACGGGTATAAAAGGCGTAGCCGCCGGCGCATTTGCCACTTCTCGATCCCCCCCTCCCCCCTGGCACATACGTTTGCAACTCACAACATGCATCCATTACTAGTACACACCACGCGGCGCTCGGCGTCTCGCTGGGCAGGGCTTACGGCCCGCAACCGCGGCTCCGTTTCGCGGTGGGGCCAGGCGGCGCGGATCGCAGTCGCGATGGGCGCAACCGCGATCGCCGTCAAGTACGCGTACCGCACGTCGCGCATGGAGGAGATATTCACCACGGAGCACAACAACCCGAAGAAGCCGTGGAAATAGATACGGATTTATAGCGTAAGACATGATATGACACACAGGGCGAGATGGGCGGCTATTTCGTATACAATGAGAACTGGTCGGGCTGGCGCGCGGTGGCCGCGGCGGGGCGGGTTCTAGGAGCGACTCGGATGGAGTCGAGTAGAGGAGAGGTGAGAAGAGTTCTTTCCGTTGCATCCCGTTTCTCGCCTGCGAGTCTCGTTGCACGACGCATAGTGAACCCATAGCACGATGGAGCTTTCCCCTCTCAAAATACGTTCTAATAGTGTAGTGGCTATCACGTTGCCTTCACACGGCAAAGGTCCTGAGTTCGAACCTCAGTTAGAACAAGAATTTTTTTGGAGCGCAGCTGCGCATCTGTCACTTGAAACGAAAGATGCGCTTGTAGCAGCAATACCGGCCAGGTCTCGTGCGCGCGTCTGCCGTCCCTCGTTCGCATCTACATGCTGACACACAAGCACAAGTCTTCCAACTGACCCACACTGAGCTCGTAAAATGGGTGTTCACGCCTTATGGGACGTTGTTGGCCCCACTGCTAAGCCCGTGCGCCTGGAATCGCTCTCCGATAAGCGCCTTGCCGTGGATGCCTCCATCTGGATATACCAGTTTCTCAAAGCCGTGCGTGACAAAGAGGGCAATGCCATGCGCTACTCGCATGTTGTCGGCTTCTTCCGTCGTATTTGCAAACTGCTCTACTTCGGTATCAAGCCCGTATTTGTATTTGACGGTGGCGCGCCCGTACTCAAGCGCCGCACCATCCAACAACGCAAGGAGCGCCGCCAAGGCAGGCGCGATAACGCCGCTAGCACGGCGCGCAAACTGTTAGCGTTGCAATTACACAATCGCAACTCTCGCTCTGAAACCAATGCGCCGGCCGCATCGAAGGTTTCCCCATCCCCATCAGCCACAGCCGCCTCCAGCTCCGAACCTTATCTTTTCAAGCCCAACGACGAGTACCATCTGCCACAGATACCCGGTTTTAAGTATGATAAAGACGACGCTCGTGTTAACACAGAAGATGCGGATTTCAAGACTGTCCTGGAAAACATGGACGAGCTCGACGGCATAGACCTCGATTCCATCAACCCGGCCTCCAAAGAGTTTGATGAATTGCCAAAATCTACCCAATACATGATTTTATCTGCTTTGCGACTCAAGTCACGTCTGAGAATGGGTTACTCGAAGGAACAACTTGAAAAGATATTCCCGGACAGTATGGATTTCTCCAAGTTCCAAATCGATATGGTGAAGAGACGCAATTTCTTCACCCAAAAGCTCATGAACATCACCAATATGCACGATGGGGGAGCCTCGAAGCTCGATCAGGAAGTAATACGGAGAGTTGAAGGCCAACGTGGTAAGCAATACCAGCTCATTAGAACTGATAATGGCTGGGCCCTCAGTCTTGAAGGTAACGATGGCTCCGACCCGAACAAGGCGATTTTACTGGACGGTCACAATGGCCAAAACTCAAGTCCGCGTACTCATGATGATGATGATGATGATGATGATGATGATGTAGAATGGGAAGAAGTTGAGATGACCCACGACACAAACGAAAAACCTACAGATTATTCAATAAAAGCATCATTGCTACCGCACTTGGGGGAAGCTACACAAGCTGGAGGGGGGCAGTCCTTTTTGGATAAAAGGTATGATACGTCAATTCCAGAAGCACATCAAAGAAAAGTAACGTATGTCAGAGACACTGAACTTCTTGACGACGGCAATGACGATAGTGATGACCTTCTGGAATATGATAGAGAAATTAGTATCATGGAAAATCTGCAAAAATCTAGGGCTGCAAACGCCAGGCAAACATTTATTGCAGAGAGTCGGCCTCACGTTGGAATAGACGTAAAAAATACGGCAAAAATAACTGAGGAATTGGTACCTACGGATCAAGTCGAAAGCTCCCATACAAGCGAATCAACTTCGATGGAGAAGGGCTCTCCCGGCATTCAAGTTGAAAGGGCGAATACGGATAAACCAATTTCTGTGAATCAGCCTTCTACTGCGGAGCAGCCTTATCTTGCTCTCCCACCTCAACAATCTGCATTACAAAATCTTCCTGCCAACTCGGAAGACGTAGAATCACCGCCTGCCGAAATGAATAATCATTCACCCATAAGCTACAAAACTACCGGGCTTGTCACAACACATAATCCCAAAGATTCGATACCAGCTGAAGAAGTGACCTTTCCTACAGAATCTGAACAAAACTTGCAACACATTGTGAGCAAAATACCTGATTTCAATTTTTCTGGTGAATCATTATTGTTCAACAGGCAGGCACAACCACAGGAGGAGAGCTCCTCTACGAAAAACACAGGCAACGATACCCAACATCAGCAGCATACTCCAGAATGGTTTAAGACTACTTCCATTTCTGCATCCGCGCCTAATTACAACCCTTATAATGTCAGCTCTTTTATTACCGATGCAACCGATGACAAAAGAGAATCTGCTCGAACCAAGGATGAAACTTTGGGTTTGATCTCGGGATCAATGGCTGAAGAACTCATCAACGACCGTGCTCGTTCGCAAAAGCGTTCTCATGAGAGTGAATCAGAAGATGACTTAGTTGAGATAATTTCTGAGAATAAGCAGGTTACACCCATCGAATCCGAACCCGTAGCCCAAGATCAAGCTCCAAGTAGTAATGGGGACGATAGCAAACAACGTAAGGAGAATGTTCCAAATATCCCGATTGTAGATTATGATTTCTCTGAGGATGAAGAAGACGCCTTAGTGGAGCAGTTAAGACAGGAAGAGCAAGAGTACAACTCTTTTAGAACTTCGCTAAATCCTCATGTTACAAATGCTACCTTTCTTGAAGAAGAACTGACAGAGCAACAAATGAAGGAAAAGAGAGATTCCGACGAAGTTACCGCTGCCATGGTCGCTGAAGTGCAGAGTCTTCTTTCAAAATTCGGTATACCCTATGTGACGGCGCCAATGGAAGCTGAAGCACAATGTGCTGAATTACTCACTTTGAGACTAGTTGATGGAATAATTACCGACGATAGTGATATTTTCCTTTTTGGTGGCGATAAAGTGTATAAGAACATGTTTCATGAAAAAAATTACGTGGAGTTCTATCAGGCCGGTGTTCTTGCAAAAGAGTTAGGCTTGGATAGGGATAAATTCATTGAACTCGCTCAACTTTTGGGAAGCGATTACACCAACGGTGTAAAGGGAGTAGGACCCGTTTCTGCGATGGAAATCTTGGCAGAATTTGGAAATCTGGCTGCCTTTAGAGATTGGTACAATGAGGGTCAATTCAATACCAAATTACAGAAGAAAGAGTCTACTTTTCAGAAGAATCTCAGAAAACGCCTGGTAACAAATGAGGTAATCTTAGATTCCGATTTCCCAAGCGAAATTGTTAGAGAGGCCTATATACGGCCCGATGTAGACCATGACACGACCAAATTCGTTTGGGGAGTTCCTGATCTAGACATGTTAAGAGTTTATCTTCATTCAACAATCGGATGGCCGCAAGAAAAGTCAGATGAGGTCTTGATACCATTAATAAAAGAGATCAACAATAGGAAAAAAACCGGGACGCAAAAAACATTGACAAGTTTTTTCCCCACAGAATACATTAAAGCCAGCAAAGACCTCAAATTGAGTAAAAGAATCAAAAACGCTAGTGGCAAGCTTAAAAAGCAGCGTACCGAATAAGTATTGAGTATAGTGTCAGTAATTATCCCAATTATTATTATTTTTTTACAACTTTTTCAGCAAACACCGGAACATGCGTCGTTATTGCTTGTGTCGCAATATTTTCAATTAAAAAACGACAAAAAATGTTCTTGTGGATTTATATCTTATTCCGATACAATTTTCAACCACAATCTTTATTCTACTGAAGCACTGTGGCATTAACATTTTTTTAGGAGAAGGAAGTCAAAGATTATGAAACCTCAGAGAACGTATTCAAAAGGAGCCAGAGCATTAGTCACAAACAGCAATATGATGAATATTGATCACTCAACAAAAAATTGTGGTTGCAAACAGACGGTTGATCGATCTCCCAAAAAAAGAGACAGCTTCAAAGTCAAAAAGACTAGGAAATTTGAGATTAACGATTCACACACTCCTAGCGAAAAGGCTACAGGACTCGTGTTCTATCATAATTCAGGTAGCCCAAAAAACATGGATAACAGGAATCAACATGCCACTAACTCATTTTTAAACAAATCTTACATACCACCGGACAATTCACAGGCGCACTACACCTTGATGAGCCATTCAAATAGCAATAACCAGATAAACAACGTTTCTCTCTATGCCAACCCCAACATCTCAACTTTGGTAGGTCATGATTTAGTGGAGCAGGATGTGAACAATATATTTGATGACTTGGAGCAATTTAGTTTTCAAACTTTCCCATCATATTTCAATCCCAGAACTGCAACCAATATGCATCACCAGGAAAAGGTCAGTAAATGGTTGGAAAAAGTTCCCGTTTTCAATGTCACAGATGAGCTCTGGGAAAGTGAATGTTTCGATACTGACGATGACCTTGATTGGGAAGAACAAGAATTCGATTATGCCATCGCAGGTAAGAGTAGTCAGCAGATCATTTCCATGAGTACCGTAGACGAAATAATATATCTACAATCAAAAAGAGTAGATACTTTGGTGAGAAAATTATACGAAATTACGCCAGAGAAGCCATTAGATAGTACCAAATAAGCTTATCCTATTCGAATTCAGTATTGTCATTTATTCCCTATATGACATTTTCGTATGCAATTATTTTTCAAGTAATTAAACAAGTGTGTATCAGTTGCAGATTTAAGTCGATAGCAGTTTTAAATCGACAATAACGGCAAAAGCAACCTCAGTCTAATCATCTGAATACCTGATAGGTTTGCACTTGTACATGTCTGAACAGAAACATGGAATCGGGCTCAAAGAGAGGATGCTCAGTGCTGTTGCCGGCTCCCTTCTAACGTCTCTTTTTCTCACACCGATGGATGTGGTGAGAGTACGGTTGCAGCAGCAGGAAATGCTTCCGAACTGTTCATGTGAAGTAGAGGGTGTTGTTTCCACAGAATTGACACGGGCAAATAAGGTTTTCTGGCAAGACCCCTGTTTCCAAGATGTGCAGTGCAAAGGTAGCACTGTTAGATTCAATAGTACATGGGATGCCTTTGGCAAAATTGCAAAAATGGAAGGTGTCACCAGTTTGTGGCGGGGTATATCTCTCACAGTACTTATGGCAGCACCTTCAAATGTTGTTTATTTCGCAGGATATGAATCTCTGAGGGACTGGTCTCCTCTGAGAACTGCATATCCAACTTTTAATCCGTTGTTGTGTGGCGCGTTTGCAAGAGTAATGGCAGCCACTACTGTTGCGCCCCTTGAACTTATGCGGACAAGATTGCAGAGCATTCCTCGCTCTAGCAGATCTACCACAACAATCATGATGATCAAAGATCTAATTAAAGAATCCCGAATCGAACTATCTCGTGATGGATACAGAGCATTGTTCAAGGGACTTGAAATCACACTGTGGCGTGATGTTCCCTTCAGTGCTCTTTATTGGGCCACTTACGAGTTTTACAAGTTCCGGTTTTGGTTCCATTCTTCTATAACGACTCGAACCTCAACACATTGGGATCAGTTCAGCAATAGCTTCCTTGGGGGTAGCATAAGTGGCTCAGTTGCTGCTATATTGACACATCCATTTGATGTTGGGAAGACCAGAATGCAGATTAGCGCTATCAATGCCTCTAATAAAGCGAGGAAACAAAACACCACACTTCAAGAGTCAAAAATAGGTATGTTCAGATTTTTGAAAGAGATATCGAGAAATGAAGGAATTGGTGCCCTCTATACCGGTTTGGTGCCAAGGGTAATGAAAGTTGCGCCCAGCTGCGCCATCATGATATCGACTTATGAAGTGAGTAAAAAATACTTTTCTTCCTGAACGGCAACCGCTCATTCAACTCTAATAATGACTGCATTTCTGAATTACATCTATAGAGTAATTTTCTGTACATAATTCTAAAAATCAAATTTTACTGCAACGCATTTACTCGGGAGGGGATTCTGCCCATTTATTTCGATCTAATTCCTGTTCAGGTTCGAAAACATTTCGAGATACCTCGTTCGCACCACTGGTGTCAAATTTGATTATAAGACCATCATTAATAGTCCTGTGATCATCAAGAAGACGATTGGCGATTTCAATCGGTGTGCTGATTAAACTTTTATCATTGCGCTTTCGAATTTCATCAGTTTTTTTCAATGTCTGACCCCAATCATGGGATTGGTTTCTAAATGGACTTACCGGAGTAGCGATTTTTAGATTAGCGTTAAGTGTCTTTTGAGGGTCCATAGACTTGTACATACTACCAGATATGTGTGGGATATTAGTTATTTCAGTAACTTCACCCTTTCCTGGTGAACCACAAGCGTTATGGTCGCTCGGAAATTCCGATAATGTTTCGTCAAGTCCCGTCTTAAATTCCAATTTGGGAGTGGCATCTTGAGTATTTGTAGGTTTATTCTCTTTTCCTGTACCTTCCCCTGACAATGCCTTGCTGCTACCGACTTTCCCAATACATCTCATCAATGAATCCTGCCCATTGTACATAGCACTCATTATTTCAACTAGTTTACAAGGATCTCCTTTTTCTTCATTCGTGAGTTTCGACCATTGTTTATCAGCACGTTTACGTCTGAGGTCTTCTAGATGTTGCTCAATGTTTTCAGCTTGAATGGATCTTAAATGCTGAATCGAATTTTGAAAGAAGGCCCTGCTCGCTTCCTTCATATCCGAAGATGTTTCGAAGAACTCGACACTTGCATTTATAAATAATTCTCTAGCGGTAGTTGAAAGAGACTGCTGATAATGACCAGTGATATCGCTTAATGATTTTTGTTTAGTTTTAACCTTTTCCCTAAGAAACATTGCTTCTTCACTTTGATCGCCTTTCTTAGATCGTATATGGCCATATTTTTTGCCTATGGCCTTAAGTTCTTTCCTCTCAAGTAACATTTCATCTTCCCTCAATTTTGTGAACTCCAATGCTTTTGAAATCTCTCTCAACTTGACAGAAATTCTGTTCTCGTAAACCAAATCTTCGTGAAATAATCTTTGTAGATCGGAGATTAATTTGACGCTTTCTTCAGTATCAATCGTATCTTGCCACCATTCATTCAGTTCTCGTAAAAGTTTCTGATAGCTTTTCCATACCTCTTGTTTCCTGTTGGAAATATTTAGCAAACGTTTCTGGATTGTATGGAGAGTGGTTCTTCTTTTAAGTGGTGATCTGCCAGAAAGTTTATCCCACCCAATATCATTGCCAATCAGAGAATCCGGTTCCACACCAATATAATCTAAATCTGCTCTTGACACAAATGGTGATCCACTCAACGGCACACTTGGTATACCCTCTTTTCTTTTGCCAGGGCTTGTAATTCCTGCCGATTCTTCAGCGTAATCATCATTAGCATTTTGAGTAAGAAACGTGTTCGCACTTTCCAATATTTGTGGTTGAGCTTCATGCGTAATCTTTTGAGGTGAAGTACTTTCTAGGCGTCCATTATCTACTATCTGAATTGGTTTTTCTCTTACAATATTCCATAATTGCCGATGTCTTCTTGCAGTGGTGTCTTCGCTAAGTGAGCTAACATCATATTTGAACAAATTCAATTTCGATTTGAATTTGTCGAATATGTTTGACCCGTCCCTCAACGTTTTTTTGTCGCTTAAGTAGCCATACCCGGAATTCAGTCTTTGAGAGATGAACGAAGTGCTTTCTGCCATGTCATCATTCGGCGCAAAGCTCCCTTTTGAATAAAGTCGAGCTTGATCTCGTAAATAACTCAAATGCCCATTCATGCCTTCTCAGCCTGGCTATTCAAAAATGTCTTATCGAATAAATTAAAGTGCTTAGATTGATATTTTCAGTTGTCCTCGATTGCCAGTGTGTTGCCATTTTATGGTATTTATTTTCAAAATTAAATTATCCTTCATCGCTTTGTGTCACCATCGTCTTAAGTGTCAGAATTGACTAAAATGAAAAAAAAAAAAAAAAAAAAAAAGAACAAGATGCAATAATTAAACTTGCAGATTTTCAGGAATTAAGATGTCTGGATATTTCATTTCGTTACCTAAATACACTATAAGAAGAAGGAAGGATAACCTACCCCTTTGATATCTGTCAAACTGGCGTCACAAACGGGGGAATATGAAAATGCCGCTCCTTTAGGCTTGATAAGTAGAAGCAGAAACATTACCACCGTGACCAGTCCAGTTGATGTGGATGTCTTGGCCCAATGGCAAGTGGTCGTCAGCACATTGAGGCAAGACCTTGAAGGTGTGAGCACCGAAGTAGTCACGTTGGGCTTGCAACAAGTTAGCAGGTAGTCTCTCGGATCTGTAACCGTCGTAGAAGGCCAAAGCAGTGGAGAAAGCTGGAGTAGGGATACCGTAAGTGGCAGCCAAGCCAATGGTGCTTCTCCAGCCGCTCTGGGCCTTAGTGATAGCCTCAGTGAAGAACTTGTTAAATAGAAGGTTCTCCAATTCTGGGTTCTCTCTGTAGGCCTTGGTAATTTCACCCAAGAAGACGGATCTGATGATACAGCCACCTCTCCACATCAAAGCGATAGCTGGGTTGTTTAGCTTCCAGTTGTAAGTCTTACCGGCCTCACGGATTAGCATGAAACCTTGAGCGTAAGAGATAATCTTGGAGGCGTACAAAGCTTGTTCTAGATCGTCAACAAACTTTTGCTTGTCCTTGACAGCGTCCTTTGAAATGGTTGGACCTGGCAAAATGGTAGCAGCTCTAGTTCTCTCCTCCTTCAAAGAAGACAAACAACGAGCGAAAACGGCTTCACCAATCAAGGTGACTGGCATACCCAAGTCCAAAGCGTTAATAGCGGTCCACTTACCGGTACCCTTTTGACCAGCAGAGTCCAAGATCTTTTCCACCAATGGAGTACCGTCCTTGTCGTCGTACTTCAAGATGTCTCTGGTGATTTCGATCAAGAAAGAGTCCAAGACACCCTTGTTCCACTTTTCGAACACGTCACCAATTTCCTTGTCAGTGAAACCACCAACTCTCTTCATGATGTCGTAAGCTTCGCAGATCAACTGCATGTCACCATATTCGATACCGTTGTGGACCATCTTGACGTAGTGACCAGCACCGGCTGGACCAACCCAGTCACAGCAAGGTTCACCATCAGACTTGGCAGAGATAGATTGGAAAATCTCCTTGATGTGTGGCCAGGCCTCTTCGGCACCACCTGGCATCAAAGAAGGACCGTAACGAGCACCTTCCTCACCACCGGAAACACCAGAACCAACGAAGTAGATTCCCTTCTCCTTCAATTCCTCGTAACGTCTGTTGGTGTCTGGGAAGTGAGAGTTACCACCGTCAATGATGATATCACCCTTATCCATGTAGGGTAACAATTGTTGGATAAAGTTGTCGACAGCAGCACCGGCCTTGACAAGAAGGATAACTCTTCTTGGTCTCTTCAAGTTGTCGATCAATTCCTTAACGGAGTGGGCACCAATGATGGACTTACCCTTGGCCTCGTTGGCCAAAAAGTGGTCCACCTTTGACACAGTTCTGTTGTAGGCAACGACCGTGTAGCCGTGGTCCGCGGCGTTTAGGATCAAGTTCTGACCCATGACGGCCAAACCGATCAAACCGATATCACCCCTTCAATAATCAGTTAGTACTTCGTCTTCTTGCAAACTTGCACGTGCGTGTGCGACGTAAAACGACAGACTCCTGTACCGCTAACCGGGCTCCGCTAAACGCTCAACCTTTTGAAGAAAAAAAAAGCCAATTCGTCCCACAAAATCCCTATTAACGTCACAATTGTCTGTTTTCATCCGCTTCCAGCACCAATTGCGCCCACTGCGTCTTCTTTACTACTCGCTTGAACATACTTTGGTTCAGACATTGTATTCTATAAACTTTATTGTGTTTGGTTTCTCAACTGCCAACTTATGCGTGTTTATTTTTACCCCTGCTTCTTATATACATTTTTCCGGGCGCACCTCCCATCATTACTAATTTTTTGCTGTGGTTCACGCAAACGATTCCCACCGGTTTAAGAGCCCATGAAAAAACGAGCACCGGGCTCCGCGTCTCTGCAGTGCCTCCCGTCAGCTCCAATTGCGTTTCTACATCATTAAATTTCTATGTATACTACCTTTGTAGCCTCTTGAGACCTGCAGCTTGCTCTAAACACCGCATTTCGCTTACAATTACACGTCCCAGGTGCTATTCAGATGCTAGCCAAGCACCAGCTTCCTGATGTCGTGGTATGAAAAATGGTTGCGGAGGAATCTTGAGGAAAATGGCCGACTCCGTACACGGGTTTCTGAGTGTATCAGTCGTTCAGTGTGGCGAGTTTCGGTGTTATAAAAATGCGAGTTATTACACGTGACTTGTTTCAAGTGATCTTCGCACGTGGTTATGACGTATGGTGTGATGGCGCGTTTAAGGTTGTTGATGTCATTTTTGACGGAGTGGGCTCAGGCGACGCCAACTCTGACGAGTTCTCCTCCGGGCCAGGAGAGGACGCCAGGGACTGGACACCCAGGTTTATGCCGCTTATACGTTTGCGTGAGCGGCTGGGTGAGCGGTGCGGTGAGGCCTCAGCACTGACTGTCTTGAGCGGACGTGGGACGAAAGTGGAGTTGGGCTGCAAGTGGCGTGCGCTGCGCACTGGGGTCAAGAGCGGATCGCGCGCGATCACCACGGGAGGGCCAAGAGCTTCTTTGCCGGCATGCGCGGCTCCTATCAACGTCTCAAGCATCTTTGGCGACCGCTCATGGCACAGAATCTTGTAAACGACGGGCGACATGATCACTGCGTCGAGCGGCTGGCGCAGCCGATTTCGCGCAAAGAGATGATATAGCGGGATATCGGCAGGTGCAAAAAAGAGGTTTGCGAGGCTCTCGGTGCCGCACTCACGTGTGAGCCATTGGAAGTGGTCGCAGAGGGCGGCGAGGTTTGCTAAGTGCTCTTTGGGCGCTTTGCCAAGCGCTGACGCGGTATCCTGCACGCACAGGGGCTCGTAACAAGCCATTGGAATGACGGCATCGGGGAGCTCTAACAGCCACATCCTTAAAAGTCCCACCACATCCGCTACAGGGCGATTTTGTCGCGTCAAGGCATTGAGCATGCTATATTTATGGTCACCCCGGTTGTTCGAGAATTCTGCAATGCACTCCCGCCGGAAATTTGAAACACGAACAAAGTCTAATGGCGTACCCCACGCCTGGAGTACTAATTTGCTGTCTAGCTCACGGAGGTATTTCAAGAGCACGTCCAAGACCTGCGCCGCTCCCCTTTCTGCGGCAGGTGCGCCGACGAGATCCGCATGAAACATGGATTCTGCAATCAAAATACCTCTGGAATCGTACTCCACAAAGGTTACTCCAGGTTGCGGAACGTAGTAGCCAACTGTACCGTGGTTTGCTTCGTAGACTTTTTCTACTTCCTTCTTCACGTCTATAGGTTCAATAACGGTAGAAATGGACATAGAGTTGCTGCATAAAAGCCGAAATTGGGTAGAAACATGATGGACAACTTGAAACCCCCGATTAAGCATGCTTTCATATTGAGCCATGCACTTCTGCAGTTCTACTTCAAGTTGGAGACGCGCATAGTCTAGCGCTTGGCATTGGTCAAAATAAACATCCCTCAAACGTTTTAAAGACTTCTGTTCCTCTAAAAGTTGTACAGGTGTTGTAATCTTGGTTTCTGAATTTTCAACTCCACTTATTTTCCTCAAAAACCCTGAAAAGCCGTCTGCTTTGGCTGGCTGCGTCTCATTTGAATGAGCTTCTTTTCTGTTGCGTTCATAAGCCCAAACGTAGTAACCTTGGCTTGTGAAAACTGGTTTTGCACCTAGCACATCATTGTAGGGGCTGATGATTTTCGAGTCTATCAAAGACTGACCAATTCGTTCCTTGTTGAACACAGAGGTATCCAGTCTTGAAGCAACCCGCTTAATCGCCTCGAACAGAGCATCGCACGAAAAGTAATCATTGTTCACTCCTGGAAGAGGTATCAACCTCCTGGAAGTAACAGTAGTATCCTTAATAGTGTTTACAAATTCCTCTAGCTCATCTTCCGACTTGAACATTAATCGCTTGTCCAAGGTGTAGTGGAATTTGAGGCCCGAATCCGTACACACCAATCTTTCAATCTCGATTTCGTTTTCGTCTGAATCATGGTCAGAATTGTTTTCCATCGGAACGAGATAGAGTTGTTTGAGGCTGTCGTTCCTGGAAAAGTAGTCAAGTTGTGACTTTTTGGCTTGTGATAAGCATTTTGAATAATGTCCATAATTACTATTTAAAATAGACTCACTCTCACGGTAAAATTCTTCATATTCGAATTGTAAGGCCTCCAACGGAGCCAAACAGGCCTCCTCCAACTTAGAATGGCTGGCGATGCCTAGTCTCTCTGCAATTGTGTTGAGCAGCTCAATATGTTGACGTTGATGTTTATCCCATAAAGATTCATTGCTGTCACGAACTTCATTCGCCTTAGCAATATCTGCGAGAGACCGAATAGCAGGAGCAGTGACCTTCTCATCAAAGTCTGAAATTAGTTTCAAAGTTGTTTTTAACCTCAGAGATTCATTGGAGATACTGTGAAGCACAAATGTTATGCCTGTTATATAATCCTCAGACCAAAAGGTGCTTTTCAAGTTTCTGTCAGCCATTTAGTAGGCATAGGCTTGTAATTCACGGATTTGTTTAACAGCACCTTGTAAGCTTCAACATTTTCGATGGATTTTTTTGGTGAAAAAACTATTGAACATATCTAAAAAGATGAATATGCCTTAAAATTTAATGCTGTAGTATAGATACATTGATTTTCTATATCTTTCAAAGCTACTAAATTACCAGCCTACCACGATTAGGATCTATGTCGTATCCAAACATGCGCGCTGCGGAGTAAAAGTAGTTTCTAATTGAGTCGATGACAACACGCGCCAGACCAGTTGCCTTCTTGCGGAATCTTGGCGACTCTGCGTTAGCGTCATCAGACTTTTTCGCTAGACCGGCAGTCGTTGTAGGCAATACATTGTCGCCAGCGGAAAGTGACACAAATAAAGCAAATGGAATGAACCACACACATATGCCAAAGAATGACGCAATTTCAGTGAAGGATGCACGTCTGCGTGGAATGTAGTTAGGGTCATACCGGAATTGAGGTGGTACCTCAATATCATTGAAGTGTTTGAACCACAAATAATGGTTCACCACTACGAGAACACAGCTTGCCAGGAAGGTGGGACTGCTCAATGATATGAAAGGGAAATGTCTGAGATTCTGTAGGTAGATCAGGTAGGAGCAAATTGAGAACACACTCAATTTAAAAGGGAAAGAATCGAATAATAGCAGAAGAACATAGATACCAATAATAATGTAAATCGTCCTTGTCAAAAACCGCTTGGTAGGCTCAGAGTGCTCTTCCACAAGCTCACTGATATAGTATAGTCCAGATGCAATTGACAACGTCAAAAATAGGAATCCGAACACAGTTCCTGCATACGAAATAAGCTTGAGAATCATTTCAAGGTGATCTTTCTTTGGTGGTAAGTTAATAATATCATTCCCAGCAAATCAAAGAAGTACGAAAACGCGTTGTAGAACAATAGTATTTCTCACGTGACTGTTTAGGAACGAAATCTAAAAGAACCACTGCTAGTTTCCGTTCACAAGTACAGTGGATGAGTGATATAGAGAGGATCATGTAAGTCTTATTCCCCTTCTACTAACAATGTCATCTACTGATGTTACTCATAAGTCCATGATGAATGTCTTGAAATAAAAAATTATGCCACCTGCCAGAATTGAACTAGCGACCTTTGCATTACAAGTGCAACGCTCTACCACTAAGCTAAGGAGGCGGTTATTGACGATGTGATGAAAGTTACTATCATTCATTCGACAATAATGTTATCAAAGTCTACACTATATTGTGTTTTAGAATATATAAAAATGATTAATACTTGCCGCTCTCAAATTCAGAACCTTCCTTTATGGTTTTCTTCCACTTCACCCAAAAAATACAGTCTATTACAATGCTTAAATTTGCACACAAATCGCTTAAAGTTGTTTAACTCAAAATATACTATACAAGTCGATCTACCCAGGAGATATCTACATTGTTTTCGTCCAGAATGTCTTGATACTCATTGCTTGCACCAAATAACTCACTTGTGAGCTTGTCCATGTTTGGAACCTGACCGTTGCTTAGGCTAATGTCTAGAATTGCATTACTTATTGTCTGAAAAACATCGGCACATTTAGCAGCGAATACCCATTTTTCTCCAAAATGCTGCAAAATTTCCGCACATTGTTGAATTTCGATCTTGCTTTCGATAAGATCAATGCTCCACTGGCACAAGCAATATAGCATCGTGTTGCAAATCGTCAATGTTCTAAAAAGAGTAATCCAATTGAGCGGTTGTAATTTTTTCTTGTAAAGTGTATACGTGTGCTTCAAAGCTCGGAGGCATGAATCTCCTAAAATTGATAGTGATTCCATCGGTGGCTTGGGTATCAAGGCTGAGGGGCGATAAAGCATGATTTGTAGCTGGGCATACCTCATAGCGAGCCATATGTCGGAGCTGTGGAAAGATATACTAGAGTTCCCCCCACTCTGACTTGTTGCAGAATTGGACTCTTGAATCTTATTTCTCTTCTGCGTATAAATCATGTCCAACTCCTTTCGCAAATTTTGAATAACCTCCTGCTTTTCCTCCATGGAGAGCTTCTTTTTTCCCGCACCTACACTGTGGACCTGCTTATATATTTGCCCGCCAATCCGCCGTAAAGAAATCATCATTTTAGTCACCTCGATGTCCTCCACTTCTTCTTCATAGAGGGCACGCGGAAGAGGAACACTTATATCATCATCGTCGATCGCAGAAACCCTTCCTAAAGAGGTATGTACAAGTCTTTCGAAACAGTAAAAACTCCAAAATGCTCTGTATCTAATTTCGACCGCAATTACCGACATTGACTGCATTTTCTTAGTAGTCAACGCCTTGTGGAGTCCTAGACCTATCGTTAACCTCATCATGATGCCACTTATAGTCCATGATGAGTTCCCTTTTGGTTCAAAGAATGAGTAAATTCCGAGTAGTAAAAGACAAGTAATAGTTTCCACATTTTGTAAATGCATAACTTTGCAAAAATGTCTCATTGCTAAGTAAGAAAAATGTTCACTCAAACCCTCTTCATTTTTACCAATTATTCCAGCTCGCTGCAAAGTTGTACAACCAATGGCCATCACCATGTAAAGCTGGAAGATAAATGTATCATCATATTTCCCCTCCATGTCGGTAAAATCTCTAATTGTGGAAACTTTGTTCAGAAATTCGATCTTATTTATTAGCGGGTATGATCTGTGATTGTGTTTGAAATATGCAGCGATAAAGCGGTCATAAAGTGGTCTTTCGATTTGTCTGCACTTCTCATCTGGACCTACCATTGGGGTTGTTCTTCCACCTTTGAAGACCGCTGTGATAGCCTCGATTTGGATAGATGATGGCTTGATTGGAATAGAATCAGGCTTGTGTAATTCGTGTTCCAATTTGCCTTGAGGGTAGGTGGTTTGTTTATCGTTACCCTCTGTGCTGACCAATTTCATGATTGAAGGCGAAGCAGCCGGCACCGTATCGTCTCTCCCATTTATGGATGCAAGCATATTCAAAAATGATGATGCTGCTTCTAATGATTCTGGATGTTCCTTAATAGATGTCGACTCGTTAGCCACAGTGGGTAGGTCTGATCCTGAATGAACATTTTCGGTAGCGGATTCACTATCCAAAGAGGAATTTCTCTTCAGTCTTCTACTGGGAATAAATTCGCCTCTTGCTCGAGCTTCTTCGAGTTCCCGCTTCGTTCTTCTAGGTGCCCTGCCTGGGTATAAACATGATTCGCCGGCCTTGCTGCAATTCTTACATACAGGTAACTCCTTAGAGCACTTTTTCTTTAGTCTTCTGCATCTTGCACAAGAATAGGACTCGTAACCTATTCCTTCTTCGAACGTATCACTCGTGCTCATCGTAGGTAGAAGTCTCGTACCTAAAATCAATAAACGCTTCAACGAAACTTCCTCGAGCGGGACGGTGTTATAATTTCTGACTTTGCTGATGAAAAATAATATCACGTGAATATTTAATTTAGCATTAATCTTATCAAATGTGCATTGTCAAAAGTACATATTAAGTTTCCTGAGCCTGATCATGCTTCGTAAAAGCATCTTACCTGCCTCGAGGTCAATGTATCTACATGCTTATAGGCAATAAGGCTTCTTTTCACTTCTCAATTCCATTGCTTTATGAACTAATATCTTCGTTCTCTTGCGCTTCATTTCTGCACTTCTATAACGCAATTCGACTTTGCTTTCATCCCAGCGGATAGGCTGGAATATATCAGCTGTTCCCCCACAGGTGTCCAGAAGTTGCTGGATTCTTTGACAATATTCTATATCTAGCGGAGTTAAAAGTGAATGATAATCTTTCCCTTCCGGTTCTGAGGAATCTTGCATTACAAGAGGCACCTCAACCGATCCCGTAAAAACTTTAGTAATTAGGCAAGCTTGCAACTCGGAAACAGGGAACGGGACAATATTTTTGCAAAGTAGCGAAAATGCAAGCGTTGGGTCAGTTCGAAAGCACACCTGTTCCCACAAATTGAAGAGCCTGTGAGAGCCATCCTGTTGATCACCAAATAATTCAGAGCGGTAACTTTTGAGAAAGGGCATATTGTAGAGATATCCGGTTGCCCACATTATAACATCAATATTCTTGAACTCATTTCCATCTTGCAGGGTAACCGACCTTGCATTAGAAATATCTAACTGTTTTATGGCAGGGACGGCGGTCACAACATCATTGTCTGACCAATCCGTGTTACTGGGATCATGTACACTGTGGTAAACTTTGCTTGCGACCGAACTCACTTGGTTTGCAATGTCAGAACCTGAACTTCCATTGCCAACAATTATTACAGTCTTATCTCTAAAGAATTCCGGAGATGAGTATTCTTTCGAGTGCATAATGCTTTCGCTATCCACGGCCCTCCATTCCTCGAGACCAGCGACTTCGCTTGGGATGTAAGGCTTATCAAAATGACCATTTGCTACGATAACATAATCAAATGCTTCAGTAGTCCCATTAGCAGTAACTTGCCAAACTTCATTATCTTTAATAACACTTTGCACATTTGATGCGAAACGCACCTTTACTCTGTCTTTACCATCGATGAACTGATTATAGTACGATTTCAGATATTGCCATACCTGAGATCTATTGGGAAATTCATCTACGCATTCAGGAAATGGAAAGTCTTTGAATTGCATGATCTGTTTGCATAAATTGGTCTCGAGCCAATCGTACATAGCAGTTTCACTGTGGCTGCCCTCTGGGTAGTACCACACTCCTCCTATATCGTCGTTTCTTTCATAGACAACTATATCAAAGGTGCTGTTAGTGTGCAGCGCACGGACTGCACTTAGCCCTGCTGGGCCTGCGCCAATTATAGCTACCGTCTTTACCATAAATTGATGTTTCTTGTTAAAGCTCTCGAGGAAGAGTGTCACAGGCGAGAAAACGCTCAAAAAAAGACACCAATTTAAAGAAGGGAAAAGTGAAGTCATCGACACTTGCTAGTGAATAACTACTTCTTTTTGATTCTATCAACTCAGACGTATGGTAAGACAGTTTGACCTACCTCGCCATAGCTTTCAGTCTTGAAATTCCTATATACCATGTGAACTACTCCTAATCAATAGGAAACCCATATTACAGCAGAAGCTTCTTATGTAGGGAAGAAGCTTCTAAACAAAGCAGGAAATTTGAGGTGCGGCCGTCTGATCTTCATCAATGGCATGCGAGTGAGTTTCTCGGGGCGACCTCGGTCGCAGCACCCCAAGAATAGTGCCCCCACATAGCTCCTACAACGACAGCAATCATCAACCAACCATTGTATGTCATAAATACAAGCATAAGCATGAAGGAGAACCCAACCTGGATACCATACCATATGCTTTTCTTCAATTTCAAAGAGCCCGCAGTCGTTGCATTGTTTGAAGATGAAGACTGATTGTTCATAGACTTGAAGGAGTAATATTTGAGGTATTCATAAAGGTACGCCAAAAATGATATGGCTGCAAAACTGATTACAAGATGAGGGATTGTTTTGATGTGCCACCACTTAAATACCACGCATGTATTCTTGTAAGACCAGGAGAATAACATATTCATTGAGCACATATCGTCATGGCCACCCATGTCACCATGATCCATACTGGAATGGTCGTAAGAAGAAGTCATATTTTAATGCGAACTTGGGAGTTTTGCAGTGCCTTGATATGTTCTGCTGGACCCCAACTATCAATGAATTGTGATACTTGAGAATTTCTTTCAAGTAACCACAGAGCACCTTTTTTGCGTAAAATTTAGATAAAAGCTAGATAAAAACAAACGCACATGCTACGATTGAATAAAAAGGAGAATAATTAAACGATGCACACATCACATACTTGAGATGTTTGTTTTCAAGTGTGCAATGAAATCATTTTATTTCGTTAAACTCTAAAATCATAAAAATCTATTTATCAACTAAACCTCATATCAAATTCAGTTAGAAGCTTACAATTTGTTACCGTGGTGGAAGTTCTTACCAGCGTAGACAGCCTTGGAGCCCAATTGTTCTTCAATTCTCAACAATTGGTTCAACTTGGCCAATCTTTCGGATCTGGCTGGAGCACCGGTCTTGATTTGACCAGTTCTCAAACCAACAACCAAGTCAGCAATGAAGGTGTCTTCAGTCTCACCAGATCTGTGGGAGACCATGACACCCCAGCCGGCAGCGAAAGAGTCTTCAGCAGCCTTGATGGATTCGGACAAAGAACCGATTTGGTTGACCTTCAACAACAAAGCGTCGGCAGCCTTCTTTTCGATGGCGGTCTTGATTCTTAGAGGGTTGGTGACAGTCAAGTCATCGGCAACAATTTGAATACCGGCGGTCTTGTAGAAGTGAGTCCAGGCTTCCCAGTCGTCTTCGGCGAATGGGTCCTCAATGGAGACAATTGGGTACTTCTTCATCAAACCGTGGTACATCTCAGCCAATTCTGGACCAGACAACCACTTGGAAGCATCGGAGTTAGGGTTCTTGAAGTCCAAGTCGTACTTACCGTCCTTGTAGAATTCGGAGGAGGCACAGTCCAAACCGATGTCGACCTTACCTTCGTAACCAGCGGCCTTGATAGCGTCAACAATCAAGTCCAAAGCTTCTTCGGCAGTTTGGATGTTTGGAGCAACACCACCTTCGTCACCGACGTTACCGGCAGAAGAACCGTATCTCTTCTTGGCCAAAGACTTCAAGTTGTGGTAAACTTCAGAACCGATTCTCAAAGCTTCAGCGAAGGTGGAAGCACCAGTTGGAGCAATCATGAATTCTTGCAAAGCCAAAGCACCACCAGCGTGGGAACCACCGTTCAAGACGTTCAAGAATGGAACTGGCAAAACAACTGGAGCAGCGCTGGAGTTGGTCAAGTCAGCCAAGTGTTGGTACAATGGGACGTTCTTCTCAGCAGCAGCGGCCTTGGCAGCAGCCATGGAGACACCCAAAACAGCGTTGGCACCCAACTTAGACTTGTTTGGAGTACCGTCTAGAGACAACAACAAGTCGTCAACAGCCTGTTGGTTCTTGACATCAACGTTGGCCTTGACCAAAGCTGGAGCAATGACGTCGTTAACGTTGGCAACAGCCTTTAGGACACCCTTGCCCAACCACTTGGACTTGTCACCGTCTCTCAATTCCAAAGCTTCGTGGATACCAGTGGAAGCACCAGATGGGACCATGCTTCTGAAAACACCGTTTTCGGTGGTCAATTCAACTTCGACAGTTGGGTTACCACGAGAGTCGTAGACAGATCTAGCGTAAACCTTAGAGATAGCCATTTTTAACTATTAAATGTGTTGGAGATAAGGATTGGTATGTTCCTGATGAGAGAAGAGGAATAAGAAAAATTAGGCGAATACAGTGTTCAATTAATATCTATCTACTCTTCCCTTATATAAGAAATTTTTCTATTCGTATCGACAACCACACCACATCATATTCAATGAATTTGGTGATCCCGCGCCTGGCTTCATTCTCAGCTTCCAGTGGTGTGCCGACGTCGTACCGGCAGGAGACGATTCGGCATCCACTCTGAAAAAAAGTGGAAGCCCTGCGCGAAACAGGAATCCAAAAAATCGCCCGCGGTGTTTCTGAGCGCCTGAGAATCAGGCAGCTCAAGGGCATTCCATATTTTGCGTATGCAGCTCAACCCTCATCGACTTCCTCTCAACGTTTGCTTCCATAGAATTCTATCGATTCGAATTGTTGCCATGCCCAGCCTGCCTTGCTCTCCAGATTGTTCCTTTACGCCGTAACCTCTTAGTCCGACACATGACTTCCTGCAGCATCCATCTGCAGCTCCCTTGACTTCCCGCGCCACGTTGTCCCTTATTAGTGTCCTTTTGCGCTTCCTGTTCTTTTGTTGGTTGCTTCCAGCGTCCTAAGAACCACCAAAAAGTAATCTTTGTCCGATGGCGTTGTGGCAGCTGGGAATCCCTGCCCAGACAATTACGTAGAGTTCGTGCGAGGGAAGCATAACTTTGTCTTCATTTTAGGAGCTAAATTATAAACGTGATCTTCACGTGAGAGCGCTAGGAAGTAAGAGCTACCATTTCGGACGATAGTCTGTCTGCCAACGTCGAAATGAGATTGCCGCCCACACGTGTCGAACCATGTTCGCTGTAGAACCTTACGCCCTCCGCAAATGCGGCACGGTGCTGTAGAAAACTATTTCCAACAACTTCAAGATAGTTATGGAGCTCTTGTAATTTGGTAATGCTTGTTGCCTCGTCGTAGAAATGATCTTGAGGCAGTTGATCACGATAGTGTTCATATAGACGGAAATCAATCAAGCAGAGAGTTTTCCGTAAAGAAGTGACGAATTTGCAGTACTTGTGAACGATTTCCATTGTCTGGAGCAACAGACGAACGAGCGAGCCATTCGTGAGAAGAGAATGCGACATAATGTTGGTGAGAAAGTCTTGAATGTGCATTTGGCAGGTGGAAAATTCAAAAGATGATGCATTCGTATTGTTAATGTACTGTTCGAGTATGCGTGACTCTGAATGGATCACATCAAGGGTTGTGAATTCTAAAATAACTTTCATGAATTGGGACATGTGGTTGTGCACAATGCGGCAGCGACGAATCCAACGGGCTACATCTGGTGCAAAGCCGGGGTGTCGCCAAATCTTGTTCTTGTTCAGCTCAAACCAGGTGTCTTCAAGAATTCTGTTGTAGTAATGGAGAAGTAGTAAGTAGCGCTGAATTAGCTGATATTGAACGATGTACGGTCTGGATATCAGCACGTTCAATGGAAAAGGCATTAGAATTTCGAACTGAATATGATGGATTGAGTAGCGTACATCATTCGAGCGTTCATCAGCACTACCAAAACCAAGGTCGCGCATTAACATGTCCCTAAGGTTATCGAAGTTGCGTGCCTGAAGTAGCTCTGAATTGTCTGAAGTAGTAGTATTTTCCGAAGAAAATTGCTCTATCAAACTGTAAAAACTATTTTTGTCCAATTGTAGATTCATTAGCGGTAAAATTATGTTTTCCGCCCCTTGCTCATCACATCTTTGAAATTGTGAAAACAATCGTTGTAACTTTATTTGAACAGAATCGGTTCTCATTTTGGTTAGTTCAACAATCCCCTTAGTCAGGAAGTTTTTGAAGAAATTTGCATTATTGAACAGCAGAAAGTTACGCTGAAGTTCCCTCAAAATATGCGGAAGGTTATACCCGTCATATAATAAAGTCCATGTCAGTTGATTCGCACGCTTATAGTGTGCATCGAGGTATAGAGCCAGTTGTGTACCTTTCGGTATCTCTTGGAGTGGTCTGATGTCCAGCGGAAGGACACTAGCGAGAGACTGGACGTCGCAACTGGCCTTTATTACGTTGAGCAATTTACCAGTCATAAGAATTTTGAACTGTACCTTTTTGTCAAGAAATTGCTCCATAAGCCCATCTTTTCGGATTACATATTGGGTATCCCAAAGTCTTTCGCTATTAAGGGAATTCACCATAGGTTCTGCGTTGAATTTTTTAACAGTGTCAGTGATCATGAACTCATCGTATGGATCCTCGAGGTCACCATTCAGGAGCCATTTTTGCAACATTGTACAATATTGATTGGATATGCTTTGGAATATGTGCCTCAGAAACGTGACATTATTTTGATTACCCCAGTTCTGTCGGAGGTGATTTTGCACAATCTGTAGAACTACACCACCTTTTGCGTATGGACATACTCTCGAATCAGCCATCAGTAGAACGCCGTTACTACCAGCGCCATTGACGTACTCTGTGGGCTCCTCGTCCATTTTCAAATCGTGGATGAAGTTATCAAAATCCACTGCGTTTCTATCCATCATCGCCCTCCTCGCCATTTCCCGACATATGTCTTGTACAAGCTCGTAGAGTAGCTGGGTCTTATAAATACACTCTTGATTTAATACCTGTTCAATATCACGTATACTAAACTGAACATTGTTTTTGTACTCGTACTCCACTCCTTCGACGAGCCATCGTAAATAGACATCGGTCAAGAATCTACGTATCTCCTGGCAGAGCTTGTGTAAAATAGATCCATAAACAGGCTGATTATACCACTCGCTAAAGTCTGTCAAAACCGAATACATCTTTCCAAGTTTGACTATCCGTTTTGCGAAGCTCTTTAATGATAAGTCCATGTTCTTCGCTATCTTGTAATCCGGGCCTCTGAGATCTTCTGCCGACCGTCTGTTGGGGTCATAACTATTGTTGTAGCGTATATAAACTCCTTCAAGTCCCATTAAAACGTTTAGCAGGTCTCTTACCACTAATGCCTCCTGAACTCGCTGTTCCTTGATTTGATCCAATGGATAAGACTTGACTTTGAGTTCTGTATGTGAAATGGGTTGATAATTGACCAATCGAGTTGTGTACCCTCCTGTATCATATTTTTCATCGAGTTTTACAACATCTGGAATATTTTTTGACTCCATTATGTTCAACTAGATGTGTCGATGTATGGAATCTTCATTGTTTACACAAAAAGCACGAGCGTTCGAAACCGCTAGCTTTTCTTAACATTATCACCGTTCATAATTACATACAATTTGAACCGTCGTAAAGTCGACCATGTACCGAAAAGAAAAGAGTTTAAATTAAAGCAGAAGATGTTCGAACTTTTAGGACCAAAAAGATATGAGGTAGATAATAACAGCTTCTCTATCATAACTTATTCATATTATACGCTTTACTCATGTATGGTGAAAAGGGTTTTTATAGTCCGCTAGATCGGTCGCAGATATCTTTCCTTCCAATGGATCTAGATTCCATCGATGAGAACGATTCCATAAGTGGCGAGGTGCGCGTTGAGAAGGCTGTTTTCAGCCAATCCTCCAGTGGAGCCTCGATAGCAACCTCGGGCATGAATACCATACGGATGGAGTCGTCTCAAAGTATATTCAGTGAGGCTCATCCCAACAGCATCCGTAGCCGCGAAGATGAAATGGAGAAATTGTCGAGCTTATCAAGCGTCTCATCGCATGACACTAACATGAGTCAAGATTTGCGCTACAAAATTGTCCTCAATTTTAGTCCTCGAGAGGTGAAACTTATCAGAGAATCCTGGTCCACCATACTTAACAACGAGGCACCGGGGAACAAACTGACAAACTCAATTCGGAAATTGATCAGGGACTTCGGACTTGCGACCTCAAAGTCGCTCGGTAGTGACGGTCGTTCGAGCTCGGCAGGTAGCATCCGTAGTGTAGTTACTACCTTGGGGAACAAGATGCGTGGAGGAGGCTCGTCTCCTGCTCCTCAACCTGCCAATACCAGTGCGTTCGCCAGTTCACATTTTTGTGAACAGGCTTATATGAACTTATTAATCATGGATCCTGATCTGCAAATAAGATTCCCCTCTATAAAGCACCAGTCTATCGCTTTTGCTGGGGTACTGACGATGGCGATTAATAATCTTGAAAATCTACCAGCCCTGGAGAGCTATCTTACCCACTTAGGAAAGCGTCACGCAAGAATTATCGGGATTCAAAGGATGGACTTTGACATGATGGGGGATGCATTTTTGAAGACAATTAGGCACAGATTTGGATCTTTTTCATCAGTAGAATTGGAAGAGATATGGTCGAGACTATACTCGTACCTTGCCAACAGCATGCTACAATTTGGAATTGACCCAATATTAAAAATCGACTACGACCAAAATGTGATCGTTTTCCCTGTTCCAGATTTGATTAAGAATACTCCTACCACAGTCTCTCCATTTGAGCCATCACTGGAATCCAATACTCTTCAAGACGATAATACAGCGATTCATTCCGTAGCTTCTAAGCATCCCACGATATTGGAGAAGGCTACCGAAATACCACCAAGTCATCTTTCGACAAGTCATTCGCGCGAACCATATATGTTTAGCGTAAGGAGAGGCGGACCTAATAGAGGTCAAAGAAAAGATACTAAGTCATCGTTTAATGGATTGACGAAGAGAGTATCGATTGCTAGGTTACTCGGGGGAAATTGAATAGCGAAAATACTTTCTGGTATAAGATTTTGAAAAAAATTCATATAGTTATGTATGTTGTTATTGTCTTTTTATTGGTGCTAAATGGCGACTGAATCATTTTTTTGGTATTACCCTCATTTACAGTCACGAAAGATTTAAATCTTTTTTTATTTCGCGTCAATCATAAAGTGGTCTTTCCTCCGACAAAGGTTAAAAGAAGTGAGCGGTCTATATAGCACTGCGATATACCGTTATAGCTTAACTGTAATTTTGGAACCAATAATCTATTACAGTTATTTTTGCTATCAAAGTAACTTGGGTAAACTTGTGAAAGCACCACGGAGGAAACTTTTCAATCTGCGCTATAATGGATATCCGACCCGATAAGGAATCGTCTCAAAATGAAGATTTCTTGGATGCAAAGTTCTATTCATCTTCTTCCATCGATAACTTAGCACATGCCCGAAACTTAAGAAATTCCATTCTACTTTCAGAAAGCTCCAGAAGTCTCTTCGCGGACCGTTCTTTGCATACTGAAGAATACGAAGAGGAGGAGGCTCCAGAAATCGACATTGATGATATCAACAAGGAGAATGAAACCCAGACAAAGGCCTTAAAAATAACTGCATCTCCATCTCTTAGCGCGCTATCTGGGATTCTCAACGAGAAATCTAAGCAAGCCGAGCAGAGAATGAGATCGAGCATGATATTTGATACATCTATTCAAGAAGAAGATGGTGAAGAGGAAGAGAGTTCAAAGACTAGCAATTATAAAGTGATATCTTCACCTAACTTGATTGACATAAATGATTCACACGAATATACACCTTTTCAAAAGCCTGCAGTACTTGCGACCGAAAAGGAGGAGCATGAGCAGCCTGATTTCCTGAGTACACCTGAGATACGAACTCCTATGGTCGATCCACCTACCCCTGAAGTTGAACCCACTCCTACCAACTCACCATCTCCAAATCAGACCCAGTCAAGGTTTACTAATACGAGTCATGAAGTGAATTCTAACAAAGGAACAGGAGCCAGCCGGCAGAGTTCGAGCCATAGTACAAATAGGCAACAACCTGAAACTTCAAGGGCATCACTAAATAAAAACTCATCGGCATCTTCTCAAAACATTTTAAAGAAGCAGGCTTCTGACGGAAGATCGTTATCTGGGAGCAGCACTATCTCAGATACAGTTCCAGGGAGAAACATTACACCAAATAAAGATTCCGCGAAAAAGAAGCGCAGGAGCCTTTTTTCGTTTTTGAAAAGGAAACCACAAAAATCTGCTTCTTTCGTGGTACCCAGCCAAACAACAAGCCAAATCTTACCAACGTCCTCTACGTTTTCAGTTGCGAAACAAACGGAAACAGATGACTACTACGAACCTAATAGGCTGACTAAAAAATCGTATAGCAGTGGAAGTCTTTTTGGTAATTTTAGGAAGAACAAAGACACTGGAGAAGAGACTGTTGATCAGTCTCTTGTGCTTCCGAAGCAAAGGAAACCACTTTCACAGAAGCTACCATCAGATTCCGGACCATCTACGAAAAGTGAAATCCAAAAGCGAAAACCTACACCCTTAGATTTCGAGCAAACCATTCAGAAGGAGGTTCCGTCGACTATTGTGCCAGAAGCTGATTCCGAGTTAATTAAAGTTGAGCAATCCGGTGAAAACCGATCTAGGATTGATTCTGGGGAAGCTTTGTTCCCTAAATCTTTAAGTGCACAAGAAGTGGAGTCCATTGTATCTCTTGAACGTTCTCGTTCATTGAAATCCAATAAGCGCAATTCCCTGAGTTCACATAGAAGATCTCTAACAGACAACATCTCTATTAATGCACACAACGAAGGCATGTTCGTTACTGAAGCTTCAAATGCGGTTATTTCCACACCTGATTGGAGTAAATCACCTACTAGTAGCATTCTGAGGAATGGTGCCTTCGAGTCAATTGATGGGTCGCCATCCAGAGCTTTTGTTGTTGAGGAATCTGACGAAGTTGGAGAGACTGTAACAAAAGATTCGTTGCAAGATAAAGAGGTCTCATTAAACTCACTGGAAGAAAAGATGAGGAACACTACAATTGAATCGCATCCTCATGATCAGACATCGAATGAAAAAAGAGAAAATTCCACGTTTTTAACCGATCCTGAAGACTCTGAATTCATGTCCGATATAATGGAATTTGCAAGTATCATTGATTTTGGAGAGGGATTGGATCTAAGTTTTGATTCAAATCCTTCAGAGCTCAAATATGAAACTCTAAATCCATCCTCACAAAAGCATGCTTATTCGATGCATCAAGCGGATCCTGTGTCGAAGGAAACATTTGACTTTGAAACCTCGCAATCGAAAGGACATCACGCAAAATTGGAACCGGAACCAGCGACTAAACCAATTGATCGTAACTTCCAAAATAACACAGAAACTTCATTTCATTCGAATTATGACAGCAGTTTTAAAGAAGATTTGGATGATGATGACGACAACTACGATGAATTTGAAGGGGAAGATTTCAATCAGTTGGAAGACACCATTCCCTCACCGTCAATCAATGGATTTATGCCAGCATCCCAGACAGGCATAGGAAGGCCCCTCTCTCTCTCTTTCAGGGGTCTTAGGGCTCCACAATTCAACAGCTCCACGGATGTTACACCTAATGGTCTACAGTCAACTGTTTTAAAATCGTCCAGCTTCGATACCAATAAAAAAGCCGTTACATTTTCCTCGAGAATTATTCTATATGACACATACAATGAAGAAGAGTACAACAGACACCCAGATATTGCGACATGTAATCAATTAACTCCCCAATTAGCTCAGATGATCAAAGAAGAGTTGAATAGCTTAAAGTCTGAAATGGAAATCCACGAGGATTCTAGATGCTACACACATTTTCTTTGAGTTTTTTTTTATCTCATAGTCATTTAATGCTATACACTAGCACCATGCACCAAATAGATATATTAGACTCTTTGTATTTATTATATTCGATGGCCATCATACCTGTTCATCATATCTGCGCGTACTTCCGATTTTCGTATGAAAAAATGAAAATGGAAAATTTTCCAGGAAGTAGATTTTGTAAGGCCTTCAAGCTCATCATCATTCAATCTACAACGCGCGTTGGTTACTAAAAAAATGGATAATTCCTCTAAATTTCCCACGCATGTGTATCCAGGACAGTTGATTTGCCCTGAGTTCGAGTTGGCGAAGAAGGATGACCAAGACCTTGTAATCAAATATGAAAGTGGATCAGGTGTCTCACTGTTAAGCTATAATTTAGAAGGCACGGAGATTAAAGCTTTAACTGCAACTCTTCTCGGTCGAGTAAAAGTTCAAGAAAATGATGGGTCTGAAATACCGAGTGTAAGTGATTCTGAAGAAAGTACCAAGGACGAAAAGGAAAGTAAATCTGTCAAAACTTATACAGTGAGTGTGGTAGATAGTGACTCCGAAGATAAGCAAGTTAAAGATGATTTTTCCAACAATCTACCGAAGGAAGGAGATATTGTACTGACAAGAGTGACCAAGATCACATCGCAAAGGGCAACTGTTGAAATTCTTGCGGTCGAAAATAAGGCTGTACCCGTTGACTCAGGGGTGGGTAGCAACGGAACAGGTGTGATTGCGCCCGGCGGTGGTGCAGGTGCAGCTACATTCTCAGTATCTCAGGCGTCCTCAGATTTGGGAGAAACTTTTAAAGGGGTAATTAGATCTCAGGACGTGAGGGCGACAGAAAGAGATCGTGTGAAACTTATCGAATGCTTCAGGCCAGGTGACATAGTACGAGCCCAAGTATTGTCGTTAGGTGATGGGTCGAACTACAGTCTCAGCACTGCAAGGAACGATCTTGGGGTTGTTTTCGCAAAATCTTGCAACGGAGCTGGAGGATTGATGTATGCAATCGATTGGCAAACAATGGTCGCTCCCTGTACCGGTCTTGTAGAAGCACGCAAATGTGCAAAGCCGTTCTAATGAATTGAATATAGGTTCCTTGGTCACGTCGATTAAGTTTATAGACAATAAACACTGCATTATAAAATGAAACTTACACTTCAATTGGATAAACTAGTTCTTCATGATCACCCCTTAAATCAAACTCACTCAAACCAACTCTCGCTCCAAACTTTTCGAATCTTGTGAGATAGTGACTTCTTTTCTTCGCCGCCATATCGTTAAACTTGGGCCAGTAAACGTCATGTTTGTATGTAAAGTCCAAGTACCCCCCATACATTTTGTCCAACTGGTCCTTAGGAACATATTTGGGGAATGGCTCATCAAAAACTAGCTTTTCTCGAGTCATAGGATCTATGAATGGGTGAATCATCTTTAAAAATGTCCACGCCAGCCAGGGAATGTTGGTTAGCAAGGCTTTTCCCAGACGTTCTGGATAGTGCGTCTGTAGAATATGTAAAACTTCTTTTCCGACACCAATTGGAGGTATCTTACTATTACCTGAAACCTTTGGAACATCTGCGTGATCTTTGAAATCAATTAATAAAGCTAGAGAATCTTGTCCTGGGGGCATGAAGTCGACGACCCTTTCCAGCATGAAGACCAAGTGCTGCACCTGTCTGTGCGAAGTTTTGGTGTTCTGTCTGCCTGGTTTCAAGTAAAGGATAGGTCTAGCATCATTCTCGTAGCCAAGAACTACCTGCTTACCAGTTTCATCTTCTACTGCAACTAAATCTGAGGTTATCCTATCACCATTTTCCTCTCCAAAATTACTAATGCCGAACTCCCGTCTCCATGCGAGTGAAAGGGTGATTCTTTCGATACAGTCCTCCAGTACCCATTTGGTAGCCCTCAAATAACGCAAAAAACATTCTCTCGTCAACCAAGCCTTCTCGTGTAACGACAATGGTTCCATTTGCTCCTCGGAGGCTTTTTTTTCCACCGTTGGAACTTTCAATTCTGGATCACTAAAGTGCTTCAAAACCTCCTTGTACATCGCCTTCTGCTCCGAGGTGAGCTCCTTGGGTTCCGGAGGGGAAATAGTCTTCGGCAAGTTTTCGATGGGAATATCAATCTTGATCAATTTCGAAGGATCTATCGCATTCTCGTCCTTTTTATCTTTGTTCCTTCTAAACATCACTTGCAATATGTGTCTACACAGCTAGCTTCACACAGCTGTAACTATTGTCTATAAATTACAAATGCTTAATAATTGCCTACTTGTTCGTTCAAGTGTGACACGATTTTTACCAGAGCCCTTTTATCTACTGAAAAATTTCGTCAATATCGCTTGCTTTTCGGAACGCGTTCAAAGACCGAACTTACTGCCATTGCCAGATTAGGTAATTTGACTATTTAACGATGAGTAGAATCGAATATATAGGCTTTTGATGGATGCTCAGAGTCCTTCAGGATCTGTTCCTGAGGAGATGGGGTTTTAAATATACTGGATTTCTTCTTATTAGTATTAGCGGAGTTCATTTTAACCACGACAGTTTTCTTGTTCTTTGGTTCCGTGGAAGCGGGTGACTTATTTTTCGGCACCATAGGAAGTTGTGGTTTCCGCCGTTTGAGAAATATGCTAGGTGGTTGAACCCTTTTAACCTTCGAGGGGCTTGATGGCCGCTTCTGGGGTACCGTCGGAGATGTGGTGAGTTTACTGTTTGGTGAAGTGAAAGCGGGGGGAGGGGACACGGGTGCGGACGGAAGAGATGTATGCAAAGCCGTTCCGACCTGACCACCGAATGCAACTCGCTTTACAGGCCGCCTTGTGATGTCAAAACCACCACTCTTGAAATGCAGTTGGCGTCTTTGATGCTCTTTGTAAGATTTGACGAATAGATCGGACCGATCGGCTAGCGACGACCTCACAGGCTTTGTTTTCTTTTCACAATATACGGGGTCCTCCAAAGGTACTATTTGATTTCGCTGCTTTTCCTGCTGAATCTCCTGCATCCGAAGTCGTAATCGCTTCGTACTTAGCTCTTGTTTTCTCAAAACCTCATCTTGATATTTGAAATAGAGCATCCGTGAGGGAATTCTATACTTGTATGTATTCGGGTCCTTTCGCACCGCATACTTTAGAAGGTTTTTAATTAGCTCTTCATCCTCTAGAAGTGCTGGGTTATGTGACTCCACGAAGGATAGGTAAAATCGGCATATGTCATCCTTTTTGCGTACAAACGTTTCCTGAACATGCAATGGGAAATCTTTCTTGAGCAATTCCAGCCAAACTTCCTCGTCCTCAAATATGAGAGTTGAATTTGTTTCTTCTAGCTTGCAGAGGTGTTCAACTTTCAACTTCATCAGCACATTGCGTATCAGCCGATAGGGCACATTAGCAACGTTTTGTAGAGCAAGATGGTTCCTCATAAGACTTATCTCACATAGCACACTCAGCTTTTCAACTTTGCGACCCTCATCTTGCATTTTGCCGGTTTTGATATTGAAACGTCTCGATTTCCGCTCTGATGGCTGTTTCTTCTTTGTATATTATATTCTTGTTGGTTCTTAGCGGTTCTAGCTTAGTACCCTGTCGTCCTATTCTTTTCTTTTCAACGAGATCACTCTCGCAACATACGTATATAAATGATAAGTAGATAAGTATAAGAGACATAAAATCAAACCAGAACTCAAGCAGGGGGAGCAAGGCCTCTCTTTAACGAGCATGAAGTCGATTTCTTTGAGCTTGCCTCAAAAGCAAGCTCAAAGATCTTTAGAATTGCAATAATGAGGTTTTGAAACAACTTTAACACAACAGACCCTCTCTATCTGAAGTCCACTGAAGAACAAACGGAAAGTATTAACAGTATTTCGATGCACTTGTATTGCTTACATTATACATTTATTAACTCTTGTATGTAATGCTTCTCGCATTATTATTGTTTTTGTGTAGACAATGTGTATTTCATAAAAATCACTTTGAAGAAGGGCCCAATAGTTGAAGCCAACGCATAAACATTAGATTAAATAGGAAACATATGTAATGGACGGATATTTACCGCCGCTATTAGTGAGGGACATGCCCATTTACGCATGACAGTCGACATATTTACAAAGCGAATTATTACCTATAAGGAGACTTACCGAAAAAAAATTATTACAGTAGGGAAGACTATGAAAGGTTTGTTGACAGTTCCTCCCGGATTCTTGAAAGTCACATTTATCTTCAGGTCGAACTTATGCCTTCCACTAAAAGGAAGATCTTCCTCGATTCTAAACCAATTAACTACCCGTTGAGGAGAAAAAGCCCCATTATTCAACTTCACCTCATCAAATTTCATGCAAATGATAATGCAGGAAGCTAACACACCCCACGGTCAACCAGAGACTATGAGCATCATTATTCACCGCGCAAAGCTTTAATAACTGCAGGTCTTCTCATCATATGCTTGGTCCACTTATAGACTTCCGGGAATTCCAGCTTAATGTTAATGCCTATTCTATCAACCACGTTATTCCATGGAACAAATGACAGATCAGCAACAGTAATTTTATCGCCAACCAGCCATACAGGATAGTCAAAGAATCGGCTTTGTGAAAGCGGGGTAGTACCAGCAGAATACGCTGCCGCATTTTCTGTATCGAGCTCCATAATTAGCGCCTCCCGACGTTCAGCTAATGCCATCTCAACCACCCCATATACTCTTCTCACCTCGTCTGTGTATCTATCCACTGCACTTTGAATTTTTTGGGAGTGGAAGTATCTGAAGTGCAGAGCCTGTCCAATCATAGGTGCATGACCAGAGGTTTGGAAGAAAAGCCATGCTGTGATTTGCGACTGATCTGCCAAATTATCCGACCACAGCAGCGGTATACCAGTCTCTCGGTAATATCTGTTCACTAAATGCAATATAATGGCACCCGACTCCCATATTGCCAAATTGTCCATGCTGTGGTCGATGAGTGCTGGTACCCGTGCATTGGGGTTTATTGCAACAAAATCTGGTGCCCGATGCTCTCCCAAATTGAAGTCAAGAAAGATGGTGTTGTAAGGCAGATTAAGCTCACTGAGCACTATTGCGACTTTGAACCCATTTGGTGCCGAACGATGCGAGAACAATGTGTACCCTTCTTCAGGCTGATTTTCGAAGAACTTGGTGATACGCGAGCTATCGATTTGTGCAGGCCCTGTGAATTGCTGCTGCTGCTGCTGCTGCTGCTGCTGCTGCTGTTGTTGCTGCTGCTGACGCTGCAGCTCCGCTTGCTGCGCGTTGAAGGAGTTCCTACTAGCTTCATCCATCAGTTGCTGCTGATTCATTCGGCTGTGAAAGTCGATACTAATATTACTTTGATCGGTTGTCGTGTTGCTGTTCCCGAGGTTCACTTGACGCAGAGCGCTCGACAGGTTGGAGATAGCTGCATTTCCTGATGGCCCTGGTCCATTAGGCTGTCTATTGCAATTATTACTCTGCATACCCACTGAATTTTTCAAGTGCGAAATATGCTTTTTTCTTATTATTCGATATAGTTGTAGCTCTCTTGCTACCCCAGCACCACCTTTTCAATGCGAAAATTTTCAATTTTTTACGGGATGACTTTGGACGCCAGCTTGGAAAATGCTCTTTTCGTACGTGGTGAGTATTTTCTATGACGCAAAACGTCGCGCAGAGCCGTGAAGTTAAGCACGTGGTTACGATAAACATGCTTTACGGCCATGTTAACGGCAATAATACTACGATAATGCTTGGTGGAGATATGTAATGATGACTTTTAGCGTTTCTGCTTGCGAGCTTTGGGCTTTTTCAGCTTACTGGGCGGCGCCGCGTGTCCGCTTGAATTAATATGTTTGAAAAGTGCATTTCTGCTCTGGTAGGTGGTGCGGCAAGTACCACAGGAGTGTTGTTCAAGTTGAGTAGTGTTGGAAGATTGTGGTGGTGATTTTGCTTTTTTCTTCTGTTTCTTTTGCTTGAACTTCGATGTATCCCAAGCGTCGCCATCGGATTCATCATCACCGTTTTTTAGCGACGCTAGAAGCTTGCTGAGTTCATCTTCACTTTCCTCCTCATCGTCTTCGGATGCCGCTGAGGCTGCCTGCGATGGGGATGTCTCTGCCTTAGGCGTATTTTCAGCCTTGCTCGTCTCTTTGTCGATTTCGGAAGTTTCGCTCTCCACAGTGTCACTCTCGATTACGTCGTCCACTTCTATGAGGACGCTATTAGTAACTTCGACTAAGGAATCATCTGACGAGATGTTTTCCAGCTCGCGTTCTATCTTACTCAGTTCCTCATTTATGCGATCGAGCTCCGACATATTTGGAGTGGTTTCATGCTCCTCCAGCTCTTCATTTTCTACTGGTAATTCATTGACTTCCTCACTTTCAAACTCATCTGCGGAATTGAAATCATCGACGTCCGATAGCTCGTCTAGGCCCAGGACCATACTATCTTTTTTCATCTCCCATTTCACCTTCCGCAAAGTCTTCTTATGTGCCTTGGTGTTTGTGTGGTTTTCCAACTGTTTCTCAGATTTGAAATTTTTGTTACAAATGAAGCATTCATATATCACAATCTCTTCTTCACTATCGTCTTCCCCAGTGTTCTTATCGATAAATTCATCAAAATGCCTCTCTATTTCGTCCCACTCCTCCTGATCCACAGTCTGCCAGCTCTGTAATTTAAACGGGTCACTTGCATTCTTCAAATTGGCCTGTCTATCTTTTTCAATCTGTTTCCTCAAATCTTCTTGTAGTTTCTTCCGTTTCTCTTGCTCGAACCTCTTGGCTCCCTCTTTCATTCTTTTATCAAATTTCTTGATAAACGTTACAAACCGCTTGACAGTTTTATTATACTCACTCTTCGCTTGCTGCCTCAATTTTTCATTTCTTTTGTTTATTTCCCTCTTAGTCCTTCTATCATAATTCCTTGAGTACATATACTCATCTTTCCAGCTGAAAGTTTTCACAGTACCGAAGCTACCCCATTTCTGATAGAAGCCACGCAAATACTGGAAATCGGTAGTGGAATCTCCGAACTGAGGGAATAGAGTACTTTCATTCATCTTTGAATATTTGTCGAAGGCTTTTTTGTATCCCATAGAATTGATTTCAGTTTCAAAAAAGTCATCCTGATACTTGTCAAAATTGCTTAAACCTGCTCTTCTACCTGCTTTGACCTCATCACTAGCTAGCTTGGCGAATACTTTGCCCGCTATCTGGTATAGTCCTGCGGGGGTGTCATCGATTCTTGTGTATAGAGCTGAATTGAAAAATTTCAGTAATTCATCGGTTGTTATACCAGTTACAGTTGCATCAACCTCATATTCGTATTCCTCGTCGTCTGCATTAGGACCGACGTCGTCGCTTAAAATTTGATTCTTATGCGAATCATACCATGCACGCTCTTGTGGATCTGACAGAACTTCGTAAGCCGACCTAATAGTTGCAAATATCGCTGTAGCTTCCTCAATATTACCAGGATTCTTATCAGGATGATACTGTAAGGCTTTTTTGCGGTACGCTTTTCTGAGATCACCATCAGAGGCATTGGATTCCACACCCAAAAGCTCATAATAACATATCTTCATTTGTTTCGACAAAGATATTCAACAGAAGGCGACGCAAGACAGTCTTTTAAATATTACACGAATGATACGTATCAACTAAGCGTTTAATCTGTCTATGCTCTTCTCATCTAAAAATCTTTCTCGATGCTGATGCTAAAATCGATGAGGCCGTCTACGGAGACAACAACAATCTCGACGAAACTTCCTTGAAAAGATTCTCTAAGCATTTTTCGAGAGGATGCTGGAGGTGACAGATGTCGTGACTCTCTAGATATTGACCATATGCAACGTTTGTGAATCGTTTAATATCGATAGCCTCATGAAACACCAAATGATGGAGCCTATTGGCGAAATGAAGACACAAACTCTTCTCATATCGCAAGTATATGCTAACCAGAGGGATTTTCTTGGTAAGTTTTGATAGAGGAATTTCTAACAATAGGATCATGTTTTTTACCATATTTTGTAGCTCGACGAGATTTAAATTATTTACCGCGTCAACCATCAGAGAATCATATATCCTCTTGGTCAGATGAGGGTGAGAGTGGGATGCAACTTGGAATGTTATCTTTTTGGAGGACTTGCCTTCGATTTTGTTTATATATTGGTGCAACTTGGCAATTTCGCCCTGAAATTCAGCTATACTCTTCTGCTGCACGTCCAAGAGCTCATCTTTCTGGTTTAAACTTTGCTGACCACTTTCAAGCTGCATTCTGAGCTCATTCAATTGTTCGGTCAAAACATTATGTTCACTGATAAGTTTTTCAATTTGAGTGGAAAGATCAAGTGTCCGTTTTTCTTCTGCTTCCAACTTCGAATCTAAATGTTTGTTTTGTTCATTAAGAGTGTGTTTTTCTTCAGCGTAAGAATCCCTTTCACTCGAAACAACAAATACCTTATCATTAAGTTCTTCTAAAGACCTTTCTAGATCTCTGATAGTGACCTCACTTTTAGCGAGTTTGAGTTCTAATTCATCATTTTTAGCCGCTAGGCGTTCTTGCTCTTTTTGAAATACGTCCACTTTTGGCTTCCATTCTGTTTCTATTGTTTTTGTCAGCAATTCCAATTCATGCTGTGAAGCTTCAAGTTTGCTTTCGACGGTTTTTCGGTCAAGAATGTCTTGCTTCGACTTGAAGCCGATAAACTCGCTATTTGTCTCGGTAAACATACCGTCTAGAGAGAAATTAAATTTGCATTGTTGATATCCAGTCAAGATAAGGCTACCAATGTCAACTTCGAAGAGTGAAACTCCTACCAAAAATTCTCTGAATTCCTGCTCAGCGAATTTTTCTTTCTCGAGATTTTCTCTCAGTGACCGCGATTCATTTTGTGTAGTTTGGCATTGAGCCTCTAATTTTTCGTACTTTAATTTAAAATGAGAAAGTGCTTGCATTTCCTTATTCCACCTTTTCTCGGCACCTGCTTCAAGTTTTGCTATCGTTTCGTGCTGCTCTTGTGAAGTACGTTTCAATGTGTCAATTACATCGAGCATTCCCTTGTTTGTTTTTTCCAGACCATCCCTTAAACTCTCATGCTCTAAATGTTGCTTCTCTAATATTGAGATCTGCTTTTTTAGACGTTCGCATTCTGCTTGCAACCGATCATTAGCTGACGAAAGAGCTGAGATTTCCGCTCGATTCCCTAAAACCACTTTCTCTTTCTCTTTTTGCTGACGATCGATTTCCTCTTCATGTTCAGCCAACTTTCTTCTCAAATTATCTATTTCCTGGCAATTAACTACCGCCTCTTGTGTTAGTGAAATTTTACACTTCTTCAAATCTTCCATAGATGATGACAGTTGCACGTTGGTCTCCTTAATATCACCCAATGCCTTTTCAAGTTCTTCAATTACTTTACCAGAGCTCTTTTTTTCCATTTCAAGATTTTCAGTGGCTTGCCTTAATCTTTCTTCCAGAGTATTATTCACCTCAAGCTTGGACGTCACAGTTTGCAGCTGCTTTTCCAACGTGTCAATCGTCTGCTGATATTTTTGTGCATCATCCTTTCTATCCTTCTGGAGAAGTTCTATATACTCACGATGCTCATTTAATTGGTTGTGTAGCAAAGATATGACCTCTTCTTGTTCGCTTCTATTGCCTCTGAGTCTCTCCAGTTCGTCATCTTTCTCCCTTAAACTCTGTTCAATTTTCTGGAACTCTTCTTCTTTTCTGGATTGGGATTGCTGATATAGCTCTATGTCTTTTTTTAGTTTCGATATTTCATTAAGAATGTCATTGTCGTTTTCTGCTGAAAGAATCTCCTCTTCCTTTTCATTTTGATTTTTGTGTGTTTCCATGAGTTTGTCCTTTAGTATATCTTTTGGCTGCTGTTCCCTGTTGATATGCGCTGATTTCAATGGCGCTAATGGAGTCGATTGCACTAAGAGATCACTTATTGTTTGACTTCGCGAATCATTGTCCGGTGGAGCTGATTTCATAGGAGTTGACGTTCCTAAATTAGGTTCCGCTGTGGATGGACGTGCTCCAGACGGAATCCTCCTTATGTTTGCCTTGGGACGCGTGTCATTGGAGACTTGGCCCACGTCCGTAGATGTACTTGTTGTTGTATCAATCGAACCGACACTGCCATTGGCATCTGCTTGCCTTATGCCTCTCTCTGCATCCATTTCGCGGGCCATAGCTAACGCTTTTGTTTTAGCATTAATCTGGTCGATAAATGAGCGAAAACTGAAACCTTGCTCAAGTCTTAGTTTGCCCATCGATACGCCCTCATCGTTTTCGTCAGACTCGCTTTCATCATAATCAAATCTTTCTTCCTTGGAATTTACTGACAATGAGCTACTTGGAGGCACTTGGTAGATGTTTTTACTTAATCCAAGCATTCCTTGAGTTGTCTATTGTCGTTGTCTTTTCAAAACAAGCTGTGTTTGTTTTCACTTCGATACATCAATTTTGTCAACAGGAATTGTACACAAATCAAGGATTTAAAGACGCGAAAGCCACAAAAGCCTTCAAGCTATAAAACAAAGCTACATTGACGATCGCAGATATGACAGTAGCCACGTTAACAACTTATGGGGTGAATTAATTAGAGAAAGAAAGATTTATAAATGATTCTAAGAATGGCGCAAACCGGATTTAGAGATCTTCACTTTTGCTAGGATAGGCTCACTAATACCTTTATTACCGTGTGCACCAAGACCTTGCCCACTGGACCAGCCTAGTTTTTCTAGCATTCTTCTACCAATGTTTTCACTACCAATAGCAGGCGCATTCTCACCTACCAGCCCGCCTTCCTTGACGCGGAATTTTCCCTTCACTACTACTTTCTCAGAAGCAATTCTCTCTTCCATCGGCTTCCGGACGTCAATTCGCATAAAAAAAGGCCTCTGCCGGGTTAGCTGATCTATGTAACCGTAGCTTGGGGTGCTCCACTTTGTCTTTTTCACTTTTTCCACTATAACGTGGGTCTTACCACCCTTACCGGCCTTCTTAGTTTTCATGAAGTAGGCTGCTGCAAATTTAGTAATAGTCTTATTACCATGGGGATCTAGTGGAGGGAAAGCCATCGTTGGCTTGTTTCGAGAGAGGAACAATTCAAACTCATCTTTAATATTTTGCACATGAAACCCATAAGGATATTTGAGAAATAAATCGTCAGATTCTTTATTTGCTTCTGAAATGAAATCTTCTTTGTTCTTTTTCTTGTTTGCTTTCTTCTCCTTTCTTGTGTTAAATTTATCTTGTAAAACATTTCTTAAATCCGCATCTAAATCAAGCTGATCATCAAACAGTAGTTTTCTCTTATTGCCTCTGCCTGCAGTTGTGATACTTTTGGTCTCGAAAAACTGGTCGCGCACTTTATCGTATTTTGCAGAGTACGATATAAGGTCATCTAGACCTTCTCGCATATCCTCAGTAATAACTTCATGCTGGAAAACCTCGCCATCAGAATAGTTTACTTCAATGTCGCTATTTTCATCTTCATCTTCATCGCTGTCATCTAATACTGCAACCTCTTTGGCGATTCTCTTTTCTAGCTTGTCTTCCTCAGATTCAGCGGGTATTATAGAATTTACAACAAAGTCGAGATATGGGCGAACACGATGTTCTGGAAGACCCAACTCCATAACAAACTCAACGAGGTCATCATGGTCCACCCACCGGTATTCATGATCACCAAAAAACCTGAAGCTACCCATGTAGTACGAATTTTCAGTGGCTCCAAGTCGAATATTGGTAACTGTAATTTCCGAAATATTGATTGTGAAATCTTCTTCCATAAAACCGAATTCAGGCGCCTTTTCAGCGTCAGACGTTTCTTGAGAACTCTGTTCGGAAGTTGTGGACACATCACTCAGTGTTAAATTCTTGATATTTGTAGATATGGTGGGCGACATTTCTTGTGATCCTTTTCCCTCAGATTTCCAGTGCATTTCCATTATATTCTCCTCACTATCATCATCATTATCATGAAACTCATCCTCGGTATCAAGCTCGCGCGCATTGTGAAGTTCATTCCCATAATTAAAACCATCATCATCACTAACTTCAACATCGATTTGATCTAGTTCAACGTCTGAATCAGCATGATGGAACGGATGTGTCTTTCCTTTCGGGAGACTGACAAAAACCTCCCCATCTCCATCTTGAGCTAGGTGCAATTCAGTTTTTCCAATAGTAATACTGTTTTCAAAATTTACATTTGATGAACGAGGTTTAGTGCAGGGATCATCTTTAACACTTACAGTCCTAATATGCGAGGGCTCGCGATCTGGCTCTTCATCAACAAAAAAAAGCTTTTCATCTGGCACCTCAGACATCATAAACTTCTTGTTCTCCTCCATCGTAGAAGTAAATAGAATTGACTCCGGTTTCGGATTCATGACATTACCCTCAATATATTCCAATTCAGCAGCATCATCTGCTCTTTCATGGATCGAAATAGAATCATGATGTTCTAATTTGGATTCGTTCTGCACTCCCTCAGGCGTTCCTTCAGAATCGGTATCATTGAATAATGTTTCATCTCTGGCATCTGATATTTTAAATGTCTTGGCACGCAACTTTTCAATGAGATCATGAGAAGGATCATATATTTCCACAGCTTTTATAAAAATGACAGGGCGTTTCCGCAACGGCAGGCTGCTTTCAGATTTATCTATATTATTCTGTGCTTTACCTGGCCTGAATCCACCCATTCTCATAGAATCTTGTTTATAATCATGCCCAAAGTAATAATCCTCCATCATGTGAGGATTGCTTAGATCGCCACCACCAACGTGCAAAGTATTAATATTGAACTCAGTAGATCTCTTATTGTTGGAGCCAAACTTTGCTTTCCCTCTGAATCGTCCTCGTCCAGAACGCCGGGATGTCCCTCTTGAACGATAATGACTGTGCCTTTTTGCCATGTTTAGTCGTATATTCTCGCGTAGTTTGCTAAAAGAAGTTGTTTGAGATTGAAAGTTCGTTATATACTAAATACACAAGAGCGAAGAAACGGGAAGACAGTAGCAATGGACTTCCTCCAGCGAGTATCCCAAACGATTTGGGAGCTTGATAATGATGATACGTATAACGATTTGATCGTGCTTGGTCAAACTTATCCTTCTACGAAAACCGGAGTCGAAAGTGAGGAGTGCGATTCGAACACACAAGGAGTTTTCAATCAGCTATTCCACAAGGGGTCGCCATGGAACCCTGACTTTCTGTTGGATGTTCAGTCAATTCTCTATTTCACTTATAGAACAAGATTTGAGCCTATACCCAAAGATAGGGGAGGTCCATCACCAATGAACTTTGGAACGCTGTTCAGGGATAATCCCTTAAACGCGATAGAAAATGCAATCAATCACCCCGATTGTTTCTGCAGTGATATTGGTTGGGGTTGCATGATAAGAACTGGGCAGACATTATTAGCAAATGCTCTTCAGAGGGTTAAGCTAGGGCGATCGTACCGAATTCATACTGATGAGGAGCTCCTAGATGTCGGAGAGCTTGAACTAATCAGCTGGTTTGAAGATAATAGAAGAGCGCCGTTCTCTCTGCACAAATTCGTAGAAAAGGGTCTTCTGCTATCGGGTAAAACTCCAGGGGAGTGGTTTGGACCTTCCGCTGCATCTCGAAGCATCCAAAGTTTGGTTCACGAATACCCTAACTCAGGGATAAACCATTGCATAATTTCGACAGATTCTGCCGATGTTTATGAGGAAGACGTTCAGCCTATCTTCGAGAATGATCCAAATGCTAAGGTGTTATTGCTTCTTGGAGTCAAGTTGGGATTGAATAATGTCAATGAGTTTTACTGGCAAAGCATAAAGAATATTTTAGGATCAAAACAATCCGTGGGAATATCAGGAGGAAGACCTTCATCCTCCTTATACTTTTTTGGGTTTCAAGACGACTACCTTTTTTACTTAGACCCCCACACTGCGCAGCTGGATTTGAGCGCCTACGCTTCAAATGTGGAAAAACATCGGTCGGTCCATTCTGCCAAATTTAATAAAGTACATCTCTCTGAACTCGATCCATCCATGTTAATTGGTATTCTCATCCAAGGCTCCAAAGACTGGGATGACTGGAAGTCTCAGGTAGAAAAATCTCAGATTATTCACGTCTGGCCTAAAAGGCAGCAAGAATTTTATATGGACGAAGATGTTGAAAGTTTACACTCGACTGAAGCCAAAGATGCTCTCATCGGAGGGGATTATGTTGAAGTCGCTCCTATCATCCAGCAGGCTGGATCATCAAAAGATGACGAATTCCAAGACGTTCAGTGTAAAAATCAAAATATCGTCGTAGTTGGAGAGTTCGACAATAGTGCTACTGATATGGAGGTAGAAAACGTTCTTGTAGAACAGGAGACAGTTCCGATCCAAGAGACTGCGTCCTTTTGAAGTATTTATCATATAGCTTAAAAAGTAGCAATAGCCGGGTAAGATATCGAAATGAGTTTTCCAACATGAGAACAGAATTATTTCTGAGATCGCAACTTCTCATGACAAAGAACAAAAAAGCTTGCGGCGAGACCATCTTTACTATGTCTTCTGAGCGTAATAAGGCCTTGAAGTTCTGCACTGTGTGTGCCTCAAATAATAATAGATCGATGGAATCTCACAGAGTGTTGAAAGAAGCGGGATACGATGTGTCGTCCTATGGTACCGGATCCGCAGTGAGATTACCAGGACTCTCAGAAGACAAGCCCAATGTTTACCCCTTCGGGACCCCCTATAATGATATATATAATGATTTGCGTTCGCAATCAGTCGAGCGTTACAAATCAAACGGTCTACTTGATATGCTTGATCGTAATAGAAAATTGAAAAAGGCACCTGAAAAGTGGCATGATGGAACAAAAGTCTTTGATTTTGTATTTACTTGTGAAGAAAGGTGTTTTGATTCGGTCTGCGAGGATCTCATGAGCCGTGGGGGTCAATTAAATAAAATTGTGCACGTCATTAACATTAACATTAGGGACGATAGCGAAAATGCAAAGGTCGGAGGAAGAGCAATCCTAAAGTTGGCCGACATGCTTTCGAGCAAAGTAACTGAGTGTGAAAAAACCGGTGAACCTTTCGAGGATTGCATTATGGATATCCTAACGCAATGCCAAGAAAGGTATCCTCAACTTCCGTTGTTGTATTCTCCAGCATACTATTGAAAATTCATTGACGATTTTATAATTACTTACAATTAGAAAAGCCTAATCTAGGAGTGGGTGCGCTTGTTTCCCAGAAACCCAAACTCGCACAGTGTTGCGATCATCCCCATTGAACAGCCACTTGGCTAACAAGTCTTGAAATTTCTCCAAGTTCTGCTTATCCTTATCCATGTCGGACCAAGTTGTATATTGCCATTGGAAGACATCAATATTAGACTCAAGACTTTCTAAATCCACCAACTGTGTGTCAAATTGCTTTCCTACATCAAAAGTTCCAATTTCATTATCTAAATTCATAACCTGAGCACCTCCAGCGGAGGCTAGGAAAAGTACCTCTTCCACTGAGAGTTTCGCATGCTCCTTTTTGTTTTCATCTTCTTTTCTCATCGCTAGATGTCTTGAAACTAGTAATGCCTGCCTGGCGGTTGCCAAAATGCTGGCACTGAATCCGCCTGATAAATCAGTCCCTAAACCCACTTTGATACCATTGTCCAGTAGCCACCGGACTCTACATTCTCCTGACGTAATCGAAGAGTTAGAGATGGGGCAGTGCGACACCCCACAATCCCGTTTTTTCAATAACTCCAGTTCCGCATCTGTGAGATGAATGCAGTGTGCCAGCACAGTCTTCTTTGTAAGAAGTTGGTGCGCGTCATAAACGTGAGTGTAGCTCTCACACTCAGGGAAAAGCTCCGAGACCCACTTTACCTCATTCGGATTTTCGTCAAGATGTGTCTGGACGTGTAAATTCTCCTCATTGGCGATCTTACCCAACCAGCTCATAAGTTCTCGTGAGCAGGCGGGTGCAAATCGCGGTGTGATTATAGGCTTGATCTTATCATCTTTGAGCGTGTTACCAATGTGGTCCATGACAGCATGGAGGGAATGCTTGCACTCCTCGGGGGATTCAATGTAGTAGTCTGGAGCATTTCGATCCATGCAGACCTTACCAATGAATGCCCTCTGACCTCTTTCAGAGCACATATCCGCCATCAATTTGGAGGATTCCGCGTCCACCGTTGTGTAGTAAGACGCCGTCGTTGTTCCGTTGGTCAACGTCTTATCCAGAGCCTTCTTATACACCATACGTGCAACATCCAAATCCTTGAGCGAGGCTTCTAATGGGAATGTGTACTTCTCCAACCAGTCCAGCAATGTGGAGGTCCCAAATATGCCTGCATTTGGGTACTGCGAGGCGTGCACATGTGTGTCCACAAACCCGGGGAAGAAAAACGATGAACCTTGATCTTGAAATGTGTCTACCACATCTACCTCCCAAGGTTTCAGGTTGGGGTCATACTCTAGTGCTTCTTGGAGAGGATTTTGAGATTCTCTCTTGATGAACCTTATCACTCCATCGATGGTAACTCCTACACTCGTACGAGGACGTATCCTTAATTCTCCTAACGTTGGTGTGTCTACGAAAGTCCCATAAAATACTTTGAATTTAGTTTCGCTTGATTTAATTGCCTCCATTGTGTAATCTAAAGCAATTGATTATAAGTTCTAGTAAAACTATTGCTCTAAATAACTCTTTGTTTTATATACTTTCTGAGGGGATGATATTTGATATCGTTTGTCCGAATTCCGGCCGGATTTGCCGACGCTGATCTGCGACTAACAAGAACGCTAAATAAGGACGCAGCTAACTGGAAATTAATCCGATAAACGCGAAGACACTCACGCATGAACAGTTAATTCTCTTGCTAACGGAAAGTCACTTTGTTTTGGATGTTGTCTTCCGCGTAATCGTTCACGACGTATGTTGGTTCCAGAGGCAACATTCACAAAGGCGATGGGTTCCAAAGAGAGGATTTTCTCGCCTTCAAGCGGTTGAAAAATCATGGATTAGTAGGCAACGTTTCCACGGTTATGCGAACCTGCTCCGGCAACTATGGCCAATAGATGATTAGTGCTTCGCATCTTCAACGAAGGGAACGGCTATCTTAAATTACTGTCGCCGATAGCGATAACGTATGAAACAACTCCGAACTTAGGCAAGGTAACCACTTTTAAGAATTAAAGAATGGCCAAATTTTGGTTCATCTGAAATAGTTATCCAAACTCTTCTGCTTCCAGAACAATCAAACTTCTTGGCGTACTGTCTTGTGTCGTGGATGTCAGGGTGCAGAATTTGGACATAAAAGTCACCATCGGCTATATGGTGTTACGATTCTACAACTGGTAAGCAGTCACCGACACAGCGTTATGATTAAGAACTTAACAATTTTGGTGCTGTTCCTAAGCACTTCGTTCCTGGGTCTAAAGCTAATGCAGGCTGAAGGCGAGGCTATGCCCGTTAACCCCTCAGTCAGCTCTTCTGGGAGCGCAGCGCACGTGCAAGGCCCATCACCTTCCTGTCCTCATGGTATGAAAGACTATTTGCCCAGGAAGTTGGGCTTCACGGGAGCAGAATTGCTGAATAGGATTAAGGAAAGTACCACAAGCAGCTCTTCGCAAAAAATGCGTATGTCTCTTGGAAGTTTGACAGCAAATGCAAACTCTTTGTTCTATGACAACTTCATGAAACTCGTGGGACCGCAGTTTTTGGGATCATGTGAGCAGCGGGTGTGCGCTCCTGAGAGGTCCACAGTGAGCAGGCTGACCAAGGACGTGAATGTCTTGAAGCACGTTCACTCTCACAACGACTACTGGCGGTCACTTCCGCTCTTTGAAGCGCTCAGCTATGGTGTTTCTAGTGTAGAAGCGGATGTCTGGCTTGTGCAAAACAACACTGAGTTGGCTGTGGGCCACAATGAGGGGTTTTTGGAAGCAGAGGTAAGAAATCTTGAGACACTTTACACTGGCCCATTACTTTCCATGCTAGATGAAGTAAATTGTCACGATTGGGACTCCGACGAAAAGTATGGAGTTTTCTACAACTCTCCAGAAACTACACTGTACTTGTACATCGACTTCAAGTCGGAAGACAATATCAGGACTTATGACTTACTTTTGACAAAATACCTGAAGCCACTGATTGATTCGGGTTATCTTTCTTATTTTGATTTGGAAACTAATTCTGTGATTTGGAATCCCATAACGATAGTGCTGACAGGCGATTACCCCCAAAATACGACTGTATTGGACCACGGTAACCAAGACGGTTACTTCCACTCTATGCAAAGGTTTGCCTTTCTCGACGCTCCTTTGCACAAACTGGATCAAGTGGACGCCACGTTGTCAGTTGTAGCATCATGCTCGCTGGAACAATTGCTAGAATCCTGTTCTTTTTCAGATCCATACGCACAACAGAGCAGTGAGCTTTCTCGCGAACAATTGGAGTGTATGTGGCCTACTATAAAACAAGCACACGAATTAAATCTGAAAACGCGTCTTTGGGGCGTGCCTGACTGGCCCCGGTACAAAAGAGATAACTTGTGGAAGCAGCAATTAGAATATTTGCAAATGGATTTTCTCAATGTCGATGACCTCGCTGCTATCTCAAAGTTCTAAACTGTTATCTAAAATACATGTAATCCTCAACTTACGCACATCTGCTGATCTGCGATATAAATTGATGGAAAGAAAAATTTGAAGATCTGCTCCAATTTCTCTCCTCATACTTCCTTTGAACAAAGGGAAGGGTGATACATCAAAAATTATAAGACCCACCCGTCTCTACCAAGTTTGAACATCTCTATGCAAATACTTCTTGACAGTCACCTTCTCAACGCTCCTACAATTTTCCGCCCTCAATAGGCCGAAGCCCACCAAAAGATTCAAAAAGCAAAAGCAAAGGAATCGACAGTCTTTAACTTGAAGAAAAGCACGTAACGAGAATCCAAACCCGACTCCCCCAGCACTGACTTGTAATCAGTGCCATACTTCTCCAGGCAGAAGAAACAAAGGGCTTTAGCGAGCAATGACATCCGAAGACATCAATTGCAAGTAAAACGAGGGAACGAGAACGTCAGCAAACACATCTTTCGCTAGTATGTGCAGTACGAAACTGAGCAAGGGAACCCGTCTCCTGTTAAAGACAGGCATCCCTCCAGAAAGACATATCCGGTCAGTAGGACTTCTTGATCTCCACTGACGTCTTAAGGTAAGTATGAGGAGGGAAAATAAGATTGAAACGGCCGAAGGACAACTCCAGGAAAAAGCCAGCACTATTTATACTTTTCAAAAAGAAAATGAACATGGAAAAAAAACGAAAATTTTTATAGAGAAAACCGGGTAACTATCACTGCTAAGCATAGGAATGGTGCTACTAATGGACACTCTTGTATATTACAAAAGTATCTGACGCCACTTTGCCAGTCTATATACATTTGTACCAACATTTCTAATCAGAACATACTCAGAATCATAGAGAATTGCCTCTTTTGCATCGATAAAGCCTGTACACGAGCCCTTTCCATTTCCGAGATGAAAAGTTCCGCTCGTGACAAATCCAATTAGATTCTCAATTCCAGGAACTGGCTGGGCGGTATCATGGTTGCGTTTGCCATTGGAGCGACTCAAAACACTTGCAATGGAATCCCAATATTTTCTATCTTTCTCAGGAATTGAATATATGCGCGCATTGTCCTTGGGATGCCCTCTTTCTTCAAATTCACAATCGATGGCAATTACAGGTACGGATGAAGTGACGACGGCAGTTTGAGGAACTTGGCCAAAATCGAGAGGTTCCTTAGACCATGATTCAAGCCTTTTGGTAATGACAGTAATTGGCAAATGAGTGCAGACGGAACCATTTTGCCTCACATCCTGATATAACTCTATGATGTCATTTAAATACTGTAGTTTCCTCACACTGTTTTCATCAAATTGCGTAGTTCTGTTTACATCAAACATTTCGATGTCCTCAATTCCCTGCGATTTTAAAAATTCTAATCCGTTTCTTAAGACTTGAAGCAGCTTCCAATCACAACTAAATGGGTCTCCGATCTCTCCTGGGAATGCTACTGGCTGCTCAATATGAACGTTGGGTATTTTCCCAAAGTTCACACGTTTCCCTGCGGGTTTCCTCTCCCATACAGCCTTATGCGAAAGCTTCTTATACGTTGAATTTTCGTCAAGGCCGACTCTTGTGAATGGATAATCATCAGGGAAATATAGCAAATGCTTTTCATATGTGAGCTGTTGGATTTGACGCATGCCCATATGATAAACGCGAGTTACACGATTTAATTGATACCACAAAGGTAACAACCAAAACCATGGCAACATCACTACCCAGCTATTTTCGCGAGGTTTCTTGCAAATTAGCAATGGGATTTCAGAGTCAACGTCTGCTTTGAAGGGGATCAAGTTCTTTCTTCTTAGATCGCCCAATAGTTTGTGGCGTCTCATAGCAAGTTGTTTCAAAGTTTGCTGATTCCTATAGGATTTTTCACGTCCTTCAGGTTCCGTGAGTTTATTCAAAACTTCAAGAATCTCATCCTGAGGGTAGTTATTTTGTAACTCCAGCATTGTGTCTACATTTGGCTTTGCACATTTTAATTTGCGTGGATTTGAGAGATGTCTGGGATCCATAGCGTGGAATGCGAAATTGGCACGTTGAGGTAAAGAAGAGGTGTCTGAAACATAGGACATGTTTCTAAATTGATTATACGATTCTGAATGATGACAGCCTCTTAACACCTGTGACAATGCATTCAGAGATTTAGCACCAAATAAGGTGATGCTACCAATAGAGAAACGACAGTCCTGAATGACCAATTTATTGGGATCATGAACAGATAGCTGCTCAAAAACTTGATCGTAAATGGCGGGGTGTAATCTAACAATGACCTTCTCAACAGAGGCCCACAGCAAGTCAATTGGACCAAGTGGTGTTCCTTCAGTATCATAAACCAGCCCTTCAAACCAATACTGGCTGTTTCGGTATTTACTGAGAGATGCACGATTACAAGTGAGTTGTGCGATCACGGATTTGAGGAACCCAGCGTCCGGTGAGAAAAGTATCATTGTACCAATATAGCTTGTATCACAGCACATAGATCCATCTGATGCCGCAGAGTATCCTCCAATGCGATGTGTGAGTTTGAAGCATTTCTGAGTGGGCGACCAAGGAATTTGGTAGCCCCATCTCTTACACATATGAGAGCGTTTTGCGTTCCAAACATGAGTGGGAAGCCAGGTGAAATTTTTTTGACGTTTCATGTACTTTACCCGACCAATTGATTTGGATGCAAGCTCGTTAATTCCGGTGTTGTCGTAGCTGCCCATGGGGTTGTTCCTCTCGGATGCTCTGTGACCTTTTCGATTTTCTTTGAGGGTACTTTGCATAGCTTTGATACGTGCGCGTAGTTTACAATTAGAAGCAGTAACTTGTGGCGGCAGTGCTAGCTTCATGGACTGCGATTTGGCTGCCAATCGCAGCAGCTTCACTGCCATGCGGGCTTTGTAAAGTTGCTTCGCGGTGAGTCCACGTTTGTAACGACTGGCGCCATCTTTCGTGCCCTTAGTGACTACCTGATCGCTTTTCTTCATCTCACGGAGCGCGCGGTTGCGCATGCGCTTGGGTATACGCTTAACATTATGCGATGCGGTTCTGCGACGGAGCTTGCGAGGCAGGCTCTGAAATACCCGTGTGGACGAGGCACTTTTTGAGTTATGAATAGCAGACTGCAGCTGTTTTACCTCATATTCGCGTGAGGCCATAAACTCTGGGACCTTGAGCATCGCTCCTCCCTCCGAAAGTTCTGTAGGTGCATTGCCAGAGGCATCGAGCGCTTCGGCGCGAATGTTGCGCGCATTCTGCAGCTTCTTACGCTTAAATATTTGATTTTTGCTTTGTGGTTTTCTGCCAGACATAACACAGAGTTATTTAACCGAACAGCTGGCGAATAGCAGACCAACACTTCGAAAGCTTGCCCTGATCATCGAGAGAAGCAGAGCTTAATGATATTGAAAAAACCTTACACGACACAACGCGTACATAGTGACATAAACACACATACGAAATCATCTGAAATCGTCCTCAATGACAATGACAAAATTCAGAACCATGTGAAAAATATAACTGTCTACGAAAAAATGTGGCGCCATTGAAGCCACATTCGAAAGAATCGCTATTTACGGAGCCACTCCTTTGTCCGCCTTGGTCGTTAGTGGTGATGCCTGTAGATTTTGCATCCTATACGTATCTAGCGATACCGGCACTTCCGTCTGTGAGTTCCGTTGGGTTGCCGGAGTCAATGCTACCGCCAATACATGTGCTTAAGGACCTAATTGAAGCGATTTAAATGACGGCTTCAACAGTGTAGTTCTTCAATTGCAATCTGAGATAAGACTTAGATCTAGCTGTGTGCTTCGCCAAAACTACAGGCAACGAGAACCCGACTGGGGCGGCTCCGATCAATTTGGTAACCACGTACGAGCGAGTCTAGTTGCTCGAGCTCTAATTTGTTGATATTAGTTCACAGCAGGAGTCATATCTTCTGGAAGGGGCCCACGGGATTTTCTAAGGGGTCGGAAACGGAATGAGCGCACTCAATAATCTCGGCACTATAGTGGAAAGTGAGATCGAATATAAATAATCCGGAAGCCTGACTCAAAAATTGTGGTTGGGTTGAAAAGTATTTTAAAGTACTCTTTTGGAAGGTTTCTTGTTGTAAATAATTTTCTTTTCATTTATTTAAATTTCAAGTTCTTTCTTATCTTTTATTTATTCTCTTTTCTTGGAAGTTAACGTAGATTTGTACGTTCACATACATTAGTTGAAGCAGATAAGCGATCTCACAAATGGTTAACGTTGTTCTAGGTTCTCAGTGGGGTGACGAAGGTAAGGGTAAGTTGGTGGACCTGCTGGTCGGCAAGTACGACATCGTGGCACGTAGTGCCGGTGGTAACAACGCCGGGCACACTATTGTGGTGGATGGTGTCAAGTACGATTTCCACATGCTACCCTCCGGACTGGTGAACCCTAATTGCCAAAACTTGATTGGTAACGGTGTTGTCATTCACGTGCCCTCTTTCTTCAAGGAACTAGAGAATCTAGAGGCCAAGGGCCTTAAGGGTGCCCGTGAGAGACTATTCGTATCCTCTAGAGCACACTTGGTCTTTGATTTCCACCAACGTACGGATAAATTGAGAGAAGCCGAGTTATCCGGTCAATCCAAGGACGGAAAGAACATCGGAACTACAGGAAAGGGTATCGGTCCTACCTATGCGACGAAATCTTCAAGATCTGGTCTCAGAGTTCACCACTTGGTCAATGACGAGCCTGAGGCTTGGGACGAGTTTGTCACTAAGTACAAGAGACTTGTGGCTACTAGACAACAACGTTACGGCCCATTCGATTATGACGTTGATGAAGAACTGGCTCGTTACAAGAAGTACAGAGAAGAACTGAAACCTTTTGTTGTTGACTCGGTTGTATTCATGCATGATGCCATCAAGGCCAACAAAAAGATCTTAGTTGAAGGTGCTAATGCTCTGATGCTTGACATCGACTTTGGTACCTACCCTTACGTTACCTCTTCTAACACCGGTATTGGTGGTGTTTGTACAGGTTTGGGTATTCCTCCTAGGTATATTGACGAAGTTTTCGGTGTCGTTAAGGCATACACCACTAGAGTCGGTGAAGGCCCATTCCCAACCGAACAACTAAACGAAGACGGTGAGAAATTGCAAACTATTGGTGCCGAATTCGGTGTTACCACTGGTCGTAAGCGTCGTTGTGGCTGGCTAGATTTGGTGGTGCTGAAGTATTCTACTTTGATTAACGGTTACACCAGCTTGAACATCACCAAGCTGGATGTTTTGGATACTTTCAAGGAAATCAAGGTTGGTGTTTCTTACTCCTTGAGGGGTAAGAAGCTAGATTTGTTCCCTGAGGATCTGATCACTTTGGGCAAGGTCGACGTGGAATACGTCACTTTGCCAGGCTGGAACGAAGATATTACGAAAATTACCAAATACGAAGAATTACCAGCTAATGCGCAAAAGTACTTGAAATTTATCGAGGATTTTGTTGGTGTTCCAATTGAATGGGTTGGTACTGGTCCTGCTAGAGAAAGTATGTTGCACAAGGAATTAAAATAAATAGGATTCTGATCATGCAGTTCTTTTTCTCTTTTAAAATTAAAGGTTTGTAAATTGCTTATATATCGAAATAGATAAGTGAAAAACACTGAACAATGCTAAACAGACTCTTGCTGCTTTTCAAAGAGACAGTATTCGAGGTACTGAGCACCGTAAATACTGTTTACTTTCTCTTTGAGTGGAGAGGGTATGCAGTCGATCAACGATTGGGGTAATAAGAATGCTCTTCCAAAGAACTTAGATTGTGGTATATCTACAAATGGCTTGCACACCACTGGTCTCCAATTCTCTGGAAGTGAAGTGGGGTCTAGTGAATCTTTCTCATTATCACTTTCCAACATGAAATCAACATAAAAATCGCATTTTTCTAAGTCTGTTAACTTGCCAGGGTCAAATTTATTTTCATTGTTCATAGAATCAGGTATTGCACGTATGCTTTCAAACAAGTCGTCACTCTCTGCGAAATCTCCTGGTAACAATCCATCAAAGCCAGAAGAGACAAACCCCAACCGATGATTGTCAGGCAAGAAAAAAGATGCGGGGAAATGGTACCATTCACGACCTACACAAACAGTTTTGGAATCTTGATTGTCGGTGAGATTTGAATAAACCTCGAGAGGAGCCGTATAGTTCTTCACAAGTGCGCATATCCTTAAAAGTGATTGTGCAATAACTGCAGCACACAGTCCGACGTGGAAAATCCGCTGCACCATCCTTGGTTTGCGAATAAGTTCTGTAAACATTGATGTACCAACACTGGCGGCTAGCGTGATGATCCCATATACGGGGTATAGAAATCTTTCCTCTTTATGGGGCTGCATTAAGAAAGTTGTCATCCACGCCACCAATGACATCCAAATAGGCCACAGTCTATAATTAGACAAGCCGATCAGACAAAAGAAGAGAACTGGCAAGGGGAAATTTAGTAGCAAGTTCAAAAAATAATAGAACCATGGCTCAACGCCGAAAATATTTGGCCCACTATTTTCATTGGCTCCAATGACATTGTACATCACGATATTCCAAGCGACTGGAGTGAATTGGCCGTAAAATAAAGAGTCAATGGAAAACACTGCGTATAATACAATCACCAAGACAATGCTGCTAACTATACCTGTATTAACAGATGTTTTGAATTTGTGGTTAAACAAAAAATGAAGGACTAGAGGAACGCTTAGAACCAAAACGAATGGCCACCCCAAAATGCCTCCAATAAAATTGCACAGTAAACTTAGAACAAAAGGCGTAGAGGAACCCGTCGACAGATAACGAAGACCGAAGGCCATACTCCCAAGAAATGTCACCATTCCAAAGGATGAAGGAAGTAACTCAACGGAGGCATGAAACCATCCTGCATTGAATAACTGAAAGAATAACCAGAATTGAGCAGTAGTCAATGACAAAGTACTTTTAATTTCTGTGAAGAGGAACAGTTCCATAAGCAGTGTTCCCAAGCCTAACAAGGCTCTTGCTAGATAGAAGGTAAAATAGCTTGGGAAATTGTGTTCCGCAGAATAGTCATGAAACGGCTTCAAAAATCCATACAACGGCAGTAGGAATGCCCACGACCTGATCGAATATTCCGGTGAATACTCCCAAGTTTGTTTACCGAATCCCCTTAATAGAAAGTTCAGAGGTTCCCAATAGTTGAATGTTTCATCACAGTCTGATATAAGCGAAAAAAATGGCTGTACATACAACCTTGAGAAGGCCAGAAGGGCAAATAAAACAATAGTAATCAAACAACCCTTCGCCATTTCGTGAAGCCTGGTACCTGTGCCTTAACTTTGATTAACTAAACCGTCCAATCCCTGTTATTAGAGCAAACGTGCGCCAGTGACTAAGAGCGAAGGTGACTTCTAATCAGGTTTCCGTTCTTATTTCCGGTGTTTTCCTTTCAGTCAACATTTCAAAACGCGCTTGAGTGAAATTTCACGGAACCAAACCTATAAAAAAAACAATGGTAATCGTCAGGAGATCACCAAGCGATTATAATAAGAACATCATTCCTCTGCACATAAGCAACGAATAAGATGACTGGAAGCACAGCACCTATAAAGATTACAACTAAAGAAATCGCTCAAGATTTTTTGAATCAGTATGACACTTTTCTATTCGATTGTGATGGTGTCTTATGGCTCGGGAAGCACCTTTTACCTCTCATTACAGAAACTTTGGATCTGTTGACTTCTTTGGGTAAAACGCTGTATTTTGTTACCAACAACTCTACCAAATCAAGGGCGGCTTACACCAAGAAATTCGCATCATTTGGAATTACTGTCAAGGAAGACCAAATTTTCACGTCTGGATATGCTTCTGCGCTTCATGTGCGTGATTCTTTGAAGCTTACTCCCGGTGAGGACAAAATCTGGGTTTTTGGTGAGAGTGGTATAACGGAGGAATTGGCTTTGATGGGTTACGAATCACTTGGATGTGACGATCCAAGACTCGACGAACCCTTTGACATCGCCACTTCACCATTTATCATCAATGGTCTGGACCCCAAAGTGAAGTGTGTTATTGCTGGGCTGGATACCAAGGTCAACTATCATCGTTTGGCTATAACGTTGCAATATTTGCAACAACCAAGCGTTGAGTTTGTTGCTACGAACATTGACTCTACCTTCCCCAATAAGGGATATATTCTACCTGGAGCAGGATCTATGATCGAGTCAGTAGCTTACGCTTCTGGCAGAACTCCGGCTGCCTGCGGTAAACCAAATCCCAACATGCTGAATGCCATTGTCAAGGCCAAGAACTTGGACAGATCCAAATGTTGTATGGTCGGAGATAGATTGAACACGGATATTAGATTCGGTGTTGAAGGTCAATTGGGCACGCTTTTGGTCCTTACCGGTATAGAGACCGAGGAGAGAGTTCTTAATACTGCTGGCGATCACCCACGTCCCAAATATTTTGCTGAAAAGTTGGGTGACCTTTATGAACTTACGAACTGATATAGTTTAAGGAATTTTTCAGATGATAAAGAAATGATACCGATTATATAAAGAGATGTGTAGTAGAAGATATGATAAGAAATTTTGTAATTCTTTTACAAGCGTATTACGCATTTTGGAAATGTAATACTTGGGATTTTTCAACTCGCCTTTTCGGCATTTTGAAAAGGAAACCAGTTTGGCAGGCGATGCGTTGAATTGGAGCATGAACAAATCAAAAAACGAGCAACTTATATCTTGCCCCATTTGCAATGAAAAAATACCTTATTCTATCATAAATGAGCATTTGGATCGGTGCGCGACAGGATCTTCTGGGGCGAAAACGACCAAGAATCAACCCACGTTAACCAGCATCTTAGGAGGCAAACGCAAATCTACGGGAGAACCCGAGGTGATCGACCTTGCAGATGAAGTTAAGGTGACAGAAAAGGACTCGACACCTCTGCCAGTGACGAAGAAGCCGCGTGTTGAACCCGAGGACCTTGAGCAGCGGCAGCTACAAAAGATTATACATTTACCCTTGAGTGAAAAACTGCGGCCCAAAGAACTAGGAGAGTATGTGGGGCAACAGCACATTTTATCATCAAAGAGCGGAGTGCTATACAAATACGTGAAGCAGGGCACGATTCCCTCCATGATTTTGTGGGGGCCGCCCGGAGTGGGGAAGACGTCTTTGGCACGGTTATTGACCAAGACTGTGAACCATGAGCAGAAAGGTAATATCACATACAACTTGGTACAAACAAGCGCAACCAAGGCCACAGCGCAGGAGCTGAGGAAGATTTTCGAAAACTCCAAGAAGGAATTCGCGCTGACGAAAAGACTTACAGTAGTGTTTGTGGACGAAATACATCGGTTCAACAAGGGCCAACAGGATTTGCTGTTGCCACACGTGGAAGCAGGCGACATTGTACTCATTGGGGCCACAACGGAAAATCCAAGTTTCCAATTGAACAATGCGCTGATGAGCAGGTGCCAGGTGTTTGTGTTGACGAAGCTGGATACGAATGAGATGTGTCGTGTGCTGGCGCGAGGAATAGCCATGCTGAACAAGTGTCGGAACTTGGTGTGGAAAGTGGGGCATCCGTTGAAACTACGACGGGAAGTGCAAGAGTTTATAGTGGACATTTCGATGGGCGACGCGCGACGCGCACTGAATTTGCTGGAGATGATTGAGGTGTCGACGCGGAATAGAAGCGAGGAGCTGGAAGAAAAGGACGTACGAGAGATAATCAACAACAACGCGACGGAGCTGCGGACGTACTACGACCGACAGGGCGAGAATCACTACGACACGATTTCTGCGTTCCACAAGGCGATTCGCGGCAGCGATGAGAATGCAGCGCTGCTGTACCTGGCGCGCATGTTGCAGGGCGGCGAAGACCCGCTGTACGTGGCGCGACGTATGATTCGCATTGCGTCCGAGGACATTGGAGTACTGGACCACATGTTGCTGCCGTTGGCGGTGGCTGCGCACGACGCGGTGATGAAAGTGGGACTCCCGGAGGCGGACCTGGCGCTCGCGCAATGCGCGGTGGCCTTGGCGCGCGCACCCAAGTCGGTGCAACTGTATCGGGCATGGAACCAAGTGAAGGCGATGTTGGCCGAGAACAGGTACTCGCTGGCAAGCAGCGAGGTGCCTATGCACCTGCGGAACGCGCCGACAAAGCTGATGGCGGAGTTGGGCTACCACAAGAACTACAAGTACAACCCGGACTACGTGGACGGCCAGGTCGCGCAGGAGTACTTCCCAGAGGAAGTTCTGGCGAAATGCGGGCCGGAGGAGCTCGCGTTCATGGGCGGCGAGCACCTGGGAACGCAGCGCGACCCGGATCTCGAGGCCCAGCAGGACCGCGACGCCCGAAAAAAAAGCCAGCTGTAGCGGGACAGACCAGAAAAGCAGAGAAAAGCAGCGTCGAACGAACGACAGCGGAGTGCAACAGCGTCGTGTAACAATGTAGTAGTTATTTACCAGTAATATACAGGGCAATGCAGCCTAGAGTTGCGTGTGGTAGAACTTGGACAGCTCGCGGCGCACAGCCGCGAACTCGAGACGCGCCTGCTCAAGAGTCTGGCGGATCAGACCGGCGAAATGCGCGTCGTCCTCCTGGCCCGACACCACGCCCTCGCGCTTGCGGCCATAGTTCTGGATACGCTCGCACGCCCACGCGATGCGCTGCAACCCAAGCGCGGCGGACGAGCCGCGCAAAAAGTGGCCTAGAGACGCAAGCTGCGTGAGATCGCAGCTGCCGTCGAGCTCGGCCTCGATGTGCGCGAACGTGGTTTCAGCCTGGTCGATGTACTGGATAATGAGCTCTTTGGAAAAGTCGGGATTGTCCTCGTCCATGGACACGATCTCACTGAGAATCTCCCAGTTGATCACATCTGTAGGGATGGGCACGGAAGTGGGCATTGTGAGAGAGAAGCGGACGGCAGGATAGCGATTGCGACGTTTACAGACGGAAAAACCTGAACGTGTGTTTTTTCCAGTTGTGCGGCTACTGCCAAGTTCAACGCGCCCGTGCTACATAGGGTGGTTGTTGGATGTGTCGCGGGAGGGTTTACGGGAGAGCGCGATCGAGCGGCCAGCTCGCGTCACTCGCGACGGTGCGCGAGCGAAGCGAGCGCACCCATCGCTGCAGGCCGTTTATGCAGCCTGGAAGCTGGAAAACACGCGACTGGCGACTATGCACGCGACGCGGTTGCAGCGGGCTGAGCCTGTGCAGCGGCTGGGCTCGTTGTGTGGCTCTTGGCCGCGCGCCACGAGCCATGCACTCTCATAGAGACGCAGCGGCTCAGAGCTCACCACATCGCGAGTGTTTTTGCAGCTGCGTCGCGCAATAATGGGCCCATTGGCGATCTGCGCTTTATTACGGCCGGTTGCGGCCGCGCAGAGACGCCGGTAGCGGCGGCTGCAGCAAAGGGGGAGCCAAGGCTCAGAAACGGCGGGGGGCGGCGCTTGGCGGGCGGGCGGGGTTAGCGAAGGCACGTGGAAGGGGTTACCCGGCGCCGGACGTGCCGAGCGACAGGGCAGCGGGACGCGTACAGAGTGACTCGTGCGAGGTGAGCGTCGTTACCCGGACACGGCCGTGCAAAGAGACACGTGCATCGCGACACGCGGACGTCACGGTCTACGAGCGAAACCCGGCTCGTCCCGTACGAATTCGCCCCTCGCCTCCGTCCATCACTCCGCACGGCACGCACCGCCCGCACCGCCCGCCACCCCTGCAGTCCCCACGTGCCCACGCCGAATAGCTCATCTCGTTATCGGCGCGCGACCCATACTTAAAACCTCGCACCCGTATCCGCCGTCCCACGTCTGCGCGCGCAGCGTAACCACCCCCATGAAACGCGCCATCCTCACCACCAGCCTGTCACTGCTGCTCGTCGTGTCCCTGGGCTACTCGTACGTCTCGTGGGTGCTCACGGCCCGCGACCTGCCGCGCATCGCCACCGCACGCTCCGTCGAGGCGCGCGAATCGCAGCGGTGGGTGTTCGTGGGCGACGTCCACGGCATGTACGATGAGTTCGAGCAGCTTCTGCGCCAAGTGGGCGCGGCGGGCTTCGAAGTCGACGCGACGTTAAACGTCGCGTCGCCACCGCCCCAGGTCGTGCTTCTTGGCGACTTCATCTCCAAGGGCCCACATTCCGCCAAAGTGCTCGAGTACCTGTTCGCGCACCTCGACTCCACGCACTGCGTGCTCGGCAACCACGAGGTCAACGTGCTGTTTGCATGGCTCAACGCCCACGAGTCCCGTCCCGGCCGTCGCCATTACAACCCGGTCGCATTCTCCACGGAGGACTACGTGCCCCCGGTCGAGGACGTCAACGCGCACCACCACCGGCTCGCGCGCCAATTGGGACACCGCGCGCTCTCGCAGCTCGCTGCGCACTGTTCCGCCTCGCTGCGCGTCCAGCTCGCCCCAGGAGACGACGCCCCGGAAGGCAAGGCCCCAAGAGACAGCGCCCTCTACGGCGTGCACGCAGGCCTGCTGCCCGAGCACCTCGACCTGGAGTCTGCGCCGCTCAAGGAGCTCACCAACATGAAGTACGTGGACAAACGCGACCACTCGCACACTTCCAAGACCCCCATCAAGCACGGCGTGCCCTGGTACAAACTGTGGGACGCGCTGCCCGCATCCGCCCCCACCGTGCTCTACGGCCACGACGCCAAGACCGGCCACAACATCCGCCGCCACACCAAGGGCCTCGACACCGGCTGCTTCGCAGGCGACCGCCTCACGGCCCTCGAGTACTACTTCCACAAGGGCCGCTGGCGCACACGCGAGCACCACGTCCTGTGCCGTGCGCCCTAGGCCACCGCAGCCTCTCGTATCGCTACATAGACATTTTACCAAACGCACTACTGCCTTTGTTTCGAGCCAGGGCATCACCTGGGATTCAGCCGCGCGCTCACGCGACTTCCACGTGATCCCGTGATGTGTTACCCGGCCTCCAGCTCTCCCCTCCGTCGCCCCCTCGTCAACAAGACCCAAACCGAAAACAAATACAACAACAAGGACATGGGTTTTTGTCCAGTTGGAAAAAGACGCCACCCAGACACTCGAGACTAGGTCTATATTCGTATCGTTAGCAGTTGTGAGCCATGTCGCAAGACGATTTCGAAACACCCGCTACGGCTACGTACGTTGATGCGTTGGAGGAACCAATAGCTGGAAGCCTAGAGGTTGGTGACGCCAAAAAACCCGATGGCATCTTCCACGGGCTCAAGTTCTTCATAGCGCACGATGAGAACCGCCAAGAGCTATCACAGTTGATTGAGACCCATGGCGGTTTGATTAGTGACGTGCTACCTGGTGGTGGATCCGCCAACGAGTTTGTGGTGTCGCCGTTCAACACCACCAATTTGCCCACGGTGACGCCCACCTACATCAAGACTTGCTGCGCAAACAACGTGCTGATGAAGTTGCAAAGCTACTTGGTGCCCTTTGACGAGTTCCGCGCTGTAATTGACACGCAGCTCCAAAACGAGGACAAACGCAAGGATGGCGAGGCGTCTCACGACGCCTCCCGCGACCTGGCGGTCGACCGCAAGCCTGTTGCGCTCGCAACCCACGACCCCGTACAGTCGCCTGCTCAGTTGGATGATCCGCTGCATCCTCAACCTGACCAATCGTCCCCAGAGCACGCCAATGCCCCCAATGTTGCCACGGGTGCGGCTGCAGCGCAGCCGTCGCTGGACCAGCAATCACAGCAACAGCAGCCACCACAACAACACACACAGCGACAACAACAACAGGAACAAGACCCCAATTCAGCTCAGATCCCCCCCGTGTCTGTCTCTGTCAACTCTACCAACAATGCGGGCTCCGCATACGACAACACGCGCGCGATTCTGGCAAGAACAAACATGCCCTCTCACAACAAGGCATCGTTCACTGAAGAAGAAGATGAATTTATCTTGGACGTCGTCCGCAAAAACCCTACAAGAAGAACCACCCACACTTTGTTCGATGAAATTTCCCACTACGTCCCCAATCACACGGGTAATTCCATCAGACATCGATACCGTGTTTACCTTGCAAAGCGCTTGAATTACGTGTATCAAGTCGATGACAATGGCAAGTTGATAAGGGACGAAAATGGCAACTTGATCAAAACCACCGTACTCCCAAAATCTCTGAAAAACAAATTCACGGCAGAAGAAGACTACTCTCTCGCCATCGATGTTAAGAGACAATTTTACCGTGATTTGTATCAAGTTGACCCCGACACGGGCAAGTCTTTGATTACTGACGATGACGCACCAAACGAAGCCGCTAGGAGAGCCATGATAATGGATCCTAACAGTATGCCTGGATCCGAACCTGCTTTCCAACAATATCGTATCGGAGAGCGTCGTGGGCCTGTCCCCAGAGAGTTTTTCAAGACATATGCAGAAAAACATCCAAATCATACTGAAAATGCCTGGAGGGATCGATTTAGAAAATTCTTGTTAACTTATGGTATTGACAAGTACATCGAATACTACGAACACGAAACTGCCCAAGGAAGAACCCCTGAACCTATGAAAAACATGACCAATAGACCCAAGAGACCGGGTGTCCCAACTCCAGGCAACTATAACAGTTACACAAAGAGGGCAAGGTCTCTCACTCACCAACAACAACAGCAAGCAGCTGTTACAGCAGCAGCAGCAGCAGCGGCGGCGGCAGCTCCAGGATCCACGGATCCTAATGCTGCTGCCCACTATTCTATCCCAGAAGGTGACTTGCTAGATGAAGAGACTTTGAATTTCATCTCTGGCCTCAGACGCGATCTATCGAGAATCGAATCTACCAATGGAATGGCTTTTGAATACCCTCAAGATATTGCCGAATCCATCAGAAACGACTTTACCAACGAGGAAACTCAATTCGATAACATAGATCCGGATGATATTTCTTTCCCACCTCAGCTGGCAAGTACAGAATTATTCATGCCTCATTTCTTTCATTTCAGCTCTACTAGGGCATTTTTAGAAAAAGTCAATGAAGTCATCTCCAGAGACTATGAACCATCTCAGGCTGAAAAACTGGTACAAGATTTGTGTGATGAAGCTGGTGTTCGCAAGACTTTCAGTACTAGCATTTTAACAGCACTATCAGGTGATTTAATGGTTTTCCCAAGATATTTCCTTTGTATGTTTAGATACAATGCTAATCCTCCTATGAATGTTCCTGGTATATGGACTAGAGAGGATGATGAAATGCTAAGGTCGGGCAATGATGATGACATCAAGTCACTGACTCGGAAGCACGGTGTTGGTAGAATCGAAATGAGAAAACGGTTCATTGCCAGTGACTTGGTTTGAAAAAAAAATAAATTGTGTTATAATTCAGGTTTTTGTATTACTATTATTCACGCTCCTTGATTTTGGTTTATGAAATCTTCTACGTTCACTCTTTTATCCTTGATCGTTTCATCAAACCGCCTTTATGCCGATATATTTTAATATGCACCTTTTGTTACTCTTTAAATTGAGATCAAAAAATAATGCCTTTATTTAGAGCATTAGTAGAACACCGTACATACTTATATCGATTATCTAACCGAATCTTTATTCCTGGGACCTTCCCTTTGAATTACTAGCTTCTTGGACAACAATAACTTTAAATTATCTGTCACGACTGATTCATGAGCAACTTGGTCATCTGAAGATGAAGCTGTTACTGAATCGTTGACAACATTACCCTCTGCCGTGAGCAGCGTATACTCATTAAGCTCCGTTCTTCTTTCGAGAATATCCATTATTTTCTTAAACTTAATGAATAACAACTCACTTCTTATCATCAGATCACTCCAATCCATTGATCCCTTTAATTCATTAAAGTATTTTAAAACCTGATCAAATTGTGTCAAATTCCTCATAACAGGCTCACTGCTTTTTTGCAAGATCGCTAACATGAAAAATAGTTGAAATTGAGAGGAATAAAAGTCTGTCCAGAAGATTTCCCAAATACTGCAGGCATCTTCAAACTCAAATTCTCTTTTGAACCAGACTATTAGCATACGAAAGCAAAAAAACAAATTGGAAGAATCACATTTTCCCAAATGTTCGCTTAATTTTGGAAGCATTAGTTGGCATAAATCCGTTAAAGTGAGCATTTGATCACGTATTCCGGATTGGTCTCTTAAAAAGTTCCTCTCCATTCTATCCATGAAGTGAACAAAACACCAAAAAGAAAGCTCTTCATCTTGTAAAACGTAGTATATTGGCGAAAGAAGGTCACACATACCTTGAACATACCCTAAGTCATTATTGAAGAGATTGTAGCTGAGTAATATACTTCTCAAGCTATTCAAATGTGGGTTTTTAATTGTCCAGCCTTCGTTATCAACAACATCAGCACAATCCTCCTGCCCCGAAGATTGCAACTCCGGTTTCTTGCCATCTTCTGTATTATACTTATAGAGAGGTAAGTCTCTATCATTTCTTTTCACATCCTTTTCAATACGCAGGACTTGATCATGCCAATAGTTTTCCTCCTCTTCATCAGGATTAGTCTGTCGATATTCCCACTTACATTTATAATTTGCCCTGTAGCATTCTCGCAATGTTGTAACCAGATCTTTACGTTCTTGCTCGGATGAATCCCAAGGATAAACACCCAATAAAAATAGCCATACTTCTTTTCTTAACTCCATATCAGCTACACCCCCATGAAAAATATAGTCTTTAACTTCATTTATGGTGATGGAAAGCCTTCCCTCGTGATCAAAAAAAGATTCCCATTTCTGCTTTGTAAGTGGATGTGACCTTTGCATAGCAACATTCAGTTCTTCATCAGTGAGCTTGACATCCTCCCCGTCACTGCCTAATTCATTGTACAAGAGTCTTCTGTACGTGTCATCTAACCCATGAGTAGTTTGGTATTTTTCAGCTTGTTCTTTCACACCAAGAGCCCACTTAGCCAAATAGATTTTCGCTGAATCAAAATCATCTTGAATCTCTTGCACCCTAGGATTTGTCATTATCTGCTTGACATATGGATTATTGCTATGCTTATCGACCAGCTTCACCAAAGGATGCTGATTTATTATGCCAAGCATGGTATTAGTTGACTTTGTAGTTACATCAGCTACTTTAGACATAACGTTCCACCGAGCCTGTTCGAGTTTATCCCAAATTGTCAGAGTCTTTTTTGGCTTACTCTCCGTTGTAGTAGATACACTTGTACTAGGCGAGAAATTTCTTAGGTCATCCAAAGTGGCATTGACAAGCCAAACGGCAGGATCAACTAGGGTCTGCTTGAAATCCACAAGCTCCACCATTGCATCTTTGAAATCGATTGCCCCCCAATACACATTTGTACCACTAAAAGGATCAAATGATTTGTTCAAGATTTTTTGCTTCTCAAGCGTAGAGGGGCATACATTATCATGAAAGAATAATAACGGAATGGTATCTCTTTCTTGTGGAATTCTTGAATTTATTGCAATAGAGCCAAACCACCACCCGCTTGGGCTGGGTAAACGAAATTGAATCGAATAAATGGAACTAATTTTAATAGAAAAAGCCCATGATATATACAATGCTTGGATCACAATCTCTTTACTTATCCGCATCTTTTTACCAGAGACACCTTTCACAAATTGTAAATCTGCTTTGAGCAACTCGTTAAGTTGTGTTTTATCCAGTTCACGTTCAGGGATCCAAGTAAGGGTCGCATCTTGCGATGGTTGCTGGGGATCCTTGGTGATCAATAGAAACCCAGGGATACTATCTTCTGCACTTTTGCTGAAGTGTACGAACACCTTTGACTTGCAAAATAGCAGCTCTGTGGACATGTGTTTAACTATATTTCTGATCCCTCTTGGTGATGGGGGAAGAGAAAGATATCTTTCCAAGCCTCTAAAATAATTTAAAGCGCAAACGAGCACAAGAGAGCAAAATTAAATGGACAGCGACTTATCAGAGATTGAAGTGGATGAGGAGGTTTTCACAGAGTCTCCAGGACCGCTTGAAGATGATTTAGATGCACAGGAGCCCGAGGAAGATGACGACTACCAATACACACCTGATTATGAGGATGACGAAGAACGTGTCCAAGTGAAAAGATCTGGAAGGTCAAGACGACAGCCTACGCGACTAGCAGAGGAAGAAGATCATGCATATCAACCTAAGATGACTTCGAAGCGTGCTACAGTGACGGATGATGATGATCTTCCTACACCTTCCAAAAGGCGCAAGGCTGCAACAATTGATTTACAAAGTTACGAAGAGGAGGAAGAGGAAGAAGACGAAGATCAGGGCCAACAACATCGAATCAATAGCCGTAATAAAATGATCATGGAACTCATGGATGGGAATTCACCCAGAAAGAGAGACCGACTTACTGAAGAAGAGCTTCAATTACGTAGAGCAGAGAATGCTCGTAAAAGAAAAAATATGAGCGAGAAGAAACTGGAGGAAGAGAAGCAGGATACTATAAATAAGCTACTAAGAAGGCGTGCTGGAAAATCCAGAAGTAACGTAAGTTTGGATAAAGGAAATCCTGAGGATGAGGGTACTTACGTCAAGCCTCGCAGAGCTTATCACTCAGAGGGCCTAGTTCGTGTAATACGAACAAAGGACGACGATCTTTATTGTACCTATTAGCGATAGATAGTCCTCCTCTTAGCTAAATCAAGTTATCATATATAACGTCGGGAGTTTTTTTTTTCCGTTGTGTAAGCTCACCTGAAATGAAGATGAGATTTATTGACTTTTAGGTTGCTTAGCCTTGACAAAACGCTCAAAGACAGTAGATCTGCTCATTCACTCTCAGAACTGACTTGTTAGAAGGTATCGCAAGCATTTCGATTGGTAATCATATCCGCAGAGGGAGATTCGCTCGTTTTAGTCGCCTAAAGTACGATGTGCGATACATCACCAATGAATGCACACCAACAAAGTCAGCAAGCATATTCTTATCAAATGCATCCCGCAAATCAATATCCAAACTTTGTACCAGGTATGAATCCATATATGGTGGCGCCACAAATGGCCAATAACTACCAAAACGTACAATATGCGCCGCAAAACTCGGCAAGTGAGATAGGTCCTACTCCAGTCAGGGGCCCCGTTCCACAACTTCAATCGCAACAAGGCCAATCGCAGGTCACTAGTACTGAGGGAAGTAGGCCGTCTTTGCAGAAACAGCATTCTCAGATGCAAGCGCAGGCGCAGGCTCTTAATTCCAACACACTCTCTAGTTCAGCATCTGCAGTGCCTTCACCCTTTACTACTTCGATGCCTACACCTACGGGCTCTGCCTCCATCCCCAATTTAAATATATCCGGAGTTGCACTACCTCAAGGTATGCCGGATGGTGTTGGGATCCCACCCGGCCAATCAGCAGGAATTGGTCAAATTCCTGGACATATGCAACACCCTCTATCGAATAACAGGGCCAATGCAGGTCCTGGACCCGTACCTGGACCAGGACTTGTGCCTGGAAATGCAACAGGGTTTAACAGCGGACTTGGTTCCGGACCAGCTCCGAGGCCAGCTTCGATGTCTAGCCCTTCACACCCAATGGCAGCTCCTCAACAAGTTCCTCGAAGAAGGATTCCGCCAAGTACCAACATGCCATATCCCATACGTAAGTACCTTTCGAATATGGCAATTCTACGGCTGCATGAAATTATAAATCTGCTCAACTTATCAACGGGAAGGGTTGGTGATTATGATTACTGGTTAAGGTTTACTCATGACATCTTCACGCCTTATGGTATATTTAGACTTTCCACAAAAGGGGGAGAAGAGACTAGACAATTTGAATTCACAACTCCTATTATCCCTCTTATCTGTCAAACTTACGGTAATGTTGGTATAGTACGTTTGGAAACAATTCCTCAGCAGTTACGTGCACAGGTTTTGAGCAATGGAACGATATACTTCGACTGTCCGCGCTGCACTACTACATTTTACTACCCTGACGGTAGTTATATGACCAATTTTGCACAGGTGAAGGGTGTTTTCGATTCCTCTCTGAAGATGGAATGGGTTGAATTCGCATGTTATAGTTTCGTACCAGGTATCGAATGGAATTCATTGGAAAGGCTGATTAGTGCGGAACCAATCTGCCATGAAATTTTCCAATATTTAAGCCAAAAGCATGATGGATCTCAGCTTAACGACGAAGGTCCCACGAAGGAAGATTCAATGCCCGCCAATTTTCTCGCAATCACAAAGCTACGATCAAAATTCAAAGTCTTTGAAAACCTGTCGAGCTTCGGTATTCAGGAGAGCTTTATGCGCGCCTTACAAGTCAACGATGTTATATCATATTTGAAAACATTGAAAGTTTTCCAGAAAGTTCATAATATCCAAAGCCCATTGGGTAGTCTGGAGGCGTACGTTGCATCCTCTTCGCAAAATAAAGGGCGTGGGAATGCCCAGCAACCAACTTATGCCACTTCAGCATCTCCTTCAAATCCGCCCTCGGCTGGCCAACAGAAGTCTTCAAACACGCCAGCTAGGATGCCCCAAGCGAAAAGGCGACAGAGCGATGTATCACCATTAAGCACTACTGAAAAAGTACCACCTACCGATTTTAGTGACAATTCTAACGGCAATTTCAAAAAGGTCAAGTACTGAGAAATGGATTACAAGCAACAATAATATTCGGGAAGGACCGCGCCGACTCGCTGGAATGAGCGAAATGTGCTTTTTCTTCGTTAAGGACTTCTGCATTTGTAAAACTTATAAATAATTATTTACCAACACATTTAGCTCATCTAACTATCGTATTCCTTTAGCGGATGAATCTTATGAGCATATAATCTGCACTTCCAAAGTAATTTTTCCTCCATCTGCCAAAGCTCAGTAACAATTTTCAAAAAAATAAATGGCAGCAAGCCCTTATCACCCCCACATTATCGTCATAGTCATCAAACAAACGATGAACTGGCCAGATGAATCCCGAATAATACGAGCACGACCAAAGCAGTTAACTCTAGTAAAAATTCAAAATCTTTTTTACAATACAGGACTAATTGTCTGTGTCATGTATGTTTTTGTCGCGATGATCATTCAACCTTCCCTACAAGCCGCATACAATCAAAGAATAGAATTCAGCGTCAGTGCCCTATTAAAAGCTCGCAAGCTTGTCACGTTTCTTGAAAAGAGAATTAAAACGACTCCAATAACGGTACTAGGCTTCAATGAAGTTGTGAACCTAGAGACCAACAAACGTTACCTGGAGAGGTCTACTCAAACAGATGAGACGGCAGAAGTTTACAAGAACTGTGAAAAAAGTTCCGAAGGCAATGAAAAGGGGTGGTCTAGGATTGCAGAAAGACTCAAGACCGTGAATGAGGCGTTACAGGATTTCAATAATCAAAATGACCGCGCCGAATACCTTGACTCTTTCTCATTTCAAGTGAAGCTTGTGCACGACCAATTATCAAATATTGATGGAAGATCTAAAATTAATGCAGTTATGAAAGAGTTTACTCAAACTACAAGGGAAATGAAAGGATGGTTTATTAATCGTAGAATTCCTTCATGATTAGCTGTAACATTGTTACCCAGTATCCACTCTATATACAGATTTATTGATGCAAAATATTGGTTTTGATGTGAAGTTGGTTAATCCACTAGCTTTTTAAGCAGGTTGAGTCCTTGCTTACCCTTAGCTTGACCTTTTCCCATTTGGTCGCGGGCCAAATTACTTTTCCACTTGACGCGCTTCAACAATATATCTGAACTTGACCGCCCAGAACCAATAATAAGTTTTTTTGGCATAAATGGAGTCTCAACGCTGTTTTTTGATGCGGATGGATTCATTGCTTTAATACGCTCTCCCCTCCTTTTCCACCGTTTTTCAAATTCGGCCGCTTCCTCCTCGGTAGGTTGCCATTTGGATTTCAAAATTCTTCGTATAACTTCAGGAGAGACCTTGAATTGTTCCCCTAGTTGCGTAGCAGTCAACTTCGGAAGCTGCTGCTTGAGTATGCGGACGCTATTTATTTCTTCTCTTGAAAGCTTCTTTTTTGGACTCCACTTCTCGCCTTTGAGCTTTTCTTCAAGTGCTAGTTTCTGTCTCTTCCATTCAGGGATTTTGGTGTCTTCACGCCAATCTGAACGCTTTTTCTCACTTTGCGTCAAAGAGCTTGAGTTCACTAATTTGATCAGGTCTCTAGCTCTTTTAGCAGAAAGATTAGGACCCATAGCGGTGCTGAATTCTCGAAAGAGGTTTCCATATACTGGATTAAACTTAGTGAGAGTCCAGAAATACCGTTGGGGGAATGTGCCCCACATTTTTTAGTTCACTGAAGACAGCTAGATAACTCATCGATTTTTTTTCATGTTTAAATCTTATGCAGACTAAGCGCAGTCATTAACTACGTTAACCTTATGCATCGAAGACAGCCCTACTAGCACAAGTTAATAAAAGTTGCACTACTTCTGGACTCTGATTCAAATGAATCCAATCAAAGCTAATGTGTGTTGATTCGACTGGTAAATTCATTCAAATAGAATTCATTTGAGACAAAACACGTGACCATTTCACGAAATTCTAATTCATCTTTTGAATTTGTAAAGCTTGTAAAATGTAATGAGCTCTGCTGATTTTATAATATAAACCGCGTAATATGAACATAATCAAAAAGATTATGGACTCTGGGTCCAAGAAGGAACTCATGTCTATTGCAGCAGGCCAGTTCTTTTTATCAAGACCGAAAACATCTCCTAAGGCGACGTTAGAATGTTTATATAACGACGCCACCCTTGTGATCAGAGAGTCGGGGCCTCATGTATATGATTTGGTGGTTCAGAAAGACGTTGACGATACAGAACTTGCTTCTGGAGACGCTAGTGAAGATTTTGAAGACGATGAACTCAGCGTTCTTTCCACCCAGTCCAAAAAAGATGAGGAATGGAGCTTTACTTTAAATGAGGCACTTCGGTTCCATAAGAGATGGAACGAGCAAGGTGAGGTAGCTTTTGTCTGGAAAAATATCAAAGGTGATCCAGGTGAAAAATTTCAATTTGTGGTGAACCCCGAAATACGTTTATCCGATGTGGAGCAGTTTCTTCAAGCTGTTTATCGCTGCGAATATGAATTCAAATACAAAAAATCGGCCAACGGAGCATTGAAAGAAGACCTTAAACAGTTCGAGTTTTCGCACCATCTAGATGACTCGGCTATATTCAGTGATGAGGATGAAGAGTTAACAGATGTACAAAAACTTGGAGACAAATTTGATTTACTTAAGGTCGAACAAAAAAATAGCGACCTTGACGATGACAGCAATGACGAATTTGAAGATGCGCAAGAAGATGTAATAACCTCTTCAAATTCACCCAGGGATCCTAAGAAACCAACAAAGTTAACAAAAGGTGAGTCGATTTACCAAGACCATGCAGACATATATATTTATGATTGCACAGAGGAATCGTTTGCAATCCAAGATACGGACGCCAAGGTAGTAGTTTGTGATTTCGGGAAATTTGAGTTTTGGCTATCAATAGAAAGCAATTTGGTTACTCTAGGAACGGATGTTTCACCTGACATCAATCCCTTATTTGACACAGATTCCCAAGCTTTTATTTTCAATTACTCCTTTGAAAATATTACTCTGTCTTACATGCTCAAGTTTAGAACGCAACATGCTTTTTCAAAATTTCAATCACTGTGGTCTAAGCTTATATGGGAGTCTCTGAACAAACAGAAGTGGTCAACTATTTCACAAGGAGAGCAGGAATATGTTATTTGCTCAAACAAAGCAGTTGAAAAGGAGCTAACAGATTTTCTGCATGCAGAACAAGATGGTGACTCTTCAGACTCCAGTAGCTCAGAGGAAGAAAGTGATGATGACGAGCAAGAAAACGACGCGAGTTTCAGCGATGTTGGTAGTTTTGATGAGAAAACTGCAGAGAAGGAATATAAAGATAGCACAACTCTTGGTGGAAATAAGTCACTGACTGTGTCTTACAGAAATGATCGTGCGTTTGTTGTTCGAGGTAATAAGGTTGGCGTGTTCAAAGCTGATGATGAGAATGATGAAGTCACCTTTGTTACTGCCATTAATAACGTCTCTGATTTGAAAGGTAAAAGTTTCAACCCCGAAAATCCAATGCTTTACACAGAAGACAGAGCAATGATTATCCAGGACGAGAACGACAAATCCAGAGTGTACAAGATGGATCTGGAAAGAGGCCAAGTTGTGGAGGAGTGGTCTGCGGGAAACAAAGAAATCCTAAGATATGGGCCAACGAAAAAGTTTGATCAACTAACAAGCGAGCAAACATTCCTGGGTATCTCCGACAAGAGTGTTTTTAAAGTGGACCCCAGAATAGGCGGAGCTAATAAACTGGTGAATGATGAAAACAAAGACTATGCTACCAAGTATAAGTTCAGTTCATTGGGTTCTACAGAAAATGGACATGTTGCAATAGGTTCCGAGAAGGGTGAGATACGGTTGTATGATAGGCTTGGTATTAGAGCAAAAACTCTTATACCTGCATTGGGAGAACCTATCAATCATATTTGTGCGTCAGCTGATGGGAAATGGTTATTAGCAACATGCAATACTTCTCTGCTGCTGATTGATTTAGTCATCAAAGAGGGTAAAAATGCGGGTCATACTGGCTTTTTGAAATCGTTCTCAAAGCAAGAAATGCCTAAAATATACATTCTACGCATCCACCCGAAAACTGCATCATACATGAAAACTAGCACCAAACAAGCGATCAAATTTACGAAGGCATATTTCAATACAGGTATCAATAAAAAAGAGCAAACAATTGTGACCTCGACCGGGCCTTTTGCAATAACATGGTCCCTGAAGAAAATTGTCAAAGGCGATAAGACACCGTACTTAATAAAGAAGTATAACTCGCCAATTATGGAAGATAATTTCCGATATGGCTCAGACCGGAAAGTAATCCTAGCATTGAAAGACAATGTGACAATGGCAAGGAAGAACAAATTCAAAGAGCCTTCAAAAGAATTCTCCTCACACAAGGACTGGCAGAGTTTCCTGGATATGTCTGGTGACGTTATCAAGAAATTCGAGTAGTGGCGTCGGCATAAAATGAATATATAATTATCTCGCAATAAATAGTTAGAAGCTTTAATTTACGTTTAAAACTTAGGGTTTAAAATTATTTTTAAACTTTCTCGATAACCCGAACGTGCTTCGTATCTCATCCCAAAACAATATTCTGTAAGCGTTGAACTTTTGTATGGTTGAAGGATGATATGTTCCCAAATTTTGTGAAGGTCTTGCCGTAGATGTATCTGTTAAGCCGTTAACTTTGTAATATATGCGCCGAACGAAGCGATGGAAAGCAGGGCTCTGCATGAGCTTATGGTAGAAGAACTCCTCCAAACTACGTGGGCCACCTCTCATGGTACTTCTTGCCGCACATTTATATGTGATCTACCTTCCAAAAAAGTGATTTGAAAAAAAAATTACCTTAAAAACAAAACGATAAACGTAATAGATTGTCAATCAAGGTATAAACAAAAGTAAATCATCAAAATGATCACAGATGACCAACTGAATACATTAGCTATCACATTTGGAATAGTGATGTTCTCATTGATTGTGGTCTATTGCGCAGTCTCTCCGAAAACAAAGAGACAAGTATAAAAGTACTGTCGCGTGTCTTCATCTGCGTTGAACGTTTGAGGCGGCAAGCAACTGCATTCATAGTGGAAAACAATTAGTATAAGTCAGAAAGATGAATAGGCTACTTAGTTAATATACAATGGTTAAAGTTCCTATTAAAAGGGTTCTTCACCCAAAATCTCTTTACTCAGTTCGATAATTTTCTGAAGAACCTCAGTTATATCTGTGAATGCACGCGCGAAGGCCATGCCATGTACTTCCGTCCAATGAGACTTTTCATAATCATCCTTGTGACGAGGCTGTTTTTGAAGGTCGTCACTGGCTTCAGGTGCCAATGTTTTCTCTCCAGCGGAAGAAACGTTTGACTCACAAGATCTCTCAAACTTGGAAATGAAATCATAAAGCCGTTTCCGGGACATGATCGGATTTGGCAAATATTTCGGTATTTTGTTCTTTGATCTGAAACAGTTTGAAAGGATGTAAAATACAAATATGACAGTGGCAACACTATCACGACGAAGCGACAGCAATGCTCTAGTAATTTGATTATCATTATCTTGATCCCAAACTTCGAAGTATTGCCCGGACATTCTTGCTTCTATCATTCTGTCAAGGACGTACTCACATGCTTCCAGTAATTCCTCATAGACAATGGGTTTAAAGTTCGAAATGTAATTTGGTTCTTCTTTAGCTTTTGAAAGCAGTTCCTTGACTGCTATCAGGCTTTGTGATAGTCTCACTTCTCTCACATTGGAGAGTTTTAAAGTGAGGTCAGTTGGGTCATCATCCACATCCCTATAAAGGTAACGATCCGTGATTGACTGATAAGATTGACTCATATGCGCCAAAAGTGATGATAATGATAACCTTAGCTCATATCGGGCCATAAAAGACCACCATACCCAATTGATGGGGACAGACAAAGCAACACCAATGAGCAAAGCTAACCCGGTAACCCAGGTGTTTTTCCAAATAGCTGCTGTATTGTGGCTCGCACTTGATTTGCTGTATGGTTCTAATGCAATGACGATAAAACACAACAGCCCGCTAAAACTTGATTTCGTGTTTCTGTAGACAAAGAAGTTAAAGCTAAAGAGTGCACAAAGTATGCCACCAAATGTCGCGACAACGTAAGGACTGCAAAAATGTCTTGATTGATTTGCACACCAGCCCCAGAATATGCCGATCAGTGCACAAAGGAAACGGCGTAACATAGAACTCCATGAACCGGTATTCCTCCGGTTGATTAAAATGAAAAAGATGAGCGGAGACCACCAACATTGATATTCTTGATACCACTGATAAGATTGAGGTAACCATGTTGGTAAGGCCAAAAATGTAATGACAAACGATATTTTAAGTGACCATTTACTCTCGTAGGATACCACCTTTGTCGTAAAGAGCCATAATTTATAGCGCAAGGGATGCTTTGTAGTATGAAGATTGAAATCTTTATGGTCAACAGCCCTTATGGCAGGCCTAATTACCTCACCATCCCGAAGGCCATCCGATTTATGTTTCGACGTGTAGCTATTATAAAGCTTCTCAAAAATGTCGTCCACGTCGGATTTGGTTTCGAAGTAGTGAAGAATAGTTGTTGCACCTTGATCAATAGTACATTGGTGTGACAGCCTTTTAAGTGCCCTATGAAGAGGGTAATGAGGAAGAGTAACTCTCCAGCGAAGGTCATTTTGAAACTCATCAATACATTCGGAGACGGACAGCATGTGTTTCGCTGCCTGTCTCAAGTATCTCAAAAATAGAAAAATATCCACGGACTGAGGATCAGCTAATAGATCTTTACAAAAAAAATCTGTTTTCGTAAAATCCTTGTAACAGACATCTAGCTTGTAAATTTTGCGTTGCAACCTATTCTTGGCCTTTGTGAGTTTTTTGTGATTATTTTCAATGTCTTCTTCCGATAACTTGTCTTCAACAAATGAAAAGAAAGTGGAGTCTAAAGTCTCTAGTACGTATATCATCTCAACAATGAGAGACAAAATACTCCTTGAGAAAGTTGATTTCAGAACACTCACATAAATCTCTGTTGAATGAGAGATTCCATGCGATAATGGATCGGCTTGTTTTGGAAGCGGGGTTGCTGCACCGGAAATAGGCATAGGAGTTTCATTATTGGTGGAATCAATGGCATTGGTATCTTCTCCATTTCTGTGAGCCTCGTAAAAATGCTCTAACTCGACTTTGGTGATCAGCTTGTGATCAATAGGCAAATTACGTAAAGGAGCAGCAACAGTTGTCAAACTATTGCGCAATTTCTTCAAAGTATGCTCATTTAGCTTGGTAAATTTCAGTTGATTTGAAAACTCTCTATAGCCCTCTGACAACTTAATGTCAATACTGATACCCACCTCCTTCTTTAGATGATGCAGCTTTTCAAGGTCATGACAGTTTTCGACGTCAACCAAAGTGACTAGTAAATCTTTCATAACAGTAAGCGTGGTGGAGAACTTGTCCACCAGTTCAGATTGACCACAATGTGGAAAAATAATAACACACGCGAGTAAGGATAACAAAATTCCAAAAAGATAGGATATTCCAAAGTCCCAGCATAACTGCCAGTCCAATAAGTACTTAGAATTCACGAGATCGGCTGTGTGCAAAAATAAAATAGAAACTCCAAAAGAAAGTGAAAAGTAAAAGAATCTCTGGTATGCTGTCCTTAGCCAGCTAGCTAAAAAAATGGCGATAAACATACTCATGAACAGAATACCACCTTGATGGTTCGACGTGGGTTTAGTAGCGGTAGAGACGTACCATGCCAAGCTTGACCATCCTAGACCAAATGCACCACCTAAAATAGACCATATAGAGATTTCCAGTTGAACCCCGACCGTTCGTGCAGGATGGTGTATAAGGACAGCGATGGGCATAAAGTATCGGTACTGATGCCCCAGCCAAGAACCGGCTGGATGAATCAGACATATGCACCAAGAAGCAAAGAATGCCACGAAGAATTTCACGATCGGCTCCCAATTTTGTTTCAAATGTTCATACTCAATACGGAGAAAGGATACGAGTGAGTGATTCCAATAGCTGAAGTAATCATCTTTCACAAGCTCTGGATAGTCCGAAGTAGAGGAGTGATTTCGTTCATATCTTGTGAATATGGGATCGAAAAACCCGTCCCGCAATTCTTCAAGTCCATAATCTTCTAAGACTTCCCAGTGCCTTCCTTCTGTCAACAAGTTCAGTTTCAGTTGAGATAACGAAGTTCTCGAGGAGATCTCTCCTTGTGAAACTTTTGATGCGGTATCTCGCAAAGAAAGAAATGATTTCTGAACATAAGATCCCTTAGATATATGCGGGACCGCCATGCTCTTATCCGGCTTTATTGGCATCGATATCCGACCAAATGTATACAATGTGGGTGAGTTTTTTCAGTGATGCGGTCACTTGACGACAATTCAAAAACTTTCGGCTGAAGGCCAGCGTCTCTAGATGGAGAATATAAAAATGCCATGGTATCTGAAGCAGACAAGCGGTGAGATAATTGAGAAGTTCAGGTATATTCAGCGTCAGGAAGATTTGAGATTGAGAGATGCTACGTTGAACCCACTGGATTCAAGATGGAGTCTAGGGGTGTCGGTGTCCGAGGAGAATGACGATAGAAACAGATACGTCAATATCATGCCCTATGAGAAGAATAGAGTGAAGTTAAATGTAGAAGGTGGAAACGATTATATCAATGCTTCCTATGTTAAGGTGTTTGTTCCAGAACAATCTCTGACACCCGGGCACTACATCGCCACACAAGGGCCCACAAAGAACACATGGCAGCAATTCTGGCAAATGTGTTACCAACAGTGTCCCGAGGATAATATCGTGATTGTTATGGTGACTCCACTACAAGAGGGTGGCAGGGAAAAATGCTATAAATATTGGCCCAGAAACGAGTCAGAAACGCTATCTGTTCCGCGAACTCAATCATCTGGTGAATTTGAGAAAGACTGCAGTGAGTTCAAAATTGACCTAGAAGTCTTTTTCGAACGTTCAGAAAGGGAGAACGACTATACACTTTCTTTTCTCAAGCTCAAGCCGCTCGATAGTGCATTTCCAACAAAGACAGTTCATCACTTCTATTTTGACCAATGGAGTGACATGTCAAAACCAGACGAAATTGTGCCAATTCTGAAACTATCAAATCATTGCCATGTTTTAAATTCCCCTCCGAATCCGATTATTGTACACTGCTCTGCAGGAGTTGGTCGCACGGGAACCTTCATTACTTTGGACCATTTAATTCATAATACAATTGACTTCTGCGAGAACGACCCATTGACGAATTATAAACATGATCTAATCGAGCAAATAGTTCTACAACTTCGTTCGCAAAGACTACGCATGGTCCAAATGTCTGATCAGTACTTATTTGTATATCATGCTGCCAAGCATGCATTTAGCATGAAGCGTGTCAAGTGATACATTCAACAATGACACCTCTCATTTAAAGTCACTAGACCATAGTTCAAGAGCAGATATCTGCTATCCATTTGATTTCCATGTTCCTCAACAACATACGAACCAATCAATTTTAGTAGTTAGAAGATTTCTGGACCTAAGTACCTCTCTTTTATTGTGACAAAGAGACATCTATAAATTACGCGAAGAAATAGCCGCCGACTAAAAAGGATAAGAAAATGGATAACAATGAACACGTTCGGCACAGCGGCAATAGTGAACTATTGTTAAAAGACGCTGAAGTACACGATATGGAAAGCAGGCCTTCTTCATTCCAGTTTTCGAAGGAGATAAACAACAATAAATATGTTGAAAACGAAAGACCTAACGACACTTACCTGGAATATCAGGTATTCGAATGGCTATCGACTCTCGACGAGGGAGTACTGCATCTTCTAGACTCAAGTGCTTACCCAAACTTATCGGATTCGAGTTGTCAGCATATCAACATTCAACTTGATCAAAGTTCCCTTCAAAGTTTTCTACTATGCTATGATAACCTATCCACACACAAAGTTAGCAGTCCGAATCTTGAGAGTTTGAGTGTACACATATGCATTAAGAAGAATCCATATGGTGGCTTTACGTTAAGAGTTCCATTTCACCAGATGATTCTGCAAAGACTAGTGGCGGATCAGGTCCGGGTCTTGGTTCCGAGAGAAACACTTCACCTCATACGCACGGGCCAATTATTGTTGCAATCGAACCACATTATTCTACAGCAACAAGAGCTCCTTCTTTCGAATCAAAAATTTAGTGTAATTGCGGAGGATTTGAGGGTCTTGGTTTCCAATTCCTCATACAAAGAGCCCACGATGCTAACACGTATCCTTCCGAATTATCGGTCAAATTCATTTGAGGAGGTCATTTCCCATGAGGCTATATATCCAGATTCGCCTACTCAGATTATCTCTCAAGAAATAACCATCAATAAGCTAGAAGTTTCATTCCTCATTGGGCACCAAGGCACCCGAATTGAAACTATACGAAGAGAATCTCAGGCGACCATAAAGATCCTGCCCATTTCTCAAAGGCTAAAAAGCCACCAAATTACTGCGCCTACCTCTGTTCTTCAACAATTGTGTATTACTGGTGATCTGCAAGCCGTTGCAACGGCTCTGAGTCTTATTGAATACCATCTGTCTCATCATCGTCTCAATTGGAAACGGAAGATTTAGCTGAACCATCGTCATTTGAAACGAATACTGCGAAGTTTTCAGAACGCCCAGGCGAAGAAGCTAGCACGTAACACGCAGTTCGGACGAAAAAGGCTGGAAAAAAAAGTGTAAAAAAAAAGAAATTCAGTTGGAGGGCATCGACCGCGAATGATGGCCGCTGTGGGCTACGGTGAAAAATTTTTCACTTGACTTATAAAGCTTTGCATCGCTTTCCTCTTCCTTTCTTTCTTTCCTTAAATTTTGTTCGATCAGCAAGCTACTTCTATAAATCACAATGGCTGAAGGTGTTTTCCCAGGTGCTGTCGGTATCGATTTAGGTACTACCTACTCTTGTGTTGCTACTTATGAGTCCTCCGTTGAAATTATTGCCAACGAGCAAGGTAACAGAGTCACTCCATCTTTCGTCGCTTTCACTCCAGAAGAAAGATTGATTGGTGATGCCGCTAAGAACCAAGCTGCTTTGAACCCAAGAAACACTGTGTTCGATGCTAAGCGTTTGATCGGTAGAAGATTTGACGACGAGTCTGTCCAAAGTGACATGAAGACTTGGCCATTCAAGGTCATTGACGTCAATGAGGCTCCAATGATCGAGGTCGAATACTTGGGTGAAACCAAGACCTTCTCCCCACAAGAAATCTCTTCTATGGTCTTGACCAAGATGAAGGAGATTGCTGAAGCTAAGATCGGCCAAAAGGTTGAAAAGGCTGTCATTACTGTTCCAGCTTACTTCAACGATGCTCAAAGACAAGCCACCAAGGATGCTGGTGCCATTGCTGGTTTGAACGTTTTGCGTATCATCAACGAGCCAACTGCTGCTGCCATTGCCTACGGTTTGGGTGCTGGTAAGTCCGACAAGGAGAGACACGTTTTGATTTTCGACTTGGGTGGTGGTACTTTCGATGTTTCTTTGTTGCACATCGCTGGTGGTGTTTACACTGTCAAGTCTACTTCCGGTAACACTCACTTGGGTGGTCAAGATTTCGATACCAACATGTTGGACTTCTTCAAGAACGAGTTCAAGAAGAAGACTGGTTTGGACATCTCAGATGACGCCAGAGCTTTGAGAAGATTGAGAACTGCCGCTGAAAGAGCTAAGAGAACTCTATCTTCCGTTACTCAAACCACCGTTGAAGTCGACTCCTTGTTCGAAGGTGAAGACTTTGAAACTTCTATCACCAGAGCCAGATTTGAAGACATCAACGCTGCTTTGTTCAAGTCCACTTTGGAACCAGTTGAACAAGTTTTGAAGGATGCTAAGATCTCCAAGTCTCAAATCGACGAAGTCGTTTTGGTCGGTGGTTCTACCAGAATTCCAAAGGTTCAAAAGTTGTTGTCTGACTTCTTCGACGGTAAGCAATTGGAAAAGTCCATCAACCCAGATGAAGCCGTTGCTTACGGTGCCGCCGTTCAAGGTGCTATCTTGACCGGTCAATCCACCTCCGACGAGACCAAGGACTTGTTGTTGTTGGATGTCGCCCCATTGTCTTTGGGTGTCGCCATGCAAGGTAACGTCTTTGCCCCAGTTGTTCCAAGAAACACTACTGTCCCAACTATCAAGAGAAGAACTTTCACCACTGTTGCTGACCACCAAACTACTGTTCAATTCCCAGTTTACCAAGGTGAACGTGTCAACTGTGCTGAAAACACTTTGTTGGGTGAATTCGACTTGAAGGGAATTCCTCCAATGCAAGCCGGTGAGCCAGTCTTGGAAGCCATTTTCGAAGTTGACGCTAACGGTATCTTGAAGGTCACCGCTGTGGAAAAGTCTACCGGTAAGTCCGCCAACATTACCATCTCTAACGCTGTTGGTAGATTGTCCTCTGACGAAATCGAAAAGATGGTTAACCAAGCCGAAGAATTCAAGGCTGCTGACGAAGCTTTCGCTAAGAAGCACGAAGCCAGACAAAGACTAGAATCCTACGTCGCTTCCATCGAGCAAACCGTCACCGACCCTGTCTTGTCTTCCAAGATGAAGAGAGGTGCCAAGTCCAAGATCGAAGCTGCCTTGTCTGATGCCATGGCTGCTTTGGAAATCGAGGACTCCTCCGCTGACGACTTGAGAAAGGCCGAGGTTGGCTTGAAGAGAGTTGTTACCAAGGCTATGGCCACCCGTTAAGAGCACTTGTTTGTTTTTCAAATAGTTTTCTTTCATTGCCTCATGAACTTCTTTCCTGTGTATCTAGTTTTACATATGTGTAGGTTTTAGCTTTTTCGCCCATATAACTTAATGTACAAAAAGCATGTTATAGGATCGTATTACAAGATTTCCGAGCGGGCGCATATCCGAGGCTTGTACAGCACAAATGCTTGATATGACGACAATGCTCCACGTATTAATCTCCTGATGCCTCTTTCGACCGATTGCGGCGGAAATACACGCTGGTCGAAATTGAAATAAATTTCGATGGTTGCATCTGCGGGTCGATATTTGTTAAACTAATTTTTCTCTGCCTAGACCTTGACGGATACTCACCTGAGGCTTCTGCTTGAAAAAGAAATCGTGAGTTTTCATAAGATTCTCTCAATTTACAGTCTTCTGATTTACATGTCAGAGCCATTCTTAGTTGGTTCATTCTGTTCATGATCGGTTCGCTTTGCAAAGTCACTATATTCGGCATTTGCCCTGCGAGATTTGTACAGGACTCAGGAAACCCGCGTCGTACATGCATAAATGGGCACTCGGCAAATGACGTCTCATTGTTCTAGATGTTTTTTTGCAGTTCACTGAGGGGCCTCAGGAGACTCCGTAGGGAACCATGTGCGATTATCTTCACGTAAACTCTGAGGCTGAGTAGTCACCACACAGCCCAGAAACCTTCGTAAGGACTAATTAATAGTGGCAAAAAGGTTCGGAATTACTCAGCTAATACCGGTTTATCACCGGAGCTCGTTTGTCGCCGATGGCCTCTGCAGGCTCTTCTGAGCGACCATGTCACGGACATGGCTCGGACATGTCGCGGATATAGCACATCTTTCTAATTTCGGTATTTGAAAAATCAAGGAGGCACAGATTATGCGGCCGATGCAAGTGGAGATAGGCGCATATCAAAAGCCGAAGTGCCTACTCTGAATGTATATAAAGGCGGTTTGATCTTGATTTACACATCATCTCTTTTTTGGTCTATTTCCTTCTTTATTCAATCAGAATATCTATTTCAAGTTTTAAATGACTCAAATATCAGAGGAAAGATCGGTCACTTTCAGTTTGACCACGTTGGGCGGCGCTGGATCCGATAGCGACGCAACTCAGAACACTAATACGGCAGACGTCGAGACTGCAGCTCCTGACTATGAGAAACATAACTCGTCGGAGACTTCTGAAAGCGTGACAAGATCACCAAGTGGGGTCGAATTGGAAGATTCGACTGAGAAACACGCTGTTTGCGAAAGAAATCCCGAAGGTTGCAGCAATGATATCTGCAAATGCGACATCTTGGACGAAGGCTATGATTCGGGAAGACACCATTCTCCACATACCATGTGTTGGTTCCATTCGCGTACGATTGCTCCTGAAAGCCCCAGAATGCATTACCAGGGTCATCACGGTGGCTGTCATGCCGGGCGTTTCTCCAGGGACTTCGGATTGGTAGGCCATCATGAAGGACATCGCTGGAAGCATAGACACCATTACGGAGACGTTGATGCAGTTGCTTCGTTCGATGAAAGTCCCTCCGTAAAATGCTGTAAGCGTAGAAAATTTCATGAATTACACAACCCCTCTTTCGTCGACACGGAAATGCAAGCTGAAAAATGCGAGAAGGATCTCATGAATCATTTTGGTGCCCATGCAATGGGCAGGATGCATCACAGAGGTGGCAAGAGAAGACATGGAAAGCACTCACATGGTGGTAGCAGTCATTTTAAACATGACAAGCTTCATAGTGAGCCAACTAGTTCCACAGAAACTTTCGAAGGATCAAAGAAATCCCAATACAGAGAAAGCGAAAAAGCGGAAGCGGTAGGGACGGAAAACATTGAACAATCCAAAGACAAACATCATGGTCATGGTAAACATGCTAAAAAGCATGGAGAGTTCTCGATGAAAAAAGGAAAGCTCTTCGAGGAGTCACAAGTGCCTTATTTCAAAGGGTTTGGAATGCGTTCTTGGGGACCTCATCCGATGTTCATGCCAGATTCTTTTGATGAAATGGTTGATTGCAGAGATGGAAGACGCGCATCTGGAGAAGCTAGAGGCTTTGAATGTCCAAGATCTATGTTTCCAGAACTTTTCTACTCACGTCACCATGGCTCGAAGCATGCACACATGCATGGTATGGGTCCTCCCCCACCACCACCACATCCAGCACACATGCACGGAATGGGTCCTCATCCTCCACCACCTCCCCATGCATCACACATGCACGGAATGGGTCCTCCTCCACCACCTCCCCATGGACCACACATGCATCACGATTTTAGACCTTTTAATTGGTACCCTCATCATGATGGCAGTTTATTCACCAAAGTAATGTTTGGAAAACCACATGGTCATGGTATACCATACGGTCATGGTAAACATTTCAGTCACTATTATAGTTACTGAATATTAATTGAATATTAATCGAATTTGATTAACGGTGTGGACTCATTATTTCGGACGATTCTCCCACAAATAGTCAAACTGTATTTTAGTCACGTGTATAATTGATTATGTCAAATATGTATATTAAAATTTTTTTTTTAGAGATGAGCTCGCTCGATGAGCCATTCGTCAGATTATTGTATCTATAAACTGCAATAGTTGTTCTTTTATCCCCTCAATAGAAACTAAAATGAAGTTGGAAACAAGCCACATGCGATATTTAACTGCAGATGACTTTCGGGTTCTTCAAGCAGTTGAGCAAGGATCCCGTAACCACGAAGTAGTTCCTACCCAGATGATCCATCAGTTGTCCGGAATGAGATCGATTTCAGGTACAAACAGAGCAATCAGTGATTTGGCTAAATTGAAACTGGTTTCTAAGTTAAGGAACGCAAAGTATGATGGGTACAGACTGAGCTACAATGGGTTCGACTATCTTGGTTTGAAAGCTATGCTCAATAAGGATACAGTCTACTCTGTCGGTAACATCATAGGTGTGGGAAAAGAATCCGATGTTTATCGTGTCAGCGATAGAAATGGCCAAGCAAAAGTTTTAAAAATCCACAGGCTAGGACGTACGTCATTTCACACCGTGAAGAACAACAGAGATTACTTAAAACGCAATCAAAGCGGTAGCTGGATGCACCTTTCCCGCCTTGCAGCCAACAAAGAACATCAATTCATGTCACTATTGTACTCAAAAGGTTTTACGGTTCCTGAACCCTTCGACTATTCACGTCATATGGTTCTCATGGAACTAATAAACGGTTTTCCCATGAGAAGGCTTCGGAAGCACAAGAACTTACCTAAATTATACAGTGACTTAATGTGCTTTATTGTCAAGTTAGCAAACCATGGACTGATTCATTGCGATTTCAATGAATTTAATATTATGATAAAAGATGAAACAGATGGTGAAGATGATTGCGGGTTTATTGTTATCGACTTTCCTCAGTGTATTTCCATCCAACATAAGGACGCAGAGTACTATTTCAAGCGTGACGTTGATTGCATTCGTAGATTCTTTTTGAAAAAGCTCAAATATGAACCGGCGGCTGATTCCTCCATGTTAGACGTCGAAGGGTTCGGAGAAGGTTATAAGTATGCATACCCTGTCTTCAGTCGAGATGTTAAGAGATGCGATAATCTTGATGAGCTAGTTCAGGCATCAGGTTTCAGTAAAAAACATCCAGGAGACAGGAGCTGGGAAGAAGCAGCTGAACTAATGAGAAAAGATGTAGATGATGAAGAAAGCAATGATTCACAAAGTGAAAATGGAAGTGAAGATGAACTTATCTACAGCGATGAATCGGAAGACTACGATTACTACGCTTCAGATTCAGAAGACGAGCCCACTGGTAGCGAAGAAGAAGATGGTCTCCACGAAGAGAATGAACGAATTATTGAAGCATTGTCAAGCGGAGTGGGAAATCTGAAGATGGACAAATTGGGAAACTATGTATTAGAGGATTAAAACCTGTTACTTTTTTAATAGAATTTTGCGAATTACCGATACTACGTAAAAATGTCTTACTCATCAATTAATCATATTCTACACCAGAGCCTTCATCATCGTCACCATCATCGTAATCATATTCGAGCGGAATGTCCTCAGACTGCTGCTCTTCTTCTTCGTCATCTTCCTCGTCTTGAATTTCGTCTTGCACTTCGTGCATTTCCTCTTGTTCTTCCTCTTTAGCTGTTTCTAGTTCCACCGCCCTGCTTTCGCTCTCCAAATTGTCCTCCGAGTCGGACCCACTGCCATCAGATAGGTCACTTTCTCCTTCGAAGTTTTGATCCGCATCCTCATCGTCAGATTCCATCGGAATATCACTTGCTCTTGGCTCGTCCTTCATTTGCAGAGCTGCTTCCTCTAGCGCCGATGTATGCTCTCCCATTTGCTGCTGGCTCTTGCTTGTCGGTTTCGCTTTTAATTCATCACTCATGGATTTGTCAATGACTTGTTTTCTTTTTACATATTCGTCAATTTTCGTAAATTCGTTTTGATCGATCATCGAAAATTCGTACTTTTCGGCTTCTTTTGTTATTAAAGTAACGTTGAAGGTAAGTCTTGTGATCGAGGAGTATGTTATGGATTCAATGTCTTGAGACTCAAAGAATAAGATGGGTTTCTTGAATCCAAATAAAATATGGTCTGGAAGAAAATATAAGGTACCTTCTTTAGTTCCTCTGTGACACTCTACATGGAAGGATGGTGACGCCTGGGATGCAACAGAGAAAGGGTCTGCAATGCGGAATCCTATTAAAATTGCTTGCTTTCGTAGATAATCCACACACAGTGCAAAATCGCTCGCATCTTTGGGCAATAAGTTCAATTTGATGAATTGCTTGATGATTGCATCTTTATTCAGGGTTATGAGTACCGGTTCAGTAACATCTGGATTTGAGGACTGTGCATAGTAGATAAACAAATAAGATAAGTTTTTCTTCTCTGGAACCGGAAGGAAAGTTGCAAATTTAACGTTCTTGTTCAATTCGGAAATAACAAACTGAGGGATATTATCCTTCAGCAATGATAACATCGGTTTTTTTGTATCTGGTGAAAGAGAAAGTACTAAGTTTAGCTTTTTCCGTAGAGGAGTGAGAACAGACACATCTTTCAATTGAAAGATCATATTATTCTCTGATATTTCCGATGGCTGCGGAGAAGTTTTGTTCTTTTTTCTCAGGTCAGAATAGTCCTTTGCATATTCGAATAATTGTTGAAAGATATCTAGAGCACCTGGCACAGATGAACATATATCCTCGATGCTTTCACGCAATTGTGTTGGTACTTCCTCTAAAAACTGAGGCTGATCTACCGCCATTTTTTCTTTATTGCAGTTAGGAATTGTACAATTACTTACTTGTCTATGGTTTTGAGCGCATCTTCAATTTAAAGGGTATAGAATTTAAGGAATCGTTATATACGCAGTAAGGATGCTGATCTGACCAAGAAGCAAAGCTTATCACTAAAGCTAGTAGAGGGCAGTGAGCGAGATATGACAAATATTACCACTTATTTTCAATATTTGTGAGCTGTTATCAAACATCAATTGCTCATACATCTTTTGTCTTTCGTTTTTTCAATCAAGGACTTCGCTGCGGTCCCATAAAAGAGTGAATCCTATTATTGACAACATCCCACCAATTCGACATACTATTGGGCTGGAAGTAATCTAGTTAGCATGATCGTTTTCAATGAAAATTGTTGTTCGTACATTTAAAAAGATCAAATCTACGTGAGTGATAAACAAATATTTAAGACTCAGTGCATTTTGCAGCAATATCAGAGGTTTATAAAGTTCCATGGGCACAGTTGCCACAATTTGAACCAGAGATTTATGCCACGTCTTTGTGGTTGTCATTTAAGCGTACATTCTACTTTACGAAGTATCGTACGAGTAGCGATGCTACTCTGAATTTCGTTGTTAAGAGTCCCAAGGGGGCCCCTGAATTAATACGTGATTACAAGTTCTTCTATCCATATAAAAGTAGATATTTAATCAAGCTAATATAACCTACTTCAAAAATCGTCCCACTCACTGTCCTCGGACTTCTTGTTCACAGCATGTTGATTTGTCTTTTCCTCGCTTCCTGTAGCCTGCAAAAAAGATGCATCCTCACCGACGTCAGTATGATTAGGAATTTTCGAGTATTGTGAGCCGCCTGCATTGGGGGTTTCGTAAAAGTTCTGTTGATACTGCTCTTCAAGTTTTTTGGTCAAGTTGGTAAAGGCCTGATATCCGTAGTTCGATGTTTCCTGGAATTTTTGGCCAAACTGAGTGGCAGCTCTTCTAGCTTCCTCAGAAAGATCTTTAGTTTGAATCTGTTGTACACTAGGTTTAATCACAGTCTCATTCATTTCGCCCACTGACTTTGTGACGGCCGATGAGAAAAGACCCCAGCCCCTGGCAAAGGTTCCTAGCGGATCCTTTTGAAGATTTTCAAGGGTAAGAGTGGCCATGGACTGTGAAACATCCTTTTCGGCCTGCTTAGGTTCAAAGGACGTGTTTCCAAAACCTTGATATTTTCCACCTTGCGAAGGAGGCAGGTGTTCAGGCTTTGATTGGTTCTTTTTGCCCAATTCGGAGAAATAAGCTTCATTCTTTTCTTTCTGGTCTTCTGGTAGCTGTGGAGTAGCCCGGCGAGATTCAATAGGTGTGGAGACGCCAACGGAATCCTCGGTTTTTGAAGGTTGTACGGCCTGATCTGGATTGGCGTTGAAAGCGGCTACATCGAAATCAGGATGTTCAGGTTCAGTCCATTCAGTTCCCTCAACCAAACTAGTTAGTTTGTCCTTATAGTCAGTTGCAAAAGGATTGTCGTACTTTGCCTTGGGGGGTAGTTTCAAATCAACCCCGTGAGCAGTCAGGTACTCGGTGAAAGGCTCGTTACCACCTTTTTCCATCCGAGCCAGCTCCTCGGGCTTGAATTGATCCATTGTGATTGATCTCACAAATGAAATATGCACGCCCAACCCTCTATGAATGCCTGCACATTCTAAGCAAATAAAGATACCAAACTTAGGTGAGGCCCATTGGGGATTAGGGGCTCCACAATCAATACATTTCTTGTTGGATCCTACCTTTTGCAATTGCAACAAACGTTTCCTGTTGTCAGGATCAACCGTCCAAGCTGTTGACATTGAGCTATATGATCTGTCTATTTCTAGTGCTTGTGATATAAATTTCAAGATTGACTTCACCAAATTTTTAGCTCGAAAGCTCACTGGAAACCGAGGGTCAAATTGCACGGCTGTAGCACATCATTCTTCTCCAACATGAAGGTAACAGTATATAGGGAGCAATGTGACAGAAATAAAATCTGGTTCAACAATCTCTGTTATCAATAATAGTGATGGTGAACACACTGGATAAATCCTTTTTGAGAAATAGTTGTTGGAAGGAGGGCCTTTTCGATGGCAAAGTCGTTTTTGTCACCGGGGGAGCGGGAACCATCTGTAGAGTTCAAACCGAAGCAATGGTGCTATTAGGCTGTAAAGCAGCTATCGTGGGCAGAAGTAGAGACAAAACTTGTAAAGTTGCAGAGGAAATTTCGCAGCTAGGCAAATCAGATGGTTGTGTCTTGCCATTATCCAATGTAGACGTCCGTGACATCAAACAACTTCAGCATGCGGTTAATAAGACAGTGGAAACGTTCGGGAAAATTGATTTTGTAATTGCTGGAGCGGCCGGTAACTTTATTGCGCCCTTTACCAAGCTGTCGGCGAACGCTTTTAAATCAGTTGTGGATATAGATCTTCTCGGAAGTTTCAATACTGTGAAAGCATGCTATCCGCAGTTGGAAATGAACAAGGGCGCAGTACTCTTTGTGTCTGCTACTTTCCATTACTACGGAGTTCCCTATCAAGCGCACGTCGGAGCTGCTAAAGCGGGCGTTGACGCTTTATCGAACGCCTTGGCAGTTGAGCTGGGCGTCTCTGGGATCCGATGCAATTGTTTGGCGCCTGGTGCAATTGCAAACACAGAAGGAATGTCAAAACTAGCGGTGGGAGATCCAGAAACAGAAATATCCCGTAGAATACCTTTACAAAGACTAGGAACTACTAGAGACATTGCCGAGGCAACGGTCTTTCTGTTTTCTCCTGCTGCACAATACATCACTGGAACAGTACAGATTGTTGATGGTGGCATGTGGCATTTAGGCACACAATTTGGTCATGACATGTACCCAAAAGGGCTTGGGTTTAAACTGAATGCAAAACTATGATTACATACATAAGGAAAAACTCACGTATCTGCGTTATCTGAATTTTGACTTTCTCTTAAAACGTCTTCAGCAATTGATGTAGGAGGAGACACAGCACTAATCTTATCCATTGCTCTCTTAAAAGTTAAACTTTCTTCTCCACCACTACTACTCGCTCCTCCACTGCTGCTACTGTAAGTTCCGCTACTAGTGCTCTCGCTACTTTCTTGAGCTTCCGAGAAGGTACGTTTACCATCTTTGATATGAGATTGTGTACCATCCGCTAACCCCATTTTTACATCCTCATCTGCAGCAGCGACTGCTTCTTTGTGCTCTTCACTTAAACGAATCATTTCTTTGGTATAAGGGACGTAGTCAACCTGTTGAAGAAGGTAGCCGTATTTTTTCACAAGAAATCTGTTCATTATCATAAAATTATTCTTTTCATGGGCCGACATCTCCTCGGTCTGTGAACACTGTGATGAAATTATCCGAAAGAAATCCAACATACTAGAGTTAGCAAGGTTATCCTTGTTGAGGTTTTCACGCAACAAATGAAACATGGGATCATATAGGTTTTTTGACATCATATATCGATGATAATATTCATCATTCAAGCATATGATATTTTTCAAGCATCTTAGAACGGTAAGACGAAGTTGCATAATATGACTGGGATCCATGAGTTTGGCCATTTTAGTAAGGATTCCTTTTTCCAGAATAAATTCTCGTGATATCCTGCGATTATGCTCGGTTGCGATAAAGGAGATGAGTTTCACTAGATATATCAGCAAAATATCATCATTACTCTCGCAGATACTATCGCCTAATAGAGGTTCGAAAAGGATCGGTGCCACTTCTTTGTAAAAGTTACCGAAATACTCGGCCATTTGAAAGCTCAAATTATCATTCGAAATTTCTCCCGAAATTTTGTTGTCGCCACCTTTGCCATCACCGTAAAAATTCATAATTATATCCATGTTTCCACCATCATAATTGGAATCACCTCCCATGCAGCCTTCTGGGTGTAAAAGAGTGTTTAAGGCTTGCACAATCTGTTCTTTCAGTCCCAGACTTTTGTCAGTTAGTAGAATCTTTGATAGAATTAATAATAACGATACGTCAGATGACATGGAACTTCGTACTATGTCTGTCTTTTGTTGGCTAGCATGCTGTTGTTCCTCATCTAGTACCTCATTTTGGTGTCGTAGTTCGTTGTTTACCGTATTGATGAGTAAAATGTCATGCTCAATAATTGTAATTACCATGTCGGTGGCTAATATTCGTATACTGCTGTCCTTTTCAACATTGAATGCAAAGTCAAACACATTAAAAAGACCCTTTCTGACTAGTGCCTTGAAAAACTTCGATTTTTCCACCGGTTCGAGGTTTTTGGTGATTTGAACACATTGATGTAACATTCTGATTCCATCCCGTTTTTTTTCCTGTTCGTGATCTTTATTCTGTCCCGTATAAATCTCCATTAACCTGCTTAGGAAAGCATCCGTTTGCACAAAATCAATTATGCAAGTCTGTAAATCTAGAATAACATCGGAAATCAAGTTAAAGCTATGATCGTCCAAGAATCTCACTAACACGACATCTTTCAAAAACTGCAGACGATATGTCTTTTTGATAATAGATTTCATTTCTTCACTTTGAAGCGGTATTACCTCTTTGAAATTAGGACCAGAATGTTGCAGGTATTCTCGATGGTTGGCTTTCGAAGTTGGGAACTCTGTATCGTATTCAAGTATTCCCACAACTCCCAATACGTGTTCATCATCTACCATTTGTTCCAGCAGTTCTCGCTGGTTGTAAAGTGTTAGTGTTTTTATGATATTGCTCAAAAGAAGGAGATCACGATGCAGATGATTATGCTCGGCTGCTTCAAACACGGCGATAAGCGTGTTGATGTAGTCAGATTTGAGAACGAATTCCATGGTTTCGTTACGAAGGTACTCAAATGCTGTATTTTCGTTGAGGATTTTCAAAGCCTCCATTAATGTTTTCTCATCTTGCTGGTGCTCATTCGAAGGCAAGTTCACAGGACCTGTAATGATTTCATGAACTGAACCCATGCCGTCATCGTTGGATCTGACGGCAACTAGAGAGATATACGTTTCCATTGATTTTTGCACTTGGATAATAAACTCGCAGAGTGCGTCGCATCCAGTGCTTTCCTCAAAACTCAGTGCAATATCCTGGCCTGTGAGATCTTTCCAGACAATGAGAGTTTCTTCTTGTCGTTGATATTCTATGTTACCTTCTAATCGCGACCATAAAAGCACTCTATCTGGTGCCTCCTCATCGTTGACCATCAGGTACGCGGCTAAGTTACTACACTTATCGGACCTTTTCGAGCTTTCTTGATCATTAGAACTTATTCTACCGACACAAAATCCCGTTCCAGTATCTTTCCATTCGTTGTTTTCTAAAATATAAACTTTCACCCGCTTCGGCTCTGTCTCGCGCATCTCATCATGCGTAGAACCATTCATCACTTATCGGTCAGAAGAAACTAACCCAGTCGCTTTTACTTCTCTCAAATAGTGCGTGTTACTCACGTGAGAAACTTCCCTTCAATACTCAAAATGTAGGACGTAAGACTATACACTGTTGCACCTTTGGCTTGCTTGTTTAACCGTCAACTATCGACAAAGCTATACAAGCCAAATTTTTTTTTCGCTAACGCGAACTACCTACAAAAAGAAACGTTTGCAACCTTGTCGCTCTGGGGAGATAGAGCTGTTGGCATAGTAAAACTGATGGTAGAAAGAACGGTAAATGGTGTATAACCCCGACTGTTTAAAATTAATTTATGTATTTGTCATGTCTTCGTATAATTTTGGCTGCCGATCTGTTCTCCTAATGAGTAGGGAACAACTCCCAAATTTTCCTTTAAAGTTTCAAAATTTGGTCAGTTGATGGATATGGAAAGGGTTCAAATCCATATTTGACGGCAAAATCAGGTGGAATGAATCTGCCACCAACAAAATGGTCGGTTTTGTCCTTATCAAGTTTGGCGGAGCACGGCTTAGGCACAGTCAATGATACAAGCATGCTTGGTACTATATGCTCCGTCGATACAGGTCCCTCATCGACATCCCAGCCAGTGGGCACATCGACTGAAACGATAGGCAATTGATCCTGCACGCTAATTAGTTCACTGATGATGGAACCAAAAGGCTCTCTTACAGGAGGCTTGAAGGAAAACCCGAATATCGCATCCACAACACATAAAGTGTCCTTGGCATGTAACAATTGTTTCCAGTCGTCATCTGTACTCAATACTGGAATCTTGAAGAACTTGAGCTGATTGACTAGCTGCCCGTAAAAGGGCGTACGTGAAGATCGCTTTGGGTAGAACACAACGGGACGGTATCCGAACAGCGCCAAGTGACGTGCGCATACCAGGCCGTCACCACCATTGTTGCCCGGACCAGCTACAACCAATATCTTATTCTTGTGATAGATGGAGAGAGGAAATTGGCGCTGAACTGCTTGAGCCACGCTGAGTCCGGCAAGCTCCATCAGCTGTTCCAAAGTGAAACCAATCTCGGGTCCCATCAACTCTTTGTCCAACTGGGCTGCGAGCTTCGAAGAAACTGTTTTTAATGCCATTGCTACGTGAGTGTTTTGTTTAGTAAGAAAAGCGCACGGAGTTCCAGTAAGGGTTTATAATATATTCAGAATTGCTCTCTTATGTAACGACTGCCTATCCCGTATTTATTTCAGGAGTCATGCACAACGACAAACAACTATTTGAGATATTATTATTAACATTGATAGTATTTACTCTTTAGACCTATTTGTATTCATCTTCTGAAGCATGCTTCTAACGCAGCCCATGTCTTCCAGTAACATTTTTCGCAGCCATAAGGTTTCTTGGCGTTCTGACTCGAGATCGCGCTCCAGTTGTTTTATTCTTTGGTCTTTCTCGCGCAAAAGACGGTCATAAAGATCGTTCTCCTTGATGGTTAAGCTTCCAGACGGAACTTGCGGTTGCTGCTGTATATCTTCGTCTATGGTCGCTAGATCACCTTTCTGTTTTTTGGCGAGTTGTAGAAGCTCTTCCACTGCCTCCTCATCGGGCGTCTCCACACCTATGTATTTGCGCTTCCCGCGTCCATTTCCATTGCCATTGGCGGAAAATGTCGAGGGACTCGTTGGATTTGTGTAATACCCTTGCTTGTTGTCCTGTTGAAGTTTTTGTAGTCGCTTTTGTAACTGTTGCGGCAGGGTGTTGTCAACAACTTCTGAGGGAGAATTTTTGGTGGATGTTGCCATACTGTTGACTCTTCTTCTGTTCTGATTCAACATCTGGCCCGTTTTGGCGTCATAGACTGTGCTTATGGAGACCGACACGAGCTGCCACAGTTGATCCCCCAACAGCTCTCCATCCTCTTTGATTTGCCACAGACCGTTATCCAAGCGTCGGAAATACTTTCCATACGGGCTAACCTCGTAGCTCAGCTCGAGCTCTTTCAAAATTTGCTGAAATCGTTGGTACAGCTCGATTGCTGACTTTGGAGACGTCGAGTTGTCGTCCAACAGTGTCGTCGATATTGTTGCATTGTAAAGCTGTGACAGTCTCTGAAACAACGATATATCATTATGACCCGACCCATTCACCTGTCCTCCGGAGTTGGGCGAGCTAGAGGCCGTATTCACCACGCTAGCATCGTCGCCATTGATCGCAGCACCATGTGTGAGGAGCCTGTATGCCTTGATAATAAAAACATCCAGCTTGATTTGGTGGTGCATAATCCCCGCTGATGTCACAGACCCACTCGACTCTCGGCGAAGATAGCTCATCTTTAAACCGGCTATGTTTCTTCCCTCGTTCACCGTATGTTACACCATCACGCAACGATCGCTCTATAGCTCTGCACGGTCCGGCCCAACAGAGATCCGATTCGATGCATAAACGGCTTTCCACAACCCCGCACACATTACTTAAAGGGCCTACTTAAATCTATACAATCTCAATTAAACCACGACAATCCATACGAACCGCTAAAGAGCCACCATGATGGTATCTGTAGGGGATTGAATCTCTTATAACACATTACACATCCGCTTTTAAGACCACATGTGACCTAATGGATATATCGCCATTTACGCTTTCGTCATATCGTACGTCATGCACGTGACCGTCGGGAATTTTCGAAACGCGTCTTTTGAGAAAAGGTTGATTGATGGTGGATCAACTCGAAGACAGAAGCTGAGACGTCGAATTACATCAAAGGCAAGAAAGTAAAGTAACCAATGAGCTCTGCAAATGTGCTATTTCGTCGGAAAAAAGACTATAAGCGCGGGGTTGCGTATTCCGTGCTACTAGTCGGGAACAGTGGGACTGGTAAGACCACGTTCGCCAATAACTTACTTGAAAGTGCTGTTTTCCCTCATCGATATGGGATGGAGGCGTCGGAAGTGCCCAACAATCCACGTGTTAAGGTGGTAAAGCCGACAATGGTTGTATCGTACAACTCTAAAAACGGTATTCCATCGTACATGTCGCAATTCGACGCATCAAGAGAGCACTTGGAGCCAGGTGTTACCATCACGTCGACAACTATGGAGATTTCTACCGGCGCAGAGGAGCCACCTTCGAGATCTTCTGTATCAAGCGACAGCTCATCCTTTCTACAAAATCCCGACAAAATCCTTTTTAATTTGGTCAACACTCATGGCGTGGGTGAAAACCTTGACAACTCGATGTGTTTTGATGAAATCACAGGCTATCTGGAGCAACAATTCGATCAAGTACTAGCAGAAGAAACAAGAATAAAGAGAAATCCCAGATTTGAGGATACCAGAGTTCACGTGGCACTATACTTTATAGAACCAACTGGGCACGGTTTAAGGGAAATGGATGTCGAGATGATGAAGCGTTTGTCGCGCTACACAAATGTGTTACCTATCATTTCGCGTGCTGATTCCTTCACTAGAGCGGAGTTGAGTAAGTTCAAAAAGCAAATAATGAACGATGTTGAAAAGTACAATGTTCCTGTTTATAAATTTGACGTGGATCCTGAAGAAGATGATCTTGAGACTATTGAGGAAAATCAGGGTTTGGCGCTCTTACAGCCTTTTGCAGTCGTGTCCTCAGATGAAAAGAACTCCAACGGTGAATATATCAGATCTTATCCTTGGGGTGATCTAAAAGTGGACGATGAGAATGTGTCTGATTTACGCGTATTGAAAAACGTTTTATTTGGCTCGCACTTTCAAGAGTTCAAAGATACCACTCAAAACTTTCTATATGAGAATTACCGTGCAGAAAAGTTGTCAACTGTCGCCGATTGGGATGTCGATTCAGGAAAAGATCTTTCCACTAATAAGAGAGACTCTGCTGCTCCAAGTTTATCTAATTTTGCTTCATTGATAACTACAGGACAATTCAAATCTTCGCAATCCTTGGCTATTCCACCTCAATCCGATACTCCTTCGACGCCAGAGATGAATGAGCATTCTAAAGAGGTCGATTCTCCGCTAAGGCAAATGTCTCAAAGTATAAGACTAGGGAATGAAGAGATTATCAATAAGATCAAGAACTCGCCACGCATAAATTCCTCGGGTTCACCTGACAGAACGAAACTCAGAAATATTTCAGAGACAGTTCCGTATGTTTTGAAACATGAGCGAATCATTGCCAAACAACAAAAATTGGAGGAATTAGAGGCTCAATCTGCTAGAGAGCTTCAAAAACGCATTCAAGAGCTCGAGAAAAAGGCAGGCGAATTGAAGTTGAGAGAGAAGTTACTACGTCAGCAACACGCAAATGGCTCTGCTCCATCATTGCAGTCTAGAAATTCTACTCAATCGGTGGTTTCGCAGCAGTCAAAAATCAAAAAGGAAGAAAGCACCACGGATCTCGCTTCTATAGTCAATGGTAGATCGTGAGAGAACGAACTTTCAGTATTATGTATCTTAATAAGAGCTCAGGATTGAAGTTTTTCTAGATCAGGTGGACATGCTTGGCAAAAAAGCCACGCCCGTCTTTTGAAAGTATCTTCGTTGAGCATTCCAGGACAATGGTAGAAATTAGATATTACAATGTACATGTACATGAAAATGTATTTAATAAAATTCAGTAGTTTAGCAGAGATCACTGGCTACCTAAGAAAAGCCTAGCATTTCATAAGGAATTCTAGAATGGAGAATTCCGACAAAAAAATATGTAGTATGGAATGGAGTAGTTGAAATGAAAATCAAACATCAATTAGTTATAATGTAAATTGTAGGTAGGTATGGTTACAGGAATCATCCAAACGTGACATATGGTTAGACCAAAAGCATCATTTCTCTTGATAATGATCATATGAAAGACAGAAAATAAATGAAAGGAAAAAGAATACAAGTTTCTTTTGGGCAGTTAGGATGATAGAAAATGGGAATCTCCCATTAGATCTAAGTAAATTTCGATCAAAAAATAAGAGTAGAGAGAAAAAAAAAACAATGAAATGATGATGCGACAACACTAGAGACAATATTTGTCGCAAATTTCACTGGTCGGTAAAAACATGAAGAAATGGTGATTCATGTGATGAACTTTAGGATGATTTACCAAAAGCAGCGGCATAGCTGTAATTACCACTGCTAGCACCACTACTGTTACCACCTCTTCTGCTATTAGGTCCTCTGACCCCAAGTGGATTTTTAGAAAAGCTCAACCTGATACCGCCTTTGTTATTATGGGCACCACTCGAGCGAGGTAATTGTCTACCATATAATTCTGCCAAGGCTCTGGTTGCATGTGCAACGTCTTCAAATTCTACAAAGCACATGGGCCCGTGACCATTACCATTAGTATTTTTGTTCCTGAACGAAAGCCTTCTAAAACCTTTTTGTCCCGAAAACAATTGCCTGAGCTCATGCTCGGTAGCGTCTGGAGGAAGATTTCCAACGTAAAGAGTGTTACAAGGTGGGTTTTGATCGGCAGGATTTGCTGGAGGTGGAACACGCGCCAGTAGAGACAAGTCAACCTGCGAAATGCCAGTCCCAGATGAAATTGATGCAGATGATGAGTTCTTTTGAGATGTGGCAAGATTAGACTGCGAGCCCTTTGACGTCGAAGAACGGTGACCACTTGACTTATGTGGGCCGTTAGAAGCCTGAGATTGTTGCGATGATTGACCAGTGATGGATTGAATTTGCTGTTGAGTTTGAGCAGATTGCGGCTGCTGTGCTTGAGAAAGTCCTATGTCAGCACCAGGGGCAGAGTTTGGTTGCACATGGCCAACGAGGCTATATGGTAAAGATGTGTGCTGTTGCAAGCCAGTGGGCATTTGATGAGATATCTGATTTGTTAAATGCATGGAGGAAACATCGTTGGAAGGCACTGCAGTTGGACCTACAGATGAAAAAAAGGACGAACTTTGTCTCCTCCCAGAAGAGCCCCACTCAAGAGATGGAGTTTGCGGTTGAGAGTTTACGGCTAATCCGCTCATGCTTGAAGGAATCCCGCCATTCGAACCCCATATGCTTTCATTGATTTCATCGTTTTCCATCAACAAGAAAGATTTGCCCGCATCGTGGGATTTCAATGGCGTAGTAGCATCTTGTTGCTGTTGTTGAGAGTGATGCTGGTGAGGGGAGTCGTTGCTAAAGGGATCCGAAAATGAAAATCTTGAGCGTTGAACCAAGAGGCCCGGTCTCTTGACGGAGGATGCAGATTGAGGTGGGGAGATCATATTGGATGAAGAGCCAGGCAATTGAAATGCATTTTGAGATTGCTGCTGTTGCTGTTGCTGTTGAGATTGCGCCTGAGAGGGATGCTGTTGTTGCTGTTGCTGTGATTGCTGTTGCTGTTGCTGTTGTTGCTGGTGTGAATGCGGCTGCGGCTGCTGCTGTTGCTGCGTGTGCTGGTTAACCTGCGACTGAGTGTCTGGCGAGTGGCTCAATAATTGGGGAGAATGCGATGCCTGGTGGAATGAAACTTGCTGCTGTGTGAGCTCGTCGAGGACCTCGACGTAGCACTTATAGGGAAAGCTGGGCCCAAATATCTGGGACTTCGCGTCAAAAATGCTAGCATATTGAGAAACCAGGTGCAAAGAGTCGAATTTTGCCACTACACTTTGAACCGCAGCTTTTCCTTGCCCCTGCACGGTGTTATCCGTGGTTTCACTCAAGAGCTCGACGTTGAGAACTCCGCGCGCCAATGCAAACAATGCGTAGCATTCCCGCAAAGTGAGATCGTGAGGAACGTTCTTGAGCTTTAGCAGGTAAGGGCCTTGACCACTACTACTGGTGTTACCCTGGGATGCGGGACCCGCCATGGTCAGATTGTTGAGCATGGTAGTGAGGTTCAGCGGAGAATTGTTGTTGGAGTTGCCACCGCCATTTTGGAAGCTTCCAGCGCCAACGCTGGGCAGGCCGGATTGGTGTATTGGCGACGAGTTGCCCGGCGTGACTAGCGCAACATTGTCAGAGCTGGTGCTGAAGGCGCGGTGAAGCCCGAATCCGCTCCCATCCAGGGGTGACGCGCTGGTGTTTATAAGCGACATGAAATTGCTCGAATCGGGTGTCGGGGCACTAATTGAAGAAGGTTGATGTAGTGTAGGCCTCGAGTGCACTAGAGTTGAGCTTAAAGGGCCGTTTACGGATTGGCGTATACACGCTAGAAAGCCTAAGTCTGTGCTGGAAACCTTGACGAAACTTGACGATCGGCGAAAAAGAAGGGAACTGAAAGAAAAAAACTGACTTTATCGGTCGCTCCTCCCTCGCTCGACTTATCTTTCAAAAGCTAACTTCGTATTCTTTGAAATTTCCTGAAGATCTCGTGTTTCCACTTTCTCTTATGCTAGGAATGCCTTAACCTAATGGTTCTGTCTTGGTTTCACTTTCGTGGATGAACTTCCTTATTTTTTGTGTTTTTTCTCGTCGCTACTCCCTGTCGCGGATCGTCCAAAAATACCGTGCTGTTTATTAGGAAAAATTTTTCTCTTCTACGTATGCTTGTTTGCGTCGCGAAAACGTCACACACGACACATCGCTGCCAGAGAAACGCGCCCGTCCCCACACGCACCCGTACGCGCGAGCCAGCCCACAGGCTCCACGACACTTTCTAACTGTCGTATTGGCGACGCCTAGAAATCCACCTATCTACATTTGAATCCTTATCAAGCAATGAACTCGTGCACTTGAAAAAGTGATAGCGTCTGGAACTAGAACGGTGGAAACACGCCAGCACGCTAGAACGTTACTCGTCAGGGTAACGACGGAGGCGGCAGGGCCAGAAATTTCCTCCACGCCTCTGTGGAAAAAGGCCGCGGACGGGTGCGGGTAATCCCTGCGTTTGCCCTAGCACTAGTGCGTGCACTTGTGTTTAACCTTGGTGCCGGTTCCTACACGTGGGGGGAGACACGAGCGAGCAGAATAGAGGACGGCTGGGCGGCATCCTACTGGTTGAGATAAAGAGCGCGCATCACATGGAGTAAGGTACAGTTATGCAGGAATAGGAAGCAGCGACTGGCGCATTGTAACGCCGTGCGTCGTAACGTCACGCGCCCGGGGTACGAGATGGTTGAGTCACGTGAGCGTCTTTCTTTCCAAGAGGCATAACGGTCCCCAGCATCGTTAACAAGGCAGCAGCTGGTGCTGAAGGCAACCGAAAGTGACAGCATAGTTGGATAGCGATAATTTCTAGCATTCGAGGAATATAGTTGCAGATTGCAGGTCCTTGAATTTTGCAAACGCAGCCCATCGCATTCAAGACTGTGAAGCGTGCAAGCAGCAAACCGGGGTCTCATTCCACACTGGCTGTACGCAGTTGGTCAGTATTATGCTGTCCCCGCAACTTTTGAGAAGTTTGGCGATTTTTTGGGACACCATCCTCGAATATTCAGCAGTTTCCTTGTTGTCACGTGACCCCGAGCTTTTATACGCAATTCGGTCTTCGTCTAAAGTATGCCCAGGCCTGCTACATGCAGCGAACCAACCGGACCAGGAGCTCTCGAGAGTGCTGGTCGGAGTTGCCTGCGTGCTGGGACGTGTACTTGTGGCTAGACCAGGTGAAGTTTCTCGCGTTTGTTCGTTTCCTCCCTGCTTTTGCGACGGTTCATACTTGCGAGCCTGAGATTCCATCGGGTTCTTTCGGGCTGCTTGCAAGGACAGCTTGGACTTATCGAGGGCGAATAGTTGCTGTAGTTGAACATTTGCGACGCCCGGGCTGTTCTTTGCATCGTCTATACTTCGATAACAAGGAATCCCCTTGCGAAACTCCTTGAAAACAAACTCGTGACCTCCTGTGATTTCAGTCGTTTCAGTGATTATACGCTCGGCTTGGCTCATTGATTCAGCATAGTTAATAGGAGTAGTCACCTGTGAACTGTTCTGGTCTTTCTTGGTATCCTTGCCCACCCGCTTTCCTCCTGTGGCTGTCGCGTTGGTTTTTCCAGAGTTAGCCGCCGAGCTCTTCTTCTCTGGAGAATCTGTAGATCTCTTCCCTTTTAAAGCGCCATTCCCTTTGTAATTCTTTTTACCCATCTTTCAAGCACAGTAAGATTATTTGTTAGTTGATTCTTCGAGTTTACTTTTATCGCTTTTGTGCAAGGGGCAAGGCGAAGGAGACCTATTACTTACTGCACGGTATTTTTCTGCATGTCACTTTTTTTTTAGATGGTGACCTATCAAAATCGTCCGTCTGAAGAACCATTCATTTAACCTAACCTAAAACCTATAAAAGTATTCTTAAACACAGTGCAAAAATACCTATGATAAAATATACGACCAAGCGGACTACATCATAGTGGACTCAAGAGCGAGCTTGGGTTTTGACTCAACCTGACCACCTTTTGGCAATTCTTCATTTTTCACTTTCTCCATTGTTTCCATCTGGGCGCTCCTTGGGATGTTGGATTCGTCTCTGACCATGGGCATTTGCTCGTGTTGTCCTCTACTGGATTCCAATGGATGATCAGCCGATCCCACCGAGACATTTCTTTGACCATGTGATCCTTGCATGACGAAACCGGGCTCTGGCGCGTTTGTTTCACCTGTAGAGTTCTTGCGATGAGCAATTGCTCCGTAAGTAGGAACATGAGGATCGACAAGACTTGGTAAGTTTCCCATAACCTTTGCATAACTATCTGCAGTTTCGGATGTTGTTCCTCCAAGGTTAGAATAAGGATCAGATTCATGTCTAGGCCTTTGAATCCCAGGTGCTAGCGCGCTTTGTGGAGGCGCTGGAGGTGCTGGAGGTGCTGGAGGTGCATACGTTGCAGTTTTATTTTCATTGGGCTGAGTGCTGGTGCTTTCAGTTGCATTATGCGCCTCATTGGCTCGTTTGCCGCCATGGCTATTTTTCCTTCCAATGACAGATCCCATAACCTCTTTGATCGTTGTTCCAAATGATCCGTGCTCGTGATTTTGTTCAGAGGAATCTTCAATCGCTTCTTCCTTGGGAGAGTGTGATTCAGATTTCCTTGACAATCTTCTTCTCAAAACTGGGAATGGTGCCCCATTGCCCATACTCAAGCTTCGACGCTTCTCATGAGTACCTTCATCTGGAGATTCCGCTGATTCCATTAGGGATGAACGGCGGCGACTGTCTTCGGGAACATCGGCAGTTGTTTTCATTCCTTGCGCATTCGAAACTTCGGGTCTGTACTCATCATACCCATGCTCAGAATCTGAATCTACAGCTGAAGTTGTAACTTTAGGCTTGTAAGCTCCATGAGTAATTCCAGGGTTGACATGTGGACTAGTTTGAGCCTTTCCGTGGCCCTGAGCCATCGCAGCGGAAGGATTCATTTGGGATTGGTTCGCAAAGTCACGTGCATTATAACCACCGGACATTCCACTTGTTTCCTTAGCAGTTTCCCTGCCCTCGTTCCGAATGGGAGGTAAGTCCTTCATCAATGGATCATATGGTTGTTCCTCAGTTGTTCCACTTATGCCAAGGTTTTTCATACCAGCAGAAATCCCTTGAGGATTAGCGGTCTCAGGGTCACTGCCATACTGGCCCTCGGTCCCTTCTTGAAAACCTCTGTTATTATCACTTTCCGTTACGAGAGGCTCGCTTCGAGCTGACTTGATTTGTGAATTCTTATTTTTCGAACTTATAATGACAGGTTCCGACGTTGGCATCATTGGCGCATCCTCCTGATTTGGCGCCTTGGTGACTTTGAATTTATTCAATTCCTCCTTTCCATGCCCGCCAGTGCCCATCTTTTTGTGGAAATGGGAACTGTCGTGATGCGTGGTGCTTTCAGCTTTCTTAGACTCATGAACTCCTTCCACTTTATGAGGATGAATCTTCGAACTATGCGGATCATCAGCAGTTCTGGAATTCCTGCGGTGTTCAGAACTTTTACTCTTGAAAGTGAAGACATCTTTCAAGTGTTGCATTGGTGAACGTTCCTCTGTCTCACTCCCATCCTTGACTTGGGTTTGGGCGTCTTTTTCGTGGGATTCTGAGTTTTGTGCCCTGTCGTCCCTCAAGCCTTTCCCTTCCCCTCCAGAGGCAGTTTGCTCGGAGGCAAGATAATTGTGGGGTCCCGAGGAAATGCCTCCAACGGGGAGTGTAGTACTGAAAGATTTTCCCTTTCCTTTTGAAACGGGCTTTTGAGTGTTTTCTCCCTGTTTCCAAGTTCCTGGCAAATCAATTTCCTCTTTCCCACCAGTTTGCATGGTTCCTGGAATGCCCTGTTCAGTCCCCTCCTGATAATTTCCAGATTCACTTTGGCTTTGGCTTTCTTTTTGGTGGTGGTGGTGATGGTGGGATCTCTTTTCCTTCCGGTGGTGAGCTTGAGTTCCCTCTTGGTGAACAAGGTCTTTGAAAGGGTTAGAAGAGATGTGAGAGCTCTTCTCTTGATCGAACTTCCCTTCACCACGGGATGTCACACCGGCTTCTGCTCCACACACAACAGGATCTTGGTGCAGCTCTTCGGAAGTCAATCTGTACATATTCTGTTGCTCGGCCGGCGCCCCTCTCTCACTGCTATCCTTCTCGAATTGCTGAGTTTGTGGCAGGCGGTCGTCATTAAGACTACTTAAATGACCTTCAGGCATTACGTCTGTGACACGAGACGTCCTTGAAACCTCGGTAACAGGAATAAAATCTTGTTTCTGTCCTGGCTGTTGAGTGGTTTTAAACGCTGTGGTGGTTTGCTGATGCACCTCTACCATAGGTGATACACCGGCCTCACGCCGAGAATCATTTGCTGATCTGTTAGTTAAATGTGAATCACCGGTCAAGCTTTCGCTTTGGGTCGGTTCATCATTGGATTTCTGATTAGTATTTAAGATGCTGATTACGATATTTGTTAGTATTACGAACGAGTATTATTATTTGGAACGGTGTTGCTAGAGTAATTTGTAGTATGGACTACTTCTTCATTAACTGTTGGAAGCGGTTGAGAAATGGGCTGAGAGCGCTGGTTATTATATGTGGGGTCTACAAGTTCAGGCTCGAGGTCAACGTCGTGAACGGCCTGCGGAGAAACTGTGCGCCTCCAGAAAAAGAATTTCTTGGGCTTAGAGGCTTCATTAGCTCCATGGGTATCCAAAGTTGACTTCTCCATACCGTAAGTATTCGCTGAATCCGCGGAATCGTAACCGAAACCTTGGTTGCGCTTCGCAAGCTTCCTGGATACTGAAACCAGCACGGTGGACCAAATTGCGCACATCGTCAGCAAGGCCACGCTGGTCCATATGAAAGCAAAATTCTTCACACCAAGTCTCGCAACCCTCCCGTTGTCGTGGAAGACATTTCTGGCCTTGACGTAACAGCCAGTGTAGAGACAGGCCGCCAACGTAATAAAAAACCAAGCTAGCCAAGTGGCCAGAACGGTGAAAAGAGTGCAACCAAAAGCAAGAGTGAAAATTGACATGAACATGGGAATGATGGCACACACAATGTAAGTCAAACCAATTAGCAGCATTGCCCACCCCACACGAGACAGATAGTAGTACGTGTTTGCATCATCCATAAATGCCCCAGGCAACTGTGTCGAAGAACCGAAATTATCCCTAGGGGAGAACGGCATAGCGGCACGGTTGTTGGAACAATTCGCTAAAACGCCGTCCTGCGACCCGCACCAGTTGTAATTAAACCATTTCGTGCGATCAGGTGCAGAGTTAAAACCAGAAGTATCAGCTTCCAACCAATAAAAATTTTTTAGCACGCCAGAGTGTCTGGCTCCTGACAGTATAACAAAAAATGAGAGCAACCCGGATCCCAATAGAAATAAACAAAAGAGAGAGCTAACCGACTTTTTGAAACGCATTATTCTTTTTGTTTGCTGATTTGGGGTCTTACAAATTTTGAGCTCAAGCTATAAAATCTGCTTTTATGCAGTTTTCTTCTTCAATATGTTATTGCTCTGAAACTAATTGCTGAGGGTGATGACCCCATATTTTCCTTTGGGCGCCCCCCTTCGTCAAAATTTTTTTTTCTTGTTTTTGCTATTGCCGTTCGTGGCTAAACTTACCGGACTTACTCAATGAAGAAAAACCCTGAAATTTTTGAAGGGTGCTTCAATCACGAGGCCCATTCCTCCTCAGAAAATGGTGTCTGTCTGCTCAATTTTGATTGCGTTGGGGCCGGGATTGTGGAAGCGTAGTTGGGATCTCATCTCCTCCAATGTGCATTCGATTGGGGTCCAAGTAAGTAGTTTTGCAGATGTATTTATCGATACAGCCGTCCTTGAAAGCTTAAAAGAGAACTCATGACCAATGAAGGAATCAAATTCATTATATTTAGCGTGGTAGTCTCGAACGCTGAAGAAGTAGCTCAGGTTTTCAGGCCCGATAATGTCTATACGGAGTATGCGGGAGGGGTCGAGTAAATCTTGCGAAATGCAGTCGTTCGTGATGTGAATTGCGAGTTGTCGACCCTTCAAAGACATCGCAACAACTTTGCCTCGTACGTCATACAACACGTGCGGCGCGGCCTTGCCGATCATATGCAAAGAAGGAATGTCGATGTCCTTCACTATTTGGAACTCGGTAGCTTCAAGATTTAGCGGAGAAGGTGGGCAGGCCGCGAGGTTAAGCTTGTCGGACGATGTTTCCGTCGAGCGCCGGTGCTTGCCGTGAACAGATGGGGACTGCGCCTGTTTGTGAGAACCGAGTTGAAAGAAGTCCAGTGCGACGGTATTCCGTTCCATCCTTAGCGGGAAGAACAGTGAAAAGTTGTCAAAAAACTCCGCCAGGTGATATTGCGGGATGCGTTGTATCGCAGTTTGGTAAAATGATGTCAATGCCCTCTTTTCCTCTCCACGTAGGTTGTTTTGCGCTTTAACAGGGACGCACGAGCGCACCGTTCCGTCAATACTGCCGTTATACATTTTGGCCTTCAGAACAACCTCGCATACAATGCCCCTGTGTGTCAAATTATGGTCACTCCCCGTGAAAAGTTCACTAAAATCGCATCCAATCGCACTACGCAGAGCTCTGGAGAACTTCAAAAACACGTCGTCATACATAATAAACATAAACGCTTTATCCTGGCTTACACGATCCCTGTATGAGCCAATAAAAGAGTCAAAACAGGAAACCTTGTTCAGAGGGTGCGAAGTGAAATCAGTGAAAACGAACTTTCTCATGTTACCATTGCGTCTTTTAGCCGCAACCAATAATGCAAAGACTCTCACGAACTCAACATCACCGTAAGCTTTAATACTCAATTGTTCAAATTTTTTAATCGGGTCGTCAAATTGCTGTGAGCTGGTGTTCGAGGTTTTAGACTCTTGAGATGCCTGAGAGTCCTGTGATACTACTATTTGTGGAAACTCTGGTACAGCAATTGTGGAGCAAAGGCGCTCATCTATCAGGGTAATTGAATGTAATGCCCATGAGAAGCTGAAGTAGCCCCGTGAGAACAAAAAAGGATGCTTTTTGACTCGAATGTCGACAAGACCGTTTTGTTCAACGTAAGCCTGCAGATCATTCAAATAATTTGAAGAATTGGTCTTGAACGATGCTAAAAGTGATGCAAGTAATTTTTTTTCATCAACGACTTGAATTTCTACGCAATTAGTGTGTGGATTAATAATTTTATCGACATTCTGCGGCCCACCTTCTTCGCAAGCTTTAAAAAAAAGCCTTAGCCCATGTTGGCCTCCTAAAGTGCTATCTGATACCATTCCCATGAGTACTCCTCGCTTATGATAGAGTTCATCAGACGACGCTAGAGCCAATGAATATTCAGCTGGGCAATCTGGAAGTTTCGCAGACTCAGGTATTTTGCGCCGTTTAGGAGAAGGAGTAACCGACTCTTCGTGAGACAAAGAGCCATCAGTGTGCTGAGTATATGTCACAGAGGATGTAGCGAGGGAAGTTATCACCTCTGGAGATAGCTCATCGTCACTCGATTCAAACACGAAATCAGGACACGTTTGACGAGTGGGAACTTTCTCTAGTGCCGAATTTCTATCATTTAATCCTCTTAAATTTGTTAGAGGGACATAATTACTTTCTCTTGTTCTTCCTGTATTTTGCCGGACAGTAGACGGCGTTGGCTCGCTAGGCTTTCCCGAACTTTCTAAAGAGCCCAAAATACTTGAATCGCATATTTGACTGCACGTTTCTTCGGATTCCGTGATAGAGTCATTATTAAATGATTTTCCTGACGATGAGTTCAAGATAACTATTGTTTGGTTTGGCAGTTGTTGTGAGTCTAAATGTTCAAACGTTTCTATGCTATCCTGGTAGGACGGTTGAGTATCGACATCTTGTGAATCAAAGTCATTCTGCGATTCGACCGTCAAAATGTGGGCTGCGGCTCCAAAAATTGGATTTCTCATGTTCGTTTGTAAGCGTATTTTCTCTTCTCGGGCCTGAACAAATTGCTTCATTTTTGTATCATAATTCACTAACTTCACGAACTTAAATTCTGCCTTCGAATCATTGTTTAGTTTGATAAGGTTATCAAAAATTCGAATGATTGAGGAATGATCATTGGATTGTTTTGAAGGTTTGGCAGAAAAAACACCCTGTAAGTCAATAGGCCGGATTCCTTGCAACAGTATTGAGCCCTTCTTGTTGTTTCTGGTAAACTTCCCCTTGACATGAGCGAGACATAGTCTTTCAAGATATAAATGTGTCATCATAAACCCAGATGGACTGTCTACGCATGGTATGTCCAGATCAAATGGCTGCGATAGTAAAGATAACGTCATCTTAGTTAGGTTCAAGGTTTCAGGCGTATCGCACTTTATTTTGCAAGCATAAGGGATAGCATCTTCCTTGCCGTTTTCAAAATTGTTAAATCTCAACAAGCATCTTGAGCTGGGCTTGAAGTCAATTGCAGTAAGAACGGACACAAATTCGATGTTAAAAGTAACGCATTCGAGATTATCATGAAGATGAGGCAGTACAGATGGACTTTTCACGTACTCATAACGGTTAGATTGTTGTTCCATGAGTGCACATAAAGGTCGGTACTTTGAAATTAAACATCACATTATTTTCGCGTCTAAAATACTTGCATGCAATCTCGCGCATAGTTAATTAAAAGTGAAAATGAAGGGTATGATCCTATTTGTATGCACCCACCTGCTATTTGGATAAGTTTTACCACTAACATTGACCTGTATAGTTCCAAGGACAAAAAAGACGAAGGGCAAGGCAATTTCCGCACCCCTCACACAAGAAGACTTTTACCTTGAAGGAGTGAACCTTGAAGAGCAAGCCGAGCGATGGGCGCTGTCCGATATTAAGAAGACCCTGCGTCTTTATCTGGAAGCATATAGATCCTATGAACGTGCTATTGGCGCTCCCGGCTCTACACTTGATGAGTCTTACAATGTCAGTTATAATCAGACTCGACTGTTTCTCAAGATTTATACAGAATATACCGCCAATGATGGTCATATCAATATTTTAAAGTACGTGAACCTGGAAGATCTGCCTGATGTGAATCTTCTATGCCTTAATCTCCCTGCAATCATTGAAAGATTCCATTATGTTGGGACCGAGTTTGACGACAGATGCACTTGGGACTTTTATTTCAACTTATTGATTTGCTATTTGAGTCTTGTGGAAAATGAAGACTTGATTGGAGAGCAGCTAGTTGACCTTTTTACTAAATTCACTGAAATTTCTCAAAAGCTGATTCAAGAGCATATTCAAGAACTTGAGAAGCTTATGGACGATGAGAGTACTGGTGAAGGCAGCAATGAGATCTTTGAACCCCAAGAAATGAAGTCAAGTTTCGATATGAGCACAGGTAAAGGAATAAAACTCAACTCTGAAAAGCCTGCCAAGGCAGAATTCGCCGAAGTTGAAGACGGACTAACCCCAGAAACGTTCTTGGAAACGTTATCCGTTAGTGTTAGATTTATTACTGCGATGATGGAGATTCTTGTAGAGACGTCAAATGCTGATCAGTTATCGGTAAATGAATTTCAGAGAAATTATCTAGAGGACGGATTAAACAAGTTTTTTTTGCATCTACAAGACGTCAGACACAATGTCAAGGTCTCAAGTGCTGATTCAAGTGATCTCGATTTGGCGTTTAGATCTATGCAAGGGCTCAAAATCGTAATATCAGGGAGTTTGGAAGATCTTCAGTCGTTCGTTTCTTCGTCGTGCGAGAATCTGGACGTCTTTCTTAGTGATGTGAATATAATAGAGACAGCTGTCTCCTTGTACAATGACTATGACTCAGTATGGAAACTACGCGCATTGTTTGGTAATACTTTATCCAAAGTCCAGACGGTTCTTTCTTCTAAGAGGTCTGCCATAATAACAGGTGAACTCAAAAACATGGAAAATGAGTTGAGTCCTACTGTGTTTAAATTGTGTGATGCTATGATCACAAGAGCCGACAATGAGTTTGAGCGATGGGCAATTCTAAACAGGCAAGCCATTCAGGAGCAGTCACAGACCCCTGACAATCTCAAAACCCTACAAGTTTTAGAAAAGAATGGAAAGGTACTTTTATCAAACGCATCAGCTATTGCACAGAAACCATGCGGTTTCCGAGAATACGTAACGGACAAACTCAAGAGAAACTACATTTATCAACAGGCACACCACCGATTGGAGTATCTTACTAACGGATCCATCAGTGAAACTGTCTCAGATATTATCGAGGAACATGACTATTACTCGAATATGCGCCTTCGTAATTAGGCTTCGCATCTTCAAACGAGGCTTTTTTCGTGTATTTTTGGAAACCGTTTTCCATGATGCTTCTAATTTGTTAGATATAGTGTAAATATTGAAAGCACCTAACGCGTTGCCTTTCGGGTAACACATTTATAAACCAAGACTTTGATCGAGAATGAGTTACAACCATCCGTATCAACAAGGTTCAGGTGGTTGGAGTAGCAGCACTGGACACTTCATGAACCAACAAACTGAAAATGACCAGAATCATGAAACCGATTCGAGCAGAGATAGACAATACCGTGATTTTGTTAACCACTATCCCACAGGGTACTCTCCAGAGCGCGCTGAGAATCGTGATGACACTCCCCAAACTATATATACACCAACACATCATCAGGCTCAGGCTTATAGTGTACCGGCTATAAATGTGTACCAGGCTCCACAAGCGATCCCGCTTGCACAAGAATCTTTAGCTCCTGTGGACCAGAGCTATAGCAATGACCAGTTTTACAATATGAACTATAATCATGGATCATCTAGTGCCCAATCAAGCGTAGGTGATTACTTCCCACAAGACACCCAGCCCATATTGAATCATACGCATGATGTTGCGTCGCCGCCCTCGACTGCATATCCATCTAATCCCAATCAACCATTCCAATATTACAATTACGATCCAGAGGATCCCGTTGAATATGTTGATCAAAGAGGGGATGACTACCAGATTAATACGTATCTCAACAAGAATGACGAAATGGCGAATCCCTACTCGAGCACTTTTGATTTAGATGACTATGGCGAGAACGAGAATTATCCAGAAGGTAGTTATGGAGATGAAGGAAGCTTAATGAGTTATGAAAATAGTAGAGATTTGGGTGAGTATTCTTATGATAACGACAATAATACGATAGCAAGGCTTGGCTCCACCAGTCATTTACTGGATGGAGATGAAGACGATTACAAGTTCGATAAAGGTGAAAAAACTGATGATTTCAAAGGTAGTACGCCCACAAGAAGGCGAACAACGCTGAGAAGATTCAAGCTATGTATGGGTAATTTTATCTTCGACTGCCCCATCAGTGAACAGTTGATAACAAAATATGCGCGAGCAGTTGATGATCAGAATAAACTCTTTAACGAGTTCAAATTTATGAGATACCAAGCGGTAACCTGTGAGCCCAGTGATTTTCAACTAAACAATTTCACATTAAGACAATTGAAATACATGGTTCCACGACAAACGGAGCTGATGATAGTGGTTACTATGTATAATGAAGATGACGTTTTATTAGGGCGTACTTTGAAAGGGGTCATGGATAATATTCGTCACTTTACAAAGAGAAAAAACTCTTCAACTTGGGGTCCTGACGCTTGGAAAAAGATTGTGGTTTGTGTAGTATCTGATGGTAGATCAAAAATCAATGAGCGGTCGTTAGCACTTATGAGTGCACTTGGCTGCTATCAAGATGGATTTGCCAAAGATGAAATCAACGACAAAAAGGTTGTAACACATGTTTATGAGCACACGTCTAAAGTTAATATCACCAATATCAAGGATGGTGTAGTTGAATTGGCTTGTGGAGAGAACACCGTCCCTGTTCAAATGCTATTTTGTCTAAAGGAGAATAACCAAAAAAAGATTAATTCTCACCGTTGGGCTATGGAGGGATTCGCAGAAGTTTTACAGCCCAATGTTATTATCTTACTTGATGCTGGTACCATGCCTGGAAAAGATTCTATCTATGAGTTGTGGTGTGAATTCAAAAATCCTCAAGTGGGTGGTGCATGTGGTGAGATAAAGACAGATCTTGGTGGAGGTTTTCTTAAATTGTTGAACCCATTGGTCGCCTCGCAGAATTTTGAATACAAAATGTCGAATATCCTTGACAAAACCACCGAGTCGAACTTCGGTTTCATCACCGTTTTACCAGGTGCTTTTTCTGCGTACAGGTTTGAGGCAATCAGAGGTGAGCCGCTTCGCAAGTACTTCCTTGGAGACGATTTGAATGCAACCGTGTTTATATCAAACATGTACCTAGCCGAAGACCGTATTCTCTGTTTTGAGGTTGTCACTAAAAAGAACAGTAATTGGATTTTAAGATACTCTAAGAGTTCATATGGTTCTACTGATGTTCCTGAAAAAATTCCAGAATTTATTCTACAGCGGCGTCGTTGGATGAATGGTGCCTTCTTTGCAGCATTATATTCGTTTTTGCACATTTACAAAATATGGACAAGCGGTCACAGTGTTGGACGCAAGCTCATGCTGAACGTCCAGTTTGCTTATCTATTCTTGACTACGTTGGTCTCATGGTTTTCTCTCAGTTCATTTTTCCTTGTATTCAGAATTTTGACAATGTCGATCGCTATCACGTATAACACACAGAAAGTCTTCCGTGTCCTATCAGTTATCTTTCTTTGGCTTTATGGTGTCTCTCTTCTCATAACGTTTATTTTATCTTTGGGTAATAAGCCGAAGGGTACGTCCAAATTCTACTTGTCGACATTCATTTTTTTTGCAATTTTGATGATTTATATGATATTCTGTTCGATCTTCATGAGTGTGCATTCCATTGAAAACGTCATTAACGAAGGGAACATAACATTCAAAGGGTTGCTAACTCAAGAAACTTTCCGTGACTTGATTGTTTCTATGGGTTCAACCTATTGCTTATATTTGCTAAGCTCTATTATCTATTTGCAACCCATGCATATGCTCACCTCGTTCATGCAATATTTACTATTGTCACCTTCTTACATTAACGTTTTGAACATATACGCGTTTTGTAACGTGCATGACATCTCATGGGGTACAAAAGGGGCTGTTGCGAAGCCTTTAGGTAAAATTCAATCCAAGGAAGATGGTACAGTCAAAATGGAGATTCCTGTATCTGCTAAGGAAATCGATCAAAATTACACTAAATTCATTGAAATATTAAGCTCAGCACAACCAGAAGAACAGGATGAAGAGATTCCATTCGAAGAAAAAAAGACTAACTACTATGCAATGGTGCGGTCGCTGGTCATTATCATTTGGGTCATTTCGAATTTCATCATTGTGGCAGTAGTTCTCGAGACGGGAGGTATAGGACAATATGAATCGTTAAACAAGAGTGCCTCAACTTCATCTACCGCTGCAGACAACAGTGTATCAATATTGTCCGATAGATCAACAATTTACTTTTCTGTGATCTTATGGTTGGTTGCTTTGATGGCAGCCATTAGGTTTATTGGATGCACCTTTTATCTTGCAAAAAGAATTTTTAGCAAGTTTATGTTCAGATCTTAATAAGTGATTGTATATAAGGTTAAGTGTAGTATACTTTTGGCATTTTTAGCATATTCCCAAAAATCATTTGCTGATGCATTGATAGAATTCTCTTATCTTCATTTTTCGGTGTGTGAGAAATGAGTGACTTTTTTAACCGCGTTCAACTGAAAAATATATTGTCATAAAGCGAAGTGAATTTGGCTGCATAATCAAGGCCAGCAATGAGAATTGTTTTACAGAAGGTCAGCCAAGCATCTGTGACTGTGGACTCAAATGTGGTTTCCGTGTACGTATAGCTATCACAATCGACCAACCGTGAATTCTTGAGTAACTAACGACAAAAAAGCATCAAAACGGGTTACATGCTGCTCGTAGGTATTTCAACCCAGGATACCAAAGAAGAGGTACAAAAACTATCGAAGAAAGTGCTAAGCCTTAGGATGTTCGACGATGATACAGGCTACGGCTGGAAGAAATCTATCCAAGACGTGAATGGTGAGATTCTTTCAGTATCTCAGTTCACTTTAATGGCCCGCACGAAAAAAGGGTCTAAGCCCGATTTCCACCTGGCTCAAAAAGGCCACTTAGCCAAGGAACTGTACGAAGAGTTTCTTGCCGAACTTAGAAGCGTTCTGGGGCCCGAAAAGGTGAAGGATGGTGTATTTGGTGCTATGATGAGTTGTTCTTTGGTAAATGAAGGACCGGTCACTATCATTTTTGACACCGACGAGGCAAAGTAATCGTATATGCATGCATTTATCTCGATGTATAGAAACTCATAGATAGTAATCACGAGAGGGGCACTCGGACTTTAAGTCATCTGATAATGTGCGACTTTTTTCGAGCCACATTTTACCCTGATCGGTGTTTAAAAAAAAAATGCAACGAGTCATATCAGCTCTCATCACACTATACATAGAATACTTATACAGGGGTATAAACAGCCAACCTCCTTGTGGTTGAAACAACTAAAGTCGAAACCATGTGCAGATTTCTGATTTTCAAAGGTATGTCTGATTTACGAAAGCTAACTTTGGTTTCCTAGTTTTTTATATTAACCACAAGTCTTTATCTAGGCAAAGAACCTATACGTTTGTCACATCTTTTGACGCGTCCTGCTCACTCCATCATCAACCAATCATTCGATAGTCGGCTGCGTCTAGATAGAAGAAGACCTATTAACGGTGATGGGTTTGGTGTGGCGTACTATCCTCTAGATCATGAGTTAGAAGAAGATGGGCCTTGTCTCTTTAAGGCCATTACGCCAGCGTGGAACAATCAAAATTTGGAGACATTGGCGGAGAAAACAAAGTCGGGTCTTATATTTGCTCACGTAAGAGCTTCAACGTATGGTGTGTTATCGGAGACAAACTGCCATCCGTTCAACTATCACAGCATAACATTCATGCACAATGGTGGGATCTCCAACTTCCGTAAGATTAAAAGACGGTTTTTGGCTCACTTGGATGATGAATATTTCAACATTATTCAAGGTAGCACTGATTCTGAGTGCGCATTTGCATTGTTTTTGGATACCCTTGACAAGATGGGATACGACACAACAAAGAAAGACGGCAACTTTGGCCATGCTGTTTTGAGGCGGTGTCTGTTGAAGACCATTGACTACATTAAGGAGTGGACTAACGAGGCTAACAAGGACGACCCCAAGGCGGAGCCTTCCTTGCTAAACTTTGCCGTCACGGACGGTTCGAGCGTGGTGGTTTCAAGGTACGTGACGTCTAAAACTGACGAGGCGGCGTCTTTGCATTTCAGCTGTGGGTCTAGTTTTGTCGAGTACGCGCCCGGGGAGTACAGAATGGAAAGACTTGATAGAAACCAAGATGTGATAATGGTTGCGTCGGAACCCTTGACCTTTGAGAGAGGAGACTGGACGACTGTCCCCACCAACAGCATATTAACCATCAAGAACCAAACCGTGCTTTTGCACCCCACCCAGGACGAGTACTCGCAAGAAGATCCGCTATACACCCGTAATTCCTCCTTGGCCGAAAGCAAAGGTCTCATGGGCTCTGTGCCCGTGTCAAAGCCACTGGAAAAGAATGTTCCCCCACTGGAGAGAGAGGGCCGTTCCAGACCACAGACTTCAGTCATGGTCAACTAGTCATACTTATCATATTTATTCTCGCTCAGAACGGTTGCTGTCCGCGGGATAAACGGAAATTACATAGAATACCTCAGACAGTTTTTAAGTAGTATCATGTAAGAATAGCTCACTGTCACTGGCTCAAAAAAGCTCATATACCGCTTCGAAACTCGTCACCACTAGGAAGTTTCGATAGATACAGCCAAGAATACACGTTACTCCCAGTCTAGAACTTTCTAAGCTGCTCCTGAGGAGTCACAAGCACCCACCGCCCCGGCCTTATGACATGACTCTCCCTCCGAACCTCATACTCCCAGGTTTTCCTGCGATGCGATGATCCTTTTTTCCAGATTATGTAATCATGCGCTTTCAACGGCGCCAACTAATTGTATTTGTAATAACGATATATTATTAAGGATTGCTTTCAGGAGACACTAAAGCATAAGGTGGGCACCCTTATTTTGAGAGTAGGTTCTAGGTGAGAATATGCCTCAGCCTTGATAGCAATCAGCCCGAGGTGGGGTATATATATGTGTATAAAAAATGGGGTAATATGGAGCGTGAAGTCTAAGTGAATCATCAACTTGAAGAAACTAACAACCATATTCAGCTTAATAAATAATGTCTACAGCAGGATACCAGGATACTACACGTACTGGCGGGGTCTCTAATACGGGAATAAATTCTGGGGTGCCCAACACTGGCGTTCCCACCACTGCGGCTAATGAGAACTACACTGACACTGCGGGGCCTAACGGCACTTACAACGATGCGGGCGTGATTGGAACCGAAAACAGAAATCAAAATAGGACCGTTGACCCCACAGTGCGTACTGAATACACGAAACGGTCGGGACTGGGGTTTTTACTGATGGATGTTCCGCTTGTATTGTTGCGGCTCGCGCAGTTTGCATGCAGCGTGATCGTGTTAGGACTACTAGCGTACGTTTTGCATGGGTATGACTTTCATGGCAGCCGTAAAACGAACTATTCTCTAGCGACAGCTGTGATTTCCACTTTCTACTTGTTGATGCTTCCAGTGTTCACAGCGGCACTCGCACGGTTTTTCGTGCCAGGAGCGTATTTGCTGATGGAGATCACTTTGACCATCCTATGGCTCTGTGCTTTCATTGTTTTGGCTGACGCGCATGGTTCCCACAGCTGTGGTTTGAGTCAGACGTCTACTTACAATGCAAGCTACGGGAGCTACTCGAGTTTCTTGGCGAGCAGCGGCTATTATGACCCATTCCTTGAGCAGTACACTACACGAAACTACGGGAGACCTTGTCGTTCTGCGAAGGCAGCCATCGCATTTTCTGGTTTGGCGTTTATTTTGTTCTTGATTAGCACTGTCTTGGTGGGCGTCTTCGTGGTGAGACCTATGTTGGTGGCAGGTGGCTCTAAGGCGTTCATGCAGCCATACACCAGCTACGGATTCCGCTTGAACAGGATGACGGGGTTGAATGTCATGGAGGAAGGCGGAGCTGCAGCTCATAACGAGCCAGAGGCTGTCGGCCAAGACCAGAGAACTTTCTCTACGGGAGACTCTACTTACAACGGCACACACCCAGAGAAAGTGGGCGACGGACACCAACGCAATATGTCGGGTGTCACCGACATGGCTGATCCAGTTGTTGCTGCCCCTGTCACAGGCGTGGGTCAAAACGATGTGGGCCCAGTGACAGGCACACGAGTCTGATTACTTGATCCAGTCACTACCCCGGCCTACTAATTTTTCAGACGGGCCGGCTCGCATGCGTCAGGTTTATATTTTTAAGGTCTACTTTGCCTTTTCTAATTTTAATGTTCGTACTGGCGAGGCCAGTAGTATGAGTTTATGCTATCTAATTAATATAACAGCTTAATCTTTCAGACATAGTTATGACCTACGCCAAGATGAATGAAACAGACGGAGAACTGGAGCCGTGGCTGGGTGGGTACGCACATGAGGAGTGGTACGACGAACTAAAAGAAACTTTCACAGCTCAAAGAGCCTCGAAATATCAGACACTACGCCGAAAGAACCTGCCAAGAAGTAACAGTCAAGGATACTTACTAAGCATGCGGTGGTAAAAGAAAGGCTACAACAAATCACATGACCTCTCCGTACCAAATTACATCCGAATTATCTGTCTTCTTACGTGTATAGTGATCTGTGGTTCTATAGAATTCCATGTCATCTAGTACGGCCGCGGAAGACGGGACCGGATCCCCAGATGGGAAATTCCCGCATGCCAGCATTCCATTCCGACGTAGTAAGACACGTGAGTTACATTCGAGCGACGTATTTTTTAGTTCAATATCTGCTTGAACCGTAATTCCATCCTACTGACCCCTCACTTTGGAAAACCTGCGCCGTCGTATCCTCCTGGTGGTCGGGTTAGGATGCCTTTCCTCTTACTTTTTGTTATGGAATGCTCAATTCGGGCAGCTGGAAAAAAAAAAAATTTCTCAGCACTCATCTGAGGAAAAATGGCCAGAATTGTAAACAGACATTTTTTGATAGAGGGAATTATTTTTTTTCCTCGTTTCTTCGGAAGCCGAGGAGGGGGAGGGTTTAAAAGGGAGGAGATTTTGGCAACGAGAGTCGTTTCTGGCTGCTACTTTTTTTTACTTCTCTAGCGATCTCCACCACTATTTTTACTAGCGAAGGGTTAAGCTAATTTCGACGAGTGTTCAAAACTATACGATAAGATGAAGCTATCCACTGTTGCTGTTACCACCTTGGCTGCCGGTTCTGTTGCTAACGCTCACAAGGACCACGGTAGCAAGACTACCACAATTACTCTAACAAGTAACACTCACACCTACGGTAGATTCAACAAGACCAAGGCTTCTAGCACAAGCAGTTCTACCGGTACTCACAAGTACGGTAAGTTCAACAAGACTATCAACCCAACCGCTACTGTGTACGTCAAGGATTCTGCCAACGGTGCTCCAAGCAACTTCGGTCCTCAAAAGGCTCTAGCTCTAACCATGGGTGGTGCTGTTGTCGCCGGTGCTCTAATGCTTTTGTGAGTTGATGGTTCTGTAGGGAATATCGATTTATGCGTGGTTGACTGGAAACATGTTATCGTCTGAGGAATAATGAAAACATTACGTTAAGAAATACTTTTACCTTTTGTGGCTGCGTGTGCGTGTGTGTGTGCGTGTGTGTTGTGCTACTGTTCAAATGTGTGTGTGGAGTTTCGTCTCATCTTAAAAAGCTGGAGCGAGATGCGGGCGCCCGTAGCTCGTTGCGGCAAGTTTTTTTTTACGAACTTTTTTATAATTTTATAATTAATTTGTGTGTGTGCCATTAATTTGCGTTTCTTGGCGGCCATCCGGACCTGCTGCACAACGGCAGCTGCCTGAGGCACTAGAAGCTTGCCTTTCTTCGAGCGTTATTTTATCACGGTTCTGTTTCAAAGGAACTTGCCTTTCTTTGTTGTATCACAAGGTGTGTTTCGTTCAAAGCGATATCGTCCGTTTAGCACCCACACACCACTGACGTGCATTGCGATAAACTTTCACCAAAAAATTTTGTGAAGCAGTATGGTTATGGCGTACTCTTCGGTAAGTTTACTCTGACATTGTTTTACGTCTCTCTACAAGGATATACACATCATGGACGGCGATTCTACCTCGGCTAACAAGTTTGTTCCAGAGTACAGACGTACGAACTTCAAAAACAAGGGCAGATTTTCTGCAGATGAGCTACGTCGCCGTAGGGATACACAGCAGGTTGAACTGAGAAAAGCCAAGAGAGACGAGGCGTTGGCGAAAAGAAGAAACTTTGCTGCCCCTCCTGATGGAGCAGACTCTGAAGATGAGGACGATGCAACCAACTCTGCTGATCAACAGTTCTATCAACAACTACAACAGGAGCTACCTCAAATGATTGAGCAAATTCACTCCTCCGACTTACAAGAGCAGCTTAATGCCACTGTTAAATTCAGACAAATTCTATCCAGGGAGCACCGTCCACCTATCGATACCGTGATCCAATCAGGTGTGGTGCCAAACCTCGTGAACTTCATGAACGAAAATCAACCTGAGATGTTACAACTTGAAGCAGCTTGGGCATTGACCAATATTGCCTCAGGTACTTCTGATCAAACAAAGGTGGTTGTAGAGGCTGGCGCTGTTCCTTTATTTATTCAGTTGCTGTATTCTGGCTCAATCGAAGTAAAAGAGCAAGCAATCTGGGCTTTGGGTAATGTGGCTGGTGACTCCACAGGTTACAGAGACTACGTCTTAGGCTGTGGTGCGATGCAACCCATTTTGGCGCTGTTCGATTTAAACAAAACATCCCTGATTAGAACTGCCACTTGGACCTTATCGAACTTGTGTAGAGGTAAGAAACCTCAACCCGACTGGAGTGTCGTCTCGCAAGCGCTACCTACTCTAGCAAAACTGATCTACTCCATGGATACTGAGACTCTGGTTGATGCATGCTGGGCCATTTCATACCTCTCTGATGGTCCTGCCAACGCCATCCAGGCCGTCATTGATGCTAGAATTCCAAAGAGACTCGTGGAGCTATTGAACCATCAGTCGACTTTAGTCCAAACTCCTGCATTGAGAGCAGTGGGTAACATCGTGACTGGTAACGATTTGCAAACACAAGTAGTAATCAATTGTGGTGTTCTAGGTGCCTTGCGTAACTTGTTGACCTCCACTAAAGAATCCATAAGGAAAGAAGCATGTTGGACTATTTCCAACATCACTGCAGGTAATACTGATCAAATTCAAGCCGTTATAGATGCCAATTTGATTCCTCCTTTGGTAAAACTATTAGAAACTGCTGATTACAAGACAAAAAAAGAGGCCTGTTGGGCCGTCTCTAATGCATCTTCAGGGGGTTTACAAAAACCAGACATTATCAGATACCTGGTTTCTCAAGGTTGCATAAAACCTTTGTGTGATCTTCTAGAAATCGCAGATAATAGAATCATTGAGGTTACCCTTGATGCGTTGGAAAACATCCTAAAGATGGGTGAGGCTGATAAGGAAGCTCGTGGATTACATATCAACGAAAATGCCGATTATATAGAAAAAGCTGGTGGTATGGAGAAGATCTTTAACTGTCAACAAAATGAAAACGAAAAGATTTACGAAAAGGCTTTCAATATCATTGAGCAGTACTTTGGCGAGGATGATGACGCCCTGGACGAAAGCATGGCGCCCCAAACCGCCGGAAACACGTTTGGTTTCGGTTCCAACATTAATCAACAATTTAACTTCAATTAGTAAACTGAATATAATCATAAGCACCAACCTCTCCCAACAAATTTTTATCTTTAGTATTTGTCATTTTCTATTGCTCTCTTAGTTTTTTAATCTCTATTTCCTCGTCTCTGCCTGCAACTATATATTTTTAACTTCAGCAATGATTTGTTAGTGGTAACTCCTTTTTGACCTTTAATTTAATAAATATTACATGTAATACTAATTTTTCTCTGTAAGTTGGCTTGTTTTGTGTGGTTGAAACAAAGCATTACTGCCTCTGAAAATGAACGCCAATTTTTGTAAAAAAAAAGCTCCACTTGGTGATAATAAACAAGGCATTTAAAAAGAGGAGACAACTTTAATGGATGACACCACTAAGTAATCACGACTCGTATCTTCCGTCTTACGAGTCCAGAATAGTAAGTGAGTCTCGAGTTGCACGAATTAATGAACTTTACAACAAAACGAAGAAAAAATATCATGAACACCGAGACTCTGTCATTTCAAACAATTCCACATCTGTGCAGGATGTTGGGCTTGAGGACCATTGTCACCCTTTGTCAAATGTTCCTAATCCAGACGACGCTCACATTCTTGCCCAGGGACCGCCGACTGTAACAATAAAAGCCGAACCACCATCGAATCCGTTCCATCCACCGGTACATGAGAACAAAACTTCTCCTGAAGAAAACTACGAAGAAGAGTTACAATTTACACCCAAACTGCGATCAAAGAAAAGTATCATATCATTTAGGTCCTCGAGACATAGCACGCCTTTATCGCATGGGAAGTCAACTGCAAGAGAGGATCGGAGTTTTGGTGTTGTACAAGAGCCTCTTTTTTTCAACACAGACAACAAAAGGCGAGTAATGAGCCGCAGAGATAGATTAAAGGAATTGAAGGGCAAACTTGGTAACCCTGTTCCATTAGATTACTTGAATCAGGATGGCCCGGCGGATGTGTCTTCATTACTGGAGCGGCGTCAAGAAATTGAAAATAGATGGAAGCGCATTCTCTCCTCTGATAAGGGATTAAATCATCAGAAACTGCAAAATATCTCTCATGCTTATGAGAGCAGGAATAATTCATTAGTTTTCTCTGATGGCGATATAGTTGCAGACTCTTCTGTGGTGCATAATAATGACATTCCAAACTCATCGAATAATAAGCTAGATGATATTTCGGAAGAAGTCGAAAAAAATCACTTAAGTATTTCCATTGACCAGATTACTGACATACGCGAAGGCATAAGAAATAATAGCGAGAGACTAGACAAAGTTATTGAGCTTTTAGGCGAAAAAAACTCTAACAATCGGAGAGAAGTTGTATTCTGGGGAATCTGTATTATAATACTTATTCTACTTAACATTTACGTGTATAAGTTGTAATTTACAAGGGAAAGGAACCATTTAATATTTACAGTTATTCATCAAAATCGTTCTTTGGAGGAGTGCCATTTTCATGTCTCATGTACAAGTCGATAGCAGTTGAGAATGCAGCAAAGCCGGCACAACCGACAAGAGCAGCAGAAGGTCCGCTCTTATATGCCAGACCACCTCCTGTTAAGCAGCCTGCTGCAACCCCATTGTAAATGTCATTCTTAGCTCTTATCGATTCAACAGCACATTCAACACCGGAGTAGATCATACCAATGTACCCAAAATTTTTTGCACTAGAATATGACCGCTTTCCCATGTCAGCGAATTGGATCTTTACTTGTTGCTTAAAAGGCAGGTCTGCTATCTGTTTCACGGCACCACCTAGTGGTGCGCCTCCCACACCCTGGGGAGACGGCGTGTGAAGAGGAGTATCATAGGACATAGAGGCCATAAAAAGACCAAATAGACCACCTAATGCGAAACCTGTAACACCACTAATTACTGATTTTCCAGGACACGAGGTCATGAATTCCATCATCATTTTAGCACCATGCTCACCCTGTTCATCAGGTGTCATTTCGTTGAAGCTCTTATTTGTAGGAGGAGAAACTTGCTCAAGACCAAAGCCACGAAATACCATCTTCAATATTGTTCGTGTGTCTGTGCTTGTCTCAAATCTCTAACGATAATATTGATGAGTAGTGAAAAAAAAAGAGATTTTTTTAAACTATGCATTACAATTAGACGTACCTAAAGAACACGAACATGTACTTATGTACACAGTAAGAGAGCTTTACAGTACCAAGTGCATTTTCGATGGTCGCAATATTCAGCATGTGTGGCAAAATGAGCTTGTTGCTTGGAAGAAGCTCACTGACAACTCGAGCTATCCTTTTCCTAAGCTCGAGATTTCGAGCAAGCAAGATGCTACAGCACAAAGCATTCATGACTTGAACAACCCTGTTATCTGTCAGGATATAAGCTGGTCATTTGATGGCACTTCATTTGTGACTACTCACAGTGACAACGGAATTCGTCAATATCTTGTTCCAGACGATGGTGAGATTACCTCGTTAGTTCCTTTTAAAAGATTTTTCAGACCACAGTCTATTATCAGCTCCCGAATTAATCCAAATTATTCCCTTTTCGGTTCAAATGATAGCAATGTGATTTTGGTGGCATCGAAAGAGTTGCCGATTCAATTATTATCATTGTCTGCAGATGCTGATGAACACAGTTCGCTTTTCAATTATGAAGTCCAAAACCCTGAAAACGAAAATTTTGAGACAGTTTACGCTATAGATTATGCAAGTGACAGATTATTTCTTGCGGGTTCCGTTAGAAACAAAGTTTCCTTGTATGATATAAGTAGGAAAACTCCAATTTGGCATGCCCGATCGATCAAAAAGCACTGTGGAAAATCCCCCCATCGCGCCATAGTTTCATGTTTTGATCAGTCCATGGAATCCATCCAGAAAACACATCGATACATGGCAACCTATAAAAATGATATATTTCTTCTAGATATGAGATCGCAGAATATTCAAAATCTCAAGTGCAGTTTCAACTCAGATGACAACCCCAGAGGAGTCATTCAGATTCTTCTTAGTATGAACGGTCATTACATGTACGTTATTAAACGTAATAGTTCCTTCATTGACATTTTAGACGTGCGAAATAATTGTGAGAGAGTTAATAGGCTGGCTCTTCCATTTACCATCATTAAGCAAAAATTCAAGGCATGCATTGATCAAACGAATGGTCTTTCAATCGGTAGCCCCGACGGTAAGCTCCTTCAATGGACGAGCAATATTATTGAGTTTGGTGGAATACCAAGATCCGCAGTTGAAGAGACTGGTACTGATCTGGCCCCTTCGATGGTTTTTCAAACTAGTTACAACGAATCTAGGCTGAATGTAATTTCTTTCAATCCGGATATGCCACAAATGATGTGTGTATCTTATTCCCCTGATAAGTTCAGTGAAGAACAAAACACCAAGTCAGGAATTGCGATATTCGAATTATAAAGAGAATGCATCTTTGTAGAATTTGATCCGCTCGAATTCCTCAAGCTTTAAAAGTTCCAATTTTTTCTTAAGCACGTAATACTCTTTTCTTAACAAATCCTCTTGAAGCTCGTGTTCTGAAATTAATGAAGGTCGGTCAAGCATAGCAGTCGATATGCTGCTACCTCCGCTACCATTTTCAGCTATATCTGTGTTGTCCATATCAACGTCACTGCCATTTTCCATCGTGATACCGCTAGCCAGGGAATTAGCTCTGCTTGTACGATGCGATTCTAGGGAATCTTTAGCAATTTCTAATCCACTATCGACTTCTTCATCAAGTTCCTGTCTTGCATAACTGGATAGTTGCGATAAATAATCATTTGTACCCGTCATTTTTTGGAAATTATTCCAATTACGAATGCTCTCAAAGAACTGTTCGAAAAGAACAGGCTCCTCCTCCGAGGTAATTCGCGGTACAGTTTGTCGCAAGCACATATGATCCAGAGCGTTATCATATTTGCTACAGAACATTCTCACTTCTAATTCATAGTATCTGGATGAATGACATCCATATTTCTCGTCGTCTACACGCTTTTGGGTATTTTGTCCCTCCATTGGCACGTCATCATCTGTTGCTCGTGGCAAGGTTCGAAAGGCACCAATGTTCAACTTTTGATCCTGTAAGCTTTTTTTTGGATCCACTACAATGGCCACATACGGATCCTGAAACTGTTGGTTCAATTCTTGAGTTTGGACATCTGTTCCACTCAGCCAACAACCATATCCCGGATGTGAATGATACCAGCCGACTATATTCCACGACTTTGCATTTTTATCAACAATCTCACTCATATATTGGACCATATACTCGTATGATTCAAGTTGCGCGTTAACTCTTGTTTCTGTGCCCTCAACGGGTAATAAAAAGCAATCGTAAACGATTATTATATCTTCATATACTGTCCCCACTAACATCCCCATTATTTCTATATCTCCGCCCTCTACTGAATGTTGCAAGATCTTAGTGCATGATAAATTTGAGATGAAGACTTTTTTGAAATATCTGGGCTGGTCTCTTAAAAAATCAGGGTTTTTATGATTCTCTTCTTTCCGTAGATTTAACAATGATTCTAATGTCTGCTCCTTTTCATCTTGGGTTTTGGATGATTGTAATTGAATGCTGTTGCTATCTTGGGCGTCCCTTACAAATGCAGAATAACGTTGCGCAATGTTTCGCAGGCTATTCACCTGCTTATTTTCATAGCACATCGCCAGTTGCTTTGTAATATGTTTTATCTATGGACTCCCTTTTTGCAGACTATGAAATAGCCATGTGCACTTGTGGCGTTGATATCCTCTGTGATAAGAACTATTCCGAAACAGAAAATTTACGCTAGTTTCTGAGACACTTCAATAAACTTGAAGCTAAAGACATTTTGATTCTGGTTAAAATGAAAGGTAATCGTGGAAAGAGATTGATATACTCAAATTCATATTATATTAAGCCATAAGTCAAAATGTTTATCTACTATACATTGCATTTTTTTAGATTGCTAAGTTGCGCGAAACTTCTGTAAGATGGTTAACCCGTCATACCAATACAAAGTTTTCAGCCTCTCTTTTCAATTCCCCCATGAACTCCAAAAACTCGCCAATATTAATCTCTGTACCGTATTCATACACGTAGGTACTAGAAAGGTAACTGGACAATAGTGCTTTCAAATAAGGAACTGGGATGTTCTCTAAAACAGCGGTGGGGCCTGCCACGTCGATCAAAAGCTTTGGAATGATTTTATTCAATAAAAGGAAATTACGCAGCTTCAAATCGTTCAACCATAATTCGTTTGAGTCAATCAAGTTATCATTTAACCTGTTGATAGTTTGAGAAAGGACGTTTGAAAGCTCAGAAATTGGAGTACCTTTTTTTTGATTGATTGACCACAGTTGTTTAAATTCGGCGCGAGCATTATGTTCAACTTTCTCTTGAACTTGCTTAACATATTTTTGATAAAGTGGAGTTCTCTCATGAGGGTTATTGCCAATGAATTTCCCGATGAAATCAGAATCGTTCAAGGCCAAGGAAGCTAAAACTTCCATAGACGATGAAGTCACACCACCTTTGTTGGTGGAGGCATCCTTGAATAGTATGCATCCATGTGCTTCAAGAGCAAGCTTGGCTGGTTGAGTAATGAATAGGTTTGCACCTTCAACGATGTAAGGAATCTTACACTTGTTCGTCTTTTCGTCAATGAAGTAGTGAAGGGTGTTGATATCGATCGAGTTTGGTCTGCCACCACATGGCACAAATAGATCAACTTTGTCGACAAATTTAAAAACTTCCAAGTGGAATCTGTTTCTGAAAGTGGTCCCGTTGGCAACAATGACACCGTTTGGTAACATGATATCAATATCGTCTACAGAAACGAAGAATCCGCGGGGACTTAATTTAGATTTATCGAATTTAGAAACCATGTGTCTGGCATGGGCCAATTTCCGTAATTCTGAGCTGTCTAACCCTTGAGGATCGCAAAGGACACCTGAACCATCAACAATCCCTACGTATTGTTCATTTGGAGTCGCTAAAATGATTTCATTTGAACCCAAATCCCCATCTGGACCACCGGTTTGAAATTTGTTGATGGGGGTTTGTTGTAATCCCAAAGTTTCGTACAATTTGTTGACATAAGCACGGACACTGAGAGAAGTCATACCGTAAGCATCATGAGGAATACCACCCATTTGTGGGGATTTACCCGTCAAGAAAGACTTCCACCATGGGCAACCTCTACTCTTGGCATGGTTTGTGGCCCAATCTACAAACGTTGCAGTACCTTCGTCTGGGCCAAAGAACAAAATCTCAGGGTGCTCCATTAGATCGACATAATCTTCCTTCAAAGGATCATGAATCAAGATGTCAATAATGGCGTCCACGTATTGTGAAAATGCAACAAAAGTTTGTTCTGGTGAGACCAAAGTGGGGTTCAATAAGATGACACCTTTGGAGCCACCTTCAGGAATGTCTTTGTTTTTGCGTTGTTGTGTTGAAGCCAATTGGTAATTCTCGTCAATGACCATTTTGGAGTTTGTATCGTAAATTTCCTGAGTTCTGGAACAAACGATACGAATACCACCACGCGCAATATCTCTGAATCTAATGTGGAAGGCCTTGAATGTATTACCTACCACGAAGAATATACCGTATGGGGTCTCTGGGAATTCCACTTTTGGCATGATCAAAGCGGGATTCAACCTGAAGGAGATGGCCACTTTCCTGGTGATGAAGAAATTGGTTTTCAAGATAGCTTTATTAAACATGTTTAAAGTTTGCAAAACCAATAAATCGGGGGAATCATTGGGGATGAATTTATTCAAAAACAATTCAAACTCAGAGTCATCTTTGAAAGGTTCGAGTTTAGATAGTCTTTGGTAGGACAACGTTTTTTCCAATCTGGACGAGGAAACGTAATGAATTTGTGCGAAATTCTTGTAAAGTTTGGAGACAATTACTTGGTACTTGTGAAGAACATCGATGATCATTTGCTGAGTATAAGTTTCGGTTCTTAATTTTTTCTTCAAATTACTGAGAACTTCTAGAAGAGAGGTATTTGTGTTTTGGGATTGGTTGGAGACGTTTAATTGGCCCAGCAATGTTTGATAATCGTCACCCAACCTATTGATGAAGTGGTTGATGAAAATGGCACCGACGTGCGCGTAAATGGCCTCTTGAGGGGAGAAAGATCTTCTCTCATATAAATCTTGAAAGAAATTGCTTGGGATAGCGTACATTAGGGAGGCCTCTCTTTCGACTTGAAGGATAGACATGGACAAGTTGTGGAGCACAGTTTCCGATTGTTGGGAGCCGTTCAAGTAAATGGAGTAGATAGACACGTCGTTGGCGAAAGTCTCGAGATAGATCTTGGAGGGCTTCAATTGGTAGTAATGGAGCAAGGACGAGAGCGCAGTGTAGTACCGCTTGGTAGTTCCGCGCTTGAAGCCGATTACAATGCGAACTTCATCTTGATCAGCGACAGAATGGAGGGTTTTGATAACAGGTCCCTCGCGTTGGCGCATCTGGTTCATCAATAGCCCGTAAAGTTTTTTGTTTTCCTGGGAGGTGACTTGGGACATGGTGATATCACTTATGGAGTCGATATCGCCTTGGTAAAGTTGTTCTGGGGTGAGATCTGGAGAGGCAGAGGTGTCTGAGGCGTCTGTGCGGGCTGAGAAGCTCGTGCGATACACAAATGTGAGTTTGAGCGCATTGTCAGCGATGTAAGAAACGAGACGCCAGGAGGCGTCGGTGGAATCCAGGAAAAGATCGTCGATATCGGCGTCCAACGCAGAGCCGGTTTGTAAAAACACAGCGTGGGAATCGGTGACGATCTTGTCGTGGACGTGGAGGCCTGGGGCCGCCACTGTGGCAAGGTTGCTAGTGGCAGCAGCCGCTTCAGGGTCCGCGTCACTGGCGATCTTGAGTTTGGCAAACGACTCGATCTTGGCTGCGTAGAGCGTGTGGATGATGTTGGCAATCATGTCGGGGGACTCCTTGGAGAAGAAGAGATCGTCGATGCCGAGCGCGCCGTAGAACCACTCAACCTCCTGCTCGATGACATCCTCGGGGATGAAGCCCTGTTGGTCGAGGAGATCGACGACCGCTTCCTTCTGGGCGTCACGGCCCGGGAACTCGAACGTGTGGTAGTCAGAGATCGACGAGATCGAGAGTGTGGCGATGTCTGGAAGCTGGGCTGGAACTGGGAGACGGTCCATGGCAGCTGATAGGATATGATTTGGGTGGGGTAGTGGAGTGCGAGAATGCGGAAATGCGTAAATGCAATTACAACCTAGCACGAAAGTGTTATTTCTGTTTGAGAAGGGGCGAGGTTATTTGGAAATTGCTTGTGGGGAAGGGCAATTATTCAAATTGTGTGTCGCAAAGCGTCGCGCGCGGATTTCTCGAAGTTTTATAACGATTGGAAGACAGACCAATTGGGAGCCTACTAAAGCATTGCAGTGCGTAGCATTGCCCTATATATATACGTTTGTAAGTTGGAACTCGGATCCCGCGCACGTTGCGCGTGCACACACCGGGCGTGCTAACACGGGAGCTCCAACTTGGCCGGCCCACGCGCGTGCGGCGCGAAGTGCCGGACGCGCCAGATGGCCGGACTAGCTACGAGGGCGCACTGAGAACTGCGCCGTTGTGTTGACACTGTGATACGGCGTGCGCGGAGCGCACGCTGATGTCTACGATGACTCGAGCCGAGTGTCAGTTTCTTTTGGTGACGATGAGCAAGAGGCGGAGAGAACCGCGACAGGAACGCAGAGAGACGCAAGATACAGCCGAAAGAGGGCTCGAAGGACGCAGTCTGAGATGTGGCGCATCGTCATGGGCCGCATGCCGCCGATTACAAACGCAGCCTGTTTACCAACACCGGGTTGTGTTATCTGTTTACACAACAGATAGCAGCCATAGATGCAAAGCGGAAGATTCCCGCGAGTGGAACGCGGCGCATTTGGAACGGCGCGGGGTTTAGCCTCCGCAGGTCGCGTTGGACGGGCGTGGCGGGCGAAAGGACGAGCGGACCAATGGACGGGGGGGAGAGAAAAAAAGAAAGAGGCGTCCCGTGTCGCGTGATACAATGGCCTCGTCACGTGCTCTTCCGTGTTTCGCGATTTGTGCCCGAGTCACGTGCTTTGCTTATGTCATGCCGTGTTTCGTGACTTTCCGCTCTCGTTTCTTTTTTGGGACTCTCGGCGCCCCTTTTCCCACCCCGGTCACGTGCGCGCGTCTTTCCCCAAGAAAATTTTTTCGTCTTCGCCTTCGCTGCAAGCCTCTTCTACAGCTCATCGCGTCGGATCAGATTGGAAAAAAAAAGTACCCACTGCCAAGTGAACCACGCAACCCATTTCTACACATCCCTGCTCGACATGCAACAACACGACTCGGTCAAGCCGCTAGTCGAGCGCATCGTGTCGCAGCCGCTGCAGTTCCGCCGCGCGCGCGTTCCTGACGCCCTGGAGTCGAGGCCCGCGTCGTGCGTCGTGATCAGCGCGGACGAACTCGCACCTACCGATGCCCAAACCAGCCCACAACTCGCCAAGGAGCGCCAGACCGCGGCCGTACCGGCCGCGGCGGCGCGTACCAAGCGTGCTTTCATGCCTAAAAGCTTCTCCGAGGCGCTCAAGATGTACACCGCGCGCACGCCGGCGCACGACGTGGAGCTCAGCGACGAAAAGTACGACAGTTCCGAGGACGAGGCCCAAGAGGCCCACGACGCAGTTACGACGGAGCCGGACGTTCTGGATACCACGGACGGACGTGGCAGCAGCAGCTCCGACGACAGTGAGGAGTTTCACGAGGCCAAGGAGTACGTGGGCGAGGGCGTGGGCGAGGGCGTGGGCGAGGACGTGAACGAGGACCTTGGTGAGGACATTGGCGAGGATCTCGGCGAGGACCTTGGTGAGGATCTCGGCGAGGATCTCGGCGAGAGTCTCGAGGAAAACGACCAGGCCGACCGCCGCGAGATCCACGAAAAATCTCAAGCCGACCCTGCGAACGACTGCGACGACGACTCCACCGCCAACTCCACTGCCGACCCGGTCGCTGCCAGCGACGACGCGTCTTCCCAGGACGACGCCGACTTTGAGCTCGACGCTCGCGACTCCGAAGACTCCGAAGACTCCGTCGACGATATTCCCGACGCCGAAAAGGCAAGCCTGTTCAGCGAAGCACAAGAGCACCTCAACAACCACCACGCGCCCTCCAACGTTGCTGCCGGCGAGAACGCGTCCAGCGAGGACCCTGAGCTCAAGCACAAGCTGCCTCTCGCCAAGCGCACCTCTCCTACTCCACCCACCACTCTACCCGACACGCATGCCTTTTACCAGTTCAACGAAACCCCAGCCGATCGCGGCAGCAACGGCTCTCTTCGCATCGTCAAAAACTGGGGTCCCCAGCTCTCCACCATGAAACCTCGCGGACTCCTAAACCACGGCGTCACCTGTTACACCAACGCTGCCGTTCAAGCCATGCTTCACATCCCCGCCATTCAACACTACCTGTTTGCCGTGCTTCGTGGTCATTACAAAGACACCATCGCCCCAAACTCCGTCACACAAACGCTCGCCGAAACCAGCAAGCGCATGTGGTCCCCAGAGGCCTCCAAAAACACTTTTATAAACCCTAAAAAACTCATTGGCCGGCTCGACGACATCAATTGCATGATGAGCGAATGGCAACAAGAGGATTCTCACGAGTACTTCATGTCTCTCATGTCTCGTTTGCAAGAGGACAGTGTTCCACGTGGCCACAAAATGACCGAGAGTATCATATATGACATCTTCGGCGGGCTCCTGATGCAGGAAGTCACTTGCAAAAGCTGTGGTGAAATTTCCAAGACCGAACAGCCCATCTACGATTTGTCATTGCACCTGAAGGGTAGAAAACCTTCCACTTCCTCGGACAATGCCAATGACGACTCTGCGTCCACGGAATCTCCCCAACGTCGTTACTCCATCGAGAAATCCATCCGTGATTTCTTCAACCCGGAACTCATAAAAGTCGACAAAGAAAACAAAGAAGGTTACGTATGTGAGAAATGCCACAAGACCACAAACGCTTTGAAACACAACTCCATATTACGTGCTCCAGAGACGCTCTTGATTCATTTGAAAAAATTCAGATTTAATGGCACTTCTTCCTCCAAATTAAAACAAGCGGTCTCGTACCCAATGTTTCTAGATCTCACAGAGTACTGCGATACGTTGAAGAAGCACGCCCCCGTCAAGTATCAACTTATCAGCGTTGTGGTTCATGAGGGCCGTTCATTGTCCTCGGGTCATTATATCGCACATTGTAAACAACCTGACGGCTCTTGGGCTACCTATGATGACGAGTACATTAATAAAATCTCAGAGAGACAAATGCTCAAGGAGCCAGGTGCTTACTACTTAATATATACCCGATTGACCCCCAAGAGTGTCAAATGGCAAACGAAAGTGAAACCAGATCAATTGGGGGTGCCCAATTCAACGGGTCCAGCAAATCACACAACGAACAATGATGGAGGGAAAACATTCAAAAAGAAGCGTAAAAACAAGAACAAGAAAAGGCGACTCAACAAATAAACAACTTGCATTTTATGTAACATAAATTTCGTATTAATCAAATGCTCTTTTTAAAATTTGAAACTTAATTGTTGTAATACTCGTAAATCTATTTACATGAATTTCATTAAAATCTAAATCCTAAGGAACTACTTTGATACCCATACTCTTAGCTACCCCTACAATTGACTTTACAATGCCCTCCATCTCCAAAGATGTGTGTCTGCCATCAGTTTTTTTTATCTTGGCAATTTCATAAATGTGCTTCAAAGAAAGTTCTCCAACCGTACCACTCGCAGTTGTAACGTTTGGTTGGCCCATTCCTTTCTCCTTACCCAATGCTTTCAACAAAAGATAGCCGGTTGGTGGTGACTTCATTTCAAAACTGAATGATCTATCAGGCTTGATCGTAATAAGCACTGGGATGGGTGTGCCTGGATGATAGGATGCTGTACGGGCGTTGAATTCTTTACAAAAATCCATGGCTTTAATACCTTTCGAACCTAAAGCCGGACCGACTGGTGGAGATGGGGCTGCTTGACCGGCATTAACAATCAATTTCACTAATACGTTCTTTAACGGCTGCGACATTGCTCACTCAATGGTTTTCCAAAGCATAACAGGCTAAAATTTTTAATTTTTTTCTTTTCATTTCAATGATCACTGATATCCTTAGACGGACGAAAAATAAAATGGCTACAATATACAACATCTATCTGTTAAGTGTCAAACTTTTTTCAATGATTCCAAACTACATTTATGTATGACATACAACGGAAAATAGCACAACTGATTCTATCAATTTAATGATCATACGCATTACTCAATGACAATCTTGACGTAAAAAAAAGTAATAGAAATAATAAATGATAATGTTACCAATGCCTCCCTTTTATCAAAAGCAGGAGACATATGCAATGCACAGTTTATAATATATCATGCACTTCTTGCTCACTTGTTTTGCTTTTTCTTCTTCTTTTCCAACCCGGCAATGTGTGCTTCGCTTTGATCAACTTGCGTGTGTTCATGATTCGTGGCAGGCACCACTTTAGAGTTCAAACCGTCTTCCTCAACGGTACACATTTCGATACCTTGGATCCAAGGGTCGTCCATAATTTGATCTATACTGGCTCTGCAGGCTGGGGCTAGATCAACCATGCGGCCTATGATATGATGACATTCCTCTGGCAAAGAGTGTAACAATCTCTGGGGGCCTATATTAGGATTGTTGGGGTCCGCAGGATTATTCGACTGAGCTGAAGGTTCTGGCTGCGCTCCTTCTACTGCATTGTCATAAGAAGGAGGTTCGGGTGTACGTGTAACTAGAGCACTCAAAGAGTCACAGTTTCTTCCTGAGCAGAAAAGCTTAAACGAGTTATCTTTTAGCTTTGGTATCTTCCATGGGAATTTTTTCAAAATCATACATGCAAATATGATTGCTGCAGACCATACGTCCACGGGTCGAGGATCGTATTTTGTGAAAATACAAACTTCAGGTGCCAAATATGGATCACTTCCGACAATACCGGATGATTCTACAAGATTCTTGGAGAACGGATACGAAAATACTGCTGCTGCACCAAAATCAATCAGCTTGACAATGCCACTACTGTTTATCACACAGTTATCCAGTTTCAAATCACGGTGAGCTAGACCCATGGAGTGTAAATACTGGACACCTGTCAATATCTGTTTAAAACAACAACAAATCTCGTCATATGACATTTTATTGCTCATAACAATAGCAAATAGATCATAATCACAATACTCCATAACTTGAAGAATACGGTTATTGTCATAAACGATTTCTACTGTTTCAATGATATTTGGGTGGCGCAACGTGGTACCGATACAGTACTCCGAAGTTATCTTTTTGACGTAGTCTCGTTTTGATTCATGATCGAATTTTGTCCTGAACTCCTTCACAGCAAACACTTTTCCATCCTGGACCCTTTTCACTAACTTGACAGAGCCACCAGCACCTGCGCCTAAGCTTTCTCCCGTCTTGGAATAACGCTTAGAATATGGCAACGCGGATGATGCCGAGCTCGTATAAATTGTATCACCGTTGGTGCTACCGTACGAGGCAGGACCGAAGGAAGAAGTATTCGAAGTATGAGAGCTGATATGGCCACCACCAGATACGGGTGGTGTTCCAGGTGATACGCTCATATTTCCTTGGCCTTTCTTGAAAAATCTTTTGAGATCGACAATAGAGGAGTGTCTAGATCTTGGGATATACTGATTTGGAGGATGTTCATGAAGAGATGATGGTGATCCGATAAAGTTGTCTTGATAAGATCCAGAGGGTTGTCTTGAAGCATTGTAGAATGAGCTTTGTCTAGCCCGCATGGGTTTGGGAATGGAAGAGCTATACCCGCTAGTAGGAATCTCTTTAGTTTGTGCGGAGCTACTGGGAATATCCTTAGAGGACTTGGTAAAAAAGAAGTTACCCAATTGTGAGGATAACGAAGAGGATCTAGAAATTGAATTTGGATTTGACGAGAAATTTGCTTTGTCCATAGAAGCCTTCTGAAACTTTTGTTTAGAAATCACGAATCTAGGCTCTACTGTATCGACTTTGGGGGAGGAAATCACGTTGGAATCAATTGCAGACACATTGTTGGGCATAAGCCCGGAGCTTTCCAGCCAGGAAGAGGATACAGACGAGCCAGCGCTTCCATTTCCGGAGGAATTGCCATTGTTAGAATTAGGTACTGAGTAAGGAATGCTCGACGATAGAGATGGTATTTGCCTGTTAGTATTAGGTGTGTTAGGCGTCGAAGAGAGCTTGCTCAACCTGTCGGTCGTCGCCGACGGTTCGATGATAAGGGGCGTGGGCTTATCCCTCGTTAGTGACCCGTTCTCATACAAAGTTGCGGTATGTGCCGAGTTGGAGTTCAGGAAGCTCGATGAGAAATTCACTTGTGCCTCTAAAGATGTTCCGGCTGACGCATTCTCACCTTCGTCGCTCGAATCTACCATTGCAACCGTCATAGTGCTCAACGTTGAACCGTGGCCGTTTATCGCAGGACGACCCTGTGTAGCCCCTGACGGTCCCCCCGTCTCATTCTTGCGTTTCTCTTGAAGTAATTTGGTAAGAGATGACATTGACATCAACTGGAAGATGCAAACTTATCCTGTCGTTTGTCTATACAAAACTATATTACAGCTTAAACAGAAAATTTTTTGAGAAATGATAGGTTGTATTATTGTTGATCATTGATAACGTCATAGAGGAACCACCAGCTTATAGATTTAAGTCACATGGGTACCATCTAAGCGAAAAAGTTGGATCAGCCAATGAGCTTCAGACGGTCTGGATGAACTCCGGAAGACGTAGGAGCAGCTTCCTGAGAGGGCGTAGGAGCAGATTCCTTCTTCTTCTTTCCATCTTCAATCATCTTGGTGGTTCTTACCTTACGTTCCTCGTCAAGTTTCAAGTTCTTTTCGCGCAGTTTCTCGAGACGAGCCAAACTGTTACCACCACCACCTACTGTGAGCTCTACATTAATCTTTCTTTCCTTGAGAATCGTCTTGTGTTGCAGTAATGCGACGTCCATACGGGATTGGATGTTATGTTGGTCTCGGTCGGCGTCGAACTCTAGAAATGCGATGCCCTTGTCAGCTCTAATTCGAATTTCGTCAGGCGCACTGGACTTGAAGTGTGCTTTGAGCTCTTGCTCGGTGATGTCTTTAGGTAAGTTCCCGACGAAAATGATGAATCTGTTGCCCTTCTTCTTCTTTCCGCCCTTGCCTCTTCTGGTCTTCCGCTTCTTGCGTGGTGCTTCTTCCTGCTCAGCTGTCTCCTCAAGTTTGCGCTTCGCTTCTGTCTCTTGCTTCTCTTCAGCACGTTCTTCCTTAGACTTACGAAAATTCTTAGCTTTCAGTTGTTTCTTGGTTAGCTTAACTTCTTCTACCATGGTTACCTGTGTTGTAGATATCCTCTTAGTGTTACCTGCTAGTTTTTTTGTTCTTCATGCGATGACCTATTTAAAATTTTCATAATGTATGATTTCTTTTACATGAGATGAGCTATACTTTAGACGCGAACAAAAGGTCATTTTAACTACCTACTCATCAGTCTTTGCATCAGTGAGCTCATGCCTTCTCCCTCAGAAGATTAGATTATGAAGTCGGAGGCTACGCAGCAAACTCAACCGTCAGATGGTTCAGATCCGATCAACAAACAAAAGGGACACAACATTAAGGACACAAAACAATCTCTCACTGGCCAAGATCAATCAGGAATTGCATCCGTCATGGGATTCGCCACATTTGGTTCCACCAAAAACAAAAAAGTGCAGCCCAAGAAAAGTGGTGGGAAGAGAGTGGAGAAGAAACCAAATAACCTTAAATATAGGCAATATGTCAATAAAAATAAGAAGAAAGTAACTCAGGATTAGTATACAGTGTGTTTTTTTCGTCTATGTAGATACGCTTATGATGACTTATTGAGGAGCTCTTCGTGCTCTTGGAAAAGCTTTTCATGCATTTCCCTTAACTCCTTGTATGCGTCCGTCAACTGTTGAACCGTTTGTTTAAGCTCCGTAACCTCTTGATCGTTAGAAGATTCAGCCACGACTTCTGGTGCCACTTCTTCAAGCTGTTTCACAACTTTCACGCCTGTCACCACACCACCTAATTGCATGAACGCGTTTTCCTCTGAAGCAGCCTGATCTAGATAGCTTTCAAAATCGTCAAGAGGAAGTACCAGATCGTCTCTACTTTCGCCGACCTGGAAAAATATGTCGTGTAAACCTTGGCGATTGTAAATGTTCTTTTGTAAATTAGGAATTTTCTGAGTCGTTTGTGCCTTTTCTGTAGTGAGGAGGCTATCGCTTTCCCCTGTCGCAATCACAGTCGATATTATACTTGTTACTGATCCCATAGTGTCCTGAGAGGCTAGGGCGTGAACTTCTTTAACCGGCTGCTTTGCATATATGTCCATTATGGTGCAAGAACCCGAGACATCGCCCACTACCAAAAAGCTGCCATCCATAGAACACGCTAGCTTTGTTGCATTCTTTGTGGTGATCTTGGGGCAAGATATTTGCCCCAAACTGTAAAGTTCGGATCTCTTTTCGTTGGCAGTGGCTTCAACACAAGCATAAATATTGTTTGGCGAATTTATAAGGTTGACAATTTTTAGGGCCTCCATTTTATAGTAAAGGTTCAGAGCAAAAACACCCTGCTGACCTCCAACATAGCATGCTCTATCAGCAGGATCCAAAGCAATTGACTTCAAAGCAAATGGGAAAGTAAAAGTGGCTATTAATTTAGGTTCCTTGTAGAGGTCCATGTTTAAATCGTAACATCTCAAAGTGGTATCATCTGAAATTGTGAACAGTTTGGCAGATATGTGCGATGCGTGTGCATTGGATACACAGAAATCTGTAACTGAGAGGGTATGGTCGTGTAAAATATGGACAGGCTTTGGTTCTTCCTTGGTAACCAAATCAATAGTTTGCCATATCATGACACGTGCATCTGCACCAGATGTGACGATGTACCTGCCATTCATAATTGACTGAATTTTAGTGATAGCTTGATAATGCGCCATTGGCTTTACAGCCAAAAGATTCCCAGAGTTCAATTCCCATATATATAGCTTTCCCGATGGTGTTGATGCCAAAAGTAGATACGGTAAGTGGAATACAGGCAGAGACTCCCCAATAGGATTTTCGACAACTTCCAAACAATTGACAGTTTCTGGAAGTGGTAATCTTTGCTCGACAGATTCTCTCTTGTTTGCACCAGATATGTTATAAACATTAATCAGAGCTTTTTTAGCCTGAGCAACGAACAGGTATTTGTTTCCGACAAGGCATGCTCCATTTGGATAGTCTGTCACACATTGCTTTAGGTTTATTTGAGCAGCAGAATGAATATTTGCTACCGTGCAAGTTGAATGCGTTGTGAATATTAGCTGCTCATCCATTTCTGTATTCTTCAAGATATATTTGACAAATGACGAGATGAGATGAGGGCTCTTTGAAATCAAAAAAATTTTCCATACTTTTAACTTAAGCTTAAAAAACCGAACAAGAAAGTATGCCTTTGAATTTGATCGAAGCCGCAATCGTGGGTGGTACCGACCAAATACCTTATTTTAATGAGCTAAAGAGAATTGCGCCTTACGCCGCTGTTATTGGTGCAATCAAATATTGGTCTCGGGGCGCCACCAACACATGGGAAAGAAATCTTAACGGTAAAGTCTATATACTTACAGGCGCTACTTCCCAGGGGATGGGCACATCAGTTGCATTAGATTTGGCTAGAAGAGGAGCACAATTAATAATTCTCTCTAGGAGAACCGATGAGTGGGCATTCGAATGGTGCGAGGATCTGAGATCACGGAGCGGTAACGAAATGATTTACATGGAACAATGTGATTTGTGTGATTTATATGAGGTTAGGAAGTTTGCTACCAAATGGTTGGATAATTCACCACCTCGAAGGCTCGATGGTGTTATAGTCATGAGCGGGGATGTTGAACCAGCGGGTTGGATACCAGGATGGGCCAGCAGTAAAAGAAGGTCCTCTTCCGATGGTCTCGAAGTTCAGATGGCTACAAACTTTGTGGGCGTTTTCCACTTGTTAGACCTATTACAGCCTAGTTTCAAGGCGCAAACACCGGACAGAGACGTACGAATTATTGTAACGACGTGTATGTTACAGGCGTTAGGAGAAGTTCATTTGGAAGATCCATTATGGGAACAAGAAAAATACAAAAATCCGCTGAAGTTTTTCAGTAGTTCAAAGCTGCAACTGAGTTTATGCATGCTGGAGTTGCAGAAACGTCTTCTTTCAGCACAATATAAGGACGGACGAACTGGAAGGAATATCTCGGTTGTATTGGTTCAGCCGGGTATCATGAGGTCAACAAGCTTAAGGCGAATTATCAGCAACGGATCTATCTTGATGTTGTGTGTCATATATTGCATCCTGCTTTATCCATTTTTATGGTTGTTGACCAAGAACGGATTTCGCGGTGCGCAATCGGTTCTTTATGCATTGATGACACCAGAGCTGGAGGAAGTGAATCGGCAGGATGACGAAGTGAAATACATTGTAAACTGCTCCGACGTGAAATTTTCACGGAAGGAATTTAAAGATAAAGAACTCATAGAAAAGCTCTACGACAACACGGCTGCCAAGATTTTGGCCCTAGAGAAAAGAATGGCTATTAAGAGAAACAAAAATAAAAATGCCAAGAAAGCAACAAAGCATTAAGGGCGTCCGCCCTTCAAGATTAGCGGTACATAATTAAGACACAGTATTTTAGGATTGCATAATAATCTATTAGCGGTGTTTCGTCTTTTTTTTTTTAATTTATTCATAAAATCGAACACTTGGACTTCTTCTTCTTTTTCGTCTTAATTGGTTGTTGATTCACAGTACCGTACCACTTTGGCTCGTTTGAAGTAGGAGGGGCAGCCGCAGTTCCTACGACCGTGGTACGTTGCCTAGCAGCTTGGTGCTCTTGTTCAATCTGCTTAGGATCTGTGGCCACAATTTCGACTGCACGTTCGAACACGTTTGCGACGCCGTCCTGCGTTGCCGCAGAGCATTCAACGTAGCCCATAAGTCCAAGTTGAGCAACACATTGGTCAATTTCGGCACGCGATACAAAATCTGTGTTTAACTCTCTCAGACGGTCCTGCTCGTGCTCATCCTCTCTCAAGTCTGCCTTCGTTCCCACTAAGAGAATTGGAAATTTTCCTGTCAATTTGTAGGGTCTCATGTTTTCATAGTTGGTGTTATGTCTAATTTCAGGGAACCATTTATCAACAACATTTGCAAATGAATTAGGTTCATTCACGCTGAAACACAGAAGAAAAACATCTGTCTGTGGGTAAGATAGGGGCCTCAAACGATCATATTCTTCTTGTCCTGCTGTATCCCAGAGGTTTAATCTGAATACCTGTGGTTCTGCGCCTTCGCCATTATTTAGTGCGATAGTAGTCGTATAGTTGTCGAAAACAGTAGGAATATAGTCCTGGGGAAAAGTATTAGTTGTATACGAAATGAGTAAAGAAGTTTTACCTACAGCACCATCCCCCACTATAACACACTTTACTGACCTCATTGCCTCTTAATTACTAGATTTATTATACAGGTGGATTGTGGTTCCTTGGTTGAGAACCTGCAGTTTCGACCGTTTATGCAGCAATTTTGCATAAAATCTCGAGTAAGTTCGAAACATCCTTGATGGGCAATGAGATAAACTTCCTTGTGACTGTTTATTTTGTTTTTATGATGTGGTTCACGGGTGTATTCTGATGTTTTACCTCTACACCCAGTACTCTTGAATTTCTTCGAGGATTTCGAAATTTTCACTTATTTTCCAAAAGAAAACCCCGAGAAAGTAATCTTGACAGTATTTTTTGAACGTTTCGTGTTCGTATAATGCGACCACTCATTTCTTGCGTCTTCCTACGGCATCGGGCAAAAAGTTACCAAAACATCGTGCTTACTTCCGGCCTGAGTACAAGAAAAGTCCAACAAAACAAAGATGGTCGCTGTGATTTCCAAGAAGAGAAAGCTTGTCGCTGACGGTGTTTTCTACGCCGAATTGAACGAATTTTTCACCAGAGAGTTGGCTGAAGAAGGTTACTCCGGTGTTGAAGTTCGTGTCACCCCAACCAAGACCGAAGTCATCATTAGAGCCACCAGAACTCAAGATGTTTTGGGTGAAAACGGTAGAAGAATCAACGAATTGACTTTGTTGGTTCAAAAGAGATTCAAGTACCAACCAGGTTCCGTTGTCTTGTACGCCGAGAGAGTTCAAGACCGTGGTCTATCCGCCGTTGCTCAAGCCGAATCCATGAAGTTCAAGTTGTTGAACGGTTTGGCCATCAGAAGAGCCGCTTACGGTGTCGTCAGATACGTCATGGAATCCGGTGCTAAGGGTTGTGAAGTCGTCATCTCCGGTAAGTTGAGAGCCGCCAGAGCCAAGTCCATGAAGTTCGCCGACGGTTTCTTGATCCACTCCGGTCAACCAGTCAACGACTTCATTGACACTGCTACCAGACACGTTTTGTTGAGACAAGGGGTTTTGGGTATTAAGGTCAAGATCATGAGAGACCCATCTAGAAACAGATCTGGCCCAAGAGCTTTGCCAGATGCTGTCAAGATCTTGGAACCAAAGGACGAAGAGCCAGTCTTGGAGCCATCTGTCAAGGATTACAGACCAGCCCCAGAAGAAGTCCCTGCCGAAGCTACTGCTGCTTAAGCACTTCGTTAGTTGTGTATTTACATATCTACTTATACTTAATCATCAGTTCTTTATCTTATTTCCTTTATCACGTTTTACGCTGGTGCGGCGTTCTTTGGCATGTGGCGAAAGTGGAGAGTTTATCGTCAACGGAAAACTTTAACTTGATAACAACACTCCCAGTGCTTATTTACATAACGAATTTGTCGGAAATTCAATCATGGCATTCACTTACCGTGACCTTTGCACCATTGGGTCTGCTCTGATCCTCATTGGGACTTCCTTTACAATGGGAGTGTTTTTTGCCAATCAAACGTACGACTACCACCTTTTATTCAATCCAGATGTGACAGAAGCTCACTTTGAGAACGCTCTACGCCATTATCAAACTTTGTTCTACACTCATCCAAAAGTGCTGTATGCCTTCGGCTTTGTGGTGTCTTTAGGCCTTATTGGATCGCTAATCAGAGTTTATAAGCCAAACCCAGATATCCAACTTTTCGAATATGGCTCTTTGGGTATGTATGTTTTGGGCGTCTGTGTCTTTATCACCAATATCAAAACTGGTATCGAGTCTGCTAAGTACCGCAACTGGGGTGAGGTTACTGAAAACCAAGGCCTAGCTGTGATTGCATCGTCTAACATTATTCTATTGTTAGTCTTTGTCGGTGTCTTAGTCTTGCAAGCTGGTCTATGGTACACTGACTGGGAGTACCAACAAAGATTAAAAGAGTTTTACGCCGCCGAAGAGACGGAGAAAACCTCTAAAACTCAGAAAGGTGAGAAGGCTGATAGCGCTCAATCCAAGAAGAAGAAATAAGCATGTTCTCGTGAAAATAGTTCGAATAGTTCGAACAGTTCTTATATACAAGATATCTACGTGTTTCCGTTGAATTCAACTTGATCTTCAATGGCATATTCTTACCATTTATATGCACCGCCCATAGCACCTCTCACAGGCTTGTCAGCCAGTTGAACCCATGGCTTTTTCGCTTGCTGCTTCATTTGCTTCTCGTAGGCTAGTCTCCTTTTGGTGACTCGCTTCGATTTCAGGATGCATCTGACGTGCACATAAGGATGAGTTATGACACCATTCCTGCCTCTGGCCTTTATGTCAACTCTTTTCTGCCACCAACCATCACTACCAGTCCATATTTGGCCAATATATAGGTCATCCGCCTTCATTCCTAGCTGCTCAGCGTCTTTGATACCGCGCGTTAACACTTCTGCAACATCTCTTGCTATCTTTTTATCCGAGAAATGGCATTGAGTAAGTGCTTTTTCCACGTCAAGACCATTAATTAATCTTAGTAGTTGTGTTGCTTTCTTCATTGATGATTTAATTCTGTAAGATTTGACGTAGACGCTTGGCTCCAAAACCTCAATTTCTTCACGAGTCAAATCAAGTTGATATTTCAACTTCTGGCCATTTTCGTTGGCAATCGTAACAACTGTATCTTTTTTAAAAAATCCACCATTCACTCTACAGTTTTCCTGGTATATCCTTCTTTTCAATGGAGATAGCAGTAGCTCCGAGGCCGATTTAACGGGATGACTTTTTCTAATGAACGATTGGAGTAACTTATCGTTTTCGACCGTTACCGTTTCTTTTGCATTGTTTCCACCTTCTACTACACTTGATGCTGCAGTCAACCTGTTGGAGATCCTATTAGGATCGTCAGATTCCTCTTCTGCACCTTTCGTTAGGGATCCAAATAGTGAGCCATTGTTTTCATTCCTTAAAGCTTTAGAAGAGATTTGAAAACATCTGCGACTTAATGTCGGTTGGATTATGCCAACGCAACGGAGAGCCGGCGAACGAAACATATGTTGCGGTGATGCGTTAAGTAATAGATAACTCTTATATGAGACAGAAATTGTACAATTTGATATTCGCCAAAAAATTTTCCATCACTACACACGTCATGGGGGTTTCAAAACCCGTATCACCTATTATATTATTTATCTACAAATACATTGTCATATTATCTCTTTAAGAAAGCTTTGAGAGCGTCTGTCCCCATTAGGTCTATTCAGTTGAATAGAGAAGGAATCATTAGCAGACTCTGCAGAGGACGAACTAGTATCGCTCGTGTAGGAATAAAATGATTGTAAGGGTGGATTTCTTGTTGGAACTGGAGGAGGAGCGGGTAAGCGCTTTTGAAAGTTAAATTCATCTTGAAATGGATTCGACTTCTCTCCTTCCTTAGTAACGTCATGATTATCGTCATTTAGACCTCTTGATTGCTCGCCTTTCCTCAGTAATGGAATCTTCTTGCCCAAAGATTTGTATTTACTTCTTAAAAAATCCTCATCGTCAATAGACCGAATTGTGTTACTTGCTTCTGGCAAGTCAGATGGATGATCTAATCTGCATCCTATCTCATGACTGAAACTCTGGCTTCCTTTGCCACGATCTTTTCTCCTCTTGAAAACGATAAGCCATAGTAGTAGTGCGCAAAGAAGGAACCCGCCTACGCTACCCACTACACTACCAATAATCGTTTTTCGCTTGCCTCCCGATGAGGAGTTGTTTTGTGAATCCAACGAGCCATCTAGCCAATGTTGATAGTACGATATATCGGTAGTAATAGCAGATGTTGGAGCTGAATAGGTCGATAGTTGTCCAGTTGATATCACAACCATGGATGGCAGGCCCACGCATAACGTCGTAGAGGACGCTGTGAAAACATAATTTTGGGTATAAACGAAAACAGTCTCATCTGGAGGAAGCGAAATGGAGCTCGATTTGGCGAGCGTTGACGCGTAAGACCATGAAGTTGTCGGTAAAAGAGATGTCGAGATCTCTGTAGTTGAAAGTCCATAAATACTGGAGCTTGTTGCTTCAAACTGTGATGTAGAGAGAATTTCCGAAGAAGTTGGTGCTGTGCTGGTGAACTCATCAGTTGTACTGTCTTCGCCTAATTGTGATGTTGAAGGTTCAACGATGGAAGTGGAGGGTAGTGAAACTGTGTTGACACTGGAAGAATTGGCTTTAGAAGATGTTGAGGTAGCAGAAGGCGAATTCGATACCCTTGTAGCGTTAAAGAGCATCTAATGTCTCTTAGATTCTAGTCTTTTTTTAGAAATGAACTATTAATCCTGACCGTTCCTTTCGAGCTTGCGAACTTTAAGTCTGATGGTTGAAATTTGTAAGCACGCTAAAGGAAGGCAGTGGCTGGGCTTCGATCACAACCTTGGAGTGCTAGATCTGAGTGATGAATCGATTACCGAGGATGCCTGTAGGGAATGATTCTTCCGAAAGGAATAAAAAAAACGGAGAAAAGCAATGCGCATCAAATATTTTTGAACATATCTGAGCTGACGGCAGATGAGTTCCGCAAATTTTAGTATACATGATTATATTCACTTGAGAGTATGTTATGTTCTAGTTATGTCCATTATTTTAGTTAAATGTAATCTTTTTCCCTTTTGAAGGTACAATAGCGGCTGAAGCTCTTGGAGCGTTAGCTAGAGCAACACTACTTTTGAGACGGTTGTTAGAATCAGTGTAAGAAGTCTTCTTTGGTCTTGTTATTGGCTTCCTCTCTCTTATTGGGACTGGAGCATCAATGCTCTCTGAAATGGTCTTTTGAGGACGTGGAGCCACCTCCTTTCTCTTAACTTGTCTCTTGCTTCTATCTTCTCCGAATTCCATTCTCAAAGGCCTGCCAGCTAATTTTCTGCACGATTTATCTCTCAAAGCATTCGTAGGTCCTTCTTCGTTCCGGAAGTCAACGAAAGAAAATCCTTTACATTTACCACTGTCTTGGAAAGTTGCCATTCTGACTTTTACTATTTCGCCACAGTGTTGAAAATGCTTCCGAAGAACTTCCTCAGTTGTATCGAACGAAAGATTCCCAACGAAAAGAATTCTAGATGGTGGGTTCTTAGACATCAACACAAGGTCATTCTTATCAGGTCTTCCATCAAAAGAGCTGGCGTTTTTGATAAGTAGATTTCTGCTGTTAAGTTGAGACTCACTCAAGCCAATGACAGCCTGCATTTGCTCCTCAGTTTTGAAGTTCATGTGAGCGAAACCTTTATTACGAACTTGCTTCCCGTCATTCTGTGCCAATGGCAAGTTGATCCTCAATATGTCGCTTTCCTCAATCTTGCCATCTTCTAATTCCCTAGTCTTTGCAATTATGAAACGGCATAAATCTTCCTTTGTAGTATCGAAAGATAGATTTCCAATCCACACGCCAAACTTCCTGTCGCTCCTGGGTTTCTTTGAGTTCGTTGTTTCTTCCTCGTTGGCAGGAGTATCATCGTCGCTTTTCCCTTTTTCTTTTTCCACAAGCTCCTTTTTATATTCTTCCACAGAAGAAGGATCTAGATTGAACTTCTCGTTCAACTCCTCTAAAGTGACCTTTCCTCTTCTTAATAAACGCTTTTGCTTCTTAGAGAGCGGCACAGATTGATTTAAATCAATTTCAATTTCATCTTCAGCTTTCCTCTTTTTTGTTGGGTCGCTCAAAGCCTTTTTGATACTTTCTTGCTTGATATTATCAACCTTGTTATCCTCTATAGAGTTCTTTGAGGTAGTTTCTTCAGTCATCGGTATCCTTTTGATGGTATCTATGGCGTCTGAAATGAAGCTCATCTCATCAATCAAAAATTTTTCTATAATAAATTTCTTTTTCAAGACTAGCGCCAATTGAATAATTAGAAAACGCTTCCTTTTAAGAATAATTATACATTTTCTACACAATTAGAATGATTACAGACTCTCTCGGGTTTTGTAGCATAGGGAAATGGTAAAATAAGATAAGAAGGAGAGATAAATGAGGAGTATAGGGATTATGAATGTCACTAGTATTCACATCTCTAATATTACTAGAGAAAGATATCGTATTGAGGATATTGTCTTCCCTCTTGCTGTTTTAAAAGTATGAACTCAACATTGGCCTAGTTAAAAATCTTCTTCAATTTGGAAAAGAATCCCTTCTTTTTCTTCTTTTTCTCCTCTGGCTTGGAGGCAGGGGTGCTTGCTGGTTTGGTTTTAGCCGCAGAAGTTTTAGTTTTCTCCTTTGTGGTATGAGAAGCTTCTTGAGGTTTGGAAGAATTTTCTGGAGCTGACTCAGTAGGCTTTTCCAAGCTTTTCACAATCTCATCCTCAGTAGCATAAGTGGTCTCCGGTTTTTCATTTGCCATAGCTTGATCGGCAACCTTCTCGCTGGCGGCTTGGATTTCAGCAACCTGGGATGGAGAAAAATTACCCTCAACGATTAATAATTCCTCAACACCTGGCGCCTTAGGGTCCAAAGTTTTTTTAATAAGCTCCTTTTCTTGTTCAGGAGAGGTAATTTGACCGAATTCTTCAGTTACGATTGGGGCGTCTTTTTTTGCAGGTTTTTCCTCACTTACCTCTTCGGGCTGTTGTTCAAGTGGAGCATTTACTACTGCTTCATCAGTCTTGGCGTCAGCAGGTATTTCTTTAAGAGCAGGAATGTTTTCGGTAACAGCAGCTGTTTCCACCACGGCAGGAACAGGTTCCGTAGTAGATGTGGGTTCTTGACCAGTGATAGGTTCATCTGATGGTAACTCTGGCTCTTGTTCCAAAGGCACGATTTCTTTTTCCACGTCCGAAACAGGAATTAAACCCTTCTCCTCATTCACAGGGATGACCGCACTACTTGATGCTTCTGGCTCCTTTGTTGCGGTTGGCAGCGCACTTTCACTTTCGCCAGCAACAACTTTAGACTCTGTTGCTTCTGCCTCCTTCAAATCAGCGTTTCTCGCTTTAGTTGTGATACTACCTGGTACTGGGGCAGGCTCACCTTCAATTGCAGCTAGTGGCTCGACAGCATCCGGAGCGGGCGCACCATTCACAGAAGTGGGTTTTTCAAGTAATTCAGCCTCGGCGGCAGCTGGGGCAGCAACCGCTGCTGCAGTGGCAACGGCTGCTGCAGTGGCAACGGCTGCTGCCGATTCAGTGGCTCCCTTTTTCTGCTTCTCCCTGATTTCTCTGTTCAACTTTTCATTCAATTCCTTTGCATCGACATCTCTGATTTCCGAGAACTCCTTGACTTCAGTTGGATTTGGTACAATAACAACACCAGGCTCACCTAGTGTTGTTTGCTTGTTTTCCGTCGATGGCATGACCGTGGTTGATGGTTCGTTTTCCTTGTTTGTGGCTTCAGGAACAGCTGAAGACGAAAGAGGAGTCTCTTCTCTAGAGGTACCTGTAGCTGTAGCTGTTTCCTCAGTTTCATATTCGTCCTCAGCGCCAGACTTGATTTCGAATCTTTCCTCTGAGATGACAGTCTTTTCGCCGGTCTTCTTGTTCTTTCTAATTCTTCTTTTGACTTGAACCTTCTTCTTCTTACCCTTCTTTCCCTTTGAGCCAGGAGCTGGTTGAGCCTTCTGAGGGCCTTGGTTGCCCAACACAGGCGCAGCGACTTCAGGGGCGACCAAGCCCATGCCTATCTCAGGAATTTTAGCCCCTCCAACATTTTTTGACCCGTAGGAAGGCAATGAGGAGATGACTAGGTAGTTATTCTCAATGCCGTCAGCTGCTGCTTCCTTATCATAAGAGTTGCTCAATTTCCATTCCCCATCCACAATAAATTTGAAGTGAAACTTATCATTCGAGGTTTGCTCAATGGGCATAGTTAAAGAAAAATCCCCTTTTGGTGACTTGACTAAGGGCATTGTGCCCTTCCAGTTATCAAAATCACCGGTGATTATAACGTCTTTTGGGCCTGCTGGCCACTTAAAAGTGAATTCAGCCATTTCTGAATGTGTCTCTTGTTCGTTTCAGTAGCCGAAAATTGCTGTGATGAGTTTAAAAATGCAAACTGGACAGGAAAAAAATCCCAGGGGTTGCTGTCTCTACTACAATTTTTTCTATGACGCAGCCAAGGAAAGGCTGAAAAACAGTCCCAATGTTTCGCCTCAATGCAACCTTGTTTTTTCAACACTTGATAATGCTACAGCACGTGAAGGGAGTTCTAGTGTCCTTAAGCTGTTGTGTGGGGGTTTAGTTATTAGCTCGAGCATCTATCACGTGTTTCATTTGTTGTATAAATAGCACGGCGCACCTTAGTGACCAGCGTGTCATCGGGTCACCAAATTCATGGGGTTTGTATACTTCAAATTTCGGACGATCTGTTGTGAGCTTTCCTGTTGTACCAGGAGGTAGCAAGGATGACTATCTGTGTGTCCGCTTCAAGTAAATCAGGTCTTGCGCGGAACTTGACGGAAGATCTGAACTTGTGAAGTAAGATTAAAGGATGCCTCTGCTGTTGTCTTGTTTACGGTGGAAGTTCCCGCATTGATGCGTAGGACCAAGTTGTGACAAACTTATAGTACGGGTACGGAGTGCTCTTGTATATTACGTTAAAAGCAAAAGCGTAGCGTGGGTTTACAGAACGCCAAATATATCTCTCTTCAGAAACATCAATTTCTGACCAATCGGAAAATGGATACGGTAGTAAATGAAAGCTCTGTAAGATTTGAAGTATCGTAATTGGCCTGCTCGTCTCCTCCATGATAGACTTTAAGGAATTAAAAAGCTGTTTGGATATTTTACGTACTATTGAAATCATCGATCGACTTTATATTGTGCTCGGCAACTCATTTAATACTAGAAGATAAATTTATAGAATTTGCAGTTGTCTGTCTTCTTCCAGTGTGAGCAGAGCATTACTTCTCTCATACAGCAGTCTGCACAGCGGTGGTCACTATCAAATGCTGAATCAATTGAAGAAATATCCTGACGGCAGTATTTCGTACTTTGAGATTCGTTGTCATCTTTACCAATAACTTTACATTTGACGAAACATATACATTATGTTGTCTCAACTCAGAAATATCTACGTACGTTTTTGAACCTAACCTCAGACAGTCTCATGGATCAAAAAGCGATCATTTATCTTTATGATTGTTATACTGCAATGGATTCTACTCCCAAAGGGTAAAAGGAACGGTTCCTCATTATAATCTACAAGTGTTTTTATTTGGTTACATTTTATGATTCTTACAATCTTTCCAACATTGATGTTAAAAAACGAAAAGTCTCAAATAGAATAAATACAATATTGAAGAAAAATAATATGAAAGTGCGTACATTAGCAATTAAAACACAAAAACTGGGCTGATATATGTGGAACGATCATAATCGCTACAATTTGGTAAATGCTCTCACGTCTTAACCTTGTATTCGGTTACTAACTGTCGTACGTAATTATAGAGTTTTTGAAACAGGATGTAATTAGCAGTTGATTAGCTCCCCTTCTCTGTTAAATCCCATATTGAGCCTAAAACTTAACGTTATTCATCTTTATAAATCTAGGATAGATAGCAAACCTCATTATAACCATTGGTATTCCTCTCTCCAATATTGTAGGTTGTTGTTTTCTAAAACTAGTAGGTCTTTAAATGGGAAAAATGATGCTAAGCACCGATGATAGGGAATTAATGTTATTCGTTTCACAACAAAAAATTGTATGGGCGTGTGGTCTAGTGGTATGATTCTCGCTTTGGGCGAAGTTCGAGCTTTAACTCGGATTAATAACCACAAGCATGCGAGAGGCCCTGGGTTCAATTCCCAGCTCGCCCCATTTTTTGCTTCTCTCATCGACATTTTGTGATCAACAAAATATCAATTCAAATGTCTCTTTGAGAGAAGCTGCTCGACCGTGAACTTGTAAGCCAACGAGACCCGTTTCAGGGTGGATTATTTTTAAACTGATGAAAACTGAGGCATCTAGCCATAAGTATAACCTTCAATCCTCTCCCCGGGGTCAAATTTGGATCACAGATGCCAGGGAAGTTGAGTGGATGGTTGGCAATAAATGTGTGAGAAGATATACATTCAAAGAAAAAGTACTACGAGCAGGTTTTGTGGACTTTGAAAACACTAGAGATTGCCTGGTAATCATATTAGAATATCGTGCCCACATTTATAACCTGCTAAGCGGCGATTCCACTACGGTATGCTTCCCTTTCGCAGTATCGAAGGCCTATTTCTACTCAAGTGGGGTGCTTTTAGAGAGGAACATAGAACATTCATGCTTTAGAACTACTCAAAATCCGATGAAGCACCGATTTATAACCTTATCAGACCCATTGACACTTTTTGGGTCGCTTGTATTTTCTTCGAATCCTGCGGACTCTGAAGCCAAATTAACAATGCTCCATTTCCCTCAAAACCATGAACAAAATGTCTCAGTCTTACTAGATGATTCCACTAAGGCCCTCCATTTCTACAACACAAAGATCCTTTCCGCCAAAAAACAGGGAAAACAAATACGATCAAAATCTTCTAGCGGTCTACAAAAGCGTAAAAGCTATGGGCATCTCTCTCACGACAATACGTCATCAATTTCATCCAACTTGAATAAAAGAAAATCTTCTACTACTGATGTTTCCAACCCATCCTCGACTGCGATAGGTGTTTCAAATACAAACCTAAGTAACTCTTTATCAACAGGTCTCACAAACAACCTTCGCAAAATTTCCATTATGAATCGCCGTTCTGTGTCTGCGAACATAACCACCGATCATGACCAGCAGCAGTACACAGCGGGCCATCCGGGTACCGAATTCACTAACAGAAGTGCCTCTGCCACTTTAGACCGGATGAGATCCGGAAGTGCTCTGGATATATCACCCTCCACAACATCCCAAGTAAGTCAAGAACTATTTGATCAGGCTGTTCTGGAAAAGGACGTGGTGTTAACCAAAATCACGGTAGCAAGCATACCTGATACGGTATCCGACAATTTAAAAATCATTAGCTCAACGTTTGAGGATAAGGAGGCAATTGTAGCTTATGATAAAAAACTAGATTGGGGAAAAATTTGGATATTCAATCTAAACTCATCACTAATCGGCAGCATGAAATTTAAGGCATTTGGTTATTCTCCAGTTTCTCTAACTAAAAGCATTGACATAAAATCAAGCATGATCGAAGACATTTGCGCATATGAATGCTCCTATCTCCCAGGATTTGTGATGCTACTGCTACGCTCATGCCATGAAGTTACTCTTTATAATCCATTTCTGAATCTTACTTCTGCGTCTTTCTCGTTAGCAACAAAATCTCTCCCACATTCATTGTACTTTGCAACTCATGAATCAGTAATCTGCAGTAAGAACTTCAGCCCAATTTGGATTACTACTTTTCCATCAACGAAAAGCGTTCAGCATTATTTCACAGCTATTAAGTACCTGTGTGATACTTTCACATACCAATACCTCGTCATAATATGGCAGGTGGCAAGAAATTGCGTTGAGGGGTCGGATGAGTTCTCTGATTTATTTGCCTTTCGAATTACTTTATTGAGCCTCTTACCAATAGAATCGGAAAATAGAATCTTCACTGATGCAATAGAGCTTTTACGCCAAAATCCAGTTTTCAACACGTTGTATGATTTAACTTCTCATATGCCCAAAATTGTCATGGGACTTCACTTGATAAGAGAAGAATATAAGTTGAATCAGTTGCAAGAAAAAAATGTCGAGTTTCTTGGCGAATTGCTGTATACTCTCACTTCCTTGCTGGGTTGGCCTCAATTGTGGAGAGATTTCTATAAATCAGGCAGCGAAGACCGCGAACCAATTGATCCTTTAAATTGGAACTTTGCACATCCATTGGATGAACCTCCCTCCATTTTGAAATCTTTGTACAGTGCTACAGAGGGTAGTGAGATTTCGTTAACTCCGTACATATCTTTTTCTCGACTACTCGATGATACCGCGGCCATTGATCATCTTATTACCCCGCGAACACATAAGATGCTCATACTTTTTGAAAATATGCAATCACAGCGCTTAAAAGGGAAAAACCTTTTGGATATGCTGAATACACTAATTGCCGACATGGGTGAATTTGAGACCTATCCTCTAGGTATATATTCTCCTCTGAAGAGGCTCTTAAAACAAATTGAGATTGCTTTGAATGAAGTTGATGTCAAAAATTTAAACCTAAGTTTAACTGATCGTTCAGATTTGAAGAGAAACATCAAATTGCTGAGATCAGTATGTAAAAATGATCACTTAAGTGATGATAATTTGATTGTAAGGGAAAAATCTAAGATGAAGAACTCGACAGTCAAAAATAATTCCTTCTTGAAACCAAAAAGTATCAAAACGATGTTAAATGACGTCTTGCGGTGCTCCAAAAATAATGTATCAAATGAAGCTATGGCCCTTAATAATGATCCGGGTGTAAGTGATGGTGAATCTTTGAAACGAAATGCAGGTTTGATTTTTTCTGAAGATAGACGATTTGTTGATGTAATTGAACAGTTACTTTTTTACATACCTCACAAGGTTCTAATATTCGTGGTAGAGAAAAGTTATACTCAGATGTTGAGGAAAAAAAGGCGCTATGCCCAAATATCCGCATTAAGAACACTTAACTGTGGTATCGGTTGGGGTGGTGTAGCGTTCGCAACAGAACGTCCGCTCTCGACTCAGAAGTGGTCGCGTCACAAATTGAACTTGAATTCCGTTTTCCCGGATGATACGACAGTTTCAATTGATACTGATTCTTTAGATCAAGAGTTATTTGCCTGGGGTGAATTTCATGCCGGTGTGAGTTCCGGATTACGGATCTCCAAAAAGGCTAATGGAATAACGGGTAGCTGGATTACTTTCAATAAGCCCCAGGAATTAGACGCGCAACATGGTGGTTTTTTACTAGGTCTAGGATTAAACGGCCACTTAAGGCATTTAGAGGAATGGCATGTCTACAACTATTTGAGCCCTAAACAAACCCACACAAGCATAGGATTACTACTTGGAATGAGTGCAAGTTTACGGGGAACCATGGATTTGAAGTTGACGAAGGTCCTCAGTGTTCATATTGTTGCTTTACTCCCCCCTGGGTCGAGTGATTTAAATGTAAACTTCAAAGTTCAAACAGCAGGGCTTGTGGGGATTGGATTACTCTATGAAAGATCGCAGCATAGACGAATGAGTGATATGCTATTTGCCCAGCTCACATCTTTCGTCAATATAAATGAAGAGCCTGTACCTGATGAGGGCTACAGGCTGGCCGCAGGGGTAGCATTGGGCCTCGTTAATGTCGGCGCTGGTGGTAAAACTTCAGCTGCTCAAAGAATTGAAGACGATTATGAAGAGACAGAAAAATATCCAGAAGCAGAAGAGAATGATGACTTTGATTTCAAAGCTAATAGGGGCCTTATAGATTTTAAAATGATTGATAAGTTGATTGGGCTGGTCACAAAGTTTAATGATGTAGAGGAAGAGTGGATGCCTGATAATTCACAAATTGGTGCTCTTGTAGCATTGATGCTCATATTTCTAAAAACCAACAACAGATCAGTGGCCGAAAAGTTACTACCGAGCACAGAGGAGCTAGGGGCTAACATTAAATCGTATATGAGGCCTGAATTTTTCATGTATCGTGAGTGGGCATATTACATGATTGTCTGGAAATCGATTGACACAAGTGCTGGCTGGCTCTTGCAAAATATTAATGATGAAAATCCCCTTGATTTGAGTACCGACAGTCTTCCCAAATATTATTGTCTAGCAGGGCGTGCTCTTGCATTGGGTATAAAATTTGCTTCTACGAATGAAACTAGAATCAGAGATAACATCTTATGTATTCTCGACAAACTTCTGCCATTATACCAATGTTCAGTGAGTAAAAGATTGGATTTCCAATTAACAATCAAAGGCATCAATTCAGTTATGAATGTGATGTTAGTATCAGCTAGTATGATTATGTGCGGCTCGGGGGATTTAGAAGTTTTTAGGAGGGTAAGATATCTGCATGAAGTCATCACTGGTAAATATTCGGATCTCTTTAGATCCCAGTCATCAGATCCGAACGATGATGAAAATGAGTACGACATGTCAGTCGATTCAAACAATCGTTCTAACAACCAGGAGAACGAGGAAGAAATGGAAGCTACAGGAAATATAGACAACGATGATGGTGCAGAAAATCCTGACGCCGATGAATTGAAAGATATAAACGAAGAAAATCATTTTGGAAAATACATGGCGACGAGTTTGGCTTTGGGATTCTTATTTTTAGGATCGGGTCAATATGCCTTGAAAAATTCCGAGCTGAATAACATAGCGTACTTGATCATATCCGTTCTTCCAACCTACATGGCACCCTATTATCTCCAAGAAACTAGGCATTTTTGGAGCATGGCTGCAGAACCAAGAAGTTTAGTTACTAAAGATGCTAAAACAGGCGTCAACTTGAGCAAGATTCCAGTACAAATCAATATGAGAAGAGCAAAAGGTGAATCGACCCATAAAGTAATGTACTTGACATCTCCATGCTTACTTCCCGATGTGAAGCGAATTGACTCAATAGAGATCAAAGCTGCCGATTATTATCCTTTGCGCTTGAAACTCGACAATCATGAGCGAAGTGACGAATTTTTCAAGAACGGATGCGTAGTTTATGTCCAGAAGAAAGAGAATTGTCAAGAAGGAATTCGGCTAAGTACCGATGAAAATGATCAAAGGGTGGCTGATGTCAAGCAGGCATTTCAAAAAAGATTCCATTCACGCTATTCAAAATCAATGCCTGGAAAAGAAAGCGGCGAGCTAGCCAAAGATCTCAGTAATTTCTTAGAGCTTCAAGATTCAAAATCATTAGAGTATAAGAACGCAGTACTGAAAATGGAAGGAACTAGGGACAGTTCGTCAAGTATAAATCTTGATATGGCATGTGAAGGTGAGAGTGGAGTCATTCATTTAGAATTATGGAGACGTCGACATGGTTTGTGACAACATGCTCAATGCATGTACTTCTCATTGGAAATGCATAGATGTTTATGTACTTGAAACTATATATGAACAAGATTAATTCGATTCACCCAAAGGTTGACCCATCTTTACCTTGTCGCCGACCTTAATATCAAATTTGAAATCACTAGGAGCTTCAAAACATAAGACGACGGTACTGCCCAGCATAAATCCTCCCATTTCTTCGCCTTTGACGAGAGGAACACCGCCCAAAATAGTACTAGTGTTTTCATAAGTTGCTTCGTAACACGTATGCGGTTTTAGCTTTTGAATTCTCTTTTCATTCGTTATTAGCTCTTTGTCAAAATTCAACTTTATGGAACCAACATTTGTGGCCCCTACGGGAGTCATACTAAAGAAGCCATGTTTCCAATGACCAAGCAAAGCAACACGTTCATTCAGGATGAATAGATTGGGAAAATTACGTTGGAAGTATGGTGCGACTGAAAATAGCTCCCCAGGGAAATGACGACGCAACTTGCAAACCCAATTTACAGGGGAATGGTAATGATGGTAATCACCAGGCGCCAAATAGATTACAGCGAAGAAAAGTTGTGTGTTTGTAGGGTCAGTATTAGTCGCTTTACTTAAATAGTGAGTCGAGAGCTGTCCTAATAGTTTGACAATTTTTGTGCCAGAAGGCGAAGCACTCTCCAAAGATTTGTCACCTTCTTCTTTGTATTTGATTTCTTGCAAATGGGGGTTTTGACCGCCTGGAGTTTCACCGATCATATCGCTTAGTGTGTAAGGTATATTGTTGATTCTTGCGAACTCCGCTTGCTCCTCATCAGAAGAACTAGTATTGATACTATCTGATGAGCTGTTTCTTGTCATTAAAGGATGCGAGTGAGTACCAAGGAATTCTCTAACAGAGTACGTCATTCCCTTCACTTGCTCAATCTGGCCGGTCTGAGAGTCAATCACACCCAATTGAAGAACTTTACCATCACTAGGACACACAACAACGTCATCTCCCGGTGCAATAGGACGCTTTTCTGGGTTAATCTCCCTGTAAAAAAACTGAGACAGGTTCTTATAATGCGTCAAATCGGGATCCTGCATTTCATTCAAGTCGACTCCAAATAAAGTTGAGTAGAATTTGAAACTTATAGGTCTCAACCATACTGGAAGCGTCAAAGAATTGACTTGACCCCACAACCGCGACAAGGCATTCAATGGCAACGTTGAATAGCAGAAAAACAACCAATTATTGTCGAAGATTTTAATTCTAGGACCCCTTTTTGAGCCTTCTTTATCCTCTTTATCATCTTCTTTATTTGTACGTTGTAATAACAAACTTCCTAACACTAAAGTAACACCAGTCAAAACAACCCATTTCACAGCCTTTTTCTTGTTGTAATTGTGAACAGGAATAACATTGTCAGATGAGTAGAATCTTTTGTTCCATAGAGTCGCCGTCCTGTTACGGAGCTGGATACGGGATACACCACTCAGTTTATACATGCCAGCCCGACTAGCAATCATCGAACTATCCTTTAGAAGGCTAATCTTGATGCCAATCATCATTTCCTCTTTCACTTTCCATGTGCAAAGCCATGTGAAAACATCAAAAATTTTTCAGACCGCATATTTTCATGTTGACACAAACGCGTCAATCATCTCATGAAGAGAACATGTTGATATATATTAGTGAGAATGTGTACGGCGGTGCCAATAAACTACTGAGGAAGCTGAAAAATGAATGGAGCTTTACTATACTCGATGATATTGGGGATGGGCTTGGAGATGTCGATGCAATAATTGCACATGCAACGGAGAACTTTACCAAGAACCTCGCGATGCGTGGCTCCTGTACCTTAGAAGAGCTCAATAAGCTTGAAAAGAGACCTTTTTTCCTTCACATTACTATTGATGCCTCGTTAAGAGCAAGATACGCAAACTTCTGCGAAGAAATCGCCAACAAATCACTGGAAGACTTTCTCGATTTTGCTGAACTTCAGTTACAACAATCTCCTCAGTTGCCTCAAGTGCGAGATAGGGCAAACATCAAATTGTATATAACAAAATATGAGCATTATCAAAGCGAGATATCGCAAGTTTTGGCAAAGCAGTTGAGAGAAGTAAACCAAGGCAAGGATATTCGCGTGCCCTTTCAAAATACCACCCCGCTACGACCCGATTGGGACTCTTACTTCATGAAGCTTGCTACGTTAGCAGCATCTCGGTCGAACTGTATGAAAAGGAGAGTTGGTTGCGTAATTGTTAGAGATCGGAGAGTTATTGCCACCGGTTATAATGGCACCCCGCGTCACCTAGTGAATTGCCACAGCGGGGGTTGCCCCAGATGTAATAATGGTGGTGCGGAGTTGAACACATGCCTATGCCTACATGCAGAAGAAAACGCACTCTTAGAAGCGGGAAGAGATCGTGTTGGATCGAATGCGATACTTTATTGCGACACGTGTCCCTGTTTAACATGCTCAGTTAAAATCGTTCAAACAGGAGTCAGAGAAGTTGTTTATTCTCAAAGTTATCGAATGGACGAAGCTAGTTTCAAAGTTTTACAAGAGGGCGGCGTTTTAGTGAGACAGTTTAGTGTTCTAGAGGAGCCAAGATTTGTGGTAGTGTAAAGAATAATCATTTATATATATTAAATAGACCAAGCATGATCATTGTATCACGTTTCTTTATAAACGTAGGGACCTGGCCTCTTGTCACAATCAAATTTCATATCGACAAGGAGCTTGCCGTTTTCGTAAAGTTCTGCTGAGATTGTATCACCAGGATGGATCTCCCCAACACCAGCTGGAGTTCCTGTCAAGATTATGTCACCAGGTTCCAAGGAAATCATAGTTGAGATGTGCTGAATAATCTTATGTAAGGGATTCAACATCATGTCAGTGGTACCATCCTGTCTTGGTTCACCATTTACCGAACAAGTTAACCTAAAGGCATTTTGCAAGTCCTGCTTGTTCACGATACTCTCTTTTGGTATGAACTTAGAGATTGGCAAGAAAGTATCAAAGCCTTTCCCAATGGACCAAGGCAAACCTTTACGTTTGGCCTCATCCTGAACATTCCGAGCAGTAAGATCTAATGCCAGGGCAAAACCGCTGATAGAATCGTAGACGTCAGAGGGGGTGAAGTTCTCCTCTGTAGCGTTTGACACATATTTATCCATGATCAAGGCCAATTCAACTTCATGATGAACTTTAACGCCAGATGGTATTAAAATTGGACCTGCATTGGAACCATCCACACTTAGACCATGATAACTCGAATCTCGAGGCAATTCTTTTCTTGCCAAACCTGGTGCGATCGGGGTGATAACACTCGAAATGGGCTTTAAAAAGAAGAAAGGCTGCTTAGGGGTCGGATTGTTGAGCTCCTTGATATGAGCAGCATAGTTTCTCCCAATACAAATGATCTTTTTAGCAGATTTGAGGTAGTTGTAGGACATATCTGCTTTACTGGAGATTGGGTTGTCCATTCATACATAAAATATGCGGAGATACAGATTTGTCCGTTTGCCATGACACTATCTTCATCTTATACACCAATAAAATCAATCTATTATACACTGTGGAGGGGAAGCGAGGTACGTAATTTATATGTCATTAGTTGGAATTCGGATAGTCGTGTAGTACAGCCGAGGGTTGACCCTGCTGTTCCAAGTTAGTTAAAGAGCTGTGCCTGCTGACTGGAGTATTGTCGGCAATGAGATTAGAGGCACCATTTTTACGAGCGGACCCATGGTGAATATCGTCTAGACTGAGAAGGGTATTACCGTTGATCACTAGGGGTAAATTGTTTATCGTACCTGTCGCATCATCGCCTTCGGCATGTCCATTGTTTTTCATTTGCTGAGCGCCTCCTGAGTAGTTTGCTGTTTCCGAGTGATGATGAAGCTGTTGTTGCATAACATGAGAATCGGAGTTATTTTCATTGAGGCTGTCGCGTCTACGTTTTTCTTCGTCTTCTCGCCTAGGGTTTCTGCCGCTTCGCTGGACATACTTGGTTTGCAGCAGTACCTGCTCGACGTGATTACAAAGCGTCAGAGCTGAGTTTACGTCATGACGCAACAGTGCCTGCTTCAACATGCCTACGAGTGAGGAGTTGATGGTCTGCTTGGAGATTCCACATAGTTTGTCCATACACTGACTTAAGTCGTCATATTCTGCTTCGTAGAATTGCACATCAGACTCGATCTTCTTGATGTACTCCTTCTTACGCTTTCTGAACTTTGATGCGGCTACCCGGTTACGCTCTAGAAACTCTTTACGCTTGCGCTCTTGCTCGTCCTTAATCTCTTGAGCAGGCTCATTCTTCTTGGACTTTTTGGGGGCAGGCTTGCGGCGCTTTTGTGCAGGTTCTAGATTGGAATTGTCTTCATTGAGGCGGGCTCCCGATGGTGTAGAATCCGAGCCATTAGAAGATGCGGCGGTTGTACCGCCAGAGCCTGAACCAGAATGGACCATTTTGCGAGGAGGCGCTTGCATCTCAAGCGGCGTATTAGAAGTGCCAGAATTGACGGTGGTGGAGCTTGCAGATGCCGTAACGGATCCCGAGACTGAATTTCCTATTGGTGGTGCCGTTGGCTCCAGTACTGCAGCGGGCGAACTATGCTTATCTGGCAACGGGAGTCCCAAGAGCGTTGAGAGTCCTGGTGTGAAATGGCCCGTGGGTAGTGGAATAGGCGGAGGGGCTGAGTCCGCGGTACCCACGCCCGTTGCACCATTGGTGAGAATCCCTGGAGTCAGACCAGTGCGGATATTGGACTCGTTGGGAGTCAACCCAGTCTTCGAGAGATTGAGGAAAAACCCAGGAGTGCTTGTACCATTTCCTGGTACCGAGAGCAACGGAGTGACGCCTGAATGTGGGAGTGTTGGTGCTCCTGCACTCGTCTGATGGGCGGCTGCCCCGTTCTGGAGAACGTTTGGCGACAGCAATAGTGGAGGCAAACGGCGCGATCCTCCAGGAGTGAGAACCGGCGGCGATTGCATTGTAGGCGGCTTTACCGACAGCAATGGAACCGGCGATGCCTTCACCACACTTCCTGGCACTTCACTTGCGCCGTCAACAGTGGCCCCACCTGCCGCAAGTCCCACCGTGATCGCACCGTCCCCCACCTCCTTGGGACCGCCTTTTTTGCTCGATGCAAAGCTCTGCTCGAACGGGTTGGGCTCCAGATCAAACGACGATACCACCAGTGTGTCTCGATTCCCGTTTGTCGACATTTGCCTTGCTTGTTGGCTGATTGCGGTCGTGCTCATCCGCGTTCCTCCTGTTTGTTCAACGTCCGCTTTGTTGCGTAAGACGACGGGTGAGGATCATACCACACGAACCACTCGTGTCTTCCGCGGGGGAAGCCGGATCTAAATTTTTTAAGCCCGCACACGTAGAAAGTGATCGAATCTCAGATTCCACAAGACCGGGTAACGGATGCGGTCAAAACCAGTACACCACGGATCACGTGTCAATGCTTATGAATTTAAAGATACATATCTTTTGTATATATTTATGCTACATACCGCCATATGGCTAGCGGTGCCGGGTCAAGTTGCACGAGGCGTGTGCGCAGCGCACTCAGCGTGCCTCGAACTGCACCATACGCTTGGTACGCGCCTTGAGCAGGATCCGGTGACCGCAATCCTTGCAACGCACAGGGTCGGTACGCGACAGTGACAGCTTGCTAGAGCACTCAGCGCAAATGTACTTTAGCGTTGCGGTTCTGGCAGCGGCAGTACCGGCCGCAGCCGCGTCGAGATTAGTGGGGATCTGGAACCCTTCGCGAGACATACTGGAGACGGTGGATGATGAGTGGGTCTCAGCATCTTGGAAGACTGGCGATGAAATTTTTCTGAAATTTTTCCTGGAGTGGAGAGATCACGTAGAACGAACCGGAGAATCTAAGTCGCTGAAAAAAAAGAAACAAAATAACCAAAAAAACAAAGCCGGGTAACAAAACAGCCACGTGACACTAAACTGCTCTTCTTTTCAGACCACGTGACTCGGAAAATCACTGGCCAACCCAAAACTGCCCATTCTCTCCTCGGTCAATCTCCCGTCGTAGTTGCCGGCTCAATAAGACACCTAGTTCGTACCGCTCCTTGGTCTTGCGATCTAGGTACTCTTGTAGTCTTTGCAAGGCTTTGTCCAGCTTACGCGCGTCCTCCGGTGTCAACACGCCGCGCTCACGGAGCCCTCCTAGGTACTTGATTTCTCGTTGCAGCTTTGCACATTTTGAAGTGAGATAATCGTGGCGGTTCTGCAACTTTTGCGTCGAGCTCACTTCTTGCTTGTTGTTGCTGACTGATACCACGCGGAACGGATTCGATGCACTTCTCTTGGACGCGTCAGGCGCGTCTCGAGTCTTGGGTAGAGCCAGTGGCGTAATCGTGGAACCGACCGCAGAGTCTAAAGTAGTCCTGGGTTGTGATGCGTGATCAGGTTCTGGGGTGCGCTCGAACTGCTGAGTGCCCTGCTCTGGCGGCGTTACGTGCTCTTGTGGCACCTCGCTCGTGCTAGCAACCACATCTGTCCCCACGTTCTTGTATTTCTGTTGCTGGTCATCACCTCCAACTGCACCCTCTACCTTTTGCTTTGGCTCAGTGTCCTGTTGCAGGATAGATTGCTCGTTTGTGTGCTCTGATGGCACCGCTTTCGTAGTGTCCGCATCAACACCCTCTTTCGGCACATTATCAGCCAGCTGCAAATTCTTATCTAGTACTTGATTCATTTCGTCGATTTCGAGTTCTATTTGCGACATCCGCTTTCTAATTATGTCTTTATCCATGATAATCCAGTGTTTGTATTTTGTTTTCACGTAATGATGTTTACAGAAAATATTTCAAGTTTGTCATTGTCACCTCAAGGAAAGGGTATAGATGGATCGAGTCAGAAGCCTCGTGAACAGATCAAACCATTCTTCTTCAAGCCGCTCGCGCAATAATCACAATCAACAAACCCAAACAGGTTCTCATGAAGGTTTGAATTTCACCGACACAGACCAGAATACAGTTTTCGGCGACGACGCTGCGACCCTTCACACCACAGTATCGGAAACAAGTACACTTGGTGACCTAAGACGTAACGGATATATAAACAGATGCCCAAACTTTACCTGGGAGCGAAATATGCCGTTTGTCACCACGGTATTGGGGAAAGGCGTATTTTGTTTCCCAAGCGAGGAGTCCTTCTCCAGATTCCGTGCCAATAAGCGTAGATTGGACGTACTTGATAATGATGAGGGACTTGGTATACCGTTACTACATGCTATTTCCATGGGGATGCTGCGGTCAATCCTTAACAAACATTTGCCCATTATGAAGTTTTACCGGTATGTACTCACCAAAGAAGGCGAGCCTGCTCCCATGCCCTTAAAAGAAGGGAGCTGCGAGTTGATAAGCCGCAACGAATCGCGAGTTCTTTATAAGATCGAACTTTGCGAGGTTTACAAACGTGTCAACAGTAAAACCGGCCATGTTACCCATAAGTTTGTTTTCCGTCAGGGAGACGGTCCCAACACCATCTTTTCAGCAATCATGGCTAATCATGTTTTCCGGCGAGACACGGATGCTCGTGTGGGTGACCTGAATCTACGCTGGCACGGAACTACAGGTCTTGCTTCACCCTTCGGCTCGGGAAATTTCAAACTATTGGTGTTAGATGACGGTATGCCATCGCTGCTCGATCAGCATACTGATGAAAGCTACGACGATGCTCGCAGGCGTGCGCAACCCTTGCGATTGGTCCAACAACTACCCGTTTGGGCAACTTATTCAGACGAAACAGCAACAATAATTCCTAGTAAAAGAACTCTTAGACAGGCCAACTTCCTCATTGGCGAAACTTCAGAGCAGTCTTTAGGTCTCAATAATGTACCTTGGGACACTGTGGTCTTAACGTGCATGTGTATGACGCTTCATGATTTTGAATCACGCAAAGACAAAAGAACCGCTAACGGGCGGGGAATCGGCATCGGCAGTTTTGCTCCTTCGATTGCGGGGATGCCCATTAATTAATGTGAAAGGAGATTTATTCATAATTTACAAAGCCTACATAGTTAATATGACCCATTTTCATATCAGAGAAATCGTTTCGTAGACGACTGAGGTGCTTGTGTATGTGGTGTAAGCATCCACAGATTGAGAAGGATCCGTCAAGTATACAGTGGTGTAGTAATAATCCTCTTCTTCGTAATAAACAGTGCAGGAATCATCGTCTCCAAAAACGGTTGACACTGCGTCTGCATCAAGGGTAGCACTAGAAGTAACACCAGAACTGGAAGAAGTTGTGCTCGAGCTGCCAGAGCTCGAGGAAGAAAAACTGCTGCTAGAGGACGAAGATGTAACTGCTGAAGTGGCACTGCTGCTAGAGGATGAGGATGCGACTGTTGAAATAGAACTGCTGCTAGCATAGCTTGAAGAAGTGACAGGCACTGTACTCATGAAGCTACTGTAGCTGGGTGAGCCAGAGGAAGAGGAACTAATAACGGAACTCGAGGGGGCAGAGCTACTGGAAGAGCTGTCCGAACCACTGACGGTGCCGATCAGTGTATAAGTTGTTGAACCTGACGATGTAATGCTTGAAGAGCTGCTAGAACTGCTGCTGCTAGAACTGCTCGAGCTTACAGTTGTAGAGGTTGGTAAAGTCTGAGAGGTGCTAGTCATCTCGATCGTCGACGCTTTGGTGACTTCTTTTGTGGATGAGCTCACCACATCATTGGATAAAGTCACGGGTAGAACCTCAGTTGTGGTATAGTAAATTGTTTTCAAATAAGTAGTGGCAGGCTTAATCGTGCTAGTAATCACTGCATAACTGTACACCACGCCATCTGAGGTGAACAAATTGACTGCTGGAGCAGCGTGTGCTAATGAGGCTAAGGTTGTCAAAGTAGCTGCGATAGTTGAAAATTTAAATTGCATTTTTGATGAGAAACTAATTGAGGGAAAGGAATGACTGAGGTTAGAAATTCAAAAGGAAGGAATGTAATTAGTTGGTAAGCGATTGTTACAGGCTGTTCTGTAGGTTGGGTTCAACTGAGGTTCAGTCTTTAGAGCGAAAGGCGAATGTGTTGTGTAGTTTGAAACAAGTTCTTGGTTACATGAACTAGTTTGAAGACCGTCCAGCCTCAAAACCACCCTTTTATACCCAATCAGCCATCTAAATATTTCTCAATAACTCGAAGCCAGCATGATAATAAAGATTGTTTGAAAATAGACCCAACCTCTCGAATTTTACAGCGTTGAATAGCTTTACGAACCAGCGCTCATGTATTTCTTGAGCGTATTATTCCTTACGCTGGTATGGCCTCGAGAAAAATGAAAACACCTCATTCAAAAACCATAATAAGTATACCAGCATGTGCCTAGGAGAAACCAGCCATTTTTTTAGAGTTGCGGTTGTCAATCCTCTAAAGTTGACCGTGATGCCATTGTCGTGATGGGTTTGTTTTCGTTTATTTTTCAAAGGTAAACAAACACCAGGAAAAAAGCTGGTAAATCATGTTACACGAAGTATGCACACAGCTAATAATTGCGAAGTTGCAAAAACGATTGGGCTATCTAACCGTTCCTGGAGGGTTGTCTGCGGTATTAACGATGTTATCAAATTAACTTTTGTGCCCCTTTTGGTCTTCAGCGTAGCTAGGGCACTGAGGACCGTCTTTCCCATGTGTTCTATAATACCACTTGATCATGTTTTTGGGTGCCTCACCGAATACAAAGTAGTATTCGCAGAAGATGCAAAGAGGCTTATCATAGGCAGCGAGACTTCCGAAATCTGGTTTATGCTTGGGGTTATGTGAATAATTGAAACTTTCATGATGGTGACTTTTCTTGCAGTTTTCAGCATGAAAAGGACGCTTACTGTCATGCTTGTGACGATGCTCAGAGGTGATATTTGAGTCCTTATTTAATTTTCCACTCTTAGTGCTTGCAGACGAGTTTAAGTCAGAGACACTATGCACCGCCTGCGTTGTTTGAGATGCGCCGCTATGAATGGATGATGATATAAGTTTTTGTATGTCTTGTCCGATATCGCCAGGCAGTGATGATAAATCTCTATGTTCATAGTCGAATAGTACCTCTTCAACTTCCGACTCTGGCAATCCCTCGACGAGTTCAGTTTCATTGCTTTGGGAGCTCCCATTATCCACATGTTCGCGGCCCTCATCATCTTCAGAATCACTAGCAGAACAGTCACCTATACTGACTTCAATGCTTGGTAATGGGGATATATTAGAAGATGCATTAGTTTCCTCATCGGCGATAAAACTATCACTGTGTCCGATTTTATCTTTACGATCATCATGCATATCCTCATTTCTAATACTCTTAGTGTCGTCCTTGTCAGTCAAAAGAGGCTCAATCTTCCCTCCATCGTCTTTGAAAACCAGCTTCATCGACTGCTGCTCTAAGAAATCTGGGTGGTCTTGAAGATGGTCTGTCAGAATCTTAGTTAGCGCCTTGACACCTTCTCGCATCATAACATTAAAATCAATAGGGCCATCCTCGGAAACCAACTCAATAGTCGTATTTCCTGGTAAAGACATTAGTTATGGATAGCAGTAGATTTCAGAGGGATGTCTATAAAAGCTCGAATGAGTTTCCTCTCTCATCCACCAGATCGATGGCTTCCACTGTGATAAAAATTTTAGATACTCGCTATACACGAACAATGCTATCGAGAGATGTGCTTCCCGCTGCTAATGATAATGAAGATGATTAATTCCGCTTTAAAGTTCTCTGCTTTTCTGCGTTTTCAACGACTTTCTCGTTGATAAAGAGACCCTTTCTTCTCCTAATCATATTCATGTGTCTTCTAGCAATATTTTCCTTATCAGCAATATCACCAAGCTCTTCCAGCTCCTCCTCGGTAGTAGGAACCCAGAAGGGATCAAGATCTATGCATTCAAATCCTGCAAATACCAACTGAGGTTGCGCAGCACCTGAAGTTCTTTTCCTAATGTCTTCACCAAAACCAAATGCTTCTACAACAGGAATACGTGCCTCAATTTGAAAGAAGGGAGTGCCCTCTTTCATTTCTTCAGAGACTATGCGTCCACGTCTTTGTTGTACTACTGCGTAAACCTTACCCAATACGTCAACAGACGCTTGAACATCACAGGAATACATAGCCCACATGATTCTTGATGACCAGTCAAGGAATGTTGTGTGGATCGCGTCTCTTGTAGTTGTCATGAGTCTTCCCGCGAAGTTCATGATGTCCCTTTGAGCATCTGTTATTTCCCGTTCAGCTAACTCCGCATCACTCATTTTATGTACATCCTCAACGAAAACACACATTCCTTGAACAGGTTCTTTTGCGAGTGGACCCTCCCTGACCGCTAATTCAAAACCGTTGATGATCGAATTTTGAAATTCAAGATCTCTTTGAGAGTTATCGGAAGGTATGAAACTGCCCAGCATTGAGTTCTTCGAAACAAGCATATTAGGACCAACTCTTTTAGAACCAAAGGCGGCAATATGATCTTCACAGCGATCCCAGCTGCTATCCTTCTCCTTTGTTTCTTTGAAAAGCTCACGTAACGCCTCTCTGAATTCAGATTCACTCATTGTATTTTCACCAGTGTCATTGTTTCCAGTAATCAAATTACTGATGACTTTTTCATTGCTTAGAAGAAAGCTTGTAACATCTTCTGGGAGAGGAGTGGATCTTATACGTATGCTGTAATCCCCAAGGGTAAACTCAAAAGTACCACGGCCTAAATCGGGATTTTTCGCAGGATTCATATCTGGCGTTGATAAAAATGTTTCTCTGTAAGGAATGGCGGGCTCCGAAGAGGTAATATCTATTCCTGCAAATCTCTCCTTCAGGTCTTTCAAACATCTCTCTAGATGCAGCTCACCCGCCGTACACAAAATATGCTCACCAGTATCCTCCACGTACGTCTGCACACATGGGTCAGCCTGATTTAATAACTTCAGTCCTCTTATGAGCTTGTTCATTTGGGTTGGATTTGTAGGCTCAAGGGCAACTCGGACAATTGGAGGTACATGCAAATTAATACCCGCAAGATTGACACCTTGGATTCCATTTTCAATGATTGTACCATTCTTCAAAATCTTGCCAGCTAGCCCACCTATTCCAACGATATTTCCTGGTGGACATTCTTCCAATGGAACCAACTCTTTGCCCATAAAAATATAAAGTTCTGTAATGATAGCAGTTTCGATATGCTCACTAGGGTTTTGAGGATCGTACTTTGGTCCTAACACCGAGACTTCTTGACCAACTTTTAAGGTACCACTATAAAGTCTAGCAAAGCCAATTAAAACCTCATCATCAAAATTTTCAAACTCTGCGTTCTCGACTTCTTCAGTTTCAGAACAATGTTCAAAAGGATCTTCTTCTTCATACTCAAACATAGCATTCAAGGGATCATTAGGATCGATTTCGGCTGGCTCAAAACCTGGTACCAGACCTTCATCTTCTTCGTAATCATTTGCGTCGAAACTGATACCAAGGTCAAACTCTTTTGCAGGCTCTGTCACTATTTGAAAGTCATCATTTAATGACGGCTTGGTCTTATGTTTTGTCTCATCTATCGAAGGAGTCACCGTAGTATCTTGTGCTCTAGCATACAGATTGGCTGATTGCTCTTCTAGATTCATCTTTGACATAGTCTCTGCTAACTCAGCAGCTTTTGCAGCTTTCAGAGCTGCTTCACGTGCTCTTTTACTTCTTTCCATTAACTCGTCTGAGTTGAACGCAGAACCTGAGTTTAAAGGTAGCTCTTCGCGCGGTATGGACAACATTTTTGACACATACGCACATACAGGTCCCCCAGAACTACATTCTTTCATCGAAGAAAGCAAAGATTCGTCGATTAACTCATGACCAGGAGAATTTTCAACTATCATATCCGTCCTCTCCTTCTGGGATTCTAGAGGCGAAGGTAACTTCTCAATAACGGTTAAAAGTACTGACGTACTAACAGGAATCCACTGGCCCATTACTGTTCTTAACAAGTTTTTGTGATCCTTCGATCTAAGATCGCGTGGGAGAATTTTAATATTTAACGTCTTGGTAATCTTTTCCAAGACGTCCATATTCCTCTCGACTAAAACATTTTCGTAAATTTTCCAGATACTGTCTAGAATTAAACTAACAAATAAGGGCTTCAAACTTCTTCCTTTCAAGCCTTTATTATTAATGACTTTTTTGGTTTTAGGATCCATGTAAAAATCACCCCATAGAACCTTTTGCAAGTTCTCCCTCTTTGCACCGAGCTTTTGCTCGTAGAATTTAGCCATCTGTCCAATATTGAACCCCCAACCATCGATAGCGGAAGCAAATATGACATTATTTTTGTCTGGATTGAAATATATGTCGGCGTCATCTTTTTCTTTAAATTCAGCTTCACTGTTAAGTTCAAGTTGTTCTCTCCATGTTATGTCATCAAGAACCCTTTCACCATTATAAAAGGATCCTAAAATAGAGTTCACTTCTTCAATGATCTTATTCATATGAAGATATGCTTCTTGAGGAGTCATTTGGAGCTCCGTAATCACCCTGTCAATTTTGTTGAGCACTAACACTGGCTTTAGCTTTTCCATCCAGCATTGTCTTAGCACAGTGACTGTTTGAGAGCACACTCCTTCCACTACGTCGACTAAAACAACTGCACCATCGCATAATCTTGAAGCTGCACTAACCTCACTGGAGAAATCGATGTGGCCAGGAGAGTCTATCAGGTTAATCAAATGTTCGTTGACGAGGGGTTCATCCTTACCCTCTTGCTTATGCAAAACTCTAAAGTACAGAGATATAGCACTTGATTCCATAGTTATACCGCGCAGTTGTTCATCAGGTCTAGAGTCCAAGAATCTAACCTTTCCTGCGAGCCTTTGGGAAATGATACCATTAGAAGCTAACAACGAGTCTGAAAGGGACGTTTTGCCGTGATCGACATGCGCCATAATACAGATATTTCTGATACATGACGGGTCTTTTTGTAACCTTTTAGATGTCTCTGGGCCAACTTTAGACATATGCCTTAGCCTTTGGGCAGATGACCGATTGGTAGGATTAATTACACTTCCATGAAAAATATATACATAGAACAAAAAAAATTCGGCCGAGCTTTACGATGACCTTGCTAAAACGATGCAACTTTAGAAAATGAGCACAAAGCAGTGCCCTCAGTGCGGTTCTGATCTAAAGAAGTGCCTGATACAGCAAAACTATAGCCTAGTGATGTGTCCACAAACTGATTGTAGCTACCCCTTCAACGATAGCGAAGTGACAGAGAATATTGTGTATACGGAAGATAAAGAAATTCTGAAAGCCGCCAAGAGCCGGCTCAAAGAGGGGAAAGAGAATAGGTAATTTTATAATATATAATATACAGGGTCCGTTTAAGTTTTAAGAGTTTTTCTTTTGATTGTTCTAACAGCTTAGAATTAGAACTTGCCGTCAGAGTAGTACATAACTTCATTGTCGGCATTGACGCTTACGCTAAACTCAAGGTCGTCATCCGTCGTCATATCCCAGGTCTTGTAGACCATCATGAGTGCAAAAAGGTTGCACATGCTACCGAAGAAAAGGCCATCGATGTAATGTTTGACCCCGTTGCAGATGGTGGTAGAGAATGCATAGGTGAGGACCTGACCGACAATGAAGAAGAACACACCGAGTAGGGTCGAACCGGCAGCCCATGGATTTCCAATAATGAACAACGACACGACAAGCTCGCACATGATGAAGAAAAAAACTATGATTGCATTGAGGAGGTACATCACGACAAAAAGCGCCATAGTGTTTGTGCTGGTGGAGGAGGACGAATGCCAGTTGCGGAAGGTGAAGATCGCGACGAGGAAGTTGATGATGAACCCAACCAAAGAGATGCCGCGCATGAGCAGCATGGCGCGACGCGTGCCGTCTTCCCAGATTCTGAAACCCAGCAGACCCAGTACGGACATGCCCCAGCAGCACGCGCCAGCGAGGCCGATTTGGACCGCGACAAAATACGAGTAAGAGCCCGAACCCGGTGAAGAGACACCGCAATCAACGATCAGCGTGAACACAATCAGCACGAGGCAAAGCTCGAAGAAAAACCCGTACTCGGACCGCCCAATGGCAGTATATTTTTGGCGTGTGGAGTATATCATAAACAGAATGACACCTAGGGCACCAATGTTGACGAACGCGTTGCCAACTTCAAACACGACAGTATTGGCGACATCGATGGACCGCGCGTAGCATTGTGGAAGAATCCCAACCTTTAGGTCCTGAGGATTGAAGTCATCGATCCGTGTATCGGTCGAGAGCAGAAGATGCTTCGACGACTTAATCACCGAGCAAAGTGGTAACGGTGTTTTGGAACAGATAGCAGCAAAGTCACCGAAACCCATAACAATGTTCCTATTCTTCCCTAGCTGATTTTACAAGAATGAGACACTCGAACACCACCTGGAAAAATCTGATACTTGATTTTTGTGAAGGAAAATGTATACAGACACGAAACACATAACATGTCCGGAAAAGGCAAAGCGCGTCGCTGCACGTGAGAACGGTATTACGAGCGCACTGACACGCACAGAAAGCTGCTCTGAAGTGTAGTTCTGTGGCAAGGACAACGGGATCTGGGTATGGAATTATTACAATGAATATAGAGCTTATTCTCTCTGATTTTACGTGCTTTACATTTTCAATGAGATGCGTGGACCCTTGGGACATTTTCGCGTGTACTCGCAGGGCACGGTGACTGCACCAGAATAGCCATTTGTGTCGGCACCAGTAGCCAATACGAGACTATTGTGGATAACTTTCCTGAATACTATATATCAAACTCATCGTAGTATTTAATCGTTTTGAGCAGTCTATAATGCCCTGCGACGCCTTAAGACACTGTGTAACTGTCAGATCTGCTTTCTCCTCTTCTCAAAGGAGCTGTAAATTTCTCAAGAAAAGATATGACTGCGTTATCATACACACCCACACATTCGCGAGAAAACAAAATTCAGAACCCATACAACGGAAAATAATTTACCAAAAACCCAAACCCAAATTTTCGAACTGCAAAGAGCAGGTAGCGTCAGCCATCACAGCGGAGCCTCAGGCGGGCGAGGGCACTCTGAGAAAAGTGTTGAAGGTTTGCTTGAAATTGTTACAGGCGTGATTGGTTTTATTCAAGCAAGCAAGAAGTATCAGTCGCAATGGGTATGTGATAACAGTGATGAACAAATGGGATGAGAGTGCAGTGCAGTACAGCAGAATAGAGGAGTTCCAGAGGATGAGATTTGACAAGGAAGGACGGGAGGAGACGACATGAAGCTAGACCAGAATGAAAAAGATGGGAGATGGAAGAGCGCAGTGGCATGTGAGAAGATAGATAGCAAACGGAAGACAGCCAGCTGGGTACATATGTGTGAAACTGCCCAAGGAACCTAGGAAAATGCAAGAAGCGCTACAGCGAACTGGCCTGCGAGTAGATTATCCATTTGCAATTTGTATCCGAAGCAGCTACTGAGCAGCCACTGATCTCCCCGAGGACAGACTAGTGTACTCTAGTGCAAAAAGTTTATTGTAACCCACTACGCAATTTAACGCCCACTTCCACTTCCTCCTTGTGGGGACTCTCTCGCTGAAACCCCACGCTCGCACACAGTGTCCTGAACATGGGAAACTCTTACTAACTTCGCCGCAGTTAACGTTCCAAAGACCAGAAAGACCTACTGTAAGGGTAAGCAATGCCGCAAGCACACCCAACACAAGGTTACCCAATACAAGGCCGGTAAGGCTTCCTTGTACGCTCAAGGTAAGAGACGTTACGACCGTAAGCAATCCGGTTTCGGTGGTCAAACCAAGCAAATTTTCCACAAGAAAGCTAAGACCACCAAGAAGGTTGTGTTGAGATTGGAATGTGTTGTTTGCAAGACCAAGGCTCAATTGGCTTTGAAGAGATGTAAGCACTTCGAGTTGGGTGGTGAAAAGAAGCAAAAGGGTCAAGCCTTGCAATTTTAAATGCATTCTATCGCTTGCTCATTTTCTTGTATCTGTACGAAACTGTATAAGGTAACAAAGATGCTATAATATATCTTTAACACGTTTAGATCGCACGTATTCATCGTCTTTATTGTGAGCTCGTAGCGAAACCGACCGAGCTTGGCGAGTTAGAAAATTCGCGTCCTGGGGTTACCCGGCCGCGTCCCTCTCAGAGCGATGGTCTGGCCCTCACCAAATTAGCGTAAACTTGTTGTACTCCAAGACGAATCAAAACATCAGCTACCATCGTCAAAGCCTCTCGTCAGCTAAAGCATGTTTGGCGGCGTATCGAACCCGTACGCTAATAACAGCGGTAGCCAATATTCGTCCTCATTGCCCAGGAATGATGGATTCAATGCACAAAACCGGTACTCGACCGCGTCAAATGGATCGTACCAGTCGGGCAATATCGCAAGACCGCCCGCTGCAGCATTCAGCTCGAACTACATGCGAGAGCAAGGCTCTCATCAGTCGTTGCAAGAGCGCATGCAAAGAGAAACACTTGCAGGCACCCCGTCGTCACTGACTGGCGGGTTCACAGATGTGCCAACTCTCAACTATCCTACGACGCCAACAAGTCACACGAATTTTGCAGCTCAGAATTCTCAGCCCATGAACACCATGCCACAACCCACATTTGGTGCTAATACAGGAATTTACAACCATGGCAACAATTCTCAAAGCAACCTTCGCAACAGCGCGTTCGCAAATCCACAACTGTCGCCTGGCCAATACTCTGTAAACTCCGACTACGGTGCTGATCACAGTTTGAATGGTAGCCCCAAACACGGTCAATACGTAAATTTGGCACAAGTCCAGCAAAGTCCTGTTAGGAGCATCAGAGGTGTGGGACAAACACAGAGCGCCGATACCCAACAGCGCCAAAGTGTACCTCAAGGTCAAGCGTCTAACTACATGTACTTCGAAAGAAGACCAGATATGTTATCCAAATCGACGCAGGATAAAGCTGCTGCTGTGAAGCTCAAGATTGAAAACTTTTATCAGTCGTCGGTCAATTATGCCATCGAGAGAAACCAGAGGCGTGTGGAATTGGAATCTCAACTGCTGTCACAAGATTGGTCTGATGAGAGGAAAAATCGACAATTGTCCTCGTTAGGTAAGAAGGAATCTCAGTTTTTGAGATTGCGTCGAACGAGACTATCATTGGAGGACTTCCAAACCGTCAAAGTGATCGGGAAGGGTGCCTTTGGCGAAGTTAGATTAGTTCAGAAGAAGGACACCGGAAAAATATACGCCATGAAAACACTATTAAAATCGGAAATGTACAAAAAAGATCAACTTGCTCACGTCAAAGCAGAAAGAGATGTGCTAGCCGGTAGCGATTCTCCTTGGGTCGTGTCGTTATACTATTCTTTCCAAGACGCACAATATCTATACCTTATAATGGAATTTCTTCCAGGTGGTGATCTAATGACCATGTTGATTAGATGGCAAATTTTCACCGAGGATGTCACTAGGTTTTACATGGCCGAGTGCATTTTGGCCATCGAGGCCATTCACAAGTTAGGATTCATTCATAGAGATATCAAACCGGACAATATTTTGATTGACATTAGAGGACATATAAAGCTTTCAGATTTTGGTCTGTCTACAGGATTCCACAAAACTCACGATTCAAAATATTACAAGAAATTGCTGCAACAAGATGAAGTCAATGCTGCCGCAGGCAACTTACAGAAACCACAAATGGGGGTCAATAACGGCTCGAATAACAACCGCAATACCATGCTTGTGGACGCTATTCATTTGACAATGACAAATAGACAGCAAATACAAACATGGAGAAAGTCCCGTCGTTTAATGGCGTATTCCACTGTCGGAACACCCGATTACATCGCGCCTGAGATTTTTCTGTATCAGGGTTATGGCCAAGAATGCGATTGGTGGTCATTAGGAGCCATCATGTATGAGTGTTTGATTGGCTGGCCACCATTCTGCTCGGAAACACCTCAGGAGACTTACCGTAAGATCATGAATTTTGAGCAAACGCTGCAGTTTCCTGACGATATCCACATCTCGTATGAAGCTGAGGATTTGATACGGAGACTTTTAACACACGCCGACCAAAGACTCGGGAGACATGGTGGTGCGGATGAAATCAAGACGCATCCTTTCTTCCGTGGTGTTGATTGGAACACTATCAGACAAGTCGAGGCACCATATATTCCAAAGTTGAGCAGCATCACCGATACCAGGTTCTTCCCAACAGACGAGTTAGAAAACGTACCAGATAGCCCTGCCATGGCCCAAGCTGCTAGACAGAGAGAGCAGATGATGAAACAAGGCGGGAACACAGCAAACAAGGAAGACTTGCCATTTATAGGTTACACTTATTCGAGGTTCGATTACCTCACAAGAAAAAACGCATTGTAAGCAATGCCTCGCATATTATATAGCCTAACTCAATGGATTACATTTTTAAAACTTGCCTTTCGTAAATTACCGACAGTAAGAAAGAATGAATGTAGAAACAGCTGATTCCCAATGTATCATACTATGAATCAACATCAGGCGCCCAGCAACGATCTTGATTTCCTCTACGCTTCTTGCCGGTCCTGAATACCAGAAGGAACTAGAAAACGACTTCCTCCTCTGAATTAAATGTAGGACCAGCGTGAGCGATTAAAAATGATGTTGATCTTTTAAAAAGGTTTAGTTTCAAGAAAGAGTTTGGAGAATCGAGGTGAAATTTGAAAGATTTGGACCCAATGACCGGGTAACGTTTGTCGATTCGGTCGTATCTTCAAGAGGGCATAGGGAACAAAGAGCATGTCAATAGCTAGAGTCGTCATGAATTATATACGTATACGTATTTCGTACTCGAACGAGATTTGTTAGTCTTTCTTGCCATGCTCCATAGCGGCCGGTTCTGCTTTATGGACTTTTTTGTACATGCAATAGAATAGCCATGCTAGAGTTGTGACGCCCATGAAAATCACGCTCTTGAGCGGCTCTGCCACATCCAGAAATGGATATGGGTACGCTTGGCCCCTTGATGGGTCGATGAGCTTGGTGAGATAGCGATTGTAGCCCAGGCCCAGCACGGTGACAACGAGCCAGGCCCTGCCCTTGCCCATCTTAAAAGGTGCCGGTTCGAATGCGAAGTAGTCAATGAGCAGATACAGCACCGGCAGCAGATGGATACAGCAGTCGATCTCCTTCGAAATAGGCATACGAGAGCCGTCTTTTACTCCGTGCATAATAAGGCCCACGGCAAACAGGCGCAACGGCCAGTAGACAATGGCAACAACCGTTTCCATCACCAAAGCGATGGGGAGTGTCACCTGGCGGCTCACGTAGCGCGCTTTTCTGAGACCTAGTGCGCCCAACACATTGACCAAATTGTTGAGAATGGTCACTCCGACAGATATGTTCGTCAAAAATTGTTTATGACCTGCAGAAGCCAGGCATTCCGGTAGAATGATATTCGATGCGCGCCACAGACCCCAGGTTGAAGTACAAAGACTAACGACATTGACTGCCAAAGACCCTAATGACGACATTTTCCCTTAGATTTTGAAATTACTCGTAATGTGACCTGGCAGATTTGAACGAGCTCTTCAAGATTCCACCGAGAATTATCCAGTGTCCGATCTTGCTTCCCATTGCGCGTGAAAGCAATAGGGGAGTGCTTTAAACTCGTCTAATGCCGTCATCGCAGCCGTCACCCAGGCTCACAGGCAGCTGAATTCGCATTGCCCAATTTGGACAAAACGTATTTATGTCAATTTTCGGAACGGCGGCCGCTTCGGAAGTTCCGATGGGCTAGGCGAAGGCGGTAAACAAGACAATTACACCAATTAGGAAACCTCGGATGCAAAGGGTCCGTCTTCTCTTGGCAATTGAATGTGTCTCCGGCTCCCGGGAAAGAGGATGCTAACAGTGTACGTGTAAATGTAAGAGTTTCCTTGCGAAGCGAGCCATTTACAACGGACTCGGCTACGTGGACGACTCTAGAAACAGGTGACTAAGGGGAGTGAACCGCTACCTGAAAAAGACATAGGCTACGGTCTAGTTCTGGCAACGCTCAGACGTTGCAGTACGAAGGGTGCGTGCAATTCGATAGTGTAAGCCACTAAGCGAATTGATAAAATGCCGGATTAGTCGTTAATGGGGAAAAAACTCCAAGTTCAGAGCGCATAGAATATGTCAGCGACAATTACGAAAATCGATCGCAAAATGTGCGCTGCGCCAGGCTCACATGAACGCAGAGACAAAACTCAACAAAGTTCTCAATGCGGTAATTAAGTGGTGCTTTCTGCCAGTGTAAAGTCCATTGTGGATCTGTGGGTTCCGGGCGGATTGCTCTTACTAGAGCAGTATAAATGGCCCGAAGCTCAGCCCGAAGACCAGCCATTTTAATTTGCTTGTTTTGTAGAAGTCATCTTTTAGACAGGTAAATTCTGACAAGCTCCGAGTTTCTATCATAATGCGCTTTTTGTCTTTATTGTTCGCTTTGTTCGCCGTGTCTTTGGCCAGCCCTATCGCTTTGTACAGGGACCTATTCTTCCGCGAGTACGGTGTGATTAAGGCCAACGCCTCAAACTCCACAGCCTCCAATTACAGCAACGCTTCTAATGCTACCAACTCCACGTCCAGCGGTGTGAAGCCCAAGTTGGCCATTGTCGTTACTGGCGGCTACGTCCCTCTCACGAACTACACCTCATCGTCTGAGGTTAGCATCACCACACTATACAATACTACTTCGACTTTGAACGCCTCGCAAATTTACAACGTCGCCAACACCATCAACAAGACCCTGGGCAGCGACAAATACAGCGGAGTCGTCGTGCTCTCTAACGAAAACTCGGTCGAGTCCTTGGGTTTCTTGCTCAGCGTGGTCATTGACAACTACAAGCCCGTGGTTGTCACTTCAGACGTGCTCCCCGGTCTGTTTGTGGCTTCTTCGACCGGCGCCATATCACGTGGTGCTCTTGTCGTGCAAGAAAACTCCATCTACTCCGGTACCGTCTTCAACCCTCAAGCCACCGGCTGGGGCGCTGTTGGTACCGTGAGCGACAGCAACGTGGCCTGGCTATACGCTCCATCCACTGCGCAATTGCTTGCCCCATCCTCCGTCATCAGAACTAACTACACCAACTTCACTGCTACGAACATTTCTTCCTCCAGCCTGCCCGTCGTCCCTGTCGTTTACGACGGCCAGTACAACTCCGACTTGCTAGCCACCATTAGCAGCAGCATCGACGGCCTGGTGGTTGTGGCTTCTGGTAACGCCACGACCTCTACACTAACTTCCGACACTCTACCCGTGGTTTACGCCTCGGGCGACTCGTCTCTCGTGGTTCCAGCCGATGTTCCAGCTGGCGCCATCGCAGGTGGCTACTTGACCCCAACCAAGGCTCAATTGCTGTTGACCGTGGCTCTAGCCAACAGTGTCAGCAATTCGACCTTGTTGCAATCCGTCTTCCCTTAGATAAATTGCTGCATATGAACGCCGCATTTCACTTCTGAACATTACGTTCCTTTCTAGTTCGTCTAATACCCTCAACGTCTGCGGCCTGCGCGCCGCTGCCGTAACCTCGTGTATGACTATGTAAAACTGACTAAAACGAAAACAATAGTACTAATTTACTAATTCACTCAATTCAGCTCAATGCCTGGCCCAATTCAAGGGACGCTAGGGGGTTCGAGCCCGAAGCTCTTCGCCGGAATTTGTGACTCCTCCAGAAATGGCAACCTAAGGGCCATACTCTGGAACTTCCGCGTTCGATCGGGTAACAACACCGAGGTTGCGCACGAGAAACCTTCCAGTGCAATTTCACTGAAATTTCAGCGGGATTTCCATAGGTGAGTATCTACGGCGCCTAGTCGCAGAACGTCGCGACCCCCGGCGGGAATGGCCGGTGAGGGGCAGAAAATAAGGGAGGTGCATCGCGGAAAAGAAACGCATTAACATTGTAACGGGCCCGGGTGTCTGGGTCCCAAATACCCGGAACAAAAATCGCTCATTGTCACCGTGTACGGAAACAGACACATCACGCGACCACAGGCCAATGAAACAGACACCCGTGAACCTCCTCACGGCATTTTCGTTATCTTGACTTTAGATATCAACAGCGCATCGCATCTAATCTCCTTCCGTTGCTGACCGGTCGCCTATCTTTGGGCCGTTCAAAGTAGTGCACACAGGGGCAGGACAGATCGGGGCCCGGTTTAAACGATCAAAGTTGGACGCTGGCGTGCGATTCTCAATGCGACAAGAAATGCTCTTGAAAGGTTATTACTCAATTGTATGTAAAAGGCAGTCAAACATTCGTGACAACTGCATAGCGAATGCAGCAACAAAAATTCTGGTGCTGCGATAAGCGCAGGACCGGAGCTGGTACGAAGTTTTGATGCTTCCATACTCAGTAAGAAATCCAGTCAGCATATGCAGAAACTGGCGCGTTGTGTCGGCACTGCGCGTTGTCTGTGTCAGGCAACTCTGTGTCATCTCACAGACGCTGCGCGTATCGCAGCATATCGCAGAGCGTATCGCAAGATGCAGTATGCAGATGGTATCGCATCGCTATGGTTGGCTGTATTGTATGAACGGTGGATTTAGTCAGATCACAACAGATTTTAAGCGGATTTGCGCTTGGCTGGAGGATTGTATAAATGAACAAGAATCGTCGCCGTTTGGACCCTTGCCGGATTAACTTGTTTCCTTTTTTTTTCCAGAACCAACGCTTTCAGGTTAAGCCAACTTACACACCTCTTCGAAGATGTCTCTCAACCTTACGGGCACGCCCACCGGTACTGGTACTGGTGGTGACACACTCAACACAGACCTTAACACACAGTTCGATATGGCCAACATGGTGTGGGCAGCAACCTCTGCCGCACTTGTGTGGATTATGGTGCCAGGTATTGGTCTGCTGTACTCTGGTTTGTCAAGAAAAAAACACGCTCTATCGCTTTTATGGGCGTCCATTATGACTGCGGGCGTGGTCTCCTTCCAATGGTTTTGGTGGGGTTATTCGCTAGTGTTTTCACATAACACCAGAGGTAATGGTTTCATTGGTACTTTGGAATTCTTTGGTTTCAAAGACGTGTTGGGTGCGCCAAGCGCTGTCAGCTCTTTGCCTGACATTCTTTTTGCATTTTTCCAGGGAATGTTCGCCATGGTTACCGGTATTTTGATGGTCGGTGGTGCGTGCGAGCGTGCTCGTTTGTTCCCCATGATGGTGTTTTTGTTCCTATGGATCACCATCGTGTACTGTCCTATCGCATGCTGGACCTGGAATGGTGAGGGTTGGCTAGCCGTCCTTGGCTCCCTTGACTATGCTGGTGGTGGTCCCGTCCACATCAGCTCCGGTCATGGTGCGTTGATCTACGCTTTGATCCTAGGTAAGAGAAACGACCCAGTTGCCAAGAGCGGTACTCCTAAGTACAAGCCTCACTCCGTTACATCTGTTGTGTTGGGGACTGTGTTCTTGTGGTTTGGCTGGTTCGGTTTCAACGGTGGTTCCGCCGGTAACGCTACCATCAGAGCTTGGGTTTCCTGTGTTTCCACCAACTTGGCTGCCGCCTGTGCTGCTTTGACGTGGATGTTTATCGACTACTTCAGATTTGGCCGCAAGTGGACTACAGTCGGTTTGTGTTCTGGTGCCATTGCTGGTTTGGTTGGTATTACCCCAGCTGCTGGTTTCGTCCCAGTTTGGGCTGCCGTTATCATTGGTATCGTCACCGGTGCAGGTTGCAACTTTGCAGTTGACTTGAAATCGCTACTACATATCGATGACGGTTTGGATGTCTATGCTTTACATGGTGTTGGTGGTGCCATTGGTTCCGTGCTAACCGGTATTTTCGCTGCTGACTACATCAACGACTCTGCCGGTTCCTACGCTGCCCCAATTGACGGTGGTTGGATCAACCATCACTACAAGCAGGTTGGTTACCAACTAGCTGCCATCTGTGCTACTGTTGCATGGACTTGTGTTGTCACTGCTATCTTGTTATTGATCTTGGACAGAATTCCATTCTTGAGATTGAGATTGAGACCAGAAGAAGAAGAGTTGGGTACCGATGGTGCACAAATCGGTGAATTCACTTATGAAGACGACGAAATGTACATTCCAGAGCCAGTGAGATCTAAGGCTTCTGCCCAAGTCCCACACCCTGGCGAAGCTATCGATGATAAAATTGGTGCTGGAAGCAACAGCGATGAAGGCACCAGCTCCGACCAACCTGAAAACCCTGAGAAAGTGACTGTTTAATCTTGTTACGACGTCTCAATGGAATTTCAGCTCTCGCTCAAAAATTCTATATACATATGTTTAAGGACCTCTCACTAATAGTAGTTTAATGGATAATGCTAAAATTACGTTCTGGGACGATGTGGAAGGAATCGAAGGGTTCTGTGAATCAGAGGTGGCTACGGTGTCAGAGGGGGGAGTTACGATGTCTGACTCCATCATTTCTCCAATTCTCTTGAATTGCTATCGGAAGCCCGATAAGAAGAGCTTGTGCGCCACCTTTCAAATTATCTATGAAATAGGGTTACAGGGCAAAATGTTCCTTTCCATTATATCGATTTGTTATACGTTGATAGGGTTTCAAAATGCTTGTAATACCGTTGATATTTCTTTTTAGTACCCCATCAGTGCGAAGATTTACCAATGTTACGGTCCGGTACTGAAGGAATTCAGGGCCCATCCTGCACTACAACGCTAACCCTTAAAGCCTGATGCCTATATTCACGGTAGGGGCACTAATCTCGTTTAGCTTAAAACCTTAATCCAAATGACCTACGTATAGTGTGACATATGTACGGGCTGTCTGATTTTGCCCATTAGCATCAGCATCTGCTCCGAATCTGGGGGTATAGGTATAGAGCTACGCCTCTGCAACGATACATCACTCTAATCCGAGAGCGGGACGATAATCATGAGAATTAGTAATCTTTTATTAGTGTTGTGGGGCTCAGTTGCACTGGCAGCTGGTAGCAGTATGTGGGAAACGTTTTTTAGCTGTAGTTAATTGAGACTTTTTACTGACCGTTTGTAAGAAAGCGCTCAATCTTTCATCTTAACATTAGATGAAGAGCAACCTAACGTGGATAAGGCCCTTTCAAAGTTTAAGGAACTCGTGAAAGAGGCAGGTGGAAGTATCACACATGAGTACTCGTTGATCAAGGGATTTTCGATGCAGTTACCTTTTGATTTTACTGATGGTGTGATTAAAAAGCTGAACGCCGCAGCAGATGAGTTGGGAAATAACTTTCATTTGGAACGAGATTCGGAGGTGCACGTCTTTTCAGGGCACGCTTCATAGGTGCATGAGTTGTATGCAATGAGCAATTGCATAATTATCGATGGCGAGGAAGAGATTCTGGCTTGACTGGACAAATGGTATATTTTACATGGTTTATATGGTATTTATTAAAAATATTTTAACGTTCTAGGTTGATGTTGTCTCCGAATTTAGCGTACAGTGAAGACTTTAGCTCTGAGATCCTGGAGTCGATCTCGGAGTCGTTATCTTCAAGCGATTCTATCTTCGCATCGAGCTTCTCGGCGTCCTTCTCCAGTTGTTCCACCACGTCGCTCTGCTTCATGAACACAAACACGTCACCTATCTTGTACTGGATTTGGTCATCTTCGTCAATCAATTCGATCTCAAGCGATACGTCGTCCAAATATTCCTTCTCTTGTTTGAGAATTGAAAGCTCTTGGTTGAGAGCATCTTTTCTCATGATCAGTTTCGAAAACTCATTGATCTTTTGTTGGTCCTCATACAGAACTTGGACGCTGTTCTTTTGACCTTCTGGAAGCTGAATTTGAGTCGGCTGTTAGTATGAATGGCTGCGTGTGGTTGGTAAAGAGCAATGTTCTTACATACGAGCTCCATCGTTGGTTCTCGATTTGTGGAAACCTTTTTGTTTGACAATTGGAAGAGTGGATTGGAAAAATCAAGGTTGAACAGATCGTGCTCACCCGGACGTAAAAACGTCGCGCTCAATGGGAGAGAAAAAACAAAATTGCAAATGCAGCGAAGTGCGTGCATGGACAGACAATCCCAACGCTGGGTGCACCAGTTTGGATGAATTGACTACTTTAGTCATCTTATTTCTTATGAGCTTACTTATTTTAACTGCAAATCACATATGTGTGATGAAATAGAATGCTATCTAGCGTATATGCTGTGTTTTGTTTTCGGCTGCGGCGTTCAGTACTCGTCGAACAACCTCTCAACTGCCCTGCTGATTCTCGAAGCTGCCTCTTGCAGCTGTAGATCATCGGCCGCATAAGCAAACGTGATTCTCAGGAAAAAAGACCTGTCGAGCGACAGCTCTCTGCAGACAATCATTTTAGTGCCCAGAACCACTTTGACACCTTCTTCCAACAGCTTGTAATTGAACACGTCCAAGGCGCGCTCGCGCTCGCTAAGCGGAAACTTGTCAGACTTCTCGAAGCTGGGTTTCAAAGTGAGGAACATCCCGGCGGAGGGCTCTGTCAGGGTGAAAAGACCCTTTTTGTAGGCGTCCGTGCTGTAGAGGGCCTGGAAAAGCACGTTTCTGCGGTGAGTGTACTGGCTCGCGACCTTCATGACCCAATGGAGCCAGCCTTGCAGGTCATCGTGGTATTTGGTGCCCCAATGGTGGATGACGTTGACGAGAACGGCCTGCGCGATCCCGTTGGGCGCGCGCACAGACACGTCGGCGAAGTCGACGATCCTGTCGATGAGGAACTTGTTGGCGACGATGAAGCTGATGCGGACGCCGGGCAGGAACAGCTTGGAGAAGGTCTCGAGACGCAGCACGCGGCCCACGGTGTCGATCGTGATGAACGACTTGGACAGCACTTTGTCGCAGTAGTCATCGACGCTGAGCTCGTCGCTGGCGTACGCGTTGTGGTGCGGGTCTGCGCGATCGAACGCAGGGAGCTTGAGGTAGCCGTAGGGGTCGTCCTCGACGATGAGGAAGTCGTGCTTGTTGGCGAGGTCGTAAATCTGGCGGCGTTTCGCCTGCGAGAGCGTGGTTCCGGTGGGGTTTTGTCCGGTGGGGATGGTGTAGAGCAGGCGGGGCTTGCTGAGGTGCGCGTAGCGACTGGAGGCCCAATTGTCGAGCAGGTCTGCGAGAAACTCGACGTCGATGCCCTGCGACTCCGCGTCCTGCGTCACGTTGACCTTGACGGGCACGACGGTGCCGCCTGCGGCGACGATGTTGGACACCGTGGGCGTGAAGGTGAATTCCTCGGCGAGCACCGTGACGCCTGCGTCGCAAAACGTCTCGAAAACCTTGAAAAGCGAGTCGGACGACCCGTGAGCGAGAGTCACATCCCACTGGTCGTAGGCGGGCGGGTTGATGCGCTGGACAATGCGCCGGCAAAACTCGAGCAGCTGAGGCTGGCCGCGCGACTCTGCGTACTGGTACGCGACGGCCCCGCTGAGCGCGGCGGGCCGGTCCGGGTCGTAGCGCCACACGTCGACGAGCGACCCGCGCTCGAGACGATCTTGCACGAACGCGCGGGAATCGAACTCCTCGCCACGGCCACCTCCATCACGGTGCAGCTGGCGCGCCCGCACGGCGTATTGCTCGTGCGCAAACGGCTCGTCCACGACGTTGACGTGCAGCGACTCGATGGGGAAGAGGCCCTCGTTGGGCATGCCGGCGGCGAGCTCGATGGGGTCTGGGTGCGGGGTGACGTGTGCGGGTAACGCGCCGCTCCAAAACGCGCGCAATTTGCGGTCCGCGACGCGCGACGACAAAAACCGGGTGTAGTGATTTTGCAGGGTCTCGTAATCCATATCCGTAGGTGGTAGACTCCTTTCCAGTTTTTCTTTTAACAGGGCTCTGGCCAGCTAGATGCAAAAAACGTCGCGCTCGCCTCCCGCGTCGCGACGCTTGTATATATATTACTTACAGCTGGAGGGGGCGCCGCCAACACCCGTGTTTTGCCGCGTGTACGCCGAGCGGTTGCGCGGCGCGCAACCGCGCTACTATCTGCGATTCTCGATCGTGCAGCCACGCCGGGCGGCTGGATATCTAATCGGCGGCGGAACAGACCTACGCGTGTGGCAGCGCCGTCGCCAGCTTCTCGAGGTCGCGGCCGCTGGCGTCCGTGTCGCACTCGTCGCAGAGCGCACGCCGGCGCTCCGCCAGATACAGCGTCAGGTTAGCCATCTGAGCGAAAACGAAGCACGCCGCCAGCAGCACGTGCAACAGCAGCTCGTGGCGCACGGCGGCCTCGTCCGACGCGAGCGTCGTTTGCAGCGCGCGCAGCCGGCCCGTGGCCGGCGACATCGAGCGCACAGAAACGTCCGCGGCGTCGCCTGCAGCACGCGCGATCTCCACGTACGAGCGAGCTAACATAAGCGCGCTCTTGGCGAGCACGATGATCCCCGCGTACGACGCGAACAGCGAGAACATGCGGGTGGTGCGATGGCGGACAAACACGAATATCACTGTGAGCAGCAGGCAGAGCTGGCCGCATTGGAGCGCATTGGGCGCCACTCGCCGGATGAGTGCGAGTAAAATCAGTAGATGTGCGCTCAGCAGCGCCCAGCAGACTGCATTGTGCGACCCGCGAGAACGTGCTCCCGAGCACGCCCCCAAGCACGTGCACGTGCACGTGCACGGGCTCTCGGTTTTGTGTTTTGTGTGTAGCATTTCTTTGGGGAAAAGCGAGCGCGGTGAGATGCTTGTGGTGCGAAGTGCAAGCTGGGATGACCTAGCCTCACCGCCTCCAGCTCCCCCCATCTCCAACGCGCGAACTGCTCGCTTTTGTATCTCTATCTGCTCATTTATTGGAAGAGCCCACATGCGGGCCTCATGCAGGCCACATGCGAAGATATGCGCGCGCGGCAGGCCCGCAATATGCGCACGGGTCCTTCCGACGAAAAAACCTGTGGGCCCACATGCGTTGCGTTGTATTGCGCAGCATACCGTTCGCAGCGCCGTGCAGAAGCCCGCAGAACACGCCCAGACCGCGCTTCCTATTTTTGGCGGATTCTTGCCCGTTTCCGGCCTGCGTAAACTCAGCGTGCCCTGCCGAGCCTGTTGGCCGCACCCGGTGTAACCCCGCCCCGCAGAAGGGGGTGGCGGCGGGACAGAACGGGGCCGCCGGGCGCTGTGGCGAAGGAACTGAAACGCGATCGAACGCGAATGGCACGTGGGCGGCGTGGCCACGTGCCCGCGAGCTGCCAATATACGGCCCTGGCGGTATTGGCCCGGCCACGTGCGGGCGTCTACAAGCCCACAGTTATTAGCGTATATATGAGCACGACAGAGGCATAGGGGGGTGATTTCAGCAGGGGCTACACGCGTGTACTCTGCAACCGGCTCGGCCCCACGTTTTCTCGCCTGAAACCCTCCATGGCGTACGCCACTCCCATCACCACGCGATCTTCCAAGACTCCCGTCGAGGACTCCGAGCTTCTGTTCCAGTTCAGCACTCCGTTCAGCACGCTGGGTTCTGCCGAGGTAACCGAGCCCGACGACGCGACGCTGTATTCCACATCCCACGCCAGCACCCTCGTTAGCGACCTGGGCGACCGCGCCAGCCTGCCGAGCCTGCCCGAGCACCGCCACTCCGTGGGCGGCAGCGGCGGCGACGTTACGTCGCACCACGCACAGCCTGCGGCCGCAGTGGCGGCCGCAGCCTTCGCGGGCCATCGCGCCACCGACCCGCGCCACTTGCTGGTGTCAGCGTTGCCCCGCTCCGAGGCTCGGGCGGCTCCGGCCGCGGCTGCCGCCGCGCCCCGTCGCGCCAGTCATCAGCCCGTCAGCCAGTCTCGGCTTTTCTCCAAGTACAACAATTACCTCGGCGACGCGCTCAGCCCCGCCGAGCGCCGCACAGAGCGCGGGCCCGCGCCGTCTCCGGAGCAGCTCCGCGAGTTGGAGCGCATGGTCGAGCAGATCTGGCTCCGCGACGGCAGCCTCACCGAGGACATGTTTGAAGACTCGTCGGACGAAGAGCACTAGAGGCTCTTGCCGCCCTGTATAGCCCGTCACGTGGTCTCGCGCTGGGCGCGTGCTGCGTTCTAGTACATATTTGCGGGCCGCGCGCCCGCCTCGCTACATATCTGCATACATGAAACATAGCTTTTCGCGAGTTTGCGGCGTTGCGTCGCACGGCTGTGTCTCGAGTTTCCAGCTCGGCGGCTGTTTGCGTCGTGTTTAGCGTCGTGTTTCGCATCGCGTTTGCATCGCTCCTCGGCAGGAACCCTGGACCCTGCCGGAGCTGGCGTGACGTCTCCGTTGCGAGTGATATCCAGATCCCAGCCGGACCCCTGTCGTCCGATGCGACTCCGGTGGGTGCAATGGGCTCCTTTGTGGCTCGAGCCTGTGACAAGGGAAAGATCCCCATGGCAAGGCACACGCGGTCAGGCACCGCAATTGGGGTGTGCGTGCGGAAGTCGAGGTACAGTTCCGTATGGTTTCGCACCGCGTTATTACTGTTACTTGTGTTTTGTTCACCTTTAGATGCCGGGCATTGTTCAATTAGGTTTTCGCAGCGTTTCATTGCGCATTTCGGATTCCGTGTTTGTTTACGTGAAACGTGCACCCTTAATGCCTCTGGTGTTGTCTACTTTTTCTCGCGCCCGGTAGCAGGCATCCTGCTCGGTGAGCTGCTCGACAGAATTCCCGATGCACTGTGTGCAAATCAGATCTGTGTTTAGCCAGTCACGATTAATTAGATGATTTTGCGACATTCTATTGTGCCTTCCACCGCAGTGGCCGTGTATCTACTCTATATATTGACCTCTCGAGCCCTCGACCTCTCCAGCCCTCGACCTCTCCAGCCCTCGACCTCTCCAGCCCTCGACCTCTCCAGCTCCCCGCCTCTCTACTCATTCTATCACGCCTGCGTACTTCGCTAGCACCGCGTCCACCTCGGCAAGTAGGTCGTTCTTGCGCTTTTCCTCGCACCACGACCCGTTGATGGCCTGGCGCGCGACGCGCGCCCACGTCGCCGCGTCCCACCCGAACCGCTGGTGCACCGCGACATAGTTGTCCAAGATGTAGCCACCAAAGTACGCAGGATCGTCCGAATTCAGCGAGAATGGCACGCCGGCGTCCAGAAACTTCTGCAATGGCAGTTCCCCCACGTCCTGCACCACTTGCAAACGCACGTTCGACAACGGACACACCGTGAGCATGGTCTGGTCACGTGCCAGACGCTCCATGAGTTCCGCGTCGTGGGCGGCGTTCACACCGTGGTCCACGCGCGACACCTGCAGCAGGTCTAGCGCGTTGTGGATGTAGTCCGCTCCACCTTCTTCGCCGGCGTGCGCCGTGAGACGCAACTCCGGATGGAACGAGCGCGCGCGCTCGTAGCACTCGACAAACAGCTCTGGTGGGAAAGGCTTCTCTGCAGAGTCGAGCCCCAATCCGTGCAGCTCGCCCGCCTCGAACATGCGCTGTGCGTCCGTCAACGTGGCCATGCACTCCTCCACGGGCGTGTGGCGCAACAGACACATGATCAGCTTCGAGGTCACGTGCAGCTCCTCCTCGGCTCGAGCGCATGCGCTGCGGAACCCGGACGTCACCGTCTCCAGCGACACGCCGCGGGTGGTGTGGCTTTGGGGGTCGAAGAACACCTCTGCGTGTCTGAGACCCTGCGAATGCGCCCGTTGGAAGTAGGCCCACGCGAGGTCAAAGAAATCCTCTTCCTTTAGTAGCACGTTGGTACCGATGTAGTAAAAATCTAGAAAATCTTGCAAATCTTTGAACCGCGAGTAACGATCCTCCAACGCCTCAACTGTCTGCGGGAAATGTGCGGGCAACTCAATGCCATTACGTTTCGCGAGCGGAAAAAGCAAGTCGGGCTCAAGGGTACCTTCTAAATGCAAGTGGTGTTCACATTTTGGAAGATCGCGTAAGAACGCGCGCATAGTGTCGTTGCAAGTGTAAGCCATGCTGCACTGGGTTAGGATTAGATGTAGTTTTAACAGATTTGCAAGCTTTTCTTGGCGGGGTCTGCATTCATATACGCCGATCGAGAAATCCCATCTGCAAAAAGAAACGACCCGCGGCCCCGCCTCGCGGAATTGCCGGTCACGTGTTCTTCTATCTGCCCAACTTTAATTTCTTTCTTTTTTTTTTTTTTTTTGCCTGTTTTGTTCCCTTCCACGGGTTCCCTCTCTCAGATTAACCGCCGATGCGGCGCTAAAATTTAGGTTTCATGCGACCTGCAGTTCAACCTTCGTTGGTGCTCTCCGACTGCTCGCTTCTGAAATCTCGAAAGTGCGTGGAGATGGGCTGGCTGTTTCATTGCGAGTATGTGGACTCCGCTCGCTCATCAACACGACGCGTAATGCTTCGTTTATTAAAAGCATCTGGCCATTCGTCTGCGCAAGGCGGATACATAATTACATATTTAGAGGTATTGTACATATATGAAAGTTGTCTGAGGCCCATCACTATCGCTCTTGTGCTTATACGTGCTCAATCCTATCAGCATACAACTCCCTCGCGCCATTGACCCATACTCGCTGATCGTCCCTCTAAACGAAAATGTTCCCCTACATCCTTGAAATTAGGGAGTTGCCGCCATGGGACTGGCGGCTGGCGGCTACACGATGCCCCCTTCCAAAAAGATATAAAAGGGGTGGGAAGACTTTTCCTGCAAATTTCAGCAGATTTCAGCAGTGCGGTCCTTCACTGGAACTTTCAATACACCAAGATCAAATGTGAGACGTAAAAGGTGTCTGTCTACGAATGTGAGACGTGCTAGCGTCAACGGTAATGACACGTGCTAGTACCTACGGTCATGAGAAGTTCCAGTATCAAAAACATCGAAATATCAAAGTATCTGGGCATTCCAATCGGTTCATCTCTGCCGCCGCGCTTTAGACTCATTTGCTTTTGGCGATATGGGGCAAGCACAAGTGACCTTCACATCGTTCTGAGACCCACAGCATGTTCAAATGTCGCGTTACAATCTTACAACTCTTCTTCCACGGGACTTCAAACACCAACGGCTAACTCCGCCCGAATCGTGCACTTGTTGTCAACTCCTAACGCCGGACCAGCGCCGTCTTTGCGACTGGTTTTGCAGACCGTTCGATCACTTCTCACGTCGCTCGAGTCTGAGGTTCGACCGAGAAAAAACTTCGAGGAGTGCGATTACCCGGCTACAATCACAAAGACCATGGCTCCTCGTGGTCTGAGAAAAAAATTTTTTTTTTTATTGCGGTGTCCGCGAAGCGAGAAAGGAAACGTTAGGAGAATCCAAACAAAAAATCTCCCTCGTGTCGGCCGCATACACAAGCAAATTCAGCGCATTCACGCACAAAGCTGGGCCCTTAGCAGTGAAACGATAAGCAAGCGTCTTCAAGACAGAGCTTACGTCCAGGAAGCTCAACCATAATATAGTTTACGTCCCGCTCCGCCTTCCCGCAAGCGGCTCAACAACCCAAGTTTAAAGAACAAAAACACTTGTCCTGTTTTTGGGCGATTCGTTCTCTTTGGCACCTACTAGCTCGAGGATGAACAGTGCATCTGCTTCTGCGTCGCAACAAGCGACTCCGGGGTCGTCAAGCGCACGCGAAGATTCCACCATCGTCGGACTTCACTACCGGATCGGCAAGAAGATCGGTGAAGGGTCCTTTGGTGTTTTATTCGAAGGTACCAACATGATCAACGGCGTGCCCGTTGCAATTAAGTTCGAGCCTCGCAAGTCCGAGGCACCACAGCTGAAGGACGAGTACAGAACTTACAAGATTCTTGCTGGAACCCCCGGCGTGCCCCAGGCATACTATTTTGGGCAAGAAGGCTTGCACAACATTTTAGTGATCGATCTGCTGGGCCCATCTCTAGAAGACCTGTTTGACTGGTGTGGACGCCGGTTTTCGGTCAAAACCGTGGTGCAAGTCGCCGTTCAAATGATCACGCTAATCGAAGACCTTCACGCTCATGATCTTATCTACCGTGATATAAAGCCCGACAACTTCTTGATTGGCAGGCCCGGTCAGCCAGACGAAAACAAAGTGCACTTGATCGATTTCGGTATGGCCAAACAATACCGTGATCCCAAGACTAAGCAACACATTCCATACCGTGAAAAAAAATCCTTAAGTGGTACCGCGCGTTACATGTCCATCAACACTCACTTGGGAAGAGAGCAATCTCGTCGTGATGATATGGAAGCGTTGGGTCACGTCTTTTTCTACTTCCTCAGGGGACAATTGCCATGGCAAGGTTTGAAGGCCCCCAACAACAAGCAAAAATACGAGAAAATTGGGGAGAAAAAGCGTCTCACAAATGTTTATGATTTGGCTCAGGGACTTCCAATACAGTTTGGTCGTTACTTAGAGATTGTCAGAAACTTGGCATTCGAAGAGACTCCTGATTACGAGGGTTACAGAAAACTGCTACTGTCCGTTTTAGACGACTTGGGCACTGACGCTGATGGTGAATACGATTGGATGAAGCTAAACGGTGGCCGTGGCTGGGATTTGAATATCAACAAGAAGCCCAATTTACACGGTTACGGACATCCTAATCCTCCAAATGAAAAGGGCAGAAGGCACAGAAACAAGTACGGTCAACAAGCTGCAGATGCTCAGCAACAATTGCGTTATCAACAGCAACAACAACAATTGCAACAACAGCAACAATTGCAACAACAGCAGCAACAGCAGCAACTACAGCAACAGCAACAGCAACAACAACAGCATAGGCTCGACCCAACTTCTTACGAGGCTTATCAGCAGCAAACACAACAGAAGTACGCACAGCAACAACAAAAGATCCAACAGCAACAGCAGCATCACCGCATGCAAAACTTTTCTCAACATGCTGCGCAACAATCCCAGCCTTATGGTGCTCAACAACCGCCAACTGTTAAACAACATGTACAGACTTCGGGCAACGGCAACGCTGCTCTCGCAGATGGTCACTCTGTGTCCTCCGGAAAAGGTTTCTTCAGTAAGATGGGCTGTTGTTAAGTAGAAGCGGCTGGAACGGCGGATTACGGGTAAAATTTTGACCAAATAATGGTCATTGTCATCTTACCGAACAACGGTGTCTATCATACCTGCGCGCAAAAGAAACACTTAAGTGAAAAGAAGTTAATTAATTTTGACAATTATCAGAACAAAGACAGGTGAAACAAACTTACAAAAAAAATTGAACTGAATAGTTCTCATAAGTAGTTTTAGTGCTTAACAAAACTTGCGAATCGACTAAAGGAGGATGCTTTCTCAGTTCCTTGACTAAATATATAAACTCAAGTAGGCAAGGAACTTTCATCCCACCTTTCACGTTTCTACTTGGACCACGCATGTTCCACTCTCTCTTTTATAACTATAGAGTTAAGTGAATGCACGTTAATTACATCTTCTAGGTGTTCAATATCTCAAATAGCGGAAATTTCTTGAATGCAGGTACAGGAGACCACCTGCAGGAGATAGTCCAATTGATTGATTAGGCATATTTGCTCCGCATTCAATTAATTCACATATTTGTGCAGCTCAGGTATTCTACCTGCAATAGCATGCAGATTGATCTTCTGCAATTTATCGGTCTATCACATTATGATTGGGGACATAGTAACTACGGCAGCAAATACTTAAGTCTACATAAACATCATCACAGTCAACCTAATCCAATCACTTGAAAATACAGGGTACTTCCAATGGATTGCAGGCTCTGCTGATGAATAAAAGCATCAAGCTTCTTCGAACGTTGCAGTTGTATTTGTTATGCCCTTTCCGAGCTTAAAAAGTGGCCTTTTTTTTTCGTTTAGGGTAGCGTCGATCGTTTACTGTAGAAAAAGTCCAGCTCGTCTCGCGTTTACAAGGCGATACTACTTAGTTCTCTCCTGCTAAGTGAAGTGATCACCAAAAGTACAATGTCCGACAACGTCTACATCGTAGCAGCCGCCAGAACACCAATTGGATGTTTCTTGGGCTCCCTGTCCTCTAAAACCTATGTCGACCTAGGTACAACCGCAGTGAAGGGTGCTTTGGCCCAAGTTCCTCAAATCAACCCAGCTGACGTTGAAGAAATATTCTTTGGTAACGTTTTGCCCGCCAATGTTGGTCAAGCTCCAGCTAGACAGGTTGCTTTGGGGTCTGGACTAGGTAATCACATTGTTGCCACCACTGTTAACAAGGTTTGTGCTTCTGGTATGAAGGCAATCATTTGCGGTGCTCAAACAATCAAATGTGGTAACGCGGACATTGTGGTTGCTGGTGGTGCCGAGTCTATGACCAATACTCCCTACTACATGCCAGCTGCCCGTGCTGGTGCTAAATTCGGTGACGCTAACTTGGTTGACGGTATTCAAAGAGATGGTTTGAACGACGCTTACGACCACCAAGCAATGGGTGTTCACGCCGAAAAGTGTGCTAAGGACTACCAAATTACTCGTGAAGATCAAGACAACTTTGCAATTGCTTCCTATCAAAAAGCCCAAAAGGCTCAAGCTGAAGGTAAGTTCGACCGTGAAATTGTACCTGTGACCATCAAGGGCTTCAGAGGCAAGAAGGATACTTTGGTGACCAATGACGAAGAACCTGCAAAGCTAAATGTTGAGAAATTGAGATCCGCAAGAACCGTGTTCCAAAAGGAAAACGGTACTGTCACCGCTCCAAACGCTTCTCCTATCAACGATGGTGGTGCTGCAGTGATTCTTGTCTCTGAACGCAAGCTAAAGGAGCTAAACTTGAAGCCTCTTGCCATTATTAAGGGTTGGGGTGAAGCTGCTCATGAACCTTGTGACTTCACCTGGGCTCCTAGTTTGGCCATTCCAAAGGCTTTGAAGCACTCCGGCTTGAAGGACGTTAACGACGTGGACTTTTTCGAATTTAACGAAGCCTTTTCTGTCGTTGGTATTGCCAACCCTAAGATATTGGGAATTCCTTTGGAAAAGGTGAATGTTTACGGTGGTGCGGTCGCTATCGGCCACCCATTGGGTTGCTCTGGTGCCAGAGTGGTCGTCACCTTGATCTCCGTCTTAATTCAAGAAGGCGGTAAAGTCGGTGCTGCTGCCATTTGCAACGGTGGTGGTGGTGCATCTTCTATCATCATTGAGAAAGCTTAGAATACATGATGTAAGGCCAAATCTGCTAGCGTCAAACCTCTATTGGCTTCGTAACTTAGCTATTCATCTATAATTAAAAATCACGTGCCGCAATAAGGCCGTGCCTAAACATTACCATAAGCGTTGTGCTTATAATTAAAACAACCGGAATTACTATTTTCCCGCGATAGCAGCTCAAGTAAGACGCTGTGGAGTGATTTGCCTACTTGTTTGGTGGTGTAAATTGAGGAAACAAAGCCTGCTTTTGTCTGCTCGTTATGTTTCTCTTTGTTCGTAAGTCCCTCGTGCGGTAGATTATTTTCCCGCGTCGCCAGAACCTAGATGTTTTGGACTTGGCGCGGGGAAACTCTTTCATCTCCTTAATTGTAGATAGTCACTAGCAAATCGATATTAAAGATCAATGACCAATTCCGCGAGACCAAAGGTAATAGTGCTAGGTGGAACAGCTGGTACGGGCAAATCTACGATTGGTGAGAGGCTTGTTAAGTTCTTTCAGGATAAGTACCCAGAAATTCAATTCCTAGAAGGTGATAGGATCCACCCTCCAGAAAATGTTGCTAAAATGGCGCACGGAATTCCGCTCACAGACGATGATAGATGGGGGTGGCTAGCCGATGTTGCAAAGATATCCACAGCCTCTGCAGAGGAACACGGGGGATTGGCAATAATTTCATGCTCAAGCCTCAAGAAGAAGTATCGGGACTTTATGAGAGAAAAGAGTCCCAACACTGATTTCTTCTTCCTGTTCTTGTATGCAGACATGAGAGTGATTGCTCATAGGCTAACCCAGCGTGAAGGACATTTTATGAAGGCGAACATGCTCGAGTCGCAATTCAAGGATCTAGAGCTACCCAACAGCGACGAGCCAAACTGTCACGTGGTCGACGTGGATGGCAAAGATGTAGAGCAGGTACTGCAACACACTTATGAAGACCTGTGTAAATTTGTTCCAAATTAACATCAACCTAGTTTTTATCGTCTATCAAACTTTATATTATACGTAAATGAAAATGATGTTTCTATCTTATATCCTGTTCAAATCCTTATGATAGAGTTGAACATAAAACAAAACCGTTGCGTTACAATCCCTGCCTGGCAATCTCCCTTGTGATGCATTTTCGTAGCTCATTAAATCCGTATCCGAGAAACCTCCGACCAATCTAGTATTGCGGCAGCCACCTACCCTGAGAGGAGTAGTTGGTCACCGTGGATAGATTTAGTTGAAGATAGCGTGATTTAAAATCATCAGGTAGGATACGCTTGGGTTGTTTGACGCCAACGTGAACATGGTCGACGTCGACTGAGCCATTAGGAGTTGTGTCGACAGATGAGAGTTGACGGTAGCTTTCTTCTTCGCTTGAGTATTCGGTGTCGTCCTCGACGTCTTCGGCTTCTTCTTCGTCTTCGGAATGGTAATCGTAGAGCATTTTCTTCATTTCCATTCCACGGTTGCCAATGATGAACTCATGGACTTGCTCTTCGGTTAGGGCTTCTACCTGACTAAGTGGGCCAGAAGATGTAAACCGAGTACACGCTGACACACGTTCCATTAGTGACTCGAGAGAAATTCTCGAGTAAGGGTCAAGTCTCAAAATGTCAGCAAGAAGTTGGTAGAGATCCTGGGACACAGGAAGGATCTTCATGAGAACCTTGGGATCTTTGACGAAGTAATGGAAGGTGTTGTCCTCGAGCTGATGAGCCTTCAACCAGGGATTACGGATACACGTGAGATTTATGAGAATAATACCCAACGACCACACGTCTCCGGATGCAGAAGGGAACCCCTGGTTGTCCTCGGTCGATGTCAAGCTGGTAGGGCATGAGATACGCTCGGGGGCCATGTAGTAGCTGGAACCCACACATACGTTGGCAGGCAAATGCGTCGACAACGTACTGAGTCCGAAATCGCACAAGAACGCATTATCGTCACCGTCCAACAAAATGTTTTCGGGTTTGATATCACAGTGGTACACGCCACGATCGTGGCAGTGCTTAAGCACGGAACAAAGCTGCAAAAAGACCTTCTTGATAAGCTGGCCGTCGTGTGCAAAGTGCTGGTCGTCCACGATCGAGGTGAAGAGGTCACGTGGATAGTAGTCCATCACCAAAAATGTCGCCAAAGGCGATTCCAACACCTGGTGAACTGTGACCACGTTAGGATGTGAGTGCACGCGCAAATGCATTGCAATCTCGCGGAAGTGAGGAGAGCGCATGAGCTGCTCCTCGCCCAGCCCGCGAATGGAGTCCAAGTTAATCGAGGGTAGGAAAAGCCTGTTCTCGAACGACTTGAAGTAATGGTAAAGCTGCGTCTGTAGAACGGCACTCTTCTTGATGTCGTTATTGGCTGCGGAGGCGCTGGTTGAGGCAGCCTGGTTCTTCATCACCGCCTTGACGGCGTACTCGTTTTCGGTAATCACGTCCACAGCGTGGAAAACGAGCCCATACGCTCCGGAACCTATCTGACGTGTTAACTGGAAGTTATTTATCTGGCAATTGGTCAGCATTTCTGCTTTCACTTGCTATTTTAGCACACACTAAACAGTACGCCACCTAAATACAGACTATCCAATATATATATGCTCTACAGCCCGCGTGCTCCGTTGCCATCGGGCAGCCCATGCCTACCAACACAACATTTCTTATTCTAAATGCGTTTTATCAGCTCATTTTGAATCTGTCTCTGACGCTGGCTTCTTGTCGGGTCACCAGAGCATTCTGCTAGAGTTACCGACATGATCGCCAGAAATGCCCGCAGCGCATCTTTATTCCAGAATCACGCCAGCCAACTTTTGCATGGGATAAACGTTACGGGAGCTAAAACGGCTCGAGTTCCTAACCCCTGCATTCTCCCACGTGATTTCTTCTACGCCGTTTTCTGCGCTATCCCACGCCGACCCCTCTCGCCCACGCGTTTCCCAGAAAAGCACATGGCTGAAGGGCTCGCGTGGGTTTCTGGGCAGGCCTAATCTAAATGTGTGGGTTTCTCTGTTTGGGTGTCGGGGTGCTAATGTGCACGGCTGTTGGCCGATCTTCGGGTGTGTGGGTTATGGAATCGAGAAGGTGCACGGGCTTAGACGAGGGTGCAAGGCTTCCGAGCAGCACGGAAAGGCGCTTGCAAGACACGTTTCAGGAAAGAGTAGAGTTCCTTCTGCAAAAGCGCACAGGGCACTCCGGACGGTGACGTAAGACGTAAGATGAGATTCGGACTTAACTCCTATATGTGGTTCTAATGCCGCCGGCAAAAGCCGTGTGCGCTGCGAACTGTTAGTGCTTTTTTTAGTACGTACGGTGTTTGGAGCGAGTGTTTTATGGATTGCCTGTCGGCAAGTGTCGACGAGGCGACCAATGTGGAGCGTCGCCGGTGGAATTGAAGGTCTTGCCGAATCGATGTAGGGCCTCGGAACTGCATCGCACAGATACGAGTCTCTTGTGAAAAGGAGAGGACTGTGGTGGCTGTGCTTTTTGGATTGGGACGCTTGTGGCCGGTGCTTACGTTATATGTGAACGGCGTCGTACATGCTTGGCAAGCGGCGGGGGATTGTGTGTCACGTGACGCGACCTGATATCGAGGCTAAACCCGACGCTGAGTACACAAGGGGGGGGATCTCGAGATTAGATACGGTTGGCAGCAACAGAGTGAATATGCCCTTGGGTGCGTGCATGAGATGTCTTACCTCTTGCGCAAATATGTTTTGTTCTGTTAAACTGCGCCCAAGGGCGCCGACAGGCGTTCCGCCGGGAGCGCATGGAAGCCGCCCAACGCTTTACGTTGCAAGGAACCGCCGGAAAAATGCACCACAATCAGAACCTGTCGGAAAAACCCGGCAGAAGAGAGAACGCCGAAAATGGAAGGCACTAGGAACTAGCGAATGTACATGGAAGCGACACCCTCCTCACTTAGAAAAAGCGTTGAACGGCCGGGTGCGTATTGAGCAGTAAAGGGTATGAATATACATTTTTATAAACCTATATGGCCTATCACGAACTAACTTGGCGTAGAAAAGAAGGTGCAGATTTTAATGTTACATGGACATGGCAAAATGCGTCGCGCAGTTTGGGACAACTGCTAGAAAAATAAGAGTGTATGGCGGTGGCATCACTGGGAGATATGACGGCACCCTCTATTCAGTGGAAAGTCCAAAGTTTCTCACACCTCCGAGAGTTTCAAAGTAGTCGCCAATGTAGTTCTTAGGCATAAATTGGTTCTCACGGTATAGAGTTTCCCAGTTGTGGAGAATGTCCTTCACAAAAGGAAGCCCGGCGATGTATAGGTTCTGCACCGCAGCGGAGCTCCCGCCTTGGTAGGTGTCGAAGAAGAAGCTGGTGGCATTGAGACTTGGTGGTGGGCTGTCAAAGTCGGAAATCGACCTGGTCACAACGATACGGTTGAAGTCCAAGATACCATGCTTGGCGGCACGTAGCATTGCCTCCAATGTCGCGTTGTCTTCTTGTTGTGTGGAACAGTACTTAGCAGTTCCGTTGGAGATGGTGGAAACAAAATCACCCATGGCCTGTGCCATCAAGTTACCCGTCCAGTACACATCGGAGGTAGCAGTGTCACAAGCAACAAGTTTTGGTGAATCAAATGCAGGGGCAGTGCTATTGTATTTCTCACGAATGGCAACGTTACCGGCGGTACCGTTGTTCAAAGTAACATTGGATGCGACATGCATGGCTCTGCGCATCAAACTTTCGTTTAGCTCGAAAATTTCGCTGCCGTAGATAGTCAATGGGTATTCGTTGTTTTCGTCAGTGTTAAAGTTGACAAATCCGTATTTCCAGTCGCTTGGAATTTCGCGGGAGTCGACCTCGTAAGCGAGGCCCACTTGAACAGCGTACTTTGCGTAGGTCACCGATCCAATGGTCACCATGTCTGGAGAGCCACCTGCAATACCGGAAATTAGGAAGTAGGTTTCAGTAAAATCGAAGAGCGGAGACATCGCAAGCGCGGAAATAGTGGTGGCTGCATTGATTTCACCCTCACCAGTAGTAACAGACATTACACTGAAGTTGCCATTCGAGTGCACGTATGGGTATTCAGGTGACAGCATTGGCACCGAAATGTTGAACATCAGGTCGAGGTTCTTAATCCACAAAGTTTCTTCCTTCGTGAACATATTGATAATCATCACCTTAGGCTTGAAAACAGCTCCAAACCGTCCTTGTGTAACGCTCCACACACCATCGGTAGTAGACGCCGGGTCGTGGATGGTAGCTGTCTGTGTGTAGTTCAAAGACGCAGATGACGTCGCAGACACCGACACAGAAGCGGAAGTTTCGCTCTTGGCGCGGCGGAAAATTGGGTTGGCTGCAACGAAGGATGAGCTCAAGAGAGCACTAATGAGAATGCCAAGCTTCATCGGAGATGTAAAACGAATGGTCAGTGGGTCGAAAGAGAACAAGGGAGTTTCATTTTGGCATCTTGGAATACCGGAATTTATACTAAAATTTCAGATGGCATCTGCAGCCATACCGCGGCGACGCCGTGCGGAAGAAAATTCAGTGCACAAAATTCCTAAAAAGATAAAGTACCAACAACTCAGAGATGCTGCACAAATTCGGTCAATTTCTTATCAAATAGCTCGCAGCGAATAGGCATTTCCGGTTCATAAAAAGGATTTTTCATGACAAAATCCGCATATAGACAATATGCCTTGCGGAGGAAATTCTCTGCAAAGCTTACGGCCATATTACTGGTACTGCTTTGTGTACTGATAGCTACAAATTTCATACCAGTCATAGACTGATACAGGAATAGCGAAAACTGGTCGGTTGTAACGTGCTTGAGACCACTTTTGCTCCAACTCGCAAAGCTATCTGTAAAATAATCAGGAGGTAGAAAGCTTCCCATATCCTCTTTTTGGTCTTTGACACCAAGGGGGCCAGCATAAGGAATTGAGTATTCAGTTTCATTTGCCGCCTTAGATAAGTTAGAGCCTGATATTTGTAGTGCTTTTGGTGTAACCTGACTCGCGATTGCTGTTACACCTTGTAATGTACCTGCTAAGATCAAGTAATCATTACTTGAAAGCTTAGTCGAGCTGGCTAGAAAGTCACGCTGGTATACTAGTCCACCAGATTTATTAATGATAAGTACTGTCTGAATGGCCATTAATGGATTTGACTGCGTTAGCTGCTTGTGCACTCTGTGAGTTTTCAATGAAGTAAACGGAAAAAAAGTTTCGCCTACCCAAATTCGAAACGCGAAACTCAAATGACAAGTTTTCTTCTAACAGCAGATATTACAGAGAGTATCTCACTCCCGTCCGTTCCGGTCAGCAATGAGAGGTCAAGGTTAATGATTGAGTCTTACAAGAATGATACATGGTCCAATAATGACATAGGCAATCAATCAATGGTGGTGGTAAGTAAACCGTTGCTCTTTCAAATTTGCATGATTGAAGACGTTTCTAGATCGAAGCTGAGTCAATTGGATGATATTAATAGTCGACTTGATCCGAAGAATCAAAGAGTTGACCGATTGAATGCTTCAAGAAATGTACCGGGGCAAAATGCACAGAATCGCAATTCCGACACTCATCTCGTTACCGCTATAGACATTGACTCTGACATGCCAATGAATACATCGCAGGTTAGCCCTGAACAGCATGTATTCAAATTAACCATTCAAGACAAAGCTGGATGTATGTTCTATGCCGTCAATTTGTCGCCTTTAAACTTTTTGAAAAATGATGGTGTCTCTTGTATGCTGGGATCTAAAGCAGTAATTCTTCCGGGGGCTTTATTTAATAGAGGAGTTTTTCTGCTTCAAGAAACCACGGTCACTTTTATGGGCGGAATGATCAAGTCATGGAACGATGGGCGAGATCACAAGTTGTGCCAATACATCGAAGCTAAACTCGAAGACCAGATTCCACCGAGTTCACGAAAGCGCAAAGTTCCTAGCACTTAGGTGATCACGAATAATAATAATGATGATGATGATGGCATATACATATACTTAATAAAATCGCAAGCGAACAGATTAATTATAAAACGTAGAAGAAAATTTATAGTTCACTTAACTGAGTAGAGTATTCCATAAACCATCGCAGTCAGTGAAGTCATGGTGAACAATAGACACAAGATAAAAGTCGCGATGCAGTTGCCTTAAAAAGGTGTTTGCAGCAGAGTTTCTGGGAAACAGTTTACTCCACTCTAGCCAAATACTAAAAGCCTCGTCTCTCCATGCTTTGAAGGAATCCTCTTCTATTATTGTCGTTTGCAACACTTCTGAATTAGGAAACACACCCCATGTTACAACACTAGAACCATGTGGGTCCAAATTGGTTTGGAAGTCTCCTGCTGAATCCCCCAAATAATAACTGAATTTTGAACCGTGGGGCTCAATTTTTGCTTTGAGCTCACTTTCCCAGCGACTCTTATGAACAAACAGTTCAACAAATGCCTTTTGGTAAATATAGCCGCCAGGAGGACCCCATCCAAAAATCTTGTCGGTGCTTGGCGTAGAATTCGTCGCCGGCTGTGAAGCCAAGGAAAGAAAACCCCGTTCATTCAGTTGAATGAGTTCTTCTTGAATTAAGGCAGTTTCAGGGGAAAGCCCCAAATCCGACCATGGTAAAGCTTCTAAAGAGCCCTCCAAGTATCTTATGAAAATGCTTGTCAAATCTCTCAAATTCTCAGGTTTTCCCCAGATATGGTATGCCTTTTTAGCACTGACCTTTAAAGATGGGCCATAACCGTCAATTTCACCGAAAGCGGGAGACCTTGAATCACCAAATCTACCGTTTGGAAACTCATCCCACGTAGCATCTTTTCCAAGAGTTCCGGAGCCCTGCGATATAGACACCACGACCTTGCGTGAGGGTGCTCCAGAGGCGGACCTATTTGCAGTGAAGTTTCCGTCCTGGTCAACTAGCACACGATTGGAGATAACATCAGAATTATGGCTCGACTGCCTTCTTCTTTTCCTCAGATTTTCATCTTCTTTTGTAGTATCGATATCTTCTAAAACTATGTCACCCTCTGCATCCTCTTCGTCTGACTGATCCTCCTCTAAGATGCTTGATAGCACAGCCGACTTACTCACGATCTGAGCGATTGCTTTTTCAAGGTTTAAAGTATAAAAGTGTACTCCTTTGATTCTGCCATTTGTTCGTTCATAAATTTCATCAATTATTTCGACCAGAATATCAACACCAATCTCTCTCACTTTACTGTCGTCCGCTTGAATTTCTGGGGGGAATCTGTCAAGTATACGTTTTGGTATTGAGGCGTGGGAAAGCTTCGAGGCCCTGTTAAACAGTAAAAATGAGTTTATAGGCATAATACCGGGAAATAATGGTACATCCTCGGAAACTTCACACCGGAACATTTCTTCGAATGCCAGAAACTTCTCTACGTCATAAAAGAGCTGTGTGATAACAAAATCGGCACCAGCATCGACCTTTTCTTTCAAGTATGGCAAATCTCTTCTTGGATCCTGTAGTAAGCCGTCTGCTTCTCCTTCACAGTGTCCCTCGGGATACGCTGCCACACCAACGCTAAAGTCATCAGGATAATTTTGTTTAATATACTGCACTAGATCAACAGCATGTTTGAACTCTCCAGAACCATTATTTGAATCCCATTCTTCACCAACAGGTGGGTCACCTCTCAGTGCCAGAATGTTTCTGATGTCTGCTAGTCGGGCTTTCTCTAAGGCATGGTCGATAATTTCTTTGTCAGTGTTAGTGCAGGTCAAATGCATGCAAACCGGGATACTGAGCTCTCTTTGTGCTAGACTCGCCAACTCCAGCGTCTTTTCTGCAGTCGTTCCTCCAGCACCCCATGTAACAGTGATGAAAAGTGGATTCAAAGCTGTCATACGTGCCATACGAGCTAACAAATTACGCTTTCCGGGCAATGTCTTGGGTGGAAAAAATTCTAGAGAGATGAACGGCCCTTTGAGAGCTTCATATCGCTCCCTTATGTAAGACATTAAGTTCTATATCTCAGAAACTGTTCAAACGTTGTCTGTATGCGAAATGTCAATGATGAAAATTCGTTAAGCTGAGAAAAAAAAGTCACTGATATTTTTTAATGGGAACTGAAGTCATTTAAGGTTGTCATGTCTCTTTTCGTAAGAGAAGAGTCTGATGAAGAAGAGCTTGTCTTAGAACTTTCAAGGCATGAAGAAGATGAAGAAAACGTTAGACAAAGGGAGGAAGAGGCTCTTTATCCTCTTATACCTGACGATGATGATGATCACATGAAACCGAACCTGGAGGACATCAGACCTGTTGACATTCAGCTTTCACTAGCATTGCCTTTTCAGCAGTTAATTGTTGAGAACATGTTAATTTCTGAAGACTGCATGCTTGTTTTAGGAAAGGGTTTGGGTATTGAACCCATTATTGCCAATTTGTTGTATGTTTTAGCAACCCCAACGAGGATAGATGGCCAAGAAAAAAGATCATTGGTGATCGTTCTCAATGCCAATGAACAGGACAACAATGTTATAAAGGAGGAAATTATGGAACTTTCATGGACTAGTGAGGCTGAAGACTATCAAAGGCCTTTTAATGTCGTTACTGCAGACACCCTCTCAATAGATCAACGGCAAAAGCTCTATTTAGAAGGGGGCATAATATCTGTTACATCACGAATTTTGATTGTGGATCTTCTCTCTGGAATTATACATCCAAACCGAATCACAGGAATTGTGATTTTGCATGTCGAGAATCTGCATGATTTCTCTAACGAATCATTTATTACAGACATGTACCGTTCTATGAATAAGTGGGGGTTCATTAAAGGTTTTTCAGAGTCACCAGAATCATTCGTGACTGAATTCTCACCTTTGGCTAGGAAACTGAAAGATTTACGATTGAAAAAAACACTACTTTGGCCTCGCTTTCATGTGGACGTTTCGGCGTGTCTAAATATGCAGAAGGACAACAAAGTCATGGAGGTTAAGGTATCTTTATCTAATTCGATGTCTCAAATTCAATATGGTCTCTTCGGCTGTCTGAAAAAATGTATCGAAGAACTTAACAGAAAGAATCCCACACTGGCTCTTGAATCTTGGGATGTTGAGAATTGTCTTCATGAAAACTTTCTTAAGTCAATACACGCAGTACTTACACCAAATTGGCACAGAATATCGTTTGAGTCGAAGCAGTTAGTTAAAGATATAAGCACATTGAGAAAATTATTGCATGCACTAATAAGCTATGATGCTGTGGACTTCTATGAAATCATAAAGATAATTCTCGACGCAAATAAGCCATCTGTAACAAGGAAATATTCCGAATCGCCTTGGCTGATGGCTGAGGAATCTCAAGCCGTTATATCGTATGCTAAAAAGAGAGTGTTCGATGGTAATGAATATGAACTCGAGGAGCTGCCTAAATGGGAACAGCTTATGGCCATTCTCGAGGATATTTCTGATGAGAGGGGCAACTCCGTGGGTTCTTTAGGTCCAACTTTGATAATGTGTTCGGATGACAAAACTTGTAAACAGCTCAAACAGGTTTTAAGCTATAGTGATAGAAAAGTTGGTTGCAGAAGACATATGATGAACAAAATTCGCGCATATATGCATAGACGCGAAGATCTTAAAAAGACAACGAAAGAAATCCAAGAGGAATATGAAAACGAACGAATTAATAGTGAACTACAGGTTTCACGTGCTTTTGCAAAAGAAGAAATTGAAAGTAAGAGGCGACGTACCCGAGGTGCCGCCGCAATTGCCGCCGTTGATAGATTAAAGCGGGCATCTTCTTCAAGTGGGGAGGACATCGAAGAGATGATGTCACTTGAGAATATCGACCAAGAATTGAATATGATACTAGAAGGTACAAGCGATGAACCATCTCAATTTGAAAGATCACAATATGCGGAGTCATCGAATGAAGAAGATGAACTAATGTTGCTGGAGGAAAGTATGAAGATCGAAGAATCTCTTCCTTCAAAAGATAGCAAAGCTGATCAGTTAGCACATATTAATACTGAGGATTATCAATATGTCGAAAGAGAAGATCAGATTATTGTGGAAAAATTCTATAATAAGAGCAATGACTTGCTATTACAAGAGATAATGCCTCAGTACATCATCATGTATGAACCGCACCTTTCTTTTATACGAAGAGTTGAAGTCTACAAGGCGGTTTACAAAGAACTTTCTCCTAAGGTTTATTTCATGTATTATGGTGATAGCGTGGAAGAACAAAGTCATTTACTTGCAATCAAAAAGGAGAAAGATGCATTCACTAAATTAATTCGAGAGCACTCAAAGATGGCCCAGCACTTTGAAACCGATGAAGATCTCTCGAGATATAAGAATTTAGCACAGCGAAAGCTTCAATTAACTCGAACAGTACGAAATACAAGGATTGCCGGGGGGCAAGGAGCGGCTGAAGTAGTTACCAGAGACGTTGTCGTTGTCGATACGAGAGAGTTTAGAGCACCTCTTCCGGGACTTCTTTACCGATATGGTGTAAAGGTAGTTCCCTGCATGCTGACGGTAGGTGATTATATAGTTTCCCCTGAGATATGCATAGAAAGAAAGTCCATATCAGACTTAATCGGTAGTTTCAAAAGTGGCAGACTCATAGATCAATGCAAGAAGATGGTAAAGTACTATAAGTACCCTACTCTTTTGATCGAATTCGATGATGACGATTCCTTTTCCCTTGAACCTTTCAGTGAGCGTCGATACGCTACCAAATCCTCGACATCCCATCCTATTGGAAGTCAACTTATGCAAGATGAAATTCAATTGCAAATTGCTAGTCTTATCATGAAGTTCCCTTCACTGAAAATCCTGTGGTCATCATCTCCCTTGCAGACGGTTAACATATTTCTTGATTTAAAGGCTGGACGCCAGCAACCTGATCCTACTTTATGTGTTGCAGTTGGTGTTACTAAAAAACCAGACTCAGATTCAAAACAAAAAAATGCAAACGATCAAAGTTTGAAGGGGCTTTTAACGATACCTGGACTTTCAAATATTGACTATTTCAACATAGTAAAAAGGGTTAAGAAATATTCGAGCTTGCAAAAACTCAGTAAGGAGCAGCTTGCTGATTTGCTAAACGATCCTGATCTTTCTGAGCGCATTTACAATTTTGTCAAGGAAAATGACGAGCATTAAATCATTTTTTGATTGCATACAGCAACGGCATGTGGTAAGAGCATTAGCTTTACATATTATATAATACAATGACTATTTTCATACGAGAGTAAAGAACTGTATTATCAACAGTCCCCTTATTAAGAGTTATTCTCATCGATCTCCGACAAGAGATCATTTCGCAAACGATAAAGTGGGTACATTTGCTTTACAACACAAACGTCAGCCAATGGATTTGTTAATAAAGAGAATGAAATATTCTCTGAGGGTAGAAGATTTGGAATGCATAACAAAGATCTTATAATTTCTGACCGCTGGGATGAATTCCCATTAGGCCCTTCTGTAAGTTCAATGCACTTTTCGATAATAAGTCTAACAAGTTCGAGAGACTTAGCACTAATTGAATTGAAAAGCAACTTCAAATGCCTCAGATTGTTGTTGGTATGGATTCCGATATTAGATAATGCTTCGCTCAGCCTTCTCAAATTTGATCCCACGTTTTCCTGAGAGGTCAACCAAAGATAAGGCAAATTCACATTGCTGCCTTCTAATGATTCTTTATCGATAAAAGATACTAGTGAAATCAGGGCTGTTACGCTTTGTGATATTGTGGGAGCAACTTCTTCAATCAGCGTAGGAGAGCTGTTCAGTTGCTGAAATGGTATTGTTGAAATGAGAAGGGAAAAAACATCATTATATATCTTGAATTCAGAATTATCATTAGCGTCCAATTTTCGATAAAGTGACAATAAACGTTGGCATGCGGTGACATCTCTGGACTCGACATCAGTATCAAATTGATTGAGCAGGACCGATTTAATGAATACCCTGTTGGGGTATCCTAACGACATTAGCTTAGCCAAGACGTCGGCGCTGAACCCTTGATACTTGCTAAATTTTACGGATGACTCAGGAAATATCAGTGAATCTAAACTTTTATAGCTCTTCCCCTCTTTAAAGCTGAGCACTAAGAAAAGTAACATGCAAGCTTCCACAGCAGATTCTATTTGTAATAAATGGCCAACATTTGATAACGTTATTATGATATCCTTCTTAAAATTGAGACATTTCCGATGGAACACAAACTTATCAGAATGCACAAATAGTGCGGAGATCAAATTTAACATAAAACGCTTCAATGCTTGATTGGATGCGATTACTGAGGTATTTGACTCGCTGAAAGAAAGATTCCGAATAATCATAGAGATAGTTGAAAGCTGATCTACCACCAATATTTGGCTATCTTCAACACCCCTGGTGTTCACCTTCGTAAATGGATCATCAATCTCATCTCGGACGCTTCTGAGAGCACTCAGATAGCTTGGAATAGAGAGTTCCCAAGAGGTGGGATCGTCTGAAAAACACAGTGGTTGAGGTAAATAATCCCATCTTTCAAATTCAACAGGTAAAATATTATTATTCTCATTCATTTCATCTTGTTGCCCTAGTTCCAAAGACTTAAAATTGCCATTAGGCTCTTTCTGATTAAGATCCTCCCCTGTCAGTGAATCTACCTTAATCTTTATTTCCACATTCTCTTTATCGAAATACTGATGGAAAACCTTTTCGAACACATAGTCATCAGAAGAATGCGAGCTGTTGTCTTTGTTCAATAACTCTTCCACATCGTACTCATCGAGGTATTTAATTTCCCGTTGTGGGCTAATATTTCTTCCTTCGCAAAGTTTTTTCAAAAGTTCACAGCCCAGAATAGCGAGAGAATCCGCCAGTCCTTCACAGTGCGATAAAGGAATTTTTAGCAATGCATCGGCACTTGTGACCAACAACGTGTTAAGTGCCACGTTCACTTCAGAGAGCCGACCTGATCGAAGGGACATTGTTAATGTATGCAAATTAATCGTACCCAGTTCAGGAGCAAACAAAAATATGGGTTTGTTGGCGTCTATTTTTTCTCCAACTTGAGAGATAGCTTTGATATCGTAGCCATTCGAGGTCTCTAGCGGCCTACTCATCGGAACATAATTTCGAGCAAATGTTCTTCTATACATCGGAGATGTTTTATGCGATTCCTGGTCATTAATATGATTACTAGGATTTTGTGGCGGGACTCTCTGGAGCTCCTGTTGTTTCATCTGTTGATTCAATAACAATTTGGCTTGTTGCTCTTGTTGTAGCTGGTGCTGAACTTGTAGATTCTGCTGCTGTTGCTGCATTTCCCTTTCTATCTCCTTCTTGGTCTTCTTTTTGACACGATTTTTGCGTGCCTTCTTCGCAGCGAGCTTGCTTGCTTCCAGCACGTTGGGGCTATTTGCACCGGGGCTAACATTTGTATTTGCACTTCCTGTAGGTTGACGAAGTGTATTATTGTTTTGAAGCGAGAGAATCTTCTTTAATAATTCTTGGAAAAACTGTTGCAAAAAGAGCCTTTTGGATTGAGTCTCTTTTATACCTTCTGGTGTCGATAAATATTGCTCATATGGTAGCAACACATGATAGTATATAGTGGCCAGCTGTTGTGCGGATTCATCGGGAAGCTGAAGTTTTTGAGCCAGTAGAGCCCACTGTTGCGAACGAGTCACGGTTTCTCCCCCACCTAGCTTCTGAACCATCATGTATAAAACGAATAAGTTCACCCTACGGCCATTGATCTCTGGAAACGCGTGCAACGGTGCATTGCGCCTCTTGCAGTTCTCTATCAAAGATTTCATAAATAGCTCGTACTGCTTATTATTGAGTTCGCTGGTTACTCTTCTTTGCACTTCTGGATCAAGGTTTTGAATGATTTGACGCTGCTGGAGCTGCGGAGAAGATACTGAAGGAGATGGCTGGCCTTGAGCTGGTTGATTTTGCCCTTGTTGTTGAATTTGAGCTTGAGCTTGTGCTTGAGCTTGAGCATGTGCTTGTGCTTGAGCTCGTGCTTGTGCTTGAGCGTGTGCTTGTGCATGAGCTTGTGCTTGTGCTTGGGCTTGTGCTTGGGCTTGTGCTTGGGCTTGTGCTTGGGCCTGAGCTTGTGCTTGTGCTTGTGCTTGTGCTCTTGACTGTGCCTGAGCTTGTGCTTGGGCTTGGGCTTGTGCTTGTGCCTGTGCTTGTGCGTGTGCTTGTGCTTGCGCTTGGGCATGGACTGGCGCAGGAATTTGGGGTTGTGGCGTTGCAGAAGATTGTGATATCATTCTGGGACGTTGAAGATCTTGTGGTGAGCCAGAGCCCGAATTTGACTGTTGCATTTGCTGCAGCTTTTGACGCTGTTGCTGTTGCCTCTGTTGTAAAGCCGCGAACATCGCAGCACGGTCAGAAAATGCACTATTCGTACTATTACTTGCGTTATTTTGCTGTTCATGTAAAGTTGCATTGGTCAAGATCCCGCGTGGGGTCGCAGCTTGGTTGAGAACCTGTTGGGGAGTAGCACCCTGATTTAAAACTTGTTGAGGCGTCGCTCCCGAATTTAAAACTTGCTGTGGCGATGCAGTATTACCTATTTGTGTTTGTGCCATAGGAGAAAACATAGAGGACGGGGAAACCGATTGCATATTGGGAGAACCTCCGGTACTCATCGTGGAACGCGCCAAAATGGCCTGCGGTGTTAGTGCGTGTCCGCTTTCTTGTAAAGGACGCGGATCCAAGAAGTTCAAATACTCGTCTTGACTTTGATTATCCTGGTTTGCGAAGTATTGGTTATCCATTCTTCCGCTTGCGTGTTTACTTTCGCACTGTTTACTGCAAGTCTGGAGATAGAGGATACTTAACAGTTGTGACAAAAAATATTATCAACTCTTAATCACGTGACATTTGAATACTTGGCATTCTTCTCAATCGGACCATGTAGATCAACTGCATATCGATATCGATTGCTTGAGACCACCTCAACTGAATCATTGTCAGATCGTTTTAACGTGAGATCTCACTTTTATAGAAGCGAGGACCTCGAAGCTGAAACGCTATTTACTGCCTCCATTTCCATATTATCTCATCAAGGTAAAAATGAGGATCCCGATAAAAGATTGAGGTATTCTCCTTCAGCATTCTTGCGGTGGGACTTGAATTTTCATACCAGGAGGAATTAATTTACAAATTGCTGATTCGAAAAGCTTTCTTGGTCTATTAAGTGGATAGTGTTAAACCTGTGATTCCCTGCAACCCATCTTGTTTTAGACAAACACCCGAAACGTTTCTTCGGGATCGAAGAAAAGCTGATTTGCCAATTACAGGTTTAACTAAATACGCAGATATTGCTCGAGGCGCCAGAAGTCCATAGCAAAATGCTCAAATGACAGAAACTTTCAATTAGGGTTCAAAAGTAGAAGTTTAACCTCTTTTACGAACGTCTATTATATTCATGTTTCTTGAGCAAGGATCCAAGTCGAAAATAACTTTCGTTATACAATTACAGTATTAAGAATCTAAAAGAAGCTCCGGTACCATCTGGTCGTACGTCTTTCTAATAGAGAGCCGTAATTTTGCATTTCACCCCAGCAATCCCTGCCGAAGCTACAACCCGCCATGTTTACCACAAAGTCATGCTCCTTTTCATTATAAAAGAAACGGGAGTCACCTTGAAATTCGGAACAAGCACCGGGTGGGAAGGAGTTAATCGATCTTAACGGCAGAAAAGCTGTTTTTTCTCTAATCCATGCTTCATTAGCATACAGAGCTTCTAATGCATCTTGTTCGCGATGTTCCCAAATCATGTGTTTCTGCTCGTAGCACACAGGATCCCACCAAATGTCCAGCAAAAGTTTTGACCACTCCGAATTTTTAACCAGGAAAGATCCCAGGTTAAAACCACCGCAGTCTTGAGTAATTAGCAGATCCACGTCGCCCGTATAATCAACGTATGGTAGATCCAATTGTAGGTTCAGTGGGTTGAACTCGTCCAGTACCCGATAAGAAAGACTGTCAAGTCTTTTGAATATATGAGACTCTAGGGATTTTTCCGGCTCCATTATTAACGTCTCTTGATCTAGCCACCAAAACCATTCGGCATTTGGAAACTCCCTCATTGTCTGTCGCAAAACTTCAACTTTCTGCCATCCCTCTCTATATTCATGAGAGTACCGCTTGGCAGTATGCATATCCTTGAGTGTGAGGCCATACCCATGTTTTTTTGCATATGCACGTTTGTTTTGAATCGAGATTCTCTCAATCTCCCATTCTTGCTCTCCCTTCCATTTCAAAACTCCTCCACCTTCATTCACTGCGAGAATGATCACTATTTTAGGATCCTTGGACCATAATCCAAATTGAGGAAATCCAAACCAAAACGCGACGAACAACAACGAAAACAACACAAGAAATAGCTTTTTATGACGAATAATAGAAGCAGCAATTCGGTCTACCAGCTTGAATTTCTTTGTGAATTGCCGTTTCTTCTCCTCGTCTAGAGAGGCCTCGTAAGGCATACTGGAGCTCATGCTACTCTCGGTTGGTTTTCGGTGATCTAACTTTGAGTGGGCCAAATTTTTTCAATTGTTGGTCGAAAAAAGATACCGCGATACGTTCGCTGAGAAGCGAACTCGAAATTCTTATGGTGAAGAAAACCAAACATGGAGATACTAATGTAAGAGGGGAGAATAGCATCAATCTGTTTATAAGAGTATTTCCTTGTTACATGGTTGGAGCTACAATGTAAAGCTTACGAAAGAGGGTGGAAAAAGAAGCGGCTGCAAATTGACTAATTAATTACTTGAGACTTGAGATTTCCTTAATAAATGCAATTACATCAATAATTAGGTTACATAAAGACACGAATATTCGCGTATACACAAGCAGCTAAAAATTAAATTCACCACGAAATGGTGTCAAATCCATGTTTGGTTTGACTTGCTCCAGTAAATCGCGCCTTCCCATAGCAATAAAAGCTCTCTTCAACGTTTCCAGAATAGTTGTGCTTGCTACACTGTCAGACAAAGAAACTCCCTCGACCTCATGCATAGATAATGCAGTCAGTAAATGATCAGCTGCTTCCTTATAACAACCCATGTTCATAGAAGAAACCGCCAAGTTGCAACGTGCTCTGACGAAGGTGGGCTTAAGTTGAAGAGCTTTATGATAAGCCTGGATAGCCTCCTCCGATCTGTTAGAGTTCGCCAGCGAAGCACCTAATCTGTTCCACATCAACTCGTCATCCGGCCGCACCGTAAGTGCAGCTCTAAAACAGTCAATCGTCTTGTCGTAATCATCGTTCGCATAAAATAAGATGCCGAGCCCTAATTGCAATTCTGCGTCAATTTCTGGCAATTTGTTTACAACATGCAGAAATTGTTGAGTCACTGCCTGGTTCAAATTGTATCGGTCAGCAGTTTCTGAGTCTACGTGATTATCGACCAATTGAGGATATTTTGTCTCCAACCACTTACTTAGCATGCTGAAAGCACTTACATCATAGCCTTCGTTGATATAGCTAATTGCTAGTGTCATCATGCCTTCAAGATTTCCAGGATCAATTTTAAGGCACTCTTCTAGAGCACTGATGCCGCTCAATTCTTTTTCATTTTGAGTCTGAACAAGTCCCAACTTAAGCCATGCATCAACATGGTTAGGTTCTTCTTGGACTGCTGCCTCGAATGCAAGAGCTGCCTCGCTCAGTTTCGCGCCATTTTCCATGAGAATGCAACCGATTTCATAGGAGTTTGGATTTTTCAAATACTGATTATCAGGATCAAACTTATATTCTGCCACTAGTGCAGGTTTTCCAGACACATAGCGCGCATAATCTTTTTCCCACGTTGAATCAACATTATTTTCTGTGGCCTCTTCGTGTAAATTATCCCATACCTCTTGAAACTCTGCTTGGTAAGTATCATCGACAATGATATCCTGCTCCTTCGATAGCGTCTCTGAGGTTTCGGCTTGGTCTACATCATCGCCTAGCTTCAAGTTCTCCGATACTTCTCGTTCTAGTTCTTTGAATTGTTCTTCCCACACTTCAGGACTCATAGCATGCTGTAAGTTTTGCGTTTCATGTTGCATCCCGCTATGGATCCCAGAATTTTGGTGAAGCACCATTGTGGGTAAGGCTGAGGACATACTTGGTCTGTAATTCGAAACCATTCGAGGTTGGAATCCTTGTACACGCTCTGCGCTAATCACATTACTGTTCTGAATTGTATGAGAGGTTCTTGGAGAAGAAGAATGAAGTTCATGGGCCCAATTCGAATTTCCCAGTGAACCGCTACTAACAGTATCTGGGGAAGCAGCAAATTGGTGGCTCCAAGAACCTCTTCCCCTCTGTTGCTCTAAAGGTGATGGTACACCTGAGGGACTAGTTTGGCCCAGTCGAATATGTGTTTCTCTTCCCATGAAGCTATCCATTTTGAACTTGTTAGCGTCGCTTACAATATTCTCCCGTGATTTGAAACTTTGAGGAGCATTAGAGGTAGACTGGAAAGAACCACCATGTTGCAGGGACCTATCTTGTTGCGCCTGTTTGTTCAATCTCGCTAGAGGATTTGCACCTACTGAACAGTCTGCGCTCATCTCCGTCCTTGAGCGTTTATCTCTTGTAATCCTTTTACTAATGTGATCTGTTAATTAAAGGCCGTTATTTTCGTCTTTTCAGTTCTCACCTTTTACGTTCAATATTAAAATGGGCTGTTAAGATTGGTATCTCCTAAAAGACACACATTGATTGATTTGCGATGAGACGGCCCTTGGATATCAACAAACTACTTTCTTCGCGAAACAATGATTTGCATCAAAGTAAAATCACCAAGCCTTCTTTTTTATCGAAGAAAGAAAGGCAGAAGTTAGCATTGCAAAAAGCCATGAAAGAAAAGGTTCTCAAGCCTGAGCCGAAGAACGTACAGGCTAAAAATACTGATGAGATCAGGTTAGGTGCTGAGCACGACGATATCTCGAATGATGAAGATCACAAATCTCTTCAGCAGAAGAAAAGTAAGTTTAGATTTGATTGGAACCAAGAGGACGACACTCTAGCAGGGTATGATCCAATTGTCAAATCGAAAGTACCCATACGGTGGAATTCAGACTATGACAATCGAGACAACTCATATATGGGAAAGCATTGGACTGAAAAGTCCTTTGAAGAGATGACTGAACGTGATTGGAGGATATTACGCGAAGATTTCCATATCGTCACCAAAGGGGGTTCGATCCAACAACCTCTGCGCAATTGGTCGGAATTGGGCTTAATTTCAGCTGAGCTTCTTGAGATATTAACTTCCAAGCTTAAGTATTATGATCCGACTCCTATTCAAAGAGTGACCATCCCAAATGTCTGCACAGGGAGAGATTTCCTCGGTGTTGCTGCAACGGGTTCTGGTAAGACACTTGCGTTTTTGATTCCAATTTTGACCCAACTCCAGTCCATACCATCTTTAAACAGCATAACAAAACTTGATGGTCCATTTGCACTGATTATGGCACCCACTCGAGAATTGGCCCAACAGATAGAGTCAGAGGCAAATAAACTAATTGAAAACTGGTCGAGACCGACCTCTGTAGTAAGTATTGTCGGAGGGCACTCCATGGAAGAAATTTCGTATAAGCTTTCTCTGGGTTGTGATATATTGGTAGCTACACCAGGTCGTCTCATCGATTGTTTGGATAATCGCCTATTAGTTTTAAAGCAGGTCAAACTGCTAGTGCTAGATGAAGCCGATCGAATGATCGATTTTGGGTTCGAAGAACAGTTGACAAGCATTCTCGCAAAAACAGAATCTATAGATAAAAGACAAACTATGATGTTCACCGCTACCATGTCATCAACTATAGAAAAGGTTGCCAGTGGCTATTTGAAGAAACCTGCATATGTGTCGATTGGAGGAGAAAATACCAAGGCTCGTATCAAGCAAGTTGTTGAATATATTCCCAGTGAAGAACAAAGGTTCATAAAATTGTCAAGAGAGATTCTCCCCAGGTTTGAGCCACCGATTATAATATTTATTAATTACAAGAAGACGGCTGACTGGTTGGCTTCCAAATTTTTTTCGGACACTGAGTACAAAGTTACTACTTTACATGGGTCAAAATCACAAGAACAAAGAGAGCAATCTTTAAATCTTTTGAGAACCGGTAAGGCTGATATAATGATTGCCACTAATGTAGCTGGTAGAGGTATTGACGTTCCGAACGTTTCGTTAGTGGTAAATTTCCAAATGTCTTCAGACATGGATAATTATATACATCGTATTGGTAGAACCGGAAGAGCAGGTCGAAATGGTTGTGCAATAACGTTTTTGGGCGATGGAGATGATAATAAACTCGTTGAGGACCTCTACAATTACGTGAAAGATAATGATGAAGACAGTTTGAACAGTGTATCAAGTGTTGTAAAGCAGAAATTCAACGTAGGTAAGAACCACTTACAGTCCATAATAACGTAACTGAAACTAGGTTCTATGATAACCATTCATACAGTTCTCATGAGAGGCCGCAAACGAATTCGATGGTTTTCGATTTTCGTCAAAGCTATTGGAAGTTGACTTTGATAGCAAGTCGAGGAAATTAATCACCTAAGTAATTTACTGAAGTAGTTACAATGAAGCATACGGAAAGGTACCCTATCTGGGTGAGATATGAATGGCAAACTGACTTTTGACCGAGAGTAGCTTTCTATTAATATTAAAGCCTTTGCATGCACAAACGTTACAGACCAAAGGTGACTGCCCGGGGTCCTTCAACCTCTTTGAAGGTAGAAAATTATGCATTTGTCAACTCATTTAATGTTTGTGGAATGATTTGGTATTTTGATTGCTAATTAGAAAACGAAAAAAATATATTCTGGACGTTGAGGACTTAAATATAAACACTCATTATATGCATTACTTGTTGGTTCTTTATTCAGTCTTCTTCCGAAGATGGATAGTCAACTAGTGATGAGAGATTCTGTACTCTTTCTTTCTGAGGAAGCGTATTCGTATTTTCTTGTTTTCTTTTCTTCAACTTGTTCAGAGCAGAAACTGGTATACTTCTGAAAATTGACGTCTGATTTTCCAGGACCGCCTCAGAAGGTTCTAGGAGCCGCTTTTTGCCAAGGCTCGAAATACCAGCGGTTGCATTAGTTGACCCCGTAATTACCTTTTGACTTTTCTTAAGAAGATTGAGCATTACTTGTAAAGATTCCTCTTCCTGCTCAATTTTCTCTCTGCGTTGTGCTTCTGGATTAGGATCGTCGTTGGCCCACTTTACCAGAAGACCCGAGCCCTCACTTCGCTCAGCCCATTCCTTATCAGAGTTTATAAGAAGGGTTTGGTTGCTCATCGCCTCTTTCGAAAACTCCGCATTAGCCTGATGCTTGTACTTCACAAACGCACAATTCTTGGCTTCCACATATCTTACCCTTTCCACAGCACCCAGTTTTCCAAAAACAAAACGAATCCTGTTTTCTATTTGACTAGATTTTAGCTGTTTGTTGTTCAAAGCGCCCGCAATACCACCGATGTACAAGGTGCGATTTTTCTTACGAAAAGACCCTACACCGCCCATATCTTCTCTGTAATCAGCGAACTTTTCCCTACCAAAGCAGTCCAAAACATCAGACTTTAGTGATAATCGAACAATATCATCTTCCGTGGGAATATGATGGAGGTAATCACATTTCTTGCCCCTACAGCACATTCCTTTGCTGAAATAGAGGCAAAAATACACTTGTCCTGCCTTGTCACCACTTGTAAGTCCTTCATGCAGCTCAGGCTCAAGCCTATACGGATTAACAAACCTTTCTTTCCCGCTATTTCCTTGCGACCATCTATTGTACCAGACATTAAAAGTCAAACCTGTTTGAGCTGGAATTGAAGACGGCAGATCTGCTTCCTTAACTTGTACAACTGCTGGGCGCTTCTTCCAAGAAAATTCATTTCCCTCAGGCATTTTGGACATTCTACAGCCTTAATAAGTGCGATATACACCGTAGAGTTCGTACCCAAGTTTTCGATGTTCAAACTAAAGTTGAACATGTGCATAAAAACCAAAAAAATCTCCCGGGGGCGATTCGAACGCCCGATCTCAAGATTACTTTGGAAATTACAGTCTTGCGCCTTAAACCAACTTGGCTACCGAGAGGTGATTTACATGTGGGTAAGAGTTCTTTTAAAACTTAAAGAGCTCTCTATACCATGAGAGAGCTCTTTTCTTTTTTAATCCTTGATTCTTGAAAAATTTTCAGGTCCGATGAGTTCAACGAGATGAGAACGGTAGTACAAGTTTAAAGACTTATAGTTACGAAATTTTTGTCGAAATATAAGCAATGGCTAAGGACAAATCTGCCACTGAAGATAATTACGAAGCTAGACTTCCTGCAGTTCTGCCCTTCGCGCAACCATTGGCCTCGAAGAAGCTTAACAAGAAGGTGTTGAAAACCGTAAAGAAGGCGTCTAAGGCTAAAAATGTCAAGAGAGGTGTCAAAGAAGTTGTCAAGGCTTTGAGGAAAGGTGAGAAAGGTCTTGTTGTCATCGCGGGTGACATATCGCCTCCTGATGTGATTTCTCACATTCCCGTGCTGTGTGAAGATCAAAGCGTGCCATATGTTTTCGTGCCATCCAAGCAGGATTTAGGATCTGCAGGTGCCACTAAGAGACCAACATCCGTTGTCTTTGTTGTTCCTGGTAGCAGCAAGAAGAAGGAGGGAAAGGCCAAGGAGGAAGAGTACAAGGAAGCTTTCGACGATGTCGTAAAGGAAGTCAAGTCTTTGTAATACAATGATGTTGACTGCAAATCCATATATACAATAGCTCATGCATTCATTCTAGTAAGGGTGTAAAATTTCCGTTAATCCTGGAATGGGCATATTCCGAAATGTCGCAGTTTTGTAAAATATTTGAAAATAAGCAATAAATATCTCGACCCGTGATATGCAAATTTATATATAATGTAAATGCGCCAAGCCTCTTGAGAGGTTGCTCAATGAGTAGGGTTCGGTATCATTACCGTTCAGGCGATGAGGAACATCTTTTGTTTGTTCTCAATAGTGCTCACCAAAGACGATATTAAATTGGTCCTAAAATATCAAATTGTAATGGATCTCATCGCTAGATGATCAACATTTAATGACAATGGCTCCCAAAAAAAGGACCAAACTGTCTAGTTTTAGAACTAAGGGCCGTGCGAAAAGGCAGGATACTGAGAATGACAGGCATGATGACTTAATGGGTAGCCTGCAGATTCTGAAGAAAAAATATCCTGCCCTGGAGAAAACTTTAGCGAACGGTCACGTATTCGTGCCGCTCCTACGAGGCTCAGACGCCAACTCCTTTGATGGACTAATAAGTGCAGCTTCTGGTATTTCCGGTAATTATACAGTGGTCTCCGACGAAGACGGAGTTTCATATTTTTACTGTTCTAATTTTAATGTACTGGATTGTGCATTCGTTTTGACACTAATATTCAGTAAAAGCGACAATAGGTTTAGCAAAACTGGTTCTGCCCTATCTTTCGAGAGAGTTCCCAAGGGAACCGCAATACGTGGAAGCTTTTTTGTTTACCGAAGCTGCGATCTATCTCTATTGCGATACAATTCAACTGCAAAAAGGGACGTTGTCCAGGAAAAGAATCTGTTTAATACACACATTAGCGTATCGAGAGTTGTTGACATAGCAGAATTCCGGGAAGTATCAGTAATGAACTATGGATTTTCAAGATTTCTACATTCTGTAGTAGACGCACTCAAGGGCATAAAGTTTCGGTGGGCTCCAGTAAAAATTAATAACATATTTGCTCAAAATTTCAAGAGTTATAAATGCTCGTCTCAAATGGTGCTAGATGAAATTCCATTCGCAAGTGAAGGACTGTTGATAGACAGACAACAGATACTAAAGCAAAATCTTGAAGCGTTCGAAAAAACTAAATCAGCACTCGAACAGTTCGCTAAAAGTGTTCTAGAGCCTGATGAAGGTGAAGAAAATCTTGAAAAAGAGAAAGCACGCCATTTTGCGGCAGAAAATTCGAAATTACAGCCAGCTAATCCTAGACAAAGCTCCTCAAGGCTCAACCGTGGAAATCAGCCTTTCAATAAAGAGCCCACTGGCCACACGCGATACACGGGTTCTAGCTATCTCACTCATGATGAGATCAAAGAATACTGCGTTGCTACTATTCATGCTACCCTCGAAGCTGTGAAACGCAAGTCATCGTATCAAATTCTAAAGACATATATTAAATGCCCTCGACAATATTACATTGATATAGTTTACGATAATCTCAATCAATTGAGATCCGAGACTAACTGTAACATTGTTGTCCTCAATCTGAACAATGTTCATGAATCGACGTCATGGTTTGACTCACTTGATTTGTCGAAGTACACAACTGTTTCCACACCGCATCCAAGCACTGTAAAGGTTGTGAGTGTTGGAGGAATTGGGGAACATAACTTGAAGGCGCTCCAAATGTTACTTGATCTTATACAAAATAGTCAAAAATCATAATATACGCAAATCTTCATAATGAAAATAAGCATTGGAAGTATTCACAACAGGAATGATCATCTAAAGCAGATATGGAAGGAAACAGGTCAAAAAGAAACTCTTTCTTCTTCTTTTCTGGAGGCAGCAAAGGTACGTCAAATTCAAGTAAGGAGGTGACGAAGAATACATTCAAGAGTCCCCTCAGCAAGCCTCCTTTAGGAAATACCAATTCCTTTTCCACAAGCAGTAATGAAACACAACTTAAGGACGCTATAGAAGAACGTACTATCAAAAGTCACTATGAAGGAAGTGAAGATGTTAATGAAAAGCTTAGTAAAAACCTGGCGCAAGCAGTTGCACATACAGCAGAAGGCCCAATTCCTACTCGGAAGGCGAGCGTAATAATGAGAAGACCCCCACCACCAGTCATCGATATAAGTGCGCTAAATATCAGGTCAAGTCCTGATAAATCAAACGAAACTTTGTCTGCATCTGTAAGCAACAAGACAGATACAGGAACAGCTTCCCCTCCATTAAAACCTTCAGAGGACTGCAATATGAAAGCACACAAGCGCCAAAAATCTGAAATTGATCAGCTAATGGATGATTTAGAGAACTTCGAAAAAGAGCGGCGGGCCAATCTTGAGGCAGACCTCTCACTCCACTCAGTTCCTTCAAAGGAAGATGTTCCCGTCGTGAACAGTACATTTGATAACTCAAGTTCAGAGCTCAATAGCCCAATTGCATATGTTAGTTCTCTCAACCTCGGTGAGTCAAAGCAGAGCTTGATTACAGCGGAGAGAGACACTCATGAACGGCCTTCGAATTTGAGTTCTTTGGAAAGCACCGACCGGTATGTAAACAGCTCAGACCAAGAGGGTGATGCTTGTCAAGATGACCAATTTTCTTTTACAGATTCACATGGTGAATCCGTCATGGACCTACAACAAATTTCCTACAATAACGCTGGAAAATCTGTGCCCGTGACATCCTCTTTTAGGTATACATCTGCAGACCAGCCTAAAGCGTCTCTGAAAAACAATTATATTGTATCAAATAATACCTATCAAGAGGATCAAGCGGACATAACGGCGCCAGATTTCGATGATCGCATTAATGAAGAGCAGCCGAGACAATTTCGCGTAGTGAACAATGATAAGGCGAGCTTCTATCTCAATGAAGAAAGCAGCACGACAGAAGATGATATGAATTCGTTTAGTGCAATAGAAAGTGCACCTTTTTCGCAATCCACATCTTCTCACAAAGCACTTAGCTTTGAAAGCTCCCAAACGAGAGGTCTATCAAAAGATTCTCGAAGTGAGGAGAAATCGTCTTTTCACCATGATCCAAGCACCTCGACTGATGAATTAATTCCCAGCACTGTTGAAGCTACCCCTAGATCTCAAAATCTCAGTGATGCAACACAATCATCGGGTGTTAGCGGAAATTCAATGAATGTTCAGCAAGATAAAACCGTTCGATTGGTTTCCAGCTATGTAGAAGAATTGCGCTTGAAGTATTTTCCAACATCAAATTCACTACAACCACCTCCTGACCTACCGCATGCTTTAAAATCTAAGAACAATCTGGAACAGCCGCAGAATATAAAAGTTCGAATCAGAACTAGTTCGAAGCAAATAGGTATTAAGCACGGTAAAGCGAAACAGAAGTTACTGTCATTAGAAACAACTAGCGAAGAAAAAGAAAACCAGGCTTCTGATATTATTGGAAGTTCTCCTAATGCTTCTACAAAAGTTGACCATACAAGGGAATTTCACGAGCTTTTCGGCAAAACTAATTTGCAAGCAACAGAAAACATCTCACCTGATGATGATGACATATTTCTCAATGATATCCCCGGTGACGAGGCTTATGATAGTGATGATTTGATGGCACCACTACGAGAGCGCAAGGACGATACTGTGATGTTTATTGGCGAAGACTTGACTCTTGACGGACCCACTAGCAATCGAATTGGAAGAAGTGACACTGTTACTAGTTATTTTACAAGAAAAGCTAACAGACTGCGGAGTGGTACTCTTGATCTAAACTACAAATATTTACCCAAACTTCCAATTGACGCTTCCATGGATGATTATTCTAACCAACAGTATGAACATGACTACGCTACTCTCAAGCATGCTTCTGTAGATAAGGATACCATGTCAAATGATGATAATGAGGACGTATACTATCCTTCCAATTATAATGGTGGATTGCATGTAACAAACCAGAGTTCTGATAGTGACTGATTGATACTAATTATGTAAATAGTTGCATATACTATACGGTAGCATAATAAGATTTTATTACCCGGCTTGTCATATTTTGGTGTCGTGGAAAAATTTTTGGACAGGTGGCAAAGAAAACAATCAACACGTTCAGACTCAACCAAAATAGGGTAGTCAAGAAAGGTTGCTAGAGGAGCGGTGCAATTAATAATGAGCAAGTCCCTACGCCAACCGGCATATACTTTGGTATATGACCCCAATCCGAACGCTGTGGGCTACACAATTGCTGAATTACAGAAATCTTTGGAAAAGGGGTCTGAAGAGGAAAAGATTGAGACGATGAAGAGAATTCTTGTCACAATGCTTGATGGTAATCCACTTCCTGAGCTTTTAATGCACGTCATCAGATTCGTGATGCCATCTAAAAACAAGCAGATGAAAAAGCTGCTGTACTTTTATTGGGAAATAGTCCCTAAATTGGACGCTGAAGGAAAATTGAGACAGGAAATGATTTTGGTATGCAATGCAATTCAACATGATCTACAGCATCCAAATGAATATATCAGAGGTAACACTCTTAGATTTTTGATGAAACTCAAAGAAGCTGATTTGTTGGAACAGATGGTACCAGCCGTCCGCGCATGTTTAGAATACCGCCATGCCTATGTGCGTAAATATGCGATATTGGCAGTTTTATCCATTTACCAAGTTAGCGAGCACTTGATACCAGATGCATGTGAAGTCATCAACTCGTTTCTGGTTGCTGAAACTGACCCAATATGCAAGCGAAACGCTTTCTTAGGACTAGCTAGTCTTGAACGCGAGTCTGCTTTGAACTATTTACAGGAAAATATTACGTCGATTGAAAACCTGGATTCTTTACTGCAGGATGCATTCATAGAGTTCATTAGAAGAGATGCCATTCAAACTCCAGCTCTGAAGACTCAATACGTCGATTTGCTACAAGATTTGCTGTCTTCCACGAACTCTAACGAAGTGATTTTTGAAGCCTCTATTGCACTTACTGTTTTGAGCAATAATCCTATAATTCTTTGCGAGGTTGCAACAAAGCTTATTGACCTTGCTGTCAAGGAATCTGATAATAATGTCAAGCTCATTGTGTTGGAGAGAATACAAGATATTCATACTAGAAACCCGGGGTCTCTTGAGGACCTTGCATTGGATATTCTTCGTGTACTCAGTGCACAAGATCTCGATGTTAGAGCGAAGGCGCTCGAAATAGCATTGGAACTGGTCACGTCCAGAAATATCGATGATGTTATCAAACTTTTGAAGAAAGAGCTTCAAATCACAGTTTCAAACTCACAAGATGACGAGAAAGCACTTGAGTATAGACAGTTACTGATCAAGAATATACATAAAGTTGCCATCAAGTTCGTGGAAGTTTCTGCAGATGTTGTTTCACTCTTCCTTGAGTTTGTTGGTGACCTAAGTTCAGACGCAGCCAGTGGGGTCATTTCTTTTATTAAAGAAGTGATTGAGAAGTATCCACAATTAAGGGAAGATATCCTTCAACGTTTGATTGGGGCTTTATCTAATGTCAATTCTGCCAAAGCTTATCGTGGAGCCTTGTGGATACTAGGCGAGTCATCTTTGGATGCAAGCGATATTCAGTCCTCTTGGAAGCATATCCGAAGTAGCATTGGCGAAGTTCCAATTGTTCAAGCAGAGATGCTACGCTTGAATAATGGCGAGGAACAGGCTGAAACTAACACCGAGCAAATCGCTCCAACTGGTCCCGTCGTTTTGCCTGATGGTACTTATGCAACTGAGTCTGCGTTTACTACTGTTCAAACCAAGTCCCTCAGTAAGGAGGAGAAAGATTCCAGACCACCATTGCGTCGTTTTATATTGAATGGCGATTTTTACACAACTTCTGTGCTGGCAACAACGATCGTAAAACTTGTTATACGTTTCGAAAAAAAATCAACCGATGAAGCACTCATCAACGCAATGAAGGCAGAGGGTCTATTGTTTTTGGTCAGCATTTTGAGAGCAGGACAGAGTAATATTGTCGAGAAAAAGATCGATGAGGATTCCGCAGAAAGAATTATGGCGGCTATTTCGATTTTGATGGACGAAACGAAGAAGGATGAGTCTTCCGAGGAGCAGCAGCTTCTAGAAATGGCCTTTTTGGATGCAACTAAATCCTCCTACAAATCTCGGGTTGCCATTGCCCAACGGAAATCTGACAAAAAATCTGCATCAGTTTTGGCTCAATCAGCTGAACCTATCGATAAATCTATATCATTCAGGCAATTTGCTCAAGCAGACATCCATAGTACGCCAGTGGATACGATTGATCAGGATTTGGAAATTGCAATTTCTGGTGGTTCTTCTGTAGAGAAGCAGCAAGTGAATTCCATCGCATCTAAGTTGAAGAAAATCGTTCCTTTAACGGGGTTTTCAGATCCTGTTTACGCCGAAGCTTACATTACGACACATCAATTCGATGTTGTTTTAGACGTGCTGTTGGTTAACCAAACGAAGGAGACATTGAAAAACCTGCACGTGCAGTTCGCAACTTTGGGTGATTTGAAAATAATTGATAATCCTCCTAGCACAAACGTCATTGCCCATGGCTTTCATAAGCTGACAGTCACGGTAAAGGTTTCATCTGCAGACACGGGAGTGATTTTTGGTAACATCATATATGATGGTGGACATGGTGAAGATTCCCGCTATGTCATTATGAATGATTTGCATGTCGATATAATGGACTACATCAAACCGGCCAAAACAGATGATGCTACTTTCCGTAAAATGTGGAATGCCTTTGAATGGGAAAACAAAATCACTGTAAAGTCCAAATTGCCTACGTTACATGCATACCTTGCGGAGCTAGTAAAGGGCACTAGCATGGGTATCTTAACACCTGAAGAAGCTCTAGGTGACGAAGATTGCAGATTCTTGAGTTGCAATCTTTATTCTAAATCCTCATTTGGCGAAGACGCTCTCGCAAATCTCTGTATTGAGAAGGATCCAGTTACAAATGAGATTGTTGGACATGTACGTATTCGTTCTAAGGGTCAAGGCTTGGCTCTTTCTTTGGGCGACAGAGTTGCCCTTATTGCGAGGCAGATGAATAAGATAACGTTGGATCGTGTCTAAATTACATTTACGTCGTCACTTTAAATAATTTTTCGAAGCTAAGGAAAAGCGATTATGAAAGAACCGTAAAGTTAATCGCTACACTCAAAGAGTGCTTTTGATATCAATTAAATACTCAATGTTTCACTTGATCACCTGTCAATAGTTTCTAGATTCCATCGTATTTCGTTACTCAATGGCTAATTCGGCCTCTGGAACATTAAAATAAGAACTCAAGACATTCAATTGGGTCTCGTTCTGTAAACCCGTTTTTCAGCTATGCCATTGGCACTCCTGTTCTTTCTACACATTATATTTACAAGACAATAACTGCGAAACACTCATTTGACCTTTTCTGGGCCAAAGAACGGAAAGGCAAATCCGCTGACCAAAGTTCTCGCGTTAACATCGGTTTGTGCTGTTGTATTGATGTTGATATGCATCCCGAAGGTTTTGGGCCACAAATCCTGACTAGCATCAATCTCGGGAAAAAACTTGACATCGTCTGGAGTTAAACCAAATGAAATTCCACCAAAACGATTACCTGACTTATTCTTGATACCTTTGTACTCTCTGATTCTTGGCAGAACTATTTCAGTCAATGTCGTTAAGAACTGTGACATTGGACGACCTTTAAGCTCAACTTTAGCGCCCATATGCGTGCCTCTTCTAACCTTCCACGTAGGCACATCAGTCTTCGCGAAAATCGGCCTTGGTTTGCAGCCGGTAATCTGTTGCAATTGCAATGCAGCAGTAATTGCAAGTAGTTGGTTTTCCTTGGCTTCCTTGACATAGCAATTGATGTTAATAGATTCAATTTCAGGAATATTATGCCATTTAACCGGCTTAATATCTGGTAGTTGAGCATCTGATCCCTTTGGCTTTCTTGGCTGTCTATTGAGGTGATAGGGACTTGAGCCATCCCACTCTCTGTTTTTCAGACCTTTTTTGACCTGTGCATCATGCTTATAGCTTATTAACAACATATCAGACTGGATAGTGTTGTTGTAATGATCACGCACCCTATCTTGATGGGTAGCGGTTGGCCTGAAGGCTGGAGATCTTATATCATTCTTCTCATATTTTAGTTCCGGAAATCTTGGTGAAAGCTTGGTTTTGTCGATCTTCACCAGATGGTGCACTGGTTTGATGATAGAGCAAGCAGACTTCGAGCAAGTACTGCTAGAGGAGAATGAGCGAGTCCAAAGCATGTCGGAACAATTTGTACTTCCTGCCAACTGGTGGATAGCTTTAAAAATTTTCAAAAAAATTTCCATTAAAATCTTAGGAACAACAGAAATTCGATCAATGGAATGAGATTCAACTTTGAAGAGCTCTATGATACCTCACGAAGTGATTCCGAAAGTTCTGTAGATGAAAATGACTTTACCATAATTGGGGGAGATGATGAGGGTATACCGCAATTGAGATTGCCAAGGCTATATAGTAAGGGAAAACCAAAGGAAGAGGAGGAACCCATCATATTGGACTCTGAACTGCAAGAAATACTTTCGAAGTTGGATATACACTCAAAACTTCCCACACCAGCTAACAATTTACTAGTTCATCGATTAAGCAATCCAATCGAAAATGTTAGACAGGAAGGCTCTTTACGAATAGAAATGCCTGTGTGGAATGCTGGAAGGGATACTGATCAGGGCATAAATAGGATCATCGAAGACATTGAGCGTAAACTCACCATCATAGAGCAAGAGAATGACAACCAAGTGGCAAAGGTTCGCCGACATAAAGAACGCATAGAAGAAGAGCGTAAGCAGCAGCTCGAGGACGAACGTCGTCGGAAAGAGGAGGAAGAAAGAATGCGCCGTGAAGAAGAAGAAGAAAGACTCAAGAAAGAAAAGATAAAACGGGAAAAGGAAGAAGCAGAACGTCAGCGAAAGGCTGAAGAGGAGGAGCAAAGACGAAAAGCGCAACTTAAACTCGAGGAGCAGAAGCGAAAACAACATGAAGAAGAAGAGGTCCGCAGGGCCCAAGAGGAAGCCAAGAAATCTCGTGGTCACACCAACTTCAAGGAAATTGAGTCCAATTTCATCACCTACAAGAAAAAAATCGAGGAAATCAAATCTGATATCTTGGAACCTGTCAAAAACGACAAGTCTCTTAAGTCCACTTTGTCCAAGTATAAGAGGAAAATTAATCCCAAATTCGGTCAACTTACGAACAGTGAACAGCAGCTTCAGTCTATCACTCATGACCTTACCGGGCTTATAAACGAAACGAAACCAAATGCTTTGGCTTACAAATGGATTTTGAACTTCATAGCTAAGGCGTTGGTTTCTCAGGCAGAAACCGAAGTGCGAGTGAAACCTGAAAGTGCAGTACCACTCGCAAGATTGGCATTGATTTTACTTGTGATGTATCCAGAGTTGCTTGAGCTATTAATGGCGAGATTTATAAAAAAATGTCCGCTCGTTATAGGCTACACATGCAGCATTGATTCCGAAGAAGGAAGACTCAGAATGGGTTGGAAACGTAATAAAGATGGAAGATGGGAAGACGATGTATCTTATGATGAAAGAATGGGGGGTATCGCGACCCTTTTTTCAGTAATAACAAGACTCCGCTTGCCAAATGAGTTCAGTGAGACACATGATCACCCACTACCGATAACCCATTCATGGAAATTATTGGCCCGCATCGCTAACACGCCGATTGAACTACTTACGAACACACATTTCGTTGTATTAGGTTCTTGGTGGGACGCAGCAGCAGCCGACTTTGTTCAAATGTTTGGCAGACAAGCCAGAAAACTTTTAATATTAGTGAGTGATGATTTGACGATCGCAGTTGCCGATCGTAAATATGTAGGAGCGGCAAGACTTCGGATCTTATCTGAGGAATGGATGACAACAGGGACAATAGTTTCGTTCCCTCAGATGACACCATAATCACAAAGCAAAAGCTTCATTCCGTTTAATGATTTTTCAATAAGTTATCTGATAGCTCACTGTATTCCAGAGCGTCAATATGTAGTATATATTTTATTTTTTAAGCCCCAGATGAGTTAAGCGTATATCAATGGTTTCTGGAGATATCCGAGGCTATAACATATATTTACAATATGCAACCATTCATCCCAGAATAAAGCCAGCGAAGCGCTTCAGATGTGCCGACAATTTTCACCAAAGGTTTGATCCTCGACTTGTAAAGCAGTAGGTTAATTAGGAATTTCTCCGTTAGCACTACGAATCAACTAATGAGAGGCTAAAGTATGAAATGACAAAAAAAAAGTATCAAGCTTGAGCACGTAAGTGCAAAGCCCAATCCATAATTAGGTAGAATTCTTCTCCTCAAGAAAGAGTCACCCGCCAAATTGGTTGCTGTCCTTTGGATTTGGATTATAAAAGGCTAGAATAGTGTCAAACGTGTAAAGATATAATGTAGTTTTTACTGATAAGTGTAAGACTGCTATCCAAGTTCACCGAGTGGTACTTTGAACTAATTGTTTCATGATCTGCTCTTAGTTTTATCCAGTCAGAAAAGCCAAAATGCACATTTTTCTCGACGATAGCAGCCAAACAGTTCAACACGAAAGAAACAATGGCTCGACCAAGCGACGTTCCAATTCCACAAGAACCCATGTCTCCGTACCCAATCAATACGGAGTTCTGTGATATCGTATGTGGTTTTGGCCGTGGCTCCTCGGAACTTGGGATTCCAACTGCTAATGTTCCAATAGATCAACTGCCATCAATTGTTGAAAAGTTGCCACTGGGAGTGTATTTTGGATTTTGCCGGGTGGCGAAGGTAGATAGTGAGTGCACTCGAGTTGTAAAGCGCAAAGATGGCAGAAGCGTGGATTACAATTTTGGCGCAACTCTAAATAATAAAGACCTGGAAACGTGGCCAGTAGTCTTATCGATTGGGTTAAATCCCTTCTATCATAACAAAGCAAAGACAGTGGAATTACATATCATGCATAAATTCAGTGACGACTTTTACGGCGCGAAGGTCAAATTCAATATTTTGGGGTTCATAAGGCCAGAGCTTGATTACACAACTAAGGAAGCATTGATAAAAGATATAAATACGGACATTGAAATTGCGAAAAAGACGCTCAATACGCCTCCATACTCAGAATATAGTCATCTTTAGGTAGTTTGGCATAAAATGCGAAATGTTGCTTTCGTAAAAAAGGGTCACTTTCTCCTTTGATAAAACAGTCTTCAAAGGAAAGAGTTGCATGACTGTATGGGCAAGACGAGCGGTTGTATGTATTTTCTACGGCACACAGCTCATATTGTGTTTGCTGGCAAAAAACTACTCCAAACTATGGCGGTATCTTGTTGAACCGATGCTTCTATGTTACAGTTTCATCGCCATCGGTTTGCTAACTTCCGATTTCCTGACACCCAACTTATCCATCCTATCAAAAGACATACTGGGAATCTCAGAGCGGGTCTCTGGAATGACACTGCTGGCGCTTGGAAACTCAATACCCGACATAACCAGTACTTATCAATCGATAAAAAAGAATGCCACTCCGCTAGCTATAGGTGAACTACTCGGCGCAATCTTCTTTCTCGTCACAGTTGTCATAGGGCTGATGCCAATGATAAGACCAATCGATCTATTTGATGACAGTTCATCGCTTCCAGTATTAGGTATGGAGGGATCTGAAATTCAGTCAAATAAGATGACGAAGCTGAGTTACAAGAGATCTACGTTCATGAAAGACTTACTCATGTTTTCTTTCATGATACTATTGTCACTTATATTTCTTTTCGATGGCAGACTGATGTTCTGGGAGTGCGCCTCTATGACAGCAGTCTACAGTGTTTACGTGATATACTTGATACGCCACAAAGAAGTACCAGAAGTATCGTTCAGCTTGCCCGTTTCCGAAGGTGATGACATTGAGAGACTTGTAGAGGCGAATTCTCATGGTTTACCGCTTAATAATGAGGAGAATGATTCCAGCATGTCGAGACTTATGGAGACTTTACAGAATCGAAAGATTCATCTAAGGGCCAAAATTCGTCAGTATTTGAGAGCAAACTATGTGGGCTGCATGAAACTTAATCTACGTGATACTTTGGATTTATGGGAAAGTAACGAACTCTTTGATGACAAAGGTTTTTCGAAGCAACGCCAACCAGTTATTAGAAGGAGTACGTCACAGCAAGATTTTCGTCAACCAACTCCCACCATAGAGGTTTCTTGTGACAATCAGGAGAATAGCCATGGAGATGAAACAACACCTCTAGTATCCGCTGATGACCATGCAGGCAATCTACTTAAGCCAATTTGGCATTCAAAAAGAAGGTCATTGAGCGCAGATCACTTAATTTATCTGGACAATCGATTTTCCAGTTCACATTCTTCAGTGAGAAGTCTGCCTCAAAGCAGCAATTCAATAACTTCTATTTCAGAACAAGAAACCAATTCATCTTCAGACACAATTTTAAGAGGACCTTATGAGGATTTCTCGATCTCTCTTCAACTAATTGAGTTTTGTAAAGATAAGAAGATTACTATGCCGGGTTGGGAGTTTGCCATAATGTTGGTCACAACACCAGTTATTCTAATTCTGACTTTCTTCATCCCTGTACCACGCGATCAGTTCCGTAATACTTCTGGCTTGAGTAACGTTGCCGTAACTCAAATCGGCTTTTGTCCATTGGTAATGTGTTATCTCATTACTGAGCAAATACGCGTGAGTTTTGCCGTTGTTTCAATATTTTCGACAGTTATACTGTTTTATGCGAACAGTAGACATCTACTGCATGCAATCTCGAAATACACATCAGCTGTAGCCTTTGTGCTATCGCTAGCAGCAATTACCTATGCCGTAAAATTTGTGGTCGCAACTTTGAAAAATTGGGTTGAATACTTCGATGTCTCGGAGTCGATTTTAGGCCTTACTGTATTTGCTTGGGGTAACTCAATTGGTGATCTCGTTTCCAACATAACCTTCACAAGAATTGGTGTATTGGACATTGCACTAGGTGCCTGTTTTGGGGGCCCTTTATTGTATTTTTTATTTGGAATCGGAATAGATGGCATGTTGATAATACCACGACATTCGGAAAATTTAGATGATTCTTTATGGCGAAGATATATTGAATTTCAAGTTGATCCAGTTTTGGTAGTAACTTGCGTCGGCTTACTCATAGCCTTCGCAATATATATCATTGTAATACCCCTGAACTCCTGGAAAATTGACAAAAAAGTGGGATCACTATTTTTGACGTTGTATTGTATCATCACTGCAACTAATATATTACTTGAAGTTAAATAAAATGAAGTTTTTAATAGAAAATATCCTCAAAGCTCTCAAACTCTTCTGGGAGGTAGCTCTGACAAAACTGTTCGAGAAGAGGACGTGCATGCTCTCTGTATTGTGAAGCAGCTGGCCAAATGTGTTTCACAATAAATTTCCTTTTTTCCAAATATGAGGAATCTGGATCGAACCAGACTCGATGGCAATACTCAAACCAAAATTTACCTTTTGTCAAGTAATAATCCCATTTTTGATCAATTATCGGCCTAAACACCTTTTCCTCTATTATTTGCCGATTGAGAGTGCTATACATCTCACAAATCACGTGCAGAAGTTCTTCCTGACCGATCTTGTGTTCGCCATAGCTCAATCGTTTCATTACTATATCTAAAATTAAGCTTTGCCGTTTTGGAAGATTGATTTCTGTCAATTCCTCTGAAATAGTACCCGCAAAGGTCTGAAATTGAAGGTAATCTAAGAAAAGCTCAAAATCATCGGTTTCCTCTATTTTGTCTCCATAAGCAGCATGAAGTCCTTGATATAGAGAAGACAGCTGTTTGTATTCACCTAGAGAAATCATTACGGAATTCAACTTATCCAGGATTTTTGCTTTTTTGTGGGACATCTTCAATCCCTGCATCAAAATGCTTCTGCAAGAGATCAAATCTCCCTCTGATTCTAGTAGCCAGTTTGCATACTTTAACCATATGACCTCATAGTGTGCTAAGGGAAGTAATGCTCTTTGGAAATTGAGCTGAGTAAGTGCAGGAGTCCGAATATTAATTGAGTAATCTAAATATCTCACCCATGTGCTGATTTGACTGTAGTCGATCAATGTTTGAGCAGAGCAATAAAAATGTGTCTTCAAATGTACTTCGAACAAATTGTACATTTCCAAAATTTGGTATTGATTAACCATGTAAAGTTCTTTCGTGTACTTTTTCAGCTGCTTCTTAGCAGCCTGAAGTCTCGGTCCTCTTCTCGATGCCTGATTTACGTCGACTTTTAGTTTTTTAGCTAGCTCATCTTTAGGCGCCATCATTGTCAATTGGCTCAAATCACGAATATCGTCTATATGCTTTAACCACTTTGCATAAAATATGCTATAGGAGTATATCGGAAGTTCCAAAACCTTTCTCAAAACGATGAAGTATCTTCGCGGCGTTTTACAGCGCAGTAGTAACTGATTCAGATACATCTCCCAAAATTCGCCGCTGAAAAAATGCAACCCCACAGAAGCCTCAGCGAGCTCATATTTGCGGAATAACTGTTTGTTATTAGATATCACCTCGTTGCATATTTTTAAATATTCGACCCACAGCAGAAGGGACATATTGTTCATCTTCTGTAGACCTGATATGAAGATGTGATGCATCTCTTTAACATTTCCAAGCTTATACTCAAACAAGGCGTAGTCGATGTGATAATTTTCTAGAAAAGGGAATTGAGACAACATAGCATTGTAAGTGTATCTTATGAGGTCGGCAAATCTTTTATCTATTGCCTTGTTTAGAGGGCTAGCTTTGTCCAACAAATGATTCAAGAGCTCCTCCCAATATGCCAAGTTCTTTGGATGTTGAGACACGCGAAGTGAAAGACGACTATAATCATCATCCAGTAGGTCTTCTATTGAGTCCTGCATACAGCTGCGATCGTAGACGCTTGGGTAAGCCTAAGACGATGATTTAAAACAGATGCTTTTCGGTTGTCCAAAGCAAGAGGAAGGGAAACGGATCACATAACACGGAAGGGTAATAGCCCGAATCATTAAGACATTAATTCTATACAGTGATTTTTAAACAAATAAATAGTGGACATGTAATATTCTTGATATAATATGAGTGGCATTTCATCCAAATTGTGTTATTATTGATCAATTTTGCTCAGATTGATTTTATCCAATATTTCCTTCGCGCCGTTCCTTATCATTTTGTGAGCCAATTCCTGACCGCAAGTGATGGAGTCTAATCTTACATCATGAATAGTCATGACATAATCGTCTTCAACTGCCTCTGTGCCATCAACACTAACAACGAGACCCTTCAAGTGCAGTTTTTTCGTTTGCTCGTCATAGCTACTCTCCACACCGATTGGCACAGAACATCCTCCTTCTAATGTTCTCATTAGCGAGCGCTCTGCGAAACAGCATATTGTGCTTTTAACATCACCAATCCTTTCCAAAATTGGCGCTAGCTGAGCATCGTTGGTTCTTACCTCAATGCCCAATGCGCCTTGACCAACCGCATGATACATAATAGAGGAATCGAATCGCTGAGAAATCCTCCCTTCCAAGCCCAGCCGTAACAACCCCGCCGACGCCAAGACGATACACTTGTAGTCAGTAGCTGGGTCGTCCAACTTTCTCAATCTGGTTTGGATATTGCCTCTAACGCTTTCGAACTTCAACTTAGGGAATTTACGTTTCAATTGTGCCGATCTTCTGATAGAAGATGTGCCAACCACGCTTCCATCTGGCAAGTCCTCTAAGCACTTATAAGGGCTGCCCTCTGCCATGATCAAACAGTCAGAGGGATCCACGCGCTTAGTGACACATCCCAGCTCGAACCCATCGGGAAGCGAAGTGGGCATGTCCTTCAAAGAATGGACAATAAGGTCGATTCTCTTGTCCTGATCCTTTTCATAAAGCAGGTCCTCAAGCTCCTTCGTCCAGACCGCTTTTCCGCCAAATGAATAGAGCGGCTTCGACTGCACCTGATCTCCAAGCGTCTGCAATGCCACAACGGTACACATGTAGTGTGAAAAATTCGTCTCAATCAGTCTCTTCACCTCGTTTGACTGCACCACCGCCAGCTTTGACTTTCTCCCGCCAATGCGCACAATCTCTCTTTCTGTCATCTTATCTTTTTCACTTGTGTCAATAGCTGATAATAAATAATCCGTCGCAAACTCGAAATATTACCTGGTATTCGAATTTGAACCTAAAATGGATTTATAATGTGTAAAAATGAGTGGGAAATATTTACAGGACCAATAGTAGAATGATATTTACAGTGATGTATTCATACAATTGGAATCGCACAGGATGCTTAAAATATCCGTAGTTCCGTAGCTATGTTCAAGTATATTAACAACGATAAGCCCCTCAAACCGATTTGCTACCTACCAAACTTCACCAGATTCTTATAAATAGGATTAACCAAAAACCGTTTAGATGTCAAATAAATGATAGTACTGATAGGGGACTCTATCTTGAAAATTTTTTCTCTTCTTGGTTAGCGATCGCCAAAGACGTATCGAATTAGAGACGCAAGAAAAGACTCGAGCTAACGATTTTCTTTTTTTTTTTTTCAACGCTTTTGGCATTAATAAAAAGACGCATACGGAAGAAGTAATGTCCGGCGGTGGTCGTGATAATAGTAAATTAGATCTAATAATAAATAGGGTTATATGGAGTTTACAATTGAGACTTGACCCAGCCTTCGAGCCCGCCTTTAACAATGATTTCTTGCAAGTTCTTACCTAGTTCACCGACAGATTGTTGTAGCACTACTGGGCCGCTGATGGAACCTTCAGTAACTGTGACTTTGCTGTTAGGAAGATCCCATTTTAGGAACCAGCCGGTTCTTCTTGTGAGTTCTTTGGATTCGTTGGCGTATTTCTGTCTCAACATTTCTATCAAAGCAGGGATTTCAAGCGTCAGTAGGGCGTTGTTGATCGAGTTTCTGGAAAAAATGTTACCGAAAGAACCGGAGACCACGAGCTTGATGCCCTTAGCTAGGATGGCAGTGGCAGCCTGTTCTCTCGAGGAACCTGTCCCAAAGTTGAACCCACTGATGATGATGTCGCCCGCTTTCGCCTTGGTTTGGAACTCAGGGTCGTAGTTCTCCATGCACACTTGAGCCATTTTCTCGCGAGGCACATCGTCCTGGTAAGTATATTTCCCTGGGTAGATACCGTCGGTGTTGATGTTGTCTGCGTCACATAGCACCAACTCACCGGTTATTTCTGTTGGGAAACCTTCTAGCATCTCCACAGACCCGGTCGATTCGACGGCTTTAGTTTCTGTGTTCGAGCTTGGAGCGGCATCCTCTACAGTGGCTTTAACGCCGTTGAATGGCACGTCTTTCTGGCCTAGCACTTCGGCTGGAGATCCGATCTTACCCAAGATAGCTGAGGCGGTGACAACAGCTGGCGATGCCAAGTAAGCAAGGGCCTCACTAGAACCCATTCTTCCTTTAAAGTTACGGTTGGTTGCACTGATACCGATTTCACCAGGCTCCAAAAGACCTGTTCCGAGACCGATACATGGACCACAGCCTGCAGGCAAAGTCTTACAACCCGCACGCAAAAGCTTTTCCCAGGCACCAGATGCTTTTGCATCCTTCTCAACCTCTGAGGAAGCAGCGGCGATGTAGAATTCCACTCCTGGAGCAACTTTATTGATCTTTTCAAGATCACCGGTTGGGCACACAACCTTGGCGGCAGACTCGAGATCACTCAAACGCGAATTTGTGCAAGACACCAAATATGCTTTGTTAATTTTAAGGTCTTGAGCTGAGAGTTCTTGCACAGTAGCTGAGACCTTCACACTGTTAGGACCGGAAACATAATGGGTTAGAGTGTTTAGGTCAATGACTAGTTTCTTAGCGTAGGTTGCATCTTCATCAGCTTTCAAAGTTTGGGACTTTTCTTCGAGCTCCTCAATGCGGGACTTGTTAATTCTGGGATGGTTAGGACCTACCTTAGAGAGTCTGTTGCGGTACCATTGAATCAAAGTCTTGTCAACTGGGAACAAACCAGAGAGAGCACCCCATTCGGTTGTCATGTTGGCAATCGTGAGTCTGTAATCAACAGGAATCTTCTCGAGAGAGTCACCTGTGAATTCGATGGCGTGGTTCAACACCTGGTCCTTGTTGAACACACCACACAGCGCGACGATGATATCTTTACCAGAGATTCCGTGAGGGAGTTGGCCCTTCAATTCCACCTGAGCAACAGGTGGGATCTGCCACCAAGTTTGGCCTGTAGCCCAAATGGCGGCTGCGTCGGTACGCACTACGGGCGTACCCAGACACCCAATACCACCATATGTGTTAGAGTGCGAGTCCGATGCGACGGTCAGGTTAAGTGGGAACGCGTAGCCCTCTTCTATCATGACCTGGTGGCCAATACCACGGCCTGCAGGGTAGAAATCGATACCGTGTTTCTTGGCGAAGTTTTCGATATTCTTGTACTTGGTTAGGTTCTTCTCTGTCTTGTTCTGCACGTCGTGGTCCAGCGCATTGACGATCTGTCTTGGGTTCTTGACCTTGGATGCACCCAGCCCCATAAACTTCAATGCCACGGGCCACGAGTTGTCGTGCGACATACAATGTGCCGGTTGGATCGACACATAGTCTCCAGAAGACACCTTCTTGCCCTCGGGCAGGCCCACCGCATACGCCTGCACGATCTTTTCGGTTAGGTTCTGGCCCTTCAAGATACGTCTCGTTGACGAGAAGTTCCTAGCAAATCTTAGCATCTTCGCTTCTTTACCTGCTTTAATCCACCTACTGTAAGACTCTAGAAACGCTGCCGCCATTATATATCCACGATGATTCATCTCTTGCCCATACCCATACTCTTCAAATTCCCCCGGAAATTAATCAAACTGAAAAATTTTCAAGAGTTCAATCAGAAGACTAAGTATCATGCAACGAACCTACATGAATCGATTATCAAATTGCCGCTAAGATATGTATTGTTCTCATTGTAGTCTCTCATGCAGCAGTCCATTATGTTGCTCTTTTTGCATATCAGAAGCTGCTTGCGCCGCATTATAGACGCTGCGCTCTTGTTTCTTGGCATTGCACATATTAAAAGTACACTACAATCAGAATCGCTCAGCTACGAACTCGTACGTACCAACCAAGGCTTGTTATATACGGAGCATCCTTTTCGAATGTCGTTATCGCTCTTTGGGGCCATAATATGTCACAAGATTTTTGCGTATGCCGCGATAACTGAAAAATTTTTAGCGGTCCGGAGCTATAAAAGGGGCACAGGATTTGATCCCTGTACGCGCAAGTTATTCGCAATCAGTCTTATATAACATACTAGAATAGAGAATGTCTAGCTGCGATCTATTGTTGTGGAGAAACCCTATCGAGAGTGGTAAAGTGTTGGGGGGTATCCTTGTGGGCCTCTTGATCATCAAGAAAGTTAACCTTATCACGTTTGTGTTGCGGGTTATCTACACCGTAATGCTCACAACAGCTTCGGTGGAATTCTTGTCCAAGCTATTCTTGGGCCAAGGTCTTGTGACCAAGTACGCACCATCAGACTGCGTGGACATCGTGAGTCTGCTCAAACCAAGAATCGACGAATGTTTGAAACAGCTACCTGCGTTGCAAACCAAGGCCAGAAAGCTTGCTCTAGCTAGCTCTCCAAAATGCACATTCAAGGCAGCCGGTGTCTTCTATGTCTTGCACAAGTTCTTCGGTTTCTTCTCCCTCTGGACTATTTTGTTTGTCGGTACTATCGGCGCTTTCACCCTTCCATTTGTTTACCAGACCTATCAAAAGGAGATCGATGCCACCGTGGCTCACGGTGTGGAGGTCGGCAAAGCTCAAGCTTCTGCTCTTCAATCTACTGTCACCGAAAAGGCGTCTCCATACGTCAAGCAACTTGATGAAAAATTGGGACCAGTCTCCAAGTTTGTCAAGTCCAAATTGCCTGCCACTAGAACTGCTGGCTCTACTGTCACTCCAGAATCCACCACTGCCAAACTAGCCGCTGATGTTCCTCTAGAGGCTCCTGCCACTGCCAAGACCTCTTCCGCCGACTTCCCAACTGCTCCATCCACCACTCTAGGCCAGAGCATCAAAGAGGAGGTCTCTGCGGCTTCTGAGTCCTATGGAGCTCAAGCTATCAAGGAATGATTCTACGGTTCTCGCTGGTATTTTTCTAGCGCCCATGTCCCACGTCATAGAGTTACTTTGTTTATCCTATATATATTTACCTCTCGGTTTATCTGTATACTCTTATCTCACGAGAGAATGTATCTTGGCCTTAGGGTGGTTTCCGTAAGCGGTTGAACTTGAGTTCGAGTTAGGGTTGCTGTTACTGCTCGTTTAGGTCGTGAAAATCTTAAAATCATAAGCCATTGTTCTACGCACATAAACGAAAAAAATATCTCAAAACATCCTTTAGAATATTATTTAGACAGGTATAAAGCGGGCATGGAACGCTTAGCAAAAAAAAAGCCTTGAAAAAAATGCCTACACATCTAGTCCACTCAACCTTACAGGGATGGCTTATATTATTTGGATAATTGTATCATCATAAATATGGACGTGGCTTTCTCATTAGTACTTGATACCCGACGAAACTTCCAATTGGTCAATAATTGGTTCTTTGACGTTGGGATGTAGATCATCGTTTTTATAAGACAATTGGTCGCTGGTCCACAAGTTTGGCTCTGGCACAAAGTCTGGTTGACCAATTCCGAGTAAGCCACCTTGATTTTGCCAGTCCTTGACTCTTGGCAATTGTAGAGTGTTGAACACGTCGTCAACCGCGTCTAGGAGAATGTCAGATAAATCATTAGTGTGGCCCGGAGTAGGAGTGATTCTCAATCTTTCGGTACCTCTTGCAACAGTGGGGAAATTGATAGCTTGGACATAAATGCGGTGTTTGTCCATCAAAATATCTGATGCCTGGCGAGCCAAATCAGGATTGCCAATAAGGACAGGTACAATGTGAGATGGGTTGGGGATAACGGGGATGCCTAGGTCAGCAAGACCGTCCTTCACGTAAGAAGTATGTCTTTGTTGCGCTTGTCTCAAATCCAAGTGGGAGCGTTGGTATCTAATGGCTTCCGCTGCACCGGCCATCACAGAAGGAGGTAGACACGTTGTGAAAATGAAGCCTGGAGCATAGGATCTTAACCAGTCAATCAATCTCAAGGACCCAGCAACGTAACCACCCACTGTACCAAAAGACTTACCCAAGGTACCAGTGATCATGTCTACACGGTCCATGACAGTTCTTTCCTGAGGCGACGCAATACCAGACTTGCGATGAGCCTCGAAGTTACAATGCTCAGCGACACCAGCACCATGTGGACCGTACAAACCTACTGCGTGGACTTCGTCCAAAAACGTCAACGCACCGTACTTGTCAGCCAAATCACAAATTTTCTCAATGTCGGCCACAGAACCAGACATAGAGTAGACGGATTCGAAGGCAATCAACTTTGGTTGGGATCTAGGGTACATAGCCAACAACTCTTCCAAGTGGCTCAAATCGTTGTGCTTGAAAATGTGTTTCGTGGTGGAGGCATGTTTAATACCAGTAATCATGGAAGCATGGTTAAGCTCATCGGAGAAGATCACTAAGTCTTTGATCTTCTGACCAAGAAGCGAAATGACAGCGTCGTTGGCAACAAAACAGGAAGAAAACACCAACGCACCTTCTTTCTTGTGCAAAGCAGCGATTTCGGCTTCCAATTTCAACGCATGCTTATTGTGACCCGCAATGTTCCTTGTACCGCCGGCACCAGCTCCGTACTTATCCAGAGTTTTTTTCATCACGTCGACCACTTCTTGATTTTTAGAAAGAGCTAAATAGTCGTTAGAACACCAAACAGTGACCTTATCATCTTCCAACTGGCGGTGTGCTAATGGGAACTCCTTAGCCAACCGGTTGATGTTGTTGAAAAAGCGGTAAGACTTGTCCACCCTTTTCTTCTGAAGCTCGTGCTCAAACAAACCGTCGTAGTCGAAAGCCGACTCAGCTGTAGCATGATCAACAAAAGCGCTCTCATCCTCACGCAGACTGCTTCTGGTAGAATTGGCAGTCGCAGGCGACGCAGAAGTAGCATAATTGGCGGTGCGCATTGCCCTCCCCATGAAAGGGCATTGCTTCGCCATCGCAGGCAAGTTGGCCTGCCCCAAAGACTTCACGGAATGCACAGAGGTCGTCACGCTGTGCACAAATGGACAAAGTTTAGCGGATTGCCGCGCGATAGACTCCATTATTACTATTACAAATCGACTTTACTTACTTCCTACTATCAATGGTATCTTTTCTCCGGGGACCAATGAGGCATCTTTACTTATATGAAAAAAAAATTTTGCCCGTTGGGAAAAAGAAATCATCCGGATTAGGAACTATCCTTATTGGGAGATCATCGAAGAATTGAATATCATACAAAACGATTGATGATTTCACAATAAAGTGTTGATGTGCTGATTATATGCCATTTTTGAGCCGCTCTAAGGCCTTTTGATGACCGGCACTTGCTGCCGCGTGATAGTGTTCACGTGCTTTTTCCATGCTTGGAGGACAGCCGATACCATTCTCACAAAAAAAGCCAAGAGCATACTGGGCTCTTGCCAGCTTTCCCTCAGACAATTGGCACGCCTTGAGGGCCCAATTGTAAGCCTCCTGGTTATTCGGTTGCAGCACTCCGGATGCCCCCGTTAAATACCATCCACTGAGAGCCATCATAGCCATTGGGTTGCCGCGAGGCTTGTTCATGGCAGCCTTGGCATACCACGCGATGGATTTATTAGCAATGACTGGTAGATTTAGTTCTCCAAATTCATAGCAATGGCCCAGTTTCCACTGTGCGAGCGGGTATGAGCATTGAGTGGCACAACGATGATAATACGTGAGCGCTTTTGAGGGATTGGGCTGGATGCTGGCTGCGAGTAACGCATTTTGTAGGGAAGGAGGCAGGCCTTCAAATTCGTAGATTTTGCCCAGCTCATACATGGCTTGTGGAGAAACTTGCGTTGCTCTCTTTGCGTCGCTGGGAGATTGCTTTTCTGTGTCCGCATAAGAAGCTCTGGTAAACCATAGAATCGCTTTTTTCACGTCTTGAGATAATATCACACGCTGATACTCCAGTCCATGTAGGTACAACATGCCCAGTTTATACATGCAAGAGGCGTCTAGGCATTTGTCAGCCCCAAGCTCGTAGTACTTCACGGCTCTCTGAAGGCAGTTGTCTTTGCTCAATTGGGGTGGTGTTCCTCGTTGGTACTCATAGCTGATTCCTGCCCGAAAGCAGGCATCTGCGTGATTGAGTTCTGCAGCACGAGAATAGTAATCTAGGGCTTTTGTATCGTTTTTAGCCACTATTGATTGAATTTTAATGTCTAGATAGGGTTGATGCGAGTATAGTGTTCCCATGAGGTACATTGCTGGGCCGAACTGTAAAGTAATGAGTTTTGTTAGAACCTTTAGGGCATGCTCCAATATAATTTTTTGATTTTTAAGTGTTTCTTCAGGAGTCAACTGTCTTTTAAGCTTTTCGGCATTGATGTTGTATTGGGATATGAACTTTGGCCGGAATGAGTATGTGAGCAATGTTTCGCACCATTTCATCTGGACTTCCGGGGTGAATTTCGGGGAGTCATTTACGGTGATCTCATAGATGTTGTGAAATTCTAAGGCTTCTTCACTGTAATTCGATAAGTCACGAGGGCGATTCTTCGGTGGAGGCGTCTTTCGGCGTGATGGTTCCTGAAGAGGGTTTTTCTTGGGCGACACTTTCATGACTTCTTGTGCCATATCTTCTTCCTGTCGGTAAGCCTTCTCGCGGAGAAAGTATTGCGTTTCTGTTTCCTCATATGGCGGAGGCGGTGGCTTCTGCATATCACTTGCACTTGTGAATGTTTCTACGGAGCTTGTTGCTGAGATTCCGGGCCTCGTCGCTCTGTTGAGGGAGTCGGTCGAACCGGACGCAGTGAAAGCGAATGGCCGCTCGTACCTCGAATCTGTCGGTGAGATCACTCTGGGGGCTGGTATGCTTCCTGAAGTTACCCCTATCGAAGACTGTGTGCTTCTTGATTGCAGCGGTACTGGATTTATGACTTCCTGCGTGTCTTCCAATGGGTAAGGTGCGGTCCGCTGATTGTCCGCTGGACCGTTATTCCCCGCCGAATCCACTTGCCTGGACGGCGGGTACATATTAATGTGCATTCCATATAGTTGTTCTTTGCTCCTTTCAGACATAGTCTGCGATGGGATACAGGCTACGCTCTTCTTTGTTTCTGTGCAATGTAACGGCGACACCGTTAACTTTTTCGAGTGTTTCTTGATTTACTAGATTCTCGCGATTACACTCACTAAAAAAAAAAGCCAAGCAGGCTGTTCAAAGAGATGAGCACTATCTAAGTGGTGTGCATTATCATATTCGGCCGATTATCGTCCCGCTTTACTTGTCTAATATTGAAAGTTATCGAATATAATCACCTTGGTTCTGCGAAAACCACGACTTACCCAACTTTTAACGGCTGCCATGCTTTCATTTTTTCCACCATAATTAGTCCAGCTGGAAAAGCTGGTTTTCCAAGACTGCGATAGTCGCGTCTCTGGTTCAACTTTTACTGGTTACAACAAGTCTTCCCAAAAATTTTACTATCCAGATGAGAATATTGCTAGAATAAGTGCAAGAAAGAAGTTTCATTTGACAGCGTCATCTACTCAATGGTTTGGCCCTTTAATAAGAAGCGCAACGAGCCTGAAGAGACCCATGAGGAGCAGCCTCCACTTCAAAACTATAGCATGGGCAAAAAGTATCTCTTGGAAGACACCCAGCCCCGTTTTTCTAATGAATCGCAAAGCCAGGCGGCCAGCAAGCATGAACAAGCAACCTTGAGTAACGCTTGGAAAACAGTCACATGGAATGACTTCTCGTTTCAGCGTCTAGCAGCAATCCCGTGTTTCAGAGACGCAGGAATGACCGGATTTACTAGCATGTTCGCCGTGGGGACTGTCATGCTCCTATATCACAAAAACCCTAGCCGGGCGGCCAATTGGGCAGTGGGTGGCCTAATGCTGGGCAGCATTGTGGGCTGGGAGCAATGTAGGCTCAGGCGTAGACGCAGTTTTGAAGTTGCACAGATGGCAAAACAAACCGTGGCTGGTAAGGAGAAACCTATGCTCCATCCGGTAGTCCATGATGATCGTGTCAAGCAGGAATGGGAGGAACACAATTCGAACGCTAGCCGTTCCCGGCCCTGGTACAAATTCTGGTAACGTAGAATAATACGTAAAATCTCTTGTACATAGGCTCGAAGAATACGATATGCATAAGAAAGGCTTACGACGCATGGCAATTCTGAAAGGTCCATGTGTCTCTGTATCGGCTCACTGAAATTTCGTGCAGAAATCAGTATTCTCTTTGAGGACCCGTGTCAGATTATGTAAGATGGCCTCGCTTGACTAAAGCGCTTACAAATATCTGAGTAATAGGCCGACCTGTTACTAAAGTTCAATTGCTTTCTGCTCGAACATTGACGTGCTAAAGTCACTCCTTGTTGCAAATGTCCTCCGGTGAACAGCAATATAAGTTTAAATGGTTTAGTTCAGCGATATTGATATCTCTATTTGCAGTCATTTTGCATTACAAAATATTTCGAGAGGTTCCTTCACCCTTCATCTCACAAAACAAGACTACTAAAGATAATATGAGTAACAAGATACTAAGCAGTGCTTCCTCCGTCATTGATATGAAGAAATTGCCTGTTTATTTCTTTTCCCATGGCGGGCCTACTTTCATGTACCCGGAAGATGGTTTCGGAGGGAACCCTGAGGCATATCATGTGGTTTCGAAGACCGGTAAATTCATCAAAGAAGTGATAAAACCCAAATTTATTATTGCAGTTTCTGCGCATTGGCAATCGTCTGGACCCAATCTTATCGAAGTCGCCGTTCCAGCCGGTGTGAGTGGTGTTTCTAAAGGTCTTTCAGATGCATTTCCCTCTGGACCCTCCAAAAAAAATAGTCCATTACTGGATCCAATGGAAAATGACCTTATTTACGACTTTTATGGATTTCCGGATCATATGTACAAGGAAACTTTCCACAGCAAGTGTGATGCGGATTTAGCTCGCGACATCGTGAGCGAAATTAACAATTCCGATGGAACCTTGAAAGCGAAACTCTCGAAACGAGGAATTGACCATGGCGCTTGGGTGCCATTCAAGGTAGCATTTTCCTCTAATAAGCCTGCTAATGAGACATGGGATGTAGATGTGCCCTTGGTTCAGGTTTCGATGACATCAAGCGATGATTTTGATACACATTACGAGTTGGGTAAGATTTTGTCAAAGTATAGAGAAAATGGTGGTCAAATCATTGTTTCTGGTATGAGTGTGCATAATTTACGCGATTTTGGAAGAGCGGCATCTCTTGGTCGTCCAATGCCTTACGTTAAACAATTCAACAATCTGCTCACCGATATATTCTCAAAACCTGGAGGAAAATTGTCCTATTTCAAAGATATATTAAAAAATTCTGATACCCATGAGCTTTTATACTCTGCTCATCCGACTTTGGATCACTTTATGCCATTGATTGTCGGCCTTGGTGCTGGGGAAGGTATAAAAGGAGATGATCAATATACCGTGAAGCAGATTTACACGGGTGAGACATTATCATTGGGATGGGGATTATATCAGTTTGGAAACTACGAAGCTTGATCTTTTTTAAATCTATTACTACGTTATTTAACTTGGTTTTTTATATTATTACATTTGTCGGCTTACCACGCTCGATTGTTCTAGTAAATTGTCTTCCCTCATGTCAATATTGCTTAATCCATCCAGCAGATTTTTGGTTTCACTTTCACCCTCACCATCCCCATTTTCCGAAAGCTTGCTCTCATTATCTTCCATTACGTCACTTCTTGTTCCTGGTGCTGGAAGCGAGAAAGAATTGTCGAAGGTCTCCTGAGTTTCGTGGTGACTTACTCTTCGGCTTAACGGGGACTCTAAATCAATGGATACTGGAAGAGGAGTAGAAGTAAGGCGCCTTAAATGAGGACTAGAATGGGAAGTTGCTTCTGGTGTATGATGTGTATTCTGATCGTCCTCATGATCATCATCATCATCATCATTGTTTGCGTGATCCTTGTTAAACGGGTCATCTGCGTGTATCAATAAATCGTCTAATCCACCGCCAGACCAACCTTTCCTGGCAATATTTTCACTAATCTCGACTTGTGCTCGCGAAACGGTTGCAATATCTCTCAGTACGCCTGAGCAGCACGATTCTACGAGCTCATAGGACTCCTGATAATAACGATGCTTCAACGACTCCAACTCATCCAATTGAAGTTGTAAATTTGCCAAATTCTCCCTATAAGAGACTAGATTACGCACTTTACGCTTGGAGAATTTAATGTTGTAGCTCTCTTGTAGTTTGAGCTTGCGAGCCTGATCGCGAAACTCTTGTTTGAACTTGGCCTCTTGAACCCTGCTGCTAAACTGGAAATCATCGACACGTTCTGAAAGACTTTCTGTCATTGAGGATGTGATGCAATTGGCCATGATACGCTGGTGATTCGCAATTAGATGGAATAGCCCACTCGAGCTTAGGAATTTTTCTGCAGTATCGTCGTTACAGCCCTTCAACCGCGCCATTTGCTCCAACGATAACGCTACCATGCTTGCTTTTTGTGAAACTGCTACCAGTTCCTCTGCGTATGCATCTACATTTGCCAGCATTTGCTTCATCGCATCAACCGTCTGTGCCATATCTTTTTTTGTAACCAACGTTTGCAAGTCAGTAATAGTGCTCACACCAGACCTCAATGACGATGGACGCCGTATGCGAAACATTCCAGATGCAACACTTGATTGCATGGGTGAATCCAGCAACGCCTCACTTGTCTCTACGATGGGTTTCTGCTCACTGTTTTTCGCTTTGTTGTTCACTAAGGGGTAGAACTCTGATAAGTGAGGAGCATATCTTTCGGGCGAAACGTAGTGGCCGTTTTCTTGCTTGTTATCGCCTGACATTTTGTTTGTGACTAACTTTCAATATTGCCCTGCGTTTGCTTAAAATAATCTGGTCGTTGTTGAAATGTAATACATCTTCATCAAAACTGTTGACGATGGCACGAGTCACGTGTTTGTATTTTGGAAAATCCTCCCATTTTATGAAAATTTTTGTCGAAATCAGCCAGTTAAGGAGCTGTAATTGACGTACAAGCTCAATCATAGGTTGTTCATAGCATGATTAGGAATCTAAGACTTGGTTTTGGTAGGCCTGATACCACCATTTTCGGTTATTTTGCGGCTAGGTACATTTCTACCGCCCCTAGGGTTACGGTCAAACCACTGCATTCGCGCAAGACATTCTTAATCGATTCATACAAGCACATGATGGAACACAATCCGGTGGTTCTATTTGCACACTACAATAATTTACTCAAGCAAGAGAATGCAACATTTCGCTCCCAAATTAAGGGGATTGGTGGTTGTATGACCTCTGTAAGGAACAACCTTTTCCAAGTTTACCTGAGAAATGCGCACCTGCCGGATCCCTGTGCTAAAACGTCTAAAAACCAACAAAACAAAAGCCATCCTCTTTTACCTCTGTTCAAGGGCCCCACTGTGGCTATCAGCTTCCCAGAAACTGACCCTGCCAAGGTCGCCAAGCTTTTGAAACTTTTGGAAAAGTCTGCAGATAAATTGTTCATTGTTGGCGCCAAAGTTGAATCCGAAGTGTACGACATGGCGCAACTAAATCAGTTCAAGAGTCTACCAACTAAGCCTGAACTGCAATCACAATTGCTTGGTTTGCTACACATTCTAAGTGGTGCGGGTTTGGTACGGACGCTTGAATCAGGCTCTCAGGCTTTGTATCTGACCTTGCAATCTCATCATGATAATCAAAGCAATCCTGAATCATCTGAAAAGAAAAATGATTAAAACTCTCATTCGAACTGTATATAAAGCTTGTAAATAGCATGGAACAGAACATTTCGTTGAATGCGACGTGTACTTGGTAAAAAAAATTTTCGAAAGCTCATCGCATCGATTCTGTCATCTCCGTTGAATAATTACCAAATTTACATCCATAATGCGCGCTGGTATGTCCTTGGACGACCCTAGTAGTAGACGCCAAAGCTACCGTGCTAAAAAAGAAGAGAATAGAAAGGAATTGAAACATGTGAAGATCGATGCCGAAGTGGTAGCAGAAAAAGTTGAACTGCCCAAAAAGAGATATTACCGTCAGAGAGCACACTCGAACCCATTTTCAGACCACCAGCTAGAATATCCATTGAGTCCGAATGATATGGATTGGAGAAAATTGTATCCTTACTTCTATGACGAATCTAAGGGAGACATGACCAAAGAAGTGACAATCGCAGACATTGGGTGTGGATTTGGAGGCCTCCTGATTGATCTCTCTCCGGCATTTCCTGATAAACTAATTCTTGGTATGGAGATTCGTGTTCAGGTTACCAATTATGTCGAAGACAGAATAATAGCGCTGCGAGCAAACAATGTTAAGACCAATGCTTATCAAAACATTAATGTTCTAAGAGGAAACGCCATGAAATTCTTACCTAATTTCTTCCATCAGGCTCAATTAGAGAAAATGTTCTTCTGTTTCCCAGATCCACACTTTAAGCAAAGAAAGCACAAAGCCAGAATCATCACCAACACATTGTTAAGCGAGTATGCTTATGTTTTGAAGGAAGGCGGTATAATCTACACTATTACAGACGTATTGGACTTGCATGAGTGGATGGCCAAGCACTTGACGGAGCACCCATTGTTTGAGAGGCTATCTCAAGAATGGGAAGATCAAGATGAGTGTGTCAAGATCATGAGACATGCGACAGAAGAAGGAAAAAAAGTTGAGAGGAAAAAAGGTGACAAGTATGTTGCATGTTTTAAGAGGCTTCCTACTCCGGAAATCATTTAAAGATAGTTTACAAAGTTTAGAATTCATTTAAGTTAATTACAAAGCTTTTCTTTCATTAATATGTATACAGTACTATTTTCGCTCGGTAAGTATACTGCAGGAAACTGAGAGTAAGTAGGGAAAAAAAAAAGTTAAAAGATAGAGAGTTGATGTTAATGATGCCTAGAAGATAGTGATGATTGATGATCATTGTGACGTATTTACAGCAGAGCCAGATGCCTCAGCTTCATTATCGGGGATAGTTCCGTATTCTTGATCTTGTGGACGTCTCCCCAGGGCAACCACTTTATCATATATGAGGTTGACAGTTTCAGATCCCCTTCTCACCAGTTTCTTCAAATCCTGTTTGTTTCCCTGCTGGTTTTTGAATTGAAGCACTTCCTCCAATGAGGGCGGTTCCAGAGATTCGGCACTTAGTAAATTCGCGCTTAAAGTGCTTCTCTTGGACCTTATACTGTGACTGCTGCCATTAGTCAACGATTGACTTAGTACGGCGTTAGATTGACCTCCCATGGGGTTTCCTACAGAGAGCGTTGGTGCTTGACTGCTTAGAGGTTTACGCGCCTGAGATGGATTGGCACTTGTATTAGACATGGAGGCGCTCTCTAAGTCTACTCCAGTGGTGGTTCCATGGAAACTGAAAGTGGATGACTTGTCATCAAAAACAGAGCCCATGTCTTCTAACCGCAAGCCTGCAGTTTCTGGATACACACGTAAGACACACCAAAAGGACAAGAAACATGATGCGGCGTGAATGAGGTATAAGCGCCATGAGATTTTCTCTTGTAAAATAGGAGTCATTATACCAACAAGCCAATTGAACAACCAGTTGGTCGCAGTGGATAACGACGCCATGGCGGATCTAGCCGATAGAGGAGCGATTTCGACAGGATATAGCCATGGGATAGGGCCCCAACTGAAACCGAAAAATGCATTGAAGACAATGACAAACGCAACCACGAGTTTTGGCGTTGCGGGGACATTTGCAAACAGAGAACCGGATATGGAGACCAACGCCAACCCCATGACCATGGCACCTAGTAACAGGATGGGTTTGCGACCCCATTTATCGACCAGATGCCAAGGCAGGATTGTCGAGATCACATAGATGACAGCGTTGACGCCTGTCATGAGAATAGCCTCACGGCCGACCCAGCCTGCCTGTTCGAAAACCATTGGCGCATAGTAAGAGATGACGTTGATACCATTCAATTGCGCGAACATTTGGGAGCTCATGGCAATCAGCATGCGTGTTCTGTAACGTTTGAAAACGTAGGAGTAGGATTTCTTTTCTCCTTCGAGTCGCGACACCAGGACGGTTTCCTTGATGGCTTGGAACTCTTCGCGAGCCCTTTGATCTTGCACGTCCCCGTCGCTATGCAAATCGGCAATGACAATTAGGCCCTCGACGTCGTGGTCGTGGTTGAGCAGCCAGCGGGGCGTCTCGACGATGATGAAGGAGCCAGCTAGCAAACCGAAGCCCATGATACATTGGATGAAGAGCGGGAGCCTCCAAGAGGCGTTTCCGTTGATGTAGGAGCAACCGTAATCAACCCACACGCTGGAACAGTAGCCGATAATGTTGCCGGTGAACTCGATGCACGCCAGTTTGCCCCGGTTGTGAGGGGGCGAAATTTCGGACTGGTAGATCGGGACGATGGTGCTCAGGAGGCCCACGCCAAGACCACTGACGATGCGGCCGAAGACCAGGTGGGACATCTTGGCGGCGAGCGTTTGAATGAGGCCGCCCAGGATGAACACGAAGGAGCCGTAGCGGATCGTGCGTCTGCGGCCCCATTTCTCGCCCAGACGGCTGACCATGAGGGAGCTGACGAGCGCGCCGATCTCAAGGATCGACACCATGTTACCGATGGCCGCACGCGACGGATCGTTGAAGTAGTCCTTGAAATACACGCCGGTGATGATGCCGGACATGACACCTTGGTCGTAGCCGAACAGGAACACGCCGAGCGACACGAACACGGACGTGAAGTAGAGCAGAGCGCGGCCGGTGAGAAAGGTGTCTTTGACTTGCAGATGGTCGTTGTAGCCGGGCGGGATGATCTGCGAGTGGTCTGCACCGCCGTCCGAGCCGTGGTAGTGCACGGACGCGTTGCTGTCCTGGTAGAGCATGCCCACGCCGCCGCCCTTCAGACGGTCTGTGTCTGGGGGGTCGATGTCGTACTGGTAGATGTCTGGTTTTTTGTGGGGCAGCGACGTGAGATTGGGCTCTTTGTGCTGGTCATTGAAGCTCTGGGCGCGCATGTTGCCCTCGTGGACTGGGAGCGGGGACGACTGCTGGCGCGTGGGGCTTGCGGTCGAATCGGAGTCTGACATGATCGCTGTGCAACGGGGTATTTGAGGGAAACGTAGTGGGACGAGTCAAGCCGGGTGGTAGAATCCAGGTTGGAGGGAGAGCGAGGGAGTCGTCGACGAGTTGGCAAGTTCGAGAAATCTGGGGGGGGTTCCAGGTGGGGGATACCGGCGAGCTCGCTCCGAGACAGCAAAACGCGATGACGTAGCGGTCGCGTGCCTTTCACGTGACGTCGGGGAGCCCCGCGCGTCACGTGCGAAGCACGTGACGCCCGGGCGACGTTCCCCGGTTTCCCTCCCGTCTCGTCTCGCGTGCCGCTGCAGCTGCGCCAGCCGCGACAATCACCAACAAAAACGATAACATTCCGACGCATTTGCGACGCGCTTTTGCGACGCGCTTTTGCGACGCGCTGTCGCGACGCATTCGCGACGCGGCCCCACGCCCTCCCCCACGCGCCCCCCCTGGTCCCTTTGCAGGCGCTGCGGCCCGGCCGTTGGTCCTGCCCCCCCAGCACCGTCCGTCGCACGGGAGACGCAAAGGGCGGCTTGCGCCACTTGCGGCGCAAGCCGCGTGCGGCTGAGCGAAACGCGGCTCAAAACCCGCGGTCGCGTGGCCCAGCGCCCCGTAGCGCAGCCAGAAACGCGTGTGCCCGCCGCCATGCGACTGCAAGCTCGGCCACCGCCGTGTGCCACGCCACCGAGCTCGGCAGACCGCACCAGCGCCCCAGACGTCTCGGCAGCAGCCGCCCGTACAGGGCCGCTGGAAACCGTTAACCCCGCGAACCTCGGAGTTTGTGGCTCACGTCAGACCGGCCGCGCTTCTCGAGCCTCGGGAAACTGGCATATACCCGGCGCCTGTGCGCCTGCGCGCCTGCGCGCCTGCGTCGGGTGTGTGGGCGCGCCTCGGCACGCAAAAACCAATTCCTGAAGCGGACTGGGCGCCACGCTGACCGGCCCTCGTAACTCGCGAGCATATATAGCGCACAGCTGTTGCTGCTTGCTGCATGGTCGCGTCCCAAAACGGTCGCTGATAACAGCCGGGGTGCGACGCGCTACGTGATGCTCGTCTGCGTACCCGGCGCCGCAGGTTCGGGGTGTTTTTTTTTCTCGACCCACAAACAATACGCCGCGTCGACGCGGTCACCGCCACTATCACCGCCCTCGTCGCCGTCACCGTCACCCCCATAAACCAGCCGCGCGAGTCTCCGGGCCGTTCTCCTGCAGCTTGCGCCCAGCGCGGCAACGCCCTGCGGCTCGTAACGCAGACGCGCATCGGTGGTCTCTCAAAATGGCGATTACCGGTTTCAGGCGCATAGTCGTGCAGCGCGCGTGCTGCAGGCACCGCCGAGCCTGCAGCTGGCGCAGGCCGCGGCGTCGCTGTGTACGAGCCGCGCCCCCGCGGGGGCGCGGGCGCCGGAGGTTTACGCCGCGGAGAGTCGCCGAGAGTCGTCGTGGGAAAAAAGAGTGAGCTGACGTGGCGTAAATGCGCAGCTAGCATCTCAAAGGGGGCAAAGCTGGCGGAGGTAAAGGTGGAGGCAAAGGCGGAGGCAAAAGCGGAGCGGACCGGCGCGGACCGGCGCGCAGACGGCAGAGCCGGCCGCAACCGGACGTGGTTGCAAGAGCGCAGACCGGGCCGTAGATCGGCAGCCGCCGTAAGAACGTGGATTTCATTCGAGTGCTGGCGGCGCAAGTGGCCAGGGCCGCAGGGCGGATACGCTATCGGGAGCGCGCTGGGAGCGCGCTGGGAGCGCAGCTGGGAGCGTGCTAGGAGTGCAGCTGGGAGTGCAGTCGGGATCGCAATTGGTGCGACTTTGTTCGCGCTGCGTCGGCGTCTGTTTCCGGACGTTGACGATTCGCAGAGCTTGATCGGGCGCCGTTGGACGTGACCCAGAGCGCGCGCGGGCGCGCAGGTGCGTCTGGCTGACGTAAGCGGTCGTGCCTGTGTGCCTGCGGGTGCGTTTCTTTTTTCGCGCTCGAGGCCAGGGTGTCGGGGTGGCATCTCGGCGATCCCAAACGTTGATCCAGCAGCTCTCACGCCAGCTGCGCACAAGCGACCAGGATATATATACCTGGGGCTGCTGCTGCAGGCGCGGCCCGCAGGCGCTCCTGGAGCGCCACACACGTTCCCCTCAGCGCGAGACCCGTTCTGCCCCCACCTCAATTCGCTTCGCCCTGTCGCTTGCAATCTTCGCCATGAACATGAGCTTCCCTACCCTGGCGGGCTCGTCGGCGCCGGACGCCATGCCGCCCCCCGACGCCGGCCTCAGCTTCGGGTTCATGGACGCCTACACCAAGTCCACAGCTTTGCCCAGCATGCCCCCCGCGGTCGCGGCCGAGGCCGCGCCCGCGCCCGCGTCCATGGGTCCTTCTTCCACGGGATCCGCTTCCAACAGCGCGGGCAACACTCCAACCCCGGACTCGCACCGGTCCTCGAGCAAAAAAGCCAGCCGGCTCACTTGGAAGGGCGAAGAAGACGTGGCCATGCTCACCATTGTGCTCGGCCAGCGACTTCGCCTACGCGAGACTACACAGTACCGCAAGTTTTGGGACAAGATCAGCGAGCTTTTGTTGCACCAATACGGCATCCTCAGAAATACACGCCAATGCCGCGACCGCTTCAACCTTCTGTACGCCAAGGGCGCGCGGAATGTGACGAACAACGTGACGCCCTGCTCGGAGCGCGACAAACTGCTGCACAACATTGTGACCACATTCAAACTTAGTCAAAAGGGCCACATTGTGCTTCAGGATGCCACCAATTCTGACCTACAATTCGAGCCCCTTTCACACCAATCGTTGCGCCAGGATGCTGCCAGCGATCAACTCTCGGAAGCTCCTTCAGATTACGATTATTCAAACATACCACCAAACAACTCTATTTTGAGACCCCCAAGCGGGCCTGTTCCAGCAATCGAGTGGAAAAATATGTCTGAGATGGTAAATACTCTTATGAATTGCACCAATGGGTTGGCAATGGAAATCCAAAGCCTTGGCGAAAGATTCAGCCAACTTACGGAGCAAATGAACTACTTACAAAAACGTATGGATTACACGTTTATGGCCAACCCCTCGAACGTACGACCTCCTCCGCCACCTCCTCCTCCTGCTATTCCCCAGGATCAATGTTATCCATACACCTACCAGTCTTTGGATAGGCCAAAATAAACAAGCCCGAAACCACATTTACTGCATATTATTCCGACCCACTTTTAAGGGTGAAGGAACTCTCAGACTCTGGGACCTGCATATCCCCCCTGTGACTGTCGGCAATACCTCGTATGCTTATGTGATTGCCAGCACCTTGTGCATCTAACAGATCACAAACTAAAACCGAAAAGGTGTTGTACATCGCAGGTCTCAGACGCTACAGCACTGCATTTTTTTTCCAAATGTTGTAGCTACCGCATCGCAAACGCACGGCCCCGCATTCTTGACAATGTACCGTGTACATGCACGATTTCAACTGTTTATAAAAAGTTTTTACTTTACTTACAAGTAGATACAATCGCCATCAGCTTAATCCCATGAGCGATATATTTCCAAACCTATTCCGCGGTTATTTACAAGTTCAAATGCAGCTATTGTTTGTTTACCAATTTGTCAAACATTGGGATGAATGTTTGAGCTAGCGCGAATGAAAATACCAACTTTGGACCGGTGGTCAATAGCTTAGGGGTCAACCCTTTGAAAAATGCAGTAATACCTTCATTTTTCAACGTGTTTTGAACGATCTTGAAACCTGACTCTGGATTGTCGAAGTTTCTGTTTTGGATTCTGGTCTTGATGACATCCAAAGGTGCTGAAACAATCAAAGATGCACTGGCACCGACAATAGATGACACAAAGTTTTGAGACCAAGTGGCTTCGGAGTAATCTTTCAATCCAAGGATATATTCCTTGGCAAAAGCATTACCACCAAATAGCGCAAAAGAACCTGGAGCATTTCTTGCAGCAGTCCAACCCCAGCCTCGGTAAAGCCCAAAACCCTCATCCTTTAAGATCTTGATGAAACCTCTACCTCTAAAGGCCTCAGGGTTGGTTTGTCTCTTGATCTTTAAAACATCTAATGGCAAAAGAACCACTTCACCAATACCAATTAAGGAACCAGCGGTGGCAGATCTCAAAGCTTTACCCGTCTTATCACCAAATGCAGAGTCAAAGTCGGCTTTGAAATTTTTGTTCAAAAACTCGTTGGCAAATGGTTGACCACCGTATTTGTACACTCTTTGTAAAATCTTGTACACCGCAGCATATCCTAGACCGGGGAATAACGTAAATATACGCTTACTGAACGCTTCAGCAGCGTGCTCACGGAATATGACCGAGTTCAGGTGAGATGCAGATGTGATCTTAGTGTGGTTGGACATCAATCTCTTCGAGATCGTGTCCACAGGGTGAAACACACTGATTTCCAAGATACCAGCAGATGCTGAACCCAACACACGCGCTAAACCTGATTGTTTCTTGTCGTTTGACATTGATGCTTGTTTACACTTGCGGATTTACTGAGAAATGAATCCTTATCGGACGTTTTAATCAATTTTTAAATGATGAAAATTTTTCAATTTCGAGTCATTGTGTGTTGCAAGGTTCAATTAACAGCCGAATTATATTACAATTTCATCCGGTCTTTGTACCAAACACTCAAAAGTGTTGATACTTGTTTGTATAGCTACTCTTAAGTTGGCACAGTCGTTCTTATTAGGACAGAGTAACCTTTAAACGCAGTTGCCAGCGTCTCCTTCGCTCCGAACTTCCCTTCCTGCGAGTTAAGCTAAATAAAATTTACGACGACGCCTCGATCACGTGGTTTGTATTCCTCCTACCGATGCCGTAAGAACGCCCAAATCATTCTTTTGAGGGTTCGTAAACATCGTTATGACACCCTGAATCATTTGAAGAAAGCGCCTATCGATTTTGAAGTTTTAACTTTTGCGCACATTCCGCGCAAGCCTTCTTCTCTTTTAGCCATAGAGCTCGCATGTGATATCTCCTTAAGTTGGCCAGTTCTTTAAAATTCATCTGAATAGCCGAAATCCGCACTAACCACCATCCAACATCGCTCCTCTCGTACTGTTTTTACTGGGAATGAAAAAGACACTTATGTCATTTTGCAGTCGCGTACGCCTCTATAAAATTCCAAGCATCCAGTTTCACTAATTAATTTCAAACAAAAGAGTGGAATTCGAATTTAAGTTCCCTGCAGCTGAGCCTATCATGCGTCTCAAAAACTAGAAATGAATGTGGAAGTATTTTTTTCATTCGCTCCGATGTGTTGCCTGCTGCTCAATGAATTTTACTTTTTTAAGTTCACAATGGTGTGCCTTTTACTAGTTCAGGTGATGTATGTTACCGAAAGAAGTATTCGCTACAGACCTTTCTACAAAACCTCAGAGCGACTCTCGTACAGTCACGGGCACGACGTCATACGCCCTGGTAGCTTTTAATTTCCTTGGATGAAGGATTTCAACTCGGAAAAGCATGAGAACACAGTGTAAGTAAGAATTGTAGATCAGATACAGGATTCATGGTAGAAAGTGGTTATATGGTGATCCTCAGATCACATTCGACGAAATAATACGGTTTAAAAAGGATTGATAAAACCATCTCCATCTAAATCTCTCAATACGGGCATTGAGGAGCAACCTGGGGTTTCATTCCTAAAAAGATGAACTTGAGATATCCTAAATGATTTAGTTATGTGTAATTCATGAAACGAAGGTATTAATGTACTCTGAAAACTCGCGAAAATCCTCTTAAAGTGCTTTGATACTTGATTTCTGAAATTATGGCATTATTTGTTGCACCTAATGCAATTTATACCTCGAATTGAATTCCAGTAGCTATTAAAATACTTTCAGAATTCTACGCCCCTCAAGAGCGAGATCCATGGTTTTTGTTGGTCTCAACATACGATTGTACACTGTATTTGAACAATTGATTATATCTCTTTGTACGTAAACTGGTCTATAATTTCGCTTACTTCAACGTTAAATCCACATAGAACTAATCCATTCACAATTCAGCTTCTAGTATCGCCCAAGACAGATCAAATGGACACTGAAAAGATTGTAGGTGATTTCACTAGCATTTTGGATGAGTTGAAATTCAATTCTAGGCCGATTATCACGACCTTAACCAAAATGGCAGAGGAGAACATATCCTGTGCGCAGCAGTTTGTAGACGCCGTAGAAAAACGGATAGAGACGTGTGTTCCAAAGCAGAAGCTCTTTGCATTTTACGTGTTAGACTCCATTTGCAAAAACGCTGGTAGTCCATATACCATTTACTTCCGCAGAAATCTCGCCAAGCTCTATAAGAGAACATATCTAATCGTCGACAATCAAACCAGAACTGATCTGATTAAGATGTTTAAGCTATGGATGGAGCCTAGTAACAACTCTATGGATGAATATTTGTTTGATAAGGAATCTTTGGAGTCCATAGAACAGTTCCTTGTCAAAGCTAGTGCACTTCACCAAAGGAGCGCACAGGCTCCCACTGTTCCGGGCCTACTACGAGAAATTGATCGACTTGCATTACTTACAAGGGAAAGGATAAGACAAAATCCGCAGGATGAAAGATTGAATGCAAAAATAGCAGTTCTTCATCAATTGAAGCAAGAACTTCAGAGAGAGGAAATGCCACCAAAAGCATTGCAGCAAGTCCAAATGCAATTAAGGCAGATTTTTGCACAAGAACAACAAATTCTTTTGCAGCAACAGAAACAGCAACCTCAGGCTACGCCTCCGCCACATATGCATGATGATATTACCCGTAATCAAGAAGGTGATCAACCAAACATTTTTGGCGGTTCGGCGTTATCCTCATCATTTTTCCCGAATGCTAGCAATATTCTTCCCCCTTCAGAGTTTACACAATCACAAGTTGCTGGCAAAGCTTCCAAAATTCGCTCTCTTTATGATTCTTTAGAAAAGGAAAGTCTCCTTTTTAAGCCACCAAAGCAATCAGTGGTAGCTTTGGAACAGCGGCTCGAAAATTCGACCCAAGGAAGCCAGCAAGTCGAACTACCACCATTACCGCTACTTCAAGACATTTTAGGTGATGTAAAATCTCATTTTGCTACGATTAGTGTGGACATCGTTAATACACCTAATTTAGTATTGTGTCAACAAACAGTGATGCAGGACAATCCTGCCGTAATCCAGCTTACGAATCTACTATATCGTTCAAAACCAAATAAATGCAGTACTTGTGGGAAAAGATTTGGAAACTCTGCTGAAGAGAAGAAAAAAGAGAGGGACCATCTTGATTGGCATTTTAGAATAAATAAGAGGTTAAAGGGAAACGTAGGTGCTGGTGGTGCAACATCTAAGAATATCCAATCTAGAAATTGGTACTTGCATGATGCCCAATGGATTCAATTTAAGGATGAAGAAATAGTATCAACAACGAGAAGAGAAGATGACACCATCACATTGGCCAATGTAGAAGGTCCCAGTACGGGAGTTACACCTGGAAGCTCAACTTTTGATCAAAGCTTTGAAAAGAAATCTGACTCCAAAGTCGTGGAGCAAGAACTTAATAAGAAATACGTTGTTGTTCCTGAATCCACAGAAGACATGTCATTTCAATGTCCTGTTTGTATGGAAGAGTCATCAGCAGTGTATAACGATGATACAGGTGAGTGGATTTGGCCGAATTGTGTTGAATCTCAAGGGAAATACTTCCATGCGACATGTTTCAACGAGGCAGTTAAAGGATCTTTACAGGAAACTTCCATAAATCAAGGCTTACAAAAATTAAAAGGACTTATTGGCAAATAATATAAAGTTTTAACTGAATTTTATCCGCTTATGTATTCTAATTCAAATTAAAAGCATTTTTGCATTTCATTGAGATTGGTTCATCAGCATTTACAATCCTAATTGTACTTGATGATTCTCACGGATAAGCTCCAAAATCGCATCATTTTTGATTGCAAAAGTTATACAAATTTGTCCTTAGATCCAAGCAGAAACATTAATTATAGCACATCATTAATATGTAATTATAAAATACATCAGGCTCTTTCCCAAAAAAAGACTCCATCCCAGTTAATACATAATTTTAAATTCATAGGGAGTTGAAAAATAGTAAGCATACGTCTCTTAAATATCTGGCAAGAGATACCCACAATGGAATCGAATCAAACTTTATGGTCCGATTTTGACGGCCCCTGTAATAATAAATAAATTACATTTCAGCTTTTTATTAACTGAAAGAGGTAACTTAAGTAATTGAATGCATGAAGGTCATTTTCTTCTAATGTTCATGATTTGCGGTTTCCCCCTATCTCTTTCCGAGCTTCCTGCAACTTCAACTCCAACTGTTTGATCTTAGATTCATGAATCTTGTGTAGCCTTTCTAGTGTAATTTTTTTTTGCCGAACTTGTTCCTCAAGAACAGCCTGCCTTCCCTTAGCGATCCCTAAATCGAGTCGAAGTTTCTCAATCTGGTTTTGAGCTGCTGTATCAACCATAGCTGTCGATCCCGTTGCTACTTCATTCCCCAACACATTTATCTGCTCAGTCAAGTCCATTACATGTTTTTGAAGGTGCCGAATGATTTCTTCTTTGGATTGCAACTTTTCGGTTCCTTTTTCAATGATCTGTCTGTATGATTGCCTCCAAGTACGAGCTTCTTCCGATTTTTCGGCTAAAGCTTTTTTCAACGAAGTTAACTCATCTTCTATAATCCTATTAGTATCAGGAATTCTTTCGGCATTGACGTTTTCTTCAATTTCGGATTCTGTAATGTCAGCTTCTCCTTCGACTTCGGTGTCTATCTGATTCACCTCTGAGTTTGAGTTATCGGCGTTCTTAAGTTCTTTTTTCTTGGGTTTTTCCAAGTATACCAGAGAAGAATCCGTTTTTTCTGTAACCAGTTGAAATTTTCTTCTGAACTCTTCGAGTTCGGCTTCCTTGCTAGCAATAATTTCTTGGAACTTCTTGATCTCCGAGTTTTTGACAGCCATTTGACCATTGAGAGATGCAAGTTTCATTTGATCCTTCATTACCTCATCAGAAACATTGCTTAAAATTCGTTCTCGTGTTCTTAATTCATTCAACCAATAATATTCTTCGTCTTTTGTTCTCTGAGCATTGGCTTTAGCTAAATTAATTAAGCTGTGAACATGTGTCTTCAATTCTTGCTTGCTTATGTCATTTCTTTCAATGTCATTTGATATATCTGTAATGATCGTTTCAGTTAAAAATTCCAGATTATCTGAGCTTTCATTATCAGCAGGAGGATTTGAATCCTTGGACGAAGACTGGTTATCTGTGGGTTGTTCAGTAACCTTAAGCACTGAAGAAGACTTTCTGCTGACGTCCTCAAAACCAATAGTGTCATCAGACAGGTTTGACACATCGGCTTTGATATATCGAAGAAAATCTTCGGCGTCTTGATAATTCCAAACTCGTCTCCCCAAGAAAGTTGTTCTTTCCTGTGGCATTTTACTACAACTTCCAGTATGATTCGCAGGCCCTGACAATAAAATTACAATATCAACATCTGAAGAAAATACGGGGGAAACCATGATGTTTACACTTGTAAATGCCGTCTTCAAAAGTTCATAACGTTTGGCTACTACTGAGTTGCTTGGGTATGTTAAATCTTGATTTTTGTCGAAAAATACTGTAAGATTGTCTCCACCAATTTTAACACCATTTTTCAAGAAGTTCCCAATAACAGAATAATCGACATTATCAGAAGAAGCCCTCGATTCAAATTTCGTGAAAGACAATCTGCCTCCCTTGGACAAATATTGTAAGTATAGGACAGGAGTAATCTCGTAATTGTTTATATTGCAGATATCATTGCTGCCGGTTACTTGAATGCCTGCTTCAAACGGTGTGTGTTTAGCAATCCCCGTCTCTACAAGAGATACAAGACTCTTTTTGTTCAATTTCCTTAAAGCTGCGAATCTCTCAGTTAATTGCCGACCAACAATCCGTTCTAGTCTTCGCCTTTCTGCCTCTGGATCAAAATTTTTGGGTTTGGAACGAACAAGCAGACCATCTGTGTTATTTTTTTTCCACATGCCATCATTTCTGATTGATGAGCCTTCTTGCGTCAGCTGCATTTTCCTTATGGATGAAAGCTCTTGCTCGACGTCGAATGCGTCAGAGGAGCAATCAGACACAGCACTAGACAACCCGTCCGTTTCATTATCAGCGTCAGATTCAAGTAGTCCAACAAACTCCAACTTTGAAGAATGCGTTTCAGCTTGAACTGATGGTTTTTGAGTTGTTTTGATCTTATTGAGAACTTGAATGTTTACAACTCGTTCTTTCAATCTTCTAGAAATAGTCGGTTCTGTGTTTGACCGTCTACTCTTCCAAGATGATGTTCGAACGTTTCCTCTCAGAACATTAGGCTTCGACTTTACTGATGATTTTTGTCCTAGTAATCGTGTTTGAAATCCAGTTAAATGTGACGCCTGGTTAGGTTTGATCTGTTTTTGGGATTGATTGATCGATGATGAGAATTTTCCAACAGACATGCTTTTTGATTCAGAGCTAGACGACTCGACCACAATCGTATCTTTAAAGCTTTTGGGAACCATTTTTTTACTTACAAGTGGCACATTATCTTTATCCTCTAAAATCTTTCCAACTGCTGGATTCTTGCGCTTCAGGGACACATCTACGCGGGGCCTTTTAGGAGAGGTAGAGTATGTGCTGAGACTGCGCTTCCGTCCCTCTTGTGAGCTATTCTTCTCTTGTTCAGGTTTACGGGGATTATTTTGTCCTTTCTGAGGGTCCGACTTACCGTTCGACTGAGCAATGGTATTCGAGAAATCAGTAGGCATATGGCTTTGGTTAGAGGGCTCCTGAGATAACCCACTTCTCGTTTCTGTATCTCCATTTTCTATCTTTGAACGGCCTGGAATATTCGCTTGAGACTGTACGATAACACTAGGCGACTCTTCAGGTGAATTTGAGCTTTTTGCAGATTCGTTTTCGTTTTGTTTGTTTTCGCATCTAACGATGGCATTCTCTGTTGAGCTTACACTATCAACAGTGAATCGAGAAAATGAATCTTGCCGTATTTCATTGACCTTATTTGCTTGAAAATATGCATCACCCTTTGCATGGAGTCCATCAGTTGATTGAGAGGAAGAGACTTCATTTAAGGACCCTCTCGGCTGAGATCCCAAGTCTTTCGGAGGATTATTTGAAGTATTTCTCTCAATTTGCTTCTGCGATCCCAAGTCCTTAGGAGGATTGTTTGAACGATTTCTCTCAATTTGCTTCTGCGATCCCAAGTCCTTAGGAGGATTGTTTGAAGGATTTCTCTCAATTTGATTCCGCGATCTTTTTAAGTCGTTATCAAATGTTTTCTCTTCTCCTTGTATCAAGCCATTGCGCTTATGCAAACCCTGTGAGTTAAAGACAGAGTGAATTAAAACTAATTCTCTCCTGTTCGGTAGACGCTCATCTTTAGAATTTATCTTTGAAAAGAAACCGTTTGAGTCACTATTCAGGCCTTTAGCTTGATAAGGTACTGTTTGGCTCTCGCTAACAGTGTTGTTACGTCTGTTGAGTGGATACTCGATCAATTTTGGGGACCTATAGATTTCAGCTACTTCACCTTGACCCTCTTTGACAGTTTTTAATTCATCTTTACCATTCACGTTTACCAGATGAACTTGTTTGAAAGTGACATTAGTTGGCTTGCCATTTCTCGTAGTACTTGACGGTGAAAGGACTTCACTTCTTTGTGATGGTGCTGATAAAAGTGGGAGATGATTGAATACCCCATTTTTGATTATAAATTTGGTAGCATCACCTGTACCATTATTGCGAGTGAGTTTTTCTAAACGTCCGGCACTAGAACTCTCGCATTGAGGCGTGGTAGTTATTGGCTTTACTCGAAAGCTGGTATCTGGAACAAGATTCGTGTTTATTCCGTTGCTGGTAGTCGCAATTCTTTCTCGATTCCCGTGAGAGGTACTTAACGAATTGAATCGTGTATTCTGTCCTTGGTTTGCGCTTTCAGTATTGAGAATCGAAATTTCGCGTGATGCTTTATCATAACCCGAATGATTATCAGGGGCAAGATCGTTCTTAGGCTTTACATTTCGCGAAATCTCTTTAATTGCCGTATGCAACTCATTCATTGCGGAGATAATATTTGAAGTATGATTTTCATGTGTTGAACGTGGAGTGGGGCTTGATTGCTCGCTTGCGACATGTTTCATTGGAACTGACTCCTTAAGTAATCGGGAAACCTCGTTATGAAAGCTGGTATCAGATTCAGATGCGGTGTTGTTGGTAGAATTCTTTGGTATACTTGTTGCTTGTCTCCGTTGTTCTTCGCTAATTTTTTTATATTCAATGCCTCCATTGTTTGCACCTGGCGTGCTTGATTTAGCATTTTTTAATTTGAGTAGCATAAGGAGGCGATTTCTTTCAGATCCTTGTTCGGAACTGGCGGTTGATGGAGAAGGTGTTGAGGTCTTTCTAAAATCGCCAAGTGAAGATTTTGTGGGCGTAGACTTAAACAACGGAATTTTTATTGGATCCACCTGCCTCTGTAGATTCGGAGCCGGACCACTCCCGCTATTACGTTCTGCGGATGAGCTTCCAGCACTAGGCATTGATTTCTTTTGCAAAATGGCGTTCTAAGGTGGTTTATTAATTCCTGTTTAATTTGATAGAATGCTAGAGGGGGTTGTGGCCATCTAGTGTTTCCAGAAAGTTGTTACATTCGTTTAATATGACCTTGATCGCCTGGCGCGCAACGACGAATACTATAGCCGTGTAATCAGGCTTTTAAAGATTTTCTTGACTGCTATAAAGAATACAGCTATAGAGTTTCTAATTACTGGAGCAAGTGTCGGTTTCTTCAAGCGCGACCTTTCCATCAGTCTAGGCTTGACCTAGACATTTCAAGATGGAAGTACAGACAGTCTGTGGTGGTTGAGAAGCGTCGACGCCAGCCCAGATACCAGTCTTCTTGTAAAAGTCCACAATAGGCTCGGTCTGTTGGTGGTAGGCAGCCAATCTCTTCTTCAAAGCATCGGCATTGTCGTCAGATCTTTGGACTAGAGGCTCGCCAGTAACATCATCGGTCATCTCCTTCTTTGGTGGGTTGAAGATCTTATGATAGGATCTACCAGATGCTGGATGAACCAATCTACCGGTGATTCTAGAGACCAATAGTTCGTCGTCGACCTGCAACTCAACAGCCTTTTGTAAAGGAGTGCCTCTTTCAGCCAACATTTGGTCCAATTTCTCTGCTTGAGGGATGGTTCTTGGGAAACCGTCCAAGATGAAACCGTTTTTGCAGGCTGGATTGGTGGTCAATTCGTTTTTGATCATGTTGACCATGATGTCGTCAGACACTAGACCACCTTGGTCCATGATCTTCTTAGCCTCTAGACCTAGAGCGGTCTTTTGGGCGACTTGTGATCTAAGCATATCACCAGTAGCCAGGTGGCAGACCTTGAAACGCTCCACCAAGTTTGGAGCTTGTGTACCCTTACCGGCACCTGGAGGGCCGATAAGAACCATTCTGATGGATTCTGGGACAGTCTGGGAGCTTTCTTGAGCCATTTTTCGATTAGATAACCTTCAATATCGCTTGGTCTAGGGGTATGAGTTACAGCGCTCACTCTTTTTTCGTTGAAGCGTCAAATTTTTTTCCACATCACGCGGCCTTCGCCGGACGTAATTGGCTGATGCTATTTGAGGTGCTTCCTTATCATCACGTGACATTGTACCTCTTTCCTGGTCATGTGACGAATGGTTACCCTCTCGAGCCCGCCCTTCCAATACGTCGTTTTTACGTCGCTTTACCGGGGGGCATGGCAGATGCTGACAACTGCTAGCCGCCCAGCCTTCTTTCTTTCCTCAAGGCCCACTGCTGATCAACAAGTAGTTATAGGAACGCTAAATTTACCTCAATACTGGTGAGATTCCCATGCTAACTCATCTAAGCCCAGAAAGGTACCGTTTGCGGTGCCAAGACTAATGATCTTCACGATACGCAAGAACCTCAAACACCTCCGCAAAAAGACTTGGGGAAATATCTCCTTTGAAATCTCAAGGGAATTATCTCTGCAAATTGTAAAAATGCTTAATTCTATGTCATCGGGAAATATCTGAGCTATCTCTCATACTGATTGAAATACCGTTGTCATTTTTGTGTTTTGCTCCGATCCTTACTTATTGGTTAAAATAGCAAACTTTGTGCTGAAAAATACTTTTCCATACATGAAATAAGGTAAACACCGAAAACATGAAACCTGCACGTGACCACGTGAAACTTTTTTAGTCTTCTCTTAAATTGCTAAGGGGTCCCAATAATCCGATACCTTCTCTAGAGGTGGTCAGAACGCATCAATGGTGCTAGGTTTGAAGAAGAAACAGCACAGAGTGCCTGATTTGTCTCGCTATGATTACTATTACGAAAATGAAAGGGATGTAAACAGGAGTCACCGTTTGTCGGCAGCCGCAGCAGCTGCAGCGGGGCGAAGCCACTCAATGGTTCATGGACCTACCCGAACCATGCAGGCGCGAACCAGCGTACAACCTTATCGAAGTTACAGCCTGCGACCTCATAGTGCTGCTGGAGTGTCTCGCACTCAGGGTCCTGAGCGACTGAACTCCTTTACACAGCGACGTGGCCCAACATCGCGGTCAAATTCCATGGCTAGCAACCCTGCATCCATCACAGTGAAAACTACTGAGGTTAAGGATCTGCAGGGTAGAACGCGTTCCATCACGAAACAAACCGTCCGCCGGATCAACGGCTATGAGTACGTTGAAACAACCACGACAACAACAACTGCTGCTCCCGCGCAAGACCCAGAGAAGCACTTTGACGAATTCACAACAGATTTTACCGACGACCTATCCTTTCAAGATCAACAAAGTGGCCAACGTCAACACTCATTAGTAGGGTCTCCTCCACTGGTGAATATGAACTCTTTTAGTACAACGAGCAAACTTGATGTCGAGGAGGATGAGGACGATAATGCGGAGTTCAGCGACGCCATGGATTATCTACCACCAGAAAGGCGTTCAACCCGAAAAATCAAGGCGAAAAAGGCTACAAAGGACCTCACTCGGCAGCGCAAACCTCTGAACGATCAAGAGATGTATGCAAAGGCGCTTGAAGCTGCCAAGAAAAAAGTTTATGGGGAGAGGAACCCAGAAGCAGCGGTGTCGGCTCCAACTTCGGGCCCCAATCCGGTGGCTAGGATGACCAGTCTGCGCGACCCTCCTCCTAACGCATCTACTGGTACAGCACAAACTGGTGGCACCAGAAAATCAAGGAGTCTCAGTAGGAGTATATCACAGAAGCTCTTTAAACATCCTCCAAACGAGCCACAGTCTATTGAAAGCGTTGAAAATGCAGCGCACTCGTCAGATGTACCACATCGAATGACTGATGACGAAATGTATGCGAAGGCATTGGAGATTGCGCGCAAAAAATATGCTGCACAACAGGAGCCTCCTCTTCAACCAAACCTAGTTAATACGATTGTGGAAGAACCAGAAGATGTTGTCACTGCTGATATTGAACCTACAGATCACAAAAACGAAACTTTTGCCAGTCCGCACATGCCCTCTTTTGCCGCTGCAGGGACTTCTTCAACGGCTGCCATACCAACAAGAAACGCTATTGAAGAAGACGGTGTAAAGACCTCACCCAAGAAAAAGTTCAAAAGCTTTTTTAGCAAGGTTGTTCAATTTAGCCAAGAGAATTACGGTTATCAACCAAAGAAGGATTCAACTGCAGTAAATAATAACATGGGCGAAGTCAAAGAGCCGGACATGATGCATAAGAAAAAAGTCGTTGGGCATTCAAATGGCACTGTGGCCACTGGTACTCACGGATTTGAAGGAATCGGGGAAGAGCGTGTATTATCCAATTCAAGTCCCCCTTCCGCTCCCGTAACAGCTTCTGGACCTGTCTCCTCGTCAATTCCTACCTCTGCCTCGCTGAACTCTCAAGCCAATATGTCTCGTCAAAGCAGCTACGTGCCAAATACTGGAAGCGTTCACACACCTGTCGCTAATGATTCGCGCTTGAGTGGATCTTCTTACTCACCGGAGAGTCCGGAAATCACCTCATCTTTCGTTGCTCCAAAACAGCACTTCGCACACAGCTCTAGGACGAATTCGAGCGTCAAAAGCAATTCTAGAAATACAGCTTCTTCGAAGCATAGCATGCGCGAGTCGCTTCGAGACGAAGAGCCTGCTATGCACACTACTGTTGTTCAGGGGGTAGCTACTGTTACCAAGATTGAGCCGACGTCTCCAGTTGTAAATGGTCTAGTTTTGGAAGGAGGGCAAGCAGTCCCCGAAACTCCTATGTCAGAAGTTAGTGATTCACGATTTACTACCGCATCTCCAGTTCCTGAAGAATCTCCTGAAACATCAAGGAATGGAACGAAAAAGCCTACCGCGAAACCAAAGAAGAAAACATTGCTCTCGAGAATTTTCAAACGCTCTTAGCAAACTTCACTAATCTACATATACTAAACTGTAATAATACCGTAATTGAGCGTTGAGCGTCACAATCGCAGTAAGGAGGGGTAAACCATTATTTGTCTCCCGTGTTGTACCAAAAATTCAACAGGCTATCAACACTGACAGAAACTTGACGCTCGCGCGTAACATTTTCCTTATAATGACGTTAAACACGTGACATTTTACCTAATATACATATACCCAAAGACTATACCTATTAATGACTTACAACTCCTGAGAGGCCTTAGTTGGCTTACCGGACTTCTTTGGTAGCAAGTTTTGGTGAATGTTAGGCAAGACACCACCTTGAGCAATAGTAACATTACCTAGCAACTTGTTCAATTCATCATCGTTTCTGATGGCCAATTGTAAGTGACGAGGGATGATTCTGGTCTTCTTGTTGTCTCTGGCAGCGTTACCAGCCAATTCTAGAATTTCTGCGGCTAAATATTCCAACACGGCGGTCAAGTACACTGGGGCACCAGAACCAATTCTTTGAGCGTAGTTACCTTTTCTCAACAATCTGTGAACTCTACCGACTGGGAAAGTCAAACCAGCCTTGGCAGATCTTGATTGAGAAGCCTTAGCAGCAGAACCAGCTTTACCACCTTTTCCAGACATTGTTATTAATTTATAATGGGTTTTGAATTGTATGAATTATACTTAGTTCAAGTAGGTTCATTTGCGTATCAGTGAAAAATCCTTGCCCTTTAAATACATTTTGCCCCTAGCAGCGAATACAGTACTAGGATATGGTATATTCTACGGCACTGGGCTCTCCATCCCGTATTCCCACTCCCTAATGTTTGCCACTGAGATTAATGCCTAGAAACGTACGGGGACGCCTTCGTAACCGGATTGCAATATTTCGTGGTTGGGCGCGGGTGTACAGATTTCGTGCTGTTATGTTCGCGCGCGGTGTGTAAAAACTGGAACGTTAATCTTGTGCTCCGTTTACTTGCCAGAAATTCATTTTTGTGGACAACGCGGTTCTTCTCTTCACTATGGTGCGACGGCCCGATTACCGCAAACGGGAATTTTCGCGACGTAGCGGTCTGAACATTTCGCGCGCGCATCGCAACATGCGCGAACATCCTGGTCCGCGAAAAAATCCAGGTGGCGTCATGAAATAGAGCTGGAACGCCTAAGCAAGAGTATATAAGGGGCATGCGCCATCGGCACAAATGCGGTAGTTAGTGTGTTTAGCAAGAGCTGTAAACCAAGTTTTCCAGTTAATTCAAACTCAAATACTCAGATATGTCCGCCAAAGCCGAGAAGAAGCCTGCCTCCAAGGCCCCAGCTGAAAAGAAGCCAGCTGCCAAGAAGACTGCCTCCAGCATGGACAGCAACAAGAAGAGAGTTAAGGCCAGAAAGGAAACTTACTCTTCTTACATTTACAAGGTGTTGAAGCAAACCCATCCAGACACTGGTATTTCTCAAAAATCTATGTCGATTTTGAACTCTTTCGTCAACGATATTTTTGAAAGAATTGCCACTGAGGCTTCCAAGCTAGCTGCTTACAACAAGAAGTCCACCATTTCTGCTAGAGAAATCCAAACTGCGGTTAGATTGATCTTGCCAGGTGAATTGGCCAAGCACGCCGTTTCTGAAGGTACCAGAGCTGTGACCAAGTACTCTTCTTCGACTCAAGCTTAAATTGTTTTAGACTATGTAATGGGAATACGTTGTATAATAGAAAGATCATGGGTTTGATGCAAACGCGAAATCTTGAATCTGAGTCGGATGTCGATCAATAACGCGATGCTCACTCAACACGTCGGGTTGAACCAATTTAGCAACGCTTCTAAAATGTTGTAGAATTGTGAGGATGGTGAGCATACGCTAGGTTGTTTCCCCATGTCGATGGGAAGGTTTATAGCAGACAATTTGTTACACTACAGTTTAAATTGTAACAACATTCGTAATGGTTTAATGTTTATTGTGCATCTCTCTGATGAAATACTTTTCACCATGACAATTCAAAGTCAAGAACCAAAAGTTAGGTTCGAAATATAAATACAAAAAAAAAGTAGATTCCACCAAACTTGAATTACAATTACGTGATTTGAAATAAACAACGCAAATAGAGTAATACTGCTCAAACTCTCTTTACATAAAATAAATCCTAATAGCATCATTTAAGGTTATTGTGGTGGATGGAACGTTAGAGGCACGTGACCAGATGATTTGTGTGTCAAGGATTTTCTTGTTTTTACTAATAGAACATTCTCTCATTGGTCAAAAATTATCCCCGTTTTGGAAGCCGCGCCAGGCCGCTCCCTGTAATTTATGCGGCTTCTGTATAAAAAGTTTCGATCATCTCTGGTAAATTGCATCTCCTTGAAACAATACGGCTTGCAAGACAGTTGCGAACACAGGGCAGATCTACATTTTGAACACTTGTCAGAATCAGTGACAGAAGTGATCAAAAAAGTATAGGAACAGGGTGAAATATTTTTCGCGCATAGTGCAAAGTTGGGCCCCTAAGATTCCCTTTGGATATTACAGGTAACACAGAAAAAACAACAACCGACACACCGATATAATAATGTCTATTGTGGCAATAAAAAATGCTGTGGTGAAATTGGTGTCTAAGAAAGCTGATAGCGCACCTTTGCTAACGAATGAGGCACCAGTTGGCAATTCTTATGGATCCTCTGGCAGCAACTTTCATCATGAAGACGAGGAAACTGGAAAATACGAGGACAATGATGACGAAGGTAAAACCGGCATTTTTGGCAAAGTAGACCCCAGGCTGATGAGCGATATGATCATCGGGTTGAGCGACGGGCTCACGGTTCCGTTCGCTTTGACCGCCGGGCTATCGTCGCTGGGTGACTCCAAGCTTGTGATTACAGGTGGATTAGCCGAGTTGATCTCGGGAGCCATCTCGATGGGGCTGGGTGGCTATCTGGGTGCCAAGAGTGAATCCGACTATTATCACGCTGAAGTAAAGCAAGAGAAGCGTAAGTTTTATAATAATATGAATTTGATAAACCATGAAATTGAAGACATTCTACTGGAAATAAATCCTGATTTTTCGGATGAAACTATAGTGTCATTTATTAAGGACCTCCAAAAGACTCCAGAATTGATGGTTGACTTTATAATCAAGTATGGTCGTGGTTTGGAGGAACCTGCAGAGAATAGGCAGTTCGTTAGCGCTGTGACCATTGGAGGAGGATATTTTGGCGGTGGATTTGTGCCGTTGATTCCTTACTTCTTTGTCGAGAAGGTGGGTACAGGACTATTACTTTCGACGATATTGATGTCAATTACCTTATTCTGGTTCGGTTACCTGAAAACCTCCATTTCTATGAGTGACAATTGTACTCTGGGCAAAAAAATAAGCGAAGGCTTTCAAATGCTTGCAGTCGGTGGTGCGGCAGCAGGTGCTGCATGGTTCATGGTTAGGGTCATTGATCAGTGAATAACTGGTGTGGCATTTTTGATGATTTCCGTCCATTATTCTTCTGATGCTGTATAATATATAATTACAAACTATAGTGCAAAGTATTCATTGTTTAGGCTCTACAATTGTCTTAAGTGAGTCGACATCGAACATGTTGGCACCGTCCTTGAGAACGTTAGCTAGTAACACGAGTGATTTGGCCGTGAAGTCTGGAGCTTTTCGTAATGAATTAACATCTTCTCCGTAATGGTTGAAAAGGACATTAAGGTAGGCATTTTTTAGTTCATTTCCATCCTTTACCAAACTGACTTTTTCCTTGGCCTCTTCAATATCATGTTGTACTTTTTTTAGATCAATGCTATTGACGTTATTTCCAGCCCTTTTCGAAAGTTCTGTATTTGTCAAAGGTATTTGATTCAATCTGTTCCTTGTTTCATCGTCTAGTCTCTCTGACGTTACCTTTTGGGCATCATCTTCCTCCGACATTTCGATATCTGATAGTTCAATATTATCCTCATTTTCTTTGGCATCTGCTTCCATCTCAGACTCAGAAGCTGAGGAAGATGAAGAAGATGAGGAAGAATCAGAATCACTAATATCAGCGGTTCTTCTCTTTTTACTTCTTCTCGTCCTCTTATTACTGGCTTGCAATGACATACAATCTTATACTCTTTAACCGAAGTAGATTACAATGCTCATCTCTTCCATCTTAACAATTTTTTCACACCGAGAAAAGAAAGCATCATCAGCACGTGATAATGCCACTATTAAAATACAGAATCTGCCTTCTCAACTTATATGATACTTACAGTAGATTATCCATTTCTGCCAATGAATAATCTAAAATATAACTCTGCTCTACAAGATTATCAATTCTAGAGTAGTGTCTTTGTGTGTATGGGACAAGTGCATCGACAATTTGCATCATACCAGGAATTTCAGTCAGTTCAGCAATGTTATGACGAACCAAAACACATCTGATCGTTTTTTGGGCCACTGCGTGTGTTGATGCATTAGTATTCCAGTCTCTACACCTTTTCAATAGCAATAAAACTTGATCGTTGTCTAAAGTTCCAATGACAGCGTCCATCTCTTCATTGAAGATATGATCTGGAGACGAATTCGATGCACATTGTTTCAAAACATTGTATAACCTCATTGGATGATCTAAGGTCATCGCCAATAAAAACGCATTAGTCCAATCGCCTTGAGATAAGTAGTTTTTCAGCGCTTGCTCATTCTCGATCTTGGCTTTCTCTTTTTCTAGATTAAGTAATTCCTTTTCCTCACTGCAATCCTTCCAAAATTGGAATACACCATCTGCATCTGCTGAGACTAATTGGTCACCGTCATTTAAGACACCTAAAGCCCAGATTCTATTGGAATGAGCATCTAATGTTCCTACACATTCACCCGTAGAACAATCCCATAACTTTATCAAGCCATCTGCCCCCGAACTTACAATCTGTTTATTTTTGTTTAGGAAGGAACACCTCTGAACGGCATTTGTATGACCTTCAAGGGTCTTGACCACAGAGAAGTTATCCAAGGACCATATCTTAATTGTTTTGTCACCAGAACACGTAGCGAGCAGTTTATCATACTGGCAGAACGATACATCCCATAGCCCCCGTTTATGATTTGCTAGTACTCCTTCCAATTCACCGGTATCCAAGTTCCAAATTTTGCATGTTTTATCATAGGACGCGGTAGCAAAAACTGATTCATTTGGAGATATAGAAAGTGCATTTATGTCTTTTTCATGTGCTCTACGTGTATAATCAGAGGCTTTCACAATATGAATTCCTCCAACATCTGTCGGTTTTGGAACAGCCCACTTCTTAATTGTCAGATCATTGGAGGCAGTAATTAAGTATTCCGGCCATTCGCGATGCATCACATTTGGAAGACCTACAGCAGTAACCGATCCTGCATGTCCAATAAATTTTGCGTAGGGCTCGAATGTTTTTGACTCGACGTTAAAATTCCAAAGGATGGCAGTGTGATCTTTGGAAGCCGTTGCAACCCATAGACCATCTGCAGTGGCATCTAAAGAATTCAACAAGTCCGAATGTCCTTCATACAACTCAACTTCAACGCAAATTTCATTCTGTGGCTCTTCCGATGTTTTTTGATCCTTTGCAGCAAAATCACATGTAGGAATCACCCGCAATGCAGGGGAGTTAGTAGCAAGGGCTAGTTTGGTTAAAGCAGGCCCAACAAATCTCATGTCAGCAATTGTGCCGTGATTTCCAGCGATTTTCAGCTTTATGTCAATAATTTCACTTTCACTAGCAAGTGTCTCTTGAATGTCGATCAAAAATAGTGTTTGATCTGACAGAACAAGGAACATTTTACTCGAGTTCAAAAAAGGGAGTACACCTATTATGAAAAGCTCTTCGACAGGCTTCGCTGTTCGTTTAATGATAGCTCCGTTCTCGATATTTAAAATTTGGTACACCGCGTCCCCTCCGGCTGTATAAATTAGATCATTATGATTCCCACCTCTGACAAACCCACACGATTCAATTTGCTGATGAGCTGGCAAAGTCTTCAGTAATTTCACTTTTTTGCTGGTATTTAATTGATAAAGGTTTACTATATCGTCCCTTCCTCCCGACAAAAGTTGAATGTTGTCTTTGTATTCACGAAAATCCAAACCTCTAACGGCCGCAGTGTGCTCTTGGATAGTATGCAAACACTTTCTTTTCACCAGATCCCAAATTTTGACCATACCGGTAGTATCCCCAGATCCTAATCTCCACTTGTCGCTGTTTAATTCGCCATGGAACTTTAAACTCGAAATCGTGGCACCGTGTCCTTTAAATGAATGCGTAACGTATCCATTTTCAATATCTATCACACTCACACTACCATCAGTACCACCTAATGCTAGAAGAGTTGAAGTTTCGTCGCAGTCCACGACATAAATCGGTGACGAGACCTTCATCGACCTCACAATCTTTTTCGAGGCAAGGTGATAAATTCTAAGTAATTGCGCCTGCGAAACGTAGCCCAGGTATTCGCCATTTGGGGTAAGCTTTAATGCTGTAATCTCTTGCTCATCATCATTCTCAATCTTATGAGCTATATTGCATGGTGAAGCCAATTGCACTATATTAATCTCATCGACCACTGCAGTAGCGAGCAATGAACCGTCTTCGGATATAGATGCAACTGCACCACTACTAGCATAAAATGGTTTTAGCTCGATATTTGAATAATCTAACCTCAGATCCATCTAGATAGCCCTTGGAAGGTGTTTCTGTCGCAATTTAATTCTGAGGTCCCAAGCGATGAGCTCTTCAAAACTTTTCATTTTTTTTTCCGTAGTGTGAAAAAGAAAAACTCGTACAAGAGTACACATGATATCGTTACGCTCAAGCTAGTGCTGTATCATTGCTCAAGAATAATTACCTATATGTTTAATATCATGCTAATACTTATGCTCCTACTAATGTCAAAACAGTAATACGAACGAAATAAACCGATTTGCCTTCAAAAGATAAGCAAATCTCCCCAATAACATTTATACAAAAGTTGCCAATAAAGCTTTCCGATATTACTGTAGTATATCATTAAACTCAATGAGTGAGCCATTTGAAGTCCCAATAATTTGATCCAGATCTGCCAATGCGCTTTCACTGAACAAACCACTCTTCGTAAACCGGAGATTTTCAGCTGCCGCTTCCACGATACTCTGCCTTCTCCGCCACACTGCCCCAGTTGTCATGCTTTTACCGTCAAGTGTGTCAATATTCACTGGAGCAGTTAGAGAAGCCAAGATATCTGCATCTTCATTTTCCAACAGATCAATGCCATTTTCAACATGTGGAATTAAATCAGTATCACCGCGATTGAGAAGATTATTGATGGCATCAAGATCGAAGCCCTTGATCGAATCTTTCCTTGGCAAGACCAAAGCGGCTGGATTTTCAGGTTCATGCTGGGATGATAGGCTTAGTAAAGTGTTACTTGCTGGTGTGTCACCTTCTTTCGCAGTAACCACATCCCCATTCAAAGCTCTCTCTTTCTCCAACCTCTCTCGTTCTCTTTTTAACTTCAATAACTTTTTTTTCTTCTTAAATTTCCTTCTCTCTTCATTCTTTTTCTTCTGTAGCTCTTTCATTCTATCAATCTTCCGCCTAGTTCTCTCACTGCCAACATAACCAATAGGAAATTTTCTTGCAGAGAAAACTGGCACCATATATTCTTCATCTTGACTAACATCAATTCCCTTGTTTCTAAAAGCCGATAACGGAACTTTGGGCTTGTCATACCATTCAGAAACAGCAATTTCACTATTTACCGCCGCCTTAGGGCCTTCATCATCCTCTAATTCACTCATATTCAACAATTCATTCAATGTTAGCTCCTCTTTCTCACCGCCGGCACTCAAGTCGCTCATTGGTAGTTGTTGCTGTTGCAATTGCTGTTCCAATATCTGCTGCTCCTGCAATAATGGATATAGGGATTTCGTAGAAAGGCCATCTATGATACTAAAGGGTTTATTATCCGTTTCCCAAGTACCTAGCTTAGGAGGCTTCAGGCCTACAACATTTGCACTCACGACTTCCTTAGCCTTTGACCCAATCTTTTTACCGCGAGAGTTGGGAGGCGGTAAGGTTTCATCCTCATCAGTCGACTCATCATCAACATATATCACTGTTTCCATATCTGCGACTTCATTTGGCTTGTTTTCCTTTTTCTCACCTCTGGAATCATCGTGCGATCCACCAATATCACTATCACTCTCTGAACTTTCATATTGAAAATAGAAGGAGTCAGGATCTAAATCATCGATATCGATAAAAACGTTAGACATACTGACATCGTCATCGTCATAGTCCTCGTCATCTAAATCAATTTCACCTCCAATTCCATCCAAACTCTCATCATCTGTAGGTATGTGTGCAATATCCAAAAGAATGTTCTCATACTCTTCATCAGTAGAATAATCGGTGTTTGAAGGAGCAGCAGAACCAAGCTGTCGCAATTGTGATTCCAACTCTTGGTTGTGATCTTTCCCATCATCACTGTGGAAAAAAACACTGAATAGATAATCCTCGCCTTCCACATCAGTGGCTGCGGCATGGTCTCTCTTTCTCTTCCTCAAACTTTTCAACTGTTTCCTCCTTTTTGCTAGCTCCTCACGCTCGCGTCTTTTAGTTTGTTTCTTATCCAGTTTTTTTCTCTTTTCGTCATTCAATATTAAGGGTAATGAAGTGCTTAGCGACAGTGGCTGATCACTACCAGCACAGTAATAAAGATTGGCAAATTTGGGATCCTCATAAAATGGCATATCAAGGTCACTCATTATATCGTCTTCCTCTTCGTCGTAATCGTCTACGCTTTGATTATCACCAGCTTTCATTTTGCCATTCTGAGCAGCTTCAACGGGATCTTCACCTTCCTCATGTATACTACCGTCAAAAGACAAATCATCAGCATTTTCCAATTCCATTACAATATTTTGCTCTTCTTCGTCGAGAATGGGCAAATCGTCTTCTCCTGTTTCTAATCCTGTTTCGAAACCAGTGACATTTTCATTATCCGATTCTATTGTCTTGAAGTATGCATCGCGGTCAATGTCATAGTCAGAATCTTCGCTTTCCGATATTTGAGGCACGTTCAACTGATCTACATGGTTGGACTTCAAAGCCACCGATTTATTTGCTCTACGCTCATCTGCAACTTCTTCCCCAAGATCCTCGTCACTTACTTCTTCACTACTAACATGTCCAAAACGAATGCCATCATCTTTCTTGAAATTGAAGGCCATGGCATCATCATCAGAACCGTCAGAGTTTGAATGCTCAGTTTTGACCTTCGACTCTTTCTTCGATAGGGTATCTGTTTTTTTGGGAGACTTTCCTCTCTTCAAGGCGGTCATTGCCTGCATGGCCCTTTTCTTTCTCTCAGCACTCAATTTAACTAAGTCTACATCATCGTCAGAGCTCGAAGATGAGCTCGAATAACCATTGGGGTCATCGTTATCGTCGTCGTCGTCATCATCGTCATCATTTTCGCCGCTATCACTAGCTGTGCTATAGGCAGAGGAACCTTCGTCTGAATCGAAGACAGACCCATGTATCAGTTTTCCAGTTTTACCCATTTCGTTACTAACGCCACGTTTGGCCTTTCTTGTGAGTTTGGGGTTTTTGAATCCCAGCTTTTTCTTATTTTCCAAATCTGATAGGGCACTCAAAGACGAGTCGGATGAATATATAAGACTAAACCTTCTCGGCCTTGCGTGCGTTCCTGTTTTCGACAGCACGGGGGCTGCTTTACCACCCAAGCTTCTGTGTTTCAGCCGCTTCAAATTTGATGGCTGCTTGCCGGCAACTTCGGATTTTCGAGGACTTTTGCCGGCCATGTTTCCTTAGTCCAATTTGTACGTCTAGTTTCACTTCTAGGTGTTCTTCCAGTCTTATCTAAGGATTTAGAGGCTCGCGTATTATAATCTTTCGATCAAGAACTCAAATCCGGATACCTGACAAGGGAAAAACTTCTTGAATCGAAATATGATAAACTCAACGTTAATTTCAAATCCCTTTAATAGCGCAGTCACTCTTAATAGCTAGTACCGTACCGAAAATCGCTATATATTGGGGTGTATCAATTACCAATTATGCTTATACAAAAAAATAAAAAGGGCTCTTCGCTTTAAAATTTTTTTGCTTGAAATCAGGTCTCATCGCCCATTTCTTTTTGGTATGTTTTTTTTTTCAGACACACTTGGCACGGAAGGACACTGACGATAGCACGTGACGTATTGCAATACATCTCAAGTGATAAATGTGGATTCAATAATAGCTATGCCGTCTTCATCAGCTAACCTGGTTCGTTGACAATATTGATAAATACAGGGCTTCAGACCTGCAATATTTTCAACCGTGGATTTCACGATACGGGGCAATTCGCTCAAAATATCGTATTTGTTCACCATACGTAAACGATCTTCAACAAGAAAATTAGTATGGCCAAGTGGCATTCGGATAGCGGTTGGATAATCCCACTTGTTCTTAGCATCGTTAGCAGTTGCAAGAAACGTGACATGTTTATTTGTAGGCACAGAACTTGCGTATACGGTTGGTGATTCGTTCCGACTGCCAAATATGCTTATGGTCACAGTGACGCTGCCAAAATCTGGAGGCGTCGTGTATTCCATGCAGATACCGCAGTTGTTCTGAGTTTGAATCACTGCAAAGTTCCATCTACACGCTGCTTTGATTGGATTGAGGGTGTGAAGAGCACCAATCAGTATCGAGGGAACACCTTGTAGATGTATTTCCGTCAATTGGCCGTTCTTGATATATTTGAGAGTACCGTCGCAAATAGCTTGCGGTACAAACACATGCCGTAGGCGTTTTTTTGACTCTTGGGGAGTTTTCGAAGGCTTATTAGAAAAGTAACTACATCCATCTGGCCCAATTTGGATACTCATCCCAAGCTTGACATGCAAATTGATATGCAGTAAACGGGATTCTCCTGCCGTGGAAAGCGTACTTACAATTGATAAGGTTGTACCAGCACTTGTAGATTCTTTGAACTCAAAAGTGACGTTTTTGGATTGTAATTTCAAATCAGTGAATAACTCAATTCCGTCAAGTTTAAAGCTTTCCCAAGTATCAAGCTCCTTTTTATCATCGTCACTGCAACATATTTTGAAATTCAATTGGAACGTCTGATATAATCCCTTCATGACAGAGGAGTAGAGCAACTGAATAAATCCGCATTTGCCGCTATTTAAATCTGTAAAATACAAAGTCTGCGTTTCGACCACACTATGCTTGTTTTTCACAAAAATACCAATGCCCCTGCTGATAACCTTCTGAGGCTTCTGCTTTGAAACTTCGGATAGTTTTTGCTGTGTAAACATTTCGCTTGATTGCCATTTTAGGTTTGAAACGCCATCCGCTTGTATATAATTCGGCTGTTGTGACGATACCTCTTGAACAGGTCTGAACTTTGATGGTTTTTGCATCTTTGAAGGACGTCTCAATAGTTGAAGAAAATAGAAGTTCTATTACTTAAAAAACTAACCTAGGTATATGAAACTTTTGGCGGCAAAATGCAACCACAAAAACCCTTCCGAAAAACACCCTGCGAACAGGTTCTTTCCGGGAAATGCTTTAAAACCATGCAGGATACTCATAATTAAAGCTGGAGGTACAACCAAGTGGGCCATCAATCTCAAAAACGTAATGGCATCTGGTTGGTTCGTAAACGTTCCGGAGTTTGAATGTATCCGAGCACCTGAAAGACACTTGCGCCGATCTCGCAGGGCCATTCCAACAACGAGCTCCCCCTCCGTATGTTATAATCAAGCCACTATTAACGTCAGGTAAGTTTCCAATTAAGAGCTTTGTCTTGTCACTTCTCTCCTCACTTTCTAAATGAGCTAGGAGGTCGGATTCAGAATGTTCGTTTCTTAGACCATCTATAAATCTCTGAGCACTGATTTCTGGATCTAACTTAAAATTTTGAAATTTACCGATCAATACGCTGTTCCCTTGCGGTTTGTCCTCCTTCTGAACTATGCGGCCTTCTTCAGAATTGAAACATATCTGGTATAGGTAATTGTTAAATGCATCGTTTATACACCCGGGATCCATTTTATGGAACAGCTCACTGATCTCCTTTATTTTCCGTGCATCTTTTTCAGAATTGTCAATGTCAGCTAACCTTAAGAGCTCCTGAAGATCGTTTTTCCTCTCCTGTAACTCATGATTCAATAGCGCGCGATTCGACTCTATTGTAGCTATGGTAGCTTCCAGATCACCAAGATTTGACAAACCGTCGGAAACTGAACTCCTAAACTTGCTCAAAAAGTTCTTAATTTGCTGGACAATAGTGTTTTCTACGTCGTAAGCCGAGGCTGCTACTCTGGGTGCTTCATCATCAAGGAAGTCCTCCAATCTTTGCAATTCCAGTTTAAACTTTTCCGGTACCTCAATGACATCAAAAATTCCAGCATACTCGGCCAAAAAATCACCGTAGGCTGAAACTGCTTTACGTACGCCTGCGTCTTGTACGTTTACATTATAATTTGTGGAAACATCATCCATTAATTCACAAAGATGTTTTATAACTTCTAAAACTTCGTCTTTGTATTTCATTTTCACCTTGATGATCGCTTTGACCATGGCGAACTTTCCCTTAATCGCAAGAAGAGGATAAGAAGAGCTACCTTTACGGAACATCTGTGGTAATTCTGATGTTAAGTATTTCTTTACTTGCTCTCGCTGTTCTTGATCGAACTGGGGACTCACCTCTATATCTCCTGAATGCTTCTGCATGTAGTCGATGTATTTCATGACATTTCCATTGACAACTTGATCATTTAGCTTTTTGTTAAAATCATAAGTCAAGTCGTCCATGATGTGGATCAAACTATGATATGATCTTGATATCGCCTCGACATTTGTGAACAAATAATCAACTGTTGAAGACAGGTATGAGATATTAAGTTTTTCGAAATTGTATAGTGTCGGATTGTCAACCCGCAATTTGCGACGGTAGAGGGCTGTTTTTTCCTTCAAATCTTGTTCACAAGCGATCAATGCTTTGTTTAATTCTTCAATTGAGGATGTCAAATCCTGAATTTGTTGTTCCTCACCCGAATCCCCGTCAATTGTCGAGACGCCATATTCGCTCTTTAATTTAGTCAATGCAAGTGAACCCCTTCGCTGTTCTCGTAGCTCCTTCGAAATTAATTGCTCATACTCACTGTGTAAATCTTGACAGCTTTGAGATCCAACCCACGATGAGTTGGAGGCAAAATTCTCGTCCGAACAATCGCAGCAATCACATACCCCATCATCGACTTTGGATCCTGAAATGTACCTTGGAGCAAATCCCTGATTCTCACAAAAAAATCTGGATTTTGACCCACAGGCACTGGTTCCAGGTTCATCGGAACCATCAGGACAATCGCAGTAGTTGTCATTGATTTGTGACAAATTCAAAACGATCGACGGGTCGCTAAGACATGCCCACTTGGTTGAATCTGTAGCAAGGGGCCTGTATAAATAAAGCAATTCATCAGCAACTCCTCTCAAAGATTCTGCTGCTACTAGCGAGCCAGATATTTGAAGTAGTATACCAACGGAAAAGAGCATGTCTGCCGGACTGTACCTTGTCTCGTCCTAAATTGTTCCAAACATAAACTCCATTTCTTCATGATCGTCACAGAAAACGGTTTGTACCATTAAACGGAATCAGAAAGAGCACTCGCCGAATTACAAAAGCATCAGTCTGATAGATAGTGTTATTATTAAATGGCATATCTAATGGAGTCCATGATAAAAGCTTATATCATAGCTGTAAAAACATGGATGGTACAAAATTGAAACAATCCGCTCAAATTATCTGAGAAACACCCGAAGAAATAAATCTCAAATTCCTGGAACTGATCACAATCCCAATAAGAAACTGCACATCATCTTTATCTCGTCTACGATGTATGAACAGGCGTTGCAGAGTGGGTTAATCTCTCTTTGTCATGTGCCCCTTATTTCCAAATTGGGAAAATTCCAAAACAAATACTTCAGAGGAGAAAGGAAGGAAAAAAATCAAGCCGATCATCTAATGAATATCCAAATCTGAGACAAAAATAACAGAACAATCAAGGAAAATAACATTCTCATTTTCAATAGTTTGCTATCAAACCAGCTCTTCTCATCAATTTTAACCCATAAGCGATGTCAGTCGGCGAAGTTAAGCAACCAGGAGCAATCAAGTCGCTGGACGAACTTCCATTAAACGTGATATTCAGGATCCTTTTCTTCTTGGATTTCGATGCTCTGAACAAAGTCTCCAAGACATGTCGTGCGCTTAAAATACTCTGTAATGAAAGCATAACCTATAATAGGGCATTGAAAGAACAGACGTCAGCAAATTGGTGGACAAAGCGACTGCTATTTGATGTTTTCCACGTAATGGACACTGAGAGGAACCTTTTAAAATATGTGTCAACTGAGAGAATATCTATCATAGGGTCTTTACGAGCAGTTCAGGAGAGTTTTGATCTGGGATCTGATCAGTTACTTATAGAATGCAGCCAAAGGATAAGTACAAAACCAATTCAGGAGTTCAACGAGTTCAGTGAAGGAGATAACATTGATGATGACATACTGCCTGCCTCAGGTACCGAATACTCGGGAAATGATTACAACGGACTCCGTGAAGATATCAATCGACCGTTAGATCGAGATGGCCTCGCATACCTAAAAATCCTTCAAGGCTTTCATAGAATAGCAGTCAACAGTCACAAGTTATTCCACCGCTCTTCAGAATCAGTGCTTGCTGAACAGTGTGCCGATCAAAATTCTGAAAATGTTGAAACACCAACGAAACCAGCAAAAACTGTTAATGTTGCGCTAACTCCAATAGAATCATTCCAGAGCTTGGTTACATCTGAAGAAAAAAGTCCTGAGTGTTTGCAGTTCACTTCCGATTCTCCAGAATCCTCCAACCGCTCGCGATCTGCTAGTTCCGTTTTTTCGGATCCTCCTAAGCTTTCAGAGCGCGCATGGTCCTTTGGTTATGAACTTGACCACATATCAGATGAGCACAGTGAATCGGACTCAAGCTCTTCGACAGAATTTATCAGGCAACTACAGAATTCTAGTAAGGTGAGTGACAAAAAGTTTCTGTTCGAGCGGTTGATGGCTAAGAAGCGCGAGGAAGAAGCTTTGATCACTAGAAGTAACAAATCCAATACATATGAATCACTTCGACCAATTTCTAACCCTAAGCAAATTGAAGGAACACGCTCAGTATCACAAGGATACCTGATGGAATTAGAGAGATGTGATTCTCCCATCAACAAATCACATCTCTCTACGGCTAAGACGATCGAGCCACCATCCAAAGAATTTCTTGTGAGATACCAGGACCATGTCGCCAATAAGGTTGATGAGAAATCAGAAAAAACTGACAGGAAACGTGAAGCTAAAAAGGCGTCAAGGGCACCTTATAGAAGAAAGCTGAAAGCACTTGTCATCGAGGGCAACAGGGTATGCTATGAAAAAATTTAATGACTTTACGAAAAAGGGAACACTAGTTTAATAACAACAGATACCGTAATATATATATGTGTATGTATGTATATATTGGGTAGTTTAAAGGATTATAACTTTAAGAACTGTTAAGAGATTTACCCGGTTTTCGATAGTTTCACGTTCGAAAAAAAAGCTCGCACAATATGGTTTCGATAATACGATCGATTAATTCTGCGAAAGTTGTTGATAATACCACCTATATGTCTCAAGCACTCGCAACTGCGTCATCCGCGACTCAAAATGGCTTCAATACAAGACTTCTTTGGCCAGATATGGTTAGAACACCGGAAAATTCGTGGTCTTCGTCATGTAAGGAGATAGTTGACAAGCTGGGGACAAACCCACATAAAGCACACGACACCAAGAAACGTATGGAGAAGTGCCTCATGTACTTTTACGTCATGAGAAAGAATTTGAAGCTGTTTGATCATACCTACACTGCTGCCTGCATTTTATTTTTCCGGTATTGGTATGTTTTTGGGCTACCGCCTACTCTCCCGGATTGCATCCACTTATCGCAAGCTCTTCTGGTAACTGCTTGTAAAACGATGGAAAATAACCGACCTATAGATGCGTTTGTGAAAGGAACATGCGATTTCTTGATGAAAGATATTCCAACTTCTAGGGGCAGACAGAACATAGAAAAACTTAGATGGGATCTCAGAGACAAGTTAGTGAGTTACGAAAAGCAAGTACTCTGTCAGATGGGCTTTGACTTAAATCTCCATAACCCAAAGGAACTAATCGAGGAGATATTTAGTGGGTATTTTAGGTATAACAGAGACTTTGACATGTCCGAAAATTTCAAAAAAGTATTCCCCAAAATCATTCAGGAGGCACGCAACTTCATCATACAGGCAGGGACTCAACCTGTTTCCCTTCTTTGTGATGGATATACATTTACAGTCCTCTCTCTCATATTTTGTGGCCTACAATATAAGAAAAACGTCGATACGAATTTCAGGTTTCCAAAGAATTTCTTTTCAGATCGTTTCCCTGTGAAAGTTGTTCCCCAGCAATTTGTCAGTCTCTTCACAGATTACAGAATTCTTGAGGAGAACTTCTTCGACTTGAAAAGTAACAAGGGCGAGAAACTTCAGATAACTACGGAAGAAATTAATGACCTTATTGAAGAAGAGGGAGATGATCTGTCCGATGAGGAACAGAACCTCAATCCTTATGTCTATGAGCACATTAAATCAGGCATTGTGAGGAAAGAATTACTGGACCATATCGAATTACGCATAAAGGAGCTATATAAAAAGGCACAAGGAGAGAGCAATTCCTCAGAAAAAAGGCCATTTAGTGAAGTGGAACAAACGGAAGATCATTCTAAAAAGAGGAAGATTTGAAAAAGATAAAGTTACATTTATGGAGAAGTTATTTGATAATCATTGAATCTATATCTCAGAATAAGGTAATTTCGAAAGAATTAATGAAACGCTTAACTAAAAAAAATCTTATTGAAACACTCAATTGAATTCTATATTCTGATGATCAAGTTACTCAAAGTGCCTATAGTGAGAGCAAATTATATCTCAAATTTGCAACAGTTCTGATGATTAGCATTTTATCGCTCAAGCTTCTGTTTTTGGTTACGCTAGAGAGTGTAGTAATGAATTAATCGAGGGAGATTTATGTTCTGAATCAAAATATGTAGCATGATGTTGAGGCAAATGCCCACTTTTTCCGTCACGTCGCCCTTCCTATCCGAACTTCTGGTTTTCAGTCTTACTGATTTAAAATGTTGTGCAATTGCTTAGAATTTCGATGAAATGAAAAAATTACATTAATTATCAAACTTCTTGCTTGACCTCTATTCAGCTTGCTACATTTGTGATAAGCGTCAGAGGTGAGGAAAATGACCTCCTATTTCGATTATTAAACAGAGAGGTGTTATTAATTAAGCGAGAAAACGTGGAATAACGACTTCGATTAGTCAACAACATTTTTATCAGATTTGGATTGATTGACGTCTTTTAAAGATGCAGCCTTCCAGAATTGGTCCACAAAAATCCTCAATTCACTTGGTAAAGGACCTTTGTTATCAACGTAACAATTTTCCCAAAACTTTACCCAAGATAGGCCCAAGTTCCACTGTATTCTGGAGTATTCACCCTGAACTTTTGGACTCCCATACAGTTTTCTCTTTGCTTTGAGCTTGACAGCGCTTAAAAAGAGCGACAAATCATGATTATGGTCATGTACTGACTCCTCATATGCTTCATCCACCATGATCAGATCGTCATCTGTGATGCTCAGCAGAACTTGTGGAAATTGTATGTTCTGTGCTAGATTCCACTTACCCTCATGCGTGCCGTCATTCAAGATCTCTTCGACAAGCTTGACGCAATTTCTCGTAAGGACATGATCCACGCTAATTAGATCCGAATATTCGGAACAATCAGCAAGGTAATATCTTCTTATATTAAAAAAGAAAAAGATGATAATTAAATGAACACCTCCATATAATAAAAACCCAACGAGAATCTTATTCATGCATAATACAACGCTTTCATCCCCCTTTAGCTTAAATGTGGAGGCCAGAATATACTTGCGTATCATACTGTCAATGTGACTCCGTTGAGGCCTTATCGCGATTTCCTTCAAACCAGACGTTATCTCAAATTCGCAGATGGGACCCTTTAAGATCGAAATAATTTCTTCGAGGTCTCCTATTACTGTAAAAAAGTCATCCATCATAAAATAATCTAGCTCATCTCTACACGTCAAAATGGATGGCTCTGTACAATCCAAAATATTTGTCAGTATACCTTCCAGGATATCTAATCGATCGATTTTTAAATCACCTCCCTCAATTGTTTTGATCGATCCATTGTGATTGAACTCTTTAATCAGGGACTTAGCGCATAATATCGATAGAGATCGTTCATAATCCAACGACAATATATCTTTCAAATTCGTAGTGTGTGGTATTCTTCTTGCACAGTGTAGAAACTGAAGGATCCATCTAAAATCGAAGAAAGCCTTCCTGTATTCACTATCAAAGAGGTTCAAAAACGCAAGGAAACTTTTGATTAAAAGTACTAGCTGAAGCTTAGTTTCGAGCACCTTTTTGTCATAAAGGTCAATACGAGCGAGGCTTTTGATTAAATATTTAGGCTCGACCTCAAGGTCGAGCTCAGGATGGCTGATGATTTCTCTTTCGAGTTTTCGTTGCAATTTGAATCTAGTTCTGCATTCCTTAGAAAGGACAGATTCAAATAAGTTTACCGGACAGAGAGATACAATCAAGCTGAAGATTTTCCTGAGAATGACCTCGAGACTAGCTGAGTTCAATAAGATGTCTATGGCCTCAATTTCTGTCTTCAAGTATTCATTCAAATGCTCGTAGCTCGGCTTGGACTCAGGTTTCATCAAACCTTTGGGTGACAAAAAAAACAATAATTATAGAGAAATTGTTTTAATATGTATTTATGAAATCTCAATGGCCTCACCTTGTGTGACATTGATGAATTGTCGGCATTGTGCTTGCGCTCCACAAAAGCGTCCAAATGTACAAAAAAAGTCCAACTCTCGCGTCATCGAAACATCAACAAAAAGACTTCACAGGCAATGAAATCAGATGAACTCGAACGAGAGAAATTTCAGGTCATAAACGAAACCCCTGTGGCGGGGAAAATACCGAACGGTATAAGCCAAAGGTATTATAATTCAGACAACCCAAGAAGTCAACACATCGAGAGCATCGCCAAAACGGATGGTGCATCATTCGAGAGTAACGATAACTCACCTTTGAGAAACATGAATCCTATAAAGTCAAGAAGCGCAGCAGAAGTATTTCGCAAAATAGAAGACGAAGCAGTTGAGAGTAACTTCAAGCATCTATTTGAGCTTTCAACCCGTGAGGAAGCATCAAGCGGCGACCCCATGGTCGATCACAACACGAAGACACCCGATCTTGATAAAGTCAAAAAATACTTGCGGCATGATAGGACACCTGATAATGATCTCTTAAGTAGGTTGAAACGAACTCCTGATGATACACCGGCATCTCAACGGCAAGCGGCAGAGTTACAATCGATGAACTTACCGAAGGAGCCGCATTGTAGCCCTCCAACAACCGCACAACTTTTTACAAGTACCGTCTCAAAACCAGCTGTTAACGATACTCTGTCAGGTGATAACGACATTGTGCCTCACCATGACATAGGCGATAATTACCGAAGGCATTTCAATCAAGGGACAAAAAGGAACTATCCTGCCGAGCAAGGTGCAGATCTGAGTATGGAGACAGAATCCCATGGCATCAAGTTGGAATTCGAATCTACAAGCAAGGACAATTTAATTCGAAGAGGGCAACCAAGAGTTCTCGAAAAAAGATATCCTTGCAGAGATACCAAGTTGGACATTTCACAAAACAAGCAAGAGGTTCCGCTGGCACGGAGTTCACAATTTAGAAGCACTGACTACTGTGATAACGTACAGAGAAGCGTTATGCAAACGCTTGAGTTGGAACCAGTAGTAGATGGCACTGAAGAATGTAGTGATATTGTTATCCCTGCAACTAATTCCAGCGGTGGCCACCCGAAGGAGCACACTCACCTAGAAGGTCAGAATAGTAATACACAGTATGAGCCTGTAAAAATAAGCAAGAAAACTGAAAAAAGATGCGACAAACAAAAAGAAGTTCAACGGTCAAGAGAGGCAATATCTGAAGAGAAGACTAATGGATGCTCCTCAAGTGAAGTTTCTTATTCAGTTAAGCATGAAAGTAATCACACACAATCGGAAAATACACTCAATGCCACCACACAAGCTGATTCAAAGCTGGGTGATTTGTCTATGAGAAAAGAAAAAAAAGGCGATGATACGCAAATACTTTCCTTAAAGAATGACATATCTATATTACATGGCCTCAGTGGTCTACCTCAGGATACACAGGCTGATATATCACCATCTGTGGCAGCATTAGTGCCACAACATCCATTCGCAGACTCTGGATTATGCTCTTCTCCAATCTTTGTTCACCAATCACGAGCGCATAAGCTAAACACGCAGCCATCTGTCACCAACGTCAATACTCAGGTCATTGAGTCTCCAGAAAACCGCGCTAAAATCACTAAATTCGAAAAGGCTTTTTTAGACCAGAATGATTCACAAGACTACTACAACCTCAATTTGAATGAAAAGTCTGCGAAAGAGGAAAATTTAGTAAAAACTAATCCTGGAGGTACTGACATACCTTCCAGATCGGTTGATTTAATAGCCATAGAAGAGGAATCCTCCGATAATGAGAATGATAGCGAGAAAAGAGTTTTGTTAAGATTCTCGAACAAAAATGACCTTCAGCATGACTCTTTAATAGAGAAGCAAAAAGAAACAAACAAAGAAACACTCATATATAGTGACATTGAAGACACACAAGAGCTTCCAGAAATCGAAGATATCATACCGGTTAAAGGCAAAAATGTTAGCGGGACACAATCGTCATCAACACCCTGCGAGACCATTGAGAATGAGGTACTTTCGAATAGTAAGGAGCTATCACCTAGCTCCAGCTGCTTCACAGAGGAGTCACAGGAAGTCGTTAAAAATCGTAGGAAGTCCAGAAAAAGGAAGAGGTCAGAGGAAGATATCACCTGCATTTCTCAGAAGAGCAACCAAAAATCAGAAATGAACTCTCCAAAAAAAAGGCTTGTAAGAGCTGCAGACGCCGAGCAGACAGTCAAGATTCAAAACACGCGTTTGAATCAGATGAATATATCGCAAGTAGCACCACCTGGTGGAAGTTCAGAGAATGGGGACGCAGTGGATTTTCGTAGTAGCACACCTGTCAAACCAACTAGTATTGAAGTCGGCACTGCTTTGTTTTCCAATACAGTTACACATATTGCTCAAAGAAAAGCTTCAGAGGGGGACAATTTATATCCGAAAGAAATAAGAACCATTGATAATGATCTTCTATCAAAAAAAGATGTCATTTTTCCCACAGCGGTTTGGTGCCACTATAGTTTGAACTTTGTGTATTATCCTGGAATTTTACTGACTCAAGATCAAGAAACGAACACTTCTGAAGTTTTATTCGAAACAGGCTCTTCTTTGGTGAAGAATGAAGATATGTTTTATCTGGACTTGCGAATAGGAGACACTGTAAACTGGAACTCGAAGTCATACACTGTTGTTGCCTTAGAGTGTCTTTCTCACAACAACAACGTTATAAGATGTATTCGTGGGTTTGATACAGTACATTTAAAGAAAAGAAATAACACTGGAAAACTAGGCAAGAGGACTTTAATCAAGCCGCTGTCATCAATAACGCTTACTCTGAGTGAGTGGGCAAGACGTCCGAAGATTATGTTATTCGGGAGCTCAGATTTTCGTTCAAGTGTATTTGAAGATCTCAGTAATCCAATTAGAGGGCGCAAGAATACGACAATGATAACGCCTGTCTCCCCCAAAAAGTACATTGGTTTATCTGAAACTGATAATCACAGTACACCCTTTGGCAGTGGTTCTTCTGACCCACACAGCATGTCCAAAGAAAGAAATTTTCATCAAGGAAGAGGAGCATCCCCGCTCTTCAGCGGAAATATTTTCGATGGTTGTTTATTTGTTTTGACTGGACTTTCCGAGGCCTGTAGGCAAGAAGTATCCAATATGATTGCTTCTCAAAATGGTACCGTGGCGGCAGGGAGTTTCTCCACTCTCTTAGCCTTCACAACAAAAGGTTCCCTGCATTGGATAGATGTACGATATTCATCTTATAGATTTGTTTGTCTGATCACCGAGAAGCATTCCAGGAGTCTCAAATATTTAGAAACGCTTGCGTTGGGCTGGCCTACATTGCATTGGAAGTTTGTCAGCCACTGCATCCGCAGAAATCAGTTGGATGTAGGAGCAGTGCTTGGTTTTCTTCTACCTGCAGGGGAAAGTCATCGATTGTCTATAAATCCTGCTGCCAAGACCGGAGTTGTTCTTTCGAGTAATATATTTCAGTTTTACTCAAAGCTACTTGCTGGCAAACCCTTGGGTGTTCAGCTGGATAATAAACCGATGCATTTGGATGAGTTTCATGTCCTAATTTATGGTAAGTCCGAGTTCAATAATTTTATTCACTTCATTTTCCGAGTTTTTGGAGCCTGCTCAATCTCTTACTTGGACAGGTTTAGAAATATACACAAATGGGCAATTAAACTTGAAAATAATCCAGGTGGCGATTCAGAATTTAAAGAGTTTGTTGGCGAAATACAAAGAAGGAGCTTGACTTTGGCTCCTCAAAAAAAGATTTTAGTTTACATTAACGAACGGACGTGCAAGAATAGCATCGCTGAAAGTATCAAAGATAAATTACTGCAGGTCTTTACCACTCAGAGCGACTTGAAGGGAAAGCTTTACGTAGAGTCGAAAGAGTGGCTTATACAATCTATCATAAATACCGATGCCGGTTTAACGTGAGACAAACCATGGAAACCACACTACCTCCTAGGACGTTGTTAAGAAGCTATAAGCTTTCGCTGCAGACATGCATGTGGTATGTACAACCTCTCAATTTGAGTCATTATATTCATTTAAATCATTCATTCATTCATTAAAGTTATTAAGTCAGCTCGTAACGGCAGAATATACTGCATTACAGAATGTGCACTACTTCGTGACACCTCTACTAGTCCATTTAGTTATGAATCCAGTGAGTTAGGATTGAAATAGTAATCGCCAGGTGGAGTTTCCTTGAAATTTTTGTTAAGGTAACGCCTATAATCAAGTGATCCATGATCATGACGATAAATCTTCCGGTTTTGCTCTAACTGTTGTTCCAAAGTTTGGAAATCCAATGAAAGCTTTTCTAGAAAGTGAGCATGTGCATATTTCTCAAAAACGTAGAGAAAAAAGCACTTAGCAACCGTGACGTATTTTTCAGATAAGTGGTAACGATCTGCAAACCCTTGTTTAAGAGGAGCCCCATTTGCTGCTTGCTCGTGCTGCTTCAGCAAATCCTCTGAAGATTGAGAGGGCTTGGGGCCGTGACCGTTGCCAGATAGAAAAGAAGTTGAGGCAGTAGAATCGAAAATAAACTCAGTAGGTGACTGCTCGGGCATTTTCAAAAAGTTTGCATCGTTAAATGAATAAACCAAAACGTTATTAATTAACTTTTCCAGTTGGTCCACATTGATAGGATGATTTTTACCTCCAGCTAGGTTTGGCTCTAGAAACACATCATACTTTGAAAACGCCATAGGATAAGCTGTGGTAAGCTTGGGAATAAGAACTTGAATGGCCAGTTTCTTTAATTCATTAAAAATGCAAAGCAATTTAAAGTTCGGTGTTGCTTCGAAATCAAGAATGAACTTGATCAACAGAATGAAATTGTAGTAGTAGCCTTGTAAGTTTAACATCGATAACTTCTTCTTGTTGAACTCGATTGAATTGTCCTTACTGTAGAATAAGTTGGCGATATTTTTGATGGAGAAGTTTAAAGCTACCAAAAAATCTGTTATCAAACTGTAGGAGCCGTTTGCTAGTATATTAAAGTTCTCTGGAGATAAGTGAGACTCATGGATCTCAAGCATCGCATTATTCCAGGCTTTTTGGGCAAATTGGGGGTCAACTTTGTTGAAGAAAATCATGCAAATCAACGAATTCCTCATATCAATTGCACTATTGATCAACACTGAAGAGCTGACAATCTTTTCAGGAACTGCTTGAGGTAAATTCATCTCAAGCTTCTTCGTATCAATCTTTGTAAGGAACACATGGAAAGAGGTGGAAGACGATGAATGTTTTACAGTATTGAATTCATAGAAAAGCATTGCGCTGCAAAGAAATTCCGGTATTAGATGCATTCCCAAATTTGTAAAAGCAAATGATTGATAGAATTTCTGAAATAAAGTGATGTATTGTTTCTGATAGGGACAATTCCCAGCTTGGAAAAGTGCTGAGTGCCAAGCTTGCTCGCCATCTGGAACAACTATGCCATCAAGCTGTGCATCTGATAGGAAAAGATCTGCCTCAAATCGGCAAAAGACCTTCAAAAACTGGCAAATCTTGTAACCCATAACAACAGTTCGAATTTTCGATTCATACAATATGTATTTGTCTTGAGACGCGAACGTGCTTATTATTGTGGAGGCAGGAATAAGAAGATTGTTTTTAATGAGAGAACAAACGGCAGAAACCTGCTTGATAACCATGGCAGAGTCAACGCGTTCGAGGGAATCCGCAAATAGTGCAAACACCACACTGAGACACAAGGATTGTACTAGCCACAAGTTTGCACCCTGATAGGAAATGGTATTGCGGCTTTTCAACTTCTTTCTTGTATCCAAATAAACATGTAAAACGCGACGGCTCATCTCATAAAGATCCATAGTCTGCGAACGCGCCCCTACCTTGTACAAAGAACCCACCGTTGCCATGAATAATGGGAGGCATACAATATTGGAATTGCAAAGAACTTCATCTCGTGTAGTAATATCAGAGCCATCGTGAACATAGGACTTGAATGCGTTGATATTCAACGAGAGTAAATGTGGGTGTATGAAAGGGTAATGCACCAAGAAGTACTTCTGAAAATAGAAAGTATACGTGTTCAAATCTTCACAACTGGGAAGGGTCACAGTTGAGTCATAGCCGATGTTTCTTGCCGAGCGATCTTCAACACAGTGGATAGAGTAGTATTTAAGGGCTTGCAAACACATGCTGCGAACTTCTTCCGTGAAGAACTGACAGGTGATTTCTTCTTGGACGGCACGAACTGGTGGGGCTCTGGTAATATTAGAAATATTTGGGTAATTCACATCGTAGAAGGAATAATCTGCATTGACATTACATTCATATGGCGGATGCGTAGCATCGTTAGTAAGATCAAAGTTGCACAAGGCATCCTCACTAGTGAACATGCGAGACATCGGGGCAGCAGAGGCCGGCTCTGTACTTGGATCTGCGCTAGGTGCTGCACTAGGTACAGCACTAGAAACTAAAGAAGCCCAGTCCTGAGAAATGTGATCCCTAGAGGGACTTCGAGAGGATTCTTCCGGCGTCGGTTCGACTGGGGTTTTGTTAGAGAAGCGAAATTGACTGAATCTTGAAACTATTTCCTGAGACCCGCTGGATCTTCTGGAAGGGGGAGCCACATGAGTATCTTTTCCGAATAGTGACGGTACGTGGATGCTGGACTTTAACTCTACATCTTCAGTTGAGCTCCAATCTTTGGGAGAGTAATCAGAGGTGAACAAGGACTTAACTTCTAGGCCATTGTCACTGAGCTTCCACGAAGAGTTTCTAGGGCGCATACGTTGTTGGGCTGACAAATTGGAGCCAACAAAATGAGTGTGATTCGAACTTTTGGGCGGAGTAGCGGTAGTAACATCGCCAGTACTATTATGCCGACTGCCACCGCTAGAATCGGCCGAATCACTCGACTCTTCGAGCATTGGCAGAGAGTTCATCTCATTGATCCAATTGTCACGATCAAGTAAATTGAAGCCTGAATTTTCCGGACCAGGTGCGCTGTTCTGAGTCAAGTCGATGGGAAGTAAGTGCGGAGTTGAGAACTCCACACGCCCGACAGAAAGTTGCGTATCGCGTTGTGGCTGCTGAGCACCGGCATAGTTTTCGGCAGATTGTGCCGAGAACGAGGCCCTTCTATGGAAAGCGCGAGGTTTCTTGTTAGGCAAACCAACGGCTGTTCCAGAGCCAGAGCTGGTGCCAATGCCAATGCCAGAACCCGAACCTGAGCCTGAACCGCTACTACCCGAGCGCCCAGCGCCCAGTGCTTCGCGAGCACGACGCTTTCGGCTGCCGGGTGCTATGACTGCTTCGCCGCAGTTGCCTCCGTGAACTTTGTGTGCATGTCGAAGCAGTAAATCTCGGCGACTGAACTTTCGCTCGCAAACGCCACAATGGTAAGGTTTCTCCTTGGTATGTGACCTCTCGTGTCTTGTGAGATGCTCTTGCCGCGCAAACGCACGCGTGCACACGTCACAAACAAACAGACGTGGTTTACCGCTGGGTGTGCGCCCATTCAGCCGCAAGTTCTCTGGCAACTGACTGAAGCGTTTGTTGAGCTTCGCATTCATGTTATTGTTAGCAGTAACAATACGCCCATCGGTCGTAGTCGTGAACATCGTCCCCGGAGCAGGGGCTGTCTTTGTCTCTGGGGGAGCGCGTCTCGATATCTTTAAGCTCATACTTAGTAGGGAAAATTGAGCAGGAGCTAGCGATTGCGTGATGGAACTGATAACCAACAGTTATGCTTTATTATTATCGAACAACCTTCGTGTTGATGTTTCAATTTTAAAGGTTTGCACTAGCCGCCTCCCTATCGGGTGGCAAAAATGCCACCGTTGCCCCTCATCTCTTATATACTGGCAATAACTTTAGCAAAGACTCTGTACGTCCGGTCATCCTTGCCCAAATTCTGCGGGGTAGGCGGCTAAGGGCGACGGGAAACCCGTGCACCTGCATGTTGTGAGGGGCGTATCATGTGTGGGTTCACGTGTATGGGTTGAATCTAGGTGTCTGGATGTAACTTTTTTAATTAGTATCACGTGTACCGAGACTACTTACACCCGTGCATCTGTATTAATGGTGTGTGGGTCGCAAATCGAGCCTGTGTTCACGTGAATGGTAATAACACCTGTACATTTGATGGTGTGTGGGTTTAAAGTCTAGTGCACGGGGTTTTTATTTTTCGCTCTTCTATCCTCAGCCTTGCGCTTCCTGGCTGCAGCTTGCTCACCCGCCCCTTGTTCCGCCTAGTTCCGTCTCCCTGGAGAGCAGCTAATCCACTCCTTATCTGTAGCACGTGATATGAATTTTCTAGAACTTTTTTCTTTCTCGACCTCTCCTGCTGTCGTGAGAGAGGGAAAAAAATTTTGGGCTCTCCATAACAGCTCACGCGATCGGGCGAGCACATGTGCGGGCATGCGACGTAAACACGACGCAAATTTCAACCTGCGCCCCACCGGTTCAAAGGAGGCGCGACGCGCGTTTTGCGTCGCGACCGTGTTTACGTCATCAAGTTGCTCGTAAGCAATCCCTGTAACGCGAGAACCGCAATGACGTTGAGAAGTGCCCAGCGCAAAACCCCAGAATGTGGCATATATAAGGCGCTCGCGCCATGTCCCTGAAACAAACTACGTCCAGCTCGAAGACATTGTCAACGACTCGAGAATTGCGAAGCGCATTTCCTCTTTAATCTAGCATACGCACCAATTAGCATTATAACATATTAGGCATTCAGATGTCAGACGAAATATCCAAAAAGTTAAAGGCCATTTCACAGAAAATCACTGGCAAGCACAGTGGTGATGATGAGTCTGGAATCGATTCGAGGAATCCAACGCCGTTTCCGGGTCAGGAGGATGAAGATGCCCATCAGAAAAAGAAGCAGGTGGCGTCCGATTCAATTGCCCCTGACGCGGACGCCCCAGATGCAAGCGCGCCAGATGCGCAAGATCCCCTTACACGGTCGAAGCCAAGAACTAAATCGTTTCTAGAAAGTGATGGAATCGACGAACTAAAACCCGCCGCCCGTAAGCATCGTGTCTCGTCACTTTCCCTTAGTGACCAGTGGAAGCTGCAGGATTTGCAACCCCTCACCTCACTCGAAAACGCAGGAGGTTCCAGTATCACCTCGCCACGCTCTTCCCGTCGCCCTTCTGCACCAAGTATCCGCACGCACAGAACTGTAATTGATCATGAGCGTGTTGCATCTTACGCGTTTGCGTTTGATATCGATGGTGTTATTGTGCGTGGGCCAGAAACTATCCCAGAGGCCCGTGAGGCCCTTCGTATGCTAAATGGTGCGAACAAGTATAACATTAAAGTTCCTTACATTTTCATCACTAACGGTGGAGGGCGTTCTGAAAAAGCTCGTTGTAAAGACCTGTCTCAAAGACTTGGCATAACCGTCACTGAAGATCAGGTGATTCAAGGCCACACACCTATGAAAGATCTTGTTCCTGTCTATAAGAATGTCTTGGTTGTCGGTGGTGTCTTGGACTCTTGTCGGAAAGTGGCACAGGGCTATGGTTTCCAACATGTTTATATCCCTATTGATATCATGAATTGGAATCCTAGCGTCACTCCTTATTATCAACTATCCGAAGAGGAGAAGGCAATTGCAGTTGACGCAGACTTCTCAAAGATATCTATTGATGCGATCTTGGTGTTTGCCGACTCTAGAAACTGGGCGGCAGACCAACAGATTATCTTGGAACTTTTGTTGTCTAAGAACGGTGTTATGGGAACAGTTTCCGAAACTGCTGAAGAAGGCCCTGGATTGTATTTTGCACACTCTGATTTCGTGTGGGCCACTGATTATGGTTTGTCTCGTTATGGTATGGGTGCTCTGCAAGTGTCAATTGCCGCCCTGTATCAGGAACATACCGGTAAAGAATTACAAGTAACAAGATTTGGTAAACCTCAACGCGGTACTTTCCGATTCGCTGAAAAAGTGCTATCCAATTGGAGAAAGAATACTCTTGAAGAACACGTCGAAAATCTTCATTTAGAGGAACATGGAAATGCGGATGAATCTCCATTCGTTTCCGACTCTGAAGACGATGATGATTCTAGCGATTCGTCGGTTAGTGAAGATCTAACAATTGAAAAAGGTTCCAAGCTACTTTTGGATCTTCCTCCTGCCTCAACGGTCTACTTTGTAGGCGACACTCCAGAATCTGACATAAGATTTGCAAACTCTCATGACTCTTCGTGGTTTTCTATTTTGGTGAAGACTGGTGTATACCAAGAAGGTACCACGCCCAAATACAAGCCTAGACAGATCTGTGAAAATGTTTTAGAAGCTGTCAAGTTCGCCATCGAAAGAGAACACAAGAAGGAGCTCGAGGAGTGGAACGCTTCAGCCATTGACGCTCCAGTGGTTGAAGAAACCTACGTCAAAGAAACCTCTCATAAATGAACATATTGTTTCCAGTTCCTGTTTTTTTGCATTTACAATTTTTGTCAATCGATTGTGGTATTAGATTAGATTTGATGGTTTTTAATAGAAAGATTATATATAGGTTAGTGCAAGCACTGATTTATAAAGCTGTAAAAAAATGATGGTATAGATTAATGATGTTTACTCAAAGCACAGCTCCAAAGCCGAACGTAATCTTGATGCTCCTCACGTAATACTCTTCGAAATTACCTCTAACTTTGTCCTCCTCACCAATAGGAACACCGCTCCAAGTCACTTGCAACTTAGTCTCATGGTATTCTTGAGATTCGTGAAAATCCATCTTAATCGTGCTGAAGTATCCCTTATGCCATTCGTTCAGTCTCCAATTGAAAACAAGGCGCTTGCCAGGATCGCACTCCACAAGTTTGCTCGTAATATTGCCGCCAAAAAATGTGAACTCATCGCCTTGCTTTAAAACCGCGTCAGATGATTCACATATTAATTGAGATCGAGACCACGCCATAATACGTTGCTTATCCACGAAAGTTTGGTAAAGTTCAATTGCAGGAACGTTAAAGGTTGGTTCAAGGTGCAAGGTGGTGCTGTTGTACTTGCCGGTGGTCCCACTTGCAGATGGTGAGGCTGAGGATTCGCTTTTACTACTTGCGGTGGTCGTACTTGTCGTACCAGTTCCCTTAGATTCCTTAGCGGATGGATTAGCCTTAGCAAAACTGTTTTGCTGATTTGCTTTGGTATATTGAGATTTTACCTGGTCTTCAGGCACCTGGATATCATTGCCGTGCGTAAGCAAAAGATCTGAACCAAATTTGGAGAAGATATCCTTCAATTGTGGTATAAGCTCAGACCTGATAACAGGTTTTGCTTCATTCAACTTGGCAGTTTCTTTGTATATGGAGATTTCGAACTGATAGTCGTCCAACTCCGAATCAAAAGCTACTTCTGGAACGGTGATGCTTCCCTCAAAGACTTGGTCATCGACGTTACCTTTAATCATCATTACAATCTTCAGGTCAAATAGTGATATAACTTTGCCTTTACGTTGATTCACTTCACAATCCCCCTCTACTGAGGATACAGAGGAAACGGTGATGTACCTGTCCCCTTCTTGTCCAGCGTGTACTCCAACAAGATGCTCTTTGAAGTACTTTCGCGCCCAATCGATACAATTCTTATCAACCCAATGCCAGTTATTTGGATTATGTACAGCCATTCTGTGTTGTTTTAACCTTCCACATCAGTGTCCTATCATATATCATGTACAATATACTTACATTTAAATATTCTCAAACCGCGAGCTCGCCGTGGTTCAGTTTTTCTCGAATATTCGCCACGAAACGGGGAAATATCTCAACACGTGATTCACATAAAATCAGTAAGACCTGGTTGAAGATTAGTGGTAGTCATCGATGGCAGGCCTCCACCTAAAAAGTCAAGCATCATATGCATACCACCACCACTATAGTCGTCGACATCCTGAGGAAGTACTTGTGTGACTCCTTCAAGAAACCATACTTTATCTTTGACCTCTGTAGCAAAACCTCTTAATAACTTGTAGTAACATCTCATGATCCGCATTGCTCCAAGATCTCCGGTCATAAGTAATGCCAAGAATGTCTTGTCAAGTAGAGCAGGAAATGCAAAGACACGTAAAATAAAGTCTGATTGGCTTTTTTCCCTATGCAATTTGTCCAGATAAGCCAGCGTTATCAAGTAAGGAGAATCAATCTCAACGGGGTATAGATCAGCGATGCTTTCATCAAAGCAGACAAGCTCCGAGACCGTACCACTGTCCTGATTGATTATGTCACCGAGGTCGCTAAGGTCGACGGAAATCAAGTTGTAAAATCTGGATTTCTCCGTTAGGGGCCAAACCGCAGTCAAAATAGTAGCTGCGCCCTTTACGTGGAAAATCCAAGCTGAAGGGGACATTGACACTAATGAATCTGTGACGGCAGGATTCGCTGATGAGGCGTTAGCAAGCGAATCCATGATTAAAATCAACGCACTAGCGACCAGCGCATCAGTGTTGTCTTCGGAAATCTCAAGTACAGCTCTCCTGAGAAGTCTTAAAGCATCAAGCCTGTGGGAGGCTACATATTGCTCTAGACCAGGCTCTTTCCGAGACAAATGTGTAGCGCTGAACGCTAATAAGGCGTGCATCAAAAATGGGTAATCGAAAGCTAGGCGAGGTATTTCTTCACTCCATATACTCCTTCCTGATATCCCGGCGGATGTAATTGTTGGCCAAACTTCGGTGCAGTAGTGATGAAATAGCTTTAAGTCCACCAGGTTAAGGGTGCCCTCATTTGAAAGTTCAATTAGTCGCATAATCGAACCTGGGAGCGAGTGTCCATCTTCAATTGACTCCGATTTCACGGATTTACTTAAAACTTTGCCATCCATCTGTGTGCTGCCATGTCTTGAAATTTCAGCAGCACTTAAGTGAGTTGCATCATCTGAAGTGATAGGGTCTGCTTCAGCTTTACTCATAGGTGACATTGGAGCTCCAGGTGATATTGTTGGATTATTTACCAAATTTGGTGTGGCATTCGGATCTAGACTTGATCTATTCGCACTTTCACCTCCATTTGCTGTTTCTACCCCTCCCTGCCGTGCTTTTTGTTGATTTTCTTGTTGCTGTTGTTGCTGCTGTTGCCGCTGCTGTTGGACAAGCTGTTGTTGTCTTTGCATGCTGGCTAGCACTTCTTCTGCAGTAGTGCTTGCTTTCGCTTGATTGCTGGCAATACCTTGTCCCTTCAAACCTAATAGTTCTTGGAAATCGTAAGTAACACCCCCAATACCAGCTGTCGAGAACATTGCCATTTGCTTGAGGTTTATTCCTGTCTTACTCGGGGCGGACATCATCTCGTGGGAGTGGAGCATTAATGCTGGAGATGACGCTTGCTGTTGATTTTGATGCTGATGATGTTGTTGTTGTTGATTCATGACATTATTTAACACATTTGAAGGAAGTTTATTTGCAGCAAATATACTGCCAATGCTATTAGTCACGTTCATGGCTGTCGATTGGAATGAAGGGCTATTTGGAAAATCAAAACCCGCAAACTTCTCAGAATTACTCAGCGTCATGAGCTGCGGAAGAAGCTGTGGTTGTTGTTGTATTTGTTGTTGCAATTGCATATTGGTTCCTGAGAATAGTGGAGGCAAAAGTAAATTCTCTGGAGAGCCTAGTGGCGTTTGAGCGGCGTTTTGTTGTTGACGCTGTAGTTCAGCCACGCTCAAACTGGCTTTTCTAGCTGTCTCGGTATCGACATCCTTTGACTCTTGCATGACATTATCAACAGTATTTCTGCGGTCAGGAGGTACGATACTGCTCTCCTCGGACTTTGTTGTAACGTACTTTACGGCCGCCGGTAGCCCATTGGCTTTGCGCTTTCTTGGCATGACAGGAGTATAAACACAGTCTAATTTCATATTGATACATTTCTGACACGATGGCTTTCCCTCGTCGCACTTTACTCTCCTTCTTTTACAATTATCACAACCATTCTTCGACTTATTGTGAAACTTCCGTTTGCCGGTAGATGTTTTACTTACCTTCTTCCCGTCAACCTCGATAAGCTCCACGACTTTTTCCTTTCTTCTGCGAGGTCTTGAGGCCGTTTCATCATCGCTTGGATCTGAACTCATCCTTGATGCTATCGTTTAACTTGAGAAGTTGTACTTGAATTTGAGGGGAAGCTATTTGGTCTTCTTCGTTCCCCAGGTTGTTTAGTAATGATAAAATACTTGATTTCTCACACTCCGGATCCTAACCGCCTTTTTCGTTTGATGTAGGCGCGCCGACTCGCCGATGGGGTGTATCTTGTTGACTGTTGAGACTTTTACGCTCGTATAAGTCTGAAAAAAAAAGTCGCGTTTGTGATAGTCAAATGGTCAAAGGCTTATTATGATTTGAATTGACTTTTAACGAGCCTTGCTTTCGCCGTTAAATCACTGAGAACTGCCGTTTACTTAACGAAATGCTTCCCTATCGTGTTTGTTTTACGATGCTCCTTATATAGTGCTCGTTTAAGTTTTAACTTTTTCAAACCGCTCATCGACAATTCTGAGTCGCCAAAAAATTATGAAAAACAAAAATATCGTCTGATGTTCCCGCCGCATGACGAATCGAAGAAGAGGAAGGAATGAAGCGAAAATATGTTTAAGGTGGCTCTTGTGAAGTTCCACATTGATAGGATCCCTGATCGAACCTTTAAGATACTGGTGGAACAAGCTAGAGAAAAGAAATTAATTGGACCAGTCGCAGCCTCTTATAGAGTGTGGACTATCATATGCGTGCCCTTCTAAAAAATCTTTATAACGGACGTTCCTCTTCCAACGCGAAATCTTAAAGCTATTCCACATATCTTTGTATCTTATATCTTGCACTATCGAGACAATGGAGCTTATTTGCCAGAAGGTGAGCTAAGGATTTTTAAATTAATCGCAATTGATTGCTGAAATATACTTATATACACAGACAAAGATTGTCTTTAATGGTGGTCGTGAGGGTCTTCCTTAGGTGGTTCCGGGTCAACAGTAATCATAGTGTCAATCCTCAAGATTGCAATGCAGGCTTCTAGGGCTGACTTCAAGGACTTCACCTTACTTATAGTAGGTTCCAACACACCTGCATGAACCTCGTCGACAACCTTCCCTCTAATAAGATCTAAACCATAGTTGCGGTAATTGCGTCTCTTAACATCATCAGGCTGGGATTGTTGACTTGCGGCATGATATGACCTTAGCTTCGCAATCAACTCGCTAGAGTCTTTTGCGGCGTTCACAGCTAGTGTCTTTGGAATGACAAGTAAAGCAGCTGCGAACTCTGCAATCGCCAGTTGTTCTCTCGAACCAACTGTTGTTGCAAAGTTGTCCAAGTATATGTTTAGTGCTGTCTCCACTGAACCACCGCCAGGAACAACGTTTCCACTTTCCAGAGTTCTTTTGACTACAGAAAGAGAGTCATGTAGAGACCGTTCCATTTCATCTAGAGAGTAGTCATTAGGCCCACGTAGAATGATAGAAGAAGATGAATGTTTCGAGGTACCCTTGATTAGGATACATTCATCATCTGAGAACTTGGCTTGCGTAACTTCTTGACAAGTACCCAGCGAGCTAGCTTCGAAAGTTTCGTCACCTTCCAAATTCGACATGGACGTTATCAACGTGGCTCCAGTAGCACGGGCGATTCTTCTCAAATCTTCCTTTTTGCATCTTCTCACAGCCATAACTTTGGCTTCGACAAATTCTTTCAAGCACAAATCGTCAATACCCTTGGTAGTCAATACGACGTTAGCGCCGGCATCGATAATTTTCTGAACCCTCTCGAGTACGATTCCAACTTCACGCTTGCGGATCTCTTCAAGTTGTTCAGGATCATCAATGTTGATCTGAACGCCCATTGCCATTCTAGCTTTCTGCAAGTTGATGTCCAAACAGGCAATTTTTACATTGCCCCCATCAATTCGCTTAGGCATGGCTTGAGATGCAACTGTACAGTTCAAAGCATAACCTTGAACAAGTAGCGATTCTCTTGCAGATTTTCCATGAGCCTTTAATATGTTCACGGCCTTAACTGGATACTTAGTTTCACCCTTAGAGTTTTGAGTGCGCACAGCAAGTAAGGAGTCAACTACCATGTTACTAAAGAAGTCTGAATCCGAGCCGATGATTTTGGAGGACATACTAGTTTTAGCGATGTTAACCATAGTTTCCTTACCTAAACCCTCTACGCTCATCGATAAAACCTCGTTAATGTACCGAATAGCTTCTCGAAGGGCCAAACGAAAGCCTGTTATAATGGTCGTAGGATGAATCTTATTTTTCACCAGACTGTTTGCTCTCTTCAAGAGTTCGGAAGCAATAATTACCACGCTAGTGGTACCATCACCGATTTCACGATCTTGTTGCTGAGCAAGCTCCACTAGAATTTTACCAGCAGGATGCTGAACATCAAGGAGAGAAAGAATTGTGGCACCATCATTTGTCACCGTGAAATCTCCGATATCATCCACCAACATTTTATCAAGACCGACGGGGCCTAATGACGATTTCACCACATTGGCCACTGCCAATGCAGCTAAAACGTTCTGATTCCGAATATCATCCCCACTTATCTTTTCACCACCTAAAAATAGGGTGTCTGATCTGGAATTATTGAGAACTTGGGCCATATTGGAATGTGGATTTAGTTGCTCTGCTCTATGATATTCCTACAAACGTTACCTTACGTTTTTCGAGAGGCGAAATTTTTGCCACCTCTACGGGTCTCAGTTAGTTACCCGGATTTTGAATATTTCAAAGAACGTGAATAGCGTGTATATAACCAGTAACAGTGTGTTGAGCATCAACGGACATGATGGATGTGTGTTGTTTATTTGCTCTTTTTAATTAATGTTATACCTTTCTTTAACAAAAGAATTGTTCCATAATGCTTTCCATTACTCGGCAATTTCTACAAACCCTTCTGTGCACCGATCTCTTTAACTTTAGGAAGAGCGTAAAGTACAGACATAGTATTTTAATCCTTCAAGCATTTATATTGCAGATTTAACTAGTTTTCAGATGCTTACCGTAAAGGTTCGAGACTGAGTGCTCTCATGAGTAGAACACCCTCGTTTTGGGCTGCAAGATTGCGGTGCGCATACGAGTGCTGAATCGGGCAAAGAATTCCAAGTTCACAAATTCAAATCCTTCAAGTTCTTATTATCTATCGCTTTTGTAGAAGGGGACGGTGTCGAATACTACTAACCCTATTGATTTTTCTTGCCTTTAAGTTTCTGCATTATCTAATATGGTCATGAAAACAATGGCCCGTACGATAGCTCAGAGATGGTCGTAAGCCCCTCTATTTTCATTCGTCTAAGTTGTTTTAGTTTCGTACCTACAAAAACTAGAAAATACGTGATGAATCGATTCTCTCTCGTTTATCGGACTTGTACAAGTCAGTAAACGTCGAAATGTCGATGAAGCTATAGCTAACAAATCAAAAAACTACGAATTCGTGAAGGCTCATCAAGTATGACCTATGCATGCAATGAAAGAACCTCAACTTATGAAGGGCCACGCGACAACCTTCGCCCCTATAAAATAGTACACTTCTTGCTCTTCTTGATCACCGGAGGTTCGAGTGCAGCGACTATGGCTTCATCAAAAACATTCTTGAGACCACGTTGTGTCAAAGCAGAGCATTCCACATACTTCACGGCTCTTAGTTCTCTAGCGAGCCTTTCACCTTGTTCCGGTGTAATCGGACGTAGCCTTTGTCTCTGCAGCTTCTCGATGATGACCTTATCGTCTCTTAAATCTATCTGCGTACCAACAATCAGGCATGGAACGCCTGGACAGTGGTGATGCACTTCTGGGAACCACTTTTCCTTGACGTTTTCGAAAGATGGCGGTGAGATCACGCTGAAGCATACAAGGAAAACATCTGTGGAAGGATACGATAATGGTCTCAATCTATCGTAATCTTCTTGACCAGCTGTATCAAATAAACCCAATGTGTAAGGCTCATCTCCAATCATAACGGTCACGGCGTAATTGTCAAATACAGTTGGGACATAATCAGCCGGAAATTGATTGGTTGTATATGAGATTAACAAACACGTCTTACCGACGGCACCATCACCTACCACAACACACTTAAGGGTTTGCATTATTCGGTTTTTTTCTTATGCGTTGTCTGGTAACTTAACTACTTGTCCAGCAATCGGGTTGTTTTCGGTATAAGTTCATCCTCCTTGATAACATTTTTCTTGTTCGACTTCGAAACGGTGCTTTTTAGGAAGCCATCTTTTTCCCGCTAAAAAAAAGCCGGGTAAATGTATCGCCGCAAAAGAACACGTTTTGGGATAATTCAAGATTGGCGCCTCGAGGCTTCATAAACTGCTATTGATGCATGGTGTAGAACCAAAACAGGATTTGCGTTCCGCGGTCTGCGCAACCAAGCTACTGAACAGTTGACAACTCAAAACCTATGGCTTGAGAGGGGAGCCTCGTGTTGATAGTATATAATGTACACATGTCGTCTAGTTTTCATCGCTTTCACTTTCATCGGACTCTTCCTCCTCCGATTCCTCGTCAGCATTCTTTAGCCACTCAACCCATTTGGCTGTGAGCGTTTTAACCTTCTCCAGCTCTGGGTCCTGAGAAACGCCATCCCACCATTGATAAATGACATCTTCATCTAATATATCTCTGTCGTAGAGGCAATTCAACGCGCTGAAAAGAATAAACTCTGGCTTCTCGAAATTTTGCTTGGATACTTTCTCGAGAATTAAGTCCATCAAATCAACAAATTCATCAGCGTCAAAAGCCTGTCTCTTGAAGAGCATACCCCACTGGCCAAAAACTTTTGCGACTGCGTCTTTGGGACCAAGGGTCTGCGTAGCAATGAAATGGTATACCCTTCTAAGTAAGGCTGCAACAGTTGCCGACCTAACTTCGTGATATGTAACATTCATACTCATTCTGAGAGTATTTAGCTCTAACAAAGCTGTATCCAGGTCATGATTATTCTCCATTGCTCTTTCGACGGTGGCAATAGCTTCTTTCTCGAAATCTTCATCTTCTTCTTCGAGCCCATCCTCAGCTTCTCTGTCTGTTGTCATGCTTGTTGTTGACATTGTTCTTCTCTTTCTATGCTTGGTGGATGCAGAGGAAGTGGAGTCATCACTAAAGTATAGATTCTCAATGCGATACGTCAAAGTATTTGTGACCCTGTCTAAAATACTATCCTCGTCGTCAATGTCTGAATAATCACTCTCGTATATGTACCCGGTTCCACCTTCACCAACGAGATCTGTGGCTGGTTCGATCAGGTGCTTTTGTTCCCGATCACTGATATCCTCTTCATCAGTGTAAGACCCATCATCAAGGAAAGGGCTTGGCATTTTTTGCACTGGGAGCTCAGAAATCCTAGTACCGTTTGGAATAGTTTTCCCATCATCAACAGTAACGTTAAAACCGATAACACATCCATCTTCCAAAGTGACATTCCTTCCAATCTTCACTCCAGATGCTACAATGGAATGTTCGATCATAGAGTTGTCTAGTATTACGGAATCATCCCAAATATAGCTATTCTTGATGATGATATTCTCGCCAATTTGGCAGTTCTTGCCAATCACTGAATTCTCAATAAAAGTCCCTTCACCAATTTTAGAACCTGAGCCAATCGCTGTGTGTTTGCCAATCTTACACGATTGGGCCAATACTACATCCCTTTCTTTATAAATATGCTGTGACTCATAAGAGTAAGTTTGGTCTTCAAGTAAGTTCGAGTTCAGCACCAGAGGATAGCACCACCTCGCAATAAAGTCTTGTGAAATCGCATCGTATGTCTGCCAACTTTCAGCTCTGGCAGCGTAGTCATCTGTGATGTATGCATATATGCTCTTCTTCAACAGATCGCTGGATAAAACACCCTTTACAAAGTCTCTACGCAAAAACTGGTAGTCAAAGTTCTCTTGGAAAATGGGTGGAACATGAGGGGAGCAGATATCGACATGACAGTCAATCAAATCATTTCTAATCACAAACTCATCGACATCCTCTAAGAGCTCTGGATCAATTGCAACGGAGCTTTTTTTCTTTGAACTGGCAAAAGGGATATCTTGGTAATAAAGACATTTGTCATTAGACTTGTCAAGAATAAATGCTGCAGGCTCATGGGATCTAGTTCTGAAAAATTGGGTGGCTTTACTGAGACACATTGTGACGATGTGATCTTTGTCTTCTGCTTTCTTCTTTCTATGAAATTCCAGCGCCTTGTCAAACTCCATGTTGGTGACTAAGTCACCGCTGACCAAAATGAAATCGCCCGTTATTATGCCTCTGTTATCAATATCACGCATAGCATCACCAACGGACCTAGATTCAAGAGACATAATAGTAGATACTTTAAATGGAGACCAGGGTAAATTCCATTTAGAATTCTCCAGATACTCGTTCACCTGGTCTGCATGGGAAGCACAAACCAGATAAACTTCGCTTGCACCTGCCTTTGCTAAGAATTCCAATGTGTACTCGATTAATGGGACGTTTGCTAATGGAAGCAAACACCTTGGCATTACTGATGTCAAAGGCATGAATCTAGTTTGAAAAGAGTCCGTCATTACAATTGCTTGTAATCTCTCATCTTGAACAGCTTCATTTCCTTTACCACCGTTGGCAGATTTATTTGCGACCTTCCCTTTTCTTGGAGGCATCGAAGCTAGATATTGTTATCTGATGGAGATGTTTAATCAGTTCACTTGAATCACTCATCGATGCAGATGTATCACAGACCTTCAAAATTTTCAGAAAAAAGAGCATTACCCTGCCACTAAAAAGTGGCAGCGAAAAATAAAAATGAAAGTGCTCGAGGTGGGGTTCGAACCCACGACGGTCGCGTTGCTTTGTGTTCACCTCCCTTGTGAGGAGGCGGCCTTGTGAAGGGCCCTGTTCACAGAAAGCTTCGGAGTAATGCCGAATGCCTCTATAAGCACGAAGCTCTAACCACTGAGCTACACGAGCATTTTCGAAAGAGGTAACACACCAGCAGAGTATATATAGGAGAATATTTTTTCCTTCGCATGACAATAATCAATGGACAGATGTCTAGTAGCATCTATGCCCTCTTATTAATAGTGAAAGATCGTGTTGGAACGAAATACAACTATCGACCATCGACTAGTATTCGTGTTACTAGTATATTATCACACACGGTGTTTTAAGATGACATAAAGAATGAGAAACGGTCATCGAAATTAGTGGAAGCTGAAGCGCAAGGATTGATAATGTAATAGGATAATGAATGAAAATGTATAAAAGGAACAGAAAGAGTAAGAATATTTGTAAGTAGAATTATTGACTCTTCTTTCTGGATTCTTAGAAAGATGAGGAGAACTTCCAGTATAACCATATACCAATAATTATAGCCTTAATCAAAAATGGAATCCCAACAATTATCTCAATATTCACCCATTTCTCAGTTAACATTATAAGTAAGCTAAGAGTAGAGCGTCAAAATTTAATTGGGAGTTCAAATGATGAATGACCGATTAAAAAGCACCACGTTATTTGCGTCGAATTATGGTGAGAGTAGCTATCTAGGAAATTTATAGCATCAGTTCTTGTTTCTATGGCAGTGTTCATAAACTTATTTTAATGTTAATCTCAAGTAAGATACTTTGGTTGATTGTTTATTTTTCCCTTGGTATTTTGTAGGATTACCACGCCCTAAAAATTTGTGTTTTAATTTGATTGTCTGTGTTTAGTAAATAATAAACTTCGTCTAATGAGATGAAAAGAGACTATTCAAGGAAAATCTGATAATAAAACATTGCAAGCGACATACCAAGAGATTGAGACGCAACCATGTACAGTAAAAATTATTAATCGCTAATCTCCCCTCTTCTATCTGCAGTTGGTCATCTTCTCAAAAATACTCTAAATTATGACATCTAAATAAAAACTACGATTCACGAGACTCATCAGAAGATATTAAATGTACTACATTTTATGAAACTAGGCAGAATAAATGGCCTGAAACTGAATTTTCAGCCACCGACCACCAGTTTATATAGATGCCAAGAAAACTCAACTTTTTTATACCCTGAAACTCCACGTGCAAAGTTCGCGACTGGATTGCTAATGGTAGACTATTTGCTAACATTAGAAGGCATCGCCACATAGCATCTCAAGGATACAACAACAACATAAGGCTTTGCAGCAAGTTCCCATGCAGCTAGATTCCTCCTTTGGTGGCTGTTGCTGCACATACATGGGTTGGCCCTGTTGTTGATAGTAACCACCTTGTGGAGGGCCACCTTGATAACCTTGTGGAGGACTACCTTGGTAACCTTGTGGTGGACCACCCTGGTAGCCACCTGGTGGTGGAGGTGGGGGACCCTGCTGATAGTAACCTTGATTATTCATTGATCGTGGCTATGCTTGAGTAGTTTGGAATTCTGTTTCAAGTATTTTTGTTTTTCCCGTTTATTAAACTTTGCAGCAACAGCCGTGTGTGTTGCCATAGTCAGCTCGAAAACATTACCCGGTTCTAAGCATGCAGGGAAGCATGCGAAAATACGGAGCGGTTTCTCGACAAGCCGTACCGACCGAATACATGCGATTCAAAAAATCTAAATTAATACATTAATTTACAAAGACTGCGTTTTTATATTTGTTGGGATTATTTGGATATGTACTACTCAAATGCAGTTGAAGCTCCAAATAATCCTTTCAGTAATGCAATATTTTACAGATTAAACAGAGACAATCTTTTGAATTTTTTTCCTCGTTAGCCTAAACTGCTTCTGCTACAGAATAAAAGCTTCCTTACAATCTCTGAGTTCCTGTCCCATGCAATATAAATAGCCTTGCCTAAAGCCATTTTTAGTATTGCCAAATTATTTATCCTTGTACGGTTCGACCTCTGGATGGTCTTTGTACTTCTTACTAGGCTGTCGGTTGACAGAGTTTTCTATGAACTCGTAAAACCTTTCACCATAATCATCCGGTGGTACAGCGCTTATCCCCTTTAGATCGTGGCTGAGACCACGCCAAAACGTTTCAAGTTTTTTGATCATTGAGTAATTTGTCAAACAATCAATGATCCCAATGTAGTAAATTTTATTGAGATCATTGTTTAACTGATCGGACGCGCGTATTCCACCTTCGTCGCTTTGAAAAAAATGTTGAACGGCAGATGCTGACTGTTGACGATGCTGCTGAGCAACTGATTCACGATTTACCTCCTTTAGTTTTGGAGAATTGGGTGAAAACATAGTAAGCCGATTATGTTCATCGAGTAGATCGTTGCCGCGCTCCATATCATGGACACCAAGCAAGAGTGAGTAGTCCATGGTATTCAAACGAGCTAGTAAATCAACGTCCTTCCTCAATTGCACCAGGAACTTCTTTTTCTTGTAAGGACCGAAGTCTATGCTTCTTTCTTGTTCCAGCCAATTCAAATCCTTCAATACAGGCCTGTGGGTATCATCTTCGCCAGTGTTGTTTGGGGCGACTTTGGTGTAACGCCCCCATGTTGAACCTTTTAAGTCAAAAGTGGTGTGAATCTCCAAATGTGGAGGGAATAAGTTATTCATCACCAGAAAGTATATTTTTCGATGCTTTATCTTACTTTTAAAAGACATAGGCATTTTGACACGATGCAAACCATAAAATTGAGATATTAGAGTGTTAGGGTTTTCCTTGATGTGATTATAGTATTCCATTAGAGTTTTCCTCAAGTGGCGATGCTCTGAATGATGGATAGTCTTGATGATATATTTGTAATCTCTGCTGAAATAAAAAAATGATCCACTTTTACCGGGTGAATTTAATTCACTCAGAATGTATTTGGAAGTTAAGGACATGAGATAATCTGCCGGATCCAAGCCAAATAGGGCACGAAGTTCACGAAACACTTCTGGACAGTAATCCTTGAATTTGAAGGCATACTGAGAGCTTGGTGTAAGCTCGTTACCATGGAAATCGAATGCCAGTTTTTTAGTGAATCTAAAATCGCGTGGAGTTAATGGCTTCATTATCCCAGAACATCTAGAAACTGCCACACGAATACCTGTAAGCATGTTATAGGCTATAGTGAAGTTAACGTGCCCTTCACTTACTTTATTCCCAATTAAAACTCTGTCGTCATCTAGGAAATTTTTTTGTTTCTTACGCATCTCACGCTTCTGAAGTAGAGATTCACGCATTTTCTTTATTTCTGCAGTAGCAGACTCGGATCTCTTCAATGAACCGTCGTTAATCACGTTGGGACGATTATCCACGGGGAGAGAGTGCACAGAGCCCGCACGGCTGCTATCAGTGGCAGTTCCAGTTGGACTGGGCTCCGGAACTGGCATTATCCGAGCATGCTTATCAGAATGGAATGGTATATGGCGTATGGAATCCTGGGTAGTCCTTCGAGCGAGTTTTGGGCGTGACGTGTTCCCATTCAAGAGTACTTTATCATCATTCAAATCCTGTATGAATGAACCATTTTCAACCACACTACTATCTTCCAACATACTCCCATTATCGGATTTATTGCTAGCACCAAATTTGGATGCCCTTTTATCTGAACTTTCCGGGGTTTTCATATTGTCAACAGAATTGCTCCGCGCTCCTTGCGCCAATTGGAATTTGCTAAGTTGATCTCGCAGAGAGGCGGTATCCTGCAACTCCGCAGCTTTTCCTGCAACATCCAACAACGCAATCTGCTGCGCATTGACATTTTTTTCTAGCGGATCTACCGCTATGTCGCCGTTTCTTGTGTCTCGCAGCTTGCCGTAACTCTCGACGGAAGTGGGTGATGAATAGCAGCGACGTTCTTGTGACGATCTAGGTGTATTAGAGTTGGAATCTCTTCGCTCGTACTCCTCTTCCAGCACAAGAGACATCACCTTTTACCTGCTGTGTGTAATTGGTGTTTGTCGAGGGGTGCCAATTATGGCTAAAAACAATACACCAGGATAATGAAAATTTTCGACCGCCATCGAGAATTTACCGGCGCTGCTGCCTTTTGTGGCCAAACACGTGAGAAACACGTGAACTTGTCTGAAAAAAAATAGCTCGAAAACTCTCGAAATGTTCAGCAATTCTTTTGGTAAGATGAAAGAAAACATTCCTTAGGGTATTGTGGTGTATATAAGAGGGTATAAGGTTCGGCGTCAACCGTAATAAAAGAAAGAAGCTGTTGAAAAATGACCAAGACATAAATGCAGCGACTTGGAACGCACTTTAGAGGGCCTTAGGGTCGCGTTGGCCTTTCGGATGCAGGGCTCTCAAGCAGTGCAAAAACCGAGCGTATTCCTCCGTATGGCGTGCATGCAATAATTGGTGCGTTTGAATTCTTCTGGAAAAAATTTCTGGAACGAATAAGCAAAATGGTGAATGGGCAGTTTTATTTGAGAATGTCTGGAACACATTACATGAAGTAGTATATAGACTCTTGCCGAAGGAAGCACGATCTGAAATTTTTGTCGCATTAGAGCTAAGGTACGTGAACGAGAAATTTACGCGGATCTCGAGAATTGATCGATTGGAGCTTTATCGATTCCAACGACGAGTTTACAAGGTCCATGCACTACTGCTTGCATGACTGCCAGCACTTATGCTCGGAGGACCCCGGAGTTAACAGGTTGACAGGGTGACCAGATTCCAGGTAAACATCACCTGGAACGATGATCTGTTTCGGGAAAATCGGACGCGTGCCGGCGACGATCCAGGCAATACTGGAGGAACTCGGAGTTGCACTATCTCAATCTTTAATAAGTGAGACCCAATACTTCGGGGTTGCCACTAATAGACGATTTGTTACAGAATATCAAAGCTTGAGGAGAGCTTTAGCTCCCTTCCACGTATTTCGTGTGGCCAGATTACATAGAGGCCAAAGAATTGGACTATTGCAACACCCAAGGTCCCTCAACAGTGTGTACCTCAAGCGTGAAATAATCTGTTGAAATCTTGTGTACAATAGGTTGAAGTTATAAATAGTTCTTACCGTGGTCTCAAACGTCCCGTAATATTAGAAGCGTTTTGCCGCTTGCTTGATAACACGATGCTTTCAGCAGTGCCTTCGGAAAGAGCAAAAGAATTCGGCGAGTCGGTGGAAAGATAGCGAATCCCCGAAAAATAATCGCCGTGCTGCCCAACACGATAGTTCGGCTCAAGGAAGGACCACATAAGCATATGTCATTGAATTTATCTAACTGAGATATCAAAGCCACCCCTGATAGATTGTTTCCACTAGAAAAATTCGCGTAGGGTTGTGGGGAATGGCGAATTAGGCAAAGAAGCAGGCTTCTTGAAATTAGGTCAGATGACTCATTTGAGCCCTGCTCGATATCGTTGTGCTCGAGCCACAGTTGCTGCGCCAATCTTAATTCGTTTGCTAATGCTGCTTCTCCCCCCGTGCGTTCGTGATGCCCCACCGCGCTGTGTCCCGTCATCCACTTTGCTTTTTCCGATGACAAAAAACTTTATTGCGATGCCTTTGGCGGCCGAACTCAAATATGCTTCGGTAATCAAGTCACAGAAACGCAGGAAGGCGCTCAGAGGACTCTGAGCACAAGACGGTAAATGGGTGAATTCACATGTGAGGCAGCAGCCTTTGAAATCTGATTATTCGTGTCGGTATGGGAGAGTTAGCGATCAGCATGATGGACGCTTATCAATTGCTCGAGCCCATCCATGCGTGGTTATCTAAGTCACACTAGGCCTCGGGTTTAGCTTGTCTCTTCCGCATCCGCGGAGGCTGAAGTCGAATCTTTGATCATTCGGAACAACTCCCGTCCCCCACGTTACCATTTCCCCGCACAGATCCCACGGGGTGCCGTTGGAAGGGTCTTGCGTCGCTTTCTACGTCCAGCTGGAACTAAGGGGTACAACTGGCACGCTCAGAACTCGCCTCATCGCGATAGCCACGTGCGCTTATCATCAAGGGTGCGGCACCACAGAGCGCTGCAGGACTTTCTGAGAGAATTCTGTGCAGCAGCAAAAATATCTTACATAAGCAAATGACTTTGGGCAAAAAAGTGTCTGTCATGGTCAGGGTCCACTTAAACTATGGTGGCTGTGTCACAAACGAGTGATAACGCCAGGTAGCGCCGTGTGCTCGTGACCGAACGCAACTATTACTGCAAGAAGCATATAAAGGATCGAGTTTTTCGGGGAATCGGGGGTTTAAGGAGTTTAAGTTAATTATATTAGTCATTTAGCTTAGTCCTCTGTATTGCAATCTTGTTTTGCAGCTGTATATTTTGACAATAAGCATAGCATGTCTAGACAAATTGACAAAGAAAGCGATAATCAACAAACAGGAATGGTTGAAAGCGGCCGCGACCGGTTTAGCAGGTCGGATTTCCATACCCTCAGAATAAACGAGGTGGTACAAGCGCTCGGTACCAACATCACCAGCGGCCTCAACACGCACGAAGCCGAAGCGCGACTCCATCTGATCGGTGAGAACACGCTGGGCGACGACTCGAAGATCGACATCAAGAGTATTTTGATCCACCAGATATGTAACGCCATGATTATGGTGCTGTTCATCTCGATGGTGATCACGCTTGCTATTCGCGACTGGATTTCGGGTGGTGTCATCGCATTTGTGGTTTTCATAAACGTGTTCATTGGTTCTGTCCAGGAGTACAAGGCCTCCAAGACGATGAACTCCCTAAAGTCGCTGAGCACGCCGTCTGCGCACGTTGTGCGTGATGGCTCGGACGAAACAATCCCAAGTAAGTTGCTAGTGCCTGGCGACGTGTGTCACGTCAAGGCCGGTGACACCGTTCCAGCAGATTTGCGTTTGGTAGACTGCCTCAATTTCGAAACTGACGAGGCTCTTCTCACAGGTGAGTCGCTACCAATTGCCAAAGACGAAAATCAAACATACGGGTTGACCGACGACGTGCCCGTGGGCGATAGGTTAAATCTTGCCTACGCGAGTTCCACTGTGTCCAAGGGAAGAGCTACAGGTATAGTTATCAAAACTGGACTCACTACTGAAATTGGTAAAATCGCTGAAAGTTTGCAAACTAAAAAATCTTTAATATCAAAAGATACTAATAAAACTTTTTGGCAAAACGCCTACATAACTTTGAAGGATAGTGTCGGATCCTTCTTAGGCACTAATATCGGCACGCCACTTCACAGGAAACTTTCCAAGCTGGCTGTTTTGCTTTTCTGCATTGCAGTTGTATTTGCCATTGTGGTTATGGGTACTCAAAAGTACCAGGTCAACAAAGAAGTTGCCATTTACGCTATTTGTGTGGCTGTATCCATGATTCCATCTTCCTTGGTTGTTGTATTGACCATCACTATGGCAGTGGGAGCAAAGATTATGGCCACGAGAAACGTTGTGGTGAGAAAACTCGATTCTCTAGAAGCGTTAGGTGCGGTTAATGATATTTGTTCCGACAAGACAGGAACTTTGACGCAAGGGAAGATGATTGTTAAGCAAGTGTGGGTCCCTTCATTTGGTACTGTTTCAGTGTCAGAATCCCACGAGCCTTTCAACCCCACCGAGGGCATTATAGATTTGATTCCCAAATTTTCTCCTTATCAGTTCAAACACGACGACAGCGAAGACGTGGGTATCATTACTGATTTCAAACAGAAATTACAAGGGCACTCGTTACCTGAAAATTTGAACCCGGTAGTTTTTGAAAATTGGTTAAAGACTGCGACACTTGCCAACATCGCATTTGTTTTCCAAGATGAGGAAACTGGAGAATGGAAAGCTCACGGAGATCCTACGGAAATCGCCATTCAAGTCTTTGCAGCTAGAATGGATTTACCAAGAGCTACACTGACCGGCGAAGGTCGAGATGAGGAGAGCTCTGATGACGATGAGTTCAAGACATATGAGCACGCTGCAGAGTTCCCCTTTGACTCGTCCATCAAGAGAATGTCGGCCGTCTACGTAAACTTGGAAAACAACAACTCCTACCATGTATACACCAAGGGTGCTTTTGAAAGAGTATTGAGCTGTTGTGACACATGGCTCCCCACTGGAAATGAAAACGAGCCCCAAGAATTGACCGACGAAGATTTGGAAACTATTTATAAGAATGTGGAAGTTTTGTCCTCAGAAGGGTTAAGAGTACTAGCATTTGCCACGAAGCAGTTCTCGGAAGGAGAAGCCAAAGAATTGGGAGACAAGCTCCTCAAAGATCGTGATTTTGTGGAAAGTGGGCTAACTTTCCAAGGCCTGGTTGGCATTTACGATCCTCCCAGATTGGAAACCGCAGGTGCAGTTAAAAAATGTCACAAAGCTGGTATCAACGTCCACATGTTGACGGGTGATTTCCCAGGTACAGCTAAAGCTATAGCACAGGAGGTGGGCATTTTACCCCACAACCTATACCACTACCCAAAAGAAGTTGTGGACACGATGGTAATGACGGCGTCCCAATTCGATGAGTTAACCGATGAAGAAATTGATGCATTGCCCGTTCTGCCTTTGGTGATCGCGCGGTGTGCGCCCCAAACAAAAGTGAGAATGATCGATGCGTTGCACCGTAGAGATAAATTTTGTGCGATGACCGGTGACGGTGTCAATGACTCCCCCAGTTTGAAGAAAGCCAATGTGGGGATTGCCATGGGAATCAACGGTTCCGACGTGGCGAAGGACGCGTCCGACATTGTATTGAGTGACGACAACTTTGCATCCATCTTGAATGCGGTGGAAGAAGGCAGAAGAATGAGTGATAACATCCAGAAATTCGTGCTACAATTGCTGGCAGAAAACGTCGCGCAAGCGTTGTACCTGATGATCGGACTTTGCTTCTTGGACGACGAGGGACTTTCGGTTTTTCCACTTTCGCCCGTGGAAGTGCTTTGGATCATCGTGATCACGTCGTGTTTCCCCGCCATGGGGTTGGGGCTGGAAAAGTCTTCGCCGGACATCATGGACAAGCCGCCCAAGGACGGCAAGTCGGGCATTTTCACGTGGGAAGTGATCGTGGACATGATGGTGTACGGGGTGTGGATGGCGGCGTGCTGTCTGGGTTGTTTTGTCTCGATCATCTACGGCAAGGGCGACGGGCAACTGGGCTACAATTGTAACAACTCGTACAACGAGTCGTGCCACTACGTTTTCAAGGGCCGTGCTGCGACGTTTGCGACGATGACGTGGTGCGCGCTCATCCTCGCGTGGGAGGTGGTGGACATGAGACGCTCGTTTTTCAAGATGCAGCCGGAGACGGACACGCCGTACACGCAATGGATGAAAGACGTGTGGTCCAACCAGTTTTTGTTCTGGTCGATCGTGTTTGGGTTCTGCTCGGTGTTCCCCGTGGTGTACATTCCCGTGATTAGCACGAGCGTTTTCTTGCACTCAGGAATCGGGTACGAGTGGGGGGTTGCGTTTGCGTTCACGGTTGCGTTTTGGATCGGAGCCGAGGCCTACAAGTACAGCAAGAGACTGTTTTACCGCAACAGGGATCAGGTCGAGAACCCGGAGAAGGATCTTGAAAAAAGACGTGTGTACGATCCGTTTGAAAAATACAACACCGCCACGTCGGGCAGCACCACTTTGCAAATCACGGAGCGCATGTCGCAAAAAGTGTGATGTGCCGAGGCGCTCGGAGTGGGCAGAGAGGCAAATAAACTGTATAATATGTATGCGTAAGATACCTATATGAAATAGAGTACGGGATGTTGCGAGGTGGGCACGACGAGGCGGGTACTACGAGACGCGAGGGCGGCTGCCACTACTCCAGCGACGCCAACGCCTCTTCGAGCAATGCAGCAGCACGCTCCACGTCCTCAAACGTGTTATAGAGGGGCGCGGGCGCGATGCGGATCACGTCGGGCCGGCGCTCGTCCACAATCACGCCGCGCTGGTTGAGGTACGCAAAAACGCGCTCCATTGTGTCGCGACGCGCGTCGTCGGAGTGCGGGAAGAACAAAAGCGACAATTGCGCGCCGTGTTCGCGCGCGTCCAGGGGCGTGATGATCGTGAAGCCGGGTGCGGCCGAAGGTGCGGCCGCCGCCGGCGGCCGCGCATGGTAGAACCGCGACGCTTGCAACAGCTCGAGCAAACGGCCGGTGAGCAACAGGGAGCGCTTACGGACGGCGTCGATGCCGCCGAAATCGCGAAAGATCTCCAGCGACGCGCGCAGCGCCACCACGTCCACGACGCTGGGGTTGGATTGGCGGAACCCGAGGGCCCCGGGGATCGGCTCGAAATGCTCTTTCATTTGGAACCGGCGCTCGCGGTTGTTACCCCACCAGCCGGCGAGACGGGGCATCAGCTCGGCGGCTATCTTGCTGTCGCTGTCGCTGGGGCCGGTGTCGGCGCCGCTGGCGCCGCCGGCGTGCCGCTCATGCACAAAGACGCCGGCGATACCGCCGGGCCCGGCGTTAAGGTACTTGTAGGAGCACCAGCACGCAAAGTCGACCCCCCAATCGTGCAGCTGCAGCGGAACGTTGCCCACGGCGTGCGCCAAGTCCCATCCAACAACCACGTTGGGGAACTGGTGCGCATGACGTGTGATGCGCTCCATGTCGAACCATTGGCCCGTGTAATACTGCACGCCGGGCAGGCAGACGAGCGCAAGCGAGTCTGCATGCTCGGAGATGGCGGCAAGAACGTCGTCTGTGCGCAAATACGTCTCGCCCGCACGCGGCTCGAGCCGCACCAGCGCGTCGTCGGCGCGAAGCCCGTGCAGCGCGCACTGGTTGAAGAAAGCGTAGAAGTCGGAAGGAAACGCGCCCTTTTCGCACAAGATCTTGAAGCGGGACGCGGTGGGCCGGTAAAACGCCACCAACAGCGCATTGAGGTTGGCCGTCAACGAGCCCATCACCGCGACCTCGTGCTCGCGCGCGCCCACGAGCGGCGGCATGAGCCTCGACAGCGGCAAGTCGATGTCGACCCACGACGTAAATCCGTCGGGCTCGCCGCTGTGCCGGAAATGCGACTCCACGCCGCGCTCCGCCCACGCGTCCAGCTCGCGATTGATCGCTGCCCGGGTGCTGCGCGGCATGCATCCGAGCGAGTTGCCGCAGAGGTAGTGCGTAGGGGCGGTGGGGTCGGCGGCCGCGGGCAGCGGCAGGCCCATTGAGCCGAAGGTCGGAATGCAAAACGCGTCGCGATGCGTCGCAGGGTACTCTTGGTCCAGGGAAGCGGGGGACATGCTGATCTCGCTAGCTGGCTGCGGGCGCGGACGGTGGGGTGGCGCTTGACGCTGGGCGATTGAGAAAAAGGTGGGAGCACGCGCCGTGGAGAGTGACACGCGTCCGAAGTGACCTCCGTGCAAGGCGACCCGCCCGCGCGACGCCATCCTCCTCCTTCTCCTTTCGCCCGCCCCGCGCTCCCCACCCCTGCAGCGCCTGCGTCACGCCGGCCCAGACGGCCGCGCGGCGCGAAACCCGTCCGGTCGCCTCGGGTTTCGCACAGAACCGCCCGCAGCGCCCGCACGCTGCCCGCCGGGTACTTGCCGCACGTGGCTCCGTGGGCCCCCGTGTTAGAATCGGCGACACGGCGGCGGCCCTTCGGGCCGCCACCGTCGTAGCCGCTGAGCAGCCAAAGCGTTCCGTGAGGCGTGATGCCCGGCCGTCGGCCTGAGCCTCGAACACGGTGTCTGCCGACACTGCGCTCCGTGCACGAGTGCCGGGTGCAAGGAGCTTGGGCCGCCCGAGGCGGCCCAAACGCTGCGACGTTTCTTCACCAAACCATCCCCCCCTTTCCCGCCCCTGGCACGGCGTCGCGCGGCATGCTGCGTCGCACGCACGCGGTTGCAGCCGCCTCTGCCGCCCCTCTCCCGTCGCGCCGTGCGTCGTGCTCTTGAGAAAATTTTTTCCCGCCCAGCGAAGGGGTATCGAAAAGGAGCATGTACCACCGCCAACAACACCAAGGTCGCGCCAAGCAGCACACACACGCTCCCAGCGCGTCATGCAACAGCTCGAAGACGCTAATTCGCACGTGGTCAGTGCTCTGGACCCGGCCACGCCCTCTGGTAGCTCTCCTGAGACGGTAGGCGGCGGTCTCCAGCCGCCCACACCGCGACACGTTCCGCTAACCGCCCACATTACCTCGACCGCCACGCCTGCCGACAAGCTGCCGCCGACAACGCGTCCCACGTCGGTTCCCAACAACACGCCCGCGCAGAGCCCCGAGCTGCGTGGTGCAGCGCGCGTGGAGCGCGCTGCTTCTGCCCAACTTGCCGCGCTGCCGCCGCCTGTTGCGCGCCTCCACGACGCGGGCGCCCGTGAGCGAATCCGGGGCGGCGGCAATGGCGGCGGAGAAAGCGACGGAGAAAGCGGCGGAGAAAACGACGACGACGCGGGGCACGTGACCGGAGAGCCGGCGCGGCAGCAGCCCGAGGTCGCGTCGCACGGCGGCCGCGGCCGTGGCGCCGGTTCCGGGCCCGCGCCCGGCCCCGACATCGACACCGACACTGGCAGTGCCTCCGCCGACCGCACTCCCACCGCGACCGCTGCCACCCCTGTGGAACCCGCCGACCGCGCTCCGCTTCCGGCCGAACCCGCTCCGCTGCCTGCCGCCGCGCTGTCGCGCGGCGGCCCGCTGCAATTGCCCCACATCTCCACCTTGCTGTCGCTGCCCGAATCACAGGAAATGCGTGGCAACTCCCCCAACTCGATTCTGAACCGCCGCAACATCTTCACCACCTCCGATTCCCGCGGAAGCACGCGCAGTGCCGACATAGAGGACCAAGGGGCGCTTAGCGCGATCAACGCTGGCGCGGACCCCAATTTTTCTGCCCACTCTGCCGCCAACGCGGCCGCGACCATCTCATCCATACCGGTAGATCGCGACGTTGTGACGCCCAACCGTTTCTATTTCAACAACAACCGCTCTGCCACCGACCCCCACGCCAGTCAAGACCATGGCAACAAAATCAACATCTCTTCTCTTCTCAATTCGCGCGGCGAAGACACTTACACACTCAGGACGGGCGCAGAGCCCACTTCATCTCCCGCATACAGCGGCGTACTTGACGACGACGCAATGGACGTAGACGACGTGAAACCAATCTCTGCTGGCAGTGCCGGCAGCGCGGGCGCCGTGCCCGTGACAACCCCCAAATACATCAACTCCAAGCTCGACGAGGTACGATCTCGTATGCTACTTGGTCCCAAACGTCAAACGTCGCCCCTCTGGACTTCTCCGCGTTGCGACGATCTCGGCGCTGCCGCCATCATCACTAAGATGCGGTCCTCACCTTACGCTGCTCCAGATGACACAAACTCAAGTCGACCGGGATCTGCCAGTTACAGATCACACGCCAGACCCGTGATTCGCATAAACCAACGCGAATACGAGCCCGACGAAAGCGACGAACACGCTGTAATCGAGGACGACACAGAAGACGAGTACCGCGAACTCCCCAGCGAAAACCGGGGTTCAGACAAAATCACGTGGAACAAGAGCGGGATGAAGAGAAGAGTTACAAGGCGCCAATCAGCTCCAACCGTTAATGTTAAGCGCAGGCACTCCGGCAGTGACGGGTTTACGGGCGAAATGCGCAGCTCTCGCCATTCCTCTACTTCTTCGACATCAACCGTCACCTCTCTCTTGTCTGCAGCTGCACTTCTTGGGAAAGTGCCTTCTGGCGCATCTGAATTAACTGTTCCCACGTCTCCTACTGGAAGAGATAAGCCGAAAAGAAAAAACACATCTGGATCTCGTTCTCGAACCGGTTGTTGGATTTGCAGACTACGTAAGAAAAAGTGTTCTGAAGAGAAACCAAATTGTCACAATTGCCTCAGATTAAATCTAGAGTGCTTTTATGACATTGTCAAACCAGACTTTATCTCGGACCCTGCTAAGAAGAATGAAAAACTTGAAGAAATCAAGAAAAAAACAAAGGAAGCCAAACGCATGGCTATGCGAAGAAGACCTTGATAAGAGGCGTACAATCAATGAGGGTTGTATAATTTTTTTTTCTACAGATGGAGAAGGGTTTAATCAAACCATCAAGAAGAAAAAAATTGTGTATATAAGTTAGAGTTTTAGTGTTATCTAAGCAAAAATGGACGTTAGTGTTGTGATCTTTTATCAAATTATAGATCGGAGTCTTTTCAGTTCATCTTTGGCGGATACACATACCCTCCTAAAGGTATCTGTGCCACACCATTTTGATTAGGATATGAATACTGTGGTGCACCCAATCCTGGTGGTGGTTGCTGTATTGTAGGTACTTGAGAGAAAGGTACCATCATGCCATTATAGACCATCCCTGGTTGATAACCTTGAGCCCAGTATTGCATATAGTTGGCGTGTTCGATCCTCGTATGTGGCAAAGCAGCAGGCGAAGCCTGCATATAGGGCGATGGAGCGTAGGTAGTCCCAGCTGATGTGCCTGATACGTCACTACGTGAATCTGTAAATGACGAACTGGGCTTTACATTGAAGCTCGCAGGAGCCACGGGCACAGAGGATCCGCTATATCCGCGGCCATCCGACTTGTTCTGTTCTTGCAATTTTGCTTCCAAGTCACGAACAGAAATCGATTTCTTAGCCACAGCCGAGTAACTTGTCTTACCTCCATCGGAGTGATTGTCCATTTTTTTAAACCTCTCATCAGTCTTCTTGGGCACTTTAATAAACTGATCATTGGCCCATTTTATATCACATGCATTCTTCATCAGGAATTTCTTTCCGGAAACTACTATTGCTTGTATTCTCAAAAGATTTTCTTCTTTCAAAGACAGTCTTGTCTTCAGCATTCCGGCTAATCTTTCCGAAGAATCCTCCATTTTGTAGATTTCGTCATCTCTAAAATCCGTCAACACAAATTTGACAGACTTGAACTCCTTCAAGAGAACATCCTCATCAAAAAAATAATTTCTCTTGGGTCTGTGATCAGACCACCCACCGTTTTGGATAATATCACTCTTGAGAATGGCATTGATTAATCGCGAAATTGCTGAGCATAAGTTGTGGGCACGATGCGCAAAATGTAGAGCAATTCTATTTGACTTCAGCCAACATACAATAATTCGTACCATTGCTAGATATTCACTAGAATCGCATTTATCCCACTCAGTCATTATGACATTGTTTATCAAAAGACTCATGTACTCACAAGCAAAAGTCAAATATTGGACGTCTGCCGGATTCAAATCTTGAAGCGTACGTTTCTTGTTTTCATTTGAATCCAACATTAATAAAACATCAAATCCACCTATCAATAAGATCAAATTTTGCATTATCAGCGATATATTTTTAACATATCTCGTGGATATCCGATCATAGAGAACATTTTTATAGTGCAATAAACTCACTCCGTTAAAAGCCAATGTTTCATCCTCAGATTTCCAAACCTTAGGGGCAACATGTGCACCAAATAAAACCAGAAAATACATTTCGATTATTTCGCTGTTAATAATTCTTTTTTTATCCGTTTCAAACCTCTTCAAATCTTGTAAAAGTTTAGCTATTTGTTGAAAAGTTGTACTTCTTTTTTCACAAACAGTACTAATGAAATTTGGCATTCCGGCACGACTGGGTAATCTCGATAAAATACTTCTCATGAATTTGTATGTGGAATACCCAAAGTTCTTTGTTTGGATATATATCAACCCCTCTTGTAAGCTGCTTTCCCCAACAGAGGGTAAAACTAACGAAGCGAAACGATAATATCTCTGAGACTTTTTGAAAACCTGAATTTCAAAATTATTAGAGGAATTCTCACAAATTTGCTTATAACGGTGACAAGTCCCGAGGTAAACCAAAGATCGGTGAATTAATACAACCACTGTAATGGTTAGTGGGTTCTCTGCATTTAGTACAGGCACGTTACTTTGATGCTCTAATTTAATATTCAACAACTTTGCAACCTCACTTGGTACTACTTCCGAAGTATCATAATTTTTAAACATACTTTCAAGCAGCAAGTAGTAAAATTTGTGAATACATTTGAATACTTTGGTGAGTTTCGCATTCATTTTTCGAAATTCAACAAAACGTGGATTTGTCTTTGCATTGACCGGTACCAGAATGCCTCTCCAAGATTGGAAAAACTTAAAAATTGGATAGTGAACATTTCTCCATAGATAATCAAGCAAGATACTAAGATCTGCATCTTCTTCGCCATTTTTATCGTCCCTGGTAAAATTGTCCCTGGCCTTGTTAATTCCCATTGTAGGTGCTTCATGAGGATAAAGCCTTTCATTTATCGATTCCTGGATACATTTTTCCAGCTTTGAGTGTACAAACGACAAAAAGCCGGTTAGTAAGGCGTCATCCTGGTCCACTTGGTAGGCTTCTAGAATGTTGACCAACTGGCTGCTGAAACCTTCGAAGCTGACCATAAAATTTTCTCGGTTACAAATATTCGATTCGGACATTACTATGCTGGAGCAAAGTTACATGTGTGATTTAAGACACACTATAGAAAGAACCTCTTGAAGAAGATTACGGACTGATCGATCGATGCCGATGTATGAAATTTTTCATAAATTTTTAAGACCGTTAAAAGTTATAATTTTACGAAGTAGGGCAGTTCCAAGAGGCCAGACGTCCGTGAAACGAGTCGGTATTATCATAAACTGGAATCAATGATATTCTCGAAAGCAAGAGAGCACAATTCAAAAGTTTGTCATTTCTATTTTATTGAAGCCTGCGGAGTTCTTAAGACTATTACCAAGATTTACACACTTTTTAGATTAGTAATAATTTGTTACGATAGAGAGAAGGCATGGTGTAGGCGACACGAAATCTGAAGGCATCGACATTTAGATCTCGAGATTAACATAATCTTACTCATCTGATATAGACAGCAGTAAATGCGAGTAGTATGCATTGCCGAGAAAAATTCAATTGCAAAAGCCGTTTCAGGGATATTGGGAGGTGGACGCTGCACGAGAAGAGATAGCCCGCACAAGTACATCAAGAACTACGACTTCAGTTTTGATTTCCCATTTGCGGGCCTTAGCAATGTAACGATGACATCAGTGGCCGGCCATTTGACAGGTTTAGATTTGGATCCGGCTCACGCATGGGGAAAGTGCCCTATCCCTACTGTCTTCGAGGCACCGATTGTCGACACACGAACAAAAGATCAGCAGAAAATAGCAGATAACATACGAAAAGAGTCTAGAAATGCTGACTATGTGATGATATGGACCGATTGCGATAGGGAAGGAGAGTACATTGGATGGGAAATTGTTCAGACTTCCTTACAAGCCAACAGGTCTTTACAAGGAAGGGTTTTCAGAGCAGTTTTCTCGCATCTGGAGGCTCGCCATATTCTGCAGGCGGCAAGAAACCCACAAAGACTCGATCAGCGTGCAGTGGATGCAGTAAGAACACGTATGGAGATTGACCTGAGGTCAGGTGTTGCATTCACAAGATTCTTGACGGAGCTGCTTGGGTCAAAGATCGAGCGGGACTCGAATGGCAAGAAGAAGCAACGACCTGTGATATCATATGGAACTTGCCAATTTCCAACATTGGGTTTCGTGGTTGATAGATACGAAAGAATACGACGTTTCGTACCTGAAACTTTCTGGTACCTGCAAATATCTATCGCAAACGGAAGCGAGACAACTTCATTTCAATGGGACAGAGGTCATTTATTTGATAGGTTAACAGTAGCGGTTTTGTATGAAATGTGCGTGAAATCAGCTGACCTAAAGGCTGAGGTAGTTGATGTTAAATCTAAACCAACTTCTAAGTGGAGACCTCTTCCCTTAACAACTGTGGAGCTGCAGAAGAACTGTTCGCGATTCTTTAAGATGAGTGCTAAAACATCGTTGGATGCCGCCGAAAAATTATACCAAAAAGGGTTTATATCTTATCCTAGAACTGAAACCGATACTTTCCCCAATAACATGAATCTCGAAGCCCTAGTCGAGCAACAAACCTCCGATTCGCGGTGGAGTACGTACGCACAGAATTTATTATCTGGAAATGGAACAAATAAATTTAGATGGCCGAGGTCGGGGAAACATGACGATAAAGCACACCCTCCCATATATCCGATTGTAAGCTGCGGTCAAAGCTTAGACAATGAGGCAGAGAAGAAAGTTTACGAGTACGTAACGCGACATTTTTTAGCGTGCTGTTCTGAAGACTCCAAGGGCCATTCCACTACGATTACATTGAAATGGGGGCCCGAAAAATTCACTGCAAGCGGAATAGTGGTCTTAGAAAGGAACTTCCTGGACATCTATCATTGGATGAAATGGGAAACTACAAAAGAGCTTCCCCATCTGGAGATTGGACAAGAAGTTGAACTTGCAACACATGTTATGAAGGATGGAACAACTTCTCCTCCAAACCAAATGACTGAAAGTGAGCTAATTTTGCTAATGGATGCAAATGGGATAGGAACGGATGCTACAATAGCTGAGCATATTGAGAAAATTCAACAGAGAGAATATATCAAGAAAAAAAAAGTAAACAAACAAACGTATTTAATACCCACCAGTCTGGGAATTGCATTAGTCCACGGGTTTGAGGCAATTGGTCTTGAAGACTCTTTTGCAAAACCTTTTTTAAGAAGGCAAATGGAAGTTGACCTAAAACTAATATGCGACGGGAATAAAAACAAAAACGATGTGGTGAATGAGATCATTACCAAGTACCAAGAATACTACGGCTTAACTTCTAGAAATCAAAACAAACTTATTGACGTTTACAACAACATTAAATCTATAATGTAACTATATAAATGCTATATTTGTGTGCTAAGCAAAATGTTGAACTGCGTCCACGCGCGAATATGAGCCTTAATGTGCTGACCTGGGGGGTTGGACTACATCCGATGAACCACGACACCAGCAGGTGGAATCCCTCTGTTCAACCTGAATCCAGGCCTGAATACCCATGCTCTGGAAAATCTTTTCTGCTCTCTTCTTGATTATGGTTGAGTTTTCCCCCTCCATATACTGAATATGTATGTAACCCACTAGTCTTGCATTTTTCTCAGGTTCTTTTTCACACTCAGTGTGAACTTGAGATTGTGGTTGAGAATGAGAATGAGAATGAGAATGGGAATGGGAATGGGAATGACTGTGAGCGGTCGCTCCTTTGGAAGCTGAAGGCCAAAAGCGTGGTGTTGTGTAGCCCGTGATGCCAGGAGTTGTAGATATCTGATTAAGTGCATCTTTGACCAAATGGTAATTTCGGTCGTCTAGCTTTAGTAAGATACTCGACGCTGTTGATTTAATAAGTGGTATTGAACTCAACAAAATAAGAACTGCAATCATGAGTGATGCTATCGGATCGAATATTTGTAACCCAAAGGCCTTGGTAAGTAGGGTCGAAATCACGACACCGACAGAACCTAAAGTGTCTGCTAATATGTGCAAGAAGATTCCTCTCATATTTTCGTTGTCGTGGCCATGGCCATGGCCATGATCAAAGGCAAAGAGACCCACTAAATTCACCAAAAGACCTAAAATAGATACCACCAAAAGCTCATTTGTTTCACGAAGGACGGTGGGATTAAATATACGGTCTACGGCCTCGACAAATATACCTGACACGATACCAATCAGTAAAACTCCGTTGGTAAAACCTGCTAAAGTTTCCAAATAACCCAATGCAAATGGAAATTTGGCAGTGGGAGGATTTTTGGACAGGACACCCGCTACCAAACCAAGAAAAAGTGACGTACAGTCTAAACCCATGTGCAGAGAGTCAGATAGAAGCCCTAGAGACTTCGAACGAAATGAATATAGCAATTGGACAAACATGAAGGCCGTGTTCAAAAGGAGGAAAGAAAATATGGATCTTGTGTCTTGATTTGTCGCCAATTGTGCGAACAGCCCTTTTTTGCTGTCAGTGGAATGCTCTTTGCAAGTGCTATCATTCTCGGCTTGAGAATGTGTATGAGAATGACTCTCCTCGTGCTTGTGTTCATGAGAGTGATCATGATCATGGTCGTGACCAAGCTCACAAAACCTAAAGGAAAAGCCGCTCAAAATGACAAACGTAAATGTCAAGAAGTCACCTAGTCGCGTTGTTGAAATCGCATTAAATGACAAATACTGCAATGCAATCGACATAAATCCCACTATGGGAGGAACGTAGCGGGATCTCCAAACACGAGAAAAGTCCTGCGATGCTGTGTCATCAGAAAGGTCCCTCCAACTGATGAAAAGAAGGATCAAGCACCCAAAAAATACAAAGAGCATAGAATATTGCACAGAAAATCCCTCTTCCTGTGTCCAGGGAAATAAGCCGAAAGGGTGAGCCGCCCATGCGTAGATCAAAATGCCTGAAATTATCGTCAGAGCAAGAAACTTGTAGAAAGAGACATGCCTGATCCACATATTTTTGAAAAATTTGTTGTTCCTGGCTTGAAACAGCGCGATTGAGTAAATAGCACTGTACGCCATTAAGGTGGGGTAGTATGGCTGATGTTCGACGTAGTTTATCGCTAGGCTGAGTACTGTGAACACAGCGTAGTAGATAAGTGGACTACCATGTCCAGAAAGTAGCTGCAAAAGCAACGCTGACAGTACTGCCGTTTGCGTATGACCTAAGGCAGCGTTCAACGCAAAGCCGACATACGCCAGACAAAACAAAATCAATGGGTTGGATACGGCTTTCACACTACCGCCCACAGCTGCTACTGCAGAAGCACAGAACAACGGAACCACAATGGCCCGTAACGCCCGCATGGGAAGTCCAAAATCATCTGTACTGTACCCGTCAGTAGCCACGATCAGGTTACTCGACAGAAGCACCGTGGGATAAGAGAGCAAAAGGGGTATACATGAAAGCAGCTCATCCAGTTGCAGCTTCATCCTCTGGAACCGTCTTCGTCGTCGTCGAGTGAAGGTATTCTCTGTCCGCAAATATAAGAGCCCAGCTGCGTTTCGGAGGACGGAATTCACTTGACTGGTCACAGCGCACCTTCCCGCGTACCGACAAATACGTGTACATTTAGCTGACCACATGCGTATGAAACGACAAGACATCTCAATTACATCACGTGGATAAATTTGACAAATAGACACGTGATTGTATACCCGCTAAGCGATTAAACCTAAATATCGTTTTAAACGATACGTTTCTTTCTTCTTTCTCTCGGAGATATCTTTTCTTTTTTCCGTTCCGTTGCTAGTTTATGCACGTTGAAACGGTGCCTTTGAAAATAACTCGACCGAGAAGAATTTTAGCTAGCAACTTCCGTACAGAAGTTTCTCCGACCAGGCTCCCCCTGCAAGAAGGAAAAGCATATAAGATGCAGTGACTATGAATGCGACGTCCTGGAGTTCCTGGTGATGATTGTTTTCTTGGCACGAAGAGTAATATGTAATATCTCACTAATTCGAGACCGTACGGGTAGGCTTTTTTCCTCAAATTGATAATGTGTTAATTTCTGTATGTGGCATTATTTTTTTTCGCTCGCCTGCAGAGGAAACTGTGGTGCTTACACTTGCCCCAGATGCCGGAAGCCCATGGTGAGATAATGGCACAGGGTGGAATATGAAACTACAAGAGCTCGTCGTTCCATTGTTGAAAAAATATATATACAAGCACTCTAAATTGTATAGCTTCAAACAGCATTATAATTCGGTAGATTTCATTGAAAATGAGCATGTACAGAAGAGTGCTTAAGGCACTGGAAGTGCCAGTCGGAGAAAGAGAGACGCTGAGCGTCTTGAAAAACCCCGACTTGCAGCCTATTCCTGTTAAGGATCAAACATGGGGGTTCTGGTCAAATTTCGCATACTGGGGTGTGATTTCGTTTTCTGTTGGGACGTGGATCAGTGCGGCTTCTGCATTGTCTGTCGGACTATCATACGGAGAAACGCTCGGTACTTTTGTAGTAGGTGACGTACTGACAATTGTCTTTACTTTGGCTAACTCGTACCATGGTTTCAATTGGAGAGTGGGTTACACACTTTCTCAGAGATTTGTGTTCGGTATTTATGGCTCTGGTGTGGGGATCTTGATTCGTATCCTGATGAGTATTGTGAACTACGGTTCTAACGCCTGGCTAGGGGGGTTGTGTATTAACATGATTTTGGATTCGTGGTCTCATCACTACCTTAACTTGCCAAACACTTTGAGTTCACATGTGGCAATGGATACTAGAGGTGTCATCGGATTTATGATTTTCCACGTTGTCACCGTTTTCTTCTATCTCATGAAACCAAAGAGTATGAACTACTTTTTGATTGCCTCGTGCATTGCAACCTGCTTCTCTATGCTTGGTATTATCATTTATTTGACTCACAAGGCTGGCGGTGTCGGTGAATTGTTTACGTCGACCGATACAACTGTTCATGGCTCCCAAAGAGCCTGGGCGTGGGTTTACATGGTTTCGTACTGGTTTGGTTCTGTATCCCCAGGCTCTACAAACCAAAGTGATTATTCGAGATTTGCGTCCTCTAAGACAGGTCTATGGCTGGGTACTATTTTTGCCTTGATGATTCCCACAGTTCTAGTGCCAGCTTTTGGTGTCATCGGCGCTTCAACTTCTGAAAAACTGTACGGAACTCAGTTATGGTATCCAATGGATATATGCGATTACTGGCTAAGAGACAATTATTCTTCAGGTGCCCGTGCTGCTTCTTTCTTCTGTGGTCTTTCTTTTACCGCATCGCAGATCGCTTACACTATTTCTAACTGTGGTTTCGCATCCGGAATGGATTTAAGTGGTGTTCTACCAAAGTACATCAACATTTTCAGAGGTGCGATTTTCACAGCAGTCGTGTCGTTTGCTGTCCAACCATGGAACTTTTACAACTCTTCTTCTACCTTTTTGACTGTCATGAGTTCATTTGGTGTTGTAATGACTCCTATCATTTCCGTCATGATCGCTGATAATTTCTTAGTTAGGAAGCAGCAATATCCTGTGTCACAAGCATTCGTTGTAAAAGGTGAATTTTACTTTACATGGGGTGTTAATTGGAGAGCCGTATTTGCATGGGTAGCTGGTATGGCACCAGGTCTTCCAGGCATCGCCGCTCAAGTGAATCCTGATATGTTCAAAAACGATCCCGGTATTGTTAACTTTTATTACGCAGATTCATTTACATCGTTTTTGATCTCTTTCTTTACCTACTGGATTTTATGCTTGATTTTCCCAGTAAAGATCGGCATTGCTCATGATGACAAGGACTTCTACGGTGCATTTACTGATGAGGTTGCTAGAAAGAAGGGAATGATTCCTTACAGTGAACTCGATGCAGATGAAGTCAATCAATATCACTATAAAAATCACAAGAAGGAGGCACAAGATAATAGCTCCGACGCTAGTACTTCGGGCGATGTCGACGTTGACAAAGTCGAAATGGAAAATGAGAACAAAGAAAATGAAAAGTTGGACGTTTAAATATCGTAATGCTTTCTCTCTAATTTAATCACAGGAATTTTATAGATGATTTAATCTTCATATCTACTTATATGTCACCGATGTAACAACGTTCGGTTTCAGGTTTATGTTTTGTATAATTAATCTGCTTGAAGGGCACAACGTGCCTAAACACACTAAAGACAAAAGGCTCAACTCCCGAATGGTAATTTCTGGCCAATGAGAAGCGAATCTTGATTGAACTTTTCCACAATTTTGAAATTCTAAACACTTTCCGTCCTTAAACCACACAAGAACCACCCAACACAAGCCATTCCAAAAGAGGTCCTATGAAAATTCCATAATTCAGCTTTTTTCATAAGACTCGTATTTCAATTTAAATTGCTGTCTTTGCTTAGCACGTTCTTTCCTGACCGCCCTCAAATCAGGTGGTGGTGTAATACCTAATTCTTTTCTTAATTCTTCGACATCCTTATCTAAAATTTTCTCCCAATAAACGTTAATCAACGGCTTACAACTTAAACCAGTTTTGACGGCCCAAGGTAAGTAAATGTCATACAATCTCCTTCTCTGTACGGGCTTCAACCTCAAAGGTGCCAGCAAAGCACCCAAAGCAGCCATCGGAACACCTATATTTGCGGCTTCCAATGCCTTAACTGCAATTTCTCCCTCGATGATGATTGGCAAATCGTTTATGGCATGATAGAAATCATGACACTGTCTATATCTCTTGAAAATGTAGGCATGAATCGGGTCATCGATATATGATACGGGTGCACGCGTATCGGGCGATACGCCCTCCTTTTTGAGCCACTTATAATAAGTGTATCCGAGAGTATTTGGCGCCATTTCTTTTAAATCGTCCATATGAATACTCTCCGAGGTAATGTTTGGCTGCTCTCTGAGAATTTGCCTACCAACTTTATCCGAAAGCATAACCTCCTTCAGATTGTTGAGAAAGAAAGTAAATGCTGATGCCTCTCCCAATTGCACTATATTGTCCCCGTCCTCTGGATGAAAGTATGACTTTAGACCTGAAACGACAAAAAGTATTACACGCTCATGGGGGTACAGAGGTACATGTCCATCATATCTTGGCTTCATTGGTCTTGTGTCTCGTAAAATCTTCAATCTTCTTTCCTGCTCTTCCTTCTTCAGAGTTTGAACATCGTCGTTCTTATTATGAAGATCACCCCTATCCATAGCATCTGCCAATCTTGCATCACGACCAACTATAAAACTTCCAAGCGTCAATGCTGCAGCTGTAAGGAAACTACGCCTTTGTATATTGAACTGCCTGTGAAAAACAGGCTTTTGAAGATTCAGACGAAGCATCTTCCCTAGCATTGCGAAGGAAGAAGACATATTTTTTTTGGCCCAGAACTGATATACGATCAAAGAAACATCCCAATCGAGGACAAAGATCGTTACAAAATAACTCAGAAATGACCACAGAGTTGTATCCTGATGACTACTTCGGGGGGAGAGACAAAATTCCACCTAATTATAATATTGTAGAGCGTAGATGGTTAATTGATGAGATTATCAAACCAGAGCTCCCCAATATCATAGACAACGTCGAGAAATGCCTAGAGCTCTTGAGGAGTGATCAGAGCTTCAAAATGCCTATTAGTAATGGGGCCTCCAACGATGTAGATACTCCTTCTGTGAGAGGTATCATAACAAGACAAAGGGGCTTCATAATAGATTTTCAAGCAATTGTTAAATTTCCACAGTTTCATCGCGGTAAAGCCGTAATGTACAAGATGGATCCTGATACAAAGTTCCCACTTCTACAGATCAACTCGATCACCGCAAACCTTTCGGAAGCGCTCAATTTATTGGATTCACTGCAAGTTCAACAAGACACAGATAAGTTTATATTAGAAATGGGCAAGATTCTGGGATTACTTACTAGATCTATTAATTTTCTACAGAACCCCCCTAGAGAGCTGGTCTTCCCAGAAAATAATAACAATGCTATCAAAAAAATGTTCTCCTATCCTAACGAGTTATGCGAATCTACGCATCACTTGATGAGCCTTGAGCTCGTGATATTTCGAAACGAAATTAGCATAGACTTTAGAAATTTAGCAAAAATCACAACACGGCCCTGGTGCGATATCGATCAAGAAACGGGTAAGTCATTCACAGATGTAGTACGAGACAAATTGAAGACAGAAAGGGGGAAAAAACTAGTGGATATTCTGAAGGAGCAGGGCCTCAACGTCGAAGAGCCATCCCTACTCAGAAACTTTTTCAACACCAACCCAGAAACAACGACACTGGCTCAAGCGCAGGAAATACTCGCACGATGCGTTACGTTTGACTCGAAATTGGTATCAGAATGCGAGAAAATATCCATAACAACCAGTGATCCAAGTTTGATAAGCATAAGTTCTAAACTGAATGGTTTGGAAAATTGCATTGGTACCTATTATACTAATCTGGAATTAGCTTGAACGAACTAAATCTTCGTATTTAAGAGAAAGCTCCTCCCTTTTTTTCTTCAGATGTTTAAGTAGATCCAATTCCTCTCTAGTTGATGACGCAACGACGACTGGATCTGTGCTCATATCAGCGTCAGCCTCCTCGTCATCTTTGGTTTTATTGTTCAATTGCAATTTATTTAATTCATAAGTCTGCAATAATGCTTCTCTCTCTCTCTCAAGTTTGTTCAGCCCTTTGACGAGCTTACCGTTTAATCTGTTCACTAAAGGTTCTACTTCTTGTATTAAATCAAGTTTCGCCCGCTGAACATCATACTCAGGTACTAATTCGAATACTCTTCTCGACTGCAAAAGAGTAGTCGTAAGCTCATTGCTAACCCGTGAGCTTGAATCTAGTTTCGATACTGTGTTCTCCAATACAGATACACTCAGCTCTAGTGCTTCAAGGCATTGCCGTAAACTTTCTGTCATTTTGTGGTTAAGTGTTTGTTGATCGGGGCATTGAAGTTTCGTAATTTTTCGTGGATCAAAAAGTGTTAACACCGTTCATATCTCATAGGGTTCAGATGGAAGAAACAGAAGTTGACGGATGGCGAAGACCCCCGCCACCTCCACCAACGATGAATAAGGAAGCCAATTCACAGAAGAGTCGTAGAGCGAGATCCAACTCAAGCAGTAATGGATCATCCTCCCCTACTCCCCAGGAGTTTATGACACCTTCTACAGCTCCAAGGAACCGGTACACACATATTATAGTCTTAAAGTCACTGAACAACACATTTGAAACCAAATTTCTTGTTGTTCCATTCAAGCCGGATGGACTGAAGCTAGGAAGACCTGTCGTAAATTCCGGGGTTCAAGCTAATGGTAAACAAGAATCCCAACCACAAGTAAGGCCAGATAATGGGCACTTTGATTCAAGGGTACTTTCTAGAAATCACGCATCTTTAAGCTGTGATTCTAGCACGGGCAAGATATATATCCGTGATCTCAAGTCTTCTAATGGTACTTTTGTTAACGGCAACAGGATAAGCCAATCAGACGTCGAGCTGAAAGTTGGCGATGTGGTAGATTTGGGGACGGACATTGATGCCAAATTCGAGCACCGAAAAATAAGTGCACTTGTGGAAGATATATCTGTAATTCCACTCATAGATGATGTGGAAAAACTGACTAATAACAGCTTAGATGACCATACCAATGGCCTGAATGGGATAGGAAACGCAATTGTATCAACGCCAAATGCACAAAGAGCTGCTTTTGAGGCTGCCATGTTCGGAGATGTCAACAACTTAGACTTGGAGGACTCAGTTTTGGGGGCAGAAACCGAAATCTTAAGCGGAATATTCATTAATAATTCGATAGGCACAAGTCCCAATTTAATCAATGTTATCAAGACGCTGGTTACAGAAATCACTTTGGAAAAACATGAGTATGAGAAGCTAAAATCTATTGAAAACTTCTTCGTACAATACACAGCCAACATAGAATACATTAATAAACTGAGAGTTGAGAACAATGATATCCAGCTCGTTCAACTTCAAAATGCCCTTAAACAGAAACTCACAGAAAAGCACGATATATTAATGAAGGACTGTGCTGAACAACTGAATATTGCGAAAAAGGAAACCTTAGATCTTCGAGAAGCTTGTAAGGTGGAGAGAGAGGCTCAACTAGAAGAGATTAAAGGCCTTAAAACCGAGATAGAAGATCTCTGTACTCGATTGCAGGTTGAAAAGTATAAAAATGCTCAATTAGCTAAAAATTCAACTAACGATGAATCCGGGTCATTAGCAGCTACCGCCATTGAAAAGAAAAAAGATAGCAATTGCAATGAAAACGTTAAAGAAGTCAGCAAGAAGAGCAAGTCTACTATACTACTGAGTGCATTATCCATTGGTGTCATTGCTGCCGCCTTTCAATACACCACAAAACAATAATTAAAATGCATGATTTAAATAGTATATACTGTATGCATCCATCAACGAATAAGCAACTATCATACTGTTAGCGCAAAAAGCAGGTCTTCTTTGAAGGTAAACGTTAGTCGTCCAGATCAAGGTCATCAAGTTGGATTCTCTCCACCTTTTTTACACCAAGGGACATTGCCAATTCTCTCACAAAAGTGGTAGAAATATCATGTACTGACACTGCAGACGAAGGATTGTGCTCCAAAATTGACGTAGCTCGACTTTCAGGGAGACCGCACATCACGAAGTTGTTAAGGTAAGATAAATCCGGTGATACATTTATACAAACACCATGTGATGTAATCGATCTCCGAACATGAATACCTATGCTTGCAATTTTTTCATGATCATCAATCCAAACACCAGTTTCCTCTGTCGTCTTGGCATTCATATTCAAAGTAATCTGGTCTTCACCGACAGGTACATCATTGAGGGTACGTATTGTCGCATTTTCAATTGCTGATACGAGACATTTGGCGGGGAAGTTATGAAAAGATTTCAAATCCATTATGATGTATGCCACCATTTGCCCAGGACCGTGAAATGTAACTTGACCACCTCTTTCAACTTGGACAAATTTTGGTTTTGGATTATCTTTTTGAACAATTGGAACAAAGTTTTCGAACTTTGATACTTCTTCTTCAGTAATCGTTTTTTTAATCCGCTTTCCACCCGTGTAGGTCGGTTCAAATTCGAAGGTTAACACAATTGGATTCGGTTTCATCTCAAGAATATTATTCAAAATTAATTGCTCGTGCTCATTAATAGTAGATCCCACATTCTGTTCGTGAAGTTCGATCAACTTCTTATCAATATTTGATTTCAACTTTTTCATATCCAATTGAGCTCTCACAAACTTCTCTTGAATTCGAAGACCCTTTTCAAATGTGATCGGTTTGGTAAACTCCAAGTGCCGAAGGACATTAGCTGAAGATTCTATTGGATATGTAGTTGACTTCAAGGTACATGTATCTGAAGAGTATTCTTTGTAGGACCGATAAAAGGGCGTCCATTTTCTTAGTTTAACCACCTTATGATATTTTTGCATCTGGGGCGATTGAACCTTCCTCGCACTGTGTTAAAAAAATTATTTCAAATGTTTCCGGATATGAGATGCGTCAAGTGCTCCCACATGAAAGAGAAACTCAATAGCCTTCTCCAATGGTTGGAGGCCTCCAATAATTTTTATCTTAATGAATCTGTGGAGATATTTGAAACCAATGAATCCGGAAGAGGGGCACACTTATGCTCTGGAAGACTGAAAACCAATGATTTGATAACATCTGTCCCTAGTTCTCATCAGCTGAATTTTCACACAGTCATCTACCATATCGCGAAGTTTAACACAAATATCGTGATTCAAGGAGTGACCCCCCTTACATCCGATTCACGTACAAATGAGGATTTTGATCCTTTAGTGGAAAATGTAGACCCGCGATACAAAGCATATTCCGTTTTTGACGCGAAACTACTTCTTTCCATGAGTTCCTTTCAATTGCTCTCCTTATACATTTTAGCAGAATGGAAATTGCTTCCACTTTGGGGAAATGGTAATTTTCACTCATTTTGGGAACCATTTTTCGACGTTCTTCCAACTCGTGCTGATTTAAGATCAATACCAGCACGCTGGCTAAATGAATATCCGCCAGTAAATGTTAGTTTGATCAACCTTTTACCACAGTCCTGTTACGAAAACTCTTTGAGAATTAGTAAGTTACTTAATGATGACTGGCGATGCATAAGTCCCATTCTCGAGCAATGGAAAGAAATGTTTAATGAATCAAGTTCTCCAAGTCTCGCAGATCTATATCAGGAGTTCATTCAAATTTACTTTATTATAAACTCAAGATGCTTATACATGGAACTACCCCTGAAAACAAATCCGGAAGATAATCTAACGATGGTCCCATTTGTTGATTTTTTGAATCATGCGCCTCTCACCGAAACGTATTGCTATCCCAGAATTGATCGCATGAAGAGAAACACATATGGAATTGGAAGCTTTAGCATAAGATGCGGACCTCATGAGTACGTCCAGAAAGGGGAAGAAATATTCCTAAATTACGGTGCTCATTCTAACGACTTTCTAATAAACGAGTATGGATTTGTTTTAGATGAAAATAGATGGAATTGCATTGATATCAGTACCGAAGTAAAGAGCATGATTCAAATACCGGCTCACAAGCGTTTTTTAATGGAAAATGACTATTGGGGTGATTACACTATTACGCATGAAGAGATAAGCTTTAGAGTTCTCGTAGCGCTTGCTTTATGCTCATCAAATGATATCAGGAAGGTTGAGAAATTCATGATGGGGTTCTTACCAGATGACGTTTTTAAACCCCACCTTGATAACTTACTGAGAATCATTTTAGAAAATGTTACAGCTAAAACCAAAGAAAAAATAGAGTCAATTCTTGAACTTAATGATGTGGACGCTTTTTGTCAACAAAACGTTCTTAAAATATACAAGGGATATCTCTGCATTTTGAGCCACCATCTTGGGCAAGCATAATATTCAAGGCCGTTTTTGAGATTAATATGGCCTAAGAAACAATAGTAGTGGCAAGCTTGTAATATTTTCTAATTCCTCAATAATGGCAGAACTTTGATATTCTTTTGACGTCTCTCTTGGCTTCAAATTTCGGCATATTTATACAAAATTGTGAGATGTCTTTCAATCCCACTGAATTCAATGAAATAAATGATTAATATCAGAAAATCTGTGCAGAATAATATATATGTGATAAGTATATTCTCACAGCTGTAACTACACAGACTTTTCAATCGCCTACCGAATATTCTAATCTACATAATAAAACACGAACATTCGAGGGCATGAACCATTCAAAAAGGAAAAATCATCGATCCTACCATTTGAATGTCATGAATGATCATACAATAGTTGTTGTTTTATATCAATGAATTACACTCTTTGATCAATAAGGAAAAAATATGCATTATTATATTCACAAGTACTTATAATTTAAAACTCTGTTTCTCATTAAATCCACCTTACTCTTGACTATTTTCGTCAAGGAATCATTGAGGGCAGCATTGATTCCCTTTTTTTGTGCCAGTCTACTGAAATAACCGTTCAAATAATTAACATCCGTCCGATTCAAGATACTTATGTCTTTAGTCATTTTGGGAAATGGATTGAATTTAAGTTTATACACGACCAAGTCATATAGCCTATTCTCATTTAATGCTACTGTCGCATTTGGTATTGAAAAGAGAAATTTGTTATTCGCACGTAGTATCATGACTTGTTCGTGAATCAACTGTTTGACCAAACTCATAGCATGTTTACTTTGCAAAAGCTCGGAACTGTTCTGTGAATCAAAAATAGCAACCAAAGGATGAATACAAGAATTTAATATCAAGTTCTCGTAACGAATAAGTAATAAATCTCCATATGGATAATTAACGACATTTAGTGCGCAAAGTGTTTCCTCTTTGTTGATCATATTTAACAGCCTCAACATTTCATTCTCTCTTTCAAATTGTGCAACTCTCTGCAGCTCAACTTCATGATCGTACTCATCTAGACTTCTAGGAACAGAGCTGATGTTAAATGGTTCCTTATATCCCGTAAACTTCAAAGTAAATTCTCTCGCGCTCAGGATGCCTTGATCAGTGCACCCTTCGCCAATGAAAACATTTGGTCGGTCTTTTTCGTACACCCACAGGTTTCTGTATAGGAAATCTATTAGTCCAAACGTTGGATTCAGCAATAGGATGTTAGTATCAGAATCGATGCTTTGCGCATATTTCTGGAGTGACATAGTAAAGGACTTTGGTCTACACTCACCCACAATTAAGTTCTTCATTCGGACTAGTTCACCTGTAGCATATACCGGAGGAGAACATGATGCCATAAATTGCTGATATTTTTGGTCAGAATTGTACTCTGTTTGAATAGTGAGCTTAGAATCGTTGTTGAGAAATCTACCCAACTTTTTCTGGTCCTGCAGGAGCAGTACAACTTCTGGAACCTTAGGCTGAATACTCAAGCTAGCGATTTCATGACATAACAGGGGCAGTATTGGTGCGTTTCCTAGCGCATAAACTCTAGGAACGCTCATCTAGCTCGTCGCGTCGAACCGCTGCATTGATTAAGACGAAAACCAAATTTTTTCTCGCTCTGTCAGACAACCACAAACTAGAGATTGAATAGCAGAATGCTAGTAGTCGGGCTCACAGGAGGTATAGCCTGCGGCAAATCCACCGTATCTATGAGACTAAAGGAGCAGTACAAATTACCAATTGTGGATGCTGACCAAATTGCTAGAGAGATTGTGGCACCAGGGCAAGATGCCTATAAGAAGATTGTCAATCACTTTCAACAAAAGATTCCAGATCTCCTACAATCTGATGGAAAATTGAATAGGCAGGCTTTAGGCAAATGGGTATTCAGCAATCGAGATGATTTGAAAGTTCTCAACAGTATCACCCATCCAGCTATACGATACGAAATATTTAGGCAAATATTGAAATACTACTTAAAGGGCTATAAAATGTGCGTTTTGGATATACCGCTATTATTCGAGAGTAAACTTGATACATTTTGTGGAATTACCATTAGTGTCATATGCAATGAAGAAACACAGCTACAGAGATTGAGGAAAAGAAACCCCGAATTATCTATCGAAGACGCACGCAATAGAATCGCTTCTCAAATGCCTATGAGTGACAGAATTAAATTGTCAGATTTTGTCATCGAAAATAACGATAGCATCGCTACTTTAAATGCGCAACTTCAAGGAGTAATTTCCCAAATAAATCCCGGATTTTTGAGGACAACGCTCGAATACTTCCCGCCTTTTGGTACGGTCAGCGCACTCGCAATTGTCGTCACAAAATACTTGAGAAAAAGAGCTGTTGATAAACAGTAATTTGTCATTAATGTTATCATGACGGTTAATGTTACATATTAAACTCACCATTAAATAGATGGCTGGGGAGGGTAGTCGTTTCTGGTAATCTCTGGAACTCTTTTATAAGGAAGACCACCTCTGTCCTTCTTTAATAATAATGCATTTTTGCCAAACGCGCGTGCTATGACAGGCTTCTTTTGATTCAGCCCTTTGTCATTTGTTGTTTCGTCTAACACAACTGGATCCTTTGGAGGCTTGTTCAAGTCTTTACAAAAACCTGTGAAATTAAGTCTATACATCAAGGGAACCCTTGATTCACAGGATATCGGCCCACCTTTCGTTTCCACAATATCGGAGTCATCCGGACACTCTGGAATACTTAATTCTCGTGCTTTTTGGTTAGCCCAGCTAGGAAGACGTGTTTCTCTTGGTTCCCCATCTTTGAACGGCTTCAGTATTTTCTTCAGTTTTTGTGGTGAAACAACTAATCCTTCAGGTGGCAACTCATCACCATATATGGTTACTAGACTGTCATCCTCAACAAATCTGATTGAGTTTAGTTTTTTCTTTTTTATACTATTATCGACTTTGAGTATGGGGGTCAAAAGCGATTTAGATCCAGTTGACAATTTCGAACGCTTTGGTATGGAGTTATCTTCATTGGTATCAATAGGACGTTTATTCTGTTCATTCGTGTCACCTTTCTTCAAATATTTGGAGAATGATATTTTTTTCTTCGGTTCCTCTAGTGATTCTTTGGCCCGTTTAGATTCTTCATCTGTGTTTAAAATGCCCTTTTGTTCCTGCTGTTTCATTTGCACTTCGTATTCCGGTTTTGGAGGGGAGACGATTGCCTTGGAATCTTGGTCGACTTGCTCAGTATTGAAGTAGGGTAGCTTTGCAGTGATTTCTGATTGACTGTATCCTACAAACTTCAAAAACGCGATGTACGTTCTTAAATTATCGAGAACAGTTGAATCCAGAACGGATAAATCAATAATTCCTTGAAGTAATCGATCTGATCTCGGTATTTTATAGCTTTCCACCGACATAAGATTTTGCATATACTGCTTTCTTTCATTAGGTTGTTTATAAGGTAGTTCATCCCGAATATACTCTATTGCGTGGATACCATCAAGTTCTTTTGCAGTGTCCATTTTAATCTTTCTGAGTTTTATGAGTTGGGATAGGTAATCTGCGTACATGGTCTTCAAACCTGTGTAGAGCTGAACATCCGCACTTGTGACATTCTGATCTCTACGTTCAATATGCTCGTTATCTTTCGTGAATTCAGCAAATGCGCTTTCCAGGGAACTAATGTATCTATCTATCTTCTCTGACTGCTCAGAAGAAAGTTGAGGTGCATCAGTGAATTCTTTTATCTCTGTGCGTATCTGTTGAATAAGTGAAGACTGTAAAGCATGCGAGATGTTTACTAGCTGGGGAATAGGGCTGCCAGACATTATAAAGTACTCAAACTGCAAGGAAAGTAGCTACAGACGCCCAAACAGTTTATTGATATTCCCTCTCGTATCACTTCAAACTTCCCCTGTTTACTGTTCTGACTATGAGCGAAAATTTTTTCCAATAGAATTATAGACGGAAATTTTTCAGAGATGTTCTCAACCATCCCACATCTCATCTTGAAGCCGCGCAAGACATGAGTGCTACTTTAATAGGCAGGTATGCTGCGCTAAGATCCTTACCATTACGAACATTTATCTTCAAATCCGATTTTGGTCTCAAACCTCTTTTTATAAGAAGTTTTTACAATGGACGCAGTGGGAGAAACGATGGCGATGCCAGACCTGCTAGGCGCAACAGGGACTTCGTGGGGTTTTCAAATAGGGATGGAAGAAATCTAAGGGACAAGAGAGGCAGAGATACACGACGTACACAGATCGCCAATGATGAGGATTTGTTAAGTAATTCAAAGCTTACGAAGGTTATCAGAGTTCCTGAAAATCTTGATGACAAAGAGATCACAATAGATCAACTGAAGGATGATGGCATTATCAACAAAGACTTACACAAGGCAATCGCCAGAATGAATTTTCCTGGTTTGACGCCGGTCCAACAGAAAACTATTAAACCGATTCTCGAGACAGAAAACGATGTCATCGCAAGAGCCAAGACCGGTACAGGTAAAACCCTGGCCTTTTTGGTCCCTATGTTTGAACATTTAATTTCCACACGTACCGAATCTCCTTATATGGTTAAATGCGTTATTGTTGCTCCAACAAGGGACCTAGCTTTACAAATTCAATCTGAAATCGAAAAGATTCACAAGAACAATTATGGCTTGAAAAAGTTTAAGTCGATTGCGCTGATTGGAGGAAGTAACTTTGGAACAGCTATGAGGACGATGCGCAGGGATAGACCTAATATCGTTGTTGCTACACCAGGTAGATTGATCGATGTGTTGTCCAAATATTCAGATGAGTATTTCAAGTATGTGGATTTTAAGATTCTTGACGAAGCTGATAGATTACTGGAAATTGGTTTCGATGAAGATTTAAGACAAATCTCAAACACTCTTAATTCCATAAATGCTAAAGGACCAGATTCTATCAGAACACTACTGTTTTCGGCCACTTTAGGGGACAACGTACAAGAGCTAGCTAACGGAATCATGAACCGAGATGAGTGTTTGTTTCTAGATACTGTGGACAAGAATGAGCCGGAAGCTCATGAAAAGATCGAACAAAAATTAGTTATATCAGAAACATTTGCAGAAAGCATGTACGCTCCGGTTGCCCACATCAAAACACGTTTAGAAGAGGACAATAAATTCAAGGCTATTTTATTTGTGCCTACAGTGAAGTTTACCAAGTTTTACTGCGAGATGTTGGAAAGCGTGCTACCATCATTACCTATTTATGAGTTTCACGGCAAGGTTGACCAACGCAAAAGAACTAAAATGGTTCAGCATTTCAAGAAAGCTAAAGAGGGCCTTTTCGTCTGTACAGATGTCGGCGCCCGTGGGATGGATTTTCCTGATGTTGAAGAAGTATTGCAGCTGGGGCCACCGTCAGAGATATCTAACTATGTTCACAGAATTGGTAGAACCGCCAGAGGTGGAAAAGAAGGCAAAGCGTCTATATATTTGTGCAAAGCCGAATTACCATTCATTGATACGCTATCCAATGAGAAAAATATAACTATAAAGGAGCAATGCGACTTTGAACCTGTTGATAAGGACATCATAGCTTTCACGGAAGCAGTGCCAGACCAAATGGAGCTGAGCGATGCTCTTCTTTCTTTGCTTTCCTTCTACAAAGGGTGTGAACAAGCCTACCGGTTCCGTTTTAATAATGTCGCTCGCCAAATTGCAGGCTCCTATGGTTACTTATTAGGTGATCCCTTAGCGAAGATGCGTATATCGAGAGACACTGCTAGCATGAGGTTCGGATTACGCGGTAGAAGCGCCCAAGACTTGTTTGATCTTGGCCCTCAAAATAGCTATAACAATAGCTACCAGAATACGAGATCAAGAAACTCTGGTTCGAGAGGTAGTCAATTCGAAAATAAATATGGAGGCAAAAGTGCAGAGAGAAAGTGGCATAAAGACACCGCTTACAATACCAAAAGAGCGAATTCCTACCATCGTGGATCCAATCCTAAAATAGAGTAATTCTCGGCAACAATAGCTGTTGTATCTTGATTCTGGAAAAAACTTTGGATTAGATTATTCAAAGACAAAAAAAAGGCATGTTTATCGGTTCTGTGTGTACAATAGAAGTTTTCTTGTAAATAATTTAAATAACACGATTCATCCACCTGATAAAAATTTGGGAGTCAACAATGATAGTCTAAATTGTAAAAGAAGACGATACAACCTATCGAATTGATAGAGGCAGGAAAATGCTATCTTTCGTACCTAAAATATAAAGGACGCTAGGTGCACAATTGACAATTTGAACTAGTTCTTACATATCACAAGCAACGACCAGTTCTATTTCACTCCTTCAGCTCTTTGAACGCTGATACTTGACAGAACTTCGAAATAAAGAGCAGCCAAGCTGTACCCCAGTGGTAAGCAATTGGAAGCAGTTAAGAAATGTCATCAAAAAGCGTAACGTTTTGTGTTTCCCAAGAATTAGAAGTTCCGTTAAAGGTGAAGATAGGTTCGTTAGAAGGATCGAAAGAACTTCTCAAACCATCTCAGAAATTTACAAATCCAGTACTCTCTCAAAGAGTTTCTAATGTGTTGCCCTTTAGTGAGATGTTCGTATCAGTTCAGGTTTTCGATGAGGAAACTAACAGAAATTTAACCATACCCATTTACACACCCTATGTTCCATTTAAGAATTCAAGGAAGTGGGATATGTGGCTAACACTTCCTGTCACTATCAGCCAGCTTAGCATACATAGCATGCTGAAAATTATTATTTGGGAATATGATGGTGTTACTAAGGTTAAGTTCTTTTCACTTAAAACACCTTTGTTTAATACGAATGACAATACACTAAAGAGAGGGAGGGAGTCCCTGAGATTTCAATTCGACGATCCAGGAAGCGGGACTGTGGAGGCCAACAAAATGCAAGAATTGATCAATAAATACTACCAGGGAGAAATAAAACCCGTCGACTGGCTTGATCCTTTGACTTTTCAGCGACTGGAAAAGCTGAATAAGAATATAGAGCTTCCTAAAGGCTCATTTATTCTCAACATTGAATACCCATTATTCGAACTGCCGATAGTTGATACCGAGAAAATGTCAAGTGATCTTCAAAAGCAAATTCCTACGTATCATAACTTTGAAGTGGGGAACGAGGGGCCTGATAGCCGCCAAGAGCCGCAAGTTAAAATATCACTCGGTAGCTCATATGATTCAACTCTGAAATTCTACGACCCCGACCAATTCAGTATCGATCCTATTGAGGAAAAGTTTAGGAGACTTGAAAGAGCCTCTAAGAACTCCAGCTTTGATAGAGAAGTCAAGCCAGATTCCAAGAAAAGAGATATCCTGATAAAAATTATTAATTACCCCCCAGGCACTAAGTTATCTGCTCATGAGAAGGGCTTGATATGGAAGTATCGCTATTATCTAATGAACAACAAAAAGGCGCTAACTAAATTGTTGCAGAGCACAAATTTAAGTGAAGAGATTGAACGGCGCGAAGTTCTAGAGATGATGGATTCATGGGCAGAAATAGATATCGAAGATGCGATAGAGCTTCTTGGTTCTGCATACAAAAATCTAACAGTGCGCTCATACGCTGTCAATAGATTGAAAAAGGCTTCTGATACGGAACTAGAATTATATTTATTGCAGCTCGTTCAAGCAGTTTGCTTTGAAAGTGCATCGACATTGTCAGACAGATCGAGTAGTGAGTTTACTATTGTTGATATCAATCAGAGTGGTGCCACGAGCGCCGCTACACCTAAATCTCCTCAATCGTTCATGGTAAACTCTGTTCAAAGTCTTGAAAACTCCAATATGGAACAGAGCTCGGTACTAATATCTCCGCTGGCTGAATTTTTAATACGCAGGGCAATAATCAATGCACGACTTGGAAACTTTTTCTATTGGTACCTCAAATCTGAATCCACAGGAAATCAATACTTGATTCATATTTTGGAGAGCTTCGTCAGTAGATTGTCACCCCAAAGAAGAAGTAAGCTCGAAGATCAAATTAACTTCATATCAATCCTAGTTGAGTTGTGTCAAGAGGTGAAAGGCCTCAAGGATACAACTCCAAAAAAGCAAGAACTTCTCCTTCATTTAATTGGCACGAGACTCAAACCATTCCTCAAAGCAACACCTGTTGTTTTGCCTCTTGATCCAGATTACAAACTCATAGATGTCATTGCTAGTGACTGCAAAATCTTCAAGAGTTCTTTGTCTCCTTTAAAGATTACCTTCAAGACGGAAGAGAATGTCAATTACGCCCTCATGTTCAAGGTTGGAGATGACCTAAGGCAAGATCAACTTGTTGTCCAGATTATTACCCTCATGAATGAACTGTTGAAAAATGAAAATGTGGACCTAAGACTAACGCCCTATAAAATCCTTGCCACCGGCTCTAATGAAGGTGCAATACAATTTATTCCCAATGATACAATGGCTAGTATTTTGAGCAAGTATCATGGTATTTTGCCTTACTTAAGAGATCATTACCCATCTCCTGATCAAGAATTAGGTGTTGAAGATTGGGTAATGGATAACTTCGTAAAATCATGCGCTGGGTACTGCGTAATAACGTATATTCTAGGAGTTGGTGATCGACACTTAGATAATCTTCTGATCACTCCTGATGGGCACTTCTTCCACGCCGATTTCGGGTACATACTTGGGCAGGATCCAAAGCCATTTCCACCGTTGATGAAACTGCCTCCTCAAATTATAGAGTCATTTGGTGGTGCCGATTCATTTAATTACAATAAGTTTAGGAGCTATTGTTTTGTGGCTTACTCCATTCTTCGTAGAAATGCGGGTTTGATATTGAACTTGTTTGAATTAATGAAAACTTCAGATATACCAGACATCCGAATTGATCCTGATGGCGCAATGCTCAAAGTGAAAGAAAAGTTTTGCCTGGACATGCCAGAGGAAGAGGCAATTATTCATTTCCAGAATCTCATTAACGCTAGCGTGAATGCGCTTCTTCCTTTAGTGATCGATCGTTTACACAACTTAGCTCAATATTGGCGAGCTTAAATGTTGAGTTTGTTACCCGAACTTTTTCACTACGCACACGAGGGGCGCGCTGCGCGTTCAACTATACTCTACGACAGACTAAGTAAGTGACTCCAACACAAGGTATATATATCCTCGACACCAGTCGAAGCCCAAATTCCGATCATTTTCTAGATGATGGTCGATATTTTTGCCGAAGTTTTCAATCTGATGTCAGAAGATCCTGCTTTTTCTGTGGGGCATGATACGCCTGACTTTAGAAAGCCAAGCGCGAGAGTTGCGACCACTCAGTTGATGGTAGCAAGTTCTTTGGGACTTTTCGCATTACTTTCCTTTTCTCTTCTATTGAAAAAACTACCGAAACTTTATGCGAGCCGCATGGGAAGGCTGAAGAACTCGCTTCCCACATGGAATCAACAGTCACTATTTGGTTGGATTCCCGTTCTTTATAAAATCACAGACAAGCAGGTTCTCGAGTTTGCAGGCCTAGATGCATATGTGTTTTTGGGTTTTTTTAAAATGAGTATAAAGCTTTTGGCAATATGTTGTGCATTTTCCATGTGCATAATCTCTCCGATCAGATATCACTTCACAGGAAGGTACGATGACGGAAATGAGGAAGGGTTTTATTTGCAAAGAGTAACAGAGGATCCACTTCCTGGCAACGAGGGTACTGTGCCCGAATCTGTAGAGCTTTACCTTTGGATGTATGTGGTATTCACTTTCTTTTTCACTTTCCTAGCTTTGTATCTTCTAGTTGATCAGACAAAAAAGGTAGTGAGTACCAGGCAATCTTATTTGGGAAAGCAAAACACTTTAACGGATCGGACAATTCGCTTATCGGGCATCCCAGTGGAGCTTCGTAGTGAAGTTGCACTAAAAAGACGTATAGAGGAGTTAAAGATTGGAAAAGTTTCTTCAATAACAATATGCCGAGAGTGGGGCCATTTAAATCAGTTATTCCATTATAGGAAACAAGTTCTCGAAAAGCTAGAGCTCAGGTACAGCGAATGCCCAGAGAGTTTACGTGACGCTGAACACTATGACGAGAATTATAATCTGCAAAGTGACATTCAACCGGAAAATACAGAAAGTGAGGATGTGCCAGTTCTGGAAGGTACCGACACACAGGAAGTTGAAGATAACCACATTTATTCGCAAATTAAACTGAAAGGCCGTCGAAAGATGAAAACGGGTGTACTCGGTTTATTTGGAGAAGAGGTTGATGCCATTGACTTCCTAGAAAAGCAGTTAAAATTCATCGACGAGGAAATAAAAGAAGCTAGAAGAAAAGAGTATCCGCCCACCCCGACTGCATTTGTAACCATGGATTCAGTGGCGAACGCCCAAATGGCTGCACAGGCTGTTTTGGACCCAAGAGTGCACTTTTTCATGACTAGATTGGCGCCAGCGCCTCATGACATTAAGTGGGATAATGTTTGTCTTTCAAGAAAAGAAAGGCTAACCAAAATATATTCTGTAACGGTTTTCATTGGACTTTGCAGTTTATTTTTCATTATACCGGTGTCTTATTTGGCGACTTTATTAAATCTCAAGACTATAACAAGATTCTGGCCTGATTTGGGTCGTTTTTTGAAGGAAAACCAGTGGGCACAAAATATCGTTACTGGATTGCTTCCCACGTATATTTTCACTCTTTTGAATGTTGGAATACCATACTTGTACGAATATATGACATCAAGACAAGGCCTTGTATCTTATAGTGAAGAAGAACTTTCTCTTGTATCCAAAAATTTCTTCTATATTTTTGTCAACCTATTTTTGGTCTTTACATTAGCGGGAACTGCTTCTAATTACTGGGGGTACTTGAGCGACACGACGAAAATTGCCTATCAACTAGCAACATCCGTAAAGGAATTTTCCCTATTCTATGTTGACTTGATCATTTTTCAAGGTATTGGCATGTTTCCCTTCAAGTTACTATTGGTAGGAAGTCTAATTGGCTTCCCTTTTGTGAAGATCAAGTGCAAAACCCCTCGTCAACAGAGAGATCTTTACAAGCCGCCAATTTTCAATTTTGGCTTACAGCTTCCTCAGCCAATATTAATACTTATGATAACGCTAATATACAGTGTTATGAGTACTAAAATACTGGCATCTGGTTTGGCCTACTTTGTGATCGGCTTTTATGTCTACAAATATCAGTTGATCTTTGCAACTGATCATTTGCCACATTCAACGGGAAAAGTGTGGCCACTGGTGTACAGAAGGGTGATTCTAGGTTTACTATTGTTCCAATTGACCATGGCAGGAACTTTAGCAGGCTTCCAAGGTGGATGGGTATTATCTTCCTGCTTAACTCCTCTTCCATTTGTAACAATAAGCTTCTTGTGGGATTTCGAGAAAAACTATTTACCGCTTTCTTATTTCATTGCTCTCAGCTCAATTCGTGAACATGAGCGTGATAACACTACGGTATCACAGACAGTTGAGGGCGAAAGTTATGAATATCCATTTTTGGTTTCACCGCTGGAGAGACCCATCATAAACTGAGTTATTATTTTCACGGTAATTGCATGAACTAAACATAAAAATACTTACCAGATAAAAATCTATGTAAAAACATCTCATACTCACCACGAATATAATGAATGCAAAGATTGTAGTCTCCTTTGGAGACTAATATAGCAAGTATAGGCTTGACACATAAACACCTCACAATGAAAATGATAACAAAGTTTCTTACCACTTCTCTGTAGCGCAGGTTGGTTACGATCTTCAAAGCCTCAATTATATAAAGGTTCGCAACCCATTTGATAATGCTCGTCGATAATAGAGTGTCATACGGCCAAATTAGCATGAGGATAGGGAAAATTTTGGCACCATACGACAATAAAATCGTGTACGATACCACATATTTCGCGTATTTTATATTCCTACCCCAATCTGTCCAGTTCACCAAAAGATATTGAGTGAGATTGTGCAGTAACATTAAGTCTAAGATGCAATATACAGCAAAATAGAAATATTGCGATAACGCATCTCCAGAAAGTATTTTGCTCATTAACAAATCAAGATCAGCCGGATAGTAATGGCTGTACGTTTGATATTTTCTCTCTTCCGAAACCCACGTTAAATATACTTCAAATGCAAAAATGAGTACCCATACTCTATTTAGTTGGTCAAATTTCACAAACCACTCGCGAAAATCTGAGATAGTACCAGCGACCTCATCACCGAAGGTCCTTGGCAGTTGGGTCGACTTCGTTTTACTTGGATACTTCTCTAGAGTAGATTCAAGAGAGTTGTATACCAGATGTCTGTATGCTCCTGATTTCAAAAGTAGCAAGTCAATGAACAACAGGACATTGTCAAATTCAACGTAGCGATCCACCACCTTTTTACACCTGGGGCAATCAGTAAGCCTTATATGATTACTGGAGTATACAACATACAATGAATCAACTGGATAGCAGCAGTTTATGCATATCATTGCCAATCAACATCAGAAAGCTGTTGAAATTTATTGAAGGCAGAAAAAAAACGGATACGAACAGCGATGATACGAAGGGCGTAAAACAAGAAGAATACACCTCCTAAAATGTCATTTTACAACCGCAATAAGACTCCATGTAAGTATTTTCAACAGGGTAAGTGTAAAAAGGGGAACAGTTGTAATTTTGCTCATGTTTTCACTAATGATAGTGGACGGCCCAATTACGCTGGTCGGGCCGCGCAGGATGACAGATATAGCACATTCATCAATCCCTCAAATCTCACCAAATATACACAAGAGATCACAGATGATATGAATACCGTGCGAGAACTGCAGCTCAATCCTCTGACATCTTCTTATGGTTTAGGCCAGCCTTGCTCTGCTAATTTAATTAGTGAAAGAGACTTATCGCAGGAAGAATCACGATTTTTGTATTATCAGTCTCGTGAACAAAACATGATACCTTCCTATGAGACTCAAATGGCCGCGCGCTCTAATGACATACAGAAATGTGTGAGCTTCATTAAAAATGACCCAAGAAAGGCAGCTCGCTATTTACAATTGGCTACTCAAAAAAAGAAGGAGACAGGGGACTCCCAAAAAATGAAACCCTTCATCGAGTTTCCACTCGATTTATCTGGTCAATCTTATCACCATAGTTCCAATAACGTTAACCTTTTTGGTACTATGTCAGGCTCTTCAGAGACACCGTTTGGCTCTGCGCCTTCGGGAAACTCTTCATTTTTTGGCAAGAAAATCGAAAATCAATTCAATGGTTCGTCAAACACAACACAGTCAGGTCAAACTCCCATGGCAAACGGGGCTGCATTTGGTAGCAGTGCCTTTGGAAAGCCATCATTTGGTGTTACTGGAGCACCTCCGTCTACTGGTGGCGTATTTGGCCAGCCAAGTTTCGGCAGCAGCTCTAACACTGGTGTTGGGTTTGGGAACGTATCCAACACAGGAAGTGTATTTGGTGCGCCAAAATTTGGAAGTGGATCGGCTACTACAGGTGTATTTGGAAATACGAGCTTTGGAGCAAGCCCATTTGGGAAACCATTTTCAAATGACGTTAGCAGCAGCCAGACAGCATTTGGTAACCCATCAAATCCATCATCTTTCGGATCTTCGGCATCTTCCAAAACCTCAACCTTGCCTTTCGGTAACATAGCACAGCAATCTAGTGCGAATCCATCACCATTTGCATCTTTGCAAACAGGGGCAGGGAAACCTAATTCATTAGGCCTAGCGGCGGGAGCCTCAGGGCTCGGAGCGAACACATCAGTAACTCCATTTGGATCAAACCCAAAAAATAGTGGAGCTACCTTTGGTTCAGCTTTTGGAACCTCAAATACACATTCACAACCCTCCTCTGGAGGCTCGGCGTTCGGTGTACCGTCATTCGGTAAGTCTTCGGGACAAAATCCTTTCGGCACCTCATCCAATTCTCCATCACCCTTTGCATCGCTAGCTGGAAGCCAAGCTAGCGAGACCTCGGCATTTGGTGCACCACAGTTACCTCCCAATTCAACCGCCATTAATAGTGCAGCACCAACCACTTTTGCTCCATTTGGTACACAAAATTCTGTCTCATCTACCTCTTCATTTAAAGCCAAATCGCCTGCCATCGTTGGTGGGGCACCGGCATCCCAGGCGTCTTATCCAATTGGACAACGTTTACCGATGAGTGACTATGTTAGAATAGAGGATCTTCCGGAAGATATTTTATCCGCTTTTAAAGCGGATAAATTTTCACTAGGTAGTGTACCAGAAGTCTTGCCACCGGCTGAATTAACTGCATAGGACTCAATACCTCATCGGAATATCTGTTCATAACGTTAACCTTCACATGACTAATAAAGAGATTTGAAGCTTATCAGTCATTATGAACGGTAAAATTCTTAAAATTTTAACTCATCACTTGTATTATTCAGACTTATATGCTTAATGAATTCAAAACAGCATGTCGAGGGTTGGCGTTTTAGTCTTGGGCCCTGCAGGGGTAGGAAAAAGCACATTTTGTAATGCAATCATATCGCATATGCAGACTATAGGTCGCAGAGCACACATTGTAAATCTGGACCCTGCAGCCGAACCAAGCAAGTACGAATTCACTATTGATATCAGAGATTTGATATCCCTTGAGGATGTTATGGAAGAGCTAAACCTGGGTCCAAACGGGTCCCTCGTGTATTGTTTCGAGTATCTCCTCAATAATTTAGATTGGTTAGACGAGGAAATCGGGGACTATAATGACGAGTATCTAATTTTCGATTGCCCAGGACAGATTGAGTTATATACTCACATTCCCGTTCTTCCTACGATTGTACGCCATTTACAAAACCAACTGAACTTTAATCTTTGTGCCGTTTACTTGCTAGAAGCACCATTTGTGATAGACACGTCGAAATTTTTTAGTGGTGCCCTAAGCGCAATGTCAGCTATGATTCTTCTGGAGCTTCCTCATATCAATGTGCTGAGTAAAATAGATTTGATAAAAGATGAGTACAGCAAAAAGAAACTAAAAAGGTTCTTGAACCCTGACCCCACTCTGCTTATCGATTCTGCGAAAGAAAGTGTCAATCCTAAATTTGACAGGCTTAACGAATCGATTGCCAACCTTGTAGACGACTTTGGCATGGTACAATTTTTGACCTTGGAGTCTAAAAATCCAGAAAGTGTCTCTACTATACTTAGTTACATAGACGACGTGACACAGTGGGCAGAAGGTCAAGAACCAAAAGAGCCAAATGATCAGGTTGAAATTGACGATTTGTAATCATATATATGTATACATATATTTACATTATCATGCTTTAGATGCCCTCAAATATCTTCTCGCTTTCAAGAATTAGGGGTATATCCTGGCAGTCTCCGACGACTATAAGATCAATAAATTCAACGAAATCTCTGATGCTATGAGACGGGAGTTCTCTATTAAACCATAATACAATTCCTTTGGAGTTATGAATCTGACGAGCAAACTTTTTGCTCATTGTCCTGACCCCTGGTATTTTCAAGCTGGTGCCAACAATGATCAGACAATCCGGCCTGCCCTTCAAATCTTTTGAAATAATATCAGCTATACTTTCACCTTCGGGATGGATTTCGTTATACAATACAATTCGGGGTTTAAGCTTCCCTATTCCCTGTGACCTCATTCCAGCAACGGCCCGCACTGCGTCAAATTCCTCACATTGGGCGCATAATGGAACTATTTGTGTGTTTTTTTGTTCTTCATGGCATTTAAAAACTACAGGATCCAGCTGGTAGATTTTTGAGCATTTCATGCAGCTCATGTGGTTGATACTACCATGTAGCTGAATAGTGGTGGGAAACGGACTTTTTAACGGGATTGTGGTCTTGAGATGCGTCAACTTGTTTTCCAAACAGTCGATATTCTGCGTATATAGTCTACGCAGCCGCCCTTCCTCAGCAAACCAGTTCATCATTCTATGAAACTGCGTAGGTTGGTTGTCTCGACTTCTCTCAAATAAATCTACAATCATGCGGTTGAACTTGAGGCTCATTTCATCATTCGAATAAACATGGTTGATATCAAATAATTCTTTGCCTGAGGAAACGCCGTCCTGTCGCAACGTGGAGAACAACCCATTACCAGAACGAAAATCTGGGATTCCTGCTGCAACAGATATTCCAGCTCCCGAAATGATAATGATTCGTCTACTGTTCTGTAATGCATATTTGAGAAAACCAGCGTTCTTTGTATCGGTAGTTTTGGCGTGGACGCCATCTAAATAACCTCGGGCATCGAAAACAGAATTCTTAGGCGGCCGATATCTTAATGGCGGTTTTCTTTTTGCAGATGAGGTCTTTTTCAATTCTGGCAGTAGCTTTTTTGGCTCTATCCATTCTTGCTTAACATTACGCTCTTGCGTTTTTGTAATCGTAGTTGGCGGGGTGAGCGGAGCCGTCGTTTCCTGCCTGAGTGGGACGATCACATGTTTGCTCGGTGACCTCTTATGCGGCTCTGGAGTTCTATTCATATTGTTTGACATTGCCAGTGATGAGGTTGCTTGATTGCAATATAATCGCCGAAGATTAGGAATTTGTGTTTAAATGTTGCCAAATTCGGAAAACTTATTGAGTAAGCATAATTTCAAAATCTAAGATTGATATACAAATTAAACGTGAACACATGAACAGAACGATACATACCAACGCTTGTGGGCTGACTTGTTTGTTGCACAATTGTGTTAACATAGGTCTATAATCTGTATCTCCTAACCACTTATATCAATCCTCCTACAATTGTTCTTCAGGTAATTGGCTTTAAAAATTACGAGGACATATATTAATTTGAGTATATAAACTGAAGTGAGGAAGTCGCAGTAAATGACTTAGTTGAAGGTCGATTATTCGAGGCAGACCTTCTCGTTAAATTATATAGACTTAACTGAGCGATCCCGATCGTACCAAGAGATATGGTGTTGAGGAAGCAAAATTTTCGTAGTTCTCCATAATAAAGCTAAGGTGTAAAGCACTTAACATTGAAAGTAGTCTAAAACAACACTATGGTCCAGGTCAGCGAAGTCAAGGAGAATGCTGTTCCTTCGGGCTCTCATGCGAGGACAGCCGCACATACACATATTAAAGGATTGGGTCTTGATGAATCAGGTGTGGCTAAACAAATCGAAGGCGGTTTCGTTGGCCAGATTGAGGCCAGAGAAGCTTGCGGAGTAGTTGTTGATTTGATCAAAGCCAAAAAGATGTCAGGCAAGGCTATTTTACTTGCTGGTGGTCCCTCAACTGGTAAAACAGCTTTAGCCTTGGCAATTTCTCAAGAACTAGGTCCCAAGGTTCCTTTCTGTCCAGTGGTAGGCTCTGAACTCTATTCGGTTGAAGTCAAGAAGACTGAGGCGTTAATGGAAAACTTCAGAAGAGCAATTGGTCTAAGAATCAAGGAAACAAAAGAAGTATATGAGGGTGAGGTCACAGAATTAACTCCCCAGAGTGCCGAAAATCCGCTCGGAGGGTATGGCAAGACCATTTCGCACGTCATAATTGGGCTCAAATCTGCTAAGGGAACAAAAACCCTAAGACTTGATCCAACTGTTTATGATAGTATCGAAAGAGAGAGTGTGAGCGTGGGAGATGTTATTTACATCGAAGCCAATACCGGTGCTGTAAAAAGAGTAGGTAGATCGGATGCTTATGCCACCGAATTTGATCTGGAAGCTGAAGAATACGTGCCTTTGCCTAAAGGTGAGGTTCACAAGAAGAAGGAGATAGTCCAGGATGTGACATTGCACGATTTAGATATGGCTAACGCCAGACCTCAAGGCGGACAAGATGTTATTTCCATGATGGGACAGCTGATGAAACCAAAGAAAACTGAGATAACGGAGAAGCTAAGAGAAGAGGTCAACAAAGTTGTTGCAAAGTACATTGACCAAGGAGTTGCAGAATTGGTTCCTGGTGTCTTGTTTATTGATGAAGTGAACATGCTAGATATCGAGATTTTCACGTACTTGAATAAGGCTCTGGAATCTGAAATTGCTCCAGTGGTTGTACTGGCATCTAATAGAGGTCTAACAACTGTGCGTGGAACTGATGATGTAGTTTCCCCTCACGGAATTCCGCCAGATTTGATTGACAGACTACTAATTGTTCGCACTTTGCCTTACAATAAAGAAGAAATAAGAACTATCATTCAAAGAAGGTCTGCCGTTGAAAACCTACGGTTGGAGGACGCTGCTTTGGATTTGCTCGCCACTATGGGAACTGAGACATCCTTGCGTTACGCATTACAGCTTCTTGCCCCCTCGGGAATTTTGGCTCAAGCTTCCGGTCGTACAGAGCTAACTGTTCCTGACATCAATGAAGCTAAAACTTTATTTTTGGATGCCAAAAGATCAACCAAGATTCTTGAAAAGGCCGAAAACTATTTGTGAGGATCAAATAAACATCTATGTAATATAACTACTCAATAGAAATTCTCCGGCATTCCTTTATTTTGTTTTCTGTAATGTACAATGAATGACAGTTAATATATCGCTTTTGACATTTAACCCAAACTGGAGATCTCTTGTAGGAAATCGGTGGGCGTTGTAATCGAAGTGCTTCCATATACAACACTTTTCGCATTCCCTTGTTGAGAATGTGCCCATTCTTGCAAATTTTGATATTCAAGGTAATTTCCACCCCCAACTACAAATACCAAAGACTTATTATACGATTGCCTTTTTGGTTTCTTGGTATGCGATCCTCTGATCACACGAGGATCGAAGTATAGATATTCATCCGTGGATTCCAAATTTTTCTGTGAACTATTCAAGGGGTCCATGATCGCTTCTACTAAGTTGGTAATAGGAATCGTCTTCTTCTCGGGTAAAAAGTTCTTTATTCCTGAAATTAAAGATCCGACACCACCCTGGATTTTACCTTCGGTAAGACCGTAAAGCTTGTTAGAAAGACCGGATAACAGTAAAGATGAGTTAGCGTTTGCGTTATCATTCTTGTTGTCGATATGACCATTTTCTAAAGACTTGTTTTGAAATGATAGATTTGACAGTTTCATAATCTCCCGCAATTTGTAGACATATTTCAATGCTCCGATGTCATATTCTTGGTCATTGAAATACTTCTCAACTTTCTTGACAAAGTCAGCAGGTAAACCACTAGGTGACGCCAGGTACAGAATAATAAACGTTCTGAGTTTGTCCTCAAGGTTAGTGGTTTTGCCATCTTTAAGAGTATCTAAAAATCTTTGCCTGGACTTTGGTGAATCTTGACCTTGCTCAATCTCAAAAAACGAGTCTAAACCCTTACTTTCCAGTTGTGAAAGAAGGGATGCTAGAACACTCATATGCGTATCGATAATTGCTTTCCTAGAAGTCAATTCTGGTAACTTGTTGACAGCTTCTTGAATTTGTAAAGTATCATTGTTTGAACTGGGGTCTAACTCGCTAAGTTCGCTTACGCCTGTTTTTCTAGTGATTTCTTCTGCCTGAGCTTTGTAGTCAGCAAGCGCAGCTTCGACATTTTCTACTGCGTCAGGGAAAGGCAAATGGGCATTTGCGTTCACAAAAAAATCTTTAGGATCGATATCCATCTTCTTCTGGATTTCTTGACCATCTTCTCCCTTCGATGGTATGGTAATAGTGTTTCTAGTCAATTTAAAAACATCGAAAACCAAGCATTGATAAATCCATGAATGCGCAAACATAGATGCCAAGTCAATATTTCTATCGAGAATTACCAAAACAAATCTTTCTAAAGAGCTACTGGCGCTTGTAGAGTTAGCTCTAGTGTTAATAACATAGTCACGAAGCTTGCTTTCGAGTTTTTGGGCCACCATTTCGGCTGGACCGCCTTTTGGAGCGCGGATTACTGGAATTGAGCCAATGGTCATAACTGCATCATATAATCCATCGGCTACATTGTCACAAATACTTGTGATCTGACTTTCATTAGCCTGAGGGTCGTTGAATTGGCGGTATGTATTCTTTATCTCCAATGAAAACAAGTCAGGTTCGGTGACTACAAATTCTGAATATTGATCATACAGTTGCTTGATTTTGGCTGATTTTCCAGTTCCTGAGACTTGCTTCGCAAAATCTTCCAACAATTCTCGATTGAGTGTGGAAGTGAAGTTCACATAAAATTCGGCATACTTGTCTTCCTTCAAATCCTCAACAATGATGTTGATATTTTCCTGCGTAGGTTGTACGAAATACACCACAGGAACGTCGGGAAGTGGGGTTCTTTTCTGCTGGATAAGGCTGTGAACAGTGACTCCGGATTTCAGTAGATCGTTGACGCGAAGAATCGAAGAAACAATGGCCGTACTTTTAGAGTCAAGAACCAGAACCTTCCATACCATTTCTTGGCCATCTAATCCAGAAGTTAAATCTGACGAAGATGTTTCCTTGTTGAACATCAACATCCTCTCAATGCATGCTATACCACTCGTTAGTGAAAAGTTTCTTAAATTGAAGCTTTAGCAAGTAAACGTACCTATTTGTCTATCCCTCAAACTTGTCTCATTTGTTATAGACATGTTGATTAAACGAAAGAAGCAGTGTCAAATCTATGTCGCGTCCCAATTAACACGACAACTTTTAATTTCTAGGCATCAAACTGAAACCAGATAATACGTACGACGTGATAATATATTGACAGGTTTGCTGAAATTGTATGTCACTGGTAATTTTAAACCATGAGCTTGAAAAATAGTGTATCACTTCAACAATTATTCTACAGAATGCGTATTATATTAGTATCTACAAAAGGTAGTTTAGTGCAAGCATCATTGTGGAGGACCCTCTTTCAAAGTAGATCTTCCTGCCCTGAGAAGCTCATCACATAATAGCAAGTTACTAGCAATTCCAGTGGCACCAGTAATGGCATTTCTAATGACCCTATAAGAGTCCCAAATACCCTCAATAGTTGGATCACAGGAGTCACCCACGTTAAGATCCACGCCTACCGCTCTACCTTCCTCTTCATCTAGTTCATCTTGGCATATTGCCAAAACGTCTAATGCATCATAACCAGAATTCTTCACTAAGGTCTTTGGAACCACCAGTAATCCTTCGGCAAAGGCCTGAACACCAGTTTTCTTCTTTCCCTTAGCGCCTAACTTATTCATGTTGGAAGTTTTGAGATGATTGGAGGCGGCTAAAAAGAAAGCACCGGCACCCGGAATTACAGCCTTATCTTTGAGAACATTAGCCACAGCCCTCAAGCCGTCTCTGACTGCATCTTTGGTCTGGTTTAATGCGTGGTATGTAGCACCCTTAATGAGAATGGTACAAGACTTGGGATCCTTATTTTCCGTGACATATGTGAACTTCTCTTCACCAATCGTTTCTTGATATACGAGTCCGGAGTAGCCTAGAACAGAGGGTGAGAGATCGTCAACAGAGTTCTGGGCCTCGCCCCCCGTGACTAGCTGTAATCTTTCCATATTACGCCTCTTGGCTCTTCTTAGTGCCAAAATGTTGTGTTTCGCAAGGACATCAAGCGACATTGGATCGATACCCTTTTGGTTGATAATAACAAATCCCTTGTTAGAGTTCATGCCACACACTTCATTTTTCAAATCGATGATCTTTTTCAGCTTTTCGTCAACAAATTTTCTCTCACTGGCAGCCAATTTGTCTCTCTGGTCAGCCGAACTATAGTAAAATCCCGAGTTCACTTCAGTTTTTTCATATTCTAGAGAAACGTTCAAAATAAGCACATAAGCATTTTCAACTCTGGTAGGCATATCTGGGTGCCTAGCGCCATGGTCTAAGACTAAACCTCTCACGAAACATGTATCCTTTGGAGATAAATGCTGCATTTGCATAATTTCGACCATATGAAGATCGAGGGATCTACTGTCGCTATTCTGGACACTCAAAACAGCATCAGTGACTATTGGTGTGAGCACCTCTGCAATTTCTGGGGTAACCTTTGTAGACAATGAGCTTCTGGCGACCTGCAATAGGAACTCACGGTCAAGGTCGCCGTTTTGGCTCTTGTCAATCTTAAATTGGTCCAAGTACTTCATCGTTTCCGTACGCGCGATTTCAAAGCCATCTGTAATCATTCTTGGATGCACACCTTCTTGGATGTATCTGTAAGCTTGTTTCAACAGCTCACCCACCAAACACACTACTGTTGTGGTACCATCACCAGTGATCTCATCCTGAGCAGCGGCAGCACGTGCAATCATCACCGCAGTTGGTGATTGAATTTGCATTTCAGTCAATAGCACTTTCCCATCTTTTGTAAGCTTGATATTACCTGCACCGTCTACCAGCATTTTAAGAGTTCCCTTTGGGCCAAGGTTAGTTTCCAGCACGGATTGCAAACCTTCGGCTGAGGTAACATTGACCTTTAGAGCTGCGTCTCTCCTTAGAGATTCTGCCTTAGGATTGAGCAATTGAAGTGACATTTCTAAGCAACCTTGTTTCCACTGACCTGACAAGCAAACGATGTCTGAATCGAATTTTTTCTTCTACAGCGCGTTTTCAAAATTTTCGACGTTTGCCACCGGGAAGTTACCCGGACTAACATTAAGCCTTAACAAAGAGCCGATTAAACTCTAGCTCGAGCCCAAGTAATGCGAACAAACTGTGAATTATATATATATCTACATGTGTCTAACTACATTACATATTGATCACAGCTTATAATGTCTTCCATCTATTTAATTCTCTGTCTTGGGCCTCCCGGAGATTTTTTGTTTCTGGCGGTCAAAATTTCAACACCATGTTCCGTCACCAGAAGAGTGTGCTCGAACTGTGCGCTCAGCTTACCATCCTTTGTAACAGCAGTCCAATCATCGGGCCAGCTAACGTCTTGCCAAACACCCTCATTGATCATGGGTTCGATGGTGAACACCATTCCTGGCTTCATGACACCAGAGGTTCTATTGCCCGCATAGTGAGGAATGTTGGGAGAGCAATGGAAGAACTTACCGACACCATGACCACAGTAGGTCCGTACCACAGAGCATTTGTTTTCTGTTGCATGCCTCTCGATGTAATCTCCGAGCTCCTGAAAAGTGGTGCCTGGTTTGCACTGCTTAATGGCAGCTTTCAAACACTCTCTACTTGTTTCCACGGTATTTATCGCACTTTTCGAGATATTTTCACCAACATAATAGGTCTCGTTCAAGTCCGCGTGGAATCCCTGGTAGAACAGGGACACATCAAGGTTGACGATGTCGCCCTCTTTTAGAACAGTTTGGTCCGGAATACCGTGACACACCACCTCATTGACTGACGTACACACAGACTTGGGAAAATTGTAGTAGTTGAGAGGCGATGGGTATGCGCCGCGCTTGATGGTCTCTTCGTGCACGATACGATCTATCTCATCGGTCGTAACGCCGGGTTTGACAGAGGCTGCGGCGATGTCCAACACTTCCCTGCCAAGCATGCATGCCTTTCTTATTTTCTTGATCTCGTCTTTAGAGTACACGATGATCTTGTTCAACATGTCGTTTCTTTGTTCGTTGACTGGCAGCCCATTCGAGGCCCACTCGGGCTTTGGGATGTCATCGGGCACCGCTCTTCTGGGACTTAGCGGATAAGCTGGTCTCAGTTCACCGGTGTACTTGAACTTGGGAAATGGATCATACGAATCCGGCTTGTCATCCTTCCAATGAAGTGACTTGTGTGCTTTGTAACTGTTCTTGAAGCACGCATCGTTACAAAAGTGCGACTCTATACCTTGTTTCAAACAAATGGGGCACTTCAGTCCAGAAGTTGACTCTTTTCCACATTGCGCATCTGCACAGTATACAGTGTCATCTGCCATCTTTTGCAACATAATGTTTTATGCTTTCTGAGAAGCACTGGAGATGAGTAGAGTGAAAATTTTCTATCTTTTCATAATCGAACTACAACCTACATACATCACATGATTCTAAAAAACTCAAGTGCGTAGGTCTTCTGGACCGAAACTTAGAGGCAGCAGTTCCTGAACCGTCTTGACAACGTATTTAGAGCCGTCACCGTTGAACATCACCACTGGCAACTGCAGCGGCGCAAACTCCCGGATCACTTGGCGACAAATCCCGCACGGCGAGATACATGAATCAAGTGAGTCGCCGCTGATCGCCAAACACCGCCATTCACCTCTATGTCCCGATGTGACCGCCTTTACTATAGCTGTGCGCTCTGCGCAAATTGCGCCTCCGTAGCTTGCGTTCTCAACATTGGCTCCAACGACAAAATCACCGGTCTTGGTTAGAATGCAACAGCCGACCCTGAACCGCGAGTAAGGGCTGTAAGAAAGCTCGCGGGCCTTCAATGCCTGCGTTTTGAGTTGCTGGAATTGATCCGGCGTAATTCCCAGTGGTAGAATATCTTTTTGCATGGTATTTGCAATGTTGAAAGAGGATGGTTGCTAAAATCGACCTTATCAATAGGGACGTAGACACGTAAAATGAAAATCAACAAAAAGTCGCGCTACAGCCACTAACTACTGAGATACGGAAATTACGCTCGGAACTGGCGGTGGTTCCAGCGGAAATAGTCAAGTATACTCATTAAAGCAGTAGTAATCATGGCTATATGCATTTGTTCCTAAAATTCAACAGCTGGTTGCAGCTCGCATCTGCTGCACAGCGAGGACACGTATAGAGAATTGTAAACACATCTAGCCTCATTATTATTCTCCACGTATACTGCCTGAATCACCCTGGTGCGGTTGCCGTCAAGCCGTTTCAGATAACGCTTGGAGCCGAGAAGAAGGTTTCACGTGATATTTTATGAAACAATCTTAGTCGTTTATTGTACGCATTCGAAAATTTTTCCCGCTCTCCGATTTACATTTGATGATCCAACAAGGTCCTTAGAATCGAGAGACTCTCAGGATTGTGTCGCACTTTTCTGCCATCTTATGATATTCGAAATTTACCACATACCATGAAAGAAGAGGCTAGAGTCAAATCGCATTCTCCAGTGTGCCGATCACCGCCAGCAAATGAGTTTGTGCCGTCTACGCGGGAAGAGTGTCCCAAAGTAAAAGTAAAGCGTGTTGAATCGCTGTTTTTGATAACATATTCAGATATCGCATCGGAGGGTGTTGTGGAGCTACACAAGTATGATGCGTTCAACGTATGTCTATACATTGATATTCCGACTATCGACTACTATAATGACGAGCTCAAGCACAATAGGCTCTCGCGGCTCAACAGGCGGTTCAAAGTGCACAAGCTTCGAGAGCTTATATTCTCTAGCATAACCAACTATAATGAAGGCTTTTGGGCTTGTATGCGGAGCAGAGACGCACGCGCTAAGAGCATCAGCTTCAATTTCTCCGTATCCTCGAGTGGCGCTTTGCGCTACGTGGAAACAATCAAGTATCTCATAGAGTCCTGTTGGGAGAAGCTGCAAGAATGTCAAGCACTACATGTCTGCTTTAAACTCCAGGTATCTCCGACCTCTCTCATATGGTTCAAAACGTTTCTAGCTAAGGATATGTTAGCTAAGGAGATTGTGAAGTTCGAGCTTATAGGCAACTATAACATGATTACATCTTCTACCACGCTGTTCAAGGAGTATTACACAAGGCTCAACGATAAATTCACAAAAAAAGCACGCTCAACGTCCCTGGATTCCATCATCATTATAACCAATAGCACAGGTGTAAAGGCATTGCTGACGATTTTGTCGGATAAACCTCTCACAAGTTATTTATCACAAGAGTCGCTAGAAGCGCTTCACAGCAACGCACTCCGTGAAAAACCTCCACGTCTTTTATCAGTAGGATCCGGCGATAGCGAGGATGATACCCCGCTTCAACGGGACTCTTCATCGTTATTAAGTTTTCAAAACTCCCTTATCACTTCTAATAAAGACAAGTCGGTGAAAATAAGAACACCGGCTCTTGTAACGAGGGGTAATCAGGTGAGTGGTGCTGTAGAAGATTCGACTAGCGGTACAGTATCAGTTGCCGCCTTCCAAGAAGATTCTGAGGGCGAAGATGAAGATGATGAAGCAGACAATGACGAAGATGGTTTGAGTTTTTCTGTGCCCAGCAGGCTTTCTCGTTGTGGGTCAGAAGTTGATCTTAAATCAAGACAAGTTGAAGAAACATCTACTACACGTCGCTTTAGATCCTTGAGTTTGATGGATCCGGCTTTGAAAGCTCCTTTCTCGCAGGATGTACCATCTTCCTCGTCGCGAGTTCCTACGTCAATGGAAACTATAGAAGATGAAATGTGCTCTCCCACCGCAAACTCTTTGAACAAGGATCGGTATACAAATATCTATGTGCACGATGGACAGTTCGAAGGTGATACACCTGTCCCAGCGAAGAAACCTGCAAGGAAACTATTGCGTTCTAACTCACGCAACAACTCTAGTAATGGCTTAATACCACCTGAGTTCTATTCTAGAATATCATCACCCTCCACAAGTAATAGCAGTTCTAATACCTCGCTCAACAACATTAACATTCTACCAGGTACGTTTTCAAAACTTTTAGACTCAACAGGCGAGCAAAGCAATGGAGAATCACATTCGCTTTTTGAAAAAAATTTGATTAATAAATCATTCGAAGAGGCTAGAAAACAACCCCCACCAAACTTCTTCCACACATTAATAGGCCAACAGGACATGAATAGGTTTGCATTGAATTTCAAAAGCAACAAAACGATCCCTACTACTGTAAAATTGCTCGACGATGAAGATAGATTGATGTCCGGAGCTGGAAACTACAGTTCTTGGACATCAGATGATGATTCGAAGTCTAACACTGAATCAGTAACAACTTTGATTGCACAGGACGAACTTTCCTCAAGCACTTCCACCACGTCTAAGAAACTCAATCTTCAGATATACGACAACCCAGATGACGAAGTCAAATCAACTCCGGAGACAGAGGAGAGCAAACCAAAATCCACTTACAAGAAACCCAAGTTTACTTTGGATCTTTACAATGACGACGATGTAGAATCAAACGGTGGATGGTTATTGGGAGGAAATGCTCGGTAATTAAATAAGCATATATGTATAATAGCAATAGGAATTATATTTTTGGAGTTAAGGATTAACACAACTCAATTATTTACGGTTTCAACTGTTCTCAGAAGTTTAACGGTTGGGATCGAAAGATTTATTACATTTGCGTGATTTCATATCCTATTAGACGAATGGTGTGGGTATTTCCATTTTCAAGCAATTCAAACGGTTATCATCAACGGAACAACACAAGGCTCCAAAGTGGAAGAAACGGCTGCTGCGCTGATAAATGCGCTTTTAGCCTTGTGATTTTGTATGCGATCCTATGAATCGATGGAAAGTTACGAACAACTGGCGAAATTTCAGTAAAATGCGACGTAATGTTAATCATAAAGATAAGGAAAGCGATTGCAGTGCGAGCCCACAACCTTTAGGGTTCTCCACTTGGTTGATAACTCTGGAGCATTCAGATGAATCTAATAAAAACTATGGGGCGATGCCTGCGGTTACGAACTATATTTTCTTTATGGGTGGACGGTTTCGCACTATTAGTGGTACGAAGGTTCTATCGATACTAGTATTAGCGCTCGTCATTGCTCCTATGGTCCTCTTTTCCATCTTCGAAACACGTAAACAATGGAACCTCGGAACGGCTTGCCGAGTTCTCGTCGTTCTGTTTTACTACTTCTGGATTACTTGTTTCGCATCTTTTATCCGAACGGCAACAACAGATCCTGGCGTCCTTCCAAGAAATATACACGTTCCCACGGTAATAAATGACTATGAACTACCTCAAGAATACTACAACATCATCACACTTCCGACGTCTGACCCTTGTGAAAGATCAGTGGACGTTAAATATTGCCCTACATGTCGTATATGGAGGCCGCCGCGGGCTTCTCACTGTTCAACATGTGAGACTTGCATTATGACACACGATCACCACTGTGTTTGGGTCAACAACTGCATAGGTCAACGAAATTACAGATACTTCCTAGCGTTTCTTTCGAGTTGCACTATTACAGCTGCTACGTGTATAGCCAGTTGTAGTATCCACATATCGAAGGTCGCACATGCTAGCGATAGCCCAGTCGCCATTTTGCTGGTCATTTACTGTGGACTGGGGTTCTGCTATCCTTTTATTCTTTTAATCTATCATGTTTTTTTAACTGGTACTCAGCAGACCACCCGTGAGTATCTGAAAACTGTTCAATCTAAAACAGCCGTTTTTCATAAGATTACTTCTCCTCAAAACAACGCCTTCGACAAGAAAAACATCTTTTCCAATATGATCTCTTTGATATGTGAACCAAGAGGTTTAAGTCTTGTTAGTGCAAGGAGTAGACATTCTAAAGGGGACTGGAGATTCTTGAATCTGCCCCAACCACATAGTTTTCAAAAAGCTTAAATCTTAGCATCAGCCGTTATGTATGTAATACGTAATTTTTCCGTGTTCGGCCTACTCGCAATTAGCTATGCTTTTTTTCGGAGATGTCTTCCATGGAAAAATGTTGCCTCCCAAAAAATCTTCGAGTTATAAAAAGCCTGCACAAAACTGGGGAAAAAATCATTTTTACAAACAAGCATTAAAACGATGAGACTTTTCGAAAATACGTACGAATTCTCATATCCGTGGGAGCAGGTAACTGCAGCTAACTGGAAAAAATATCCTAATGAAGTTTCCACTCATGTGGTTGCAGTCGATGTATTGAGACGAGAGCTGCATGATTCTGGCAAGAAACTTAAGAGTGAAAGACTAATAACTGTGAAGCAGTCTGTTCCTAAATGGTTACTCATGATGGTTGGTGGGACAAATGTGAGCTACGTTCGCGAAGTTTCCGTTGTAGATTTAGATGATAAGACGCTGACGCTGCGCAGCTGCAACTTGACTTGCGCCAACCTACTGAGGGTCTATGAAACTGTAACATACAAGCCAAACCCTGATGATCCTATGAGGACAATTTTTGAGCAGGAGGCGCAAATCACAGCCTACGCTTCGATCACGAAGCTGTGTAATAAGATTGAAGAATGGTCAGTCAAGAGATTTCATGACAACGCTCAAAAGGGCAAAAAAGGTTTTGATTCAGTTTTACAGATTCTCAGCGAGCATTGGGAGCAAAGAGACAAGTACGTTGATGATTTTGGAAATAGTATTGTTGATAAGGTTAATGATACTGTTGACGACCTCAAGATTACAACTGAAAATTTGATCAAGGAAACGGAAAAAAAATCATCCATTTTGAATCAGTATTACAGACAGATCCAAAGCGCATTCAGCAAAACTGCATGATGCTGGTGTATCTGTTTGCTTGTATTTAGCTGTGCTTAGTCAAGTGAGAAAGGGTTAACATCGTAGAGAGGAATTGGAAGAAACTAATGTTAGGAAAGGTAAAACTGTTATTGGCTCAAAGAAATTCATTCAAATAAATTCATTCATACACTGTAAATATCGCATTTCAAACTCATATTTTATTTATTCTTGACACTGCTTTACATTAATTACATGGTTGGATCCACGGAACAGTCGAGCATCAGTGCTCATTTCTTTTTATTTTCTTTTTTTTCCATGCTCAGCTTCATGAAAAATTTTGGAAGCACCGATGAGATGGCCATTAACGTAACCACCGTGGCAGTGGAAAAGCATATGACCATCCAAGGCAGCCCCCCAGGAGCTGTTTCTGATATGGCCGATGTTAATGATGATGTCTTATACAGAACCAAGGAAAGCACTGTTGATTCAGAACTCGAGTTTACCCTTCACAAATTACTTACACAAGATTGTGACACAGGAGGTGATCATGATCCCTTAGGGTTTGCAATTGAGAAGGCAATCGCTGAAATGGAGTTTCCAGAATTACTTGGGGACACAAATCTGGATGCCAGTACTCCTCAAATAGATACCAAAATGGCAAAGGGACAAGAGCATCTTACTGTTGAAAGAATTCTTGCTGAAAACTCTCTTCAACCGGCTAATCAGTCTAATAGAAAACGCCCATTTGTTGCATCTGACGATCAAGAATTGACAAGAAATAAGAGGATTAGCAGAGCTTATGATACTCTTTCCCCAGAATCTTTGTCGCCATTCTCGGACAGCGAGTCTCAATTTAAGCATAAAACCATCACATCGTCATCGAAGGCCAACACAATTACTTCACGTATATCCAGCCATGAGGTTAAGGAGACTCCATTAGTTGTGGAACCTAAGCAAGGCGTAGTCTCAGCAATGTCCTTGCCTCCTAAATTGACAAACGAGTATACGATGAGTCAAGTGGCAGAAATGAAAAAGAGAATAATTAACACGCACAAGCTTATGCTAAACTTTAATTTCTTGAAAGATGGCTATTCAAGATCTTGCACGGAGTTAAAACGGGCACTCGTCAGGTTAAAACAAAGTGAATATCATAGGGCTCAACTGTTAATAGAAAACGAGAAATTAAAGAAACTTGCGTTGAATTTGAGCCAGAAGTTGGATGAAAGTGAATGAACTGAGTATTTCCGCTCATACCGAGTCCTATATTTTTTTGCATCGAGTAGACCATTACTGTATACTAATTTAGTCATATCTACTTAACCTACCTACGAATTTAAGTCATTTACATCATAGTACCTTACGTTGAAACAGCCCAACATAATGATTAGATACAAAATCTTTTCATCGGACTCTCTCTAATGCTTTCATCGATCAATGATGTTAAACTAATTAAAAACTAAATAATGCATTATAGTATCAATGAGCTTAAGCCTTGATCTTGAAGGTGGAGTGACACTTACCACAGTAATGTCTGTCCTTGTGGTTAGCCAAGAAGACACCAGCACCACAGTTTGGACACTCTCTTCTCAACTTGGTAACCTTACCATCAGAGTCAACCTTGAAGTAGTTCAAGACAGCCAACTTAACCTTCTTGTGCTTGTGCTTGATCTTCTTTGGGGTGGTGTAAACCTTCTTCTTTCTCTTCTTACCACCACCTCTCAATCTCAAAACCAAGTGCAAGGTAGACTCCTTTTGGATGTTGTAGTCAGACAAAGTTCTGCCATCTTCCAATTGCTTACCAGCAAAGATCAATCTTTGTTGGTCAGGTGGGATACCCTCCTTGTCTTGGATCTTGGACTTGACATTGTCGATAGTGTCAGAAGACTCGACTTCAAGGGTAATTGTCTTACCGGTTAAGGTCTTAACAAAAATTTGCATCTTGGCTTGTCGGCAAAAAGTGCTTCTTTCTTACCAAGTCTGTTACAGATTGAAGTAGATTTAATGCTAACTTCCCTGCAAACCGCTATTATTTGAAAAACACATCGCTCATTTGAGTCCGTTGATCGTTTCGTAACCTGCGATTGAAGAGCTTATTTTTTCGAATACAGCAATAGCATCCGTACATTTTAGAAATGAATGTTGTACGGATGTTGTAGTCAAATGTCAAGATCACATTCGTCATCTGATACGGATGTTCTTGGGAGGCCTTTCGCTGAATTCAGGACGGATAGCTTAGCAGCCCTTCTTACCAAAATACCGCACTCCAGTAGAATAGTTTCTAGGGATGTAACAGAGAAATCATTGGGATTGTTGCCAAGACGTGAAAATCCGACGATTCGGTCTCTTTCAGCGCCATTCTTGTAAGCTACCAAACATGGTAGAACCTTGATATTGAGTTTAGCCACGAGGAAAGGAGAGTCTTCAACACTGATTCTTAGAAATCGCGTCATAAGATGCTTTTGAGCCAATTCAGTCAGTCTTTCATCCATTATTTTACATTTTTGAAAAGTGTTTAAAAAAAAATGTATCACCACTAAATCCGTCTGCGATGTGAGGCGCATCAGTGCATTCTCATCATTGAATGTTGTAAGAGTCCCATATCCGTCGTTCTGAACATTTTTTTGAACCTGCTTTATGTCCTCTGCAAGTTGCTGTAGCCTTTGTTCTCTATATTTTGACATAAACTCATCATCGACATCTTCCTCTAATTCTTCGAACAGTTCTTGAAAAGACGCATCATCATTACTCTCGGTTTCGCTTTGTTCTTTATCGTGTTTCATTCTCAACCTGCCAAGGTTATTTAAGTCCATTGTTATTTACTGGTACATTCGTTCAACCTCGCGTAGCGTAGCGCCAGACGGTTTTTTTTCTAAATCGAGGTAGCTGAATCAACTGCAAAATAAAGGGCAAGTTAAGCCAATTGAAAGCTCAACTTCAAGAATTATGAACACACTCTATGAGCTGGACCCTAAGTGGAGGGACCTTTTGAAGTTAGACAACTTTCTAGGTGGCTTGACGGTACATGAATTTGTTCAGGAAATTAGCAGCGATCATTCTTTGAAAACTACTGCTGCATACGCAGGAACTTGGGAACATTTGGATCCTAAGCCTTATATCAGGACTTTTGAATCGACATTGAAAGAACTGAAAAAGCTAAGCGATGACGCAGAGAGTCGTAAGAGTCAACTTGAACAGCAGGTATCAAAACATGAATTGCTTCACGCCCAAAATATAATGCACCTTTCCAACAATGTACAAGTCATAATCGATAACTGTGGCCATTTAGATGATAGATTGACCAATGTTACTCAAGTAGTGTCTCCTCTAGGCGAAAAGCTCGAAAAAGCAATCAAACGGAAGAATGTTTACGTCAAGTCAGTGGAGCTGATTTCACAGTACTCTACCTTCTACACCAATAATGAATCACCAGAGTTGGAAAGACTTAGGTTATCTGGTGATTGGCGTGCTAAAGGAAGAGCCGCGATTATGATCAAGAACTTGTTGTCTTTGGCTCGTCAAGTGGAAACGAAGTCTTTACCCAGAACTGTGGAGACAACGTCCATTATTGAGAAATATTCGGAGGTAATGGAGAACGAATTGCTTGCTAGCTTCAGTACTGCTTATCGTGAAAATGATTTCACCAAATTGAATGAAATTGCTTTGATATTAAATCGATTCAATGGTGGGCTTAACGTTATCCAGAGTTTTATCAATCAGCATGAATATTTCATTGATACGAAGCAGCTTGATTTGGATGAAAATGGAGTATTCTTTGATGAAACTTTTAAAGAAAAGATAACTGATCCCGACAATCATGGAGTATTCTACGAAAATTCAATGGTGAAGAAATTGGATGAGATAGAAACAGTGATAAAAAATGAATCAAAGGTTGTTAAAAAAGTTTTTGAAGCCAGAGCTGAATATGTTCTTCAGTTATTCATCGAAAGAATCTTTGCTCAAAAGATAGAATCTAGAGTTGAATTTTTACTCAATGCCTCACTTTCATTGTCGAATTTGGCTTATGTGCGAATGCTGCATGCTCTGTATTCATTAATTGGTCAATTTGTTAAAGATTTGTCTGAATTTTTTCAAATACTCGAGGTTGATAATACAAACGGGTTGTCTTCAACGCTGGAGCATTGCTACGTTGATCTCTTCTCCAAAACTATATACGACAGGTCCAAATATTTTGATATCGAAAAGCGTGGATTAGAGAGTGTTTTGGCTCAGAAGACATCTGACTTTAACATTGAACATGATAAAGATATACGGGCAAGAGCTTTATCAAATAAACTTCAGAGCATCCCAGAGTTTGCTGACGTATCAGAAGTTTCCGAATTAAATGCAACATCTGCTAATAAGCTCTCGCAAATCAACAGTTTTTTTCGTGCCCATCTTGAAAAAGAAAAAAAGGCGCTTTCCCTTTCTCGTTCTTCGTCATTTATTCATGGTAGTTCTGGTCATCAAAACAATGGGCTATCTTCACCAGGGCCCCTAGATAGCCAAGATGATCCCTTTTTTACACTGCAAAAAATAGACACCATGTTAAAATGTGCGGTTGAATCTTTTGCAAGAGTGATGGAGTTGGTTCCCAATAAGGCCGGGGATTTCAGTTATGAATTGCTGGAAATTGTACTTATGGGCACAGTAGGATCTTATGTCGAATCTGGCCTGGAAACAGCGTACGCACTACTGACAAGAGTTGATGCACAAAAGGACAACATACAATTGTCGTTCTTGAAATATGTTTCCAAATCAACAGAGATATTGGGACTGATATCTGCATCCATCAAAACCGTCATACTGCCACTTCTCACTAACTCGCCCACCATAAAAAAGAAAATCATTACTTTGAGTAATAGCTATATCAAAAAATGTGAGCTCCTTATCAACGTCATTATGGAGGAGACGATTATAATGTACTCTCAACGATTTACAAATTCTTTATCAAAACAAAAGAAGAAGGACTTTGTGCCAAGAACGCAAAATTTAATGGATCAAGACACCTTGCCAGCAACTGAAATCGTTTCAGTCTTGAATTCGCTGTATTCACAGGTTACTCAATATTTGAGGAACGATAATTTGAAATCATTTTTATTAGAGGTTGGAAGAGATTTGTATCACCAATTAATAGAGCATTATAAAAAATTCCAAGTGAGCTCGATAGGAGGAATTATGGTAACAAAAGATATTATAGGATTTCAGACCGCGATTGAAGAATGGTCTATTCAGGAGCTTCTTGATGCCTTTGCTACACTAAGGGAGTTAGCAAACTTATTTACAGTGCAACCTGAGCTATTAGAATCACTCACAAAGGAGGGACGATTGGCAAACCTTGACAAAAATATCATTTCGGAATATATTTCAAAGCGAGAAGACTTCAATCATGAAAGTTTCGTAAATAAATTCAAAGTTAATCTAAGGTTGTGAAGCCCATCTTCTAAATTCAAAATATTTACAACTGTTTACTTCATATATTTTCACTGAAATTGTCGATAGTAATATATAAACATCATAAAAATTGCTAATAGCAATGAGCCTCCGTTTACGAGAAACCCTCGCAGGCCAGGTGTCACTTGAATAATATAAGTGTTAGCCTTTCTGTCCTTCTGAGAATAAGTATCAAACTTTTTGGTAGAAACAGGCAATAAGGCAGGGTCCACCGTCGTTTTGCTTGGTAATCGACGCGCAATGACTCTATTGAAAGATTTGGGGTAAAAGCACATCCATAATAGAGACCCGACAGTAAATACGGTAAGTATGCCGTACATTTTCAGTGGCTTGAATGGATCGGGCAAATAACATATGTTAGTATTGTATGTCTCCGAGTTTGAAGATGATGGTGGATTATGCAATGATAGAAGTTGAATAGCTGGTCTAGAAATTCCCATGTTCATTGCGCATGATTTTACAGTGATTTCATTGGCGCTCTTTTTTACACCATTGACGGTGTATGAATGACTGATGGAGCAGTAGTCGTGATCATCACCCGAAAAAATGAGATCAGGTTTTATAGTGGTCAAAACTTCTTCACTTATAACATTATTGATTACAGTTTGATACTGAGTGCCTACCATTATTGGAAACGGTTTGGTAGATTCGCGTTCCTTTCCGCACTTTTGAAGATCAGGATTGCGCCACAAGGGAACGTGCGTCAAAAGAATTCGAGGATATGAGTGCTCTGTATGCTCAAAGTTATTTAAAAATGTCCTTGGTTTTGATGACACTTCGGAGTTCACACTGTCTGACAGCGCAATAGTATCCAAAAGTACAAAAGTGTGATTTCCCACATTCCAAGATGAGCTAGTATCCCCAAAATAAGTTTCAAACCTCTTATAGCTATTTTCAACAACATTATCACCAAACCCAATATCGTGATTTCCTGGTAACGACATGACCGTTAACCGATTAGGCTTCTTTGGAAATATTTTGTGAAACCTTTTGTATTCATCGAACCATTGGTCGTCGTCCCACTCTCTTCCACCATCAAATAGATCACCCAAGAAGAAGGTAGAGTCTGGATCTAGATAGTACTGCATATATCTCCAGTTACGATTGTGATAGTTGTCCAATATTTTCTGTGTGAAGTAATTGACGATCCACGGCCTTCCGGGATAAGAGTAGGCGTCCATTATTTGGGGATCGGCTAAAAGAGCGACTCTGTGTAGATTAGTAACTTCAGGCCATTGCTCCCACTTTTCCCATGCGCATCGTTTCATGGTTCGTTTGATGACTGATCGTTCATAATATTGGATGACACATAACCACAAACTAAAGAGAAAAGTCAAGTATCTCCATAGGATTGCTTTCCTCGTACATCGCTTTCTGGCATGATCGATATTATGAGCATTAACAGTTTCCTTTTTATTGTGAATAGGGAGTTCTATCTCCTTATCTCGTCCACGATATGACATGTCCTTCCGCGTTGTTCCCTTATTGATATTTGTTTACTAGCGACAAAGTTTTTCGTTTTCGTATCCTCATATCAATGGAACCTGGTAAATCATGGACAACAAAACGGAACGGAAATTAAGACCTAAAACCCCCGTCCTTGAGAATGAAGATGATCGATTTAACTTCGACATACCTGAAACAAAAATCCCGTCTGACAGAAAGCTCGTGATTGTGAGCAGAAGGCGTGCTTCCTTGATAAATACAGATCCTCGCTTCACGGAGAAGAGAAACTTAATAAGCTCGATGAAGCTTGAAATAACAAAGCACGAGCTGCCATGCATCTCAGAAAATGATTGCCATGATCTTCTATCTGATGATATCTATCGTTCTTACCATAAGAAGATGCAAAAACAGGAAAGCCGAATGATCAATGACGACAAAATTCAATCGGAGGCAGAAGCTGAGCGGTTGCAAAACCTATCTGAGAAATTAGACCATTTAGATTGGATTAATACTTTATCGAAGTTGACTGTGATTCATGATATGAGAGATGAAGAAGAACTTCTTTTGAAGAGAGATATGACAAAGCAGTCGATAGTGCGGATGCTAGACAAATTTCGTGACATGAAAAGAAGGTCGAATCTCCTCTCGCGCAACTACAGACATGGCAGGATCAATCCAGTCGCAAACCGGGCTAGTTTATATTGTCGAATTGATAGAAAACTTATAATGGGTTATGATAGCTCTTCTGATGAGGAGGAAGAAAATATGACACCAGAGCAAATTAGGCTCCATCGAAAGCGAAACCGCGAAGCCAACTACGGCGGTACTATCATTGTACAGCTTAAAAGGCTGAAAAATTCGGCGGCTAAATATGCTATTGTGGCGGAGCCTCTTAGAGCGTCATATATCGTGAAATGTTCAAAGGAGGAAAGGGAGCTTTGGTCCCTTCAAGCTGCTAAACTACCAGATAAATTCGAATATTATCCCAAGTTTCCTAAGCAGATTGCAGTAAAACGCATATCTCCAAAAAACACTGACATTCGCGGCCCCGAGAGTAGTATATTAGGCACTTCAGTTAATGAGAATACAATGAAAAATCACAAAGAACTTGTTCCAATCGGAACAAGCAGGTCTCTTCAACATGAGCATGGACCGATCATAAGCGGACTCGAGGCTCGCAATATGCCTTTGAAAAAAAGAAAAACTGTTCAAACAGCAGACTTGAAGACAGCGATTGGTGTCTAATGAAAAATTCTATAGCCTATTTGCTACGTAATGGTCAGAAATGCTAGATAATTGGAATCTTTTGTACGGGTATATCCAAGGCGCTTATCTCAAATCAAATCTGATGCACTTAAATAATTGGCAAGTAATTCTTTTGGTTCGGCAGTGATGTCAAAGCTGAAAAATTCGGTGGATTTAGAATAATCTTGATTGTATCCCAGAGATTTCGATTTTAATTCGTTTTCTTCTGTTGTTCCGATTACAGAAAGTTTTTCCTCACTCAAAGAGAATCTTTGGAAATAGAATGATCTTAAGTCTAGCAGTGAAAGGCGCGCAATAATTAAATTTGATAAATTTTGATTGTCGCTTTGGTTTTGGTTTTGGCCCTCCCTAAGGGTATCTGTAATGGTATCTTCTAACTGTTCGCATCTTGAGTCAAGTACTTTCACAAAAGAGTAAAGTTGCAGCTGATCTTCAAAATGCATTTGAACCATATTCAGGCTCATGAACAGAACGCCATCTTTCAAAGTTTTGCTTCGATCGCTGATGTGTGAAAAGTACGTATCAAAAGCCTTCCTGACAGACCGTATGAACTTTGAGGTGGCCTTTTTCCCAGCCGAAAAAAGTTCTTGCAATCTGCTTAGGAAATGTGCATGCTCTCGTAAGCTATCGGTATTTATTTCCCTTATGCTTTCGATCGCGAGTCTAATTCCTGGGACTAAACTATTGAAAATCATGCTTTCATGTTTGTCCAGCATGTTTTTGAGGATGGAAAGAGCGAGGGTTCTAACAACGAGGTGTTTAGAGGATACAAGAGCAATTAGGCTCGGAAGACAATGTGTTGGATTGGTGTAACCATATTCTAAAATTAGTTTCAAGTATCTAAGTGCTCTGAAAGAAACATCAGGTTGATCGTAAAGACAAATTTTGAGGATATCTTTCAAGTATCTTGAAACAAGAGCGGAACATATAGTATCATTTCCTATTCCCAATTTGCTAATTTTGAGTTTATCTTTCAAAGAAGCAAGGCTTGATGATGTGGTGGCACCATTACCTTCGGTAATTTTCAAGGACTTTTGTTCTTCAGATAGGAAAAAATCGTATAGAGTTTCTATCAGTGCCAGCTTCATCTCTACCGTCCCTTGTTCAAACTCATAATCTAAAACTTTTAAAACATGTCGAGAATTAAAAAGTTTCGGAAATGTCACTGCAATTCTAACAAGATTTTTAACAGCTATTCTTTTGATGTTACTATGAATGCCTTCCCGAGTTAAAAGTATCAGGCATTTTGTAACATATTCAAAAATTGGTTCCCGCGTCTTCAAGTTTGGGAAGATGCTCTCCTTATTTTCGAGCTGGCAATATCTCGAAAACCCGGATGCTAAATAAATTAGCTTTTGCAGTTTTCCATCCGCCTGCACAAGCTTCGGGTCCTTTGTAGCTTGATTAATATAGGGGGTTAGGTGAATCAAGCATGATGAGCATGCCTTCGAAATTCTTGTGCTATCTTTTCGATGCTTTGCGATGAGCCATGACAATGGAATTGCTTCTTCCAATTCGCGTGCATTCATTTTGGTTAAATGGCCCAATATTGATGTTTCCAAATCATAGAGAAATTTCGGTTTAAAATTGGACAGTTTTGAAAAGCTATTTTTGAACACACGCAGTATGTAGCATTCCCAATTAGATTTAACTGGAGATGCTATGTAAGGATAGAGAGCAGCAATGTGATCTTTGGTTATAAAGCAATCATCACACGCGGTAATTAAAGATAATATCTGGAGCGTATGAGAGATATCATGATCTTCTTTTTTGTCTTCCTCATTTTCAGACTGAAAGCTGACTGACATTTCGACGATTTTATCTGTTAGTTTTTTCATTGATATTATAATTTTAGTAAGCTCTTCTCGATGATGTGCATATTTGTTCAAAACATAAAAGTTCAAAAAGCGATCAAACAGTTCAAATGCCTTCTCACTTAAACTGACCATAGTGGATATCACTTGAATTGATTTCTGAAGCTGTTCTTGGCTATCTGAAGTTTCGTCCATCTTTTCAATGTCTAAGAACCACCTATTCAATAGTGCCGTTCTTGCCATTTCGATGATAGAATCTTCCTCATCTTCTGTTCTTCTAAGAATTCGATTAGCAACAAATGCCTTAACCATCACATCATTTGAATCGTCATAAATACTCAAATTCAACTTCAGAACGTGCCGCCTCACTAATGTGCTTTCATCGTTGAAATTCAAGTTGATCTGGCGATAAAAGTCGAGGTATGATTTATCTAAACTCAGTAGCTCTAAAATGGCATCTTTCACAGAAGCTGATGAATCCTGTAATCTTAGCTCTATTGTTTCCTTCACTGATGGCATTTTTAAAAGTGTTGCGTCTTTTGAAGCTAGCAGAGATAAGCATTTGATTGCCCCGGATCGTAATTTAATCTTGGGCCTATTCAAGAGAGATATTATGAGTTTAGTGTATGGCTCATAAAGATTGACCAGTTCAAACACGTGTAGCGATGACAAATAATCTAAATCCGCGCCAAGTTCATTACTATTTGAAGTTTTACAGTTAGAAAACGTGTATTGGTCAGGAGTTCCCTGAAGTACCTTTAAAATGTTCTCATTAACAATCGCGGTCCACCGTTCTGAATCTGGGTCAAATCCAATGAGACTGAGGAGCATAGAGATTTGCTTGTGCCATAGAAACCCAAACTGTGAATCATCAGGATCATCTGCATTTAAACGGGATAGACATTTATGAAACGTTGACATCAGCGCGGGTAAGCGTTCGGGTTTGTTGAACACTTTTATTAGATTATTGACTTCATTTCCTTGGGTTTTTAAGCTAATATCCTGGATCGTACTTCCAATATTTCCAGCAATTGAGAGAACGAGTCCTTCGATGTTAGCAGATTCTTGATGTGCGGGAGTAAAAACTGCTAGCATTTTTTTCAGCAAAGAGGCCAACATTATTTCTGTTATTGACCAATTCGGAAGTGAAACCAAAGCTATTAGGTCTTGAACGTAACATTCTAAAATATAACGTTCTTTTGAAACGTTTGAAAAGCATTTCTTAAGTATAGCGTCGTTAATGTGTTCAATCAGTGTGCTAATTGAGTGTTGCTGATTCTCATGATGTTTGAGAAAATCTTCGAAAGTATTTTCGTAGTTTTCATCGAAACGAAAAAGGCCATCATAAGAATTCACTGTTTGAAGCATCGAGACTAGAGCATAAGTTAGGTGACTTACTCGACAAGTATCGCTGACTTTTTTCAGCTTTTTTTGAGAGCGAGTAGTGGGTAGCATATTCAAGTGGGATAGCAACTCATCAACTATGAACGTTTGCTGGTCCGTGAATCTGCGAAAGATCATATACAAACCATCTGAACTAATTGACTTTAATTTTTCACAGTTATTCTGAGTGCAAATGTTAGTGTTCACATCTGAGACGGAGAAAACTATTAAATCGGAAAAGATGTAGATCAATTTAGTAATCAATCCTTCGTCGAGCGCATGACCTCTCTTGAGGTATTGAGGTAGAAGATGTCCGATGGGTAACAGAAGGTTCATACTTTGCGTTTGGTTCAAAACATCTAGATCCTCTTCTTTTAGTTCATCAACAATCAAATTTATGAATCTTATTGGAAGAGAGATGTAACGCTCCAGGTATAGAGAGCGATCTTGGATATCCATAGAAAATATTATAAAAATAACCACAGCAGAATCGGACGCGATTTTTAAGGTGTTATATGACCGGTTTTCAAAATTGTGTAAAACGGTAAATATGTTATCTGCACATCTGGATAAAATCATTTGAAGGTTTTTTACGTCAACCTTTTGCAATAAGCCAGGAATAGTGATGGTATTTTTAAGTGCCTTTATCAGGTTCTTCAAACAGTTTTCAGACAACAAAAGTTCTCCGTTTAATGTCAACCAATGTTGAGGATCTGCACCAGTAGCGGAAATCTTGTTATCGCCAAGTATTTTCAACAGGCTGTTTAAATCAATTAAATACTGTTCAGCGAATGAAAGCTGTGTGAGAGAGATGTCTGCTGTAACTTTAGTTCTCTTTTTAGAGGCCATAAGCTGAACATCTTCAGTTATTTCTTGATCTCTTGCGTGTTTTTGAGAATGAGGTATAGCATTTGCAACAACCAAGTCTGAATTGACGGTACCTGTATGAGGTAGCATGCTTTTAGCGAGCGCCGAAAGCCCCTCAAATATATCGGTACTTGAACTTTCCTTATCCATCCCTTGAAGTTTGATTCTTTTAAATTTTAGAGGATCTTCAGCGCTGTTACTTGGAGAGCTGAGTTGGAAAGATACAGATTCGTTCAATGGAAGAGAAGGTGAAGTTTCCATCACATCGTTATTAACTTTCACTGTCCATGAAAAGGTCGAGTGTAACAGGGCAGAAATTTCTGTTTTCGGTACCAAGTGATTCAAAGGTTGATATTGAAGTGATTCAGCCAAATGCTTGGGAATATTTGTATGTTCGCCCGGATAACTTGACATTACTTAGCCGCCACACGAAAATATAGTGATAGTGAAAATAGATGAATCGAAAGGTCCCGTCCTTTCTAAAAACAGTTGGTTCTCGAATGTTTGTGCTGACACAACTTTAAATCTGAGAGAATATGTTTTCTTTGTGAAAAGAGGGAAATCTGATTTGCCTCGCTGTGTTTGCATTCTGTATTCAGCAGATGAATAATCTTTACATTTTCATCATGCTCGGGTTGTGAAAGATGATACATCACACGATCCTGGCCATGAAACTAAAGCTGGACGCATTATACAATGGTAAAAACTACCTCATTGTCAACAAACCATCCAATGTTCACTGTCAACCTCCCGATATGAATTTCTGGTTTAGAACCCATCCTGATCCACCACTCGTTTTAATGGACATGCTGAGAGAAAGCAACTTCCAAGATGAAGATGTCAGTTTAAAGCCTGTTCACAGATTAGACAATGTTGTAACAGGTGGAGTGTTGATTGCTAAAGGCCGGATGGCGGCGGCAAATTTTTCCAAGAATCTAAAGAAGGGTGGAAACTATGGGTTCAAAATGGTCAGAAAGTATGTAGCTTTAGTGAGCAAAACGACGAAGTATTTAGCCAACGAGGGAACCTTGAAGTCTGGTGGTATGATCACTCATTATAGAAAGATTGATGAGCACTGTCTAGCTCTTCAGCTCCATACAGGCAAGAAACATCAAATACGCCGGCATTTGTCGCAAGTATTAGATCGACCTATTTTGAATGACATCACGTATGGGGGGATAAGAGTTGAAGGCATAAACAACCAGATTGCATTACATTCAGCGTACATCAAGACTAAGATTGGATTTCAAGAGAATCACCACATGATACCAATTGTACAAGGTAATGATAATCTATGGAGTCAGTACGTAGATCACAGGCTACAATTTCGTCAGGACATTCAAGAAATCTTAGCTCAGGATTGGGGAGTTTAAGTGGCATGCGCCACGATAGTTTCAATAATCTTGTAGAGGAGAAGCGTATTCATTCTTTTATCCCGGTTTAAAGCTTCAATGAATCCGTGGATATCCCTTTGTGATATTGCCAGAACGGTGAAGAGGCTATGATGCTTCAATATTCTGGTAAGGTTTTCTTCGCATTGCGTCTTTAAGGCAATCAACTCATCCTCTGATAATATTTTTCTGCCTGGATTGAATTTATTATCCTTAGGAAAAAGAATGTGCCTCAATTTGCAGAAGCCTTCGGTGATGGTATTTGAGGCTAAGATTTTTGAAGAGAGCACATTGTGAAAGGTGCTTCGCAAAAAAGTATTTATGGCAGGCTGGTTTGCTGCAAAACACTGCATGTATTTCAATATGGTGTACAATAGAGGTCTGCGGCTGTTCAAACGAAAGATGGTCTTGAGAAATGAGAAAATATATCTGTGAGAGAACGGCACCATCTCATCACTACTTGATATAATGACTTTTTCCAACTTAGAAAAATATTGGACAGCACCTAGTATTTTTCCTTTCAACTTCGATATATAGCTGAAGAGTGAAAGCCTGGGCTGCCTTTCCGATTTATCATTAATACTCTTGGCGAATTTGGTGATAATATCCATGAGAACGGATGGATCCATGAGACTTTCCACAACTCTTTCGAAAAGAAGGCTTCGAAAAAGCTCATTCAAAAAAGTTTTCTGTAACATTGATTTGGATACAAGCGGCTCTAAAATGCGGTCTGATATCACATTCGGGTACTCCCCCTCATATAAATACAAATCAAGAAATTTCTCATAGGTTAAATCTTCTTCCATGACATGGCGCATTATGTTTACATGCTGGGTAAGAACAAACGGTATATCATCGCAGACCAGTTGTTCCCAATCAATAATTGTCTTAGTAAGATAATTCGAAACCTGCTCAATAAGGTCGAAAAGTTCTTGAATAAGTTCGAGGTCGGACGTTGCTATCTTTGTACCGTACCAGGATTTGACAAAGTTCTTTATGAGTAAAGCGCAAAATGCATGCATTGCTAGTTTTGTGCTCGACAAATTATTGATTCGATTCATAAGGGATTCGGTATATATTGAGCAGCAAAGCTCCTGCAGATACTCCCTAGAATCTAATGGAAACAAAGATTCAAAACGGGGATCTTCCTCTGATTCATGTTGTATCTCTTCAGCTGATTTGATCTTTCTCTGAAACCTTGAAACTAGCGTAGAATTGGCGTTGTACAGTATTGTAGACATCGTAGCCAGCGAAAGTTAATTTCTTTGTCTTGTTAACAAGACGCGAAAGTGAAAAACGCTGTTCCAGGTAAGCGTAAATATGCTCAGGAAACAAACGATCACCGATTTAGAAGATCCCTCTTGCTTTCACTTCAAAGAATTGTGGTTATCAAGTGACGATAGCGATGAGCAAAAACTGCTAGAGCTGTTCTGCTTTGGGACCATCGGCGACGTACCTGAGCATATGAGTATTTCGCCTCTTATGTGGAGAAAAATGACAAAGCTAACATTACTCGGCCTGGCCACTGAAGCACGGTCCCTCAAGTACAGTTATGTGATGGAGCAATGTAGGCTAAGGAATGGAGAAGAAGTTGAAGAAACCTTTATAGCTCTCCAAGGCCTAATTGATTTTCAAATTGACAGTGTCGAGAGCACGATCAAGATTTTACAGTGCTTCGATTGTAGAGATGTTTACGGAGGTGAGCGGGACTTGCTTCTGTTGCACGATGTTGTTCCTACGAAGCTCACATTAATCCGAGACCTCCTGCGATGGAAAGACAAACTTGCTCGTGAAATATATGATAATAAATATACGTGATAAATATGAGATTTATGTATAGCCATGTGCATGATCATGCCTTCTTCTCCTCCTTATGATTCCAGAGTTGTTTGACGGCGCCAATGATGCCGATTTCTTCTGCTTCCAACTTGTAAATACCCACGGCAGAGAAAAGAGAACCCAGCGTCAAAAGATACATCGCATAGTTATGATTCTTACCGTACACTCTCTTAGGAATATAGTCGATAATACACGATTGAAAACCAACATAAACATGTGCCAATAGTAGCGACGCCAATATAGAGTCTCCGACCGTTGAGATATTGCCACTGGCTAACGCGGTTCCCACCAATGGCATCATTCCGATTGCCACGACTCTTTCAAAGTCCCAGTGGTAAGACCCATGTGTTTTGTGTGGGGCAGGAGGTTTGTAAGCGTCATTAACGGTTCCCTTAACACCACCAGGAGCCTGAGGTAGCGTAGACAAGAATGGAATCGTCAAAGACCTCTTACTACTTGTTTGGAATGCTCTAGCACTGGACAATCTTAGGATGTTCTTTGAGAACATTGCTGAAACCTTATTATTGAATTTGGACGTATGCCGAATGGCGGCCTTTACTCCTTATCATATATAGCTCTTCCTTCCCCCTTCACATCGGCTCCGAGAAATGACCACGGGAGAAATCGGGTGGGAAAATGCGGTCGTACGGAGATCACATGCCAAACTCCCGACAAATAACTCCGGGTCAGTCACGTGCAATAAACATAGTGTTTTCGTTTTTAGTGATGTATCGTGCAACTGTTCCAACGTGGGGTGCATTCGGTAAGGAATCGTTGAAAGTAGTGAGGAGGGGGGATGAAAGAGTCGTGTAGCGTCTGTAGAACTAGTTTATTAAAATTGGTGGGCAAGCAGATCATCTGTCATTTAAAGGTGTTTCTTCCGCACAATATTCTTGGTAAACAGTGCATTTGACGAAAGGTGCAGTGTATGAAGCCCTTGAAAATTAGGAATTATCTGGGTTGACGGGTACCTCTCAGTGCCAAAATGTGTGCCGGGTGTTTTTAATTGCGTCTTCAGTGTTGACGTTTGTACGTCAAGGAAATTTTCATTTAGCCCGATAAGCAATTACGGCAAGTTGCTGGGGATTATCTGTATCCTACATTATGGCATATCGAAAACATGGCGTCTAAAGCTGGGTGTGAAATGTGAACTTAGTCGAGCTTCATTTCACTAAAACTCTCACGTGAGAAACGATATTTGAGAATTATCACGTGCTTCCTTCTTTTCATGAACTCTAATCTAGGTCAAGAACAATTTGTCATAAGATGAGGTAAATTTCTACACTCAAGTTAAAGAGAGGAATAACTGTCTAGTATGCTTCGCCACATCGTTAAAAGAGCAGGATCAGTTCGCCGTTTGGCCACTGCTATTCCTAAGACACAGATATCAGTGTTACCAAATGGACTAACGGTAGCATCTGAGAGAATACCCAATACTTCTACTGCTACTGTTGGCATATTTGTAGACGCAGGATCAAGAGCTGAGAATGTCAAAAACAATGGTACCGCTCACTTTTTGGAACACTTGGCATTCAAAGGTACTCAAAATAGGACTCAGGTCGGTATTGAGCTTGAAATTGAGAACATAGGTTCTCACCTTAATGCCTACACATCAAGAGAAAACACGGTGTATTACGCTAAAACCCTCGAGCAAAACATTCCGAAAGCGGTAGATGTCTTGAGTGATATCTTGACCCGATCAGTGTTGGATCCAAAGGCTATCGAGCGTGAGAGGGACGTTATCATCCGCGAAAGCGAAGAGGTTGACAAAATGTACGACGAAGTTGTATTCGATCACCTTCACGCCATTACATACAAGAATCAGCCACTGGGGAGAACGATCCTTGGTCCTATTGAAAATATCAAAACAATTACACGGAAAGAGCTGCAGGATTATATCGCGACCAATTACAAGGGAGATCGCATGGTTCTTGCTGGTGCCGGTGCAGTGGACCACCAAAAGCTGGTTGATATTGCGTCCAAGTACTTTGGTCACATAGCGAAATCTGATACACCGGCACCCTTAGGATCTCCGCGGGGACCATTACCTGTCTTTTACGGGAACGAACTGAAAATTCAAGAGGACACACTACCCACTACGCATGTCGCGCTGGCGGTTGAAGGTGTCTCTTGGTCAGCACCGGATTACTTTACGGCACTAGCCACACAAGCCATAGTAGGTAACTGGGATAGGGCACTAGGAACAGGAACAAACTCTCCATCTCCTCTGGCTGTTGCAGCCTCCAATAATGGAACCTTGGCTAACTCCTACATGTCGTTCTCTACTTCCTACGCAGACTCAGGTCTCTGGGGTGTTTATATTGTGACAGATTCGAAAGAACATGACTTGAAGGTCATCATAGATGAAATTCTGAAAGAATGGAAGAGAATCAAGTCCGGTAATATCACTGACGGTGAGGTGGAAAGAGCGAAGGCGCAGTTGAAGGCTTCACTTCTACTTTCACTTGATGGCTCTACAGCGATAGTTGAAGACATAGGAAGACAAATTGTAACAACAGGGAAGAGGCTTTCCCCGGAGGACGTCTTCGAGCAAGTGAATCGGATCACCAAAGACGATATTATAATGTGGGCTAATTACAAGTTGAAAGAAAAGCCTATTTCTATCGTTGCACTTGGGAACACTAAAACGGCACCTTCGTTGAGTCACATCGAATATGGTTTGAATGCTTAACTAGGGAAACTTGTATATAATGATACCTACGCAACTATTCTTTATTCTGTAAACTGTCCGTCAGTTCGTCATCCTTGTTGCTTCCGTTACTCCCAAACACGTCAGCCTCCTCCTCTTCCTCCTCTTGATCCAAATCTCTAAAAACGCTTTCCTTTGGAATGCGTTTCATGATTTCGGGCTTATCAAACAACGGTCCTATTTTACTGATCCATCTTCGCCTCTTATCTAGTAATGATTTCAAGCTCGAGTTGGCTGCTTGTTGATGTGCAGCTTGAATCGCCGCCTGTGATGTTGAACCTGTCGAAGCGGTAGCCTGTTGCTTCTTTTTCTTGTTTTTTGGAACTCGTATGCGTTTTATGTAGGCTTGGTCGACTTGCTTATCCAAGTCTTCTAGAATAGATGAGTACTCTTGCCAAGCCAATTGTCTCTCTACCAAGGGGATAAGCACAGTCTTACGCTTTAGGTTTCTTTTTGTCACTTGCCGGAGGTCATTTTGTAATTCGCGAAGCTCAGCGCTGATTTCATCATCTTCACGACCCGTCAGCCAATCTGGGTCTCCATTTGAGTGCGCATCGTCATCTTTCGGTAAGTTCATGTATATGCCAACGTATTTCAACTCTCTTTTAAGCCTTTCTTCAAAGGTTGGATAATCCAAATTAATGCTATTGACTTTCCATCCCTGTTGTTGCGGTATTGCACTGGTAGATGTAGCAGCCAATGTTTTGATATCATCAACTTCACTCAATGGCGTTGTGGCTATAACAGTCGCTGCTGGTGTAATACTTTTCGCCTCCTCGTCCAGTAATTGATCATCATTCTCTTCCTTCACATTGTCATTCGCAGGTTGTGCAATTTCGTCTCTTAAAATTGCCGATAAGAGTCTTGAAACGAATGGGCCACAAGAGACTTCTTCTGTGTCTAATACCTCATCTGAAATATCATTGCCTGATTTCTTTGGCAAAATGCTTGACGGATCATTGATCGGAGGAGGGGACAAATTTGCTATATTTTGATTGTTGTCCTCCTTTGCCCATAATTCCGTGTACAGTGGGCCAAGTTTTGGAATGACGTATGGTGTTACTTCAGGATCGTAAGTTTTCTCAACCTGAATGTTTGGAGGTATTAAGTACTTCTGTTTCAAGAACTTGATGTCATCATCTGAGAAATCCCGAAAAAAATTATCCACAGAGGTCAGGAATGTACTATATTGTATTTGGTTGGTTGGCTTCGGTCTTGAAAAATCCATATCAGGTATTTCACCTGGTAAGAGATCCTTGAGATCATTGGTAGGATAACTTGCAACACCATACTTTTTCTTAAAAAAATCTTCACCGGTGCTTTCGAGCCCTTTCTCTGTAAATAGGCCTAGAGAAATTGCTGCGGCAGGTAATGTTTGTGATACGACAAATTCTGATTTTGGATTTTTAACAGAAGGATCGTTTTCAATTCGTTCAACCTCGGATTTCGATTTCTTTTCAATATGCCCATCTGAAGTTTCAAAATTTTCCGTCTTTTGAAGTCTGTTAACATTGACATCTTCGTCATCCTCGTCCTCCATTTTTAAGGATCTTTTTCTGTTCGTTTGCCTCTTGTGAACGACACTAGTATCTTCATCACTTGGCAACTCTGTGCTCTTCTCCTGAGGTGGAGCGGTAGTTGGTGTTTCTGTTATTGTTGCGGCCGAGCGTGCAGCTTCCTTGCGAGCTTCAATGATCTCCTCGATTCCTTTTACCGTATCCTCATCACTCTTCGATATCCTCTCAAGTGTCTTATCAAGCTTTTCAATGCAGTCTTGAAGGCTAACTAAAGAGTTTTCACTTGGAATCGAGCGAACATGTTTACCATTAAGCATTCCAATGTCCCGCTCTAGAGTTAGATCCAACGTCTTCAAAACAGACGCAAGAATCGTAGATGATTCATGGGCTAATTCATCGGCTTGATTTTGATCCTTTGGGCCTTTTCCTCTTCGTGCCACCCGTGACATGTTAGTGTTTAGGCTCCTTGGATGTGTTGCTAGTGATCATGCTACATCTTGTACATTAGTTTTCAACTCTTAGACCTTCGTGCGTTGAGATATTGAGCCATATGCACGTGATATCCGTTGGAACGTAACAGGTGTTAAAATTTTTATGCCGAGGTGAAATTGAAGAGCGCTTTGACTGATCTAATTGATCGCAAAGGACCTAAATGAGGGCTTCATTGAAACTTCTTATTCGGTCGACATCAGTTTGCCTTGATGGAGGAGCACTGAAAGTTGCCCGTGAAGCTACTCTTTCGCCGGAACTTTACCTAGAACCAGGCAAGTGGAAGGGATTGAAGCCTGACCAAATTTTCCAGCTTTATCGTGAAAGAGTTGTAAGACTTGGTAGTGAATATAAGCCTTGTAAGGAAGAGTTGGATGCATTATTATCTACTTCTGAGTATACTGGAGTGTCCGCTACTGCTATCAAAAGCGTTTACCGGGGAGGCGAGCAAGCAGCTCATGATGTTGCAGGAATTAGTCTCGAGGACGACTTCAAACCAAAGCCTTTCATGTTTGACGACTTGCCATCTCAAGCACAATTGCTTGTTCAACAGCATCGTGAACAAAGATTCTACAATCGACTTGCTGCGTACGAACTACCCCTTCTAGCGCAATATCGACAAAAATATGAAAGGCCCTCTACAAAGACAAAGCCTGTTACTTATCGCTACACGACGTATATTGGGGAAGATCATCCTAACTCACGAAAGGTCGTTTTAAATGTAAAAACACGCGATTTAGGTTTGAACGACAGAGAACTGCACAAGCTACGCGTATTGGCAAGAACTCGCTATGACCATACAACTGATGTTTTTAAGATGTCTTGTGATAGTTATCCTGAAGCTGCTCAGAATGCACGTTATTTAAGCGAACTATTGGAAAGGTTGATCAAAGAATCTAAAGATATGACTGACGATTTCAGTGATGTTCCGTTAGACACCAGACATACTGTGGCCAAGCATCTTCGTAACAAAAAACGCCACTACGAGTTTCCTGAAGAGTGGAAGCGTCCTGAAGATGCTCCTAAGAAATTAATCGACGTGGTGGCGTTGATGAAGAAAAACTTCTAATCTAGGACTGATTAAAACTTCATGTACATAATAACACAAATTCGTTGTATTTAAAGTTACTTTTGGCATAACTTGTATTGTTACAATTCCACGTAGAAAAACAAACACGAACTATATTCTAAATGCTCACACATTACCGTGCTTCTCCTTCTTCTTATCCTTCTTTTTTTTCTTCTTTTTCTTTTCCGAGGAACCTGTTGATCCATCCTCTTCATGAGCTCTCTTTTCTTTACGAGATTGGAATTCATCTTCATCCTCTATTCCGCCTTGCAAGTACTCAGGAATGGGAACAGGGGCAGAATTTGGGCCATCTTGGACTGTAAAAGTACCATTTTTCTTTGCTTCCAAGTACTTCTGTTTTTCTTTCTGATAATTCTCCAATTCAGCATGATAGGCTTGCTTCCATTTATCTTTCTCAGAATCACCCAATTCTTTCCATTTCTTCGAGATTTCCTGAGTTATCTCAGTTGAGGATAGCGGGGGTAATCCAGCTTTTTGTCTATCTTCGCGAAGTGCTTGGCGAACATACGCTGAGTAGGCAAAAAACACAGTCAGAGGCTTTTTTGGAGCGTTTGGGTCCCTCTCTTGTTTCTTCTTTGGCTGCGCTTGCTTCGTAGGAGGACTGTTTACAAGTGTGTCCTTATCATCGTCAAGAGGATTGATCAAGTCCGAGCTTACAGCATGGATTTGATTACTGGCAGAAGTTAATTTTTGCAGCGCCTCCGTTAAGGTGGTGAAAGCTTCCAGTTTCTCTTCTTCATCATCACCGATTGCATTGTAAAAGTCGATAATGGAACCTGCTGTTTGATTCGCGGCCTTTGAGAGCTCAAACAAAGACGAAACAAGCTATTTCTTTAGTTAGTATCGCGACATTCACCCGGAGCACCTCTCTTGATTAAACATACTGTATCCTTAGCTGATTTGAGCTTGATGGAGGGTTCAGACATCACGTGGAGTTCTAATAGTCCTTCGTTCCAAGAGACTCTAGTCTAATTGTCTTAAGGGGTATTTTCTTTCCGGATGGTAGAAGGGGGAGTTCGTGCTAGGTTTCATCCCACTCCGCCTAACGAAAAAATTTTTCTCTGCCTGCGGAACCATCCAGCACAAGGAGGCCTCTTGAGAAAAAATTCAGTCTCTGGGCAGAGAACATGTTTTCTTTTTTGCCAAATGAGGCATCTTTTTCAATGGGAAAAGCTATTGTCGTACATGATGCTAATTGTATTTCGTATTTTACGATTTTCGCTTTGGCCGAGTAGATGGCCACATAGGCTATGAATCATTGAGTTGGGGACATGCAAAATGTCTATAAAAGCATAAAATCACAAATCTCAATGGTTCCTGAGAAAGTTTTTTATCGTACTCAGGCGAAATAATTCTATCCACATGATGAAGATTATGATCATAGGTAGTCCTATCTTGATTCCGTTACAGCCTCTATAAGCACATACCCATTGTATTTTAGGATATCTTAATTGATCTACTCTATAATATTTCATGTCTTTCTAGCATGGTTTTAACGGCTTGAATGGTTGTGAATGCATTTTCAAAAAATGAAATTGTATTCTTGTTCATATCAATTGGCAATAACTATTTCGAAATATTGAGCTTCAAATAAGGTTTCTGACCAACATATTAGATGACAGATACAATGAAAGTCTCATATAGCTCTACGCATGATCGTGCTGAATGTTGAAATTATAGGTTACGTTTTGGCGCTTTCAAGTAGTTTATATTTCTGGATTTTTTCGAAATTGAAGAACCCAGCAAAAACATTAAACGGTTTTTCATTTTTGTCATCTGCTGGAAGTAAAAGGGATACTTGGCCAAACAGATAGAGATGCATAATAGAATGGGCCCACAAAACTTCGAGAACGGAATTTCAGTAATATTTGTTGCTAATTTCAAAAAGCACCTGCATAAAATACTCCAAACCTGATGCAAATTTTCGTATCGAACAGACAAGAAACTTATTCGAGCATATTATTCGCTGTTATCGAGAGTTAAGAAAATAATATACTTTTGGGGCGAAGACATTTTGTTTCGTGAAGCTCAACAAAAAAGGATGACTTCAAAAGCGAATATGAAATTCACGATAGAAGTTATAAGATTAACAGGGATTGAACCTGTACGGGCGGTGGCATTTAAAAATAGGTTAATGAAAGGGATAGAATTAAAATATTTATATTTATTCACTGAGGTCTTTCGGAAAACGTATCTTTATTGAGGAAAACAATTCCTGCTTTGTAATAAGAAACAATAGTTTACTTACTGTCATATCCAAAATAGTATTATTTTCAATATTTTCATCATTGTTATAAAAAACCATTTTAGTTATTATCTTTGAAAGAATTATTTCCTATTTCTTAATACTACGATTGTTTCAGTACTCCTCAAGATTATCATTTGATAATCAACAAAGAGAACTCCCTTTTAAATTATTAGGTATTTGTGAAAAGGAAAAATAAAAGCAAAATTGTCCAACTGTTTACGAAAACGCTGCCTTTTGTGGAGACGATAAGTTAAAGTATAAGGCGTGAACTCTGCTCAAGGAATAAGTTCTCCTAAAATATTGCTTCTCAAGTATACAGAGAGGTTTAGCGATTTTTTTGGCAAAATTCATTCAGAAGGGGAAAGAAAGAGAAGACAGGCAGAACATGTAGATATTGATATATATTTCTTTTTATTCTTGATGACGGTAAACGCGATGGATATTGTGGAAAAAAATTACAGCTTGAGGCGCATATCATTCACCTAAAGAAAAATCAAAAAAATAATAATTTTTCAAAAATACAATAAGGGGAAAGAGAGAAGGATACTCCACTCGTGGCATATGACTATAAGGAACACTATACAGTACTCGAATTTTTCACTACTGTATTGATCGTAAAGTGGACAGCTTAAGCCTCTACCTTGAAAAAATGGTTTTAATCCGGTTTAGAAACGTATCAGATGATTATATAAAAATTTGTTTATATGCATATATTTCTGATTATGATGGTTTCATAAAATATTTTAAATTGTATAATAAAAAGAAATAATTGATGATGATCTTTTATCTCAATATGTAATTAGAGGTATTATATTTAGTTATTCTTTTGCTG